AACACCCTAACACCCTAACACCCTAACACCCTAACACCCTAACACCCTAACACCCTAACACCCTAACACCCTAACACCCTAACACCCTAACACCCTAACACCCTAACACCCTAACACCCTAACACCCTAACACCCTAACACCCTAACACCCTAACACCCTAACACCCTAACACCCTAACACCCTAACACCCTAACACCCTAACACCCTAACACCCTAACACCCTAACACCCTAACACCCTAACACCCTAACACCCTAACACCCTAACACCCTAACACCCTAACACCCTAACACCCTAACACCCTAACACCCTAACACCCTAACACCCTAACACCCTAACACCCTAACACCCTAACACCCTAACACCCTAACACCCTAACACCCTAACACCCTAACACCCTAACACCCTAACACCCTAACACCCTAACACCCTAACACCCTAACACCCTAACACCCTAACACCCTAACACCCTAACACCCTAACACCCTAACACCCTAACACCCTAACACCCTAACACCCTAACACCCTAACACCCTAACACCCTAACACCCTAACACCCTAACACCCTAACACCCTAACACCCCTAACACCCTAACACCCTAACACCCTAACACCCTAACACCCTAACACCCTAACACCCTAACACCCTAACACCCTAACACCCTAACACCCTAACACCCTAACACCCTAACACCCTAACACCCTAACACCCTAACACCCTAACACCCTAACACCCTAACACCCTAACACCCTAACACCCTAACACCCTAACACCCTAACACCCTAACACCCTAACACCCTAACACCCTAACACCCTAACACCCTAACACCCTAACACCCTAACACCCTAACACCCTAACACCCTAACACCCTAACACCCTAACACCCTAACACCCTAACACCCTAACACCCTAACACCCTAACACCCTAACACCCTAACACCCTAACACCCTAACACCCTAACACCCTAACACCCTAACACCCTAACACCCTAACACCCTAACACCCTAACACCCTAACACCCTAACACCCTAACACCCTAACACCCTAACACCCTAACACCCTAACACCCTAACACCCTAACACCCTAACACCCTAACACCCTAACACCCTAACACCCTAACACCCTAACACCCTAACACCCTAACACCCTAACACACCCTAACACCCTAACACCCTAACACCCTAACACCCTAACACCCTAACACCCTAACACCCTAACACCCTAACACCCTAACACCCTAACACCCTAACACCCTAACACCCTAACACCCTAACACCCTAACACCCTAACACCCTAACACCCTAACACCCTAACACCCTAACACCCTAACACCCTAACACCCTAACACCCTAACACCCTAACACCCTAACACCCTAACACCCTAACACCCTAACACCCTAACACCCTAACACCCTAACACCCTAACACCCTAACACCCTAACACCCTAACACCCTAACACCCTAACACCCTAACACCCTAACACCCTAACACCCTAACACCCTAACACCCTAACACCCTAACACCCTAACACCCTAACACTCATTCGAAATAAGAGTAAGAATATTGGTTAAATATTATAAAGAAGAACAAAAAAATATATAAAAATCTAAGCAATACTGCTGTTCATAAAGAAAATTTTCTAATGTTTTATTATATATTTTAAATTTTTCTATTAATTCGAATAAGCTTAAAGTTATGAAGCTTAAAGGATTGCTGAAATATTTATAAAAACTTAGCAAAAATTCGACTTATATTATGCCTCCATATATTTGCAATGAAATTAATTAAGCATCAAAATCATCAAAGTTTATGTAATATTTAATCACAAATCATATAAACTAAATTCTTTTAACTAGCCTCCTACCCTATTACTATGGTAAAATGGTGCACTATTAAATTTACTAAAATTATTTGTATCTCTTTTGAGTTTCTATTTCATCCTTCTATTATGGAAGGTTTTGAAAATGCAAAACTCTACCAAAGCAAAAACCTAATTATATATGTCTTATTTGGTATTTCTAAGAAAATTTTCGAAGCCAATAGACGCTTCAAAATCTTGCTTAAAGCTGTTCATTAGAATTTTAGATTAATTAATTTTATTTGAAATCTATAGCTGGTACTTAAACAAAAGCGAGTGAATATGTTAAAATTTAATTTTACTTTAAAAAAGGGGTTTTTTATTACAACAGATGAATTTTTTATAAGTGATAAGATGCATGGTTTTTAAAGATATTTCAATTCCAATAATTTTTTGACTTCAAAAAATTTTACTTTAATTCTAAGAATTTTCGACTAAAATTTATTTCGGTAATTAAGGCCAAAATTCATAAAATATGTCTTTTCAATCAATGTAATAAAAATCATATAATTATTAAATTATTGAAAAAATAAGCTGGGCTTTTACCTTTAATCAAATGGTATTCTTTTTTTTTGGGAAATTCCCTTAAGTAAATTGGTATTGACTTAATTCCACAGCGAGCATCAATTCCCCATCTAGCTCAAATCCTTCCTGCTTAGCCGTCCACAATAGAAGTTCATCAAGTTCGTCACTTTCCAATTTGTCACCTGTTTCCTCTTCTCGAATTTCTCGATGAATTGATCTCATCTTTTTCCTCCAGCTCCATCATGAGGATTTTCTACCTACATCTTCTTCTCAGCAATGGCATCCTCCAAATCCTCTTCAATTGTCACTATAAGAATCATATTCTCCGCAAGAGTCAGAGCAGCTTGCGTAATCGTAGAACTCCATATGGAGATAAAAAAAGCGGATACTTAGAAGGAAGAGAGGTAAAGGTCACCATATTATATTTATAAAATAAGTAATGCAGTTTGCGTCAACCTCAGTGCATAAATTGCACTGAGACTCAAACAAATAATATCCTTCACTGCATTTTGTGCAAACCCCACCTTCACAAGTGTCACAATTAGATATTTTTGTGCTGCATGCTACGCAGTCTCCATAGTAGTTATCAATGCACATATCACAAATGCTTCCGTCGTCGGTATTACATGTAGTACAATATTCTGCGCTGCATTCGCAGAGCCCTTCTTTTGTATGAGAATAACCCAAAATGCAGTCTACACAATAAGAGCTCTCAGTATTTGCAATTTTGCAGTTAGCAATTGGAGCCCCAGCAGAAAGGCACGTCCCAACGCTACCATCTAAGCATTCCTCACAATGGAAAGCATCTAAGCCTATCTCGCAGTTTTTTAAAGGAGATTTAATGCAAACCCCATTAGGATCTAAAGCGTACCCTACATCGCATTTTAAACATTCGAAATCCTCTATATTTCCTTCTTCACACTCAGCACAATGCTGCATTATATCACTGCAGGCTTTACAAATTTTGTTATTCTGATCCCAATTGTAGCCTTCTAAGCATTCAATGCAGTTAGACAAGTTATTACTCTTAGTATTCTTACAATAGGCAGGCCCTGAACTAGCACAAGTGCCTAGATCTGTAAGATAATGCGTTGAGTCACATTGCGTGCATTCTGAAGCTGAGTCACAAACTAAGCAAAACGGATTTAGGCTGCGACATGAAACACAGGATGTAGTGCTTTGCAGAAAGAAGCCAGCCAAACATTGAGTGCAGGTCGATCCATTATCGCAAAGTTCACAATTTGTAATATCACTGCATGAGAGACAAGAATAGGATTTCCAGTAATATCCATCAACACACTGAATGCAGTTCCCATTATAAAGAGTTTTACAGTTTGGTTTTGGAGATGAGACACAATTTAAATTTGCATCAAAAGCAAAGTCGCTCTTGCATTTCTGACATTCATTTCTGTTACAAACTTCACAGTTTTCGTATTTAGAATGGCAGAGAAAGCATTTATCGCCGTCTGTATAATACCCTTCTGCACATTTAGAGCATGCGCCAATATTGTAGCAATCCTTGCAACCTTCCATAAAATCACTGCATAGTCAAAATATGGTGATTACTTGCAGCAAGGAATACTTTTATGAAGATGCAGCGAGTGTAGCTTTAGAAGTGCTGCTAAGGGGGTGTAGGGGCTATATCTTTTATCTGTCTGGAGTTTGCCTAGAGCTGGAAGGGCAGCTGCCTAGGACTGGATCTGTCCAAGACTGATAGCCTTATGGTGATTTTTATCGATTAAAGCGCTGACAAGTGGCGTGACATATATATGCAAACTTAATGCTAATCAGTGTACTGCATACTAAACAGTCTAAATAGCGATTAGCAGAGCACACAGCACAATCATACTGACCAGAAACAATAGAGCAAAAAGACATGCTACTAGTTGTGCACCCACCATCTTTGTTAGGCAAATCACCAGCATTTTTGCAAATACTGCAGTAGGTCTTGGACTCATTACATTTTAGGAGCCATACACATCATCTATGCACCGGGTATATAGTTGCCTTTTATTTCGGCTTCCTGGAGCATCACTGGTTGCGTTTTCTTTTAGTTTTCGAGAATTCATGGCATCTTGAAAATTTTGATTAGGGAGATTAGGGTCTTGCAGGAGCAGTTTGGAGTCAATTTTAGAGCTTTTTGAGCTAGCTTTAACGTCTGAGCTGATTTCTCTTGTTGATGAGGTTAAAAGGGTAAGGACAAGAAGGCAGATAAAACTAACCAACATATTTATTAGGATCAAAAAGCATTAGTAAAAATATCGACATATATACAATTATTTTTGAATAAATTAAATTTTTTTGAAAGCTATTATGGAAATTGTTATCGTTTCTGCTAATATTTTTACAAAGAAACACATTTCGGCATCTTCATGAATTTAATTTTTTTGGGAATATTAAAAAATTTAAATTCTTTTCAGCTTGAAAGAATCCTAAAATTAGTGCTACTAGTTGATTTTAGCCCATCATTAAGCAATTTCTTCGATAATTTCTAAAGAGTCTCCATTATAATTTTATTACACTATGCTGTAAAGCCATATTTTACTGAATTTTGGCCTTAATTAGCGAAATAAATTTTAGTTGAAAAATTCTTAGAATTAAAGGAAATTTTTTTAAAGTCAAAAAATTATTGGAATTGAAATATCTTTAAAAGTCATGCATCTTTTACTTATAAAAAATTCATCAGTTACAAAAATCCCTTGTATAAAGTAAAATTAAATTTTACCACATTCACTCTTAAAGCGCTGTTATTTAAGAGCCAGCTATAGATTTCAAATAAAATTAATTAATCCAAAATTCTAACGAAAGTTTTAAGCAATATTTTGAAGCGTCTATTGGCTTTGGAAAATTTTTTTAGAGATACAAAATAAAGCGTATATAATAATCAGGGTTTTAATTTTGGTAGGAGATTAGAAGAGTTTTCAATAAGCTTCCATAATAGAAGGAAGGAATAGATGCTCATGAGAGATACAGATAATTTTAGGAAAGTTTAATAATGCACCTTTTTACCCAGAGCAATAGGGCTAGAAGGCTAGTTAAAAGAATTTAGCTTGAATGGTTTGTGAATAAATTTTAAATAAACTATGATAATTTTGATACTTAATTAATTTCATTGCAAATATATGGAGGCATAACAAATTCATTATTATTTGTTAAGTTTTCAAAAACTATTGCAGCGATCTTTTAATTAGTCTCTTAAAAAATTGAAAATATTTCAATTCTTTGAATTGCTTAGCAAACAAAAACTTTTTAATATGAAAAATTTGTTTTAGATAATAAAGCGAACAAATTTGGGTGGCGCATATTTTCATATTCTTATAATAGAAAATGGCTGATATAATAAACATTGCATCAATTTCAATCCTGTAAAACCAAAGAAAGGCTTTGACGGATGAGCTCATGGAGAGTGTTAGTCAAAATTCAGAGCACATAAGCCTTTTATTTACAATACTCTCAATAAACAATAAGGCAGCATCGAGATTCATTTGTTCCTATAAATATTTAGTAGAGATTTAAAGCAGATAAGACTGAAGACGACACAGATGAAGATAATGATAAAGATGCTAGAGAGCAGCATAGAATTGATAAATTAAGATGCTGCTTTAATTTTCATTTATTATTTCGTATTTAAGATTGCATGTCTAAATTATGCTCTATTTGCAATTTCACACATTAATTTTAAGTGGATTCTTATCATAAAAATTAGCAGATTTTGTGTGTTTATATGAGAGATTTGCTTTAATTTTACTAATTTAAAGTTTTAAAGAAGTGAGATTTTAATATTAATTGGAAGATCTGATATTCTCACATTATCAGTCTGGATCTGCATCTGAGCGTCTGATCTTGAACTGATAAACCAATTGGTCGTGTCTATATTTTGATTGTTATTTTTGAAAGCTGTTATACTAGCAATTGTAAATATTCTAGAGCTTGAGTGAGCAAAATTAATAATAATATAACGACCGCTGATACTTAACTTGTAGCCCGCTTGATCGACCCTACAAGTGCTCCCATCTTGAACAACTAAGTCAGTGCAAATGAAGCAAGTAGGATTTAACCCACACTGTTCGCACGAGTCAGTACAAGCTAAATAAAAGTTACAGATGCAGGTTGTTTCTTCTTTGCTATCATAGAGGAAGTAGCCTGAATCACAAATAGTGCATACATTTACCGATGTCCAAGCAGAACAGTTGTCAGGGTACACTAAATAAAAGTTACATTTAACACAAGTTCCTCCTTGGTTTTCATAACTAGGCTTGCATTTCACGCAAACTGAGCTGTCAGAAGAGAATTAGATTAGATTAGACTATGTGCTGTGTATTTATAGTCTCCATTTCCAAGACACTATGCGTTCCGCAGCGACAAGTCGCTGCGGGGTGGGCTCCTTCAAGGCAAGTTGGGCCGGCGCTACTGGAAAAAAGATGCGAAAAACTGTCACTCGGGTCAGGCCACAAAATCAGCGGAAAATTGTGCTGGGCCTCTCGCCTCGAGGCTTACCCTTCCCTGAGTAGCTCTCCACACCCAAAAAATCACGTCCGGATATACATAGGGACACCCGTCACCAGCCATTTTATGTATATTGTCAGAAGAGGAAATGACGCAGTTGGGAAGTGAAGCACCGCTATTGGTGCAGGCAAATATTTTATCGCTTGGGCAAGCTATACAAGTCCCATCATCAGAAACTTTAGCACAGGAATTGAGGAAAGATTTAGTGCATTTATTTTCATGATTAGGGTAATACCCGCTATCACATTTTAAGCATGAGCTGCCGTCTAAAGAGCATTCTAGGCAATTCTCTAATGCATTCCTGCATAGAGAGCATTGGCTAAAGTTTAAACAATAGCCTGTTTTGCAGAGCGAGCAAGTCGTTGAACTTGAGCAAGTGTCACAATTTGGCAATGAGACACTGCAGGCATTGCATTTAGTAGAGTCCCAGAAACACCCTTTTGAACACTGTTGGCAAGTGCTAGGATTATTGCTCACCACAACATCGCAATTCTCAATTGAAGAAGAAGTGCAGCTTTTATTTTCATTAAGAAGATATGTAGCCTTGCATTTTGTGCACTTTGTGGAATCTGTACAAGTTTGGCAGTTAGGAATCGAGCTGCATGGAAGACATGAATTGGAATTAAGCCAATACCCTGGTGAGCATTCCAGGCATTTAGAGGAGCCAGAGCAAGTGTTGCAGCCTGCAAAAATAGCTCCGCAAGAAGAGCAGGTATTCTGATCATTAAGATAGTATCCAGGCAAGCATATAGAAATTTCCCATAGATGGCGCTGTTTGCACTTGATTTGCCCACTGGGGAAATTTTTTGGTTCGATCAGTCCCATACGGTTTGGTCAAACCAGAAAATTTTTCTCATGGGCAAATCAAGTGCAAACAGCGCCATCTATGGGAAATTTCTATATAGTGCACCTGGCAGAATTGTAAGCTATATCACAATTTGGTACTGATGATGCAATGCATGAGCCATAGCCAGTTGACAAAAAGCCAGGCTTGCAAGAAGCACACAGACGGTCATTGTCTATACAAGTAATGCAGTTTGCATCAACCTCAGTGCATAAACGACACTGAGAATAAAACAAATAATACCCTGCACTGCATTTTGTGCAAACCCCACTTACACAAGTGTCACAATTAGGTATTTTTGCGCTGCATGCTACGCAGTCTCCATAGTAGTTATCAATGCACGTATCGCAAATGCTTCCGTCATCGGTATTGCATGTAGTACAATATTCTGCCCTGCATTCGCATAGCCCTTCTTCAGTATGAGAATAACCCAAAATGCAGTCTACACAATAAGAACTTTCAGTACTTGCTATTTTGCAGTTAGCAATTGGAGCCCCTGCAGAAACACACGCCTCGCCGTAGAACTGTAAGCATTTATCACAATGATAAGCATCTAAACCTGCCTTGCAGTTTTCTAAAGGAGATTTAATGCAAACTCCATTAGGATCTAAAACGTACCCTGCGTCGCATTTTAAACATTCGATATCCTCTATATTTCCTTCTTCACACTCAGCACAATGTAACATTATATCACCGCAGGGTTTACAAATTTTGTGGTTCTTATCCCAATTGTAGCCTTTTAAGCATTTAACGCAGTTAGACAAGTCAGCACTCTGAACAATATTACAATTGTCAGGTCCTGAATCAGCACAAATGTATTTATCTGTAAGATAATGCTTTGAGTCACATTGCGTGCATCTTGAAATTGATGAACAAACTAAACAAAACGGAATGAGAGTGCTGCATGAAATACAGGATGACGAAGAGAGTTCCGGAATGAAGCCAGGCAAGCATTGAGTGCAGCCCCAGGAGTCACACCATAAATCGCAATTTGGAAAGATGCTACATGAGAGACAAGCTTTGGATTCCAAGTAATACCCCAACTCACATTTATTACAGATTCCATTTTTAACATGACTACAGATTGGTGTTGGCGATGGGACACAGTTGTTATATTCATCAAAAGCAAAGCCGCTTATGCATTTATAGCATGAATTTGGGTTACAAATTTTACAGTTTTCGTATTTAGAACTGCAGGTATAGCACTTATTGCTGTTCAAATAATACCCGTCTTCACATCAATAGCATTCGTCAATACTACTGCAGGTATTGCAGTTTTCTACTAAATCACTGCATGGTAAACAGCTTAAATAGTGATTAGCAGAGCACACAGTGGTGCACCCACCATATTTATTAGGATAACCACCAGCATTTTTGCAAGTGCTGCAGTAGGTCTTGAGCCCATTACATTTTAAGCAGCCATAAAAATCATTTGTGCACTGGCTAAATAGTTGCCTTTTATTTCAGTTTCCTGGAGCATCACTGGTTGCGTTTTCTTTTAGTTTTCGAGAATTCATGGCGTCTTGAAAAATATGATTAGGGAGATTAGGGTCTTGCAGAAGCAGTTTGGCGTCAATTTTAGAGCTTTTTGAGCTAGTTTTAACGTCTGGACTAATTTCTCTTGTTGATGAGGTTAAAAGGGTAAGGACAAGAAGGTAGATAAAACTGACCAATATATTTATTAGGATCAAAAAGCATTAGTAAAAATATCGACATATATACAATTATTTTTGAATAAATTAAATTTTTTTGAAGGCTTATTATGGAAATTTTTATCGTTTCTGCTATTATTCTAACAAAGAAACACATTTTGGCATCTTCATAAATTTAATTTTTTTGGGAACATTAAAAAATTTAAATTCTTTTCAGCTTGAAAGAATCCTAAAATTAGTGCTACTAGTTGATTTTAGCCCATCATTAACTCCTATAATATAAAATGTTATTTTTAATTTAAACTAAGGCATAAGCAATTATTTATAAAATACTTAAGCAATTTCTTCGGAGAATTTCTAAAGAATTTCCATTATAATTTTTATTAAACTATGTTGTAAAGCCATATTTTAATGGATTTTGGCCTTAACTAGCGAAATAAATTTTAGTCAAAATTCTTAGAATTAAAGAAAAATTTTTTAAAGTCAAAAAATTATTGGAATTGAAATATCTTTAAAAACCATGCATCTTGTTACTTATACAAAATTCATCTGTTGGAATAAAAAAACCCTTTTTATAAAGTAAAATTAAATTTTAGCATATTCACTGCTACTATTTAAGAACCAGCTATAGATTTCAAATGAAATTAATTAATCCAAAATTCTAATGAAAAGTTTTAAACAATTTTTTGAAGCGTCTATTGGCTTTGAAAAAATTTCTTATCAATTTGGATAAAAAAGTGCTTACTAAACTTTAATAAAAAAACTTTGTTTAAATAATATTAGCAATGCAAGTTTAACCTTTCCACTTAATCTCCTATTAGAGAGAAGAAGAAAAATGATTTACTATCGTAATCTAAACTTGTGAGATTCAGCTCTTTTCTTGATATTTATGGCAAGAGTTAATTTCTGCTTTAATTCAGTGTTGGGTCAGACGTTTGCTAAAAATTTATAAGAGTTATTAGATTTAAAGAAAAATAATCTTAATTTAAATTTAAAATCTTCACAATTCAATTAGCATACTATTACTAAGAAAAAGCAACATGCGTTCACAATAACGACGAACTCATCTCAAGCTTAAAATACTAAACTAACTTAAAGATTTTTGATTAGTTGAAAAAGAACTTAATTAAACTCAAAAAACATGAAAAACATGAAAAAGTGCTTGCTTAATTATCAGTTAAGTCTCTCTGAAATCGCTATAAATAATGCAAACGAACATAGCGAAGTATCTATTGCCTCAGGACTAAATAGCACTGACAAAGAATATGCTGCAGCTTCCCATCAATCTGCTTCTCTTTACCTTCTTGAGCGAGATGAGCATAAAGTTAATTTGTTTATTTATGACACTAAAAGTGAAAGAGAAGAGGTGAAAAGATTGAAGACTCCAAAGCCCCTAGACATATATTCATGCACTGCTCTACTTCCAAACTCTGAATTATTCTGTTTTGGCATGTATCCTCTTTTTGGGACAACACTAATATTTGATAGTAATTATAAAGCTCATAAGTTACCATCTGGAACTCCTTGTTTCTATTCATCAGCTATATACTTCAACAAAAGCGTCTATTGCTTTGGAGGGTCTAATGACCAAGGGCTTTTAAATCTATCTTGCAGATTTGATTTAAATAGTAATCGATGAATTAAATTAGCACCAATGCCAAAACCTGATTGGTATTGCAATTTGATAACATTTAATAGGAATATTTTGATTTCTGGGGTGTGGAATAAAAATATTTGGCTTTATTCAGTTGATATTAACTCTTTTTCAGTAATTCCCTATGAGTTTGCATGGCTGAAAAGAAAGATCCTGATAAACGCAGAAGAGAGATTGTATTTGATTGAATGCGAGGGTGAAGCAATTTATGAAAGTAGAATTGGAGATGAGTATGCTTGAGAAAGAATAGGAAACTCAATAATTCCCTTTTGCCCTTCTTATGTGTTTTGGGCATATAATGAAAGAGGGATCTATATTGGATGTATTGAATATAAGAACCGCAAAAAGACAAGACATTATTACAAATTTAATATAGACAGAAAAGAGCTGATTGAGCTCAAGAATAATAAGCCCGCATGTAATTTATTTTAATTTAATAGCTTTCATCTTCTTTTACTTTAGAGAACTTTATGGCATCATGAAATTATAAAAATAAAAAAATTGGCATATGAAAAGAACAAGGATATTCCACAAAATATTTAAAATATAATATACATATTATTTGTAAAAAATAATTATACTCAATTAAAATGTATTTTTATTATTTAAAACAACTAAAACTAAATATTTTGTAAAATAAAAGTTTTAGCACAACAATTGGGCAGGAATTGAAAATTAAAATGCTGCTTTAATTTTCATTTATTATTTCGTATTTAAGATTATATGTCTAAATTAATGCTCTATTTGCAATTTCATACATTAATTTAAGTGGATACTTATAGTAAAAATTATTAGATTTTTGCTTATAATGAGAGGTTTGCTTTAATTTTACTTATTAAAAGCTTTAAAGAAGAGAAAGATCAATATTAATTGGAAGATCTGCTTCTCTCACATTATCAGTCTGAATCTGTAACTGAGTATCTGATCTTGAACTGATAAGCCAATTGGTCGTAGCTATATTTTGACCGTCAATTGTGAAAGCTTCTATACTAGCAAGTGTTAATATTTTTGAACTGGAGTGAGCAAAATCAATAATAATAAAACGATCGCTGAAACTTATCTCGTACCCGACTGAATCGACTCTGCAAGTGTCCCCATCTTGAACGACTAAGTCAGCACACATGAAACAATTTGGATTTGGCTCACAGTCTGTGCACGAGTCAGCACAAGCTAAATAAAAGTTACAGATGCAAGTTGTTTTTCCGTTGCTATCATAAAGGAAGTAGCCTGAATTACAAACAGTGCATATATTTTTTGATGAGCAATCAGAACAATTTTCAGAGCACACTAAATAAAAATTACTTTCAACACAAATTCCTCCTTGATTTTTATAGGAAGGCATGCATTTGACACAAACTGAGCTGTCAGAAGAGGAAACGGCACAGTTAGGAAGTGAAGTACCGCCATTGGTACAGGCAAATATTTTATTGCTTGGGCAAGATATACAAGTCCCATCATCAGAAACTTTAGCACAGGAATTGAGGACAGAGCTAGTGCATTTATTTTCATGATTAAGGTAATACCCGCTATCACATTTTGAGCATGAGGTGCCGTCTGAAGAGCACTCTAGACAATTCTTTAGTGCATTTGTGCATACAGAACATTGGATAAGATTTCAATAATAGCCTGTTTTGCAGAGCGAACAAGTCGTTGAGCTTGAACAAGTGTCACAATTCGGCAATGGGACACTGCAGGCCTTGCATATAGTAGTATCCCAGAAATACCCTGTTGAGCACTGTTGACAAGTGCTAGGATCATTGCTCACCACAACATCACAATTCTCAATTGAAGAAGAAGTACAGCTTTTATTTTCATTAAGAAGATAAGTAGCCTGGCATTTAGTACATATTGTACCATTATCACAAGCTTGGCAATTAGGAATCGAGCTGCATGGAGAGCATGATAAGGAATCAAGCCAATACCCTTGTGAACATTTTAGACAGGTAGATGACTCAGAGCAAGCGACGCATCCTGCACTATTATCTTCACAAGAAGAGCAGGTCTGCTGATCATTAATATAGTATCCAGACAAGCATAGAGTGCAAGAGGTACTACCTTGAGCTATCTCGCAATTCAGCAGTGATGATTCAACGCATTCACCATAGTAAGCTGCCAAAAACCCAGGCTTGCAAGAAGTGCAAAAAAGTTCATTGTCTGCACAAGTAATGCAGTTTGGGTCAAGCAAGGCGCATAAATTACACGTAGAATAAAGCAAAAAATACCCTGCACTGCATTTCGTGCAGACCCCGCCAGCACAAGTGTCACAATTAGCTATTTTTGTGCTGCATGGCACGCAGTCTTCATAGTAGTTATCAATGCACGTATCACAGATGCTTCCGTCGTTGGTATTGCATGTAGTGCAATCTTTGGCACTGCATTGGCAGAGCCCTTCTCCGGTATAAGAATAACCAAGATCGCATTCTGCGCAATAAGAGCTATCAGTACTTGCCATTTTGCAATTAGCAATTGGAGCTCCAGCAGAAGCACACACCCCATTGCTAACAGATGAGCATACCTCACAATGGGAAGCATCTGAAACTTTCACACAGTTTTTTAAAGGAGATTTAATGCAAACACTATAAATATCTAAAATGTACCCGACATCGCATGTTCAACATCTGAAATCCTCTATATTTCCGTCTTGACACTCAGTACAATGTGGCATTATATCACCGCAGGCTTTACAAGTTTTGTCGCTCTGATCCCAATTGTAGCCTTTTAAGCAATCATTGCAGGTAGTCAAGTCATTGCTATCAACGATGTAACAATGTTCAGGTCCTGAGTTAGCACAATCGTCTAAATCTGTAAGATAATGCGTTGAATCGCATTCCGTGCATTCTGAATCTGAGTCACAAGCTGCGCAATACGAAATTTGGCTGCTACATGAAACACAGGTTGTAGGGTCTTGCAGAAAAAAGCCAGCCGAGCATTGAGTGCAGGTCGATTCATCATCACAAAGTTCACAATTTGAAATGCCTGTACATGAGATACAAGCATTGTCTTTCAAGTAATATCCTTCAGCACAATCATAACAGTCTCCATTATCAACAGAAATACAGTTTGATGTTGGAGATGAGACACAATTTGAATTTGCATCTAAAGCAAAGCCGCTCTTGCATTTTTGGCATACATCTCAATTGCAAGCTTCACAGTCATTGTATTTAGAACTGCAGAGAGTGCATCTACTACCGTCTAAATAAAACCCTTCAATGCATTCAGAGCATTGTTCAAGATTGAAGCAAACATTACAATTTGCTATCGAATCACTGCATAGTCAAAATATGGTGATTGCTTTGGCAAGAATGCAGGAAGTGTAGATTTAGAAGTGCTGCAAGAGGGGTATAGAGGCTGACTCTTTTATCCGCCTAGAGCTGGAAGGATAGCTACCTAGGAGTCAATAGAAATTATCGCATTGGCAACCAAGATCTGCCCAAGACTGGTAGCCTTATGGTGATTTTTATTGATTAAAGTTCTGGCAAATGGTGTGGCATATATGTGCAAACTTAATTTTAATTAGTGCACTGCATTGTGAACAGCTAAAATAGTGATTAGCAGAGCACACATCACATTCAAACTCACCGGTAACAATAGAGCAGCCAGGTAGGCTACTAGTGGTGCACCCACCATTTCTGTCCGGCATATCACCAACATTTTTACAAATGCTGCAGAGGGTCCTGGACTCATTACATTCTTGGCAGCCATTTTGACCATCTATGCACCAGCTATATAGTTGCCTTTTATTTTTGTTTCCTGAAGCATCACTGGTTGAATTTTCTTTGAGTTTTCGAGAATTCATGGCATCTTGAAACAGTTGAATGGGGAGGTTAGGGTCTTGCAGAAGCAGTTTTGAGTCAATTTTAGTGCCTTTTGAGCTAGTTTTGACGTCTGGGTTGATTTCTTTTGTTGATGAGGTTAAAAGGGTAAGGACAAGGAGACAGATAAATCTAGCCAACATATTTATTAGGAACAAAAAGCATTAGTAAAAATGTCAACATATATACAATTAGTTCGGTATAAATTAAATTTTTTTGAAGCTTATTATGAAATTTTTATCGTTTCTGTTATTATGCTTACAAAAGAAGCACGTTTAGGCTGGCCTAGTATCTTCATGAATTTAATTTCTTTTTGGGAATATTAAAAATTTAAACTTTTCCAGCTTGAAAGAGTCCTAAAATTAGTGCTAGAACTTGATTTTTGCCAATCATTTAAGCAACCTCTTCGAAAATTTCTAAAGAATCTCCATTATAATTTTTATTGCAATACCTGGCAAGGACATATTTTGGTGAATTTTGGCCATAATTGCTCAGATAAATTTTATTCGAAACTTCTTATTGGAATTGAAATATCTTTAATTGCTTCAAAAAATTCATCTGTTGGAATAAAAAACCCCTTTTATAAAGTAAAATTAAAATTTAACATATTCACTTGCTTCTATTTAAGAACCAGCTATAGATTTCAAATAAAAGTAATTAATCCAAAATTCTAATGAAACGTTTTGTGCAGCATTTTGAAGTCTCTATTGGTTTTGAAAAATTATTCTTATTAAATCCTGAAGTTATAAGAGGACAAAAATTAATATTTCTTTAACATTTGATGCATTATATGATCAAGCCCACCTAGAAATGCTTCCAAAGCATTATATGCTATTTGGAAAATTGTTGGTTTATGTTAATTCTAATAAGCACATCCCAAAATTAGGACATGTGAAACCGCCATTTTATATAGCAATGATCTTAACAGTTGTAAACAGTGCTAAAATGGATATATTATTGGGACTCTATTAAATATAAGGCCTTCAGTGTCCCATTGCTGAATTGCAACACTTGCTCAAGTGTAACGGTTTGCTCACTTTGCAAAAAAGAGTATTATTTGAATTCTAGCTGATGCCTTCCATGCATTAATACATCAAACCATTGTTTAGAGTGGTCTAGTGGTAGCTCATGCTTAAATGTGATAGCGGGTATTTTCCTAATCATTTAAACAAATGCACGAGATCTGCCGTCGATTCCTGCGCTAAAGTTTCTGATAGTGGGGCTTGTATCGTTGCCCAAGCAATAAAATATTTACCTGTACCACTTCTGGTGGTGCTTCACTTCCAAACTGTGATATGTCCTCTTCTGACAGCTCAGTTTGTGTAAAATGCAAGTCTCCTTACGAAAACCATGATGGAACTTGTTTTAAAGGTAACTTTTATTTAGTGTGTCCTCAAAATTGTTCTGATTGCTCATCAAAAAATATATGCACTATTTGTACTTCTGGGTATTTCCTAATGATAGCAACGGAGAAATAGCTTGTATCTGTAACTTTTATTTAGCTTGTGTTGACTCGTGCATAGACTGTGAGCCAAATCCAAATTGTTTCAAGTTTGCTAACTTCGTCGTTCATGATGGGGATGCTTGCAGAGTCTATCCAGCCGGGTACAAGCTAAGTTTCAGCGATCGTTTTATTATTTTTGATTTGGCTCACTCCAGTTCGAAAATATTCTAAATTTCTAGTATAGAAGCTTTCACCAATAACAATCAAAATATAGCTACGACCAAATGGCTTATCAGTTCAAGATCAGATACTCAGTTGCAGATTCAGACTGATAATGTTAGAGAATCGGATCTTCCAATTAATTTTAATCTTTTACTTCTTTAAAACTTTAGATTCTTATAAAATTAAGATAATTCTCTCCATATAAAATACACAATCTGTTAATTTTTGTGATGATAATCTACTTAAAATTAATGAATGATGTTTAAAATAGAACATTAATTTAGCTACATAATATATAAATACGATAATAAATGAAAAATTTTAGCAAAATAAATTTATTTAACTCCCAATTCTTATGTTAAATTTTTTATTTCGAAAATACATCTATAAACATAGTTTCGAAAATTAAATTATGCTATCAAAGACCTCAAAAAGCTGAATAATACATCAAAATTCAGTATTGAATTTAATTATCTTTATTGAAAATTAAAATTTTAAAATTATTGTGGAATGCAAAAATTATTTATTTAGAATAAGGCTAAGAGTAAGAATATTTGTCAAAATATTATGAAAGAGAAGCGAAAAACTAAAATAATTCGATATAAACGGTAAAATATTCACTTTTATTTGCATCTAGAAGTAATTATATCGATAGCATGTAAAATATTGTGGTGAAATCAATATTAAATAAATAATTAAAATTATGCTTCATTTCTTCTAACAGCTTAATAATCTAATTCATTTTTGAATTCCAATTTTGCCTTATAGAAAGTCTATTCTCGCATAAATTTAACTTTAAAAGCTATTATGATAAAATTTATTTATCCAAATATAAGACTTAGAGAGAAACACTAAAGCTGCAATGATTATTCATCAATTATTGTTCAAAACTTAAAAATAAGATCTACTTATATTATGCAATTACTTTAACACTTAAAAAAACAAAATTATTTTAAAAATATTTTGCATTTTATCTTATTAGTGGATGCTATCCAATTTTAATATAGTAAATAGAAAAGCATCTAGTATTCAAGACAATAAAAATGTCTCAATATTACCTGTAAGGGGAAGGTTATGTTTTGCAAATTGAGATTACTTATGACAGTAAATACATTGTCACTGTGTCTAGTGGTTGAGCAATTGATATATGAGATATCAATGCAAGACAGGGTATCAGACATATAAAAAATTCAAAGGAAGGAGGTAGCCTGCTTTTGGAATTTACTCAAGGAAATCTATTCGTATTTGCTGATTGTGATGAAGGTACTATAAGAACTTATGATATTGACAATAATAATTCATCAGAATTGAAGGATCCAGCAGCAGCTACTGCTGTCTCAAAACAAAACAATTTAGTCTACTGTGGACACAAAAATGGCTCTATTACAATTTTTAACTTAAATAAAGGAGTTCCTATAACCACTCTGGAGGGAATTGAATGCAAAGTTATAAAGATGCTTACTGTTAATCAAGAAGATTATTTAGCCATCATACATGAAAACGGAAAAATTAAAATCTACTAAATTTATAAAGAAAAAAAACAAGCAGAAGAAGATTATATAGTTTCTTGTGAGAGCTATGATGAATTTGAGGATGAAGAAAAGGGTCCATTAAAAAAGGCTTAAGATTGACTAGGGATGGGAAATATGCAGTACTATTTAATCATTTGTTATTTAAAGTATGAAGCTTTATTGAAAATCAATTTGCTTTTTCACTTGATGAATATACTGGCGCTCGTGACGTAAAAATTTCTTATAATGATAAATATTTTATTTTTGGGAATATATATAGAAATGCTATTTATGTCTATTCGTTTCAAGATATGAAATTAGTTAGAACATTTCCAGATCAGAATATTGGAATTTCTTTAAGTAAAGATAGCAACTTCATTGCAGCTAGCAATTACTATGGGCCAATACAATGCTTTGATATTCAGAAGAATTGTAAAATTGGTGCTATAGAAGAAAAAGAAGATTTGATTAGAATTAATTAATTATGGGGTTTTCCCATAAAAAGCTCTTTGCCATGAATTGGACACGGAGTTGCTTTTTGTCAGACCAAAATTGATCAAAAATTTTAATTTGGTCGGACCAAAAAAAGCAGCCCTGTGGCAAAATTCATGGTCAAATGAGGCTTTCATGGGAAAAAACCCATAATTTAGCGGTTCTTTGGTTTATTTCAGCCATAACTTTTTCAAGAATTAGATCATGATCATGTGGTACTAGGGACTAATTACAACTAACACCCTGTAGACGTCTCCAAAATTTGGTGAGGTATGACAGTCTGCAGGGGAGAATCACCTGCTCAGGTCTTGAGCTTTGGCGAACGATTTAAGAATGCTACCGTCAGCAGGGCTTACAAATTGCTGAAACCCCAAAATCTCCTTCTTGACCTACTTTAGCCCTATTTTAGACTAAAGATTGCCTCCCAAAAAGTATGGAAGGATGCTGAGCCTCAGTCTGCAATTTTTAGGACGAGAAAAAGGTTAGCACCAAAAAAAACCTACCCCAGAGAATTATCCACCTTTCACAAGCCTAGATCAATTTGCAGATACAGGGGACTTAACTCCGCTCATCATTTTAATAATTTTTTAAAAAGAAGAAAGAGATTAATTAGAGAGGATTAAAACTGGGTTTATTTCAGCCCTTTCCATTATATCTTCAGCTTCACCCTCATGTAGCGCTAAGCGCTAAGACACCCTCTTCCTAACCAAAAATTGTGATGGCATTAGTCTAATGGGGAGACTCACCCAAAACCTGCTTAGACCAAAATTGCATCATAGAACTCTCTCAACGCCTGGTAGCGCTCAGCGTATCTCGAAGCATCCAACTTCTCCTTCCAGAATCAACTCTGCCATTAAAAAGCCGCATAGTGCTCCTCCAGAAGTGTCAGGTTGGTGTTGTACCATCGATCCTCTTGTCTATAAGTCAAAAGGATGCCTAGTCAGCCCAAGCCTGCACTCTACCTCAGAAAAATTGCCATGACCTTTAAACCGTCCTAATTTTGGCTTTTTTCCTCTCTCTGCTAGCCATCATATGGCCACGATGGCAAAATTACTTGAAAAAGAAGAAGATTATGAAAATATAGAGGGACAAGGCGAAGATAATGAGTATAAAAATACCATTGAATTTTTGTAAATTAATAAAACAAATGGGTATATCATTTCACTAGATAGGAACCAAAATGTGGAGTTTTGGAGCTTTCCAGAGAAAACACTAATGCAAAGTATCCATATGGAAAAAAAAGTAAAATTTTTGAAATTAATTGACAACAATTGTTTTTTGGTTTGTAATAGAAAATATCAGTATTAATGAAAAAAGAAAAATTACCACTATTGATGGCAATTCAAGTCCTATTTCTAGCGAAGACGAAAGATTTCTTATTTTTTCTCTGCTTGATGAAATAAGGACATGGAATCTAATCCAACTAAAAGATATTGAAACCATTAAGATTAATGATGGCTACAGCATAGTTAGCTTAGATATAACAAGAGACAATAAATATATAGCAATTTTAAATGCAAACGACTGCGTGAAGATATGGAATCGCGAAGAGAAAAACTTTATGGTAACAATGATGCTCTCTCATGATATATGACATAACGCAAAATTTAAAATTCATTGTTGCTCAAAGTAAAAAAACCACTGAATTTCGCTATATAGAAAATTATTTGCATAATAACAGAATTGACTCTATTCCTTATTTAATTCCTGGCAATTATGATAAAATATATAGACAACAATTTTTCAATTGGATTAAAAAGCCAACCAAAGAGCTATGAGATAAAAATTTCCTTGAAGTGATTGTATAATAATTGCCCGAGGATGGCGCAAGATAGCGCCATCCTCGGGCAATTTCTATATATCCTATTGGATATAATATTTTGCATACCTTATGCACAAATGACAGTGCAGATTTTTTATCAATTGCATTAAATGATGGAGCTATTATATTTAGAGATCAACAGGGTATGAGCCCATTATCATACGCACTTATTAAAAGCTCAAGAAGATGTATTGATCAAATCCTTAACTATATTATAAATTTAGAAGATGATTATAAATTGTCTCATTGTATTCATCAGATACGTGATGACGTGCCATTGCTGTTTAATACAAAGTCTCTATATTTGGTTCCCTTTTTGGAATTTTTATTTGTGAGAAGAGCTGATAAAGACATTATTGGCTTCTATGAAATTAGAGAAGAATTGCCTATGACCATTTTTTCTCCTGTCTCTAAAATTTATACAGCTGCTTTTACTAGGGAAAATGGAACTGAAAAAGATTCTGCAAAGCAAAATATGATCCTTGTTCAGTTTTGGGGAAGTCCGTTAGGCTACAATTATACAGCAGGGTCTGAAGAAAGCTTGCAGCTTTTAAAGAAAATGAATGAGTGCGAAACTCAAGGAATTTTTCAAACTTTATTTATACAGTCCCTTATAAGAGAAAAATGGGATTACTTATGGCCAGCAATAATTACGTTTTCAGTTATATATTGGCTTAATCTTATCACTATGATATGATATATCTTTGATCCTAGCATTTATATATTGACACATTTTATGGTACTAAACGGAATTCTTGCTCTCTATTACTAAACCTGCAGATTATATTTCTGATGTATGAAATTTTATTGATTTGCTTCGTTTAATATTATCGATTTTATGGGCGATTTTTGAGGTTTGTCACGAAAATGTAAAAGGGTTAGCTTTTGCAATGATTTTATTTAATTTTTTCAGAGGCTTGACATATTTCCGTGCTTTTGATTTTACAAGATTTTATGTCAGGCTGATTTTAATGGCACTCACAGATTCTTTTGCACTTTTAGTCATTTTTCTGTATTCCACCCTTGCATTTGGAGTTCTCTATGCTTCTCTTGATAATAGGTGAAGTTTGGGCAATGACTTATGAGCTTAATATGGGCAATTTTGATAACGAAAAAATTTCTTTCTTCCAATACTCATGCTTTACCTTGGCTTCTTTAATTAATGTAGTTATGATGCTTAATTTGCTAGTATCAACATTAGGGGATACTTTTGATAGATTCCAAGTGATTGCTGACGAATTAAATTCAAAAAAATGCTACAATTAGTCATTGAATTTGAATCTATTATGTTTTGGAAGAGGTCAGAGCTTGCAAAATTAAGATCAAAAGGAAAATTATTATATCTACAGAGATGCGATATTTTTCAAGATACTAATGTGTCGGATAAATGGCAAGGCAAAATTAAAGAAATTTCATTTAAAATAGATGGATATAAAGACGAAGTTTTGGGTATAAAGAAAAATATGAGCGAAGAATTAAAAAATATTGGTGAAGATTTAGGAAGAAGTTTAAATGAAAAATTGCAGAATTGGAAGAAAAAGTTGATGCTTTAAATCCAGAAATGGAAAGAAAAATTGAATTGCTAAGACAAGATTGGGGGATTCAAAAATTAATGGGGTTATTAAAATGTGAAGAAATGAACAAAAATAGAAATATAACTTAATTATTTATTTAATTTTATTGAAAAATATTGATTTTACCACAATCTTTTTATGCTATCGATATAATTAGTTATAGATACAAATTCAAGCTATACAATTTAAGCTAGACAGCAAAACACCAGTTTTTTAAGATGACCTTGATGGCCAATAGAAATTTACTATATATATGAATTTTGGCCTCAATTAATAATATTTAGTCAAAAAGTATTAGGATTAATTGATTTTTTGAAGTCAAAAAATTACTTGGAATTGAAATATCTTTAAAATTCATACGTCTTTTACTTATAAAAAATTTATCACTTACAAAAAAAAATCTATAAACTAAAATTAAATTTTAATATATTCACTTTTAAGCAATGCTACTTAAGAGCCAGCTATAGATTTCAATTAAAATTAATTAATCCAAAATTCTAAAGATGTTTTAAGCAATATTTTGAAGTATCTATTGGCTTTTAAAAATTTTCTTAGATATATTAAATAAGGCAGATATATAATCAGGTTTTTAATTTTGGTAGAAGATTGGAAGAGTTTTTGACTTTTTCAAAGAACTTCCATAATAGAAGGAAGGAATAGACACTCATGAGAGATAAAGATAATTTTAGGAAAATTTTAATAATTCATCTTTTTATTCTAGCAATGGGATAGAAGGCTAGTCAAAAGAATTTAGCTTATATTTTGCAAAATAAAAAGTTTTAGCATAATAATTGGGCATAGAATTGAAAAATTAAAATGCTGTTTTAATTCTCATTTATTATGTTGTATTTAAGACTATATATCTAAATTATTGATATATTTCAATTTCATATTAATTTAAGTGGATACTTATCATAAACTTAGCAGATTTTGTATGCTTATAATGAGAGGTTTGCTTTAATTTTACTAATCAAAAGTTTTAACGAAGTGAGATTTTAAGATTAATTGGAAGATCTGATTCTCTCACATTATCAGTCTGAATCTGCAACTGACTATCTGATCTTGAACTGATAAACCAATTGGTCGTAGCTATATTTTGATTGCTAATAGTGAAAGCTTCTAAACTAGCAAGTGTTAATATTTTTGAACTCGAGTGAGCAAAATCAATAATGATAAAAGGATCGCTGAAACTTATCTCGTACCCGACTGAATCGACTCTGCAAGTGCTCCCATCTTGAACGACTAAGCTAGCACATATGAAACAATTTGGATTTGGCTCACAGTCTGTGCACGAGTCAACACAAGCTAAATAAAAGTTACAGATACAGGTTGTTTTTCCGTTGCTATCATAAAGAAAGTAGCCTGAATCACAAATAGTGCATATATTTTTTGATGAGCAATCAGAACAATTTTGAGGACATACTAAATAAAAGTTACTTTTAACGCAAGTTCCTCCTTGGCTTTCATAGAAAGGCTTGCATTTCACACAAACTGAGCTATCAGAAGAGGACATATCGCAATTGGGAAGTGAAGTACCGCCATTGGTGCAGGCAAATATCTTATCGCTTGGGCAAGTTATACACATCCCATCATCAGAAACTTTAGCACAGGAATTGAGAGCAGATCTAATGCATTTATTTGCATGATTAGGGTAATACCCGGTATCACATTTTAAGCATGAGCTGCAGTCTGAAGAGCACTCTAGACAATAATTTAGTGCATTCCTACATGCAAGGCATCGGTTAGAATCTAGATAATAGCCTGTTTTGCAGAGCGAACAAGTCGTTGAGCTTGAACAAGTGTCACAATTCGGCAATGGGACACTGCAGACTTTGCATTCAGTAGTATCCCAGAAATACCCTGTTGAGCACTGCTGGCAAGTGCTAGGATTATTGCTCATCACAACATCACAATTCCTAATTGTCGAAGAAGTACATTTTTTATTTTCATTAAGAAGATACGTAGCTTCACATTTCGTGCACTCAGTGGCATTTATACAAGTTTGACAGTTAGAAATCGAGGTGCATGGAAGGCATGAATTGGAATTAAGCCAATACCCTGATGAGCATTCCAGGCAGGCAGTTTTAGAACAAGTGCTGCAGCCTACACTAATAGCTCCGCAAGAAGAGCAGGTCCCCTGATTATTAAGATAGTATCCAGACAAGCATTTAAAGCATACGCCATACATGCCTTCAATCTTGCAAGTTTGTTTTGATGATTCCACGCATAAACCCTCGAAGGATGGCAAAAATCCAGGCTTGCAAGAATCACAGAAATGGTCATTATCTATACAAGTAATGCAGTTTACGTCAAAGTCAGTACATAAATGACACTGAGAATTATACAAATAATACCCTGGACTGCATTTTGTACAAATCCCGCCTATGCAAGTGTCGCAATTAGGTATTTTCGTGCTGCATGCTACGCAGTCTCCATAGTGGTTATCAATGCACGTATCACAAATGCTTCCATCATCTGTATTACATGTAGTGCAGTCTTTGGCACTACATTCGCAAAGACCCTCTTCAGTATGAGAATAACCCAAAACGCAGTCTACACAATAAGAGCTATCAACACTTGCCATTTTACAGTTGGCAATTGGATTTCCAGCAGAAATACACACCCCAGCGTTAAAATTAAAGCATTTATTACAATGGTAAGCATCTAAGCCTCCCTTGCAATTTATTAAAGGAGATTTAATGCAAACCTCATTAGGATCTAAAATGTAACCTTAAAGTGAAAAGTTTTGCAATTGAATCAAAATGATGATACAAAATTTTGGCTAAATAAGTCAATAGCAAATAAATATACGAGCTAATTTAAAGACACTGATATAACCTGTATCACATTTTTCACATTTGAAATCCTCTATATTTCCTACTTTACACTCACTCCCCTTAATAAATTTTATTTTTTTTAAATTTATATTATAAATAGAATTGGAAAGGAAAATTAATTTGTGAAATATATCTTTTAGAATGCAAGCTATTTAAAATTTTAAAGAACTAGCTTGATATTTTATTAAAATAATTATTATTTATAGCGTATCCACGCTTTTATCCTCCTCTTGTCCCAATGTCTTTCTAGACTTAGGGGTTGGTTTCACCAGCTTATGCTAGTCCAACCAACTCATAAAGTGGAATCTACATAATCTTGAGGATTTCGTTTGGAGAATTGGGGCAAGAGGAGGTTAAAAGTGTGGATGCGCTATATAATTTTTTTAAAAAAAACTATTTAAAAAGTGTTTACCCTGAAATAGTGCTTTTCTAATAAATTTGCTTGTTTGCTGAGAAGTCAGCACAATGCAACATTATATCACCGCAGGCTTTACAGATTTTTTGGTTCTGGTCCCAATTGTAGCCTTCTAAGCATTGACTGCACCTAGACAAGTCACTGTCATAAACAACCCTACAATTATCAGGTCCTGAATTAGCACATTTGCCTATATCTGTAACAAAATGTGTTGAGTCACATTGTGTGCAAAATGAAGCTCAATCACAAACTAAACAATACGCAATTTTGCTGCTGCATGAAGCACAGGATGAAGAGCCATTCTGAAAGAAGCCAGTCAAACATTGCAAACAGTAGGAGCTATTACATGTTTTGCAATTTGGAAAGGCGCTACATGAGAGACAAGAATTGGAATTAGGGTAATACACGTCCTCACACTTTTTACAGATTCCATTCACAACATAAATGCAGTTTGGTGTTGGCCATGTGACACATTTCTTATCACTATCAAGAGCAAAGCCGCTATTGCACTTTGAGCATTCAGTTGGGTTACAAGTTTTACAGTTTAAGTATTTAGAACTGCAGGAAGAGCATTTATTGCTGTTCTCATAATACCCGTCTACACATTCAACGCAATAATCAATACTGTAGCATTCCTTACAATGTTCCAAAAATCACTGCATAGTCAAAAAATGGCGATTGCTTGCGATAAGGAAAGCTTTTATGAAGATACAGCAAATTTAGCTTACTCCCCCCCCCCCCTCCGTGAGCGAACAAAAAAATTTTGTTCGCTCACGGAGGGGGGTTAATTTTTTTTTTTTAAAAAAAATTTATATATAAATTTTATAAAAAAATATTTTTTTCGAAATTTAAAAAAATCCTAATTTGCAAAAATTGGGAAGCAAATATTAATTTAATTTGCAAAATTTATGTTTTAAAACGCAATTTGTTTAAAATTAAACAGAATTAGCTCTAGATTTCATTATACTAATTATCACTTATATATCAAAATTTTTTTCCATTAAAATTTTTTCTATTAAAAAAATTTTTGTTCACTCACGGAGGGTGGGTTTTTGGTCAAAAAATGGCGATTTTTCTAATGGTTTTGTTCGCTCACGGAGGGGGGGGGGGAGTTAGGAATGCTGTCAAGTGGGGAGTAGAGGCTGAATCTTTTATCCATCTAGAGTTTGCCGAGAGCTGGAAAGATAGCTGCAACTTACGAGCCAATAAAAGTTATCACATTGATGGTCAATATCAGTTCAGAACCGGTGGCCTTATGGTTATTTTATCACTGCATGGTGCACAGTCTAAATAGTGATTAGCAGAGCACACAGCACAATCACTATTTTCGCCAACAATAGTGCAGTAAGGTGGACTACTAGCGCTGCACCCACCATAAACGTTAGGCAAATCACCAGCATTTATGCAAACGCTGCAGTAGGTCTTAGACGCATCACATTTTAGGCAGCGATCTTCGCCATCTACGCACCAGCTATATAGTTGTCTCTTATATCTGCTTCCTGAAGTATCACTGGTTGCGTTTTCTTTGAGTTTTCGAGAATTCATGGCGTCTTGAAAAAGTTGATTAGGGAGGTTAAGATCTTGCAGGAGCTGTTTGGAGTCAATTTTAGTGCTTTTTGAGCTAGCTTTGATATCTGGGCTGATTTCTCTTGTTGATGAGGTTAAAAGGGTAAGGACGAGAAGATAGATAAAACTAACCAACATGTTTATTAGGAACAAAAAGCATTAGTAAAAATGTCAACATATATACAATTAGTTTTGTATAAATTAAATTTTTTTGAGGTTTATTATGAAAATTTTTATTGTTTCTGCTATTATGCTTACAAAGAAACACAATTAGGTTAACCTAGCAACTCCATGAATTTAAATTTTTTTTTGGAATATTAAAAATTTAAATTCTTTTAAGCTTGAAAGAATCCTAAAATAAGTGCTACAACTTGATTTTTGCCAATCATTAAGCAATTTCTTCGAAAATTTCTAAAGAATCTCCATTATAATTTTTATTACAATAGATTGCAAAGACATATTTTAGTGAATTTTGGCCTTAATTACCGAAATAAATTTTATTTGAAAAATTCTTAGAATTAAAGGAAAATTTTTTAAAGTCAAAACGTTATTGGAATTAAAATATCTTTAAAAACCATGCATCTTATTACTTACAAAAAATTCATCTGTTGGAATAAAAACCCTTTTAATAAAGAAATTAAGTTCTAACATATTCACTGTTGCTATTTAAGAGCCAGCTATAGATTTCGAATAAAAGTAATTAATCCAAAATTCTAAAGAGTTTTAAGCAATATTATGAAGCCTTTATTGGTTTGAAAAACTTTCTTAGAAATACCAAAAAATACAAATATAATTAGTTTTTATTTTGGTAGGAAATTAGATGAATTTTTGCCTTTTTAAAGAACTTCCATAATAGAAAGAAGGACTATTTACTCGCGAGAGATACAAATAATTTTAGAAAATTTAATAATGCGCCTTTTTACCATAGCAATAGGGCTAGAAGGCTAGCTAAAAAAAATATAGCTTATATTATTTGCGATTAAATATTGCATAGACTTTGATGATTAGATGCTTAATTAATTTCATCGCAAGTATATGGAGGCATAATATAATTTATTTGCTAAGTTTTTAAAAAGCATATTCCAGAGATTCTTTAAGTTTTACAAATTTAAGCTTAATCGAATTAATAGAAAATTTTAAAATTTATAATAGAACATTAGAAAATTTCTTTATGAGCAGTAGTGTAGCTTAGATCTTTATACAATCTTTATCAGCAGCAGTATAGCTTAGATTTTTATATACTCTTCTCCTATGGATAGAGATTTGAGAGGAAAAGTCTGGTCAAGCTCAGGTTGCTAAAATCATCTGAAGAGAGGCTCATTTGCTAAACTAACTAAAAGATTTTTGATTAGTTGAAAAAGAGCTTAATTAAACTCAAAAAACATGAAAAAGTGCTTGCTTAATTATCAATTAAGTCTCTCTGAAATCGCTATAAATAATGCAAACGAACATAGCGAAGTATCTATTACTCCTCAGGACTAAATAGCACTGGCCAAGAATATGCTGCAGCTTCCCATCAATCTGCTTCTCTTTACCTTCTTGAGCGAGATGAGCATAAAGTTAATTTGTTTATTTATGACACTAAAAGTGAAAGAGAAGAGGTGAAAAGATTGAAGACTCCAAAGCCCTAGACATATTTTCATGCACTGCTCTACTTCCAAACTCTGAATTATTCTGTTTTGGCATGTATCCTCTTTTTGGGACAACACTAATATTTGATAGTAAATATAAAGCTCATAAATTACCATCTGGAACTCCTTGTTTCTATTCATCAGCTATATACTTCAACAAAAGCGTCTATTGCTTTGGAGGGTCTAATGGTCAAGGGCTTTTAAATTTATCTTGCAGATTCGATTTAAATAGTAATCGATGAATTAAATTAGCACCAATGCCAAAACCTGATTGATATTGCAATTTGATAACATTTAATAGGAATATTTTGATTTCTGGGGTGTGGAATAAAACTATTTGGCTTTATTCAGTTGATATTGACTCTTTTTCAGTAATTCCTTATGAGTTTGCATGACTGAAAAGAAAGATAGCAGAGTTGGAGATAAGTACGTTTGAGAAAGAATAGGAAACCCAATAATTTTCTTTTGCTCTTCTTATGTGTTTTGGGCATATAATGAAAGAGGAATCTATATTGGATGTATTGAATATAAGAACCGCAAAAAGACAAGACATTACTACAAATTTAATTTAGACAGAAAAGAGCTGATTGAGTTCAAGAATAATAAGTCCACATGTAATTTATTTTAATTTAATAGCTTTCATCTTCTTTTGCTTTAGAGAACTTTATGGTATTATGAAATTATAAAAATAAAAAAATTGGCACATGAAAGAACAAGGATATTCCAAAATATTTAAAATATAATATAGATACTATTTTTAAAAAATAATAATACTAAATTAAAATGTATTTTTATTATTTAAAATAACTAAAAAGTAGGTATTTTGTAAAATAAAGTTTTAGGCACAACAATTGAGCAGGAATTGAAAAATTAAAATGCTGCTTTAATTTTCATTTATTATTTCATATTTAAGATTATATGTCTAAATTATTGCACTATTTGCAATTTCATACACTAATTTAAAGTGGATACTTATCGTAAAATTTAGCAGATTTTGTATGCTTATAATGAGAGGTTTGCTTTAATTTTACTAATCAAAAGTTTTAACGATATGAGATTTTAAGATTAATTGGAAGATCTGCTTCTCTCACATTATCAGTCTGAATCTGCAACTGAGTATCTGATCTTGAACTGATAAACCAATTGGTCGTAGCTATATTTTGATTGCTAATAGTGAAAGCTTCTAAACTAGCAAGTGTTAATATTTTCGAACTCGAGTGAGCAAAATCAATAATGATAAAAGGATTGCTGAAACTTATCTTGTAGCCTACTTGATCGATCCTACACCAGCTCTCATCTTGAACAACTAAGTCAGCACACAAGAAACAATTTGGATTTGGCTCACAGTCTGTGCACGAGTCAGTACAAGCTAAATAAAAGTTACAGATGCAGGTTGTTTTTCCGTTGCTATCATAAAGGAAATAGCCTGAATCACAAATAGTGCATATATTTTTTAATGAGCAATCAGAACAATTTTCAGAGCACACTAAATAAAAATTACTTTCATAACAGATTCCTCCTTTGTTTTGATAATTAGGCTTGCATTTTACACAAGCTGAATTGTCAGGAGAGGAAACGGCGCAGTTAGGAAGTGAAGCACCACCGCCATTAGTGCAGGCAAAAATTTTATTGCTTGGGCAAGCTATACAAGTCCTATCATTAGAAACTTTAGCACAAGAATTGAGTGCAGATCCAGTGCATTTATTTTCATGATTAGGGTAATACCCACTCTTGCATTTTGAGCATGAAGTGCCGTCTGAAGAGCACTCTAGACAATTCTTTAGTGCATTTCTGCATGCAGAGCATTGACTAAGATTTCAATAATAGCCTGTTTTGCAAAGCGAACAAGTCGTTGAGCTTGAGCAAGTGTCACAATTCCTTAATGGGACACTGCAGGCCTTGCATTTAGTAGTATCCCAGAAATACCCTGCTGAGCACTGTTGACAAGTGCTAGGATCATTGCTCATCACAAAATCACAATTATCAATTGTAGAAAAAGAACAGCTTTTATTTTCATTAAGAAAATAAGTAGCCTTGCATTTAGTGCACATTGTACCACTATCACAAGCTTGGCAATTAGAAATCGAACTGCATGGAGAGCATGATAAGGAATTAAGCCAATACCCTGGTGAACATTTTAGGCAGGTAGATGAGTCAGAGCAAGCGGCGCAGCCTACAAGATTAACTCCACAAGAAATGCAGGTGTACTGATCATCAGCATAGTATCCAGACAAGCATAGAGCGCAAGAGGTACTACTTTGAGCTATCTCGCAATTCGGCTGTGATGATTCAATGCACCCACCATAGTTAGCTGTCAAAAACCCAGGCTTGCAAGAAGCGCACCATAAGTGATTGTCTACAAAAGTAATGCGTTTAATATTAATTTTTTAAATTATTAATAAGTATCCTAGTTATGAGATACTTGAGAAAATTAAGGGCTAGGGTTAAATTGGTGGTTCAAGTTACCGAAAAGCCTTATTGTTCTTTTTCTTCTCGTTTTCCAATTTCCAAGCATCTCTTCTTTGTTTTCTCCTGGGCTTTCTTTGATTTTTCATCTAGATTTTCTTCCTGGTTACCTCATGCATTACCTTCTAGGTTTCCATCTCGGTTTGAGTTTGCTTCTAAGTTTGCTTCTGGGTTTGCTACTAGATTTTCTTCTTACAAACAAGAAATAGATAACCAAAATTTCAAGTTGATAGTTAAAAATAAAGATCTCAGTCCTCATAGGCAGGAAGAAAATTAAAAAAACATTAAAGATGATACTTATATATAAATAATAGGTAATATGAAAGTTTACCTATTAGATTATCCTTTTCTTTATCATTTTTGACAGTCCTTATAATAATTTAATGTCTCTTATTGAACCATTACTGACTAAAGAAAACATTGAAGATCCAAATCTTGAAAAATACTCCATCGATCCTTTAGCCAACCTTGAAAAAAGCATTAAGATGCTGACAGTTAACTATGAGTCCTTTGAATTTGACGGTTCAAGTGACTTAGAATTTAGTGATCATGACTATTTTAATGAAAATGATCCAGTCTTCAAAGGCTCAGACATTAAATACGCGATTACATTTTTAAATAAGCTCGTCATAGGCAGAATTGATGGAATTATAAAAATATATAATTTAGAAACCAAAGCAGAAATTGTGCTAAAAGGGCACAGCAAATGTGTAGTTTGCCTTCAAGTTTGCCCTAAAAAAGATTTCCTAATTTCAGCATCAGATGATAAAACGATAATCATATGAAATTTAGAAAGCTATATACAAGAAAGAGTGTTTATTGGGGAGAATAAATGACTTTGCTTAGAAGTGACAGCTGGATATGGTCTTTTTTCTGGGTCTTATGAAGAAGGCTTCATCAGAAAATGGAATTTCTGAAATGAAAAGGAAGTTGAAATGTTAGATGGCGACAAATATGAAGTCAATTGTATGAAGAGCTCTCCTAATGGTGAATTTCTTGTTGCAGGCTCTTTCGATGGCCATTTAATGATATTTACTCCCACTCCGTGAGCGAACAAAGCCATTGGGAAAATCCCTATTTTTTGCTCAAAAAGCCAGCGAACAAAAAATTTGGCACATAAGTGATAGTTATTATAACGAAATCTAGCTAATTCTGTTTAATTTGAAATAAAATTGTATTTTAAAACATAAATTTTTACAATTAAATTAATATTTGTTTTCCAATTTTTTGCAAATTGAAATATAAATTTATTTATAAATTTTTTAAAAAAAAAATTATCCCCCCTCCATGAGCGAACAAAATTTTTTGTTCGCGCACGGAAGAGGGGGATTTAGTATTCAAGACATTAAAAATGTCTCAGTATTATTTGTAAGGGAAGGTTATGTTTTGCAAATTGAGATTACTGATGATAGTAAATACATTGTCACTGGGTCAATTGGTGGAGCAATTGATATATGAGATATCAATGCAAGACAGGGTATCAGACATATAAAACATTCAAAGGAAGGGGGTAACTTGTTTTTGGAATTTACTCACTCCCCCCCATCCTTGATCGAACGACTCGCCGTCGTTCGATCAAGGAAGGGGGTTAAAAAAAATTTTTTTGGGAAAAAAAAATTATATATAAAATAAATATATATATATATTTTATTTACTTTTAAATAAGAGTGTTAAGAGTATTTAATAATTATTTTTACAGCAAAAAATTGAATTAATTTCATAAAAATACCAATTTTTAATATTTTGATTTATTAGCTACACCTTTAAACTGTATAAATTTTAATTTGTTCCTCATTAAATTAATTTTTTTTTTAAAATTTTAAAGAATCTCTATTTTATTAGATTATTGGGTTTTTAAGCCTAGGTTGATGACGAAAGCACTTCGGATGGCTGATTCCGTAGCTTTCTGTCGTCTCAAAGTCTTTGAAAACAGCTTCATTATGTACATCTTCCCAAGCTTTTGATAACTAATATATTTTTTATATATATAAAATTTTGCATGATATGAAAATCGTTCGATCAAGGATGGGGGTTAATTCCCCATTTTTTAGGAATTTTTACAGTCAATCGTTCGATCAAAGGATGGGAGGGGAGTCAAGGAAATCAATTCATATTTGCTAATTGTGATGAAGGCACTATAAGAACTTATGATATTGATAATAATAATTCATCAGAATTGAAGGATCCAGCAACAGCTGTTGCTATCTCAAAACAAAACAATTTAGTCTACTGTGGACACAAAAATGGGTCTATTACAATTTTTAACTTAAATAAAGGAGTTCCTATAACTACTCTGGAGGGAATTGAATGCAAAGCTGTAAAGATACTGACTGTTAATCAAGAAGAATATTTAGCCTGCATACATGAAAACGGAAAAATTAAAATTTACCAAATTTATAAAGAAAAAAAACAAGCAGAAGAAGATTATATAGTTTCTTTACATGAGAGCTCTGATGAGTCTGAGGATGAGGAAAGTCATCATGAACCATTAAAAACAGACTTAAAATTGACTAGGGATGGGAAATATGCAGTTCTATATCATCGTTTTTTATTAAAAGTATGAAGCTTTATTGAAAATCAATTTGCTTTTTCACTTGTTGTGCATTATGGTGTTTGTGACGTAAAAATTTCTTATGATGATAAATATTTTATTTTTGGGAATTTACGTAGAAGTTCTATTTATGTGTATTCTTTTCAAGATATGAAATTAGTTAGAACATTCCAAGATCAGGATATTGCAATTTGTTTTGCAATAAGTAAAGATAGCAACTTCATTGCAGCTAGCAATTACTATGGGCCAATACAATGTTTTGATATTCAAAAGAAGTGTAAAATTGGTGCTACAGAAGAAAAAGAAGATTAGATTAGGTTAATTAATTCTAGCACTGGTTTATTGCAGCCCCTAACCCTCCAGAGTTAATTTCACGAGGACTAATTCCAACTCATGCCCTTTTTCTGTAGACATCTCCAAAAAATGGTGACGCCAGACAGTCTGTCGGGAGAATCACCTGTTAAGGTATTGATCCTTGGCAAACGATTACCAAAAGTTCTGAAAGATACTGAGCCTCGGTCTGTTTTTGGGTCGATAAAAAAAAAGGTTTACCACAAAAAACCTACCACGGAAAATAGCGCCAATGGAATCCACCTTTCGCGGGCATAGATCTACTCACCAGATATAGAAATTTCCCTTAGATGGTGCAGTTTGCCCTTGAATTGCCCACTGAAAAAACTTTTTGGTTCAACCAGTACCATATGTTTGGTCAAACCAAAAAATTTTTTCAGTGGGCAACCAAGGGCAAGCAGTGCCATCTATGGGAAAATTCTATACTTAATTCCCCTCACCATTAAGCGTAATCTGAAGTTCGAATGAAAAGTAGCTGAAGTAAATCCGTTTTTAAACCTTTCTAAATATCTCTATCTCTCTTCTTTTTCAAAAATTATCTCATGTGGAGCTATAGCAATTGCCCGAGGATGGCGCTATCTTGCGCCATCCTCGGGCAATTTCAAAAATGGCCCCACACCGGGAATCGAACCCACGTGTGGGGCCATTTTTGGTGTGTGTGGCCAACATCGACTTACACGCACCAAAAATGGCCCCACACGTGGGTTCGATTCCCGGTGTGGGGCCATTTTTTGAATTGCCCGAGGATGGTGCAAGATAGCGCCATCCTCGGGCAATTCCTATAACCACTAAAGCCACCAAATCCCTTTTCCTTCCGGGCCACAGTCTAGCGTGGAGACTCACCCGAAAACTGCTTGTAACAAAAAACTGCATCACAGGACTCTCTTAACCTCTGGTAGTGCTCAGGGTATTAAGGAACCCTCCAATGTCTCCTTTTGGAACCACCTCTCCTCCAGAAGTATCTGATTGGTGTTACGCTGTTAGTCCTCTTGTCTGTATCAGCCCAAGCCTGCACTCTCCTTCTAGAAAAATTGCCACTTGCAACTCCGTGGCCTTTAAGCCTTTTAATTTTTTTAAGAGTCCTAAATTTTGACCATGATGGCAAAATTACTTGAAAAAAAAGAAGAAGATTATGAAAATATAGAGGAACCAGGCGAAGATAATGAGTACAAAAATACCATTGAATTTTTGCAAATTAATAAAACAAATGAATATATCATTTCACTAGATAGGAACCAAAATGTGGAGTTTTGGAGCTTTCCAGAGAAAACACTAATGCAAAGTATCCATATGGAAAAAAAAGTAAAATTTTTGAAATTAATTGACAACAATTATTTTTTGGTTTGTATGGAAAACGTAATAGAAATATTCAATATTAGCGAAAAAAGAAAGATTATCACTATTGATGATCATTCAAGCCCTATTTCTAGCTTAGAAATAAGTGAAGACGAAAGATTTCTTATTTTTTCTCAGCTTGATGAAATCAGGATGTGGGATCTAATCCAACTAAAAGATATTGAAACCATAAAGATTAATGACGGTTGCAGCATAGTTAGCTTAGATATAACAAGAGACAATAAATATATAGCAATTTTAAATGCAAACGGCTGCGTGAAGATCTGGAATCGCGAAGAGAAAAAATTTATGGTAACAATGATGCTCTCTCATGATATATGACATAACGCATAATTTAGCGGCGATTCCAAATTCATTGTTGTTCAAAGTAAAAAAACCACTGAATTCCGTTATATAGAAAATTATTTGCATAATAACAGAAGTGACTCTTTTCCTTATTTAATTCCTGGCAATTATGATAAAATATATAGACAAAAGTTTTTCAATTGGATTAAAAAGCCAACCAAAGAGCTATGAGATAAAAATTTCCTTGAAGTAATTGTATATCCTATTGGATATAATATTTTGCATACCTTATGCACAAATGACAGTGCAGATTTTTTATCAATTGCATTAAATGACGGAGCTATTATATTTAGAGATCAACAGGGTATGAGCCCATTATCATACGCGCTTATTAAAAGCTCAAGAAGATGCATTGATCAAATCCTTAACTATATTATAAATTTAGAAGATGATTATAAGCTATTCCATTGTATCCATCAGATACGTGATGACGTGCCATTGCTGTTTAATACAAAGTCTCTATATTTGGTTCCCTTTTTGGAATTTTTATTTGTGAGAAGAGCTGATAAAGACATTATTGGCTTCTATGAAATTAGAGAAGAATTGCCTATGACCATTTTTTCTCCTGTCTCTAAAATTTATACAGCTGCTTTTACTAGGGAAAATGGAACTGAAAAAGATTCTGCAAAACAAAATATGATCCTTGTTCAGTTTTGGGGAAGCCCGTTAGGCTACAACTATACAGCAGGGTCTGAAGAAAGCTTGCAGCTTTTAAAGAAAATGAATGAGTGCGAAACTCAAGGAATTTTTCAAACTTTATTTATACAGTCCCTTATAAGAGAAAAATGGGATTACTTATGGCCAGCAATAATTACGTTTTCAGTCATATATTGGCTTAATCTTATCACTATGGTATGATATATCTTTGATCCTAACATTTATATATTAACAAATTTTATTGTGCTAAACGGAATTCTTGCTCTCTATGAACTTTTGCAAGCTATTACTAAGCCTACAGATTATATTTCTGATATATGAAATTTTATTGATTTGCTGCGATTAATATTATCTATTTTATGGGCGATTTTTGAGGTTTGTGACGAAAATGTAAAAGGGTTGGCTTTTTCAATGGTTTTATTTAATTTTTTCAGAGGCTTGACATATTTCCGTGCTTTTGATTTTACAAGATTTTATGTCAGGCTGATTTTAATGGCACTCACAGATTCTTTTGCATTTTTAGTCATTTTTCTGTATTCCACCCTTGCATTTGGAGTTCTCTATGCTTCTCTTGATAATAGTCTTTCCCTTGGTGAAGTTTGGGCAATGACTTATGAGCTTAATATGGGCAATTTTGATAACGAAAAAATTTCTTTCTTCCAATACTCATGCTTTACCTTGGCTTCTTTAATTAATGTAGTTATGATGCTTAATTTGCTAGTATCAACATTAGGGGATACTTTTGATAGATTCCAAATGATTGCTGACGAATTAAATTCTAAAGAAATGCTACAATTAGTCATTGAATTTGAATCTATTATGTTTTGGAAGAGGTCAGAGCTTGCAAAATTAAGATCAAAAGGAAAATTACTATATCTACAGAGATGCGATATTTTTCAAGATACTAATGTGTCAGATAAATGGCAAGGCAAAATTAAAGAAATTTCATTTAAAATAGATGGATATAAAGACGAAGTTTTGGGGATAAAAAAAAATATGAGCGAAGAATTAAAAAATATTGGTGAAGATTTAGGAAGAAGTTTAAATGAAAAATTACAGAAATTGGAAGAAAAAGTTGAAAGCAAAATTGAATTGCTAAGGCAAGATTGGGATTCAAAAATTAATGGGGTTATTAAAATGCTTGAAGAAATGAACAAAAATAGAAATATAACTTAATTATTTATTTAATTTCATTGAAAAATATTGATTTTGCCACAATGTTTTATATGGTATCGATATAATTAGTTATAGATACAAATTCAAGTTACAATCACTTAAGCACTATAGCATAGGGTATCGATATAAGCATCATGATAAACTACAATTAAAGCTATTTCTTAGTTTGATTATCTGAGATGATACCGTCAAAAATGCCAGTCGGAAAAGTGCTTTTAGTCTAATATCTATTTACCTATACAAAAAATTTTTTAGTCGTATTAATCTGAGAAGAAATCATCAAAAATGTCAGTCGGCAAAGTGCTGTTAGTCGATATTGTTCTTAGTTTGATTACTGAAAGATTTTTGATTAGTTAAAAAAGAACTTAATTAAATTCAAGAAATATGAAAAAGTGCTTGCTTAATTATCAGTTAAGTCTCTCTGAAATCGCTAAAAATAATGCAAACGAACATAGCGAAGTATCTATTGCCTCCTCAGGACTAAATAGCACTGACCAAGAATATGCTGCAGCTTCCCATCAATCTGCTTCTCTTTACCTTCTTGAACTAGATAAGCATAAAGTTAATTTGTTTATTTATGATACTAAAAGTGAAAGAGAAGAGGTGCAAAGATTGAAGACTCCAAAGCCCCTAGACAGGTTTTCATGCGCTGCTCTACTTCCAAACTCTGAATTATTCTGTTTTGGCATGTATCCTCTTTTTGGGACAACACTAATATTTGATAGTAATTATAAAGCTTATGAGTTACCATCTGGAACTCCTTGTTTCTATTCATCAGTTATATATTTTAACACAAGTGTCTATTGCTTTGGAGGGTCTAATGATCAAGGACTTTTAAATCTATCTTGCAGATTCGATTTAAATAGAAATCGATGAATTAAATTAGCACCAATGCCAAAACCTGATTGGTATTGCAATTCGATAACATTTAATAGGAATATTTTGATTTCTGGGGTGTGGAATAAAAATATTTGGCTTTATTCAGTTGATATTGACTCTTTTTCAGTAATTCCTTATGAGTTTGCATGACTGAAAAGAAAGATTTTGATAAACGCAGAAGAGAGATTATATTTGATTGAATGCGAGGGTGAAGCAATTTACGAAAGCAGAGTTGGAGATGAGTATGTTTGAGAAATAATAGGAAACTCAATAATTTCCCTTTGCCCTTCTTATGTGTTTTGGGCATATAATGAAAGAGGAATCTATATTGGATGTATTGAATATAAGAGCCGCAAAAAGACAAGACACTACTACAAATTTAATTTAGACAGAAAAGAGCTGATTGAGCTCGAGAATAATAAGCCCGCATGTAATTTATTTTAATTTAATAGCTTTCATCTTCTTCTTTTGCTCGAGAGGAATCTGAAATTATAAAAATAAAAAAATTGGCACATGAAAAGAATAAGAATACTCCACAAAATATTTAAAATGTAATATACATATTATTTGTAAATGATAATAATACTCAATCATAATGTATTTTTATTATTTAAAATAAGTAAAAAGTAAATATAGTTAAATCCTATAAACTGCCCTATAAGGGCAGGAAATTTGAGCTGGAAACTCTCCAGTGGCTGGACCAACTCATTCAGGTAAACCAATTGGATAGTTAGCAAATGGACTTCTCTCCAGTTGCTGGACCAACTGGAGAGTTTCAAGCTCCAATGTCATACCTTTATAAGGCAGTTTATAGGGCTTGCCTATATAAATTATATGACTAGAAATATCAATGCTCTCGAATTTGATAGGCAACTTTGATTATTTATGATATTGAAAATAAAAGAGAAGAGATGCAAATGTTAAAGATTTATAAATCACTTGGCATGTTCACATGCTGTGCTCAACTTCCTAATGGTAATTATTCTGCTATCGTAAATATTTAACTTTTAGGGCTACAATAATTGATAGAAATTATAGAGTTCATAAGCTACAATCTGGAAGTAAAAGCTATTTTTTAATTTTTTTTTGGTGTAGTTGTGGTTTAACAGCCATGCCTAATCAGCTTTATAATAAAATTATTTATGAAATGTGTAAATATAATAAAAGATCATATTGATCAATTTTAAATAAAGATTAATATTTTAAATGCCTGCTCTAAATAAATATATCTACACTTATTATCTAAACTAATAAAAGGGTAAAGAGAGCATTAGATATTATTATCTAAGTTAAAATGTATAAGAAACACATATTTCTTATTTTCTTCCCTCAATAAATTCAAATTGTAATAATTTCAATTTTTGCAGAATTTGATAAAAATAGGCTATTTTTTGATAAAATTAGGTTTGAATACTTTAACAGAAATGTCTATTGCTTTGAATTATGTAAAAGGGATGATAATTTTATATTATCTAGTAAATTTGACTTAAATAAAATCGATGAATTATATTGGCACCAATTCTAAAAACTTATTGCTTGTACTATAGCTTGATATTTAATGTGTATTTTGCTTTCTAGCTATAGAAAACTCTTCAATTATATTCAATTGATATCAACTCCTTCTCGTATATTCCTTATGAATTTGAATGATGTAAATGAAAGATTGCTGCAAATATAGAAGAGAGACTGTATATAATACATTTAAAATATCAATCTATAAAGGGAATTGGAGATGAGTATAATTGGAAATAAACCTCAAAATCAGAAATCAAGGCTTGAGCAAGCAGCATGTATTGAGCATATAACAAAGGAGGAATCTATATCCTATTACCTTTTATAATGGGGAATTTTAGTTTTTTGAATAGGGTGATAATCTTATACTCAATCGACTTTAATAATTTAATTTATACAGATCCATCAATCCTTATAGTGCATTGGTGGCATTACTCCAGGATGGTCTAAAACTCACATTAAAACCAATCCCATATGTGGAGTTTAGTGAAATATGATATTTTTTAATAAAGTAATTAAGTTTATTAATCTCCTTCTATTTTTGCCTAATTAACCAAGGACACCTTCCGGCCTTGTGGGCTATCCCTTTCCAACTTCCACATGCTACCCTTATCAAGGTTAAACCTTACCCTGGATGGATAATTAATATGGTGGTAGTGACGAAATATGTCCTTATGGAGGTCGGTCCACTTTGGGCGCCAAAATGTTTTATAGCCTGAACCAAGGTTCAGGCCCTTTAATCCTAACCTTAGTATGCGAATTGCTGCCGTATGTGGTGGATAAACCTTGGGAGTCAGCTGGTGGCCATTCCAGTCCATATATTGTTATACGGATTGTTTTTGGGCTACGGCTTTTCCTTCCGGCTCGGGAAGGCCGTAGTTCTTTTTTCCTGGGTGTTACCTCCCGAAGGTGGCCAACAGGAGATATCGGGCTAACCTTTACCTCCATAGCACCCAATGGCATACTGGCAGGGCGTCTTTCTAACCCGTCGACAGTCTTGGAGATCCCTGAAAATGAGCCTGCAGTCGGCTCGCTTGGCATTGCGCTTCACCAAACCAAGCAAAACTCTCCAGATCCCTAGACTCCCGTCTAGCTACAGGTGTTAAGAGGACAAGTTGGTTCACCAAGCCATTTTTATGTATATTTAATTTTCTTCTCAAATTAAAAAATCTATATCTCATTTCAGATTTTGCCTTAACTATCTCTTCCACGTCTTAGTATATAGAAAAAAGTCGCTGGATAAGGCAAATCTAACTTTCTATGGAGACAGTTCAAGCCTTTTAAATTAGACGACTCTCCATGTGGCATATAAAAATATGTATATATTATTTCTTTGCCAAATTTTCAAGATAAAAGGATGGCTGGTCAATCACCTCAACAAAATTAAACTAGGATTTATGATAAAAACATAAGAAATTAATCAATTCATCGCAGATAGGCTATCTAGAATTATTGTATATTATGCAATCCAAAGTTTACTTAAATATGGATCTCTTAGAGATCGTAATTATACCTTTTATATTAAAACCTAAAGTTTTTATCAGCAAATGCCAAAACCTTTTTTAAGATGTAAAGAAAGAAGCATATGCTCAGCCTAAAAAATATTAAGCATAGTGTCTAATAAAAATTAATTTTGCATTTTCTGGTCCACTTTTGGGTTTATTCTGAATTATATGCATAGGAGCATAGATATTTAGGCATATGACTTAAAATAGAGCATTATAAGACCAAATTTATTTTGGAATTTATAAATAATTATTATAAGAAAAGTGTTTCGAATTATATTTTATATAGAGAAAAATGGTGACGGCTAACCAGCCTTTTTATCAACATCTGCACAGAAGTCACACAGGGCTACGGGACCTCGTGGAAGGGAAATTGGCGCTCGATAAGTATATCCGGCTAGGTTGACTTGGTTTGGTGGAGCGCAATGTAGAATTTTGTCGACAGTAGTCTCACTCCAGGTCAAGGTTTTGCTTCAGGGGAAATGGGATCCAGAGTCCTGCGACACCAAGGAGTACTAATTGGTCCAATGGCACTCCTCCAGCGCGATACTGGGCGTTGCGTCCCAGGCTTTGGATTTCCATTTTGGCCTACAGCTAGACCAGAAAATTTGTTTTTCAAATTTTCGGAAAGAGCAACCTCTGTTGACGTACGGCACGGTGGTACAATCCATCCAACTTCAGGTGGGGAGTTCTAGCCCTCGTCTTTAGGAGCGAAGCTTTGAAGTTCATGATACGATTTGTGGCGGGCAACCGAGTGGGAGCATCAAGGGGCGGAGTTAGTCCTTGGGATTACAGTGAACTTCTCATATAAGTAATTAATGTTAATATTCGAGTTATATTTTAATTTTAATAATTACAGAATGAGTTACCATTAATTTTTAGTAACCTTAAATAAATATGAAAGTATCTTTAAAGAATTCAATAATTTAAAAATTTTATAAATGTCAAACAGACCTATTAGAAGATTCATTATGGTCAGTCGAATCAAGAGCTATCTGATCTGTTCTATCTGCAGTGAGCCTTTCTATGATCCAGCAAGGCTTTCATGCGGTCATACATTTTGTAAAGAATGTATCTTGACATGAAGCCAGGACAACAGGACATGTCCTCATTGTAGAAAAGCTTTTAACAAGAAAACGATTGGAAAGGATCTAATCGCTGCATGCTTTATCAATGACCTAGAAGTTGCTTGCAACAATAAAGGGTGCAGTTGGTCAGGTATTTTAGAAAATTTAAATGCCCATGAGAAAGAATGCAGGTTTCATAAGGACAAGATCGAACCTTGGATGAACAAAATTTTGCCACCATTAAAAGATAAATTAATCTGTTAAAATAAGATCACTTATTTTTTAAAAAAAATAAAATAAATAGAAAAATATTATAATTAAAGAATTAATTAATAAAGGTTAGTGTACAACGAATGACATTGAAGAGCCTATCGAAGGATTACTACAAAAACTAATGGCAATGTGTCCCGAAAAAATCAAGGATATGTTCTCTGAAAAGTCGTCGCCTGTCTATAACGGGCTAAATTTCGAAGATTTTGGATTGCAAGAAGACTCAGAAGAGCAAGAAATGCCACGCAAGAAAACAAAGATTGACCCTTAGGAGCACTAAAATAAGGCTCATATTATGTTTAAACAATTTAAAAAAGCAATCTATAAAATTATATTCTATTTTCTTGAGAATTGAATCCTTAAGGAATGATAACTGCTAAGTATTATTAATAAATCATTCTAAATAATGTGAATAATTTTTTCTTTTAAAGATATTTTAACTAAAATAATTTCGCAATTAAGGACCCCCCCCCTCATTTGTCGAATTTTCTAGTCTTTTTTTTATAAGAAAAAAAAATTTTTCAGGACCTCATTTGTCCCAAAATCTAGTCAAAAATGATTTGTCCAATTTTCTAGTTTTTTTTGCATTTTTTCGAATGCCCTAAAATTCTAGTTTTTTACTTTAAAAAAACTAGAAAATGAGACAATTGAGGTCCTGAAAATTTTTTTCTCTATCAAAATTTGACTAGAAAAATGGACAAATGAGGTCCTAAAAAAATTTTTTTTTCCTATAAAAAAAACCTAGAAAAATGGACAAATGATAAAAGACTAGAAAATTGGACAAATGAGAGGGGGGATCCTTATTATCAAATGTACTCAACTCATCTTACTTTTTATTAAAATTAATATGCAAAAATTAATTTTCTTATTACCCTCTATGAGAGAACAACTATTGGAAAAATTCCTAATTTTTGGTCAAAAAAACCTCCCCTCCATAAGCAAACAAAATTTTTTTTAAAATTAATTTTTTAAATTTTGAAAAAAAGTTAGCACGGGTTGGGGTTTAGATATTTCCTTTACATAGGATTTTAAGACACACATAAGAATATAAGGTCTTCTGATTCATTGATTAATAAAATCCATTTTCAAAGAAATTTCATATGATCTGACAAGTAATGAATCATTACTAAAATCTATTTTCTATTCAATTTTAATTCTGATGACTGACCAAATCACACATATGGCTTCAAGCTCAGAAAATCTTGAAAATCTTATAGAAATCACAGAAATTTATGATATGTTTAAGAAATATGTTGATCTTAAATACTTAAAGAAAGCTCGCAAAAAGACGAGAGAATCTATTGTATTTCCAAGTGAGAATAAAGGAATTCTGCAATCGCCGAAATCTTTTTCTATAAATGAGATTGAAAAATATAAAAGATATCAGTCTTTGCCATGCATTTTTGCTAGTCTTGCTATTTCGACTAATAGTAGTTCTTCATCAGGCTCTAAAATATGTAAATTCTAAACAGATTCTCCAGAAGAATGCCAATTCATATTTATAGTCATTTTATATAAATAATTTACTATTATTAGCTATTTATTTGTGTATTATAATTAAGAAAATGGCTTATTAATTTTTCGCCACAAATAATCCAAGTGAAGCAGAATAAAAATTTTTCAATTTTATTTTTACGCAATTTCTCTGAAGGCGGGTCAAGAACTTCAGAAGAAAATCCTCAGATTCACATAAAAAATATCATTCAGCACTATTTAAACTGTTTTATATCATCACAAACTTTAATGAGCATGCTTACATTCCCCTTTAACAATTCAAAATGAATTGATATGAAAACTTTTTTGCAATCTATAGAAGCAATTCATATGGATCCTCCGGATAAAAATTCCTTTTTCTATAAAGAGCCAAGTAACACCTCTCGCAAAAATTTTACAATGCAAAAATTGTTATGTAATTTTTATATATAACTTTCTTTGCTGGCTTTTTTTTTATAAAAAATAAATATCAATAATCCTCTATTAAGTATTATTGAGCATAGTTTTCTTTAAACTTACAGAATTTTGTGGAGAAAAAAACCTCAAAAAGGAAAAATTGCAAATTGCTATATCAATGGCTTTAAAGAAAACAAAGCGAGGCAGAGATTGTGAAATAGTAGCTGATTGAATTTTCGAAAGAATGAACTTAGCTGCCAAGGTTAAAAAAGATTCAATCACATTTGATGAGTTTTACAGAATTATGAAAATTGATAAATAAATTGTTATATTTATATAATATGGTTATAAAAGAGATTTAATTAAAGCAAGGATTGATGGGATAAGAGAAAGTAATCTGATGTATGAGTGATAATTTTAAGGTCACTGGGTTAGATGTGGGAGATTATAATTAATAAAGACATTTTCTTATTGCAGAATATCATTATTAGGATTTAAGGCTTCTGGGTTTTTTAATTTGTTATGAAATGTAAATATGTGAAAATGTGAAAATGTTAGAACAATAAAAATTTAGCTAATGGGCAATAAACAAATTTATTAGAGCGAAGACAGCGAGGCTTTTTAATCGATTTTCCAATTTGATAAAAATGGTTGTTGATAGCTGAACTTAGAATGAATAATATCTTAAAAGCTATATCATCTTGAATTAAGGTTTGGGAAGATATGCATATGATGAGATCAAAGACAAAATAGTTGGGATTTATAAAATTAAAAATAAAATTTCTTAAAAATATCTCTTCCATTATTTTTTCACATTAACTCAATAATTAAAAAATTTTAAGCTTAAACCTAGCTAAAGATTTGCTTTAGAACTTTAAGAAAATCATAATTAATAAAAGAAAAAGGTAAAGAAATTAATAAGATTATAACATTAACAAGTAAACCGTAAAAATAATAAATATGGGTATCCAAGATATTCTGATTAAAGCGAGGCTAGATGGGACTAGGTCAATTAATCCTAAACAGAATTTCAGATGGTATTTTCAAGTTCGTTGTGATAGATGTAGGGAAATTAACAATAAAGAAATTTATCTAGCCGCAGAAGAATTTCATGAAAAAGCAGGAACTCCTGGAATATTTAATTTTGCAATGAAATGCAAAATATGTGAAAATTTAGGGACTATCAATATAATTAATGGATCAATAAAGCATTATAGTGCTTTCACAACCATAATAATAAGCAAGAGATGCCAAATTGAAGACTATGAAGAAGGATCAAGAGAAATTTTTAAATCAATTTGCCAATGCGAAACTAGAGGTCTCGTCATAGTTTCTTTTCGAATAGGTGATGGATTTACAGTAGAATCATTAACAAATAAGATATGGGAAGATGTCGACTTATCTCAAGGGGACTGGTGTGAGTATGATGAAAATGCAGGTACAATTGTCGGGGTCTATGAAATAGAAACTAGAGTTTCTTAGCTGCTAAATTTTTAATAAAAAATACAAAACATTAAAATACTAGTCAAATGTTTTGAATATTTCAAACTTGGCTTTAAAGCATACAGAAAACTAGTCTAATTAAATATAAAAAAGTTATTTAAGAAATCACATAGGATGATAAATCGACAATGAATATGAATAATAATAAATATGGGTATTCAAGATATTCTAATTAAAGCCAGGCTAGAGGGGATTAGAAATATCACTCCTAAAAGTAATTTTAGATGGTATTTTCAAGTTCGTTGTGCTAGATGTGGAGAAGTTAATGATAAAGAAATTTATCTCGTCGCAGAAGAATTTCATGAAAAATGAGGAACCCCTGGGACATTTAATTTTGTAATGAAATGCAAAATATGTGAAAATGTAGGGACTATCAATATACTTAATGGCTCGATAAAAAATTATAGTGTTTACGGAGCAGTAACAGCAAGCAAAAATCGTGATATTGAAATTGAAGACTATGAAGGAGGATCAAGAGAAGAATTTCAACCAATTTGCCAATGCGAAACTAGAGGTCTGGTTATTGTTTCATATCGACTAAATGATGGATTTACAGTAGAATCATTAACGAATAAGATTTGGGAAGACGTTGACTTATCACAAGGAGATTGGTGTGAGTATGATGAAGATGCAGGCACAGTTGTTGGGATCTATGATATTGAAACTAGAGTTTCTTAGTAACTTTTACTAATTTATTCTATTATTTCTTTGCAGCGGCAGCAGCAGCTTCCTCCTTCTTTTTCTGGGCTTCTGCTTCAAGTCGTTTTTGGTAATCATCCTTCGCTTTCGCAAAATCTCTATCAGGCCACACATTAGGCTGCGCCTTCAAAGTGGTTCTCCCTTGGATGCCTTCTGCACATGTCCTTCCATTCTGAGGCCCAACTTTTGGTTCTTTTCCTGCCTTCCACGCATCAATCATCGCTTTCATTGTTTCTGGGGTTAAATCTTCATAGACTTTTTCTCCATTTACCTGCAACATCGGGGCATTTGCACAGCATCCTAAACACTCAACTTCAGTCAAGGTAAAAAGACCGTCTTTTGAAGTCTGGTCTTTTATGATCCCACATTCATGCTCAATTGTTTTTATAATATCTTGTGCTCCACGGATCATACAAGGTGTTGTCCCACACACTTGAAGATGATATTTCCCTACAGGTTCACGATTGAACATTGTATAAAATGAACAAACCTCGTAAACGTCCATTTCTGAGATTTCTAGGATTTTAGCAATCTTATTCATCGCAGCCAAAGGCACCCAGCCGTCACATTGCTTTTGGGCGAGGTATAGTAAATTGATAGTTGCTGAGCGCTTGTATTGCGGAGGATAATGGGTGAGAATTGTAGTGATTTTTTGGTAGTTTTCTTCGGTGAAGTCAAATGGAGTGTCTCTGTTGTTGTAAGCAGTGTCGCGATGGGTTGCAAGGGCTGAGCTAAAAGTTCTGCGAAGAAAATGACGAGCTGCAAGCATTTATTATGGACAATATGGATGATGCTAGGAAATTTGAGTTTGGATTAATAATAAAGCAAATTTTCCAGATAAAATTGGGAAGCAGGATAAAGGTTTTTTTAAGTTTTGAGATTAATAAGCATAATGGATTTTTATTATACTAATTAATTTATGTGTATTAATTATATTAGCTATTTTTGAAATATAATTGTTTTATAAAATTAATAAAACGATTACAAAGCTGAAATATTTCAAGATGGGTTATAATAATTAGCTTTTTATTATATTTTAACTAAATTTCACATAATTTAATTACAAAAAAGAGTATACTGGCTTATTAATATTTTGTCGACTTTATTATTTTCATGCTTCAAGATTTTTATTCATAATTCATAATGAAAATTTAAAGTCACTTTAACTTAATTATTCACCTACAAAAATGTTTCATCTTCCTTTTTACTACAAAACGTTTCGGTCTAAAAATTTTAATCTAAATCAATATTATAATAATCCTGCCGCAAGTATTAATTCTCTAAATTTTACGCTTCTAGTTCCATCAATCTTTATCTTTACTCCCCCCCCTCCGTGAGTGAACAAAACCATTAGAAAAATCGTTATTTTTTGCCCAAAAACCCACCCTCCGTGAGTGAACAAAAATTTTTTAATAGAAAAATTTTTATGGAAACAAAATTTTTATATATATAAATGATAATTAGTATAATGAAATCTAGAGCTAATTCTGTTTAATTTTGAACGAATTGCTTTTTAAAACATAAATTTTATAAATTAAATTAATATTTGCTTTCCAATTTTGCGAATTAGGATTTTTTTAAATTTCGAAAAAAAATATTTTTATAAAATTTATATATAAATTTTTTTTTTAAAAAAAAAAAAAACAATTAACCCCCCTCTGTGAGTGAACAAAATTTTTTTGTTCACTCACGGAGGGGGGGGGAGTTAGAAAATTTTTAACTTAATTTTTCTGATGCTAGCTAATATATCTTAACGATTATCATTACTTCAACAGGACTCACTTTATGCTCTTATTATAAATCTAAACCTTTCTGTAATTAAGCTTAATTAAATTCAAAATTTTACATAATTGCACATGTGCAACTTACAAGTGTTTGAGTTTTCTTCTCGTTCATAGTATTCATCTCTGACAATGCTTGGGCTGTATTTATAGATCTTGCCATGTTAAACGCCACTTCCATCTTCGTTGACTCAGAGAAGCTTCCAATCCTGTTCCTGGAAACTTTTTTCTCCAAAGATTTATCAATTAAATTTTGGTTTCTCATCATCATTGATGTACTGCCAAGCATTTTTTAAATTATAATAAAGTTATGCATAAATCACAAATAATAATTTATTGGCTATGGGTTCTTATATCTCAGATAGAGCTGAATCTGCTCTTTATCTGATAATCTAACTAATTTGCCTAAACAATTGAATTGCCCTAGAGTCCAGATTTGTCTTAATAATGGAAAATTCGACCCTTATAGACTTTAAACTACATATCACAGTTTTAATGATGGTGATTTTACTTGAAAATTTTAATATTATATGGTATAAGCTTAGTCTTAGTCTTAGTTAAATTTATAGAGTAGCTCCGGCCAGGACCGAAGGTCCTTTTCTTCCGCCTTTTGGACGCCTCGCTTGCTTTCCTTGCCCTGCTCCCAGTGTGCACCTAAGTGCCACAGGCTACCACTCAGCTCCTTCGGTCATGGGGCTTGGTCATGCTATCCCGGAAGTAGGCGAACTGGGTCACCGTGCTTCACGTCGCCAGACTAGGGTTAGAGCTAAGGATTAACTCCTTAACTCTTGTCGGCTCCTGCCATGCCCTCCAAATTGGCACTAGCGGTCCCTAGAGGAAAAACCCATTTTGCCCCGTGTCCTATCGGGACGACCCTGGGATCGTCTTTGCTGGACTGGGAGGGAAACCTAGCCGGAAACAAACTACCAGTACCCATTCCAGACCTTTCCCTGGGCGGATTGGCTTCAGGCCGCAGCAAGGTCCCCAATCTCACCACAGTTCCGGGAGAGGACGGGTCGATGTCGTCGCCATTTTATTTGTGTTATATGGTATAAGCTAATATTAGAAATTCATAAATGGCAGATTTATTTGAAGATTATGACTACACTGAGCGAGAAACCCAGGAAAACCCTCCAAATTCATTCCATTTTTCAGCAATTCTTGCTTTAGCGCTATTTGTGTCTTCATATACCTTAAGCGATCCTGATGGAAAAGCAGAATACGCTTTACAAAAACATTTTTTCCAATCAACCGGGATTTTATTTATAGGGATTATCGTTGGGATGTACTCTTGGTGCAAAATGAAATCGAAAATCGGGATTTTGCCAAATTTGTATCACAGCACTTTGGTCCAGCCTATATGAAGATTAGGGGAAACAGAAAAAATTCGATTTCGAATGGCACCAGGTGTAGGGAAATGTATGATAAGTGCAGGACTAATGTTTATAGCCCATAGTTTATATTAAAAAAATAATGAATAAATCATAATTAAAAATTAAATAAAATAGCTTAATTAATACTGATAAAGCATAAATACCTTTGTGAGTTATTATGACAACGATTTTTTGATGCACGGCTCAATTGATTTTATGATATATCTTGTAGGGGTTTTCGTATTGATCATCACATTTTACATTTACAAATTTTCCTATACACTTTCTCAGGTTTTTGGGGTTTCTTTATCAGTAACCGGCAGTATATGATTTTTCATGACTTTAGACATGGTTAAACATTGGCATTTAATTATTTTACAAATTGTATCAGTAATTTGTTATACTGTAAGCGTAATTTTGCTTGTACTTGCAAGTAAAAAGGAATTAGACACTCATACAGCAGGGATTATTCAGTTATTTATGCAGGGTTTATTGCAGCTGTTTTCTTTTGTGGTATTTTATTTATTTTTAACATCAGCAGCGATATCAGCTAGTGAATTAATTATTGAAGTAATTTGTGGATGCCTTTTTGGATTAGCGGTTTATTTTATGACTGAGTCTCTTATGAAAGATAGCCCTGGGATTTCTATAAATATTGTGCTATTAAAAGGAATTATCTATGGGTTCTTTATTAGTGAAAGCTATGGAGCTTATAATATTATCCCATTTTCTACATGTATGGCTGGGCTATTTTTTATGGTTTTTGGTGATTTTATATTCAACAAATTTTCCTGCAGACTTAACCAAAGCTTATTGAAGCATAGATCTTCTATAACAACACCTTTATTAAAAGATAATCTTTAATTATATAAAATGGATCAAGGATTGCTAAATGTAATTGAGATGTGTAAAGACGACCCTGAGCTAAAAACTCTTGCCGATGACCATCCTTTGCTATTAAATGCTTTAAAAGGCCTTGAATTGACTGAAGACGAAATTTTTGGAATTTTGACTGCGGTTGAAAATGAGGTAAAAAATAAGCAGAATTATCAATTGACAAAAAATTTTGAAAATGCGGATATAAGGACGATTACAAGTTTTGCTAATATTGAGTGCCAAACTGAAGAGAATTGGGTGAATTCTTGCCAATTTCAAATGAAATTAGAAGATTATAGAGCAACGATAGTGAATTCAATAGAATTTCAAATCAAACTTGAAGAGAAAATAAAAGAAGTCGCAACAAATTTTCAGTCACTTTATGGGCTAATAGAAAATATAGGATTTGCCCTAGGATGGCGCTATATGGCGCCATCCTAGGGCAAGCGAAAATTGGCTCCACACGGGAACCGTATTCCACGTGTGGAGCCATTTTTCCACGTGTGGAATCCACATTTTTCCACGTGTGGAATCCACATTTTCCCACGTGGAAAAATGGCTCCACACGTGGAACACAATTCCCGTGTGGAGCCGTGTCTCCAATTGCCCGAGGATGGCGCAATATAGCGCCATCCTCGGGCAATTTCTATAGGTCACTCAGCTGCGTAAATGAGATAAGCAAAGAATTAAGCTATTGCAAAGAAAAATTAAAAAAATCTGAAGAGGAGTGCTTTCAGCTTAAAGAAAAACTAGATTTTATTTGCACTGAAAGAAGTGTCATTGAACAAACTGAAGCCAATAAAAAATCTGCTAATTTAATAGTAAAACTTAAAAAAAGTGAAGAAGCTTTACAAGAAGCAATAAAGGAAAGAAATTTGTGAAAAGCGAAGGCTCAAGAAAGGATCAATTTAGCACGAAATAATTCTGCTTTAAAGCTAAAAAACCAAGAATTAGAAGAGCAAAACACTATTTTATTGAAAGAAATGGAAGAATACAAAGAATGAGAAAATTGCCAAGAAAAAATAGATTTTAAAAAAATCAGCACAAGGTTAATAAAAATCATAGGGACTAGGATTCAGAAAAGGCTTAAAAGCTATGCAATTTCTAAGCTGAAAATTGAAAATAAACAAGAAAAATCACTTTCAGAACAAAATATTAACTTAATGAATTTAAATGAAAAAAATGAGCTTCAAGCTTATTTTTTGTCAAAAATTTATTCTCAGCTATGCCTTGCTATTTCTAATGCGAATTTGCAAAGACCTTTTGAGCTAGACTTAGCAAATACCAAGCTGACATCTGCCAATTTTGACGAACTTTTACAATCCTTAAGTAACAATTGTTTTGTAGCTGAGCTAAATTTAGCAGAAAATTCATTAGGGGACGAAAATGCATTAAAATTATCTGAATGGCTCAAAAAAGATGATTTTCTCAGATGCTTAATGCTAACTCCCCCCCCTCCGTGAGTGAACAAAACCATTAGAAAAATCGCTATTTTTTGCCCAAAAACCCACCCTCCGTGAGTGAACAAAAATTTTTTTAATAGAAAAAAATTTTATGGAAAACAATTTTGATATAACGATGACCCCCCCTCAATCTTCATGTCTATTGCAACAAAAATGCAATTTTTTAATATAAAATTTATATATAAAAAAAAATAATAATTTTCATGTCTCTTGCAACAAACTATATACTATACATTAAAATGGCGACACGTGTCAGCCTGCTCTCTTGGCGCAGCAGTCCAGACCTTATGGCTACGGCCAACTGGGACGGGATCTGAGCCTAGAATCAGACGCAGGCTCAAGAAGTGTGCATCCGGGTAGGTTTTGGCTGCTTTCCTGTGTGACTAGAAATGGAGGTGCTCAACAACGTCCTTTGGATCCGAGGACCCATGGGCATTCCTCTACCGAGAAACTGGGGTTTCGGCCCCAGGCCACAGGGGAACAGTCTTTTTCCTGTAGCTGTCGAAGGAAGGCACTTTGACACCCGATAGACTCCAAGGAGCTGATCCTTGGAATCAAGCAACTCCAATCGCCCGTAGCAGGGCCGCAGAAATCCATAAGTCGCCCACTCAAGACTGAAGCCGCAAGGAGGAGACAGAAGGTACCGGAAGGGCACTCGTAAGAGGGATAGATTCTCTGGGCTGGACTCGAAAAGCGGTAGAACCTTCCGTACGGGAGGTCTTTGGTGACTGCGTCATCAATATGGCTATACGCCCTTCCTATAGATGGCGCATTGCGCGCCATCTATAGGAAGGGCGTATAGCGCCTGTCTGTAATAATCCTAATTCTAATCCTCTTGCAACAAAAATTTCGATGCGCATCTTAAATTTTTCCGTACTTTTTAGCTAGATAAGTTTAATAAAATTGCGAGCGATGGCAATAGCCGTCCAAATCTCGATGAGAAGGTCATTGACACGCATACAGTAGCGCTGCTTTATGATTTTTTTTAGAAAACTCGCCTAGAGAAAATGCATTAATTTTTTTATATAAAAATGTGTTGCAGTAGGCATGAAGATTTTTTCTAAAAATTTTTGTTGCAATAGGCATGAAGATTGAGGGGGGGTCATCGTTATAAAGTGATAATTAGTATAATGAAATCTAGAGCTAATTCTGTTTAATTTTAAACAAATTGCTTTTTACAACATAAATTTTATAAATTTAATTAATATTTGCTTTCCAGTTTTTGCGAATTAGGATTTTTTTAAATTTCGAAAAAAAATATTTTCTAAGAAAATTTACATATAAATTTTTTTTAAAAAAAAAAAAAATAGCCCCCTCTGTGAGTAAACAAAATTTTTTTTGTTCACTCACGAGGAGGGAGTAAGAAACAACAATTTTTCAGCAGAATCTACAGGAGAAATAGTAGACGCTATTTCAGTCCAAGGGCAACTCAATATGATAGATCTCAGTGAAAATAAAATTAATTTACAAACTCTCATAAATTTATCTACCTGTTCAACGTCAATAAGTGACATTATTGTCGAAAATTGCAATTTATCAGGAGAAGACATGAAATCTTTACTTGAAACACTTAAAGATTCTCAGTTAAATGGACTATTTATATCATATAATCCGATACAGAAAAACAGCTTGAGAAGCATTATTCAGTTATTATCTAAGACTGGGCTCAAAAATTTAGGACTATCTGGGCTTCAGTTTGACGAAAATCATGTAGGGGATTTATGCAATTTAATTAGAACTCGGCCACAGATGGAAATTCTGCATCTTGCCCACGTAAAATTGACGAATCAAGGACTTACAAGAATTATGGAATGTTTATGCCAACAAGAAAATTTGCGCGAATTAGACTTGACTGGGACTGATGCTTTGATATCTGACGTCTGCGCGATATTAGACTCTTGTGTTGGGTTAAAAACAATTGTGCTGAGAGAAATGAAGGTTTCGCATAAAGATTATTGTCTTTTAGCAGATGCAATACAAAGGTCGCCACAATTAGAAGTATGTTTATTAGATAATTAATTTATTATTTTCTATATAAATATAAATAAGGAAATTTTATAGTAGCCTCAGAATTACTATTTATTGATTATGGAATATAATCTCATATACCCAGTTTCCAGATTTTCTCGTCTCCCATAAGTTCGCTTTAAATATCTAATTTGTTTTGCTATGATTACCGCGAGGATTAAAATTACTATAAACTCAACAGAAAATGACCAATCATTCGGACTCTCAATTTGAGTAATTTCATTAGGACAGAATTTATTTACACATACATTCATACAGACATCTTTATCTCCTTGAAGCCCAAAACAAAATTCTTTACAGTCAGTAAGACAGTTTTCTTTGTCTGGAATATTAGTGGTTAAAAAGGCTATATGCTTGACTTTATCTTCAGTAATAGACTTTTCAATAGAATTTTTAATATTTTCATATACCATTTTATATAATTTTTTTCTAAATTTATTATTAAATAGAAATAAAATGATTTATAAGATATAGTATATGATTTTTCAGTAAGAATCAAAGAATGCTCACAAGTTTCAAGAAATTTACTTGAGATTTTTTGGGGTGATTTTATGCTGCAATTGCATATACCTATTTAAACAAATAAAAAAATACTCCTTGATTAGCACTTATCTATTTAATATTTGAGTAATAGAGTAATTAGGATTTTATATTTATTTTAATTAGGTATAGATTTTTGCAGGTAAGTTCATTATTCACTAAAGAAGTTTCAAGACAAAGCTTTACACAATTTGAACTGAACTTAGAACCATAAAGCTCAGGATGACTTTCATTTTTTGATAGGATTTTGGCAGAAGAATAGGCGTTATATTTAAATACTCCCTGGGTTGTTATCTGAGAAGAGGCAATCCAGAAAAATAATGGTATGATTAAAGTAATCATTTATTATTTTATACTTGAAAAATTAGCAGGCATATTAAGCCACAATTTAAAAAAAATTTGAAAATTCAATAATTTGCTGAAATCCATTTAATTCTGAATTTTTATTAGTAAAATAAGTTTGTTATCTTAAAAACCATTTTAGAATAATTTTTTATCAAGTCTTATTTAAAGTGCCAAATTTATTATTTTATTTTATAATATTCTTGTGATGAAGGATCATAATAACAATTTAAAATTGAATCATAAATCAATTGGTTTTCTTGAGAATTTTTCGGAATTCGAAGATTTTGCATTGAAGCTAGCCCAGAAAAAGGAGGAGTAAAAGGCCGAAATTTCGTCATTTCTGATAGATTTTTATCATAAAAGTTATAGCTCATGCACCTTAATAGATCTCTATAACTCAACAGAATACCTACCAAATAAAATATGGTGCAGGGCACACCTGCCTTAAATAGTGTAAGTCTAATTAGGTACCTCAAAACCATAAACGGAGATTTGTCATTTTTGTTTTTCCTTTCAAAATAACTGACAAGTAAAAATGAATTTTGGAAATTAAAATGGATGGCCAATAAATGATCTAAAACATTTCAGGGGCTATAGGAAGAGGCACAGGAGAGGTCGAATTTTTTGTAATTTGAGCTGGGGCAGGGAAAAAGTTATGCTCAATAAGATCATGAGGATTATTTTGAGGGGATTGCCTATCAATTTCAATTTCTTCTTGGATTGATTGGTTTACAAAGGAGCTGCAGTTTGACAAGTTTTTGCTTGATTTTTCAATAACAATTGATTCTTTTATTTCTGATTCATTGAGATCTTCATAACGATTTTCATTGGAAAATTTTGAATGGACTTCGTGATCATCACTGAAACCTCTAAACCTTTTTTGCTTTGGACTATTTTCTGTATTTAAGGCTATGTTTTGGTTTTCTTCGTTAGATATTGAATGGTTTTTTGGCTTATGGGAAACTTTTTTTATTGGAATTCCTGCTGAGCCTTTTCTTTTGACAGCTTGTTGTGGAGTTTTATCAATTGTTTTAGTTTTATTTAACAAGCTTTTATTGAAAAATTCATTCGTTGTATTTGATTGAAAATTTCTTCTAGGTGATACAGTTTTTTGTCTTGATTTTGGCAAATTTCTAATTGGGGCTGTTGCTACAGGAATTCTATCCTCAAATACAATTTCTTCTTTTTTACTCCTTACAGAAAGACCACTTCTTTCTGATTCAGGAGTCATTACAAGCTCAGGCCCAACATTTTGATTCGAAAATTGTACCCCAGGTGGAAATTCCAAAACCTTTGGAACATTTTCACAATTTTGAGGATTTTTTGCTGAATTTTCTGATAATTCGAACAATGGATTTTTCATTGTAAAAATTCTCCGGATTTTGCAAAAAGAATGAACTGTAATTGAATCTAAAGACCTAAAAGTGTTGCCAGGAAAGCAAGCAGTAACAAAACTAGACATATCGATCGATATGCAAGACCATGCACCTCTTAAGAAAGGCCAATTTGGTATTCTTGAATGCAAAGGGGCTGAGACTATTTCTTTTGATGCTGATGAAAATAAAGGGCAATTATAATATCCTAGGGATAAAGTATTTTTATTATCTTTAGTAAATTATTTTTACTTGCAATTGAGTATATTGACTCATTAAAGCTTTTTTTTTTAAAAATTGTTTAAACCAAATAAAAGCCTTCGTTTCGTGCCTGAAATATCTGAAATTGCAAGATCCAACGTAAAAGGCTGGCCTGGGGTTAAATATACCTGCAAAACCAAATAAGGCTGAATCAATGCCAATGACTGTTTATCGTTACTTGGTAGTTGAAGTTTCGCATTGTGAGAATCCAATGAAATGATATAACCTTTCACTGTTTTTTCAAATAATTTTCATTTAGGCTTGTTTATACTCCATTGAGGAGTTTTTTCACTTGGATTAGCAAGTTCAACATACGGCCCACTTTGAAATGAATTTTGATACATGCGATAAAAATAATTAAAAAATGGAACAATTTATTCTTCAAGACTAATTATTTAATTAAGATATAAGTTTATACTAGAAATTATAATTAAAAGCATTTTTATATTGAAAGTTTTGATTATAATGGTTTCCTTTTAATCGATTAAAAACAACAAAGAAAGCTTTCTATCATGATAATAATTTCCTGCTGTATTTTTATAATTTTTGCATATAATAAATGGAAGGAATTCTGAGTCCTGATCATCAAGTCGAGGTAAAAAAATACCTTGACTTTTTTGCCTTAAAACGCAGAGAAAACTTAAAGGAGATTGACACCTCAGCTAAACAATTTATAGCAAAAAATCTCAATGAAGATGCTTTGCTTCAGAAGAACGAGGTTGAAGCTTTTATGGACAATTTTGTCAGAGAAGTATCAAGCACAATTGAAGCTGAATTGCAAAATATTGCTCACATGTCAGGAGTTTATATATTCCTTTTTAAATAAAATATTACCAAATTTAATATATTACCAAAATAAAGCTATTTTTCTATAAAAGAATAAAAATCTTAATGAACCAAGCTCAAACCCACAATTTGACTTTGCAAGCTGATACTTCTTTCATCGAAAATCTCCATGCAATCGAAGAAATGAGAAACATAGAAAGAAGCCAAAAAGCTTTAGACTTAAACAAAAGGACTCAGGGTGCTAGACTTCCAACTCTCCAAACAAGCTTTAATAATGATCCTTTATTAGTAAAGCAGCTTAATGAACTTAAAGAAGAAAATAATACTTTGAAAAATCGCATGAAGCAAATGCAAACTCAAATTAGTCAAATTTTAGATGAAAAAATGGAACTGAGGAATGCAGTAGAAAGCTTAACAGCTCAATTAGAAAATGGGCCAAGACATGAAGAGCCACAGCATGATACTCAAGCTATTCATATGCTAGAAGAAACTAAGGTAGAAATCATTTAGCTTCAACTGCAGACTAAAGAAGAGCTTATAAAGCAGCTTAAAGAGGAACAAGATAAAAGGCTAGCTGACTCAAAGCAATTCCAAAGCTTGAAGAAACTGATTGTTGGGAAAAATGAGCAAATAAAGGAGCTGAGAGAACAGTAATGAATAAATAGATTGGAAAGATTACAGAAGTCATAAAATTAATTGATAATTAGGTATTCTTTTCATTTTTAGCTTTATTTAATTATCCTCAGGTATAAAGAATGCCACAATTTTAGTCTTTTTCTAAATAAATGCTATTTTTAAATAAAATTATATATTTTTATGTATCTTATTTTTAGGCTGATTTAATAAAGATACATATTGTTTCTTTAACTACAAATTTAATTATTAAGTATAAAATTTCCTTGATTTCCCAATTAAATTTGTTTATTATCTTAATAAAGAAAATACATTTTGCTGATATTTTGATTTTCTTCTGTCCCAGGAAAGAGAACTCCTTCTCCATACTGAGTCGACTTATCCTTTTTAGCGTAAACTTCTATACTTATAGGCTGGAATTTAAAAGCTTTGTGGCTTTTTCTTTTGCTTTTCTTCACAGTTTCTTCACGTAAATAAAATTTTTGGGCGTGGCTCCTGACTTGCACTGGAGTCCTTGTTCCTAAGAAGTCAGCGATTTTTTTTCAGTCTTTTCCATAAAAGGAGACTCCTCTCATAAAATCTTCATGCTCTTTTAAGGTCCAGCGGCCAGTTCTTCCTTCATCTGTGCTTGACTCACACTCTGAGTATACTTTCATGATATTTATATAAATTTATGTCAGTCTAGGATACGGATATCAAAATGGAATTAATTGGAATTTATGCTTAAATATATTAGCATTGCTATTATTATGATTGATAAATATATTGTAAAAATACAATATAACTTGATTTAACTAAAAATGGTCTTAAATAGACTTAATAATAATTTTTATTACATAGAAATTTTTCGATTAATGCTTAACTCCACGCTTTTTAGACCCACGGCATTCTTGAATTAATAGAAGAAGTTCTCCTTCTCGGTCACATCTAGCTTCAAATGAGTCCTTAAGCTGCTTTTGAATTTGCAAAATAATTTTTCCTAGTGCATTTAGCTTTTTATCCACATGATCTTCTGCTTTTTCAAGCTCATTACCTGTACAAACTTGCAAATATTTCTTTTTGCCTCTATTTTTTCTCCAAAACAGCAAAGTTTCTGCTTCAATCAGCATATCAATAAGTTCTCTAGCGTCAGCAATTTCACTGTTTTCTTTGACTCTTTCAAAAGTATCTCCCATAAGGGAGATAAGTAAGCTGATCATAACAATTGGATTAAGTACAGTAAAAACTCACTCCCCCCCCTTAAATTGGAACAAAATATAGGTAAAATTTCCACTTTTTTGGTAAATTAACCCCCCTTTAAATTGGAACAAAATTAAATTTATAATAAAAAAATTTTATATATATAAATCATAATTTTTATGTAAAAAGTTTTGATATAATTTAAATGTTTCTTCTTAACTAAAATTAAAAATTTAGCTATATCCTGCTCTTATTTAAAGAATAGAATATAAAGTGCATCTTATTTAAATAAATGTATTATCCTTAATTTTAAATTTTTAAGTTTTTAAAAAACATTTTCAAAAAAATTTTATTTGTTTTGATAAAAATGATATTTTTTATTTAAATAGCTTTGATATAAATTCAATACGAATTCTTTGGTCAAGCCTAAGTGAAGGAACTAAAGTTTTATACTCTAAACTATATATAGCTCATACCCCTTTATAGATCCCTTTATCGAGCAAAGTGTACTTGATTATTGAAAGACCAAAACAGACTTTCTCAAAGAGATGAGCTCAATCTCTATATCAGAAAGTTCTAAAAAGTGGCATGCCAAAAAATAGTGGCAAGTGTGAAAAAAGTTGGTAAGCAAATACGATTAGACTTAAGATAATTAATTATTCATCTCTTTCGTTAAATTGATTTAATAAAAATAATATCTACATGTAGATTTGACTATGGATTATCTTTGGATTTACATAAGTCAAGGTTCTACTGGAGTTTTTGATTGATATGCTTACTGGAGTTATAGCACTTGGAGATCTATACAACCGTTTACTCAAGAAGTTCCTCCTTTGCATTCTCAATTTAAAAGTTCAGGTGCAATTTCTTCCATACTGGACTCTATCTTTATAATCGCTTAAATTGAAACAAAATTCAATTTTATAATAAAAAATTTTATAGATAAAAATCATAATTTTTATGTAAAACGTTTCGGTATAAGTTAAATGTTTCTTCTTAACTAAAATTAAAAATTTAGTTATATCTTGCTCTTTTTTAAAGAAAAGAACATAAAGAGCTTTTTATTTAAATACATTTACTATCTTTAATTGCTATATTTTTTAAAAATTTAATTTTATTTTTAAAAATTTTTCAACAAAAAATATAATTTATTGCATTTATTTCTTATCATGCATATGATGCTATTTGAAATTTATTATTTAGAAACCAAATATACGTTTCAAAACGCAGATTTTAGTGCGCCAAATTAATAATTTAAATTTTATATGAAAATAGTGTGTATAACTGCCATAAGAAATTAAGCCAAGGGATTATATTTTTTATTTAAATAATTTTGATAAAAATTTAATGCGAATTCTTTACAAAAATTGAAAATTTACTTTACTTCTTCTTTATTTTAGCAAAAGAGTATAAATAGCCACTTAATTAAACAAAATTAACACTTTGATCGATAAATTTTCTAGAAATTTATTAATCTAATTCGACACATTTTTTAATTTTTTTTTTATAAGAATTTTATATTGATGTTTTTTATAAGAATTTTATATTGATGTTTTTTATAAAAAATTTTCTTAACCCTTCTTTTAAATTGGAACAAATATTTGGTCCAATTTAAAGGGAGGGAGTCAAATCAAAATCCTACTGGAGTTTTTGCACGATATGCTTACTGGAGTTATAACACTTGGAGATCTATACAACCGTTTACTCGGGAAGTTCCCCCTTTGGATTTTCACTTTTGACAATTTATTTCATAATGGACTTTATAATAACTTAAGTCAGGATCCTACTCGAGTTTTTGATTGATATGCTTACTGGGGTTATAGCACTTGAAGATCTATACAACCGTTTACTCGGAAAGTTCCCCACTTGCATTTTTAAACTCATTTCTATAAATTTATCTCAAGCACTTTTTACATAAATAAATAATCAAAAATATTAAATCTATTAAAATTTATATGTAGCATTTATTATTATAATTATCATTAATTAAGGCCTGAAAAATAAGATTTTTAATTATTAATCAATTCCAGTCTAATTGGATATGTTAAGTTTTAAATTATTTTATTAATAAAGCCATTTTAAAAATTTGCGTGTTTGCTTACCAACTTTTTTCACACTTGCCACTATTTTTTGGCATGCCACTTTTTTAGAACTTTCTGATATAGAGATTGAGCTCATCTCTTTGAGAAAGTCTGTTTTGGTCTTTCAATAATCAAGTACACTTTGCTCGATAAAGGGATCTATAAAGGGGTATGAGCTATATAGTTTAGAGTATAAAACTTTAGTTCCTTCACTTAGGCTTAAACTATTAAATATTCTACAAAAAGCTACGTATATGGTTTGGGGTTCCCGAGGTCCTATTTGTGCTGGACCAATTCTTTACAAAAATTCAAAATTTACTTATCTCTTGCTTTATTTTAAAGAATAGAGTATAAATAACATCTTATTTAAACAAAATTAGCACTTTGATAAAAATAAATTTTCTAAATTTTTTTTTTTTAATTTTTTTTTATCAATAAAAATAATAATTTTTGTGTAAATAGTTTTGATACCAATTAATAGTGGCGTATTAATTAATAATAAAATTTTTAGTTATATCTTGCTTTTTTTTAAAGGATAAAGAGTAAATAGCATTTTATTAAACAAATTTATTAATCTAGTTCGATAAATTTTTGAAATTTTTTTTTTTTTTTAAATTTTATATAAATTTTTTTTTTATAAAAAAAATTTTATAATGATTTTTTTTTTAAAAAAATCTTCTTAATCCCCCTTTAAATTGGAACAAAATTTTTAGTTCCAATTTAAAAAGGGGGGGAGTCAGTGACTTGCCCACATTAATAAAGAAATATACCAATCAGTGCTGTAATCTTTTATATTGATTCTCCAAGCTAAAGTTGTCCAATCAAAAAACTCATGATCTGATCCACCTATTAAGGCGTATTGGGTGACCGCAAAAGCAAGAGTTAAGAAGCATAAAATAATGAAAAAAGGTAGCATATCATAAAATACAGTGAAAATCAGGTTAATCAGATAGCGGGTGGGTTTAAAGATATTGAAATAGAGCGTCCCTCTGAATCATGATAGAGAAATAATAGCCCCTAATAGAAAATGACTATAATTATCAGTTCCAGAACTTATTATTGACACATAAGCTACAAAAAGAATTATCCTTAATAAATCAACTCAATTCCAAAAGTCTTGCCAATAGTAAATTCCGCCTACATTTATTTGATACAATTCATATAAAGTTAAAATACAGCTCATACCAAAAGGAATCATAACATAATAAGAGTCGCCTTCATATAAAGTTGTGTATATTGATAGCAAAACTAAATAAGAAATATAAATAGAAGCTTGAAAATATATGAGCCAGCTTAGTTTTCTCCATTTTTCATTGAGAATGAATTGAATTATAGGAGTTTTAAGGATATTTCCATTGGGGCATTTTCCTAAACTGTCAAGAAACGCTAAACTTTCTTTAGAGCCAGTTGTTAAATCTAATCTGACAAGTGAGTTTAAATACATCACATCTTTTCCTTCTTGATCTGAAGAAAATTTTATTTTTTTACTGAAATTTTCAGATTTCGGCAAGATATATTCGGAGTGGATTATGCTAGGAAGTCTTGATTGTTTATCGCAAAATTTCTTCAATGAATGATGCTTGCATTTCATTAAAATATTCTGATAGAATTTTTCAAGGCCTGGAAATCCTTTCAGGTTTAGAGTTATTAGAGAGTCTTCAAAATAATAAAAAGAATAAGGATTTGTTGCTGCAATTTTATTCATTGCTGTGAAAATTGCGTTTGTGCATTCTGTGTAGGATTTGTCTAAGCATATTGATAGCGGGGTCTCATTTTTTGAGGATGGAAAAAAGCCATCTCCATATTCGATAGCTTTTTTTAAATGGCTGGACAAGTTAAAATAGGCATAAAAATGTAATGGATTTAAATGGAAAGGCTCGATTATCCATTGGTCCATTTCTTTATTATAAGCTGGCTTCTCATTCAGCATGATTTCTTTGATATATCTCATAAATTTATGCTTACCAAAATCTGGCCCATAAACTTTTATTGTCCCAGGCTTCAATGGGCTTTTAATAATTTTGATTTCTTTATCTAATGCTAGTGCAATATGATTTTCTCCAGTCAAAAATATCATCGATTTTATTTTATTTTTGAATTTTATAGTAGCAACTCTCCCAAAATTTTTTAAATCAAAAATCGACATTTTCTGGTCTTCTGAAGCAGCAAAAAAATATTTTCCATCTTGTGTACAATATATAGATCTCAATATTTCATTATGGTAATTAACGTTTCTTAAAATATGCTTATTTTGAATTCCCCATATAATCAACTCTCCATTTCTATACCCTATTAAAAGAATTTCTCCATTTCTGGTCACCACAATTGTCTGCACTCTTGTGCTATTTCCTGTAAATTCCATTAAGATTTTTGAGTCTTTTAAATCGTGGCATAAAACAGTTCCACTGTCATCTCCACTATAAAGAGTAGAATTTTCATGTATAGAATTTTCCCATAGATGGCGCTGTTTGCCCTTGATTTGCCCCACTAGGAAAATTTTTTGGTTCGACCAGTACCATATGGTTTGGTCAAACCAAAAAATTTTCCTAGTGGGCAAAATCAAGGGCAAACAGCGCCATCTATGGGACAATTCTATAAATTCAAAGCTCAGACTTCTGCTCTATGTGAACGAATTGTATGATATTGTGAGAAATCGTCCATATTTCAGATAATTATTCGAAACCCGACATCCCCAGTAATAAAAAATCGATTGTCAGGGGTGCATAAAATTGCTCTGACTTCTCCGTCAATATCGGTTATTTCTTTTAATTTTTCATTTTTTTCGAGATCTCATATGAGGATTCTTTGGTCGTCGGTACAAGAGAACAAATAGTCTTCGTCTGGAGAAATAGCCATTGCGTACATAGAAGATCCGTCAGGATATTCATAGAGCTTTGCGCCTGATTCTTGGTCTCATGCAATGATATTCATATCTTCTGAGTTTGAATATATACTTAATTTAGTCAATTTTTTCTATGAAAATAAATGCTTGATGCTTGATTTTTTTGAGAAATAATATAATCCTTATTTTTTTTATAGCTGAATATAAAATTAATAGAATATTTTTTTCCTCTTACTCGAATGTATTAAATTAAAAACAGTTTCCTTATGCCCCACAAGTAATTTACTGCTGTCAAAAGATGGGAATTTTCATATTAAAATTTTATAATCCTTTCCAAGAGAATAAATGTGTTTTTCACTCAGACTTATAGTAATCCCTCTTACAGCTCTTGCGTGCCCTTCCATAACAATTTCATCATGATTTCTATTAATACTCCATACTCTCACAGTTCTATCACTACTTCCAGATACTAGCACATTTTCATTCCCAGTAAATTTCATAGATTTGATCAATCCTGTATGTCCTTTGAGAACTTTTATAATTTCACAAGTCTCGAAGCTTCAAATACTAATATTATTATCCATATGACTTATAGCAAAATATACTAAATTTAATTGAATTTTAGATAAAAATTATTATTTAACTTATCAGACTCATACAAATGAAAACTAAATATTTTTTCTTTGGGGAAAATTTTGCAAAAGTAATCACTGATACTGAACTATACAAAATAAATTGTACTTGTTTAGTAGCAATAGAATAAATTTTAAATTCCCTGCTGTCTCCAGCAGAAATTAAATGCAAGCCATCTCTGCTAATACACAAAGTTTTTATTTTTGAATCATGCTCATAAATTTCTTCAGAAATCCCATTACTATCTTTTCCATTTTTTGACATCCTTACAGTGCAATCTCAACTAGACGAATATACATAAGTTTCATCAGGAGAAATAGCTAACGCTGTTATTTTCCCAGTATGTCCCATATAAACCTGTGCAATCTCAAAAGTCAAAAGTGATAACTTTTTAATTGCCCAGCCAATCCCATTCCCGTCAATATCTTTTTCTTCAAAAGCTGCGAACGCAAACTGATCATTTTCACACACATCAATAGCGGTAATTTTTTCATTAATCCGGTAATCTTTTAACGTTTCTTTTTTGTCACAAATGACTATTCTTTTATTGGCGCCACAAGTAAATGAGTGTCCATCTCTCATGACTCTCATACAGGTTCCTTGAAAAGGGATTCTATGCCTTATTTATTTGAAATTGTTTGTAATTATATAGGATGATTTTTTTAATATTATGAATTTAGTAGGGAATAACTTCTCTAGGAAGTTGGTTGGAAATATAATGAAATGATGACTGAAAATCGCTGCGGATATCTAATGATGATTCTTGAATGATTTCTTGCATGAGAGGGTTAATTTTGATAGCATTGTCGTTAGGTTCTGCAAAAGTAGCAGGAAGACTAGCAGTATTAATAGGGTAGGATTCAAGCTCTGGCTCTATTTTAGAGTTGTAACTGTTAATCATTTTTATATTCTTTAACTAAGCAGAGTACATATTTATTGAAAACTAATATTCTAATTTGACTGAAAAATAGGGAAAATCTTTAGAAAGTTAAATATAAATTCTTTTTAATAATATATTTTAAGCTAAAGATTAATAAAAGGAATTTTAGTGATTAGCAACCTGCAGACGCTTGATAAGCTTCAAACCTGTTGTATTCTTCTCCTGAAGGGGTTGGAATTGTAGGATCATAGTCGACTTCAATATATCCTTGCATAAGTCTTGATCTTACATTACTAAATGTAGTTCCTGAAAGATATGGGAATGGGATCTTCGGGAATAAATAGCTGCCTTCATTGAAAATCATATATTGCTTAAATAAGTCTGTAGTCAGTCTTCCCAAATAGTAAACATTTACATTTCCGACTTGAGCATTTGAGTTAATCTGAACCTTAAACTTAAATTATTTATAAAGAAGTCTCCTGGAGAACTGCAGATTGCTAATTGCCTCCGAATAACGCTCCACTGTGGTTACTTATGAAAGAGTGCTTGAATTCGCTACCTGAGAGTCAGAAAGCTGATCGTCTGGTCAAGTATAAATCCCGCCCCCCTTCAATATAAAACAATATAGTCTTAATAATATTAAATATAATTGATATTGTAGTATTTTCTCTTCTAGCTTTTAAAATGTGATTTATAGCATGTTTTGTAAGGGAATTGCGTTTATAAGGCATCTAGCTGACAACCCAGCATGTTGTGAATGTGAAGTCACTGAAACGAGCATATGCTGATGCAATGCCCTCGATATGGCAAAATGAGAGAAAAGCTAAAAAGGAAATTGGAAATTATTGGGTTATAAGAATATCCAACAATTACTTAGTCTTAGTTAAATAGTGTTTAGCATGTCGACTTCTTCGGCAGGATGCAATTCGCGGCTCACCTTTAACTCATTAGTGACATCACCAGGCATCCGACGTCACCATATTTCAGGCTAGCATAGCATTCCTAAGCAGATTCTGCCTTCACCATTTACCATTAAATAAAACGAGCTTATGCCTATTGCAATCCTTAGCGGACCTATTTATTCAGATCCCCTGGGTACTCTGGTATAGCCATTCTTCAACTCCTCAGACTTTGCAATTTTCACCCTCCTAAACTTCCTGACCCTATCTGCTTCGATTTCTGCTTAAACTTCTACATTTGTTCCTGCTTCAATTTTTGCACTAGTTCATCAACTTTAGTTTCAGCTTCTGCCTCAATTTCTGCTACGATTTCTTCTTTAATTCTTGCCTAACTTCCTGTTTCTTTTTCTGCTCAGATTCCTGCTCTACTCCTGCTCTGCCTTTCCTGAGTCTTTTTGCTCTCCTCCAGATTTAGTTTGCCTTGTAGAGAATCTGAATAATTTCTTCTTCATCCATTATTTCTCCTTCAGTTCTTAGTGCTGCAGCACCAATTCGTTTTAGTTTTCAGGTCTTAAAGATTCTTCTTTAACTCCAATTCGCTATACTCAGCTTCCTTACCACCAAGAATCTCATTGACTTCATTTCAGAATTCATCATCTATGATTTATTTTCTCCCTTTATGCAAATAAAAAAATGGTTCCGCCTCTTCCAGGCTAGAAAGCCTAATGAACCGCGTTGCATTCGCTCTAGCTCCTGCATGTGTTCCATCTGAGGGTCACCATCCTTGGGTGTGCTAAAAGAAAAACCTCAAGCCTCTTGATGCACTTGGAGCAGTTCCAACATTATGACCCAAGTTAAACCTTATTGCTGTGCAGAAGTTCTCTAGGAAAACCCAATCCCATAAAAAAGTTCCATGAGGAAGAGAATAGAATCAGAGTAATTCCGATCAAACCAGATGCCATTTTATTTATAATACCCACAATTACAGTTTGGTTGAAGTAAATATTGACAGAGAAAGTAATGGTCACATTATAAGCCAAAGGATAGCTCCATTCATTAGTGCTTTGGCTATAAATTAACACTTGTACAGTAAGTGGCAGTTTTCCTTGAATCCCATAGCCACCAATAATATAGCATCTTGGAGTATCATAAAACGTGACATTAAGTGTTACTGGCGAATTAGGGTAAATTTTATTAAGCTCAGGGAAATATCCACTATTTGTATTTAAAATGTTAGGAAAGCCTGTAGGTAAGGTATCAATTGTATAGTGGCCATATACTTTTAAGGTGGAATAATAATAAGAATCAATTGTAAATTGGGTGATAAATACTTGGGATTGGCCGACATAAGCGTTTGAATTTGTAAAGCGATTTGGTAAAGCTACTGGAGGGTTTATGGTAGGAATTGAAATAGAAGAGGAATTTGTAGTTACTGTCCCATTGACCCAGAATGAAACATAATTGTTTTGGCACGAAAGAGAAGCGTTATAGTTAATAACTGGAGCTGCTACCCATGTTAAATCTGCTTTTACTTTAGTCCCAGGCAATGTTGGCCAATAATTTGCCCTTGAAATATAGGAATTAGTCTGATTTTGGAAAGCTGCAATAAAAAATGCAAAAAAAATTATTTTAAAATTATTTTTAAAAAAATAAAAAAGTATTTTATTTTTTTATCCCCAAAATGCAGTTGCATTATTTGACAAATAACTCGTGAGATTCGTCTGAATTGCAGTAACTATTGCTGTGCTAAGATTGGTTAAATTATACTGAGTATAATTCGTTATAATGTAATTTAATTTGTTGATTGTTATTATAGGAAGGCCATTCCCATAAGAGACAGTTGTGAAAAATGTCAAGTTTGCAGTAAAAGTTGTGTAGCCAGTCCCTGTATTATTTATTTTTTTGCCGACTTCTGAATAACTATAGCTGATTGTCCCTGTAAAGTTATTCAATGTGATATTCAGAAAATTCGGAGAAGATATCATCACATTTACCAAAGCTGGTGTAGACTTCATGGTAGAATTGAGCAGGACAATATTTGTTATATTGCAGACCACGCTTGTCTTAGAATCCAATGTTGTAAAATTGAACTTGCCAAGCTTCGTGTATGACACATCTCCCAATGCGTTTGGAAGAATGGCGCGAATATTATTGGCAACATCAGTAAAAGATCTTGATATCACCATCCCTGGAGTCACTGCAGACTTTACAAGTGATAAACATAGGACAAAGGCGAGAAAACTTATTTTCGTCAACATTTCTATTATATATTTATAATTGAAATTACTGGAATTATTATGGAAAACAATAGAAAATCGATGACTTTGTGAGGAGAATGATTATAATTTTATATTTTTCGTTGATATAAAATATAGAGGTTACATTTTTTATAAAAATTAAGATAATGGGTATCGCGATTAGTAAAGGTTCGTTTAAATAGAATAATCTTACTCCTGCCCATTAATTCGAGTGCAAAAAAAATTCCTCACGGTAGACAATGGTTGGCGAGCTGGGGTTCATTTTTTAAAAAAAAATATTTAAATATTTTTTTTCGATTTTAAAAATAATTCCCAATTTGTATATATTTGAAATCAAAAATCTAATTTAATTTATAATATTAATTTTAAGACAAAATTTTACTAATTATAGCTTTACAAAATTTTATTTGCTCTCTAACGAAGCGGTTAATTTCTCAAAAATAAGAAATATTCTAATGGCTTTGCACATTAACCAAGAGTTTAGGCAATTTGTTAGTGCTTTTAATAATTTATTGCGAATTTAATTCAATATTATGTCATCACCATTTTTAAGTCTGGGATGGTTTGCTAATTCATGAGGAATTACTTGGGAATTGTTTTCTAAAAAGCTTTTCAATGGGGCAAACATTTCTTCATCTTGAGGAGTTACAAAGGTTATCGCCTTCCCTAAGTTATTTACTCTACCAGTCCTACCAATTCTATGCTCATAGTCAGTAATTGTTGTAGGGCAATCATAATTAATTACAAGCTGTAAATCTTTGACATCAATCCCACGAGACGCTAAATTTGTAGTCACTAATATTTGGAATTTGTGACTTCTGAACCCTTCCATTGTAGCCTCTCTTGCTTCTTGGTTTTTGCCACCATGCAAACACCCAACTCTTCACCCAAATTTTTGCAAAAATCTCGATAACTCATCAGCTTCATTTTTGTGATTTACAAAAACAATAATCGGTGGTTTTGCTTTTTCTAAAATTCTTTTAATTTCCCTTCTTTTATCATTTTCTCTTAAAAATTTTAAACTTTGTGTAATTTTTGATGACCCAGTCCCAGGCTCTTTAATAGATACATACCCAGGATTTTTTAAATATTTTTTTCATAAATTTTCAATTTCACTATCCATAGTGGCAGAAAATAAATTAAAAGTAAGCTTATAAGTTTTATTTTCTTCATTTTCATTATTTTCTTTTCATAATTCTTTTGGAATACAATTCAAAATTTTATCAAGGGTCTCTTGAAGCTCTAATAAAATCATTTTGTCGGCTTCATCAATAACAACCCATAAGCATTGATTAAGGACTAAATATTGGTGTTGTAAGCATTCCAAAAATCGGCCAGGCGTTGCTATAATTATTTCATAGCCTCTTGTTAACTCAGCTGATTGGATTTCTAAGTCCTTGCCTCCTAGTAAGCAATAGCATTTTATGTCAGAGGATTTTGTAAGCTTTGTGGCTTCTTGATGGATTTGTTGAGCAAGCTCACGTGTAGGAGATAAAATAATGCCATAAGGCCCATCTAATGCGGTTTGATCATTTATTTTTGGGAATTTTGCTATGGTAGAAATCATAGGAATTAAGTAAGCTGCTGATTTTCCACTGCCAGTAGGTGCTAAAGCTATTAAATCGCTTCGTTGGAGGCCTATAGGGATAGCTTGCATTTGTATAGGTAGTGGACTTGCATATCCGGCTCGTCTGATAGCGCTTAATAAATCCTGGCTTAAATTTGATTCACTTCAAGTCCTTATTGGAGGTGGGATGTTTTGCCCTCTCACATAAATTTCATTATTTTCTCTAAAGATTTTCCAGTCTCTGTCTGTCATTAAAGAAGCATGCTTATTTTCTTCTTTTATTTCTTCGCTAACTATATCTCTGCTATTTTGTTTAGATTTGATGCCAAATGGAATTCTTTCAGGATTTAGAGAATTTTCAATAAAAGTTGTGTCCTCAGTTGGGTCTCATTCAAATTTAAAAACCTGTCTGAATTTTTCACTGGGTTTTTGAATAGTAGGGGCTGGCTTATTTTGGCCTAAATATCTAGATTTAATAGAATCAAATTCATGATTGACTGGGATTGATTTTTCTTCTTTTCGTGGAGAGCGGGAACGAGGCTTTGAAGCAGGCTGAGGAACTTTTTGGGTTTCTTCTAGTTCTTTTTTGAGTTTTGCTCTCTCTTCTTTAGAAAGAAATATAGGTTTAAATTCTGCCATGCAAAATGATAATGCTATTATTTTTAGCCATTTTTAACATTTTAATAACTGATGTAGGCAATTTTCTTGCTTTTTTGTTGGTGTTTAGGTTTTACTAGTTTATCTTTTAGATGTGACTAATTGTATTTCTTAATATGGCATAATTAATAGTTTTCAGTCATATTGACTCCATAATTGCTTATAAAATTACGCGAGTTTATTGGCTTATATTAGGCTGAAAGTGTTTTTGAATTTTAGATAAAAATATTGACTTACTTACCCCCCCCCCCCCCCTCCGTGAGCGAACAAAACCATTAGAAAAATCGCCATTTTTTGACCAAAAACCCACCCTCCGTGAGTGAACAAAAAATTTTTTTTAATAGAAAAAATTTTAATGGAAAAAAATTTTGATATATAAGTGATAATTAGTATAATGAAATCTAGAGCTAATTCTGTTTAATTTTAAACAAATTGCGTTTTAAAACATAAATTTTGCAAATTAAATTAATATTTGCTTCCCAATTTTTGCAAATTAGGATTTTTTTAAATTTCGAAAAAAAAATTTTTTATAAAATTTATATATAAATTTTTTTTAAAAAAAAAAAATTAACCCCCCTCCGTGAGCGAACAAATTTTTTTTGTTCGCTCACGGAGGGGGGGGGGGGGGGAGTTAGTAATTATGAATTATGTAAATTTTTCTGCTTGCTTTTTTATCTATTTTGCCTTTAAAAGCTGTTGTCAAATTAAAAATATTTTTATTCCTTGCTTCTCATATTCTCTATTTTTCACCCTATTTTAGGCTCAATCCCTTGCAAATTATATATATAAAAAATAACCAAAAATCAAATTTAAAAAATAATTTGTTAAAAAAATAATAAATTATATATTAAAAGATTTAGATTTATCTTATACCAATAATTCAATATATAAAATGACCACCAAAATGCACGAGTAACCCTTATTCAGCAAAAAATTATTTATAGGCGGCCTTCCATCAGAGATAAAAGAGGAAGAAATAAAAAATTATTTCAGTAGATTTGGGAGGGTTGAAAAATGCTCCTTAATTCTTGATAAAAATACAGGCCGTTCTAGATGCTTCGGTTTCATTACTATGATAAACCAAAGCTCTGTTAAGGTTATATTAAATAGAAAGCACTCAATTTTAGGTAAAGAAGTAGAATGCAAGCCAGCAGTTCCAAAAGATAAAAGTGAAAAAAACAACCGAAGTCGGAAAATTTTTGTAGGGGGTTTGCTTCCAGAAATCACTAATTCTGAATTTTTCCAATTTTTTCAACAATTCGGAGAAATCGAAGATAGTGTTGTTATGAAAGACAGAGTTACAGGGAAACCTAGAGGTTTCGGATTTGTAACTTTTTATAAACAAGAATCAGTAGAAAAAGTTATGAGAAATTTTTCCAACAATTTTATTCATGAGAGATGGGTTGAATGCAAAAGAGCCACGCCAAAAGATGAGATGGGCAATTCGGCAACGGTTATTATAGAGCCGGATTCGAGCTCATCAGAATTCACTGAAAGTGAATTCAAAAGGTGGTGGTCTGGTAGGAATAGTTGTGAAACTGAAGAATTGTGTAGGAGCCTTGTGGATTATGTCTTATCAGATGATGATAGGGAATAATGACATTTTGTCAATGAAATAGTAATAAATAATTTATAGATAGATAAAAAATAATGTAATTTACTTATCAGAGAAATGTTTTATAGCAGTGCTTAACTTTTGTATGAGTAAATTGGTAAAAGAAGATATATTAAGCAAGAAAGAAATTCAAATAGCAAGCAGCAAATTTTTTAAACTAATAAAGATAAATGGAAATTGGGTCAATAAAAAATAATTTTATATATATAAATCATATATGCTACAGGCGAAGTCAAAACTTGCGAAATAAATCCTGAGGGAAAATTAATGTATCAGCAGATATTTGGCATTTTCCAAGATAGTGATATCGCTGATATGTGGCAAAGTTTTTCATTAAAAAATTGATTTGATTAATAATGAGATGTCCGAAATAGAACAAGGGGATGAGTAAAACGAAAGAATAAATAGAAGGGATTTGATGGAAAAGCGGCAAAGTCGCAAATTATTTGAATGGAAAAATGGAGACATTGGAAAAATATAGGGTTTGGCCCTTAATAGCCCGATAAGGGCAGATGATTCCTGCGGAATTATCTAGTTGGTCCAACCAACTTAGTGCGTTGATCGGACCAACTCTCTCTTGTTGGTTGGATCAACTCGATGATTCCGCGGGATTCATCTGCCCTTATCGGGCTATTAAGGGTCAAATCCGATATCAAAAACATGAAGTAATAATGGTATTGAGTTTAATGTAAAGATTTTATTGCTTTTTAGAATGGATCTGGAGACGAGAATGAAAGGCATGGTCAATATGCTGGAAGCCATAAAAGCAAAAATAGGAGCATAATTTATTTAATTTCTTTGAATATTTGATCTTCTGTTTATATGGTTTAATGTATAGATTCTAATAAATTGAACAATGCAAATGACACAGCCTTTCAATGATATTTTAATTAAAATTCATTTCAGTTTTAATAATTTTTATTTTGAAAAATATATAAAAATTATCTATGCCTTCTTGTTGAGTTTTTCTTCCTTACCGTTTCTTCTTCTGGTTCTTTTTTCTCCACTTCCAGCTCTTCATCAGCTTCAAAGAGCCCTTCTTCTTCCGCTTCCACATTAAAAACTTCTGGTTTCACCCTTACAATCTTAGCTAATGCTTCCTGTGTGCTCATTTCAGCCTAAATAGCCCTTACCACTAAGTCCGCTGTTTTTTTATGTGCATAAGCCTCCATTGCTTTTCTTGATTCTTCTTTTTTCTCTTGAATTGGCTGGACAAGATCTTCAAGTTTTGCATAAATCAGCTCAAGCATATCATGAAGCGTATCTTTGGTTTCAGAAATTCGGCTTCCTGGGGCGATTTCTAGCTCTTCCCTCTATGAGTGAATAAAATATTTGAAATAGCCTTAATTTTTTGGAAAACCAACACTTCGTGAGTGGGCAAAATTGCTTTATTTTTAAACATTTTTTATAATAAAATATTTTAAATATCTTAAATTCTAAAAAAATTTTAATTTTAATGAATATGGATTTTTATTTAAAATTTAACCAGTGAGTGAGCCAAATATTTTTAATTGCTCACAGAGTGAGGATTAAGCTATTTGGTATATCTAAAGTATGCATAATTTTTTCTCCCCAGTTTAAAACTTGATCATAAACCCTTACAGCCTTGCCTAGTTTTTCTTTATTAAGGGAATATTCTTTATGAGACCCAGCTAGCTGGTCTTCCATCGCGTCTATGTCAGCGTAAACTTTTCGTGAATTTCCACCATCTTGAAGTTGAAGGCCTTGTAGTTGGTTTCTAGCTGCTGAATTTTGCTGTCGTAAAGTGTCTAATTTTTGTTCTGCTTCAGAGACCGCATTTAGAAGCTGAGTATACGTCTGTTCTCGGGTTAGAAAACGCTCCACAATATCTTGGACGTCCATGAGCCCAGTGGCAGCTCTAATTTTTTGAAAAGCTTGTTCAACACCTATAGCTTTTTGCATTTCAGCATCTAATTTACGTTGCAAAATGGTATACCAAAATCTATGCATGAGGAGACTTTCCCTCAGCTTTACCTCATGGGAATCTTTATCATCATTAGCAGCTGCTTCAGCGATATCGGCTTGGCGTTTTTGACGTTCTTCTCTTCTTAAAGCAGCTTCTTGTCGCAGTTTTACATTTTTTTCAAGCTGCTGTATGCGGTCGTCTTTTTGTTTTTTCTCTTGCATTAATCCATCCTTCATATCCTGCAGCAAAAATTTCGACTGGTATTTAGTTTCTCTCATTTTTCTGTATTTTTCTGTTTCTAGGTCTAAAATTTGTTTGGCAGATTTTAAGCCTAATTGTAAAGAGTTTGATTTTATTTCCATAGAAATTTTAATCTTGAGTATAATAATAAGGATTTAAGAGAAAAATGGTTTTAGATATTGACATAATTTTTAACTATGAGTATATCTTTTTTCATTCTATCTAATACATGCAAATAAGTTTTTTTGTCTCTTATTTCGTCTTCATGCTTTTTTCTAGTATTTTCAAGAGCAATTTTTAATTGCTCTAATTTTTGTTGTAAATTTTTTGAATCATTTTCTGCGATATTTGCGACAGAATTAGCTTTTTCTAGCTCTTTTTTGATTTTTTCTAAATATTGTCGTTTTTTAGCATTGGCTTCTTTAGTTTTATCATGTCTTTTTCTAATCATCATAAGCTGCGCGGCCACTTCTTTAGTTTCTTCGTCATTATCTAAAATATCATCATTTTCTGGGTCACTAAAATGGCTAGCTTCGTTTTGAGTTATCATGACCTTGGGGTTTTTTGACTTCATAATGGGTGTGATCGATCTTCCTGATGGAAAAGTTCTAAATTCAGACATATTTAGATTTACAGTCAAATTTTTATTTCATGACACTACTATTTTTAAAAAGATTTATAGATATACATAGAAGAAACGAATGAAATGTTTTCTCAGTGTTGGGTATATGAAGTGTTTGGTTATAATCAGTAGCACTAATACTAGGGGCGGGAGGTTGAGATTCATTGTTTCGGCTTAATTCCTAGGACAGCTAAATGCATATCTTTTGCCGGCAGGGCCAAGATAAGTGGATAATGAAATGAGGAAGCGGTATACCTTCAGAAGTTGCTTTTGTGGCTTGCCAATCTATTTTACTATCTCAAAAGATGATCAGAGCAAAGTGAAATCAAATTAGATACGAAAAGTAGGGATCTCTCCAATTGAAAATGCTTTTCTTTGGAGCGATTTAGCTGGAGCTTGCAGCATTCACCCTCTACTATCCGCAGCATTTTACTTCTGAATAAGAGAATTTATTCTATTGACATTCATAAGAAGGTTAACGAGACATCATCAATAATTTGCATTAAACAGCCAAACGTAAAGTCCTTATAGAAATTTAATTTGTCAAGCTGTAATTTTCATTTGCATATCTCTACTACTAACTGCAACCAATTAATTAGCCAGGAAAAATACTTGCTATAACTCTTACACCTTAAGGCATGCTAAGACATAATAAATAATCCTTTATACTTTCAAACATTAGAGAAATCCTTATTTTACGTTCCAATCTTACTAATTATCCTCAAATAAAAGGCATAAATTTTGGAGAACTTTTTGGGACGGCAAAAATACTGCAAGGCTCTGCAAAAAACTGCAAGGCAGTAAAAAAATGGCAAAGCCAAGCAAAAAAAATGCAAAACTTGCAAAATTTTTGCAAGTTTTGCAAAAAACATTGGACAAAAGCAAAAGCAATTTAAAAAAAAAGCAAAGCCATGCAAAAATTTAAAAAAAAATGAAAAATTTCGCAAAGCAGGCAAAACTTTTGCAGGGTGGCAAAAAAGTTGCAAAAATTGGCAAAAATCACGATTAGAAAATTTAACAGTAAAATTTAATAATTTATTGGAAGTGTAGTACAATGTTAAATTATTTAAAAAACATATAATATAGAAAAAATAGAAATTAATTTCGTTAAATAAATGCTAAAGTTTAATACAAATATCTTTTAAAGAATTTTCTAAAAGCATGACTTAAAAATTTTTCAAAATTTGGCAAAATTTTAAAATGAGATACAACAAAGTGTTTTGCCAAAATTAAATTTTCCAAATTTTTAAAATTCTTAAGTTATGTTTTTGGAAAATTCTTTAAAAGATATTTGTATTAGACTTTAGCATTTATTTCACGAAATTAATTTCTACTTTTTCTATATTATATGTTGTTTAAATATAATTTAACATTGTACTACACTTCCAATAAATTATTAAATTTTACTGTTAAATTTTCTAATCGTGATTTTTGCAATTTTTTGCAACTTTTTTGCCACCCTGCAAAAGTTTTGCCTGCTTTGCGAAATTTTTCATTTTTTTTTAAAATTTTTGCATGGCTTTGCTTTTTTTTTAAATTGCTTTTGCTTTTGTCCAATGTTTTTGCAAAACTTGCAAAAATTTTGCAAGTTTTGCATTTTTTTGCTTGCTTGGCTTTGCCATTTTTTTACTGGCCTTGCAGTTTTTTGCAGAGCCTTGCAGTATTTTTGCCGTCCCAAAAAGTTCTCCATAAATTTTCTGCTAATTTTTAATAAATTGATAAAATAAATATCTAAATAAGCTTAATTAAATTAATTATTATTAATTCCTATTCAAAGTAGGCTATTATAATTAAATTTTGTGATTAAATATTAAGACCATTACGCTGGAAAGCTTTTTATAATTGCTAATCATTAAATTAATTTTCATTGAAATTTTATTGGCTATATGGGTTGCTAATTACTGAATTGTAAGATTATTGACAATTATTATATATGCCATAAGGATAATTCATCATTCATATATAAAATGCCTTTAGATTTTTCTTTTCTAGTAATAAAATAAATATGCTCTAGAGACCTTAGGCTGCGTAATTATCCAGTAGTTTTTTAGTTAAAATGAAAATAAAAATTTAATCGAAATTATGACATTCATAAAAGATTCTTTAAAATTTAATAATAAAATAATAATTTCATCAGAATTAATTTTATTTTTTTAATTCGAAGTTTTGCACCATATGCTTTCTTTGATATCCTTACATTTTTTATTTAAGCTATTCCACCTATTTTTAACCGAGTTTTCTGTTCTCCCAATCATTTCCCTGGAAATTTTGCTTCATTTCGTCCCGTATTTCCCTACTAAACCTAAAAGTTGCAGATCTTCTTCTTTGGTTCATTCGCATTCTAAATTATCTTTTAAATGCTTTTAGATTGAATTTTAGATTGGCTTAGAATATTGACTACAAAAAAAGTATTATGCAACGTTATAGTTTTAGTCATATTAATATAATACTTCATACTTTTTAATTCAGGATTTAAATGATTGATCCATCTCTCTCTTATGTGCTTTCCTTTTCGTAAAAGATTGCCTCCATAAATTTGATTATTTATGAATTTGGCTATGAAAGTCCAGGACTGATTTCCTCTACTGACAAAGTGACGAATAATTTCATCTTCCTCAATTTTTCAAAGAAGATCTCTGGAGCCTCCTTTACTAACTCTTCTCCCTTTAAGACATTAAAAATATTGGATGCTGAAAAATTCCTCTTGAAGCGTAACAAAGAATTTTAATATAGTTTTTTTATATAAATTATTTTTAATATAATTAAAAATTGCTATAAACAAGATCTCTAATAATTAAGACAGCCTGAATCCTTAAAAATCGAATTATATAAAAAGCATTATCTTCCCTTTAAGAGCAGAAAAATCTGCCCCACTCTTAAAGGGTGGAGAATAAGGAATAATGTATCATTTAAATTTAATTCGGGCACTTTTTGATTTATTTTGTCAGCAAGTACTGGAGAAAGCTCTCCAGTAAATGGATTCTGATAAAATGGAATTCAGACAACATTTTCTATACCAGTAGGAGGTGGAAGAACGTTATTAGCCCAGCTGTTATTTGAGATCAGGGATTCTTTATTATCAAGGTCCATATTGTTTATAATACCTTTTAATGGCCATATAATTTTTATCATGTAACTTTAAATATCAGTTAATATAGTTACTAGTAATAAACTTCTAATAAATGGCAAGTTTCTTCAGGTCAGGCAATAAATTTATATACTTATAGGATTAAAAAGGAATTAAGCAGGTTAAATAAGGCTTCAAAGCATGGTTTTACTTACTCCCGCTTTAAGTTGGAAAAACAATTTTTTTATTTTATTTATACTTTAAAAATTATTTGATTTTGTCTATATAATAAAATTGGGTATAAAAGCTGATTACATAAAAATTATTATTTTATCTATAAATAATATTTTGTTTAATTTTAAAGGAATCAATTTATCCAAAAATAAAAAGTTAGGAAAATAAAATCTGTCGCTAAAAATTAATTTTCTGATTCTTTAAATTTTATAAAAAACTTCTGATTAAAAACACCTAGAATTATTAATAATTTAAAACAGATAAGCAATGAAAAGATTAATTTTTAAAGATTGCTTGTAAAAGGATCTAGTTTTGAATTCAAATTAGCTCTTTTCTTGTCTTTAACTTTATATTTAATTTCAAATACAATTTATAATAGCTTGCTTTTCGTAAAGCAACCATTTTAGAAGACAATGGGAATTTGAGTATATCTAAGAAATTAATAATTTAGCAATAATGTTATTAAGGGAAAATTTACTGAAATGCTCTAATATTTATCCTAATTATACGTTTTGAACTGAAGAAATCACTTTGGCACCCTCAAGTTCAAGTTCTAGAATTCTTTGATTCCCTATTTGTTTTCTTTTAATCCAGATTCCTATTTCAAGTGCAGATATTTGGATAGCCAAACTTAAAAACAATATCAAGTAAGTTCATACATTCTTATAGACTCTATAAGATTGAAATATCTAGTTAATTTCAGAATTATTTAGCTAAATTACTCCATTCTCTAATTAAAATTAACACAAAAATAATTCAATATACTAGAAATGGGTATAATTCATCAAAGGGTAAACCTCGTGTACTGCGATTGAATATGGCACATTTATGCAAATCAAATAAACCATGCTAACTCCAATAGGAAACACGCAGTGTTTTCGTGACATGATTATCTCATTTAAGGCAAAATCAATAATCACAAGAACAATAGGCAAAATATGCAATAAAATATCAGTAATAATATCATGGCCTTTTAGAGGACCAACAATACCCCAGAATACCACAAAAATGCACCACCCAATACATCATACTGTCTCGAAAAGGATAAAAGTAGCAGGCATGTACTTGGAATAATAATAGGATATTGATGAAACTAGGAAATATCCTTTATTATATTAACAGGAATCACACATTTATATAAGCAATTAACATAATAATTTTATTTAAGTATTGTATTTAGTATATATTGCTGTTAATGTGAGACCCCAATTTGTCAAATAAATAAAAAAATAGAAGGAAGTCCTGAAGATACCAACAATAAATATTGATAGCAATATTAGGCTAAAGCCTATCCTTAAAAATTTAAGCATACGGAAGCGATTTGTGTCAGATCTAGGAGTTGAGTCACCTGAGGAGTTCATTAATTTTTATAAATGAATTTATATTATTTCAATCACTTAAATAGAAGATATGAATTTACATTAGAAAAAGGCAATAAAATTTTAGCCTCTGAAGTATCAGAAGCTTAATTCTTGTACTAATCTTATAAAACATAATATTAATGGATTATGAATAAAAATACAGCTAATTAGCATTTCTTTAAAAAATTAAAAGAAATTTTTTGTAAGTTTTTTGATTCAGGATTATTTGCAAGGTCAGTTTAAGAATAATTCTGGAATATGATGAACCATTTTTATATTATATTTTGTATATGATTTTAAGCTAAATAATGCCTCTGCTAATTTTTAGCTTTTTTTAGAAAAATACTTTGGCTTATTGAGCTTTGGTTGATTTAAATTAAAGAATTATTGCACTAATAATTTTTCACAATGATAAATTATTTGCTTATTCCCTAAGATTCCAATATATTAATCGAATATTTTCATTTACGAAATATTTTCCATAAAAGTTATTTTTATTAAATATGCAATGAATTTATCAATTTCTTCTCCCTCATCTAACAGTCCATAATACTTCTCTTTGCTTATCCTCGACCATAAATAATAATGCATAACCGCTATATCATAACGATTAATTTATAATAAATTAAAGAATTGAGAAACAATGGGCTGTTGTCAGTGTAATAAGCCAGATAAAGGAGAGTTAATTCAAATTGAAAACGCTGTAGAACAGAGCCAATATGAATTTAAAAAATCTGCTGACGAAGAATTCGACGATATAAGCTTATCATCACAAAATACATCGCAAATAGTATCGGGAAAATGAAAAGCAAAAAATATTTCTCATATGAGGTCACTATCAACGCTATCAATTAAATCTTTTGGAGGCTCTCTTATGAGAGGGGAATATGAAAATGCATTCCTTATATCAACCCCTTCATCTTCTCTGTATGGAAGCTTAGTAGAAGGCGAGCTTTCTGGGCCAAAAGAATTCTTTAGGCTAATGCATAATTAAATGTTCATACAAATTGATAATTTTATGGATAAGGCTAAGAGTAATTAATTATGAAATTGTATAATTAATATCGCCTTAAAAATTTTGAGAATATTTTTAATGGATTAATAGCTGATGAAGGATTTTAATTTAGGAGTAGTGAGAAAATTTTTTGAGGAAATTGTCATTTCAGCTAGAAGCACTTAATTGATATAAAATAGTTTCTGATCTCAAAATAGATTTTCTTAAATAATATGTCCACTGGTTCCCTTTTGAAAATTTAGGCTAAAAGTCAGTAATTGAATCATAAGTTGAATTATTTTCTAAGTAAATTTAAGTAAAATAAATTCTAAGCTTATTTATCAAACACCATATAAAAAATTCAGTAATCCTATATCTATTTAAGGATCCCATTACTATTAAAATATGTATCGATTGGTGAGGAGAGGAGCCTCTTTCCGCTTCCAAAAGCTAAATGAAGGTTTAGCAAAGCAGCTCGCTGTTCAACCAGCATCATGTCCAGATACCAAAGGTTTTATGGATAAGCTTGCACATCTCCGTCAGCAATCTGTTTTCGGAGATGCAAAAAGAATCGAAAAGCAGCATGTAAAACACAAGCTTTCAGCTAGAGAAAGAGTTGAATTGCTCGTAGATCCTGGCACATTTGTCGAATACGATCAGTTAGTGACTCACAGATGTACAGATTTCGGAATGGAAAAAACCAAACATCCAGGTGATGGATTAGTTTCTGGACATGGCTATGTTGATGGAAAACTGGTCTTTGTATACAGCTACGATTTTACTGTTGGCGGAGGCACCTTATCAGAAACCGTTGCTGAGAAAGTATGCAAAGTTCAAGAAAAAGCATTAAATGTAGGAGCTCCAATTATTGGACTCAACGACAGCGGTGGAGCTAGAATCCAAGAAGGAGTACAGTCACTCGGAGGCTACTCTGACATTTTCTACAACAATGTTCAAGCCTCAGGTGTTATCCCTCAACTTTCCATGATTATGGGACCTTGTGCTGGAGGAGCTGTGTATTCTCCTGCATTAACAGATTTTATCTTTATGGTTAAAAACTCTTCCTTTATGTTTGTGACAGGTCCAGATGTCGTAAAGGCAGTGACCCACGAAGAAATCGATATGGAAGGCCTCGGTGGAGCTAAAGTTCACAGCTCAAAATCTGGTGTCTCACATTTCGCATTGAATAACGATGTTGAAGCTTTAATGTTTGTTAGAAATTTCTTAGGTTTCTTACCAAGCTCAAATAGAGAAAAAGCTACTCCAAAACCAACAGCAGATCCTTTCGATAGAGAAATCCCAGTTCTCGACAAATTTGTCCCAGAAGATCCTAATAAGCCTTACGATATGAGAGTCGTCCTCAAATCAATCTGCGATGATGAATATTTCTTAGAAGTTCAGCCTGACTACGCTAAAAACATTCTTGTTGGATTTGGAAGACTTGGAACTGAGACGGTCGGATTCATAGCAAACCAGCCACAATCATTAGCTGGTGTTTTAGACAGACTTTCTTCAATTAAAGCTGCAAGATTCATCAGATTCTGTGACTCATTCAACATTCCGATTGTCACTTTCGAAGATGTTCCTGGGTATTTGCCAGGAGTCCATGAAGAACACAATGGTATCATTACCCACGGTGCTAAAATCCTTTACGCTTATTCAGAAGCTACAGTACCAAAGATCACAATCATTACAAGAAAAGCTTATGGTGGAGCTTACTGTGTGATGAACTCCAAACACTTGAAAGGAGATTTCAACTATTCATGGCCAACTGGAGAAATCGCTGTCATGGGAGCTAAAGGAGCTTGTGAAATTATTTTCAGAGGAGGAGATATTCCTGCTGAAACTAAGAAATACGAAGAAAAATTCGCCAATCCTCTAATTGCAGCACAGAGAGGATTTATTGATGAAATTTTGACTCCTAGAGATACCAGAAAGAGACTTATCCAAGATTTGAGACTTCTGAAAACTAAGAAAGTTGAAAGACCTTGGAGGAAGCATGGGAATGTCCCACTTTAAGTTAACCAAATTAAAAATGGGCAAATTGACTTTGAAATTAATTTTTAAAATTGATTGATAATAGATATGCTAATATAGCACTGATAAATTTAATTTTTTATAGCATCACATAGAGTTAATTAAAATATCTTTTACTGATTAAAATATACTTTCACTTTTAAATTTTTAGTTTATTTGGTTTTACAGATGATTATGTCGCATAAAATAATATTGGATTTATCCCTGAAAAAAACTTTTATTGCTCGCTTACATGAATTTTTCTGGACTTTATAATCTAAATCAACTTTATAAATAAATAACAGATGAGCATATACAATTTAGCACAAGCTTGAGCAGCGATATAAATTCAGGAATAATTCAATGAAATTAAATTCTATGGATAAAATTTTAATTCCAGTTCTATTAATAATACTTTTTTGATGCTGAAGTCATTGATACCTAAGATAATTAATTTAACGTGAAAATCTATGCATTTGGCAAGCATATCAAAGTTTCTGATACCAGAGATATTTTTATAAATAATATGTCTGGAATTTACTTTATAAACTTTTATCTGAAATAAAATGCAGGCTCAAAATTAAGTTTACTTGCAAAATATAATAAATTAAAATAGCTAATTTCAGTATCATATAGAAATTCAGTAATTCTTGATCTATTTGAATAATCCCATTTACTATTAAAATATGTATCGATTGGTGAGGAGGGCATCCTCTTTTCGCTTCCAAAGGCTAAATGAAGGTTTAGCAAAGCAGCTCGCTGTTCAACCAGCATCATGTCCAGACACTAAAGGATTCATGGACAAGCTTGCACATCTCCGTCAGCAATCTGTTTTCGGAGATGCAAAAAGAATCGAAAAGCAACATCAAAAACACAAGCTTTCAGCTAGAGAAAGAGTTGAATTGCTCGTAGATCCTGGCACATTTGTCGAATACGATCAGTTAGTGACTCACAGATGTACAGATTTCGGAATGGAAAAAACCAAACATCCAGGTGATGGATTAGTCTCAGGGCATGGCTATGTTGATGGGAAATTGGTCTTTGTATACAGCTACGATTTTACTGTAGGTGGAGGCACCTTATCAGAGACCGTTGCTGAGAAAGTATGCAAAGTTCAAGAAAAAGCTTTAAATGCAGGGGCTCCAATTATTGGACTCAACGACAGCGGTGGAGCTAGAATCCAAGAAGGAGTACAGTCACTCGGAGGCTACTCTGACATTTTCTACAACAATGTTCAAGCCTCAGGTGTTATCCCTCAACTTTCCATGATTATGGGACCTTGTGCTGGAGGAGCTGTGTATTCTCCTGCATTAACAGATTTTATCTTTATGGTTAAAAACTCTTCCTTTATGTTTGTGACAGGTCCAGATGTCGTAAAGGCAGTGACCCACGAAGAAATCGATATGGAAGGCCTCGGTGGAGCTAAAGTTCACAGTTCAAAATCTGGTGTCTCACATTTCGCATTGAATAACGACGTTGAAGCTTTAATGTTTGTTAGAAATTTCTTAACCTAATAATGTGTATATGCATTATTATATAATCTTAATTTTTATATATAAAAAGTTAAACAATATGCAAAAATATTTTTTAAATTTGAAAAAAAATTAAAGAGTAGAGTTAGGTTTCTTACCAAGCTCAAATAGAGAAAAAGCTACTCCAAAACCAACTGCAGATCCTTTCGATAGAGAAATCCCAGTTCTAGACAAATTCGTACCAGAAGATCCTAATAAGCCTTACGATATGAGAGTCGTTCTCAAATCAATCTGCGATGATGAATATTTCTTAGAAGTTCAGCCAGATTATGCCAAAAACATTCTTGTTGGGTTTGGAAGACTTGGCACAGAAACTGTAGGCTTTATTGCAAATCAGCCACAATCATTAGCTGGTGTTTTAGACAGACTTTCTTCAATTAAAGCTGCAAGATTCATCAGATTCTGTGACTCATTCAACATTCCGATTGTCACTTTCGAAGATGTTCCTGGGTATTTGCCAGGAGTCCATGAAGAACACAATGGTATCATTACCCATGGTGCTAAAATCCTTTACGCTTATTCAGAAGCTACAGTACCAAAGATCACAATCATTACAAGAAAAGCTTATGGTGGAGCTTACTGTGTGATGAACTCCAAACACTTGAAAGGAGATTTCAACTATTCATGGCCAACTGGAGAAATCGCTGTCATGGGAGCTAAAGGAGCTTGTGAAATTATACGAATATATAGTGACTTATTAAAAAAGGTTTATAAGATATTTAATTACAAATTTACCACATAATAGATTATTTTCAGAGGAGGAGATATTCCTGCTGAAACTAAGAAATACGAAGAAAAATTCGCCAATCCTCTAATTGCAGCACAGAGAGGATTTATTGATGAAATTTTGACTCCTAGAGACACCAGAAAGAGACTTATCCAAGACTTAAAGCTTCTGAAAACTAAGAAAGTCGAGAGACCTTGGAGGAAGCATGGAAATGTCCCACTTTAAGTTAACCAAATTAAAATTGGGTAAATCGAATTTTAAATTAACTTTAACTGTATATTTCAAAATGGCAACGACACCTCAAAAGAGTCCGATTCAAGAGACACTTTCAAGCATAAGACAAGCAATAGAAAAACTAAGCCCTTCTCAAGGACTTACTCACACAAAGTCTCAAATTCCTCCCCTATTATCTAATGAAAGTTCTCCTGTCAGCTCTGACAGCCAATTTACTGTAGAAAGCTCAGATGAAAATCGTCATATGATTTACAGCTTATCATCTATTAAAGAAAAATCTCCAAAAGGCGACAAATCATTAATTTTCCAAACCTCAGAAAATCTTCTTAGGTCATCTCATTCAGTAAGTGATTTGACCAGTCCCAGATTCAAATACAATTTCAATGAGTCTGCTACAAAAAATAAAGAAAATTGGGAACTTCAAATGCTGCTTGAGTATGAAAAAGAAAAAACTGCGAAACTTGAATTAAAAGTCGAAGAAAGAGAAAATATCATTGAGGAATTAACAAAAAAGCAACAAAAAATTATGCAAGAGCTAAAAGAAGCAAAAGATAATTTTAATAATTTGAGAAATGAAAGAGAAAGCTATGAAATGCAGTTTGAGAAAAAAATTTATAATATTTTTAATATACTTGAGTCTGATTATAATTTCAATAAATTATTTTTTATTTTTTTAAAAATAATTAAATAGGCTGGATGGGCTGATGGAGAATTCAATATAAAAATTATATAAAACAGCAACATATTTCGTTAGAAAATAAACACGAAAAATTGCAACAGCAGTATGAAAATGCACAAAATCAATTAAATGCTACAGATCTTAACTTAAATTAACTTAAATTATTAATAGACAGGCTCTCGCCTTAATTTTAACGCAATCACCGAGGATCTTCAAAACTGAGATTCATCCGCTTTGTAGCTGTGTCCTCCACCAGGGATGGCAGTATCTCCTTCTCACCTTTCGACTCCAGTGTTAAGTGGGCAGGCTTCAGGTTTGTGCGGCTTGCTTGACATGATGTGTGAGTGAGCAAGGATTGTCCACACAAAAATCCAAAAATTTGGAATTTCTGGTCTACTCTTGGCAAAAAGGAAAAACAATTAGCCCAGGGCATAACTCCTGGCTTCACACTGATGAAGTGCTCAATTGATCTCAGTATTGCTTGTAGACATTGCTATGCGACCTCTTTCCAACTTTGGTGCCACCCTTACCTTTGAGGCAAAATCCATCCTTGAATGCGGATTTGGGCTAGACGCTCTAAAACGTCAATAATTGCTGAACTAGCGTTGCTGTCCATTTCTGGGATGGCAAAACCTTTCCTATATAATTAATATGTGTTCGAAGGAAGTCAGTGCAGCCACCGCGAAGCGGTGAGACGCTATATTTCATTATTAAATGCTAAGGATCAGCAAATAAGGAACTTAGAATTAGAAAGACTAAATAATCAAAGGCTTGAGGAAGACAAAATCAAAAAAATGGAAGAATTTGAAAGGGAAATCACAAGATTAATAAGAGAAAAATCCAACTTCTCTAAAGAAAATGAAGAGTTACAAAACACGATTCTGAGCCAAGAAAGACAAATTGTCCAAATGAAATCAAGCATCTCTGATATGCAAAGAGAAATTGCAAGGCTGAATTCCGGAAAAAATATTAAAGAAGCAGAAATTAAGACTTTACTTGAAGAAAAAGATAGGCAAATTGGACAGCTTAAAAGAGAAAATTCAAGAAAAGACGAAGAAATAGAGAATTTATTAAATAAAAATAGAGTATTTGAAGAAGAGCTGCGAGAAATGAAGTTGCACGCTCTTGACGACAAAAACCATGAATTTGTAGTAATGAAACTAAAAGACAAAATTTCTGCCTTAGCTAAAGAAAATGAACAATTATCCCACGATCTCAAGCATAAACGGAAATTAGAAGAAATCACTGTTTTCCCTTCCGATGCTAATAGATCTCCACTTAGATCGCCCAAAAAGAAAAAAGAAAATTACCACAAAAATAATAAAGAAAATTCTCATTTTTCCAATGATTCATTGATCAGTGAAATTTTATTGAATTTAAAAATAGAAGCAGCCAGCGAAATAATCCCAAAAATAAAACAAATTCAAGGGGCATCACACACAAATGCTGAGCTAATTAAAAGAATTTCTCAGCTTATAAAAACATGTTCACCTCCAGGGGTTTTTGGATCTGAGCCATCAGCAAAACAAGTGTGAAAATGGATTAGGAGGTTAATGGAGGATTATGTGAAATTAAAGCAAAATATGGATTTTGATGGAAATAAAGCACTTGTTAATAGGCTGACTGGGTTTTTAAGAGTTACAGAACCAAATGAGCTGTTGAATGAGCTGAATGGCTTGCTAGCAGATCATCACGCTATGCAGCTTTTATTAGATAAAATCGCTGTAAAGTTGAGGCTGAGTCCAAATTCCTCACTAAGAGAAATAGAAGAAGAAATTGATGTAATTTTGTAACTAATCTTTATTGGGAATAATTATTAGACTGCTATCTTTTACTTTATCGGTTTTTAAGCAGATTAATATATGCTATTCATTTATTACGAATTCTTTAAGCTATAGAAGAAAATCATGCAAAATTATTCCTCCATATGTATTAATATTAATATATGGAAGCCAGTAAAAGTTTAACTCCAAATCCTCACGTTTCCACAATTATTAAAGTAAACGAATCCAGCAACTGCAAAAACTGCATAAAAAGCATATATTTTTCAAAAATCACACAAATTCTATATATTCTGCTGATCATTGCATGTCTCTTTACTACAGTATGGATCATTATTGAATACGGGCATTTTCAAGGTACAATTTAAATAGATCCTTTATGGTTTGTTATACTTGAATGAGTTATTGCAGTTGCTGTTATGTTGGAGCTAATAGCAAGATTATATATATTTGGCTGTGCATGGTTTTTCAAGACATGGATTAATATCATAGATCTCATTTTAACAGTGGCTTCGTCTATAGCTATCGTCATAACATTTTATGTGGATTTTGAAAGAGAAGACGACTTGCCAGGAGTTGCAGGCAACATTATTTTAGCTGTAAGAAACTTTGTTACTTTAATTAGGGTTATCATGTTCATTAAAAGACTGAGAAATGCAGGAGTCAAAAGTGTTCATATTGACAGCTTACACAGTGGAGAATCCAACTCTCCCCTAATCCCTTCAAAATCTTAATTAATACAGAATACTGTTAATTAGAAGAAACTATAAAAAGCTTTATTGTTGTATAGTCAAAAATCTGAGGCTTGCTGTTTCTGCTATAAATTGTTCCCCAAATCAAAGAGCTCAGCCAATTTATTGTTTGTCTTGTGGAGTGGAATTTACGTAGATATAAAATATGAGGCACAGGGAAAATTCCGACCATTGTCGTTTTTTTGAGAAAATCAATAATTTCAGTTTCGATGATTTGGGAATTTTTCGAGCAGAGTTTTTCTATACGAGGCAATAAATCGGTATATAGAGCTATTAAAAGCCCAATTGGCAAATTGTTTTTGAAGTTTGTAAATCATTCTTCTGAGATATCCCATGCAGGTTCTATAGGGGGTTCATATTGTAAATTTATGAATTTGTCGATTATGCTCTTTTTGCTGATAATTGCATAGACCAAGTATAAGCTTCCATCCCATTGATATTGAAGACGGTTGTTGAAGACGTCTAAAATTTGATATAAATAGTTTGCATTTTTCTTGTCTTTATAAATAAATTTTTTAGCTGAAAAATGCTCAAAAAGGGCGAAAAGTTTGAGAGATGAGGAATTTCCGATTTTCTTGATGTGAGGAGATAAATTAAGTAAGATTATCATAAATGTTGAAATTGTGTCTGTCAAATTCGGATTTCCTACAATTATTGTGTGAAAAATATTAATAAGGATATCAAAATAATATTCTAGCCCTATAATATTTATAGGTAAATGATTCTGATAAGGCTTTGCCATTTGGATAGAAAATTCTCTTTCGCTTGAAAAATGCAAAATTATGAAAATTGATAATTGAACAATCCCTGCCTTTGTTAAAGTTTCATGATTATGCCAAATAATAACTAATAAAAGATCAATAATTTTGTGAAATTCTTGATGCTTTATAACAGCTTCTTTGAAATTTGTATTAAAATCTATCAAATACCAAAACAATATTAATAACTCTTGGAAATAGACAATATCTTTTGAAGTTATTGACAAATAAGACACCATTGAATCAATGATTGTTCCAAAATGCCGGACAAAGCTGTTGATAATAAAATCAAATTGTTCGGTGTCTTCAATTTCTTTTAAACATTCAAGAAATACGTTACCAAGCTTTAACTGGGTTTTTATGCTGGAATTCTCTACAAAACCATTATGAATTTCTAATAAAATGTTATATACAGCTGACAGCTCTTCATTATTTTCAATAGCATGAATTTCAGGGACTTTTGAGTCTAAAAGGACAATCAATACTTGTGCAGCCAATGATGCTTCGTTTTCTGAAGCTGATTGAGATGAAAATAAGCCAAATCCTTCTTTAGAGAACCCTAAAGCTGTGTTAAACAGGCTATAAAATGCATCTTTACAGTGTCTGATTTCATATGAAGAAAACAGCCAAGTCCAAGGATTAATAAAATTTTCAGCTGTCGATAAATCTGCATATAGCGTTTGTGAGCAGCAAGATAAAATGCATCGTAATGTTTCCACTCTATTTTCATCAGAAATTTCATAAGAAACGTTTTGAGGAATACTCGAATAAATTCCTTCCTTCCAAATTCTGCCAGGATCGACATCGTAAGGGCTTAAATTGCTGACAATATTAATCCCGAAGTTATATCGAAATAAAAGCCCCATCAGTCCATCGACAATTCCAAATGCTACGCCGCTTTCCCATAGTGTTGCCCTAATTTCTTGATTTTCCAACAAGATCGGAATAATTCTACTCACAAGTCTGACGGCGTTTAGCACAATATTTCTATGAAAATCTCCTTCGCCTTCTTTTGAGCCTTTTCATATCAATTCTTTGCATACTTTTATCACTGCTAACACGTTTTCTGGATGTTTGCTTAATAAATCCCTAACCATAGCAGGACTTACAGCTGCGTAAATATCATCAAAGGAATAAGGAATTCTGATCATTTCAATCCAATATGCGTTGTCCATCTCGCTAAGATTTTTCTCAAAAAATCCTGAAATGTTATTCTTGAAATGAGCTTGTGAATCACTATTCCCCATTTATTATAAAAACAAATCTTATCGACTATGGCCAAGTTATTTTTTGTTTGTTGCTGTTTTATAATTATAAGTTATACATATAGCTTAGCTATAGACGAAGACATTGTTTTTGGTATCGAGGACGCCGATTTATATGATAGCGATGATCAAGACGCTAAACAAGGCAAAGGGCAAGAAAAAATTTTTAATGTAGATTGGTTTAAAATTGTAATCGGGGTGCTCCTACTTGTAGCAATTATCCCTTTGTGTTGTTGTGTTTGCTTGTGTGCATATTTATGTCTTAAAGAAGATAATTTCCAAAGAAATTCTCTTTTAATACCATTAAAAGATCAATATACTGAACCATCTTCTGTTATAAATTCACCGAACCACTTATGAAAAGCACGAAGACTTCGCTCGCATCAAGGTCCAGTACTAGCTGCACCAAAATAAAGAAAAAAAACTGTTTAAGTCTTAAAATATAATATTTAGAACTTATTTTTGCATTTCAACAGATGGAAGCCGCTTTACTTTCATGCTAAGTCTCAAAATTTCTTCATCATCATCGTGCATTTTTACAAAATTGCTCAGCAATAAATTAACCTCGCAATTGAAATGAGGGTCAGTCATTTTTTCTTTGTATTCCATAATATTCGGAATTTCCCCTTTAAAAGATATTGAGTAATCCCCATTTTCAACCTTCAAACTTACTTTCATCGGCTTTCGGGCAATTCTGTACAAAAAAATGTGGAAAATGCCTCCATAACTTTTCGCGTGAACGACCAGTGGATCATTTCCAAATCTTCAAACTCCTTTCGGCCAGTCTGTATCTCTTACCCAGGAATCAAACGGCCCTGAAAATGATCTGAGGCCTCCTGACTCTTCCATTGAGATTTCTTTATACTCATGGTTTCTGATTAAATGAGCTACTAAGTCTTCTTCATTATTATTGCATTCAATACACTTGGTGAAATTATTGAAAGGGCACACTTTGAAATGCTGATTGCGATTTGCCAGCGTCGTGTTTTCTTTGCAGCCTTCAAACTTGCAAGGGACTGAAATTTGTTCAAGGATGTTTTCAAGGACAAGATTTCGTGAAACTCGGCTTAATTGGGCTCGGCAGAGCGGGCAGCATCTTGAATTTGAGGAACAAGTTCCACAAATGCTGTGGCCGTTTGGACACAAATATATAGGAGGGGTGTAGTAATCACAGCATATTGGGCATTCCAATGTGTCATGAAAATTTAAGTTGAGCGAAATACTTTCCATTTTTTATTATAATTTTTGGGTTTTTTGGCAGAAAGCAAGAGATGATACAAATTTTCATAAAAAATTGGACGAAACGGGAAGGTTTATTAAAACTTGTAAAAAATTAATTTAAATATAAATGGAAAATTATAAAGGAAAAAAAGCTTCACCATTACTCCCTAATCTGAGAGAGCAAATAAAAAGTTCAGGGTATCTAAAGGAAAGACCTACTTTTACAAATTCAGTATCATCGCCTAGAATGTCATATCCAATGACTGATAGATTTACGTTTACGAAAAACCGATTCCATAAATACACATCATCGTTTCTGCCTTCTGAAAAACCTAAAAGTCCTCATGCGGCTACAGATAACTGAATTTCGAATAGAAACCAAACGCCGACCAAGCCTGCTCACTTTTTTAAAATTTCTGAACCTGAATTCCGTTATCACGAATTCAACTCTCCCTTTATTAAAACAAAATCTGATATAATCACAACTTTAAGAGAACTAATGGTAACAACTCAAAGACCATATGACTCAAGCCAAACTATTAATCGGCTTAAACTCGTATTAAAAACACTTGAAATTTTGTCTAATGAAGAAGGCAAGTATCAAGCTGAAATGAAATATATAGTGGATGAAATAAAAAATGCAATTTTCGCCAATAAAGAAGAAATTAAACCAAAGCTATTGGAAATTGTGTATGAGAAACATATAGATGCACTAAGTGATTTGGATGGATATGTACCGTATTCTTATTTGTATTATATTTTGAATGAAATAAATGAGGGATATATAGGGAAAGAATTGCAAAATGAAAAAAATATTGAAGAGTTGAAAAAGAAGCATGTGGAGGAGATTGAGGAGATTAATAAAAAAACGGCAGAATTGCAAAGAATTATTGATGGAAAATTAGAAGGAAACGTTGATTTAGCAGATGAGTATCAAAAATTAAAAGCAGACTTTGACAGAAAACTCCGCGAACTAAAAATCGCCATTGCCAAAACCTCTGAGCTTGACTCAAAATTAAAAAACTGCAAAAAAGCTTTAAAAGATGCAGAATTTTTAAATAGTGATATTAATGACGAGCTAAAAAAGACCAACGAGGTCAATACAAGGCTGAGAGAGCAGCTGAGACTTGCCAACGTGGAATATGAAAAACTTAAAGATAAATACGAAAATTTCAGTGGAGGGTATTCCACTATTATTTATAAATTAAAGCAGTCATATGAGTCTAATGATGAGCTAGAAATGAGGATTTCTCAGCTACTGAAAGAAAAAACTGAGCTTTCTGTAAGGGCTGCGGCTGGATATGAAGAGCTAACACCAAGGCCAAACTTAGAGCCATTATTTAAAGAAATGGGCGAAAATTTTCCAAAGGGGTCTACAATTGACAGAATAGGAATTTTATTTTCTCATATTGTTGATTGGAAAAATAAAAATAATAAAGTCAAAAAAACCAAAAAACCGAGAGCGAAATCACCGAGGAGAGAAACGTCTCCATATATAGAAGAAGATGATAAACGGACAAAAGAAAGCTCTTTACTTGAACTTTATGTCCCTTCCAGCCCAAGAAGATCTGTCCAAAACCCTATAACGTGGGGTTCATTACTTCAGCCTTAACTGTAATTATGGGTAAATTTCGTTATTTTTTAAAAATTCATTACAAACAAACCTCCATGGTAAGTCGTTGGGGACGTTGATTCTTGTTGTTGTTTTTACGTTTTGTGGGATGTATCCTTCATCGTAGATTTTTATTGGTGAATCTGGATGAATTATGGATGTCCCATTATATTCCATAGGAATTCTTAATTTTTTAGTAACTTTTCCAGGTCCATCCATGGCTTTTAATACATTTTTTACTTTTTCAATACCATTAAGAAACTCAGTTCCTCTTAAATGTATACACCCTCTTACCAATACTCCGCATCCTCTATCAGGTGTTTCAGTTATAATATTTCATATTAAATGGATCCCCATACTTTTATATAAGAAAATATTTCCTCCATCAGTGAACATTCAGCTGCTTCTAGTGGTCTTTTTTCCCTTATAAGAAATAGACCCAGGATCATAATCCGTATAAGCTTCAGTTTCATTTATTATTACAGCTATAGTTCCCTCAGGAGTCTGATGCTCAATTACTTTCCCTAATAATTCGTAAGCTACTTTTAACGTATCCTGCAAGTAAAAATCTCTGTTTAAAAGCATCCTATTCTCATAATTCTCTCTTTCTCTACACTTTTGTTCCCATTCTTCATCAATCATTTTTTTCCTCTCTTCTCCACCTATTTCAGGGTGTTTTTCTTTTAATTCGTTTCTTCTAGCTCTTGAGAAACTTGAATAATTATTTTCTGTATTAAATCTTCTTGTTCCGAAATCCTTGATTTTTCTAACAAATCCCCACATGTTTTAACAATATATTATTTTGAAAATAAAGTCTTAAGAAACTTATTTAAGCTTTTCTGTTTCTACGAGTAATCGTCTTCTTTGGGTGTTCAGAGCTATGAAGTTTTTGCATTCTTTCTGAAGCAGCTTTAGCTAAACCAGGATTTCTGCTTTCAACCAAAGAGACAAGTGCACTTTTGGCTCTTCCAGAGTAATCTCCTTTCTTGACTGCGATTTTTACTTCGTGCTGAGTTTTGCCTTTGAGCCCGTATTTTCTGAGTTTTTTGGCTTTGAGGGTGACTGATTCTCCTTTTTTCCTGGTGGCTACTCCAATTGCACTTGTGCTTGCGATTCCTGCGAACTTCTGGCTGTGAATGTTCACGAGATTGTAAGGGTCAGCTGAGAAATCAGTGTTTTGGCGACGGATGAGGTATTTGTTGTTGTTTCTTAAGAGTTCCCAGAGAAGGTCAGAGGAGACGCTTGCCATTGCAATTTTTATTTAATGGAAGACTAGGAAATAAGGAAAAAGTTCAAATGAAACCATACAATCCAATTAAAATTGATAGATAAAGCATTTAAAAATTATAAACACTTAATTTACATATTTTTGGTTATATTTATAAGAAATTAAAAGGCATATTGTAATAAAAACTTCTAAAATAAGGGTTTTACCATGTTATAAACACTAAAACAATAAAAATTAATTTTTCAACTAGCTAATACCAATATTTTAGACTAATACGGCCCATACTGATTATAATAGGCGCCAGGATTATTGAGATAATAGAAATAATGCATCTTTTGCTCAGCAGTTAAATTCTGCATTTGTTCAGGGGAAATTGGATGATTTTGTGCCATATTTCTATCAACATGCTGCTGATTTCCCACATTCGGCTGCTGTGAATACGGAAAATAAGCTGGAGGGTTGCTTTCGTTCTGAAAATGAGCTATCTCATTAGGAAATCTCGCTGGGGAGTCATTAGAAAACCGTGAAGCATGTGCATCAAACCGTTGGTCATATCTAATTGACGATTTTGGCTCTATAAGAGTAGGCGCAGCTGGTTCTGGCAACCGTTTTTGTGTTTCAGGAAATCTAGGCGGGTCAGAATACCTCGGCTTTTTGATAGGTTCGTAGCCAGCAACAAGTTTATTATCATGAGTCAACAAATAATCTTTAGGTGCTACAGTTTCGCTAGGTCTCCGTGAGTGCTGCAATAACTTTCTAGCTTTATTCAGCAAATCTACACTGAGTCCTTTCACAAATGACTCCCTATTGCAAGGAAAAGCTGGTGAAGCTTGAATTACTTCATATAGTCGCTGACGATCCGCTGTAGAAAGTTGCAGAACAGAGAGTTCATAAGCAGGCTCATTTGTGCTAGACGAAGATGGATGAGAGCGAGGGGCTTGATGTTTGAGATGTCGATAAAGATCAGGCTCATATGGATCTTCATTAATGCGGACTGCAGGATAAATTTTCCATTTCCTACCATCAACGAGCAAGCCATTAGATTTCATAAGGGCTTTGGCGTCGCTGGTTGTTTTCATGGTGACGATGGCAAAGGTTGCGTATACTTTACCTTATAAATTAAAAAAAAAAAAATTTAAAAAAATAAAAAAAAATTAATTATTTAAAAATGAATATCTTCTTATGCGTTCTATTTGTCCGAAGCAGGATAACTCTTCTTCTATAAGACGAATGCTAGCGTTAACTGGCAAATTCGAAACGAAAACATTGCGAGTTTCTTTTGCTAAGTAGGAGTTTAGGTCGAAAAAAGGCTCAGCCCACATCACTTGGATATCGCGATTGACGAATACTCTGTAGTTCTGGTTATAAAGACGAGCAGGGTTTTTAAGAATGGCCAAAGCATCTTCTGCGTGTGAGTGGGTGTCGTAGGTAAGAACGGCGATGCCAAGACAGGAAATGCCAGGAACTCTAACTCCCCCCCCCCTCCGTGAGCGAACAAAAAAATTTTGTTCGCTCACGGAGGGGGGTTAATTTTTTTTTTTAAAAAAAATTTATATATAAATTTTTTATAAAAAATTTTTTTTCGAAATTTAAAAAAATCCTAATTTGCAAAAATTGGGAAGCAAATATTAATTTAATTTGCAAAATTTATGTTTTAAAACGCAATTTGTTTAAAATTAAACAGAAATTAGCTCTAGATTTCATTATACTAATTATCACTTATATATCAAAATTTTTTTCCATTAAAATTTTTTTCTATTAAAAAAATTTTTGTTCACTCACGGAGGGTGGGTTTTTGGTCAAAAAATGGCGATTTTTCTAATGGTTTTGTTCGCTCACGGAGGGGGGGGGGGGGAGTAAGTAATGGTTACTCTGGATTCTGAGGAATTGTGACATTAATCAGACCTGGGGTCAAATCTTGAAGCCCCGTGAACAGATCACGATTATAGACGATGCCTGGAAGCCCTGTAAGCCACAGAGTGGTCGCTGCACGTTTGAGAAGAAAACGAATAGGCTGAGAATCAATAGAAATGCCATTGAGGGTGTTATACGCCTTATCGGCTTCAGAAATGGAATGATAAGACACCTCAGCAAATTTTCTGCGTTCTCCACTAAGTTCCCATGAATAAGCGCGGATCTGATAATAGCCAAGAACAGAGAGTTTGGATTCGGGAATGTCTGTGATTGATGAGATAAAAAAGGAGTTTGATTCCACTTTTTGGCCTCGATCTTCCATTTTTAAGTATATAAAATTGAGGGATAAGGAAATATAACATTTTGGATGAGTCTTACTTAGATATAATATAAAAATAAAGAAATTTAAGGGAAAAATAGGACAAAAATCATCATTAGGTTGCTTATTCTTTGTTAAAAAATATACTAAATTGCCAAATAAAGAATTAAATTTATGAATTAAAAACTTTTGTTTGGGAATAATATAATAAAATCAGACAGAAAATAAATGATTTAATTTAAGAAAAATTAAGCTGTGATCAGTATTTTATCAGTTTCCTCTAAAAGTTCATACTCATTATCTAATGAAGTAGAAGTGATACTAGAGTTTGAATATTCTGAGCTTCCTAAGTCAATATGATCTTGCTCATCATGTTCTTCTTTTTCTATTGCAGACACTCTTATAAAATTCGGCATATTTTTTAGTCAAGAGCAAATGTTCGCTCTTTCTAAGTCCTCGGCCTTCATATCAGAAATGGTTAAAAAATCAAGTTTATGGTAAACGTCTATATAAATTTTACAAAGATACCCTATAATCAAACCTGAAAGCAGTTTTAATACAACAGGAAATAGCAGAGAAATTGAAAAGAAGTAAATATAAGGCACATATTTTGATTTTACGTTTAAAGATATAAATCAGTGCTCTTGTTTTTCAGGGTTTTTATTGTATTTGATAATTAAATCAGTCATAATAAGTCCCCATAACCCTGGAAAAATCATATTTCTGAAATTTAGCATGAAGTCCTTCAAAATAAAATTGATTAATGAATAAAGTAAATAGTGAATAAATTCAGTCAAAAATAAGTTGACAATAACAAAAATTGAATACCTAGCAGTCCCGAGCTTTTTCTCTGTACTGTTTGCAATAAGATAATAAATCGCCAATTCAGTAAGATATGATATAAAATTTGTGTAGGGAACCATATAAATTTGTCAGACTTTGAGAAAAGTTACTGCCCTATGGCCACCAGAATGGATATAGATTTGAATGAGTGATATAAGGATATAAATGAGATATGAGAAAAAGCTAATCAAAAGAATAAGCCGAGTTAATGCAGGGATTTTTTCTAACCAATTTTTAACTTTTCTGGTAATTTGCTGTGTTATCTCCATAGCTAGAAATTATTTATTAATAGATTATTAAATTGATGAGAAATTCTCATTAAAATCATTGATGTTTTAGGCTGCTAAATTATTATATATTGTTTAAGGTAAAGAATTTGCAATTAATTATAGAATAATAGGATTTATATTAATATATTGTAGATAATACCTAATAGTAAATTCACAGAAATTTTTATACCCTTTAAAATATAGATAAATTTCTTGATAAATAATTTACTATTGGTTAATAAACAATCTTAAAATTTTTACCGAGATTGCATTCTCTATTAGAAATAATAGGCAAAGTTATCTCGAAAAATATGAAAAAGCTTGCGTGCTTATTTCTTTGAAATATCAGGTATTAAAAATAAATGGATAATATGAATAAGATAGTCAAGGACATTTCTGGAGTAACGATAAACCTAGAAAGCGAGTATTCGACAAGAGATATTTTTAAGACAATCCTAAATCCCCACTCCTTCATAAAAGATAAATTTTTTTGGCTTAAAAGTAAAATGTAATTTATTGACATTAATATTAGCATTAATTTATTATTGAAAAACTCCCGCAGCACCGAAGGATGCACTTGCTTTGATGGGCTACCTGCTGAAGCCCCACTAGCGATTAACTCCTCTTCGCCTAGGCTCACGCATAACGGAGACTGAAGTGGGGTGGGCCACCGTGCCATAAAGCCAGATGAGGTTGCCTGGACAAAAATTCCAAAAAATGGCTTTCAGCAAAAGTGAAAACTTGTAGCGCAGGCGTAACTGCTAGTTTTACTCTAGGGAGTTACGCAATAGGTCTAGCCTAGGGCTTCCCCTTTCAAACTCCAAGTCTTACTTTCCCTCGAGGTAATGAAAGCGAACCAAATAGAAAAAGATCTATTTATAATAATTATTAATTCTATATCAATGTTTTTGTAATAAAATATTAATAAAAAAAAATTTCCACTCACGAAGGATTCTATTCACAAAAAGAAATTTTCTATGATTTTATTCGCTCATATAGAAGCGAGTAAGGCAAAAAGATGCTGCTAATAACTTAGCCCTTTATGACCTATCAAAACTTAAAAGTCTTATACACAATTGGAATCAAAAACTTCCTAATGTCAGACCATTTTACGCAGTCAAATCTAATCCAGATTTACAAATAATTTCAAAACTCGCTCATCTAGGTGCTGGTTTTGATTTTGCAAGTGCAAAAGAGCTTGAATCAGCTCGAACTATAAATATCAATTTTGAGACAGATGCCATTTGTGCACAGCCTTTTAAATCTGAAGAATTTTGTAGTTCTATTTCAAATTCAGGAGTTGTATATGCTACATTTGAGTCTGTTGAGGAGCTGCAAATTGCAGCGAATTTTGGGATGAGAAATTTAAAATTTATTTTATTGATAGAAGGAGGAGATGAAAAAGATAATCTACTCCCCTTAATTTCTGCTAAATAAAAATGGGTACTCAAAAAATAGATTTTTAAAGTAAAATGTAACGATGACCCCCCCTCAATCTTCATGTCTATTGCAACAAAAATGCAATTTTTTTAATATAAAATTTTATATAAAAAAAATAATAATTTTCATGTCTCTTGCAACAAATTATATACATTAAAGTGGCGACACGTGCCAACCTGCCCTCTTGGCGCAGCAGTCCAGACCTTATGGCTACGGCCAACTGGGACGGACTCCAAGCAGAATCAGACGCAGGCTCAAGAAGTGTGTATCCGGGTAGGTTTTGGCTGCTTTCCTGTGGTTGGAAATGGAGGTGCTCAACAACGTCCTTTGGATCCGAGGACCCATGGGTATTCCTCTAACGAGAAACTGGAGGTTTTGGCCCAGGCCACAGGGGAACAGTCTTTTCCTGTAGCTGTCGAAGGAAGGCACTTTGACACCTAATAGACTCTAAGAGCTGATCCTTGGAATCAAGCTACTCCAATCGCCCGTAGCAGGGCCCCAGAAATCCATAACCCGCCCACTCAAGACTGAAGCCGCAAGGAGGAGACAGAAGGTACGGAAGGGCACTCGCAAGAGGGATAGATCCTACAGCAGCGCTGTTTTATGTTTTTTTTGAGAAACTCACCTAGAGAAAAATGCATCATTTTTTTTATAAAAATGTTGTGTTGCAGTAGGCATGAAGATTTTTTCGAAAAATTTTTGTTGCAGTAGACATGAAGATTGAGGGGGGGGTCATCATTATATACCAGCAGGGTATAGGAAATTTGGAGCAGTAAAATCTGAATACAGAAACATTTTTCTTGATGCAGGAATATTAGGGCTAAAAATATCTGGGATCAGTTTTTATGTAGGCCACTCTATGAAAAATACAGATGCGTTTTATAAAGCTATTGAAAATGCAAGCGAAGCATGAAAGATTGCGGAGGAATTTGGATTTATTATGGAGATTTTAGATATTGGTGGAGGTTTTTCTGATTCCCCCCTCCATGAGTGAACAAAAAAATTTTGTTCACTCACGGAGGGGGGTTAATTTTTTTTTTTTAAAAAATTTATATAAAAAATATTTTTTTTCGAAATTTTAAAAAAATCTAATTCGTAAAATAGGAAAGTAAATATTAATTTAATTTATAAAATTTATGTTTTAAAAAGCAATTCGTTTGAAATTAAACAGAATTAGCTTTAGATTTCATTATGCTAATTATCATTTATATATCAAAATTTTTTTCCATAAAAATTTTTTCTATTAAAAAAATTTTTGTTCACTCACGGAGGGTTGGTTTTTGGGCAAAAAATAGGGATTTTTTCTAATGGTTTTGTTCACTCATGGAGCGGGGGGGAGTGAGAGTAATTTTAGCAGCGCAGCAGTAGATGTGACTCGTGGGCTTGATGAATTTTTTAGTGAAAAAAATATCAGAATTGTTGCAGAGCCAGGAAAATATTTTTCGGAATCAGTTTTATCTACTTGTAATACAATAATAAATAAAACCATCAAAATAGTTGAAGGAAACACAATAATTGAATATACTCTTTCAGATGGGATAGAAGGAGCATTTTATTTTTTATCTTTTTCAAAAGACAATGTAGTCACTCCTATATTTATGGGCGAAAATGATAATTCACAATCCTATTCGATTTTTTATGGACCGAAAGGAGAAAAAATAGCTGAATGTGAGTTTCCATTAGTGGAAATTGGAGATAAAGTATCATTTGAAAAAATGGGAGCTTATAGTAATATTTTTACAGAGTCAGTTTCAAATGAAGATTTAAATTATTCAAAACTTTATCTTGACGAGCAATAATTTCAGCAATTAATAAATATTTAGTTTTTACAATAATTTTTGTTGAAAAATCAATAATATATTAGAGATAGCTGCTAAAAATGCGCCGAACTGTAAGAGATAATTTGGGTTGGAAAATTAGACTAGGAAACGAGGCTTCAACAAAGGAAATCTTTAGTACCATTTTGAGGCAAAAAGAATTTGAAAATAACATTGCTTTATATGATTTATCTAAGATAAATAGTCTTGTAGAAAGGTGGCATCAAAAACTTCCTCTCATTAGACCATTTTATGCTGTAAAATCCAACCCTGACCCAGAAATGATGCTAAGAATGGCATCTTTAGGCCTTGGATTTGATTGTGCAAGCAAAAACGAGCTCGAATTTGCTCAAAACACTAACGTAAATTTTGAAACTGATGTAATTTGTGCACAGCCATTCAAATCTCAAAGAGACCTTAGAGCGATTTCGAATTTAGGTGTGAAATATAGGCTTTTCCCCTAGATAGCCCTGTAAGGGCTGTGGTTCTGGGCGGAATCTTTCAGTTGGTCTGACCAACTCACTTGTGGTTCCACCAACCAAAGGATTCCACAGCCCTTACAGGGCTATCTAGGGGAAACCCCTATATACAACTTTTGACTGTGTTGAAGAATTGCAAAAGATTTCTAATTTTGGACTGAAAAATCTAAAAATGATACTAAGAATCCAAGCTGGTGATGAAGAGTCAGCATCTCAGTATAACCAAAAATTCGGCGCATTATCAAGCGAATATGATAATATTTTTGAATTCGCAATCGAATTAGGAATGAATATAGTTGGAATCAGCTTTTATGTAGGGCATTCCATGAAAAATACGATAGCTTACTATCATGCTATCAAAAAAGCAAGTGAAGCCTGAAAAATTGCAGAAAATTATGGATTTGCTATGGAAATTTTAGACGTAGGAGGAGGTTTTAATGAAAAATATTTCGACAGAGCTGCAAATGATATAAACCGCGGAATTTCTGAGTTTTTTAGAGAAAAAAATATAAAAATAATTGCTGAGCCTGGGAAATATTTATCAGCCTCAGTTGTTTCCAGCTGCTTTACCGTCGTAGGTAAAAGAAGCAGAGTTATAAATGGAGAAACTCATATAGATTATATTTTATCTGACGGAGTTGAAGGAACTTTAAGATTTTTGCCTTACGCAGACGATAATTTGCCAGTACCAATTTATATGGGAGACCCCGAAAATCCCCCAAAATTTCATTCGACGTTTTTTGGTCCTACTTGTTCCGGAGATGATAGGATTTATGACCATGATTTTCCATCAGTCGATATAGGTGATAAAATATGCTTTGATGTAATGGGGTCATATAGTGTTTCTTGGGGAACGAATTTTAATAGTATTCCGATGATTACTCATACGAAGCTTTATATTGACGAGGATATGGATAATTAATTAAATTAAGATATCTTCAGTCAATTTTTAGTCTACTTAGATATAGAGATGAAATCCTATTCCTGCTAATGAGACAGCATTCAAGCAAAATTCAATATATGTAAAAGCCATATATTATCATTTCTCCCCTACTAACATCTCATGCTTTATAAATTTAATTTGCAAAATATCTTTTTAAGCCTTCCCAAAATTTTTAATTTATTATTATTATTATCTAAAATCTGCCTGAATTTCAATGCATCTAAATTGATTTTTTATCCAGAGTTCTATTAAAAATGGAAGAGGAAAACATTTCATTTGAGCCATCATCAGATGCAATGATGATGGATGTGAATTTCGATTTCCTTGACCCAAGACCTGAATTTTCCCTCTGCATCAGGAATTTCCTCTACAGTCTCTTTGATTACCGATGTCCGATCTCACAGCTTGCAGATCTTATATGCAATCAAGAAATCGGCACATTTTTGGTTGCTGATAATGGTGAAAAGCCTGAAGACAACATCTTGGGATTCATAACTATAGTGAATCTTAGTGCCCCATCCGATATTTCAAGCTACTTAATGAATTATCTTAGCAGCAAAGGCGACATTTCAATCACAAATAACCACAGAGTCGGGTTTCTTATTTGTGAAAGAATTGTGAATCTTCCAATTGAGCTTATTCCAGTTTTACACAATCAGCTGGTTGAAGATGTTAATTGGGCAATTGAGAAATTTCCGCAAGCTTATGCACAATATGATTTTATAATCTCCTTGTCGAAATGTGTAAATTTGATGAATAACTCTGGAAAAGGAAGGAAAAAACGAAGACTGGCAGCTCCAGAATCTCAGCTTTATTTTAGACTGGAGGACGAAATATTATTGAAATATTCAGAAGAAAGCTTTACGTTTGATGCGGAGGCAGGAGCAGGAGTTCCAAAAAGAGACGCAATGCCAACAACTGATGACTCTCAGTATGGCCAGGGCTTGCTTTTGGATCGCCCTGGGCTACACGTTGCCGCCTAGGTCTATGGAGTTGATTCAGGCAGTATCAGTTGTCAAGTTAACCCCCCCAATTTGACAATAAAAATATACTGGCACTTGCCAGCCCCACAGATTGAGGCAGCAACGTGTAGACCAGGTAATCAAAAGCAGTATCTAATAAACTGGTTATGGTCCTGAGATGGGAAAATTACCTTAATGCTCTTCAAGAAATCAGTAAAACATATACAAATAATACAATGAATTTAGAATAAAAAGTTGAAAAATTAATATAACTCAATTCGCTTCTTAATCAGAAAAATTTCATAAAGTTATCTAAATTTGAAGAAGTCTTATTTTCTGTGCTAAAAGGGATTTAGATGTAGTTAATTAATTTTAGAGAGCTAGATCGCTATAAAATATTGCAGATTAATACCATCTAAATAAGCTTATATAAAAGTTAATTAGAAAAAATAAATTTTGGGAATCCCTGTAGAGCGGCTTCTTCTAGCTATCACTAAAAAAATTCTATCCATATTATAAACTTTATTTAATTTAAAAATAATTCACCAGTCGATCCTCCCAATTTTTCTTTAATTCCCTTCTTATCACTTCCTAATCAGCTTGTCTCATCCTTCTATTTTTCCCTTATTTATCTCTTCTTAGCTCTTCTCCAAAATATATAGAAATTTCTTTTCTGTCTCTACATGTCACAATAATTTACTAATTATGGAAGAAATGTTTGATTCCTTCCTCAATGAGGATGGACCACGAGCTCTTGTTGATGAGGAGCCAGCATCCCTCTATGATTGCGACCTTGCGTTTTCCTGAAAGCCAACTAATGATCAATATCTCCATATGGATCAAGAAGCCCAGGGTTTAAATCAATTTGTAAAATTGCTGTCAAAAGAGAATCGTGACTATCTCTCGTATCTTCTGTCGTCAACCCCAGTAACTCCATCACGTCGGCTTCCCTATGGTGAGGTAAAAAATACTGATATGCAAAAACATCTCCGCCATGTACTTTTGCTGATGGCAGGGGTAATTTCTAAAGGAGACCCTCATAATCTTATAATTGATACAACTGAAAATATAATTAAAATAAGACTTCGCTCGAATTTTCTGGTCGCCCCGGCAGAAAATTATAATTATAAGATTTAGTTTCCCTGGCAATATTATCCCAGCTAAGCAAAAGCAGGATGGTTTTTCCCACCGAACTCATTACCTTAGGGAATGAAATTTTCCAGAAGGGCGCCACTTACCCAGGCGGCGGAGAGTTAGACCTTTAGGGGCTTTGAAGACAGCTATGGTCGAATAAATCTGGTAGTGGACGTTAAACGTGTATATTAATTAAGATTAAAGTACAGCTGAAGATTTACAAGTCGCCAGAAATTTCAGCATTGAAGACCCATACGACCAAACCAATATGAGAAAACGCAGACGACAAGCAAATACCGGAAATAAAGAAGATTTAGCTACAAGACTACTTGAAAATCTTGCACTTGCGTACAAGAAAAACTGCAAAAAAAGGTCTGAAAAGAAAAGAATTCTGTCGATTTCTGCTAATGAGATCACATATTCCGAAGGAAGAAGACTATACGGATGTGGCCCAGTGCAATTTTCAGAAGCGAAAAAACATTATAACAAATTTGGACCTTTTGCTGACATAAAGCCGAAAGCTTGTCCTGACAAAATCGTTTGCACAACTTTTGCAAAAAGATTTGTAGGGATTGATCCAGAGATTATATGGAAGGAATTTTGTATGAGCCACACTGCTGTGGCGAAAAGAATAGGCAGATATAGGAATTTGTATTAAATTTAAAAAATTTTAACTCCCCCCCCCTCCGTGAGTGAACAAAAAAATTTTGTTCACTCACGGAGGGGGGTTAATTTTTTTTTTTAAAAAAAATTTAATATAAATTTTATAAAAAATATTTTTTTTCGAAATTTAAAAAAATCCTAATTCGCAAAAATTGGAAAGCAAATATTAATTTAATTTAGAAAATTTATGTTTTAAAGAGCAATTCGTTTAAAAATAAATAGAATCAGCTCTAGATTTCATTATACTAATTACCATTTATATATTAAAAATTTTTTCCATAAAAAATTTTTCTATTAAAAAAAACTTTTGTTCACTCACGGAGGGCTGGTTTTTGGGCAAAAAATAGCGATTTTTCTAATGGTTTTGTTCACTCACGGAGGGGGGGAGTAAGAAAATAAGGGAAAATTTTGTATTCAGGGAAAAAATGTATATACTTTTATGGACGCTTTAAGAGGAAGTCATGAATCTCATGAGAATTCTTGGGACTCTGTAGGAGATATGCTAGCTGACCTAGATAAAGAAGAAGAAACAAAATTCTTTGATGAAGATATTGATATGCATTAATAGCAGTGATATAAGAAATAATTAAAGTAGAATATTGAAAAATTGTGATTTTTTTTAAAATGGCTGAAATGAGAAATGCATGCAAAAGAATAAATTTAGGCTCAGAAAAAACATTTAATGGCTTGAAGCTTTTGGATTCGAAGCTCCGATTTCAGTAGCCCAAGATAAAAATATGGATTTTTTGTATGATATTTGCCTTTTATTAAGACTGAATATCAATAATATTTATTCGATTAATCTCCAGTAAATATTTAATTCAAACTTAGTATTCTTTTAATTTTAATTTATAATTATCTCTAATCCCAAATTTTGATCCACTTTTCCATCCATTCTCCATAATTTTTATTCATTAAAATCTCCTTTAAATATGAAAGTTGAATTTACAAAAAATGCTCTCACAAATTTTCAGATCATTTATTTCCGCTATTTTCACTAGCTCCCTCCTCCGTTAGCGAACAAAACCATTGGAAAAATCACAAAACCCCACCCTCAGTGAGTGAACAAAAAATTTGATATATAAGTGACAATTATTTTAATGAATCTCAGGCTAATTCTGTTGAAATTTTAAACAAATTCATTTTAAAAAATAAAATTTATAAATTAAATAAATTTTCCAATTTTTGAGATTTTTTTTAAATTTCGAAAAAATAAAATTTACTGCGAAATTTACTAAAAAAAAACCTCCCGTGAACGAACAAAATTTTTTGTTCACTCACGGAGGGGGGAAAGTAAATAAATATTTTAATTCCTAATTCATCAAAGAAATAAAATGGTGACGTTGACGGAAATTGGACTCCGAGGCTCACCTCCTATGGAACATAGGACCCATTGCTGATGAAGCTGAAGATACAGGTCTCATTCCTGTCCTAAGTAGGCCTTCAGTTGTGGGGAAGCCGTGCCGAAAAGGAAGTTTTATTTCTCCCCCGAAGGTTTTCCCTGTCCCTGCCAGACGGGCTCGACAGATTTTTTCCTACCACATGGTCTTCCTTCATCGGGACCATCGGGGCACTCAGACAGAAGTGGCTCTGCCCAAAGGAGCTGATCCCTTGGACAGGTGGTTTTGACCAGAAATCAAGATGGCGTCTGGCCTGGGAGTATGGCGACATCAGAACCCGACCGGGAGTCGTCTTTCGAGCTGAGGTGTTGAGGTCAGTGGCTCAGCCGCTCATGGCCTTACAAAACTAACTTAACTTAACTAATTCATCAAAAAAATCCTGCATATAGACCAACCTTTAAAAACTTATGACGTAATTTTACCTTTTGATTTATTAAAATTTAAATCTATCACATAAGTTGAAGAAAATAACCTTTAACCATACTAAAATAATCACGTCATCAATTTATTTATGTCAGGTCTTGCAAATTATCGGATTCTAAGTCCTCTCGGGAGCGGCACTTTTGGCCAAGTAAAGCGTAATTTTAATTTAGTTGCTGAACATCTCGCAACATCCACAAAAGTAGCTATAAAAATCCTTAAAAAGCGAACAATTTCAGAAAAGCGTGTAATTTCCAAAGTCAAGCGTGAAATTAAAGCACTTAAGCTATTTCGGCATCCACATATAATAAAGCTTTACGAAGTCATAGACACCCCTTCTAACCTTGCTCTTGTTTTAGAATATCTCCCAGGCGGAGAACTTTACACTCATCTCGACCGAAATGGAAAAATATCAGAAGACCAGACCCGTATTTACATTCAGCAAATTTTATCAGGTATCGAATATGTTCACAATATGAGACTGACACATCGTGACATTAAGCCTGAAAATCTTCTTCTTGATGAGTTCGGTAATATAAAACTTGCAGATTTCGGCCTTTCTAATATCATGCCAGATGGAGATTTTTTGAAGACCTGCTGTGGATCTCCGAACTATGCAGCTCCTGAGATATTAGCAGGACAGAATTATAGTGGCCCAGAAGTCGACGTGTGGAGCATCGGGGTGGTCTTGTATACACTTCTTGCAGGTTTTCTGCCATTTGATGATAACAATTTACCTTCCCTTTTTACTAAGATTAGAAGTGCGAATTTTGTGATTCCTTACAGTGTTTTAAAGAAATAAAATGGTGACGTATGACGGAGTTGAGCTCCGGGGCGTCTCACCCACTTTGGGCAAGGCAGGGCTCCACACAAATCCATTCGACCGAAATAAGACGGGCTGGGGTCTAGTAGGGCATGGAGAAGGAGTCTCTTGTCCTCCCCGGGTGAAGTTTTATTTCTCCTCCGTAGGTTTGCCCAGCCCAGGCTGGGGTTTTGTCCTACCACCTAGTCCTTCTCTGTCGGGACTAGCGGAGCGCTCAGACGCGAGCGAAGAACCCAGGTGGGCTAACCCTTGGGCTCTAGTGGTTCAGACAGGAAAACCAAGTAAGCAATAGGAAGAGGAATTTCCCGCTTGGAGCCGAGACGGGGTAAAGGCTAGTGTGCGAACACTTATGGCCAGTTTAACAATTTAACTAACTTACAGTGTTTCTGAATTCGCCAAAGATCTGATATCGAGGATGTTGAACCCGGACCCGATTGCAAGGATCACAATAAACCAAATAAAGCATCATCCATGATTCCAAGCAAATCTTCCTGTAAAAGTAAGGCGAAAAGGGTCTTTTATAGACTTTGAGTCAAAAGCTGAATATAATTATATTAATACGATAGATGAAGAACTTTTTAAGGAATGCTTAAAACTTATTGAAGTTGAAACTGAAAAAATTGAAGAAATTCGCCAAGGGATTATGAATAAGACCAATAATGATTTTACTGTATGCTATTATTTGTTATTAGATCAAGCCAAAAGCAGAATAAAACCTCTTGGGGATGATATCGGAGTCCCTTTATTTCAAAGAAATTCTAATGTAAGCACAGAGGTTTCTTCAAGATCGTCGTCGAGAAACGATTTTTTAGAGCAAAAATCTGATTTTGAGCCTCCTTCAAACTGAGTGTATGGGTTTCGGTCTAATTTAGACCCGAATCACTTTATGGTTAGCATGCTTAGTTCTTTTAAAGACTCAGGGCTTGAGTGAAGATGCCTAAACAATCTAAATCTTCATTTGCGGACAGTTTTTCCAGAAAACAGAGTGAAAATGAGCTTAAACATATATAAATACGAGGATAGCTATGTGCTAGACTTTAAATTGAGACAAGGAAATTCAATGGTATTTTTAGAAGTATTGCACTGCCTTTACTATTACTTATATCTTAGAACCTGTTTTTAATTTAATTTTTGTATAATTATTAATCATTTTGTCTTTTAGATAAAATAATCCTGCCTGATTTTTCAAAAAATTAATTTTTTGTGATAATTTAAGCAATTTCAAGATATTGAATGATAATAAGTATTTTTTAAAATTCAAAGAAATAAAGTTCTGAATGAAAAATTAGCTAGAAAGTAAGCATTTGAGTGAATTAGGAGGAAAGCATAAAAAACGCCCACCGGGGGGCTCGAACCCCCGACCACCAGCTTAAAAGGCTGGCGCTCTACCGACTGAGCTAGACGGGCTATGTTTTAGTATTTCATTTTTCTATTTATACCAATTTTTGATCAATTCTTCATAATGGCTGGGCTCAATATGTTCCTGCCCTTATCAATCTGATTGGAATCTGTTAGCAAAAAAAGATTTAAACATCCCTGCTGCAGAAAGTAACTTTTTAAGTTTGAAAAACAAAATCAATAAGTAAAAATATGCCAAAATAAAAGAAAGATTGATAAAAGGTTTCAATTTGCAACTAAGAGTTTAGCTTTGAATAAAATTAAACTTATAATTTCGACTAAAGCTAGAGATTCATATGATTATTAATAGTTTTTAATCAAGTAATAAATAATTGTAGTTTAAAGGATACAATATGATTTATATTTCAGATATATCAAATTATAATGATTTATGCTATACATTTGTCTTAAATTGTCTCTATAGAGAATCCTTGCTTTAAGTCAGGCTTTTTAGCTGGTCCTGAAGCAGTTAAGATTTCTCTTAATTAATTATGTTGGTCAAGTAGCAAATATAGTTGCTGCAAAATCTTTTGCATTTGCGGAGCTTGTTTTACTAGCTAAATATGGCTGAGACAAAATAAGGCTTGAACTATAATGATTTTGAAAATTTATTTTAATTTTAATTTAATTATCTTTTCATCCAGAATGCATTCTCAAGCGGCGCTTTTAAATAATATTCTTTTTTGCGAAAATATTTATAAATGATGAGTTTTCTCTGAATATAAATTAGTAAATATATAGGCAAAATCAATATATCTTTCTTATCTCAATAGCTTTCAAGCATGCTAATGGAATAAAATAAAAATGCAATAATTTTTAATAAATAATAAATTCTCGTATCAAATTCTTTTTCAGAGCCCCAGCAATTCGATAATTATTTATAAAAATCACCTCGGGACTAATCTTTAAAATTTTTTATTGAAAATTTTGAATATTTAATTTTTACTTATAATCTTTTTCAGTATTTTGAAATTTGCTTATATTTCTTTAGCCTTGCATAATTCAATTTTAGCCAAAATAATTGGTGACATCATTTTGCTAAAAAATGGCCACATCTTATTAAACCTTAATAAAAAGCGACTTCATGTCTTCTTTAAAACGCCTAAACCTCATAGAATCCCACCTCACTTCTCGTTTTCCTACAATTCCCTTTGATGAGTCTTTAAATGACTATAGAAAAAAAGGAACCCCAATCAACAAGACCCTTCTTTTGGAATCTTATCTTGGCCATTTCTACCCAGGTATCATGGAGCGCCGAAGAATTATGCACGAAAACCCTCTTTTCAACCATTTCGACGAAGCTGAATTATCTCGTGAAGCTCTACGCAAAAGAATTGTACAGCAAATCGCTGCTATTTATCCTAGTGCTGGGTTAAATTATAAAGTAGTAAAAGAAGATTACACTAAAAAACTTGAACTTTTATACGGAATGGCTGACTATGACATTGCTCTTGCAGTCAGGCTTTTAGTCCATTTAGTGCTTTATACTGACACAGTGACCAACCTTGGCACTGCAAAACATTTGAATCTGGTCGATAGAGCTTACAATTTACAAGATTATGGCTCTTTTGGAATGACTGAGCTAGGTCATGGATCTAACGTCGCTAGTGTAGAAACAACAGCTGTTTATGATCATAGCACCCGTGAATTTATTTTGAATTCCCCTACAGCTACTTCAGCTAAATGGTGGATCGGTGCTATAGGGAAAACAGCCAATATGTCAGTCATTTTTGCACAGTTATTCGTAGACAATATTAATAAAGGTGTACATGCCTTTGTGGTCCCAATCAGAAAAAACGACGCTTCCCACGAAACTTTCCCAGGTGTTGTCCTTGGAGACTGTGGTAAAAAAATTGGCTTAGAAGGTATTGATAATGGCTTTATTTTGTTCAAAAATTACAGAATACCTTATGACTGCCTTCTCGATAAATTCAGTTCCATCAATCCAGAAGGAAAATTCAAAAGCGCAATAAAAAATAAAGAAAAAAGGTTCGGAATTATGATAGCTGGACTTGTAGGAGGCAGAGTTTCCTGCACCAGTGGGTGTGAGCAAGATATGAGGAATGGCTTGACCATAGCTTTAAGATTTTCTGCAGTTAGAAAACAATTCAGTGGGCAGGAAGGACCTGAATTGCCTGTATTAAATTATCCTTTGCAGAGATATAGACTGATTCCTCATTTAGCAAAAACTTTTGCCACAAGAGCGTCGGTTATTTATTCGTTGGGGACTAATATTAATACGTTTTTTAAGAGATTGGAAGAAGATCCAGAATGTTTGGAAGTCAATGAATTTCATGCAGTTTTGTCGGCGCTGAAGGTGGTGACGTCATGGTATGGGATTGCGTGCTTACAAGAGTGCAGGGAGGCTGTAGGCGGCCTGGGATATTCAAGCTATGCACAGCTGGGAAGGATTAGGAATAATCAAGATGTCATGGCGACTTGGGAAGGGGATAATTCAGTCCTTATTCAGCAAGCCGGAAAATTCTTATTCTATTTAAAAGATGCATCCTAAAAATATAAGCAGGCAATTTCTTATCCATATAGAAAAATCAACACGATTTTTATCTTATTTAAGTTTTTTTTCTTAATAAGTATATTTAAACAAGTCCAAAAGACTTTCAAAGGCCAAAAAATCCAAGCCAAAACCCTAAAATTCCTAAAAACTGACATCAATGAAGTCAACTTATTCAAGCCAAAATTCGAAAATTCCGAACAGCTAGAAAACGAAGCTGTCCTTCTCGAAATCATTGAGTACCGAGTCAATATTTTGCTTCACCAAAGTTTATTAAAACTCCAAGAAAATACAATGACATCAATCGATATGATTGACGCTTGGAATAAAGCCCAAGTTTATTATATCCAAGAACTCTCCAAAGCCTATGGAGAATTAATTTTAACCAACGATTTCTTGAGATTTGTAAATGAGCTCGCTGCAAAAGACCAAGTTTTAGGGAAAATTTTCAGAAAATACTGGCTGCTCTATACAATTGGAGTAATTGAGAAATCTTTAGTGACACTAATGGAGAATGTTTTTAATGCCACGCATGTAAAAGCGATAAGGGAAAGCATTATGAGGCTTTGCAATGAGCTGGCAGAGGATAGCATTCAAGTGATTGATGCACTGGCAACTCCTGATTTGGTGCTTGGATCGGTTCTGGGTGTATCTGATGGCCAAATCTATAAAAAGATGGTCGAAACAGTTGAAAAAGGAAAGAGGGTTTATGAAAAGCCGGAGTGGCTGCCACTTTTGTTGAAGGTCAAGGGCATTAAAAATTATTCTGGCAGATTTGATTAGAATAGCACTGATATCAGGATTGTAGACCTATTATAATAAAAAATAGATAGAAATGTTTTATTGGATAGTGAAAAATTAAACGTGAAATAGTATAATCTAAATAAAAATAAAATTAGCTTTTATTTTAATAAAAATAGGCTTTTGCAATATTTTTGCTATTTTTTAACAATCTATAAGAAATAGCTAAATAATTTCGCTTAGAGTCAGCAGCAATGAATTTAAAGAAAGTTTGCTTAAGCTACTTATACATGAATTATGAAGATTTATCTAGCAGAATTTGTGGCTGATGATTTTTTCTTAAACTTTTCCAAGCATTAAAAATCGCAGTTTTGACAAACAAAGGCGAAAAATACTGATTTCTTATCCTTTCTATGTAGCTGCTTTGTTTTAAAGTTATGGCCTGCTTAATCTTTGGCTGGCTTAACAAGATACTTTTATGTTTTTCTTTAAAGCTCCCTAGCACTTCTTTTGCTTTTTCAATCGAAAATACTTGCTTCTTTGTTTCTGGAGAATCGTTTCTTATTATATACCTTCCCATCTGTCTATTCTTTTTTTCAAAAAAACATAAAAAAATCCATATTTACTATGAAAACATTAGGATTTTCAACAATTCCACTAGAAAGCGCCCTTAAATGTGCCCTTATTTTTAAGTATGAATTAGACTTCGGCATTGCTATAGCGCTTTTATCAAGCTTTATACTTTTGATTACACTTTTATCACATGGAATAATAGCTGAACTAAACGTTGTAGCAAGGGGTGTTCTACTTATATTACAAGGTGACGATTTTTCAGAGATATCCAGAAATGGTGCTGGAGAAATGGTAATCCCTCTTGATTCTTTAGTATCACTTCTAGCTATCTGAGACATATTTGGCGATTTCGACAGAGCTCTTTGTGGAGAAATACTAGAAAATCTTTTAATTCCTGTGATAAATTTTGTTGAGTACTTAATTCCTGAATTTTTGTCATTTTTTATTTCTCTTGAGCAGTTTAAGCTTTTTAATTCGCTCTCAGGGATGTCCTGCATTGATTCTTCACTCGACAAAGGAGTCCTTGAATTTTCTTTTTTCACGTCAAATGTAAAAGAGACCTGATAATGCATTTTACATGAATTTCGGATGTGAATGAACAGCATTCTTATACTTTTTTAGGCTAAATAGTCTGATTTTTTCAATAGAAATAATTATGATTAATTTAAATTAAATTAAATAATTTGTCGTTAATTGGTGCGTTGGTATTGAAAGCTTGATCTGCAATTAGCTTGAATAAAGTTTCAAAATTTTGATATGAAAATTTATTTGACGAGCAGAGTTTTCTTGTACCTAATATAATGAATAAAAGCATGCCTACTGATGATGGTTTACTTAGTATGAGCGTATTTATTTATTGTATTAGGCATATCATTTTTTTGAGCTCGATCATTTGGATTAAATCCTGGATAAAGCTTACTGGGAAAATTCTGACGTTTTTGCAAAATTTTATGACTTCTTGTGGAGATATTTTTCCATCACGCCCTGGAATGTGTCTTGAGAAGATTTTGTTGAGCTTGGACCGATTGATGAGTAGTAGAGGATCAGTTTCATTTTCAGACTGAATTAAGCTTCCATACATTATATATGATGAATTTTACATAAAGGGATTGGGTTATCATAATTACTTATTTTATCCTAACGTGGAAATTAATTGTTTAGACTATTATATAATATAAACTAAATAGCAGATCAACAAAAAAAAAATTAAGTAAGCCTTTATATAAAAATAAAATAATGGTTTTATGTCGGTAATAATGTATATTTATATAAAAGACTATATTTGATGAGGTTTAAGGTGAGTTTAAATTTTTATCACATATATTTATTATAAAAAAAATAAATTTTCTTTATTAACTGCATTTAAATGAATTCAATATTTTATAAAGTCTATAAATTCTTATAAAATTCTGTTAAAATCATATAAACGCTTTTTATTTTATATTTCATATTTTGTTTCCATAAATAGTAATCATATTTTCAATCTCATTATAATTTATCTATAAAAATCGATTAAAAGTATGGAATCGAATTTTCTGCAAGATCAGCAGTCATTATTTACGAAAAGGTCAAGACCAGATTCAAAAAGTAAATCTTCAAGGAAATTATCATTAAATCAGTTAAATAGAAGGCTTACGCCGCTCTGTAAAAGTCTTGCAATAAAAAACTTCCCCAGTTGAGGAAAGCAAAATGAAAACGGAGAAGGCGGAAAAGTTTTCAATTGAAAAGTCCTAAAAACATCACTGTATACTGTAGAAGATCTCAAAGAAAGATTAGAAAATCAATGAGAGGAAAGCAAAATTCCTTCATTTATGAGAGATCTTTATAAATCTAGCATTTATCAATTACCTGAAAATGAAATTTCATCAAAGATAACCTCGGAAATTTTTAATTTAAAAAATGGGACCTCAATTGCACAAAAATTAATAGAGTCCATTCAGGATAGAGAAATAATTTTAGAAGATTTGAAAAAAGGCGAAAAAGAAATTCAAAGCAGCTCTCCTAGAAAAGATTCTTTAGAAAAAGCTTCAGTCTTATTAAATGCCTATAGATTATCAACTTTAGTAGTAATTGAAAATATTACCCAATGAAAAAATGAAGCTAGCCTCACCAAGTCCACTTCATTTATTTAAGGATAGGATTAAAGATTAGGATCTCCTTGTTTAATAGCACACCCAAGGTAAGCCTTAAGATAAGTCTTGCTTAGTCGTAGGCCAACTTCTCTGGGCTTGCAAGCATCCACTAGAAATAGCTCTGCTCTAGCTCTAGACCTCATTCTTGATGCTACCTTAGAACTTTGGAGTGCAATATAGGAATTTGGCGGCTGTGGTTCAGCACCTGGAGTCCAAGTTAGGGATACATATCAGTTAGTATCGATATTAACTGTACCTTTGCCATGGCACTAGTGGCCCCAGGGCAACAAAAAAAAAACATTTTTCTCAAATTTCATCTCGAAGATACTAAATTTGAATGTAGAGGCAAAACTCGCCCGGAGCTATAGGTTCTTTTGCTGCTTGGCTAGTCTTAGGCCCCATTAAGTCCCCAAAATCTCAAAATTGATTCTTCATTTATATGAGACGATGCAGATTATTTCGAAAAAATTATAAAAGACTCCGATTATATATCATCAACAAATCTCCATAAATATTTCAATCTCAAAGAAAATGACCCATTATTAGGCTCTATCTCAAACCCTATAAACAATGAGCCATCCCAATCAATTGATCCCAATTTTATTTATCTTCCTGCCTCATCAGACTTGCTCAGCAGAATAAATGATGCAAATCAGATACTTCTCAGTAGCAATTTTCAATCCGCCAAAAATGAATCAAAAATAATCCATCGTTCCCACAAAAATTTAACTACACCACCCAGTAGAAAGCCCCGCACGAAATCCAAAATAAAATCCAGAAGCTCAAAACTCTGCAAATTAGCTGACGATATCATAAATAAATCAAGTGAAAAAACAAAGGTAAAATTAAAATTCGATTCAAATGGAGAAAATGTCAATTGAGAAAACCTGTGATTTAAACCAATTAATGTGTATGAAAAAAATATCAGTCCAATATTAGGTGAGTACTATAATTATCTTCCAGAAATGTGTCGAAATATAAATTCAAGCTTAAGTTTATTATTTTTAGAAATAAAAAATTTGGTAAATCCATGCTTTTATTGGATTTGTTTTGAGCAGAGGATCGTAGGATTGCTGGTTTATACGCTGGATTGTAGCAGTGATATGCCGAAAATCGTTATTAATCATTTATCATGCTTAGTTTGGGAAGGATATTTACATGAAATTACAGCAGCCACGAAATTTCTGCTAACTCCCCCCCCCCCCCCCCGTGAGCGAACAAAAAAATTTTGTTCGCTCACGGAGGGGGGTTAATTTTTTTTTTAAAAACAATTTATATATAAATTTTATAAAAAATATTTTTTTCGAAATTTAAAAAAATCCTAATTTGCAAAAATTGGGAAGCAAATATTAATTTAATTTGCAAAAATTTTATGTTTTAAAACGCAATTTGTTTAAAATTAAACAGAATTAGCTCTAGATTTCATTATACTAATTATCACTTATATATCAAAATTTTTTTCCATTAAAATTTTTTCTATTAAAAAAAATTTTTGTTCACTCACGGAGGGTGGGTTTTTGGTCAAAAAATGGCGATTTTTCTAATGGTTTTGTTCGCTCACGGAGGGGGGGGGGGGAGTAAGCAATTATGATTATGATGAAATCAGAATTAATTTATTTACATATAAAGACCAAGAAATTACAAAACAATACAAAACTGTTTTTTCAGGCTGCAAATATAACTGAAAATCAACCATTCTTAACGAAAGCGCATATAAAATTACAGTCATGGGCACTTCGCGAAGTAAAATTGGGATAATTCCAACAATTAACCCATCGACTTATTCACAAATTAGTATAAAAGCTGAATGTGAAACTGAGATTTCAAAAGAAAATATTCTAGAAATAACAGAAATCAATATAAATAATTTATTGAATTCAGGAAATCGGCAATGTTTTGTCAAATCCTTGCTTGATTATACCAGTATTAACGAGTACAACTCATCATCAATCAACACTGGGGTCAACAGAGAAATCGATAATTTGATATTTTTATTAAATGGCGCAAAAGTCTATCATTTCCCTTATATTAACAAAATATTCGACCAAAAATCAGAATTTTTAACATCAGGATTTTTTGAGATTAATTTATTTTTCCCAGGCTGCACATATTTTGCTCAACGTTTAGCTGATAGTTCTTACCAATTAATGAGGATAAAATCAGACACAATTACAAGATGGAATTTCAGCGACTATAAAATTTTCTATATTCAGACAAATTTGCCAAAAATCCAAGCATTTGTGATATATAAAGAAAATTTAAAAGAAAAGCTGATAGAAAATTTTAATGCAAATCATTATGATTTGTTTAAAGAGGCAGCTGATATACTTAAATTTGCGAAATTTGAAGAAGAAATTGAAGAATTGTGTATTCCTTGCTTTAGCAAAGAAGCAGAAATTGGAGAAAAATGGATGCTTGGGTATAAAATGCCAGGAATACAACAAGAGTATACAATAAAAAAATGCAAAGAAACCATTAATATCAAGATGCACCAGTTCACTCCTTCCCAAGGACTATTAAAAATATCGCGGCACCATCCACATTTGATCCTAAACGATTTTATTTTTGGTCTTTCCCACTTAAAATCAGACGATACCTTAGACATTCCATTATTTGTATCTTTTATTGAAAAATCCGATTTTCTATTACCTTAAACTTAACTTTTCATTGTCCTTTTTTTATTAATCCAGCTTTTATCTCCTTTAACAGTTCTATTAGTCTGCATCATCTGCATCCCAGCTTCATATAAAACCATGCTCATGAGTCTCAGCTCTTTATTAAACGCGCTTACAACTTCTTCTTTAGACTTCGACAAATAAAGCACTTCATTTTCTTTTTGGTTCAGCATATTTGATAAGTTTCTAATTTCTTCTTGGTGAACTGAGGTTAATGTTTCTTCTCTTAACGTCAAAGACTCTCTGAGGTCGGTTTCTACTCTGATTTTTTCTTTTTGTAGGCTTTTAAGAGTGTCGTCTTTTTCTCTTAATGTCAATTTTAAGGCTGTATTTTCTGAATTTAGCTTCATAATGTCTCTTTCAAATTCCAAATATTTTATTTTGTCAATATTTTGTTCTTCAGATTCCCCTTTATTTTTTTTTAAGACTTCGAGCTGGCTTAATGCGATTCTTTCACTTTCGTAAGCTTCTCTTAGCTTATTTTCGATTCTTTCTCTGTCAATTTCAGCTGCTTTTAAAAAGGTTTCTTTTTGAACTATCACGGTTTCTAGCTTATGAATATCTTCTTTGCTTTCTAGTAGCTTCTGGGTAATTTCATCTTTTTCTCTAACTCCCCTTTGCTAATGTAAAAAAAATTGTTTTAAATATAAATTTTTTTCTAGTGTCTATAATAATTGAATTTAGAATGCTTTCGTTTATATAAATTAAATTAGATATCCATACAAATCTGAAATTTTCAATTTTTTATATAAAATTTTATATAACATTAATAAAAACTTCATTAACTTGCGTGCAAAAAAATTTACTCCCTAATTAATAAAAAGGGATAAATAAATTTTTCATTTCTTGTATATGAGAATCTCTTTCCCCTTTTATCCTATCATAATCAGCTTGCACATGCTCTAAATTTGCTTTTTCTTTTTCTAGCTGCTGAATTTTATATTTTAAATTTTCATTAGCCTCATGAGAATCGCTTAAATCTTGCTGTAGATCAGAAAACTTGCTGGAAAGTTCATTGAAATCTTTTTCTAAACTATCATATTTATTTTGAATATCTTTGGTATTTTTCTTTTCATTTGCTAGATTTTCTTCTACGATTTTTTTAGAAATTAAAACAGAGTCCATTTGGTCATTCATTTCTTGAATAATACTTTTATTGGATGATTGGCCTCGCAGAAGCTTATTTTCGGCTTGAAGTCTTTTGACTTGCTCTTCTAGCTCAAGCTGTATAGACCTTTGCAATGAAAAACCGTCTTCTGACCTTGCAGTTTCGACCCCTGATTTGAGGACTTCGACTTCTTGCTTTAAGTCTTTTAATTCATTTTCTACACGTTGCTTTCGCTCATCAATATCATTTTTGGATTTTCTTAAATCCTTAATAGTTCTTTCTTTTTCTTCTACTGATAATGATAAGCTGGCTGATCTTTCTTTTTCAATTTGATATTGCTCTTTATAGTAGTCTAAGGCTTGTTTCATATCTTGTGCTCCGAATTCCTCGTTTTCATAATTATTTAAAGATTTTTCAAGAGCTTCTTTTTCGTCTTCCAGGTCTTTTATTTTCTTTTTGTAAGTGTTGACGTCTTCAAGGCGCTTTTTGTATTGCTCAAGGGTAGCTTCAACTTTGGTGAGCTGCATAATTTTTTCATGAGCTACATCAAGTTCGTCTCTTAAAGAAGAAGCCTCTCTTAGGCTGTCTTTTTTAATTTCATTGATTTGGCTTTTTAAGTCTTGAATGATCCCATCTTTTAAGTTTAATTGATTTTCAAGCTGCATAAGGCTCATATCATAGTACTATATTTTTTAATTAAAATATTTTTTATAAAAAAATATTCAAAAAATAAATCCTAGCCATATCAGCATTTTGTGATCTTCTATTAACTTTTCTTTCCACCTCATCTTCTAACACCTTTATCTTTTCTAGTCCTTCATCTCTTTCTTTAATTAGCTCAGTTTGAATCTGCACTATTTCGTTTAAGCTGTTTCTCAATTCATCCAGCTGTAAATACAAAGACCTGTTTTCTTGTCTTAATTGCGAAGTACTTTTATCTTCTGATAATTCTTTTGGGTCTTGCAATTTATTTAAAATCCTCTGACTCCCCCCCCCTTAAATTGAAACAAAAAATTTTTGTTTCAATTTAAAGGGGGGTTAAGAAAATTTTTTTATAAAAAAATTTATATATAAAATTGTTTTCAGAGATAAAATTTTATAGAAAATAATTATATAAATTTAAAGAGACAATGGTATTCTTCTAACTCTCCCCATAACAATTGGACAAAATAGAGTTTAATTTCTAAATCTTATATGTTTGAAGCATATTAAATAGGGTATTAACGTATTTACATATAAAATAATGATTTTTACCTATAAAATTTTCTATTATACATAATAAAATTTTGTTTCAATTTAAAGGGGGGGTAATTTCCCAAAAAAGTAGGAATTTTACCTATATTTTGTTTCAATTTAAAGGGGGGGGGAGTGAATGAAAACCATAAGCTCAGCTTGAATTGCTTCATTTAATTCCAATATTCTTGAAATATAGGTCTCTTTGGCTTCACAATTAAGGATGGCGCCCATCACTAACTCAATTAAGCTAATTAGATTTTGGATATCGGCGCTTCTTGCTATTGCAGAGATCTCAATATGCTCTACAAGTTTGGTATAAGGAATGTCTAGGACCTCTGTGTAATATTTCTCTAAATCTCTCTCTAATTTTATTAATCATTGGGGAATTAAAATTTTTATTTATGAAAATTTTGATAAGAAATTTAAAAATTTTAGTTTAAAAAAAAATAATTTAGATTTCTATTTTTGAGTTTAAAAAATGATTTAAACAATCGAAATTTGCATTAAAGTATATTATAGAAATGCTTATATGCAAATATTTTTGGCTTTAGCCAGGGGATTAAGCATTTTTTGAGCTTACTTAGATTTCCAAGCCGTAAAGCAAAGTTTTCTCTGACATCATGATTGATTAAAGAGGGGATGAAAATTTCTGGGTGGCTAAATTAAAGTTACACTTGAGACATTAAATCGTAAAGGAGGACGCCATCACTGAGGTCTGTTAAAGATTTTGCTTTTACAGTTTTACTGTTGCGATTTAGCTAAATAGCTGTTACCCAAACTAAGAGACTTTGTTCTAAGTTGGTGGTTTATAAATGGCTTGGCAAAGCTGCCCTTTTTCCCAATTTCTACATTCGGAAGGCTTTACGCACCGTATCTTAAGGAAGGGTAAAAGGTGCTTGGGAGTATTATTCAGCTTGGATTTGACAAGTTTTGAGAGCAGCAGCACAGGTTGGCTCACATCAAGATTGGCTTTTTCTCATGGGAAGGAAAAACTTGAAGCTGGAAAGGGGAAGCTCGGTACTACCTCTGATGCTAGCAACTCCCTAATGCATGCAGGTGCTGCGTCTTTGGCTTCAAGTTTCTATCCTGGTCAACAAATGACCAGAAATTTTCCATTTTCAAATATTTTAGAAAGCAATTATTGACGGCAGCATAGTGACTTAGCATCATCAACTTCTGGTAGAATGTGCATGCCCTTGTCTGGAAGGAGCAACAGTGCGAACTCTAAAGCAAAATGTGAGGGCTAATGAAGGCTTGGCTTATAGTGGTCTGAGGGCCTTTAGGGACTTCTCGATTTAATTAATGCTCATGATGCTAATGTTCTAAGTCGGTCATTTTTAAAATAATATTTCATAAATGCTGGGAAAAAAGATTGCGATAAATTGATTTCTTATATTCTAAAAAAAATAGATTAATGTTACTAGAATGATGAAAAATTTATATTTTTTAATTTTATTACATAAGGATTTTTGCGATAAAATATATTTTGTGTGTGAAATATTTTAATTTTAATTCATTTTTCTGATTTGAACTGCCTATTAAATTCTTCTAAACGAGGCTAAGTCCACTGAGTGAACAATATCGCTATCATCGCTTCCTTTCATATAATTTATTTCATCCATCAAATCGTCAATATTAACTAAATTGCCACTTATTGTGCCCTTTACTACTAGTTTTTTCAGCCCAAAAGCAATTGGGGATATTGTATAGTCACTATTTCAAGACAAGCCTTCAAAGCAAACAGTTTTGAACACTTTTTCTGCTAATTCGCCAAGATTGGTTGTCTGATCATAAGGTTTTATATCAAGCACAATCTCAGTTGAAGACTTTGCCATCATTTTATTTTTTTAAAGAAGTTGTTTTAAATACAAAATAATAAATTTAACTGATTAAATATAAAAGTCCAAAGTATTAAAGTTGAAATAGTATAATTAATGGTCCTTATTTGCACCTAGCTTCTTAGACGTCACTCTTATATTCTTGCTCTTACACTTGATTTGCTTAAGTTAAATTATGGGTATATTATTTTAAAGAGCATTATTAATAAATTTGATTGGTGATATTAACGATAATATTAAATAAAGAAGTATGTAAAATATCGCTTGCCTTATCCTCTCCTTTACTCATTTTATATAGTCAGTGCCAGTCAGTGTCACTAACTATATTAACTTCCAAGAATCCTTAGTCTCTATGGGAGTTGTGGGAGTCGTGGGAGTCGTTGGAAAGCGGATTTTGCTTCTTGTCGCTGATTTGTGGCTGCTCAGAGTTGCAGTCAGGAATCTGGGAAGTGGGAAGTTGGGAGCGCTGATGTCGGAAACTGGGAAGTTGGGAACACTGATTTCGGATGGCAGGGAGTTGCTGGTTTTTTGTGTGGGGAAATGCTTAATTAGGCTAGGGCTCATGACAATTTCTTCTTCTTAGTCTCTATATATCAGGCAAGCAGAGGGAGTTTGTGCAGAATAGCCTGATCCTTTGTGCATTTGGAAGGCTTAGGGTTTGTTTGCTCAGCACACCCAAGGAGGGTTGGTAACCGAGACGCCATCTTGACTTCCTCTGGTGAACTCATTTCGTTCTGATCGGTATGCCATCATAATTCTGATCAAATGTTAAGTATATAAGAGCTATACGACCAAAATTACTGATATTTGCAAATAAACAGCTTTAAATAAAATCTGTTGTTGGGTCTGATATAAGCAGTAATTATTTCATATAATACAAGTGTCCAATTTTATTCATTAATTAATAAAATTGTTTATTTTATAGCTCTAATTAATAAAAGACTAATATCTTATAGTCCCAGTATATAAATTTCGCTAAATCTATAATCTTTAATTGCATTTAAAAAGATATAACTATAATTGTTCGAATAAAGATAAAATTATTCCTTTCTCCTCTTTCCAACAACAAACTTTTTTTTCTCGTAATTAAGCAAGCCATAATAATTTAAAATTTCATATTATTGTAATAATTATATATATCAAAAAAATATATATAAAAATGATTCATATTTAAATATATAATTGTGCTCATTTGAAGATCTTGGAATTTTTCCCAAAAAATAAAAATTTTCATTATATCTTGCTCTCGTTCCAAACTAATTAGGATACGAACATTAGGCATCTTGATTTAATTATAATGTCGCTATTAAGAGACTGTTTTAGTGGGTTTCGATTTATTTTTGCTAGCGAGGCTGCTTGTCGTATTTGCTACTTTGCAACACCTTTATTTTGGATATTTGGAAGTTTCTATATCGCATTAAACTCTATTAGCATCTATACAGGAAATCCAAGTGTCCAAACAAGAATCTATGTAGCTATATTTGGTATATTTTTAATTCTCTGTGGAATTTTTACAGCAGCTAACACAATCCACGTTTGTTTGCAGCTTCCGACGTCTTTTACAGCTTTAAAGCTTCAAAAAACAGGACAAGGAATAATGATAGGTGCATATACAGTTTTTCTGATAGTCAATATCATTGCACAGAGTAGTGTAAGTGATACAAAATTTAATGGCGATTTTCAGAGCTTTTTGATACAGGCTTCGATTGTATATGCTCTTTTAGGGATTTCTACTGTAAGTTGCTTTTATTCAAGTTAATTCAAATAAATATACTTTTAGGAGATTAAATTATATCAATATATAGAAACCTTATAATAGCTTTCAGCATTAATAAAAATTACAGAGAATTTCTTCAAAAAAGCCAAATAATATATCTTTCGTATCCAATTTTTATTAAATCCTCTCTTTTATTATTTAATCCTATTGTGTCTCTAAAATTTTTTCCCTGCTGCTTTCCTCTTCGCCTCATCAATACTAAAAGGCTCATAATCATAAAAACACACATCCCAAACGCCTCCCACAATCTCCTCACTCCCCCCCTCGAAGTTCGACCAAGATATAGGGAAAATTCCTATTTTTTTGGAAAGTTAACCCCCCTCAAAGTTCGACCAAGACCTATATAAATTTACTAGGAAAATAAGCAATTTTTCAAAAATTTTAAACTATGTGGGGGTGAGCTTGCGATTTTTGTATTCAAGTTCTAAAAAGCGTTACAAAACCATCTTGCACTATTTTTTCTAACCTTACACCCTCTCAACCATACAGAAGAATATGATAAATATTTTTTTTTTTAACTACTAAATTATATAAAAAAAAATTCTATATAATTTTTTTGAAAAAAATTTTTCTTAAATCCCCTCGAAGTTCGACCAAAAAAATCTTGGTCGAACTTCGAGGGGGGAGTCAGCCTCCATCATATTTTTCAATTTAAAATGTGGATTATCCATCAAGCTCTTAGTTGCCCTATCTTTTACACACTGCGTATATTTCTTCGTCACCGTTCCTTTCCTCACATGTTTCAAAAATCCTTTATTGCTGCATTCTCCACTTAAATTTGTCGCTCTAATTTCGCTGCACGCTACATGTTCAGGGTTATGAAAATCTACCTCAGCCCTGGCATCATCAAAAAGATGCACCATTTCATGCCCCAAAGTGCTGTCAAATTCTTGATTAACCACATTATTAGCGCAGATAATGATTTTTTTCTCTTTTTCAAAATAATGCCCTGTCATTGGCTCTTCACAGATTTTGCATGCAATTAAATCTCGAGGGAGGTTGATATTCATGGATTTAAACTTATTTGAAAAAATTTCCCAGGCTCTTCCATGGAGATAGTCGTTGACACTTTGGATACATTCAGCGATAAGTCTGTTGCGGACTTCTGCTTCTACTACAAGTTTGGCTCTATCTGTATCCATTTTATAGGTTAAAAAATTGTTTAAATCTTTTTTGATTAAATAAAGCAGAATTTTTAGGTAGAGTATTATAGACAATTTTTATGAATAATTAGATATAATAAATACTTAATAGTCTTCATCGCCGAACATTCCTCCTAAATCTTCATCAACTTCTATTTCTTTTTCTTCTTCTACTGGCTTAGAAGTCTCCTGAGGGGCAGCTGTAGCTGTGGCAGGAGCTGAGGACTGAAGAGCAGCAAGTTTTGATGGGTCTTTAATGACATCAATAAGGGTTTGTGCCTGCTTCAAAGGATAATAAATAGCAATGGCAATGCCAACCAAGTTCTTGAACCCATTCAAAACAGAATGAGGTACTGAAGCTGCAGTTGGGATTCCTAGCTCTAAAGACATAGCAGCAATATTTCTGACCCCGCTCAAGAATTTTCCAATTACAACATCAGGGGTTAGTTTAAGCACTTCAGCGCTATAGACTGAGCCATTATCATAAACCTTGGTAACCTTAAGGCCGAACTTAAATGGCTTAATATTAAGCTTCTTCAATAAAACAGCTTCACTGTTCCCTACTTTTTTGCCTTGTTCAAAGACTTGGACTTCTGTAATAATTTCAATTTGTCCTTTAGCGATTTAAGTTGAAATCCCTAAATCTTGGAAAAAAGCAGTCTGTGAAGGATCCATACCGGTAGGTCCTGGCGGGACAGATACGGTACAAGGTGAAACAGTCCCTGCTTTGGCTTCGGCTGGCGTGGTCGAAGTTTCAATAATTTCAAGGATTTTGTCCATTCCTCCTTTACAGAAAATCAAGCCTACATTCCCTTTAATATTATGAATAAGCTCTTTGATTCCTTCTAGCGGAAACCACTTGTCTTTTCGCTTTTCATAATCCTCTTGTTCTGGTGTTGGCTGCTCCATTCTATGCTTAAGCCCAGCTCTACTAAGTGTATTTTTCCCAAAAAGCATGACTGCCTGGCTCTAATCTTGGTCCTGATATCCTGCAAAAGATTGCTGCCGACATTATTGGCTTCGCAGATCAAAACTTGTGGGTACTCTTCTACTAATTTCCAGAGGGTTTCCCAGTATTCGTACTTCTTAGCTTTGACCTCTGCCATTTTGACCACTAATATATTATATGATTGCAAGGTTTGCCAAATCTCTCAAATCTATAGTTGCACATACTCACATTTCAGGGGCAGTTAATCAGAAAACAGCTTTAAAATTGGAAGAAGACTTGCATAAGCTGAGGTGGAGCAGTCCTAAAATGATTGCTGTTTCAATTAACACGGCACATGGATCTTTTGGACAAGCCCAGCAAATTGTGCATATGCTGAAGGCGGCGAGTGATAAATTTGATTGTCCGATTTATACATTCGCACAAGATATAGCGGCTGGGCCTGGTTATTATATATTAGCGTCTGGTAATAAAGTATGCCATATAAGAATATAAATTTTATAAAAAAAAATAATTATTTCTCTTTTTTTAGAAAAAAAGATTTTACATGAAAATTAAAAAGTGTTTATTAGAAAAAGAAGCATATTTGCAGATCCTCATTCGATAATTGGGAACATTTCTGTAAATTATAACACCTTAGGACTTACAGAGTTCAGCAAACAATTCCAAGTGACTCTTCAGAACGTCGCGCATGGGAAGCATAAGCTTAGACTGAATTCTTTTGAAAAAGTCAAATCAGAAGACGAAGCATGGTTAAAAGGGATTTTAGGAGAATGGCTAAATATTTTTAAGAAACACGTATTGGAATCCAGAGGGAATAGGATTCCAAGAGATGCAGAATTAGAAAAAAAAATTTTTAGCGGAGACTCATTTATTGCAAAAAAAGCTATTGAGCTTGGATTGGTAGATTCACTTGGAGAAGTTTATTCAGTTGTTGAAAAAGAATTCGCTGGGGTAAAAGTTAGGGAGTTCCCTGCTAAAGATTATAAGGCTGGGCCAAATTATGAAGTGTTATTAATGAAACTGAGAGATGGAACTATAACTGAAAGTGAGATGTATGAAGCTGTTGATGAACTTTCAGTTAATTTCTTATCAAATCGTATGCAAGTTATGACTCCTTATTAGCTTAAATAAGCTTTAATTCTATGCCAGGTTTACTATTTAATTTGTTTATAATATCTATTTTATATTATAATTATAATTATTAGTTGTCAATGATTTGCACTCGTAGATATTGTGTTTAAATAAAGTAAGTAAAAATTACCTAACTCCCCCCCCATCCTTGATCGAACGATTGACTGTAAAAATTCATAAAAATTGGGAAATTAACCCCCATCCTTGATCGAACGATTTTCATATCATGCAAATGTTTATATATATATAAAAATATATATTAGTTATCAAAAGCTTGGGAAGATGTGCATAATGAAGTTATTTTCAGAGGCTTTGAGATGACAGAAAGCTGCGAAATCAACCATCCGAAGTGATTTAGTCATTAGCATATGCTTAAAAACTCAATAATCTAATAAAATACAGATTCTTTAAAATTTTTTTAAAAACAAAATAATTTAATAAGGAACAAATTAAAATTTATACAATTTAAAGGGGTAACTAATAAATCAAAAATTAATAAAAATATGCCCGAAACATAGAAAGAAATACCTTTTAAATTAATTTTAATTATTTTTCATAACAGCACACCTCTCCCATAATTCATATCCTTTCTCTACATCTCTCAAATTTGCTATATCCAGGATTATTAATAAAATAAAATTTTATTTCCATTTATGGATTTTCACCGCTTTTGCTGTCACAATTAAAAAAATATATCTAAGATGTCTCAAACTGCATCCATATACACAGAGAAAAGAAATTCCCAGCTTTCAGCTGAATCCCTTCAAACTGATATGCCTACATTTGAGCGAGACCAATTCAAAGTCCTTATCTCTGCTCTAAGGCTTCAAATAAAAGACAGATCTCCAGATCTCCTACAAAGGATTGCAGTCACAGCAAATTCTTTAAAGTTTTTCCAAGCTCTCAATGAGCAGCATTCTGAAGAATTTGTGGTATTATGCTGCAAATATATGACTTATATGTTTCATAAAGCAGATAGTTTTATATGTCATCAAGGTGATTCAACCCATTGCATTTATGTTATTTTGTATGGAAGTGTTAAAGTTATGACAGATAATAATCAAGTTGGAGAACTTGTGGCTGGGGATCATTTTGGACCGACTGAAAATTTTGCGGGATTAATACATTTTTTAAGTTATCAATGCAAAACGGCATGTCATATAGGAGTTATAGAGACAAGCGATTTCAAATGGATTTTAGATAAAATGCTAAGCGAAAAAGTTAATTCTATTATTGAAGTGCTACATAAATTGCCAGTCCTCCAAAGCTTGACTAGGCACTATATCCAAAAACTAGGAAATTATTTTAAACCAAAAAGACTCCGAAGAGGACAATTTTTATATAAAGAAAGCGAAAGGGCTGAAGATATTTTCTTCATTCAAGACGGTGAATTTAGAATTTCAAAAAAAATCAGCCTGCAAGTAAAATCTGATAGAGATTTTCCTAGAAAATCGAGCTTACTGTATAAAAATCACAAATCAAATACACAGCTTGCAATTCTTGGAAAAGGTGAAATCATAGGCGAAGAAGACGCGCTTTCAGACAGCCATAGAAGGTCTACTTCCTGTCAATGCATTTCTGAGGTAGGAAATGTCTTGATTATTTCTAAAGAAAATTTTACAAAATATGTTCTTGTAACTGATGAAGGAAAAGAGCTATTTAAATCATGAAATTTAAGCAAACAAGGCTCAAGACAAGGAGTACTAGAAAAAGCTGTAAAGCTACAAAAAATAAATGTTGGCCTTATACACATAGCCAATGACGAGTCTCCTGTTGAAATTCCACAAAATATAGCCACATCAAATAATTATCACAGAAAATCTTCATCATCAAAGTTCCCGTCAACACCAAAATTGTCATGTATGACTCCTATATCATCTTCTAACCAAGAACTTATTGGCTTTAATAAGCCAAAAACTCCTTCAAATTATCTAGGCTATAAAACTCTCCGTTCAGAAAAAATTCGAATTAAACAAAAATATAAAGAAGGCCTGAGAAACATCCACATGCTAAAATCAAAATCATCAAGCTCATTGGCTTCTCCACTTTATTTAAGCCCAAAACAAGAAAGAATTGCAGTAATTAATATTCAAAATATAGAAGACCAAATATGCATTGATGAATGAGAATACAAACTCAAGCGGGAAATGTGGACAAGCCAACGGAAGCTTAAGCGGGTCACGAAATCTGATCACAATATGTTCAGAATGAACCCCTTCTATGTACATTAATAAAAGCAATATTTTAATAAACAAACGTTTTTAAAGAAAATAAAATAAATAATGTCTGGAAATCTGCCTATAAAGCGCCAAGATGAAAACACGGAGCCAAGATTAGGGAGCCCGACAAAAAAAACAAAAGTTGAAATTATCGATGCTAAGCAAAATGGAAATTTCCAAGAAAAACAACAGTCTACACAAAATTCTGATGAAGAAAGCGTCTTGCTTTCAGATGAAAGCGATAGCACCCCAAACATAAAAATTAAAATTCTCAAGAACCCCAAGCCAAAAACTCCTTCTTCAGAAGAGTCATACAGCGACGCTGAGCAGCCTAGTGAAGAAAGCCAAATTTCAGATGAAGATTACATTGAATCTGAATCCCAAGAATCCGAATCCGAAGAATCATGGGACGAGCCCCCTCGCAAAGGTAAACGACAAGGCCGTAAGCGCTATAGTTCTGACTCTGATTATTAGCTTAATGATAACTCATTATAATATGGAATTCTCAGCACGAGCAGACATAATGCTAAATCTCCCTGAAGGTTCGGCACTTGATAATGATGATTTAAACGGTCCAGGCTCTATCTCTTTTCCTAGAAAAACCGGCGACCTTTCTACAGACTTCGCGCTGTTCAAAATCACTCAATACGTAATTTCAACTTCAATATCAGACCGTATAAAATTCACCAGGAACCTCCCAGAACTTCTCCAGCAGCTAGGGAAGTCCTCAAAAGAGTTCGCGTTTAATTTATTTCGAAAAGTCGTAAGTTATAATCAGCCAGATTGAAGACCAGCCTGAAGTGAGAACTGAATTCGCCTTACAACTCCCTCATTTAGCTAATGTTTTTATCAAAGAAATGGACTCTTACCCAGATGTCGTCCAACAGATTTTACCTTGCTTAGACAAAATGTTAAGCGACTCTAACCCTGAGGTTGTAAAAGCTGCTTGTGAAGCAGCAATTGAACTAACCCCAATTGTACAGAAAGATGAAAGAGAAGGTGTTATCTTAACACTTGTCCTAAGACTAACACATGATGAAGAAGAAGAAAACAAGCTAAAAGGCATTGCAGCCCTAAAAGACATCATTCCTTTTATCGCTTCAGACATTTGTGAACATTTTGTAGTCCCTGAAATCGCATCACTTGCCACAGATCCAATAGTAAAAATTCGAAAATTAATTGCGTATTGTGTCCCTAAGGCAGCTAAGCAGGTGTCAGACCCTGTATATCTAGAAAAATTACTGAATATTTATATAGCACTTAGTCATGATGCAATCTGGGGAGTAAGAAAATGCTGTGTGGAAGGGTTTTCAACGATGATTCAAGCATATAATGAAGAAACACAAATAAAAACACTCCAGCCACGATTTTTAGAATTAATGAAAGATAAATCAAATTCTGTTAAGCAAGCAGCTCTGTTACAATTAGGAGAAATTATTGCAAACTCTAAAGCACCTTTACCAGAAACTATTTTAGACCAGTTTACAGCTCTATCACAAAATAGTGCTAGTAAAGGGGAATTTCAGCATCACTGTGCATTTTATCTGCCTGGGGTTTTACAAATTATGGGGCCAGAGGCGTGGGTCACTTTATGCCATCCTTATTTCCAACTGTGTAGTGAAGGAGAAAATATAGCGAAAAAAAGCATTGCGGCAAGCATACATGAGGTAGCAAAAATTATAGGCCCTGAGAATGCAAGTAATGACTTAGTAACTGTTTTTCAAGGAATGTTCTTAGAAACTAATCCTGCCAAAAATGTTGCGTTAGAAAATTTAAGCAATTTTTTGAAATATATCAAAGAAGAGTCAAGACCTGTTTTTTTGCAATATATCAAAAAAGGATCAAAAAATGCAGGAATTTGGAGAACAAGATATGCAATTGCTAAACAATTAGAAGATTTAGTTGATCTCTACCCAATTTCTGTTGTACTTGGAGACATATGACCAGTAATTGTCGAACTATGCAAAGATAAAATCGCTAAAATTAGAGATACGGCCTCACTAGGTCTAGGAAAAGCAGGCGCATTAATACTTACAACTGGCAACAACACAGAAATAATTCAAGAAATAAAAACTTTTGCCATTGACCCAACCTATACAACTAGACTAGTTTTCGCTCAATCTTCCCTTCACCTAATAGACATCCCAGATTTCCAAAACCTATTTGGCGAAGAATTATCAGCGATTGTAAATGATCCTGTCGTAAACGTCCGTATCGCCTGTTCACTAGTCGTCAAAAAAGGTCTCAAAAAAAATCCCGCAAATGAGTATTGGATCGGATTAAACACAAAATTAAGCCACGATTTTGACGCTGATGTCAGGTCCAATATTACTGGAAAATATGAAGATAATAGAGGGGTCGCTATATTGAGGCCTGCCCCGAAACTGCCACCTACTTTGACGCCTCCTATTTTGAGACCTATAATGGCTGATAACGATATTGAAGAAATTATCAGCTTTAATTGTACAGGGGTGGGCTTAGAATTTGAAGTTTTGAAAGATACGATTAGACCTGATTGGAGCGGGTTTGTGGAAGATATCCGAATTCAGACGGCGACAATTCAAGAGCTTTTAATAGAGTCTTAGGAGTTAATGAGAATAAGCTATTTAAATTGATAGTTTAAAAATTCTTTGTAGGAATGGGCAGAATTAATTAAATTATTTTTAAGTAGCAGCTGATTCAAGCTCAATATCTTTAAACATCGAATTCAGTATTTCTTGGTAATTGTCATATTTTTGCAAAAAATCACCTTGAAGACGAGTAATAGATAAATTATACTCTCAGAGTTTCCCAGATAGATCTTCATAGAGATTTCCATCCTCTGCCATCTGAGCTTGTCGCAAATTTTCTTTTGCTTCATCAATAATCCTTTTTGTAACTCTTAGACTTTTTTGCAACCTTAAAGTCCTTTTTTCAAGTTCTTGCATCATTTGGCAAGTTTTATCAAAAAATTTTTTACTCAAGTCGCTGATTGCTTTATCGATGCTCTGAATGCTTGCCCCAACATTATTTTTAAACTCAGCATTTACCTTGAGGGCTTTCCATATTTCAGACTCTCTTTTAATACCTTCTTGAATCGTTTGGATTTTTTTATTTTCAGACTCGGAATGCAATAATAAGTCAAGTCTACTTCCTCTCAAATTAGGATGATTATTTATAAAATTCCCAAAATCTTTATTTAAAGCATCTTTTTCTTTTTGTGAGACATATTTTATGCAAAGCTCTGAAAGACGTTGGATTAGGTCGACTACGTCTGTTTTTTCTTCAAGGTTGTCAGCACTACGATTGGCTATAGATGGTAATCGATGCGGTATCTTATGCTTTTCTTTTATATATGGATACAAATTCAATTTTTTCAAATCAATCGGCTTAGCAGGGATATGAAAGATAAATCCACCCTTACTTGAGGCAATACATTCTTTATAAAATAAAACTTGAAATTTCGTAGTTGATTTCATAAGTAGTGTGACAATCGGAGACTCTACACCTGTATTTGTGGAAATTAATTTATGGCCCCATTTGAATTCTTCGTTTCTTGGCATATTATTGATTAATATAATTTTAGCATTTAATGCTTGGGAAATTTCTCCTAAAAATCGTTTTTTCTCTGTTGAGTATATAAATTCTCCTATTAGAAGCTGATTGCATTCTTCTTGGGTATCTGCATATAGACACATGATCGCTCTAAACCCAATTTCAATTCCTCTACAAACTTTTGTCTTGTTGGTTAAATATCCATAAAATGTCCTCATAGCATCTTCCCCGTTTGTTTTTGCTTTTAAATGGGAAACTAATTTTAAATAATTGCTGAAGCATTGCTTATCGTAAGCAGAAAGAATTGAAGATGATTCAACTAGATTTATAACACGCCGATTGTAGTCTTCTAAATGCTTCCAGAAAGGGTCATGAAAAGTAGCTTGATTGGCTTCTCCTGAGTATAAGGTTTTAAATGCGATCAGGGAGTGTATATATGAGATACCAAAGCATAAGAAGAAGCTTGGATCAACATTCAGAAATTGACCATAGTGAGTAAAATCGCTGTAAATGTCGCTTAGCTTGTTTCTGAGGCCACTAGTGACGTTTAGTTCTTTCATAAGAAGAGAGTCCATTTTTTGTCTTTTGTAGGCTTAATAATATCAGTGAATTTACTTCAAAGTCATTATATAAAAGTTATTCAATATAGTAGCTTATTTATTTCATAAAATCATATTTTTACTAATTTAGGATTTCTTTAATTCTTGTGGCTCTATAGCTATTTGCAATTAGGCTGAAATAAAGCAGATTTTTCAAAAATTCGTCAAAAAATTGCGTAAGTAAGGCTCAATGCATTTTTATAATGGAAATTAAGAACTAACAACATATTTAAAATAAATCATTATTATAATTTACAAAAGATATGTTAAATATTTAGGCCTTGAATTATAATTGCATTAGAATTGTATTTTCTTTCTTTGTTTTTCTCATTCCTTTCCTTGATTTCTTTTTATTTTCTTTACTTTTGCCGACCTTTTTCTTACTTTTTTTTATCGTTTTTGGCTGGCCCTTTTCTTTTCTTTCAAAAAGAATAATAGGATCAGGGGATTCTTCAAGATTAAACAGAAGGATTTTGTAGGAAATTTTTGGTTCTGACTTTTCATCACTGTCTTTTATTTTTGAAATATCTAATTTGCTGTCAGAAATAGCAGTTTTGTCATTATTTTCACAGAAACTTGATTCTTTGTCGCCTTTCTTTAGAATTGCTTCTACAGATTGGTTTAAATTATCGCTATCTTTGTCTTCAATTCGAGCAAAACATTTAAATAGAAGATTGATAAGACGCATTTATTTTTTTATTATATAAGTCATATTTGTTCTAACAGAATATACTGAAAATGGACACTTTTCTTAAAATCAGTCAAAGCCTTAATACCTGTAACTGCCATAATAAATTTAAATCACAAACAAATCGTAATAAGCTTTATTAAGAAAGTTATGATGGGAATAGCTATTAGATTGGTTTAAAATTTTTTTAATATTAAAATATAAATTACCTTTTAATTATTCTCGGCTTATCTAGAATTATTTACCCATATTTTCCCTGATTTTGAGATTTTAGTTAATTGTAAAATATTATCTCAGAAACTTTTGTATAAAAGAGCCCTTTTTCTTTATCTCCTCTGAAATCACCTAATCCAAAACATTACCAGCAGCATTCTTAAATGGTTTATAAATAATGGCTGATTTATCAGAGGATCAACTACATCATAAAGTCTTAGAAACCCTCCAAAAAGGTGAAGATCCAAAACCATTCGTCCTTGAATGGTGCAAGCCCAAGTGTCTAGATTACAAAGCTATGGTCGAAAGATGTGAAGCAGCTCTAAAAATCATCAAAGGAGTCGATAGTGAGAAAAAATGCATTTTCAGATTCAGACAATGGGTTGAATGTGTTGAAAATTGTGCTCAACCAAAAATCTTTTACCATCTAAAAGACGCTCACAATAGAGGAAAACTTGATTCATTCTTTGATAAAGTTTGGATGCTTCGTTGGGCTTTACTGCCACTTTATCCACTTCTCCCAATCTTATTAGGCATGAAGAGAGTGAATGTGCTTGAAGGACAACCAATTGAATAATCTAGTTAAAAGATTATCACTAAGGTGTTCAAATATAATAGTCAATTTATTTAATTATGAAAAAGTAAGCTCTTCTGAAGACTTTGGCTTCATAAAATGATAAGCTATATAGCCTGTATTCCCTGCATTGAAGCTTTTAGACATGCGGGAATTTTCAGTTCCAGCGAATTCTCTGAGAATTTTTCTGAATATTTTTGGGGCGCTGTTTATTGAGTTTATTTTACGTTTTTCGTCTAAATTTAATGCCAAGATGACATTTTCTGTGATATCTTTTCTTTCAATTAGCTGAAGGCCACACGAATTTAATGTGTCTTCTCTTAATGCAAGCTCTTGTCTATCTATAAAATCAGCAATCAAAAAATGCCCGCCTGGCTTGAGGACTCTTTTGACTTCTTCTACAAAAGCTTTTAGATTCCCATAGCAGTGGCTGCTTTCAATGTTTATGACTATATCAACACAGCTGTCGTGGACCGGCAAATGCTCAGCATCTCCATATGCAAATTTGAGGTTTGGGATATTATAGGTTTTGTTGCACCAATCTATTTGAGTTTGTGAGTAATCAATGCCGACAGCAGATATTGGTGACAAAACTTTGGTTATATAAGCTAACCCACCTCCTCGGCCACTTCCAACTTCTAAAATATGCTTTCCTGAGAGACTTTGGAATTTTTTAAGACCTGATGCAATATAATGATACATCTGATACTGGTATCTTTCTGTTTCTTCTTCAGGATCCAAGTCAATTATGTGGCCTTTTTCAGAGTGTTCTGCATACCCATAGTTCATTACTTTTCAGTTTCTTTTGAATGTAAACCTGCATAATAAGTTGTAAAATGATTTCCAAATAATTTTTCTGGGCTTATCACTTTTAAAGATCAGTCATTCATATAGATCATCGCCTTTCTGATAGACTATTTCCCAATATCCAAATAATCGTAAGCCAGCGTAGATCACAGCTAGCCAAAATGCTAGAATTAAAGAGAAAAAAACAGCTATCGGGATCCAAATAGGAGATGTGATCATAGAAGCAGCAAGTGCTATGATTGCGATTGCCCACCCTAGCATATATATAGTTTAGTATATAAATGGAAATTTTATGATCAAATAACTTGCGCAGTTGCAAGCTTTCCGTCTAAAATTCTGAATAAATTCGTAATTTAATACCTTTATAATCAAAATTTTTATATTTTCAATTTTCATATTGAATACAAACTGACTTAAAATTAATGCTATTAGTCGTAGTTTTCATAAATTAATCGTTATTTATTTATTTATTTATAAATATATAGATTGAGCAACCTGAATGCTGAATAACTGATAATTTTCATTTAAAAATTTTATTTATCTTGAAGAATTTTAATTTAAAAAATATGATCTCATTGATTACTGAACTAGAGAGTAAGAAGAATGCACGAACCAAAATAGCTCATTTGTATTTTAATAAGCTATTTGCTTCAAAAATTGAGCTCCCATATCTATTTTTGAGAGTAGATTCCAAAACACACGTTAAGGCTGATAGTCAGTAATTTTGATTGCAATTCTGATCTCTCTTTTCTTTAAGCTTTACCCAACAAAACACCTATAATCTTATCATGCGAATCTAATTTTCAAAGTATTTATGCTTCAAAAACGAAAAATTGACAGTAAAAAAATAAACTCAAAGCACACCATATTAATTATTTTGCTTCATAATGATAAAGGGATTTCATAGTAAGCTGATAAAACAGCAGACTGAAGCCAAGATTTTTTATAGTTCAAAATGTGTAAAAAACGGAAGATCAAATGTAGTAATTCCTAGTGAGATTTAAATGTTATAAATCTTATGCAAAAAGAGATTTAAAAGATAAGAAAATAGATTTCCTTATTAAAACAGATTGTGCTTGATGATGACTTTAATTCAATGAGCATGCTTTATTATTTTTTATGACTATTAGATTTTATTAATATGGCAGTAAATATGAAGCCATTTGCATTTACCAATGCTTACTATCATGAGCAAAAATCTGAATAAGCAATAATTTGTTTTTTTCGAGCAGTCCAAATCTCGAATTTTCCTATATTTTTCTAATGCCAACAATATAAGTTCAAGAAATTGATTTTTTGTAATATCAGACTGAAATAAAAAATGATTATATACCATTCTGGCATTACCATAATTTGCTATCATAATATAATAAATATTTAGGCTTATGACATCAGATAGCCATTGGAGTAATTGGGACCTCCTAATCTGGAATATCCTAAACAGGAATCCAGATGGGAATTTCTATCCTTTTTATAGCCATCAATCAGCTATGACTGGAAATCAGATCGAAATAAACACCGAATTAGAATGTAATCACTATGGGTGGCCTACAGGTCTACTTATAGATTCCATCGAGTTTTTAATCATGGTAGCAATTCAATGCTATTCGGCTGAAAATTCTATTGAGGATGGTCAACAAAATAATATAATTGAAAATACAGAAAATGATAGCTCTTATTGCAGCGCGTGTCGAAAATCATTTGCTAGTCAGCAAGGATTCAAGCAGCATGTAGGCAAAAAACACAGCAATAGAAAAAGGGCGCATAAATGCAGCATTTGTTCTAAGAAGTTTTATACGAAGTACATCTTGAAGACTCATATTCAGAACGTCCATATTAACAAGTAAAGGCACGGCAGCTTTTAATCGCTTAATTAACCACTTAAATATGTTCGGAAATGCTCACTGTCAATAATATTAATTTTCACTATTTAGAATAATTATATTGAATTGGATAAGTCAAAGATTATTGAAATTCTGTTAACTAATATGAGTATTTGTGATGCGAAAAAGCTACTGATATCTTAAAAAACTTATTGATTTAATGTTGGGCTCCTTAAATATCTGCAAATCTAGAAATTCAGCATTGTATTTTATAAGAGTGAATGATCAGTAGGTTCTCTGCAATTATTTTTCATAAGAACATGATATAAATGGCTAAGTATTTAATAATACGAATGATATAAGTTTACGTTAGATTTAAAGAGCATTATATTTCAGAAGGCTATTGGGGCTGGATCTTATTATATTAACTAGAACATTAGAAGCATGTTTTTGATTAATTTTTTTGCTGCTTACTTTTGGAATATATACGATATTTTATTTGATAAGCGTATTCCTTGATTTAAAGTAAACTTTTTATCACTGTATCTGTTCAATCATAATGCTTGCTATTAATTTACAATAATATTAAATTTATTATTCTTTGCTTAAATTTTGGCAATTTATCTATCACTAAAATATGGAGAGATATTAAACATCAGAAAAATTATCTAAGAATAATAAAATTGCAGTTATAAAAAATACATATCATATTATTGTCTAAAATTTTACATAATTTTACTGAATAAGAGAATAAATAGCAACGCTTAATGATATTGAAATTAATCTTTTTGTTCTAAGCTAGTAGCATAATCATTATCAATTTTAAAATAATTAATGTGCATTTAGATTCATATAAGGAAATATATAGCGATGACCCCCTTCAATCTTCATGTCTATTGCAACAAAAATGCAATTTTTAAATATAAAATTTTATATAAAAAAATAATTTTTCTTGCAGGCATGAAGATTTTTTCGAAAAAATTTTGTTGCAATAGACATGAAGATTGAGGGGAGGGTCATCGTTATTTTAATCTTTTCTTTCAAATATCAATAGAAATTAAAATTAGACTCCAAAAATTGCAAAAAAAGTAATGATTAATGAAAAAACAAACTGACAGCTATCCGTTGAATCTATATAAATAATATAAGTCAATATCGCTGATCCCTTTCTTATATCTCTTAAAAATACTTATTTCACTTAAAATAGCAACTATGCCTAATTTCAGATTCCATAATAATCTGTGGTTATGGCAGGAGGAATTAAGAAGCACTTGAAGAGAATCAGAGCCCCTCATCATTGGATGCTAAGCAAAATGGGCGGAACTTGGGCTCCTCGTCCATCATCTGGCCCACACAAGCGCCGTGAGTGTCTTCCTCTCGTTGTTTTGCTCCGCAACAGACTCCGCTACGCTCTAAACTTCAGAGAAGCCACATTAATCGTCAAAGAGAAGCACGGACTAGTCCAAGTCGACGGAAAAATCAGAAAAGACGTAAAATACCCTACTGGTTTTATGGATGTCATATCTCTTCCTCAAACCAAAGAGCATTTTAGACTCCTCTACGACACCAAAGGCCGCTTTCAGGTGCTCCGCATTGACGAAGCTGAAGCAAAATTCAAGCTTTGCAAGGTTAAGAACCGTATTGTTGGGCCAAACCACGTGCCATACATTATTACACATGATGGAAGAACTTTCAGATACCCACACCCTGACATCAAAATTAACGACAGCATCAAGCTTGAATTGGCAACTGGAGAAATCAGCGACTTCATCAAGATGGAAATGGGAAACACTGTTATGGTTACTGGAGGTAAAAACACCGGAAGAGTAGGAACTTTAAGCTACTTGGAAAGACACGAAGGTGGCTTCGATATTGTCCACATAAAAGATGCTCATGGAAATATGTTCGCTACTAGGCTGACTTATGCATTTGTCATTGGAAAAGGCAAAAAGCATTTGGTATCTTTACCTAAGGGAGAAGGTGTTAAGAAATCCATCTTAGAAGAGCAAGCTGATTTCATTAACTCCCCCCGCTGTGAGCGAACAAAACCATTAGAAAAATCCCAATTTTTTGCCTAAAAACCCACCCTCCGTTAGCGAACAAAATTTTTATGGAAAAAAATCTTGATATATAGTGATAATTAGTAATATGAAATCTCGAGCTAATTCTGTTTAATTTTAAACAAATTGCGTTTTAAAACATAAATTTTACAAATTAAATTAATATTTGCTTCCCAATTTTTATAGAGGTAAGTTTAAAAAATTTTCTATAAAATTTATATATAAAAATTTTTTAAAAAAATTAATCCCTCTCTGTGAGTGAACAATTTTTTTGTCCGGTCACGGAGGGGGGAGTAAGAAGCACGCAGAATAAGACTAATACCTATTCTTAATAATTTGAGAGTTTTTATAAAAACTAAATGATAAAAAATTTTTATGCCTATATATCCCAGTTTAGCATAAAAATTAGAGTTTTTATAATTTACATTACCAATCTATAAAAGGATCATATTCTGTAGCTATAGCAGGAGCCAAAGTATCTGAATCTGGGTAAGACCCGAAATTTATATTTTCTGTAGGAGCTCTGAGCACAGGGATATACGGCATTCCTATTCTTTTATGATATAAAAGATTCCAATCAATATCTTCAAATCATGCGTGATTTTTTATATCATTTATCTTATATCTTTTCGCAGTATCTGAAGTCACTAAATGTTTTACTAAATTTTTAGCTCTAGGATTGAAGTTTTTTGGGTACCGGATTTTTCCTTTAAGGATTTTCCTATAGATTTTTGATGGATCTGTTGTATTGAATGGGTCAACCCCAGCAAGTAGTTCAAATATAAGAACTCCTATAGTTCACCAATCAACGCCTTGATCATAGCCTTTATTTAATATAACTTCTGGAGCTAAATATTCAGGCGTCCCACAGAGAGTATAAGTCCTTTCCTCAATAACTTTAGCAAATCCAAAATCGGTCAATCTTAAATATAGGTGTTTCCCTATATGGCCCGATAAGGGCCGTGGGTTCTCCGTGGAATCTCTCTGCTGGTTGAACCAGCCAGTGAATGGTCAAACAAACGCACTGAGTTGGTTTGACCAACAGAGAGATTCCACGGAGAACCCACGGCCTTATCGGACTATATAGGGAAAACCCTATAACCATCTGCATCAATTAATATATTTTCTGGCTTAAGATCTCTATAAACAATGTTGTTTTGGTGCAAATATTGCAAAGCCGAAATCATTTGTGCTGCATATATACAAGCGTGGGTGTTTTCGAGTTTTCCAATTGTTCTCAGGTACTTAAAAAGATCACCGCCTGGGATGAATTCTAAAACAAAATATAAATATCGGGTGTCTTGGTTAAAGCCTTTGAAGTTTATTATAAACGGATGATTATTCTGTAAATACTTTATAGTAGTTTATTTTTATATATAATTAATAAATAATTTGAAATTATTCAATGTAAGGATCCCCCCCTCATTTGTCCATTTTTCTATAGAAAAAAAAATTTTTTAGGACCTCAATTGTAGTTTTTTTAAAGTAAAAAATCAAAATTTAGGACATTAGGAAAAATCCAAAAAAGATTAGAAAATGGGAAAAAAATCATTTTTGACTAGATTTTGGGACAAATGAGGTCCTAAAAAAAAATTTCTAACTCCCCCCCCCCCTCCCGTGAGCGAACAAAAAAATTTGTTCGCTCACGGAGGGGGGTTAATTTTTTTTTTTAAAAAAAATTTATATATAAATTTTATAAAAAATATTTTTTTTCGAAATTTAAAAAAATCCTAATTTGCAAAAATTGGGAAGCAAATATTAATTTAATTTGCAAAAATTTATGTTTTAAAACGCAATTTGTTTAAAATTAAACAGAATTAGCTCTAGATTTCATTATACTAATTATCACTTATATATCAAAATTTTTTTCATTAAAATTTTTTCTATTAAAAAAATTTTTTGTTCACTCACGGAGGGTGGGTTTTTGGTCAAAAAATGGCGATTTTTTCTAATGGTTTTGTTCGCTCACGGAGGGGGGGGGGGGGGAGTAAGAAAAAAAAGACTAGAAAATTGGACAAATAAGTGGGGATCCTTAGAATAACTCTTTTTAAGATCGTAAATTCCGAGACGATATGTTCTACTTCTTTTTTTTGCAATATGGTTGCTTTTTTAATAATCTTGACAGCTACATATTCACCAATCGATTTCATAAAGCCCAGCCTTACTCTCCCATAAGCGCCTAAATTGATGGATACCTTTGCCTAAAGTATGGAGAATATCTATGTCGCTTAAACTGACTTTGTATTCCATTATTAATTGTTAAAAAATCTTTGGAGGATTATAAATGCTCTAATTATTTGCATTTTCTAAGTTATAGATGTATTAAAAATTTATAAAATCTATAATGGGAAGTGAAAATTATAGTAGTAGCAGTGAACCTTTTTAATTTTTTAGGGCTTGAAAAAATATGATTATAATTAAAACTGAAATTAAAATATTCTGCTCATAATGAAAGAAAAATTTAAAAATAGTTATCAGATTAGCTCTTAATTTAAATAGCCTAAACTGAGCTTTATAAACAATTATATTTATTCCATTAAATTTATTGGGAAAAATAATGAAAAATTAGATTTTAAACTTTGTTTATATTATGTCTTTTGACCAAAATTACTCTTATATTATTTAATTATCATTGGATAAATAAGTAATATGGAACTCCTTACATTCAACGTCGACGATGGGTATGCTGAAGCTTTAATTCGTGGCATGAGAATGTCATTTATCAGAAAAGAAGAATACGACGCCCTCAAAGACTGCGCTTCACTAGGAGATGCCAAAATGCTTCTTGAAGAGACTGACTATTTACCATTCCTCCAAAACGAGCCAAGTCCATGCCAACCTAATGTAATTAGAGCTCGTATGAAGGAAAAACTTGCAAAAGAATTTGAGCATATGAAATCCAATGCAGCTCCTCAGCTTTACAATTTCTTACTCCCCCCCTTTAAATTGGAACAAAATATAGGTAAAATTTCCACTTTTTTGGTAAATTAACCCCCCTTTAAATTGGAACAAAATTTAATTTTATAATAAAAAATTATATATATATAATTTTTATCTAAAAAGTTTTGATATAAGTTAAATATTTCTTCTTAACTAAAATTAAAAATTTAGTTATATCTTGATCTTGCTTAAAGAAGAAAGTATAAAGAGCATCTTATTTAAATAAATTTTATTATCCTTAATTGCTAAATTTTAAAAAAAAATTAATTTGTTTTTAAAAATTTTTCATTATTTTTTTTTTGATAAAAATGATATTTTTATTTTGGATAGTTTTGATATAAATTCAATAGGAATTCTTTATAAAATTTCAAAATTTACTTATTCCTTGCTTTATTTTAAAGAATAGAGTATAAATAACATCTTATTTAAGCAAAATTAGAACTTTGATGATAAATTTTATAAATTTTTTTTTTTTATTTTTTTTATCAATAAAAATAATAATTTTTGTGTAAATAATTTTGATACAAATTAATAATGGCGTATTAACTAATAATGAAAATTTAGTTATATCTTGCTTTTTTTTTAAGGATAAAGAGTAAATAGCATTTGATTAAACAAATTTATTAATCTAACTCGATAAGTTTTTGAATTTTTTTTTTTAAAATTTGTATATATAGCCCGTTCCCGGCTATAGATTGGGCTTGGCCCGATCTTTGCCGGGAACGGGCTATATAAATTGTGTTTTTATAAAAAATTTTATATTGATATTTTTTTAAAAAAAAAAAAATTAACCCCCCTTTAAATTGGAACAAAATTTTGTTCGAATTTAAGGGGGGGAGTTAGAAAAAGTCTCCCACAAATACATGATAGATAATGTTGTCAACATGATTGAAATTATCAAAAACAAAGACATTAACAGAAAAAGGCAAGCCCAGCCAGACCCTCTAGGGTATTTTAGAGGTATTGAAGGGATTTTGAGATTTGAAAGCGATGATATCGCTGAACTTTACCAAATCGTGTTAATTGATACACCAGTAGGAGATTATTTCCAAAGACTACTTGAAGATATAATTAAAGCAGGGGCAATGCAAAATAGAAGTATTGAAGATGTCCATAGGCAGCTTGCTGATATTACTCCTGAGGTCTTAAGAATTTCTTTAAAGAAAATGTGGCTTGAAGATTTATCCTTTTTTTTATAAAATTAATATTATTAAATTTTATTTTTAAATATTTATTTCTCATTTAATTATAGTATATTTGATCTTGCCAAACAATTAAACGGGATTTCCAAAGAAATTTTAGCAGACTTGATAAAATTTGAAGCTGACTGTATGACGATCCAAATCATCTACAACTCAATCAGCAATGAAGAACTAAACAAGCCAGCTGCAAGAGAAACTGACAGAAAAGCTTTATGCCCTAATGTAGGCTATCTATACCCAGAATATGAAGCCCAGCTATCAAGAGCTTTTGATATTACAACATTGAGAGCGGCCGTAGAAAGTTTTCCACTTTACATAGAGATGTTGAGGAATGTTGCAGACCCTGCTAATGAAGAAGAAATGAATGACCCTTCAAGAAAAACTTTGGACGATATTATGTATGAGATCGGGATTAAGAAGTATAGCTTGGCGTTTGACCAGCAGTTCCATTATGGATGCTTTTATGCGTATTTGAAGTTGAAAGAACAAGAAATTAGGAACACTGTTTGGCTTTGTGAAATGGTCAGCATGCAATTGAATAGGCAAGATAAAGCGTGGACGAAGTATGAGAAGTTGATTCCTTTTAGCTGCTTAAGAGAGCCATAAGTAGTAGCAATTAAATATCTTTAATCATAATTCGGATTGATAATAAGAGATATAAATTTTTTAGAAATTTAGGTGAGATTATCAAAAAAATTGATAATGCTGGTGTAGTAAAAATAGATCTGCACATAGATTATGCATAATGCCAAAAAATAAATTGAGCAAGCAATACTCGCCTAATTTTTTAGAGTCTTTTTTTATATAGCATATATTAATTCAAGCCAAAATTTTGATTTCCATATTGGATATTTATAAAATAAAAATGATCACAAAAGTAAAGCCTATCCTTTCAAATATCGAAGAACTCACACATTCAATAGAGCAGCTCACCACAGAAGAACTACCACGTAGTAGACCAATAAAAAGCAGACTGCTAAACAGAGCGAACTGAAATGAATTTATCAGCTATTTTCCGAGCAGTCACAATTCGTCGCCTCGATTAAAAAGAACCCATGAGCCTAACTCCCCCCCCTCGAAGTTCGACCAAGATATAGGGAAAATTCCTATTTTTTTGGAAAATAACCCCCCCTCAAAGTTCGACCAAGACCTATATAAATTTACTAGGAAAAAATTATTATTTTTCGATCTTATGAATTAGTTCAAAAGACCAATTGTTTTAAGGGCAGTAGATTAATTAAGGAGAGAGTTAGCTGAATTTTCAATTCTGAAAATAGAGCTCGAAAACTTGACCCCTTCACCACTATAAAAATTTTTCTCAAATGTTTTTTAAAATTTTTAATTTAAAATTAGTTTTTTCAGAGTTTTTTTAAAATAATTAACTCTTTGAGCATGGATTGGCTAAAGTAATAGTCGACGATTTCAATTTTGGCAGAGTTCGTTGTAAATTTGCGCTTCAGCTCCATCAAAACTTTTATTAAAAATGGCTTTTTTGACATTTAAGCAATTTTTCAAAAATTTTAAACTATGCGGGGGTGAGCTTGCGATTTTTGTATTCAAGTTCTAAAAAAGCGTTACAAAACCATCTTGCACTATTTTTTCTAACCCTTACACCCTCTCAACCATACAGAAGAATATGATAAATATTTTTTTTTTTTAACTACTAAATTATATAAAAAAAATTCTATATAATTTGTTTTAAAAAAATTTTTCTTAACCACCCTCGAAGTTCGACCAAAAAAATCTTGGTCGAACTTCGAGGGGGGGGAGTAAAGGCTTTGAATGAGATGGCACGAAATCACAGTCATCCTCTCAAGCGTTTTGGGCATGGCCTTGTAGATCTAATATAGGGAAAGAAGACGCTAACATAGGGAAAGTAGATGATTTAAATTGCATTGTGGAAAGAATGAGGGATAAAATGGCCAGCTTGCTTACTTCCAGTTGCAATTAATTTGTATATTTATATGAAAAATTAGTCTACATTGATATCTTTTAGCACTCTTAAATAAAATATTTTATATTATCTTTTGATTCAAAAAAAAACACAATTAAAAATATTTTTGAATAAAAAAATGGTCACTATTTATTGGAGATATAGCAGCCAGCATAAGTTGCTTTCACTAGTGATGGATGCTGAAACCATCGGAGAAGATTATCAAGCTGGTGACTTGTGTGTTCTTATGGAGCTCTGTGGAAATAACTCAGAACTTCATCTAGAAAACAATAGATTGAAGAGACATTTGGCTTCAATGAAAAGCTAAGCTGTATATATTAAAATAATGTAAATATTCTTGTGATGTAAAAAAATTTAAAACGTCATTACTATTTCAAGATATTGTAAGTATCTACCATTTTGAACTGTAACTCAAGGCAAGAAAAAAATTTAGAGAGTCCTAAAGAAACTCATTGGACGAATTTAACACTGAAAAATTGATTCTCAGCATGATAATAAAAAATAATTCTTATATTTTTATGGTATCTGCATTTAAATTATTGTGCCAAGAGAATGCAAGTAGCCTTTAAATAATAGACTAATAGTAGATAAATAAAAAAATCTAATATCATAAATAAGGTTTAATTCAAATAAATAGCCCAATTATAGCATAGAAATAGTTTTTGACTAATAAGCATTATTGCTAAATTTATATTATGCGTTGGCATAATTTAGGATAGCCTCTACACGTCAGGGGTTTTTCCCACTTGTGGAGCCAAAATCCCATCTACAGAGTTTCGTACTTGAGTTACTCTACATGTGGGAAAATGTCCCGATGTGTGGAGACACTCCCGAAGCTGTGCCAACGCATAATATCATTTTAAGAATTGAAGATAATTTAGTAAAATGACTCTCAAAAGAGCCAAAAATATTTTTTAAAGTCAAAATTAATACCTCCAGCATTAAAATGTGCCATTAAAATGAATTTTGATAAGAAAATAATTTAACCAAAAAAAAAAGTTAGTAGCCTGCTTCCACTTCCTTAATAGCTCGAAATAGCTAAAAGTTTTACTTTTGCATCCAATTCATATTATTGAGCTTATATTCGAACCTTCGCATTTCTTTGAGCTGTTTTCTTATTCGGTGAATTTTAACAAATGATCATTATTTAAATTTCTATGAAAGCATATTATCGTCTGCTACCATATTTGAAACATTTTTAATACTGGCAGGCTTACAACTTTAGGATGGCTCAAATCGCAATATCTTCAATCTCAAGCTTCAAAAACTTACATTCAATTCTAAAGAAGTCTAAGAACTTGGCTCTTAAGAGCTATTTTGATGACCCAGAGTCCAAAAAGAACGAGAACGACGATGGGAAAGACACTTATTCTAGAACATCACTAATATTCCCAATAACAAGACAATCGAAAAGGCATGTTTCTTTTAAAGACCTTGAAAGTAAAAATGAAAAATTCCCTTGCAATTACCTAACTCCTCCCTTTCAACTGGAAGATATCAGTAAATTTTTCAAACTTTTGGTTAGATTAACCTCCCTTAATTGAGCAAAATTTAATTTTTATTGGTGAAAATATTTTTATTACAATTTAATGCTGCTAAATTTGAAAATTAACATACATGTTGCTCTATTTTAAAGGGAGGGGTGTAATTAGTATCGTTTATTGCAAATTTTTGAACACTGTCGTGGTTTGATCAAAAGGGGGTACATAGATTGAAGGTACCAATTTGAAAAGAGACCTTTGTAATTAAAAATTAAAAATTATCTAAGCTATTAGCGATTAAATGCTCTTGCTGGTTCAGATGGTTCGCTGTGAAGTGCAAATTGTTCGGATCTGCAATGTGGACATAATGCCTTTGAGCTCCTGCAGCAGTTTTGATGAGTTGGTTCGAAACAGCAAACTGTATACATCATATTTGGCCTTCTTGTGAGACAAATCATGCATGGATGCAGGCTTTCATCTTCCACTATGCTCATTGAACTGGAATCAAGTGAAAGCCTTTCCATAAGCTGCTCAATATTGGCTTGGACATATCTTCTCACAGCTCCACTTCTTCTTATTTTTGGGAGATGAGCTGTTGCAGCTGTAGTCACATGAGCATTGAGCATCCTTATTTGCGCTAATTGGGCTTGAGATGAATCTTTTTCAATTCTGCTTTCATTATGATCTCGCTGAAATAAAGGGTTATCAGGTTCATAGTAGTACGCAATTGTCTTTAAGTAATCTTTTCCTAAGCACCTAAAGTAATAGATAGTTCATATTTTAATTAATGGAAAAAAATTTCATGTGATAAAATTTTTGGGTACGGCAAAATGGCTGAAATGTAAATTCTGATAATTCTGATGTAATAACAAAAAATGGCAAATGCAGATCATCCAATATACTCTAACCAAACAAACTTAATTTTACCACTGCAGGCAGGAGAAATCTTAATACGTAACACTCAAATTGGCAATTCTGACACTAGTAAATAAAATGAACTTTATTGTGGTAGAAGTTAAATATTGAGATTTATTTTAAATTTTAATAACGAACTTATAACTTTAAAGTGACATAGCATCTGCACGATGCAGATATGCTATTAAAAATTTCCATTAGTTAAATAAAAATGCATTTGATTTACTTCAAATTTCACTATATTTCAATGCAAAACTCCTCACCGGAGCTCACTCCATAAGGGGTAACATTTTTGTAAAACGCCATTTTTTTTAATATTTTTTATAATAAAGTTATAACTCAAAGTGGCATAGCATCTACACTATGCAGATACGCTATTAAAAATTCCATTAGTTAAATAAAAATGCATTTGATTTGCTTCAAATTCCACTATATTTCAATGCCAAACTCTTCACCGGAACTCGCTCCATGAGGGGTGACATTTTTCTAGTACGCCATTTTTTTTTAATATTTTTATAATGAAGTTGAAACTCAAAGTGACATAGCATCTACACTATGCAGATACGCTATTAAAAATTTCCATTAGTTGAATGAAAATTCATTCAATTTGCTTTATTTTGCCCTATATTTCATTGCAAAACTCCTCACCGGAGCTCGCTCCATGAGGGGTGACATTTCTAATACACCATTGTTTTTTAATATTTTTATAATGAAGTTGAAACTCAAAGTGACATAGCATGTGCATGATGCAGATGCACAATAAAAATTTCCATTAGTTGAATGAAAATTCATTCGATTTTCTTTAATTTGCCCTATATTTCATTGCAAAACTCTCCTCACCGGAACTCGCTCCATGAGGGGTAACATTTTTCTAATACGCCATTTTTTTTTATTTTTAAAATAAAGAAGTTAAGAATAAAGTACAATAGCAAGCACAAGATGCAGATGCACTATAAAAATTTCCATTAGTTGAATGAAAATTCATTCAATTTCCTTTAATTTGCCCTATATTTGATTACAAAACTCCTCACCGGAACTCGCTCCATGAGGGGTGACATTTCTAATACGCCATTTTTTTTAATTTTTAAATAAAGATGCTAAGAATAAAGTGCCTGAGCATGTACATGACGCAGATGCACTATAAAAATTTCCATTAGTTGAATGAAAATTCATTCAATTTCCTTTAATTTTGCCCTATATTTCATTGAAAAACTCCTCACCGGAACTCGCTCCATGAGGGGTAACATTTTTCTAATACGCCATTTTTTTTTAATTTTTAAATAAGATGTTAAGAATAAAGTGATAAATAAAATGGCATTCGGTTCGAGAGAAATTAGCTTTGCTAATTTTCTCTCCCTCATGGAATTTTATTTATAGGGTTAGGTTTTCACTCGAGAACTTCTGGACAGCAATAGCGGTTTAACTCTGGGGATAACCAGAGGAACTGCTCCTCAGTCCTCTCAAGATTTTTCGGGCTTTTACCTCTCAGCACATCCCCACGGGAGGATGACCCTTAGGCGGAACACGCGCAGGAGCTGAGTCGAGCGACAAGGGCGACGGCATCGCGCCGGGTGAGACGTGCAGCAAGCTGGTGAAGCAGGAGTTGATAGAAGGCTTGGCCAGGTCTGACCTGTTCCAAGATGGCTCGCCTACGTCACTAGTTTTGCCATAGGTCCTTTTTGGGCTGCGGCACTAGACACCTTAAACACCAGATAATTAAGTTAAGTTAAGTTAAGAATAAAGTGCCTGAGCATGTACATGACGCAGATGCACTATAAAAATTTCCATTACTTGAATGAAAATTCATTCAATTTCCTTTGATTTGCCCTATATTTCATTGAAAAACTCCTCACCGGAGCATGCTCCATGAGGGGGTAACATTTTTAAATCAGCCATTTTTTTTTTAATTTTAAAATAAAGATGTTAAAAATAAAGTGACATAGCATGTGCAGTAACAGATTCGCTATAAAAAATTTTCATTAGTTGAATGAAAATTTATACGATTTCCTTTAATTTGCCCTATATTTCATTGCAAAACTCCTCACCGGAACTCGCTCCATGAGGGGAGACATTTTTCTAATGCGCCATCCTTTTTACTGTTTTTATAATGAAGTTGAAAATCAAAGTGGCATAGCATGTACACGATGCAGATGCACAATAAAAATTTCCATTAGTTGAATGAAAATTCATTCAATTTGCTTTATTTTGCCCTATATTTCAATACAAAACTCTTCACCGGAACTCGCTCCATGAGGGGTGACATTTTTCAAATCAGCCATTTTTTTTTTAATTTTAAAAAGATGTTAACAATAAAGTGCCTGAGCAGGTACATGATGCAGATGTACTATTAAAATTTCCATTAGTTGAATGAAAATTCATTCAATTTCCTTTAATTTGCCCTATATTTGATTGCAAAACTCCTCACCGGAGCTCGCTCCATGAGGGGTGATATTTCTAATACACCATTGTTTTTTAATATTTTTATAATGAAGTTGAAACTCAAAGTGACATAGCATGTGCATGATGCAGATGCACAATAAAAATTCCATTAGTTGAATCAAAATTCATTCAATTTGCTTTAAATTTCCCTATATCTCACTGCAAAACTCCTCACCGGAACTCGCTCCATGAGGGGTAACATTTTTTAATAAGCCATTTTTTTTTTAATTTTAAAATAAAGAAGTTAAAACCAAAATTGACAAAGTATGTACGCGATGCAGATGCACTATAAAAAATTCCATTAGTTGAATGAAAATTCATACAATTTTCTTTATTTTGCACTATATTTGATTGCAAAACTCATCACCGGAACTCGCTCCATGAGGGGTGACATTTTTGTAATAAGCCATTTTTTTAAATATGTAAATATATAAATATTAACTAGAAATCAGATGCGCTAGAAAATCTAATTAATATTTTTATAAATATATAAAAATAAATGATTATATTGATGATTCCAATAATGAGTGTTGATTTATTTAAAAATTAAAAAAAAATGGCTTATTATAAAAATGTTACCCTCATGGAGCGAGTTCCGGTAAGCAGTTTTGCATTAAAATATAGGGATAATTCAAGTAAATCTAATGAATTTTGATTCAACTAATGGAAATTTTAATAGTGCATCTGCATCGTGTACATGCTATATCACTTTATTCTTAACTTCATTATAAAAACATTAAAAAAAAATGGCTTATTATAAAAATGTCACCCCTCATGGAGCGAGTTCCGGTGAAGAGTTTGGCATTGAAATATAGGGGAAATTAAAGCAAATCTAATGAATTTTGATTCAACTAATGGAAATTTTAATAGCACATCTGCATCGTGCAGATGCTATGCTACTTTGAATTTCAACTCCACTATCTAAAATTAAAAAAAAATGGGGTTTTAAAAAAATGTCAACCCTCATGGAGCGAGTTCCGGTGAGGGGTTTTGTAACGAAATATAAGTGAAATAAAAGCAAATGGAATGAATTTTGATTTAACTAATGGAAATTTTAATAGTGCATATGTATTGTGTATATGCTATGTCACTTTATTATTAACTTCTTTATTAAATATTAAATTAAATCGCAAAATCTAACTTCTATCACAACAAAGTTTATTTTATTACCTAGTATATTGGATAATCTGCATTTGCCATTTTTGTTATTACATCAGAATTATCAGAATTTACATTTCAGTCATTTTGCCGTACCAAAAATTTTATCACATGAAATATTTTTCCATTAATTAAAATATGAACTACCAAGAAGTAAACATCATATAGATTCCTTTGCCTCAGGCCGTCGGAAATCATGATAAAGCAAACCTATATGCGCTTTTACAGCATATCAGGTATTATTTGCCTGATTATTCAATCACATCCATTAGCTTTCTTGCATAAGCATACATGTCCACAATACCTCTACTAACAAGATCCCAAGTCCAGCTTCCTCCAGCAAGATGCAAAGGCAAAAAGAACCAATTTGTGAGAATAGCACTTGCGAATAATCCAAAAATATTATTTACTCAGTATCTATTACTTTAGGTGCTTAGGAAAAGATTATTTAAAGACAATTTACGTACTACTATGAACCTGATAACCCTTTATTTCAGCGAGATCATAATGAAAGCAGAATTAAAAAAAGATTCATCTCAAGCCCAATTAGCACAAATAAGGATGCTCAATGCTCATGTGACTACAGCTGCAACGGCTCATCTCCCAAAAATAAGAAGAAGTGGAACTGTGAGAAGATAGATAATTTTATTTTTAATTACAAAGGTCTCTTTTCAAATTGGTACCTTCAATCTATGTTCCCACTTTTGATCAAGCCACGACAGTGTTCAAAAATTTGCAATAAATGATATAATATTTAAACAAAGTTATTGTTGAGCATCTATATGGAGAGTTCAAGCTTTCATTTCCACCTATCAAGTGAATCTCTCTATTTAAGAAATGAGATTTTTTCAACTTGAAAGCTCGAGCGATCCATACGAATTTTCAAGCTATAGCGCTCTGAATCAATAAATTTTATTAAATTGCTATTTTTCGGTCTCAATTTAAAGGGAGGAGTAAAAGATTCTCATAAGGAATGCTATAGGACTGACATAGATTTTTTGTTTAAAAAGATGAATTCAGAAATGTCATTAATGTTTGACCGCCAACGAGAAATACTATCAGTCATAATTGATGACAGCGACATTAATAGGCTTCACAATGTGAATGATTTTCATGAATTGCTTGATTCTTATGCGGTAAAAAAGCCGTTAGAAACAAAAAAAAATATCAAAACAGACTTTTCAAACTTTAGAGCACGGAATGACTCTTAAGAAAATTGTTACACAAAGTTCTTGGATAAATAAACATAATAGATTTAATTAGTTTGTAGCAAACTGTTTGCTTATATAATCCAAGCCAGTGTATATTTGTCATCATTTAGAAAAATCTTGAATTTTCACGATATGAAATGTAGGGTAAATTCAAGTTAATTTGCTCATAGTTGCCTGAAGGCTTTGAGTGCTTTTGTTTTACCATCTTCTTTCCTAAATTAATAATAGTAATCTTACCAAACTCTTATGACTATCTTTAATATCTTCTTTGCCTTTTTTGCAATATTTATCACTATATCAAAAAAAAACAAAAATATTATTTTAAATCTGAATTCTGATCGAGTCTCCTCCATTTTCTTTCTCAATTTTTTACTATAAACATCACTAACAAAAGTCGCATTATGAAAAGAATGCATCCACTCATCTACAACCTCGAAGACTACACTCAATGCTTAGAGAAGATCTATAACCCAGATGTGATAAAGTCACAGTCTAATTACAGTGATCTTCAAGAAAATTTTTTAGACATCATGAATTCCTCTCATCCTTATGATTTCGAAAAATCCCCACAATTACCGAGAAATTTCAATTCCCAAGAAAATCATTTTCGCTCTAGAGCGATTTTTTCTTTTTCTGCAAAAGCTAGAGAAGAAAGAGCAAGAAGGATGGGAAGAGATAAAAAAGGGAATTTAAACTTCATTGTGCAGAAAATGAACGAAGAATTGTCTTTTATGCTGAGTAATCATAGAGAAGTTCTATCAATACTTATAGATTCGCAACCATCTATAGAAAACTTTAGAAATCGTGATACAGGCTTACAATTGTATAGGAATAATTCAAAAAATATTGCTAGAAGAAATGAAATGACAAAGCATTTCGCTTCAGTACTCATCTAAAGTATATAAGTTTTAATTAATTTATGAATTAAAGAGTGAATTTTAAGTTGTTTTATAGATGAGGCAATAAAACGGTCAATAATATGAAGGAGATTCTGAGAGTTTAAAGTTTAGAAATTGATATTGGAATTTTGGTGATATTTTTAATATCTTTCAGTATTTTTATGAAAATAAGGATCCCCCCCTCATTTGTCAAATTTTCTAGTCTTTTTTTTATAAGAAAGAAAAAATTTTCAGGACCTCATTTGTCCAAAAATCTAGTAAAAAATGATTTGTCCAATTTTCTAGTCTTTTTTTGATTTTTTCGAATGTCCTAAATTTTAGTTTTTTACTTTAAAATAGCTAGAAAATGAGACAATTGAGGTCCTGAAAATTTTTTTTTACTATCAAAATTTTAACTAGAAAATTGGACAAATGAGGTCCTAAAAAATTGGACAAATGAGGTGGGGGGATCCTTAGATTGCAAATGCTGCAGTTTATAATGAATTGAATTACCAATTTAAGCTAATTGATTATAGGCTATTTAATAAAATGATCAGTAATTAAGCCATAATAAAAAATGCAAAAATGGATGAGGTAATAATGTATTCACACTGATTTCTTATGAATTTAATACAGCTTTGAGCAAATTGATATTATTAAGAGATTCTATTTCAATTAGAATAAGTTAAAGTCTTAAATCTCAACTGATAGTTTATGGGATTTTTTAAAGTTAATCATAACATAAAATATACATTTTCGCAAATAAAAAAAACCAAAAAAGCCATGTCTGGTCAGTGCTTCAGTATTCTTAATTACTTAAATTAATTCACGCTTAACGTCCAATACCATATTGCTCGCACGGGCTTCGTCCCGCTTCTGGGTTTCCCCGCTCCACCAAAATGCCCGTGCTACCACTGGCTTCAAGGCTGAATGGTCCCATCGGCTTGGGCGTTCGGATTTCGACGGCCATCCTTCCGACTCTCAGGCAGAACCAACTTGGGTCTGTCAGGCAACCTAAAGGTCCCAGTCTCCATCGCCTGGAGTTGGCGGAATCCTTCCAGAAAATTCGAATCCTGAGGACAGGAGTCCTGCGTCGCGCACCGCAGGAACTTAAAGCCCTATCATTGCCGGGTTAAATTCCCTGGGGAAAGCCAAACTCATAATCAAAAAATTGAGGAAGAGAATTTTCGTTTGGGAGATCAGAAAATTCGAATGACGCCATTTTTTGAATATCAGTGCTTTAGTATTAATATTTTGCTTTAATATACTAATTATATTATATTATTGTGTTTATACCTCAGATATGCTAATTGCTATCAGAAAGAAGAAAATTCATCGCAACTATCTCTTTTTTAATATTCAACTCAAATTGGCATTTTACAGCAAAAGGCATTTGCCAGCTTAAGTTGTTTGATATAAAAAACTGAAATGAGTCACCTTATGGGACTATATTTTTTAAAAATTTAGCTATTAGCATAGACAACTCATTAATTTTTTAATTTTATCCCATCTCAACCATATTTTCGTGTTCTGAGTTAGCTAATATAAAAAATATGACACAAATTTTAAAATCATCACTTGGAGCACAATCACTTAACTCAATTCTTAAAAAGTGCAACTCATTTCCAACAGCTGATTTCACTAAAAGTGATATCATGGGAACTGAAAAAAGAATTGTAAGTCTCTCTGAAGTGATTGAAGAAAAAAAAGTCATTCAGCCTAAAAAGCAAGTCACTTTCAAAGACTCAGTTGCCAAAAAGCATGTAAATTGTGATAATATGTATAAAGAACCTTTTGTAAATAGCTACAGCGACGTATTTCAAGAAGTGAACTCTAAAATGTCTGCTATGTTGGGGAGCCAGCGTGATTTTTTGTATCAAGCTATGGAAGGAGAAAATGCTGGCAAAAATAGCTCTAGAGGCTTAAAATGCCAAATCGTATCTAATGAACTTAAGCTGAAAGAAAAAATTTTTGAGGAACACTTAGGGAGATTTAAAATTCAACGATTAATAGTAAATTAAAAATTTGTTAATATCAAATAAAAAGTAACAGCTTAAAAAAAATTCTAATGTTTTTGTCAGAAAATGCTTTATACTGCCCAATGATTTCAATTTAAAAATTAAAAAATATTTAATTAAAAAACGGTGCTCATTAAAATGTATAGCAACCAAATTTTAAATATTTTAATATTATATGAAAGAATTTTTATATTTTGAATTATAAACACAGACTAAGTATAACGATTAATCCTATTATTTTGCCTTGAGTTATTAAAATATGGTATCAATTGAAATCTCAGCTGACCAAGAATCAAAATTGCATTCAATACTTGATAAAGGCTTAGAAGTTTTCAATTTGAAGTCTGAGCTATTTTCTCCTAGTAAGTCAGTCTCAAATACTATCACAAGTAACCAATCACTTTCAATCTCTGAAGCGACCTTTAAAAATGAGCTAGAAAAACTTCAAGAAAAAATCATCTCACTCGAGCAAAAGCTAAAACCTACTAAAAGCATCCAGAATACCCCAAGATTCCAAAAAAGCCTTAAAAAATCGAAATCCAAAGTTGAGTTTGAAGATCCCTATGATTTCCACTATAAAAAGCCCAAAACTCCTAAAAAATCTAAAAAGCCGAAAAAAAGCTTTCACCGAATATTTAATGAGCTTACAGAAGAATTAAATTATGAAATAGAATCAAATGAAAAGTTACGAAAATCAAACTTAAAGCTAAAAAACGAAATTATTTCCTGTAAAAATCTAAAACCTAGGCTAAGAACTCTAAGAGAAGATTTTGAACTTCTTACTCAATCATATGAGCGCTCAGAAGAAATTAGGAAGAAACAAAAAGCGATAATTGAAGATTTAAAGCAGCAACTACCGTCGATATCTCCGCCTATTTCAGAATACTCCAAAACCTCTCCAATAATAAAACAAAAACAAGGAAGAATTTCGAAACTAACAATCAAACAATAATTTTTAAAATTAACTTGTATTATGCTTTTCAGAGACGTGGGTTTTTGCCTGAGTTTTTATTAATCCCCCTTCGTTGCATACATCGCAAATAAATGTTTCTTTTTGTGGGTTTTCCAATCTAAAGAAAATTGTGTTTCCTGTGACCTTGTTTTCAACGCTAAGTCTGCTTGCTTGGTTTTTGCTGTTTTCATATAAGATTAAATCAGGTTCTGGCATTATTCCTTGGTTTTGATCGTAAACCCTTTTTAAACGCACCAAAAATTCAGCTGACTGCTTAGAGTTCAGTCCAAGCTCATCACATAGAGAAAGGGAGTCTTTGGCAATGAGTAATAAAGCGTCTAAGTCGCAGCCAAGCTCTTCAAGTTTGCTGAGTTTTTCGATGTCTTGATCAATGATATAGCTTAAATCCATTTTTTAAATTATAAGAGGATGGGGGATCTTGAATTATTTCCGGATAAATATTAGAATTTATTACAATTAATATTAAGTCAAATTTTAAAATTGTTTATCTTGAATACTCGTATTTTTAGCCAACTTATAAAATTTTTATGATAATTTTATTTACTATAAAGCTAATTGAATAAATATTTAATGTGGTTTGAAGGTAAATTAAGATAAAAAAGATTAATTCTTTTCTAAAGAATTTCAGAAGTCTTTATTTTTCTTAAGCATGATTGAATTCTCAATTTTTATTTCCTAAAACAATAATGGGATATTATTTTTTTACAAAATAAAATTGAGCGATAACATTTTTACTTGAATAAAATCAATAATGTCTCTAAAAATCAACTCTTCTTTATTTAGCTTAATTCTCTTTATTCATTCAAAAGTAATCTGATACACAATATTTAAAATGGGAAATGACTGCCGCAGACCAAACAAAATTTACTCACCCAAAAAAGTTCAGCTTTTAATAAGAGATGAAACCTTTAGCCTTCCAATAATACCCCAATCCTACGACCTCTTAGAGCAAAACGTCGAAATGGTAGCAAAGTATATTTATTCTAATCCAGATCCCCTGGACTACTACCATCTGTCTTTTATAAACTCCAAAAATGGAGCTCAACAACAGCTTACTGACAGCAAAGCTTATTACTCACTCCCCCCCCTCCATGAGTGAAAAAAACATTTTGTTCACTCACTAGGGGGGTTAATTTTTTATTTTTTTTAAAAAATTTATATATAAATTTTATAGAAAATGTTTTTTCGAAATTTAAAAAAAAAAATCCTAATTCGCAAAAATTGGAAAGCAAATATTAATTTAATTTATAAAATTTATGTTTTAGAACGCATTTTGCTTAAAATTTAAAACAGAATTAGCTCTAGATTTCATTATACTAATTATAACTTATATATCAAAATTTTTTCCATAAAAAAATTTTTATTATTAAAAAAAATTTGTTCACTCACGGAAGGTGGGTATTTGGGCAAAAAATGGCGATTTTTCTCATGGGTTTTTTTCACTCACAGAGGTGGGGGGGAGTCAGCATTTCGAAACTGACACGAGAAGATTTTACAAATCCGAGTCGATAAGGATTCTTATAAATGCATGTTCGCCTTAAATCCTAGTGAATCAGGTCTCCCAATCCTTGATGAAGCCACAGTAGCTTTAGTTGACCATTTACAAAATATTGAAGGTAATATTATATCTCTACTTGAAGGATATAATAATCTGCTGAAATTTGCAGAGAAGTTTAGTGCTTATACTAAGTGTCCTTGCATAAAAGTTGTCATAACGACACTTATATTGATCGTATCAAGCTCTCCTAATGCAAAAACTGCAATGGTTTTCCTCAGCTCTTTTCCATATATTGACTTCAATTTAGACCTTCTAGAAAATGAAGCGTTAGAAGGAGCGAAATATTGAAATGATTTTTCTTTATGCTTACAAAGAGCTATCCCACAAATGCTGGTATTGAAAAAGGCGCTGGCTGATGTACAAGTAGGCTTAAAACAGCACAGCATGTCAAATGGCCACACAATTAAAAAAAGCAACAATTTTTTATTGGAAGCTGAAACATTTTCAAAAGCCCTCACTGCTGGGTTTAATTTTGTCAGAAAAATTAAGAACCTTCACAAGAACGTTGCAGAGATGGTAGAAAACTTACTCCCCCCCCCCTCCGTGAGCGAACAAAAAAAATTTTGTTCGCTCACGGAGGGGGGTTAATTTTTTTTTTTTTAAAAAATTTATATAGAGAAATTTTATAAAAAATATTTTTTTCGAAATTTAAAAAAATCCTAATTTTGCAAAAATTGGGAAGCAAATATTAATTTTATTTGCAAAATTTATGTTTTAAAACGCAATTTGTTTAAAATTAAACAGAATTAGCTCTAGATTTCATTATACTAATTATCACTTATATATCAAAATTTTTTCCATTAAAATTTTTTTTCTATTAAAAAAATTTTTGTTCACTCACGGAGGGTGGGTTTTTGGTCAAAAAATGGCGATTTTTCTAATGGTTTTGTTCGCTCACGGAGGGGGGGGGGGAGTTAGCAAAACCGGAGCAGGAGAACACGATTAGAGGTATCCAAAATATTATTGGACTTTCAGGCTCTACTGACCCAGCCTCAGCATTAAGGCTATTCGCCCTTCGCCCAAGTGTGAAATTATCAAATATAAAGCAAGCCATATAATTTTAATTTAGCATAATTAATTGGCTCTTAGATATGGATTTGAATACATAGCCCCACAGAAGCATCGTATTGAGATAGCATCTATTGGGAAATAACTTTGTTTTCGGCAATATGTACATATCATTGGTATCATTTGTTTAGTTGTAGTCAAATTTAGACATCTTGGGCATGCTACAAAGCAAACCTCTTGTGAGCATTGTAGCATTAGACTGCAGACTGAGCATTTAATTAGCCTTAGCTGTCCTAAATATTGAGGGGGAGCTTGTGGAGTGGGTATTGGAATATTAGGACTGGGAGATAAAAGATTAGGGTAAGCTTGTGAGGATGGTGTTGAAGTATTGAGATAAGGAGATGGAGATGGAGGATGAGATTGAATAAGCGGGGTTGGTATTGGAATATTTGGAGTGGAAGATAAATTATTAGGTCGTCGATTTGAAGGAGGATTGAGAAGAGGATCTATGATTTTGAATTCTTCTATGCTCTTCTCCTTAGAAATTCTCGGAGAGACTTGGAGAATTAGGCAAATGGGCCTCATTCCAGATGTTTTACTAGCTCGAGTTAGTCCAACTGGAGAGTTTCCCTCTCCAACCTTCTGCTCTTACTGGGTAATTCTAACTGCCCTACTTTAAAATGGAACAAAAAATCCTGTTCCAATTAAAGGAGGTTAATTTTTCTTTTTTTAAAAAAATTATATTAAATTTTTTTCTTTCAAAATATTAAAAAATATAAATTGATACAATATTTAAATTTTGATTTATTTTTATAAAACTTGATCTATTTAGTGTCAAAGCTGTTTAAATAGCATTCTGCTCGTATTTTTTTTCATAAACGAGGCCAAAATTAATTTATAAAAATATTATTTTCATCATTTAAGAAAAAAAATTTTAAAAATATAAAATTAGCACAATCCTTTAAATTTAATTGAAGAATTAATTCCAAAAAAAAAAATCTATCCCACTTGTTACATTAAATTATTTCAAAACTTTTATAAAATTAAAATCATTATATCATAGACACAATTTTCCTATTGAATTTTTTTTTCCCCAATTTAAAGGGGGAAGTAAGAAGAGTAGTATATTTGCTCAGGATACTCAGGCTCATTTGGATACGATCTTCTTTCGATAGGCTTCAGTTCTACTATTGCAGGTTTCCTTTGCGACATCTTCCTAAATTATTATTTCTAGAAAATATAATCCTTTGCTTAAAATAGCATAAGTTATTTGGCATGCGAAATTTTTTCTCTGTACTTTGAGATTAAAAATCTCAATATTCGTATAAATCCACATACCAATTTTTTTCCAACTTAGAAAATTTTCACATGTCAAGCACACTAAGATATTTAAGTAAAGAGTTACATTTAATATATCAATTCATAATAAATTTAACTTTATATAAAGAAATTTGCTGAATATTTTATTGATAAGATTCGAAAATGCAATATTTCTTTAACAAACTCTTAATTATTATATCTCTTAAAATGATATCTTGCTATTAAATATTTTCTAAAAATGTTGATTTACTGGTTCATGAACTTCAAAAATTCATTATCAATCTGTGAGCCTTGCTGATAATTGAATTTTAGAACTCCTGGAGGTGGCACGCAACACTTCCGGCTTTTACAAGCAAGCGTTCCTTTTTGATTCAACAAATCCAAGTTCTCTTTCGATAGCTGATCTCCAGGCCCTAATTTTGCTAATTCTGACTGTATCTGCTTATATTTTTTAACATAAGCCCTCAATAATCCTACTTTATCCCCTTTATGCTCTTCAAAATTAAATCCAAATTTCCTTCCAAACCTGAGCTGAAGCAAATAATCATCCAGAGATTTTTTTGAAATTCCAACCTGTACAGCAGCTTCTTCCAGCGTAAGTCTGACTGTTTCCCCTTTTGCATTAATAGTTCCATTATAAAGGTTTCTCCATCTCGCTACTTTTTCAATGATATAGCCAATTTTTCTTTCTTTAGTGCGCCTTGATCCTTGATCTCCTTTTTCTGAAGCATCTTCATCATCAATGCCTGCTTCTTCAGCAGGATTGTCGGCTGTATTTATATATCTGCACTTTAGCTTAATCAAGTGGCTCCTTATGTCGTTTTTGGGGATTGAGGATTCGAGTGATAAAGGATAGCGACCTACAAAGACATATATGTCTTTTTCGTAAGAATAGTAAGAGATCATTGAGCCAGAGACGGAATAGCCTTTGTCTTCGAGGGATTTTAGTATTGAATTGAGCGCCAAGTCACCAGATGAGGTAAAATGAATATTTTTGAGATCGATATTGGTGATCAAATCTTGCTCATATCTGCCCAGATAGCCATATTGAAGCTCAATTTCTAAATTCTTCAATTCATTCTGTGCATTTTTGATTAATTCGGTGGGGTTTCTGGTCAGATTTTCCATGCTCATTATTTTATACGTAAATGGGATTAAAATAATACCACAATTTGGCTTTTCAATTAAAAATTTAAATTTTTAATAAAATTTTAATTAATTTATTAAGAGATTATGCAATTAAAATTCAGATAAATCTAATTAAGGCTGCCAATTTTTGCAAAATCAAAAAATTAATAACTATTCTTTTCAATCTAGAATAAATCATAAGTTTATTGATAATTTTTATGAATTTGAAAGTTAAAGTCATTCCACACCATTAGTCTTTCCTGCCTATTTTAAAGCATTAAGACATAATAGTATAATTTAAAGCTTTTAATATTCACTTTATACAAAAAGTTATTTTCTATTTATTAAATAAATCAGCATTAAAGAATAACAATTTTTAATAAAAGCTAGCTTGCTTATAATCCAGTATTTATAGCCTTTAATTATTATTAGAATAATATCTAATTTTACCTTCGAAATTCCCTATATTAATATATATATCAAACAATAAATGCAGCATTTTATTCATGAAAATTTAGAGGCATTTCATATTATAAAGGTTAATCACTTAAAATAAGTATAAGCCATTCATTATGAACGTAATAAGATTTTTACATCAACAATAATGTGGAATCAAACCCTGATTATTGAAATTATTTGACCTACAACTTTTGCACTTCTCACAATAATTTTTCTTTGATCTGGCATCTATGTTCACAAAAATCGAGAATACCATGAACTTTTTGCAAAGTCTCCAGGAATTTTAATTATTACAATAGTGCTTAATTATGTAAACACAATTACAGCTATGTCATTTGGGTTTCTTACGTTTTTCAATGAAGAGAACAGCATATTTATTGTTCTGCCTATTCTAGTTATTTACAGCTTTGCCCGGCATGCACTATACATATCAATAATTCTGAAAATTTATAGGCTAGAGCTTATAAAAGAAATAAGATCAGGGAGCTTCTTACTTTATAAAGCTTTTCTTAAGAAAAAAGACCGAATCACAGCTTGGTGAAACATAAAAGTGCTGGTACTGTATTCTACAATAGTTTCTTCAACTTTTATTTCTGTATTGGCATTAAAATATGCCTTTAATTATACAGGAAACTTAAATAGTACAAATAAAAGAGATATTGACTTATCATATGATTTTATTTGACTTATAGATGTCGTGCTAGAAGAAATTGGCTTCTCAATTTATTATTGTCGGATAAGAAATGTAAAAAATGTAGGTTTAATAAAAACTGAGTTGATGTTATTAAATTTAAAGTAAATGCATCGATATAATAATTTATATTTATATAATTGTAAATTTATATAAAAAAAAAATATATATTTAGCAATATGATCATTTGGAATAATTGCTCCATTTTGCCCTGATGAAACATTTCATCTCTATGCAGTTCCTGCAAGAAACCTGTCAACTTTATTTGTTATCATATTTGTGACGAGGAAGCAATCAAAGACAAATATAATTATACCAGTTCCACGTTTAATTGATTCCAGACTGATACTTGAAAATTACTCAGTTTATGAAAGTTTTCAAAGTTTTGTTGCGAAGTCGAAAAACAAAAATTGGAAGCATTTTCTGGATATTTTAGTTGCTATTAATGTCTACAAGTATGATCCATGCATTGAAAGAGCAGAAAATGTTCACAAGATTTTCAATAAAATCCAAGATGTGCTCCCTGAATTTTTTATTAGCTCCTCAGTGAATAAGCAAAAATTTTGGTCGATAACTAAAAAGTTAATTTATTTTTTATCGTGAAAAACATCTAATTGTGGGAAAAATTTAATAATGTATGTTTTCAAATGCAAGTAATTAAAATTCAAAAAAATTAGCTAGAGATTTCATTATAAAACTATAACTTAATATCTAGATATAGGCTGCTCGATCTCTTTTTGAAAAAATTTTGGTGAGTTTTATTAATTTTTTGCCCAAAAAATCGTATTTGATAACTCATGAAGTAAGAAAATAAAAAGCGAGTGGGGATCGAATAGAAGTGTAATTGAAATTGATGCAGATTTTTTTAGTGAAATTGAAGAGTATATTTACCATCAATTTGATATAGCTGTATATCCAGATTTTTGCAGATCTGATGAATATTTGGATTTAAGCCAAGAAATGCATGAAATAATATAATGCATTAATTAATTGTATTAATAATCTGATATAAATGAATAAAGTTATTAGAAGTAAATTCAAAATTACGATATAACTTAAAAAAATGTTTTATATTTTTTTAATATTATATACTTCGGAAATAATTATCATTGCATTCAGCAACCTCTTTTAATAATTATAATTTCCATTTTTAAATTATTTTTTCTGGCCAAAATATCAATTTATTATTATTTATATGATGTGTTAGAAAATAAAAAGAAGTTATAAAAATTGTTTCAGTATGGCATTCTCAATAATATCAGAAATTTATCATTTCTTATTTTACTTAAAAATACAAATATATAATGACTACTAATACTATTGTCAGTATACATAAATTAAAATGGCGTTTCAGCTCATTGCCTCATACAATCGTGCCTTAAATTCTCGTCCTCTGCTAACTAAGTCAATTTCAACATTCTTTATTATCGGGGCAAGTGATGCATTGAGTCAATACATTGAAAGTAGGCTTCAAAAAAAATCTTACATCCAAAATTTTGATATGAAACGATGCTTTAAATTAAGCTGCTATGGAGCCTTTTATCTAGCTCCACTTCTTCATGGATGGTATGGATTTCTAGCTAAGAAATTCCCAGCTCCAGGAATGGCATCGACTCTAAAGAAGTTATCACTAGATCAAACGTTCTTTTGCTCATTAAGCATATGGTCATTTTTTACGGCTGTAACTCTTTTTAATGGTGGCACTTTGAAACAAGGATATGAAAAAATACAAAAAGATTATTGGGAGACTCTAATTGTCAACTGAAAAGTGTGGCCAGCTGCAATGATGATTAATTTTTCGTTTATACCTTTGCATACACAAGTGATTTTTGTAAACTTTATTGCTCTCTTTTGAAACTCCTATTTATCATATATATCAAACTTTAAAAATTAAAAGTAATTCCATTTAAATGTCAGAAAGTTTTATTATTCATATTTTTATGGTGAGAAATGGTATTTTTTAATTTCAAATAAGGCTGCATGTTTTTTTCCTAGGACATTTTATCTTAAGCATTATCTCAGCGCAATTTGTTTGAACCTTTTTCTAGCTAGACAAATTGTGAAATTTTTTTTCCTGAATAGCTCTTAGAAAATGACTGCTGAAAAAAATGCTCGTCAAATAATTCATATGAAGGCAAAAGCACTATAATCAATAAATAACAGTTTTCTCTTGACTTCTAATTTTTTATAAAAATAGTTTTCTGCCGAACTTAAAAAGATTTTAATTCATTTTAATTAATTGATATAGATAAATGTTTATCTTATTTCTTAGGTCCAGTTGATCCAGTTGGTTTGAGACCCCACCATGTCTTCCAAGTATCATACAGCCACCATTGTAAGCCAGTAAGTGTTCCAATCATAATAATTCTTGGAATAAGTCCTTTCCACAGACCTCCAGCTGGCATACCAGCATAAATCTTCTTAATTTCCTCCATGAAGGCACCTTCGGTTTGCTTCTTGTTGTAAGCAGTAAACAAAGTGTCTGCAGGGTGACTAACTAAAGCGCAAACAACACCAGCAATATAGCCTGACAAGAATGTAATTCCTAGCTTCCCTTATTCCTAAAATGCATTTTTATTTTTTATTTTTTTAAAAAAAATTAATTATTTAAAAAATTGACTAAATGATGTAGGTTGAATTTTTTCCCGTAATCGTCTCTAGTTGCATGTAAAATATTTTTGAAAATAAATTCTACTGTTCTTTCAAAGACCACGAATTTCATGATAGTGTATGGGATTTGTCTGCACCAAAGTGGGGTTATCCCTTTGTAGAAGCCGTTTATACCTTCATTTGCTGAAACTTTGTTCCAAGCTGGGCCAAAAGTGGTTGGGAAAGTCCCTTCAGGGCTTGTTTGGATTCTAACTTTTACTGCTTCGAATGGACATAAGAGGATGTCAGCGAAAAACTCAGCTGAAGCAGATGAAAGAGCATAGGTTAAGGTTCTGAATGAATAAGCCTTATCAGCTCCTAATAATGATTCGGTAACTCCTCCATAGAGATCTTTAAAGACCTCATAGAATCCAAACTTGGCCATACCTTGGAATGAGTATCCAATGAAAGTTGGAAGCCAGCCAAGAGTCATCCAGGACTTACCGCTTGCATTGAGTGCTCTATAAGCATCGCCCATACCTTTTAGTTTGGTTGGATCTGCTTGTAGTCTGCATTTGACAATATCGATTGGGACAACAGCAGTATGTGTGAGACCACAGGCAAATACTCCTCCAGCCATACACTTGAGATAGTAGCTTAGGTCATGAACTTCTCCATGAGCTCCCGCTGCAGGAGCTGGACCAGCACAATGAACTGGCTTTGAGCCGAACAGCTGCTGAAGCATTTAATATTATAAACTATGAGCCATAATAAACCAGTGAGATCATAATAAAGGATTATATTTTATCTATATGAATAAAGCATAGTAATTTTGTAATTTAGCAAGGCTTGATTATAATATATTTATAAAAAAAAATGCATTTATGCTTATTAGTATTCAAATCAATTTATTATGTGTAGTATATACTCTCTATAAAGAATTTTATTTTAGTATTAAGCAAGCTTCATCTATTTATTATAACTCCCCCTGCGAGCTAGCAAAACCATTAGAAAAACTCCTATTTTTCGGTCAAAAGCCAACCTTCTATGAGCTAACAAATTTTTTATGAAAAATATTTCTATATATAAATGGCAATTAGTATGATGAAATCTCTAGCTAAATCTATTTAATTTTAAACTTCCAATTTTACGCGGATTTTTTCAAATATTAAAAAAATATTAACTATAAATTTGTATATGATATTTTAAAAAAAATTAACCCACTTTCCGTGAGTTAACAAATTTAATTTGTGGGGAAGTAAGAAAATAAAAATTTGTTTCTATTCTTACCTTAGCATGATAAGACCTTATATTATATACCTAATTAGAATTAAAAGAATTACTAATGGTAAATGCTATTCTGTTCCATATAATAGATAGGATAACTGCTAATTAGTAGAATATTTATATTCTTCTAAATTAGGCATAAAAATTTATTTGATATTCTAGGATATTCAGCAAATTTTGATGAACCAGGCACAAATGAAAAATTACTGGTGTCTAATTAAAGGTGAAATTTGGTGCTTTATCATTATTTTCATAAAATATTTTTGTATACTGAACTTTAAAGATTTGTTGGTTATTTTGAATTTATACAAACGATGATTGCTATTACAACTTCTTTTACATTTTTAATCAAAATCATGATACCCAACTCACCCGGATTAATTTTTCGCAAGTAAAAATGACATATAAGCAAAATATATCTAAAGAAAATTCTAGATTTTAGATTCATCAGAATTTTCTATGAAAATGCATACAAAATAATAACCAAAATTTTATAATCAAATAAAGAATTGCAATCTCAAAGAATAAAGATTTTTAAAGGTATAAAAATTGGAGAATTTAGTTAATAGATATATATTTAGAGATGAATTATAAATTATAATTATTGATATTCAGACTAAGCATCAATTAAAAAGGCAAAGCAATGGCCAAACCTAGCCCCAAAATTTCCACCCCAATACACCTTATCCTTTCCGCTGAAAATGGCTTCAGCAGTGTATGCAATATTAGGCTGAATTTCTATCTGCAAAGAAATAGTAACCCATGGGCAAACAATATCATCAACTGGTTCTCCATAAGGACAATCCATTACTTTTACTTGCTCGTTTTCCCCGTCCTTATTTTTAAGCTTAAGTGTCACTTTCGCTTCAGCCTCTGCCCCAGACTCTGCCTTTCTTGTCACTGGGCTTCCTATCACAAGTATTCGTTTATGTTCCTTTTTCGGGATTTCTATTACTTGTGACAGGTGACACCACTCAAACGATGAGGCAAAAACTTTATTATTGTGCTTATAGCACCCAGTCTCTTCTATTGCCCATCCTTGGCCTCCATCTTCATGGACCCAGCTGGCAAACTCGAACTCTCCATAAGGATTCTTAATCAGGTTTTGTGTATATTTTAATTTTTTCTTGAGGTCTTTGAGGGAGCTATAAGTGATGCCTGCTAATGCTTCAAGCTCATTTTGGAGGTTATTTAAGCTGAGGATAGGGATAAAGAATTCTTGGAGCTTTGAGATTATGATGTTAAGGTATTGCTCGTCAGTTTTTGGCTCCTTTTGCTTGAAGGTTTTGGGATCTTCTGGATCTGGACTGGGGGTGTTTGGTGATGGGATGTGGACAGGAACAGGAACAGGAGCGGGTGCTGGGGCCGGAGCTTGAGGTGCAGGCTTTGATAAATTGAGGAAGTTTGGAATATCTTTGGTCCCAGTTAGAGTTGGCTGGGGTAGAGTTGATTTTTCTGGATGATTCACAGCTGTACCCTGAAGGCAACCCATATTTACTTAAAATATCCATTTATACCTCGACCGCATATATAAGGTGCTCTAAGAGACTGGGTCGAAAATCAGCTTTGTCAACTAGCCAAAAGCTAATGAGTTAATAGGTAAACTTACTCTGCCAAATGAGCTCTGAGGGCACATTATATATACTGTCAAGCTATAATAACTAATGAAACTATCTAAGGCTATTAAATCTGATTATTATAAAAAACGATATTTAATTTCAAAAATATCATCTTTTGCAACTCAATTTATAGAAATCTATATATCAATACATTCCTTAATTTTGACATAAAATGGATAATTTTGAAGCTAAATGTAAGAAGTTTTATATTATATTATCTGGGATGGAAATAAACTAGGGCTTTCAAGATCAATTAGCTATTAGTAAGAAATAATTTTATTTTTCTCTAAGTTTTATAATTACATCACTTTTAGCTATTAATCTTATACTTTCTGATAATATTGAAAAATAAGTGTAAGCAGCTATAAGATTGCCTATTTTTATTTCATTTTATTATTTAATATGGGTGGTCTTTTCGCAAAAGGGAAATTAAGACGATTAGGATTAGAAAAAAATGCCTTATTAGCTCAATGTGAAGAATACGAAAAAAAAATTGCAGAGCGAAAAGCTGAGCACGAGATAGAAGAAATTTCTAAAGACGAGCAGTTAGATTTTCTAATTCACCAAGAACAGCTACGGGCAACTAACTCAATTAAGATCTTTGATCGGTTAATTGGAGTAAAAATCGAAAATTGGACTATCGAAACTTTACTTGCCCATTTTCTTGACCTAGATGACTGTGAAGACAAAACAAGCCCTTATTTATGCTTAAGAGTCGAAGAATCCCAAATAGAATCAAGAATCTGCCGCAATCTTATGGATTTCATCGAAAAAATCAAAGAATTGAACATAAATAAATCAGAAATTCTGATCGAAAGCATTGAAAAACTCGAGCTGGAGCTCGCAAGTTTTCCAAATTTGATTAAAATTTTAAACCAAATAAAAAACCAAGAAAAAATCCTTTCCAGTAACCAAGAAGATATCCTGGAAAAAGTTTCGCTTGAATTAACTGAAAGAAGTGAGCTTGAAAAAGAGCTGGTTCTTCTACAAAGAAAACACGCTTTCCAAATGTACAATAAGCAAGCGGAAGAAAAGCATGCTGAAATTGAAAAAATGAAAAATTTGCTGGCAAAGGTAAAAAAGGAAAAAGAAGATTTACTTGACCATTGGGAAAGCATGAAGTCAAGTGATGGGAAAATTGAAAGCGAAGAAATGCTAGAAATAAGACGAGGAATTCAAACTAAGCTTAATCAAATTGCACAAACTAAAGCTAGTATTGAAGATGGGCTGCTTTATCTGCAAAATCATGCTGATACTGTAAGCGAATTAGACCTTTATAAAGAAAAACTGCAAAAAGCTATAGCCAGAGTAAAGTCTGCTCTTGAAGAACAAGATAATATTAAGAAAGAAAAAGAAAATTTAATGGAAGATATAAAAGCACTGGAAAAGCTGAAAAAGAAAAGCATTGAGCTCAAGTTGCATGAAAGAGGAATTGAAAGCCATATTCGGTATCTTAAAGATATGTCAGGAAGTAATCAAGAAGAGTTTTCACAGTATATTGATAAAATGAATCAAGAAGTTCACAAGCTAGAAGATGAAGTTCAAATTGAAGAAGTGAAACTTCAAGAACTCTGTGAATCACGAGATAAATTGAAGAAAATAATAGAAAAGTCTATCAAAAAGATGATGCTCCGAGGGCTTACATATGTCACGAAAGTTGGCCCTGAGCAGGCATTTAAAAGATGGGTGTGGAGCATGTCTGATAGTTAATCTTTTAACTCCCCCCTCTTGAGTGACAAAAAACTTTTGTTCGCTCGTGGTGGGTTTAAAAATTTAATATAAATTTTATAGTGATTTTTTTTCGAAATTTAAAAAATCATTTTCGCAAAAATTGGAAAGCAAATATCAATTTAATTTGTAAAATTTATGTTTTAAAATGCAAGCTGTGTAAAAAAAAAGAATTAGCATATGATTTCATTATAATGATTATCATTTATATATCAAACTTTTTTTCATAAAAAACAATGTTCTCTTCACAAGTAAGAAAAAATTTAAAAAAGAAAGCCAGACTATAATAAACGTCTTATTAGTTTTAATTTTTTAGTTCTATTAAATATGGGTTCAGCTCCTAGTAATATGAACAAAATTCCTAACTCCCCCCCTCTCCGTTAGTGAACAAAAAAATTTTGTTCACTCACGGAGGGGGGTTAATTTTTTTGTTTTAAAAAATTTATATATAAAAAAAATTGTTTTTTCGAAATTATAAAAATCCTAATTCGCAAAAAATTGAAAGCAAATATTAATTTAATTTATAAAATTTATGTTTTAAAACGCAATTCGTTTAAAATTAAACAGAATTAGCTCTAGATTTCATTATAATAATTATCGCTTATATATCAATTTTTTTTCCATAAAAAATTTTTAATCACTCACGGAGGGTGGGTTTTTGGGCAAAAAATAGCGATTTCTCTAATGGTTTTGTTCACTCACGGAGGGGCGGGGAGTAAGCTCCGGCAAACAGAGCTTCAAGAATTTTCACGCCAAACCTTATTTTCCCCAGAAGAGGTAGAAATGCTATACAAGCGATTTTATGAAATTTCTAAATCTGAAGTAGATGACGGCGTAATTGATTATTCTGAATTTTGTCTTGGCTTAAAACTGCCTCTTTCACCTATGATCTCTGATAGAGCATTTCGGCTATTTGATGCGAATGGTGACAGAGTTATAAATTTTCGAGAGTTTTTATTAGGGTTAAGTACATTTATTACAAAGAATACTGAAACACCTAGAACGAGTCAAGAAATAAATAAGTCTATTATGGCAACGAAGTATAGAGATCAAATTGAGGCTTCTTTTCGGATGTATAATGTAAAAGAAGAAGGTAAAATATACGTTGATGACATAAAAGCTCTTTTAACTTCTGCAGTTTCTCAGATAACATCTTTTGGCCTTAGTCAAGAACAAATTTCACAAATCGTTGAAAGCTTAATTAAGACAGAAATGTGTATGGAAGACGAGCATGGGAAATACATTGATAAGGATTCTTACTCCCCCCCCCCTCCGTGAGCGAACAAAAAAATTTTGTTCGCTCACGGAGGGGGGTTAATTTTTTTTTTTAAAAAAAATTTATATAGAAATTTTATAAAAAATATTTTTTTCGAAATTTAAAAAAATCCTAATTTGCAAAAATTGGGAAGCAAATATTAATTTAATTTGCAAAATTTATGTTTTAAAACGCAATTTGTTTAAAATTAAACAGAATTAGCTCTAGATTTCATTATACTAATTATCACTTATATATCAAAATTTTTTTCCCATTAAAATTTTTTCTATTAAAAAAATTTTTGTTCACTCACGGAGGGTGGGTTTTTGGTCAAAAAATGGCGATTTTTCTAATGGTTTTGTTCGCTCACGGAGGGGGGGGGGGAGTTATAGAAAGATGATTATCAATGACAATCGAATCGTCAAATGATTGGGAATCGATATGGAAAGAGTTGTCCATAGCTATAGGTTTGTAAACGTCAAAAAATCAAGATCAAGGTGCTTACCTTTATAATTGATATATTTTTGATAAAAATAATAAATTGTAAATTATATTTCATTCAAATATTGTTAGTTGCAAATTCAGATTAGTGCTTAAATATGATAATTTAGCTTATATTATTAAATTTATTAGAAATATTCTTTTAATCTATGGTATCAAAATTTTCTCCATTTTTATTTATTAAATAGATTGAATTAAAATTGCTTCTTAAGAGATATATTTAAAAGATTATTTAATAAGTAAATAAAATAAGAGAAATATTCTCAAAACTGTAAAAATAATATATTCAGAGGTGAATCTCGCTTATTAGAGTTGAAGCATAAATTCCTTAACTTATTTACAGTAGAATATTAACATTTTTCAATGCAGATATCTATAATTCTAGAAACTGTACGAATTTAAGAGTGAAATTATGTTCTTAGAGTATTCTGTGTGCTTTCTGAATATCCGAGTTCACGAATTCCAATAATTTTAGTTTGTAGATTTCCTATTGCCTTTATGTTTCGAAATTTTTAAAAAGCCATATCGTATCACGTATACTTTGGACAGATGTGGTTAGAGTGCTAAAGGCTTGACACTCACCTATGATTTATTCCCATAATTTAACAGCTAAAAATGCTATACAATAAAATTAGACGAGTTCCAAAGAGATTTTCATTATAGAGCAGACAGAATTACCCAAAAATAAATAGAAGAGTATAAAATAAGAGATTAGCTTTACCTAAAAGCATAGCCTACTTTTTTTAATTATTTATTTAATTTTTTATTTTCCATTAACTATATCAAGAATCTTCTATCCGCAAAGAATTATTAAAATGGTGCAATCTGATGTGGCCTCCGGTGATCCGTGAGTTGATCCGGGCCTTGATAAGAAAAGCCGCGATCTCCCTGAGAGACCTCCCATGTCTCCATTTTTTTGTTGCATAAGTAGAAAAAGGCAGGATAGGATCGTGCTTAGCGCCAACGCGAAGCTTTCCTGGGATGGGAATGACTAAAATAATTCCTGAATACTCCCGCTAGAATTTTATCTAATCTATCCACAAGAGTCTTTCTTGACAAATTCCTCTCCCCTAAATCTTGCCTGAATCAGACGACAATTTTACTAAAAACATAAGTAACAAGAGCTGCAATATATATATTCTGCGCTGCTATATCAATAAGATCAAATATCAAAATGTCCAATAGTAGCAAGCTAAACTCTCTTCCCATGAAAAAAATATTTTCAAACCCCATCGCTATATCTCTATAAAAAAATGGCATTCCTACGAAGCTGGCCATATCAGTAGGAGGCATGCTCAAAAATCTTTGTACAGGAGTTTTTTCCAATACTTGGGATTTATTATTTCTTATCACATCAGTAATATAAGTCTTGAATTTATTGTTCAGCTGATTTCTTATATCATCCATAGCTTCCTGTGTCAATGGTTCTGTAGTAGTTTGCCGATTAAGCCATAGTTTAGAAGCTTGGTTTAATTTTTGGGCAGCTGCATAAGAGTTTGCGTCAGAGTCTGTAGCATTTGAGGTCATTGTATTATAAGTTTCTCGAACTCTTCAAGGGATATAAATTTCAAAGGTTTGAAGCTGTGTAGGGTCATCTGGGACTAAGCCTCTTTTCATGGCTGTCCCAGATTCTTCTTTTCCTAACCCTTTTAGCAGCTCGTCTAGGGTTATATCTGCGATATAGCCCAAGGATCATATAAGATCGTCCTGGGCTGGATTTTTCTCGGAAACTCCCTGAATAGGTTCTCTAAGCTCATATGAATAAATCACCTCAGGGAGTTTATAAAAAAACGCTGAATAAGAAGCATTTGTCAACTCTCAAAGTTGGACCATCAATATGAGCTGGAGAACCAGCTCGGGCAGTTGTTCAGAAAAACTGAGCCTGGGACAATCTAATATCGCGCATGGGCTATACCTATAGGTGAACATCCATGAATATAATACCCATGCAATGCATCATCTAGTATAAATACCGAAATATTTGTGATTGCGCAAAGATCAACAAAATTGTGAAGTTGGGTAGGAACCCATGTACTTACATCTTCTCGCTGTGAGTGAGCAATAAAATTTTGCTCACAAAAGGAGGATTTAAATCCCAATGGAAAACGAAAATTAATTTAATTTTAAAAAATTATGTATAAAAAACCAAGCTGTCTAGAATGAATAGAATTAGAAGAGGTTTTCTTATAATAATTATCACTTATATAAACATTTTGCTTACCAAAAAATTATGGTTTTGCCAGCTCATGGAGGGGAAGTTATGATTTTTCTGATAATAAATTGAGTATACCCTATTACAAGGATCAAAAAAGAATCAATAAAGAATCTCAAGACCATATTCATTGGTGACTTTGTGTAGCTACCTTCATCAGTATGAAGATTAGGCTGAGCAGACCCAAGCTCTTCCCATCCGATTCCACTCAAGAAAAGCAGCGTAAAAATTAAAGTAAACTCAATGTTTATGTACCTAGATGCTTGTATTTCATTAAGCTCATTCGATACAAATAGAGTTCTCCAAGCACTCACACTGACTTTATAGTATTCAGGGCGCGGCGGGTCCCCTCTAACTTCTCCGATAATTGCTTTAATTTGGTCAGCGCCAGGTCTCAAAATCCTTCCTGGAGTCTCCCAATCAATAAATAAAAAATCTACCTTGGCTTGTGTCATAATAATATTAAGCACCCACAATATTTGAAACGACACAGTTAGCCCAAAAACTACTTGAAACGCAACATAATCGTCAGGGTATGAATTCTGTGGAGGAATTAGGACATATACATGGTACTGCATTTTATAAAAAATAAACCAATAAGCGGTAAACACAAAGAGATACCAAAACATTGTAAACGCTCACACCCCGAAAAACGTTCATGCGCCTGCAGAAATCATTTTCATGGTATAGCCATCTCTTGAAATGATTGCAGGGTTGTTTTTCTTCCAAATATATAATTTTAGAAGTCATATCAAGATAAGTACAAAATTAGTCACAATAAAAATGGCTAAAGCGACTTTTCAGAATCCTGAGGTATTCATGGTATATTCACTGATAAAAGTTAAATGGGAGCTTTTATCTTCTTGCTCAATATAGTTTACCAGCCTTGTGCGGTATTTAATAAGCAGTAAAGGCACATATATTTTTGAGTCTGCATCAGTCCTAAGAGTGACCCTGAGCTTTATTGATTTAGGATAAGTCAAAACTGTGGTATCATTTCCATAAATATATGCATTTGTGCCAACTTTGCCACTTACGTTATCATATATAAAAAACCTTCTCACCAGCCTTCATGATGATTTATCTGAGCCTTTATTAGGCTTATCTCCATTTGTATCTATAAAATTATCAATTAAAACAGGTACATCAATTAAGCTTCCATCTTGGTCTAATAAATAAGGGTCATAGAAAACAGTTTCAGAATAAGTGATATAAGGGGTAAGGTCTAAGTCACAGTCATAAACTTCATTAGTCCCAAAAGTTTTTCAATTTTTTGTATCATCGTCTGAATGAGGGCATAAAATCAGCTGATCCGTCAGGTCAATGTACTCCACAAAGGTCCCATTAAGCATAAATTTGGCAAGCTTAAATTGAAGTTTATTTATTTTATCAGTATCACCCGAATCAAAAGTGACCTTCATATTTACAATATCAGAGTCCAAAACGTCATCTGCGGGATTCCCATAATAAATCCAAGCCATATCTTCTTTTAGTCCTGGATCACTTGCTGACTCTGACGAAGGTGTCGCTGTTTTTCTTTTGCCTTCAATATACTCGTATAATTGGCAAACTGTGGATTGTTCGTTATATAATTGAAGCACACATAAATTGGCGAGGTTTTGGCAGGCTTCGATACTACGGGTGTTATTGCAGTCCCTTACTCCCCCAAGAAAACAAATAAAATTTTGTTCATTTGGTTTTTAACTTTTTTTTTCTTCAAAATTTACCTAATTCGAAAAAATCGGAAAGAAAAAATTAATTTAATCTGTAAAATTTATGTTTTAAAATGCAAGCTGTTTAAAATTCAATGAACTAGATAGAGATTTCATTATTATATTTACCACTTACATATCAAAATATTTTTATAATAAAAAATTGTTCGCAAACATAGGGTTTACCCAAAAAATAAATTTTTCTGATAGCACTGAGGGGGAGAGTTAAGATTTCAAATAAAAATAATTAAAAGTGTCACTAGCAGCAATTGTGACTTGGGAAACGCCTTTATTGGTTTCGACGTAGTTATAAATAACACTTCTAGCAGATTCCAAAGGGAATTGAGTTAGTAAGTCAGCCACTTCTGAGTTTTTAACACAAGTCCCTGCTGAACTGGTATAATCACTTATACAAACGCATTTATAAGTGGAAGGATCTCTTTCCATTATATCTAAATAAGGGCATTGTTCACAAGAATGAGAACCAGGGCCAGGGTAGTAATTAAGAGAAGAGCAAGCTTGGCAAGTTTTCTCAGTCAAATAAGTTCCATCCTTATTATACTATACTTCATTGTTTTAGCGCGTCTTCTCAAGTCAAATTTTATAGTGAAAAATATTAATTTATTTAATTAAAAAAAAAAAGCCATAAACTCTTCAACAACTTCATAGCTGGCAGATGAGCAATAGCAATCTTTTGTTGATTGGTCAATTCCATTTGGACATGTTTGGCACGCATATCCATCAGAACTTGGAGCACCTGGCGAGCACGCAATGCAAGAGAACATTGGAAGCTCATTTGTAGTAGGGTCTTTATAAGTCCCAGGAGCACATTCACATGACAATCAGTCAGAACTTGCAATTTTATTATCCCCGCAGGTATCACAGTCCATTATTGCTGTATTGTAGTAATATTTTGTTGAATTGCAGCTAATTTGGGTTTGTATTGCTAACACATAGGAAACTAAAAATACGATAAGTGCGGGCATTTGTAAATTTATTATAATTTTAAAATAAAAAGTCATAATTAAGAAACTGGATTAATTTATCATGCTTGCAAAAACCACCCCAGATAGTAGAGTTAATACATTTCCAAAATTGTCAAGGTAATACTCATATTGCTGAGATATGCTTACATACTTTGCATTGAAAATTTCAGCAACACAATCTTGATTATTTTGAATGTCAGGGTAATCGAAAACAATTGTATAGTAATAGGAATAAATTGCCATATTCTTAGCACCCCACCAGTCTTTCATACAGACTGGGTTAAACCTTCTTTCTGTATTGCAATACAAAAGAGCGCTACTTTCCAAATAATCAGTCAGTTTATCTAAGTATTTTCCATATAATGTATCTCCTGGAAACAGCCCACAATATGCTTTTCCTTCAGGATTAAACCCACATGTGCATTGCGAATATAATGGCATTTCATATTGTGGGTCTATCACAGAAGAGCAATTACTATTTGAAGTGCATGCGACAGGTGGCTGATTTAAACTTGGAAGCCTGGGCAAACAATAAGACCTATAGCATTGTGTTGCACACAAATTTGAAGCACAAAGCATATTCGTGTAGTCTGTGGAATCGCAGCTTTGGACTCTATGATACTCTCCTACACTTAAATATTCAATACAAACCCCAGTCCCAGGCTTAGCATTTGTCGCTATATCGCATCCAGCGCTATTTACACAGTCACCATCTTCATTGCATCCTTTCTCTCCAATTTCAAGCTGCAAGACACAAGTACTGTTAGAGCAGTGATAGCCAGGGTCACAGTTGTTTTGAGAAGTGCAGGATTCCCCTATGCTTGAGCCTCTGCATATGCCTTCTACGCAGCCTTTGGTAGCATAATTGCTGCAGTCATCATTGCTGACACATTTTTCACCTGGCCACTTTGCTACGTTTGTGGGGTCAGGCTTGATGGCACAGGTACTGTTTTTACCGGCTGATTCAGGGCAATAAGGGTAGGCGACGTTGGTACAGTTTGTAACATAATAGGTGCCATTTCCAGATGAGTCATAATAAATGCAGGTCTCCGAAGTGAATTCTTGAGTAGAAAGCTTACAAGTGTAGGATGAGCATAGTATAGCTTCTTCAGCTTCTAAGGAATATTCGGTAAAGCATAGTCCTGGTGAAAGAAATAGCAAGAGTCATAGTTTTCCTGCATGTTTTGCCATGTTTATATGAATAAGTTCAAATATACACTTATAAATTTCTTAAATTGATGTCTTACCTCATAAAAACAGTTTCCAACACAAAAAATAGAAATAGTTCAATTCTATGACAGAAACACCGCAAATAAGAGAAATAAAAGATAAAATTTATATATGAAATATTTATAGATAATGTTAAATTATCTTATTTTGCATATTTACAAATTTACTATACTGACGTCAAACATTTGGAACTATAACTTTTGCAATTTTTCTTTTGAAATTAATAATTAACAAATTCTAATGAGATTTATGTAAATTCACGTTATATAATCTCACATCTCCATTGCTTGTTAATCTCATCATACAAATCAATTTCATTTTCTGCCTCTAGAGTGTTTTTATCATTTTCATTAATTTTGCATGAAGGAGGAACCATCCTTTTTACCACAAATACCGGCGAGTCTAATTCTTTTTGAGGCTCTTCTTCAGTCTTATATTTTTTAAAGATGGAGAGTGGTGAATAGGTCCAGGGTGACTGGCATTTTGATCCCAGCCCAGGCAAGTGGATCTCATTCTTTTAGAAGTCCGGGTAGGTTTTTGTTTGGCCAGGACACTATGACAGGATTTTATCATAACCCAAGTCAATGAGATCGAAGGCGCAAAGTCAGTTCATACTTCCTAGAAGCAATATTTACCTACTAAAGGCAATGTAGACAGAAGAAGGCATTTTGGGCACTTTCTCCATACCCTTAGCACTGCCAGAGTTAAAGGAGTCATTGCTGCAGAGTTAGACAAAAGTCAGTTAGGGTGACTCACCCCAAGAGACTAGTGATGTCGATATAAAAAAGGGCCTGATATGAGACACCAGGCTTAGGGTTTCCTTAGGTCTGAAGTCAGCAAGGACCCAGAGGAGCATTCTTGACTCGCTATAATTTAACTAATCTAGTCTAGTCTAATCTTCAGCCTTATGTGATTCTTCCACGCTGGCTTGCTTTTCTTCTTCGCCTTTTGAATTTTTATTATCATTATGAAACGTCGTAATAATTTTTGGAGAAGGCTTGTTATCTTCATTGCCTTTATCGGAAATATTTTTCTCTGGCTTAGCAGGCTCTGAAGGTTTTTTAAAATAATTTGTAAGGTAGCTTTGCAGCTCATTGATGTGGGCTATTAATTTCTTTAATGCTTGATCTACCTCTTCTAGATTTTTTGGAGGGTTTTCAGCACACAGATTTTGCAAATTCTCTGAAAGTTTTTGGCAGATGAGGGCACCGACATATCCGCTGGATCCTTTTAGAGAGTGAGAGCTTCTTTTGAGCTCTGGCCAATTTTGTGAATTATAAGCAGATTGGATGTCATTTAGAGAGTTGTTGAGATCTTTGGCTTCGAAGCGCTTCAGAAACTGCATAAACATTTTTTCATCGACGAATCTGCTAATGCCATAGTTGAAATCAATCATCCTATCGTCCTTATGATTATTCATTATTAATGCAAATTTTATTATTTTTAAACAGTTGTCTTGAATATTCAATAATTCTGATACCTTCTAAGATTAACTTATAATTAAAATATTTATAGCTTTCTAGAAAATTAAATAGATTTATATATTATTTATAAGATCAGCTTAATTTTTCCATAGTTATTATAATAATAAATATAATTTTATAATAAAAACATTACACTTATATTTAAAGTCAATCTTAGCACAGAATATCATAATTTTATTAATTTGATTATATGCCGTCTGAATTTCACCCTAAATAGTTTTTACATTCTTTAAGAATTTTGCTTGCTAATTTGTAGTCAAAATTTGTTGACACTTCAAATTCATAGGCTTCCTTTGGGCACTCTTTCAATATTTTTTCTGCCCATCAGTATTTATTGACCCCAAACAGTCTTATACATAAATTCCTTTTCGCCCAATAGAAATAAAACAGTGACGTTATGGAAATTGGTCCCCGAAGCACTCCCTATGGAATAGGTCGGACTCATCCTGATGAAGCTGAAACAAAGCGTCTGTTTAGTTGTGAAGAGGGCCTTCAGGTTTGGGGAAGATTTTCTAAGAGTGAAGTTTTGTTTTTCCTCTGAAGGTTTTCCAGTCCCTGCAAGGTGGTTATGCATGCTATGCCTCCACATAGTCTTCATCTTCGAGACTATTGGGGTACCCTGCAGAGGCAACTATAACCTAATAGATTTAATCTTTAGGTTAAGTGAGCCCCACCAGAAAATTCAAGAGGATGCATTTTGGTTTGGCCTTAAAGCATTTGCACTCTGGCGTAAAAGAATCTAGCGTGGGCTACCTTTATTAGATTTAAGGAGGGCTGGTTAGTGGGGCTCCACTTATGATCATATTCTTAATCTAAATCTTAATCTTAATTTTAATCTTAATCTTAATCTTAATCTTTCGCCCAATCGTGACTAATTATTTCTTTAATCTCATTTTCATTATCAGACTGCAAAAAGACCTTAACTTTTTCCATCATAGCATTTGTAAAGTTAACAGACAAGCTTTCCAGTTTTTCTTGGAGTTCTCTTTGTTTCTATCTCAAAATTACCTGCTGCAGCTTTAACTTTCTTTTTTCAGCTAAGGATTCCCCTTTTGCTGATTTTGGGATGTTGTCAGACCACTCTAATAAATCCTTGGAAACAAGCTTTAGGTTTATAATAACATCAACCATTTCGTTTACAAGGTTTTGGTTGTTTTTGAGCTTTATTTTTAGCTGCCTTGATTTTCTTTTCATCAGCCTTTTTATTTTTGCTTTTTGATTTGGGTCATTTTTTTTGAAATATTTTGAAGGCCCCATCGCAATTGTAGTAAAAATAGCGCCTTGCTTCATTTCTTGTATTTCGGTATTCACAATATTTTTTTGTGGTTTTACCGTTATTTTTTCGACTGTCTTGATAGGTTCAATTTCAAAGATAGACTCTTTATATGCTTCTTCTTCAATACTTGGCTTAATTCTCTCTCTTTCGCACTCATCTCTGACAGATAAAAATAAATTTTCTATTTCCTTTTCAAGCTTATCATCTTCTGGCTGATGCTTTTTTATTATTTCTTCATTAGACTCTGATATTGGCTTTATAAAATTTGCTTTTTGATTTGAGTCATTCTTTTCGAAGTATTTTAAAGGCTTCATAGTTCTTGGAGTAAAATTTACCCCTTCTTTTAGCTCTTGCATTCTAGTACTCACAATATTTGATTCTGCTTTTGCTGTTATTTTTTCAGCTGGTTTATGAGACTTAATTTTATCTATTGACTTTATGCCTAGATCTTCTTCAATGCTTGACTGAGATCTTTCTCTTTCGTGCTCATCTCTGGCAGCTAAAAATAAATTTTCTATTTCTTTTTCGAGTTTCTCAACTTCTGGTTGAATTCCCTCTTCTATTTTATTATCAGGCTCTGATATCAAGCTTTTTATTTCTGCTTTTTTATTTACGACATCTTTTTTGGTATATTTTCCAGAAAAATCAATGTTTTTCTTTATTTCTTGGTTTTCCGAACTTTCAAAATTTGTTTCTGCTTTTACCATTATTTTATCCACCTGCTTAATAGGTTCAATTTCAACTATAGACTCTTTCTGGACATCTTCCTCAATACTTAGCTGAAATCTTTCATTTTTACACTCACCTCTGGCAGATGAAAATAGATTTTCTATATCTTTTTCCAACTTATCTACTTCTGGCTGAATTTCTTCTTTTATTCCTTCATTAGACTCTGGTGTCAGTTTTTTTATTTTTGCATTTTGATTTGAGTCATCTTTTTTGAAATATTTTGAAGGTCCCATTGCTCTTGTAGTAAAAACAACACCCTGCTTAATTTCTTGTTTTTCAGTATTTACAACATTTGCTTTTGCTTTTACCATCAGTTCATCGACAGGCTTAATAGACTCAAATTCAAGTATAGACTTTTTATAAACATCCTCTTTAATACTTGGCTTAATTCATTCGCTTTCACACTCATCTCTGACTGATGAATCTTTTATATTTTTTTCAATCTTATCTCCTTCTGGTTGAAACTCTTCTTTTTCTTTTTGACTTGGATCATCTTTTTTGAAATATTTTGAAGGACCCATCGCTCTTGTAGTAAAAATAACACCCTGCTTTATTTCTTGTTTTTCAGTATTCAAAATATTTGTTTTCGCCTTTATGATAACTTTTTCGATTGTTTTAGTAGGCTCAATTTCAAGTATTGGCTCTTTATATAAATCATCTTTCATACTTGGCTTAATTCTTTCTCTTTCACACTCATCTCTGACAGATAAAAATAAGTTTTCTATTTCTTTTTCAAGCTTATCTCCTTCTGCCTGAAAATCTTCTTTTATTCCTTCATTAGACTCTGATAGTGCGCTTAACGAAAAGCTCATATATTTGAGAAATTACAAATTATAAAATCATTAAATTATTAAGAGAACCAAGGATTCTTAAAGAGATTAATTAATTCAGCTTAAAAAGATAAAAAGATAATAGCTAAAATAGATTTTGATAGACTCATTATTTACTTAACTCCCCCCCCCCCCCCTCGTGAGCGAACAAAACCATTAGAAAAAATCGCCATTTTTTGACCAAAAAAACCCACCCTCCGTGAGTGAACAAAAATTTGTTTAATAGAAAAAATTTTAATGGAAAAAAAATTTTGATATATAAGTGATAATTAGTATAATGAAATCTAGAGCTAATTCTGTTTAATTTTAAACAAATTGCGTTTTAAAACATAAATTTTGCAAATTAAATTAATATTTGCTTCCCAATTTTTGCAAATTAGGATTTTTTTAAATTTTCGAAAAAAATATTGTTTATAAAATTTATATATAAATTTTTTTTAAAAAAAAAAATAACCCCCCTCCGTGAGCGAACAAAATTTTTTTGTTCGCTCACGGAGGGGGGGGGGGGGGGAGTAAGAATTCTTTTACTGATTTCTTGAGTAAAAGAAAGTGAACTCGTCCAACCAGGAGAAACAATATTTAAAAAGTGAATTGATTTCTCATCTCCTTCAACAGCAAAATCGTCTACAAAGGTATAAGTTCTTTTATCAACTAATTGTGGAAACATTGCTGGAATCCCCCAGTGCTTATAGTCTTCTCTTACCACCCCACTAACTAATTTGTTGCAATCTGCGACTATATTACTTTTTTGGTATTTCCTAGCTTCTCTCAGGAACAGCTTAATATACATTTTCCAATTTTTTGAGAAAAGGCACCTCAAATATAAATTAGAAGATGACAGTACTTCGCTCAAACTGAAGCCATGGTTTCATGCGTATTGTTCTCTCCATAGGGCAGGAGTAGCGGTTGGGCCTAACTTATAAACCCCATGTACAGTGTTTGTCGTATGGACACCTAGTCCTAAATCTGGAGAAGGGCATGGGTATATTAGTGTATTAAAACCTTTAATCCCTGGATTTCCATCCAGATAAAGCCCAATAATTGGCAGAATTTCATAATTCAGGCCAAATCCAAACTGTTTCGCAATTTTATCAACGTACATCCCTGCACAATTTATCACAAACTTCGCTTCAATTGGGAATTTTGACGTTTCTACTATAGTTGTGCTTAAATTATCAGCTTTTGATAAAAACTTGCAGCCTTCAACGATTTTTACCCCCTTTTCTTCACATTCCTGTTTCAAAGCTTTAATAACTCCTTTATTGTCTGCTATAGAAGTAGAAGGAGACCAAATATACCTTTGCTGTGGGATTATTCTAGGCTCAATAGATTTAGCTTCATGGTAGTCTATTAGTTTTAATGGTGCACCATTTTTAATCCCTCTGTCATATAGGCTTTTAAGTTCTTCTGCTTCTTGATCGTTGGCTGGCGCAATGATTTTCCCGATATTTTGAATTTTGATACCGTGGGATTTGCAATATTCAGTGATAAGGGCATTTCCCTTAACTGAATGGAGAGCTTTTGATGAGCCATTAGGATAATAAATTCCTGCATGGACCACTGCGCTGTTACGGCCACTTGCATGAGCTCCACAAAAGTCTTTTTCTATAAGGACAACTTTTCCGGACTGAGACATCACCCGAGCCATGCTCAGTCCTATGATGCCTCCACCAATAATAAGAAAATCAGCATTCATATTTTATTGGCTTCAAATAATTATATAAAAATATTATCTTGGTATAAATAAAAATAATCTACCGATACATGTTTACTAACATGGCTAGATGCGCAATTCCTCAAAAGTTAATTCGACCATAAAACTTCTAATCTAAATGCAATTTAATTGGCATTTGTATTGCTAGCAAATTTGTGTATGGTTATTTTTATTTCTTTAATAATTACAATTATTTTTAAAAAAAATATTTTTTAATTATTCGTTAAAAATATTTTATACATCAAAAATGCTTGGAGAATTATGAACTAAAAATCAAAAAAAAATATATTAGATGACTTATATAAAAATTTTTTATTATAGCTTTTTAGAAAGGAAAAGCGTTTTGTAAATTTCCATAGTTGCTCTCGCGTCCTCAATCGACGAATGATGGCCTATCTGTATCGCTTTACCTAGCTTCTCAAGTGCAAGCTTTTGTAGTGAAATTGTTGATACTCCTTCTGTTAATTTATAAAGCTTTTGAGTATCTCTAACCACATTTGCAGGTAAGTTGATTTTTAAAGCCTTTAAATCATGACTTATAGCATGACCTATAACTAATTTATTTTTTAAAGCATCTGTAACTAATTTTTGTATTTCATTAAAAGATTTGGCATTCTTCAGATGCCTTGCTTTAATTCCTGTGATTGAAGTTCTATAGTTATTTACAGGCTCACTCTGTTTTACGTATTCATCAAGAAGAACGTTTCCATCCATATCGACAATAGAAACCCTTGCCAAGCTATTTTGATCTGAATTAGTGCTGACCATTTCACAATCAATCGCAACAATATCGGCTAAGTGACTTCTCCCCAGGGGCATTTTCTTTTGTGGACATTTTGTAGAAACTTATTTCTAGATTGAAAAATAAAGTTTAGGCTTGGCAAGAAAAAAGTTTAGGCAAAATTCGCAAATGAAATATTTCTGGGGGAAAAACTAAAAAAGCATGCTACGAACAATATCATGCTTTGCTGCAGATTTAGGTACTTTATAGCTATACTGGCTTGATTAATATATCCTAAGACCAATAATTTTAATTTATCATAAATTAATATTTAATTTAAATAAGTATAGGATTTTTTTTCCAATTTTTATTGACTAATGGGTCTGTTGGAGGCCGTTTTTGAGGCAGAGTTATTGGCTTGTCCTCTTTTTCAGAGATTTTGTCAAGAAGTTTTAGCATGCGTCTTTTTTCTTTGTCCATTTATTATTATTATTACCTTACTCTAGTTCATATTACGAGACATGATAATTATATTAAGAAATAGGTGTAGTATCACCTTCAATTTTTTTTGTAGTTGCATCATAAAATGATCTTGTGAAATATGCATTTTTGTCGTTTTCTTTTAGAAAATCTTCAAGCTTAAGAACTTTTGCTTTACCTTTTACCATTTCCATATCAATTTCTTGCCTTAAATTGCTGTCAAATAGTTCTCTTGCGTGAACTTTTTTGAGTCCTGGAATATCTTTTGGCTTATAAAATCATCTGATTTTAATTTGGCCAATCTCTTCGTCAAAATTCCAATATATCTTCTCAATCGTAGCAACTGCAGATTTATCATGCTCTTCGTTTACTAATATTGTATCATTCACAGAAAATTTCTTTTTGTGAATTTTTAAAAACTTTCTACTCAGTCTTTTAGATTCCGGCAGCTTTTTAGCTTTCAGTACTTTCATTTTTAGTATTGTAGTTTTGACCATATTATACGTAGCATTTTGTGTAAGCAAGTGCAGCTTTCTCTAATTTTATAGATATAGAAATATAGATAATAAAATAAAAACTTATAAGAAAATTAAAAATTTTCTATAGACCTAAAGTAGTTAAAAAAAATATCAGTTTAATTATTGATATAGATCCCATATTGCCATTTCCCGCTTTTTTTGCCCATCTTTTCGTTTGCTTTCTTAATTGCGCCAATTCTTTTGGGATCTTTCAATCCGTTCCATTCATCTAAGTTGTAAGCTCCAAGCAAAATGCAAGTTCTTAATTTTAATTCAATTGGTGATTTATTTGGCATGTATTTCTCGGCAATTTCTTCATATTCTCCTACACCGAAATCTTCAATTCCTTTTAATAGCTGATTTTCATCATCTTGTGACCAATAAGCTCCTGGAAAATCTGCGAAGTATCTATGATTAATGCTTCCTTCTTGGTCTACTATAGGTACCCCAGATAAAATGCGCCTGAGCTCTTTATTCATTTATTAAAATGGACCTTGCTATGCTTTTGCAACTGATCACTATGATATAAGAATATAAAGATTTCAAAATGAAATGCTACTCAAAGCAGCACTCACTTTATTGCAAATTATTAATAATTTTATATTTGAAAATGCTTAAAGCATAAAATATAATTCTAATACGTAATTAGTTTGAAATGATGATAATTTTGACTCAAAGTACTTAAGTGTGCTTATGCTGATAAAGTAATATTCGACCTTTGGTTATTCATATAATATGGAACTATAAATCTTTTTTATAAATTATGGGAAACAGTTGTCCATGCCAATATGTTACATCTGAACAAATTGACACAGATGAAATCGAAGATCTCAGAGTCGAACCCAAGCGAAAGCTCGATATGTCTAATATTATAAAATTCCAAGCAACATGGCGAGGCTACTCATTAAGGAAAAAATTAAACAAAGAAATGTCTGACTTCGTTGAGATGAGACATACAGATAATACCGCCGATTTTTTAGCTGAAGATAACCGAGAAAATAATGACGAAATCGGAAAATTTTTCGAAGACGGAGGACTTTACAAAGGTGAATTGAATGGTAACGTCAGAGAAGGCCAAGGAATTCATACTTGGCCTGATGGATCTGTATATGAAGGATCATGGAAAAATGACAAAGCAAACGGAAAAGGAAAATTCACTGATTGCCAAGGCAATGCTTATAATGGAGATTGAAAAGACGACCAAGCACACGGATATGGCACTTTTATTAAAGCAGATGGCTCGAAGTATGAAGGAGAATGATGGAACGACCAGCCTCATGGCAAAGGCACAGAAATTTGGCCTAATAAAGATATGTATGTTGGAGAATATGTCAATGGAAGCAAAGAAGGACAAGGAGAATTCATTTGGGCTGATGGGAGCCATTATAAAGGAGGAGTTAAAAAGAATAAGTTTCATGGAAGTGGGACTTATAAATGAAACAATGGAAAATCTTATTCAGGGGAATGGGTGAATGGGAAAAGAGAAGGATATGGAGTATTTAAGTGGCCGAATGGAAATGTATACATGGGGAATTTCAAAAGTGATAAGAGGCATGGAAAAGGAAAGATTACTCTTGCTAATGGAAAACAGGTGGTTGGATATTGAAATCAAGGGAAGTTTAATAAACATCAAGTAAAAAACAAATAAATGATAAAAAGACAAGAGTTGTGTATCATTCCTTCAGTATCAAAATAATTAATTTTAATTAAGAGATACATTTGCGATAGTTTTATAATAATGATTTTATAAATTTGGAGTTTTTTCATAAAACGAATAAGTCTAAATCCCCTTCATAAAAATTTTTTACTTTATATAAGATTTCATATAAAAATTATTATTTGTAAAGAAAAATAATAGAATATTAAATTAAAATATAAAGTAGATTTTCATTATTATTATTATTATTATTATTATTATTATTATTATTATTATTATTATTATTATTATTATTATTATTATTATTATTATTATTATTATTATTATTATTATTATTATTATTATTATTATTATTATTATTATTATTATTATTATTATTATTATTATTATTATTATTATTATTATTATTATTATTATTATTATTATTATTATTATTATTATTATTATTATTATTATTATTATTATTATTATTATTATTATTATTATTATTATTATTATTATTATTATTATTATTATTATTATTATTATTATTATTATTATTATTATTATTATTATTATTATTATTATTATTATTATTATTATTATTATTATTATTATTATTATTATTATTATTATTATTATTATTATTATTATTATTATTATTATTATTATTATTATTATTATTATTATTATTATTATTATTATTATTATTATTATTATTATTATTATTATTATTATTATTATTATTATTATTATTATTATTATTATTATTATTATTATTATTATTATTATTATTATTATTATTATTATTATTATTATTATTATTATTATTATTATTATTATTATTATTATTATTATTATTATTATTATTATTATTATTATTATTATTATTATTATTATTATTATTATTATTATATTATTATTATTATTATTATTATTATTATTATTATTATTATTATTATTATTATTATTATTATTATTATTATTATTATTATTATTATTATTATTATTATTATTATTATTATTATTATTATTATTATTATTATTATTATTATTATTATTATTATTATTATTATTATTATTATTATTATTATTATTATTATTATTATTATTATTATTATTATTATTATATGTGCAAATATTTTATAAAGCTATACTTATATAAACCATTTTTATGATCTATCTTTTAAAAGTTAATTTTCCAAGCAATTAGGAATTTTATCAGGTTTTATCCGGAGTAAAGAAAATTATAAATTAAATGGGCTGCTGCAATAGCCTCAAGTCTGAACCTCATCAAATGATTATGTCAGAGAATTATGATATGGCGAAATGTACTCCACTCCAAGATAGCATTTCAAAATCAGTCCTTCATAGCCAAATTAATTTTCAAATTACAAGAATAAAGCAACCTCAGTCCGCTTTGGACGAATCTGTATTATCAAGCGTTTATGAGACTGATAACGACTTACCTCTGCCGGATATAACGATAGACGAAATAAATAACTCCAATATAAAAGAAAAACGACCCAATTATTTGGAATAACCTGGACAAAAATTTTTCCTCCAAGCTGGCTTATATAATAAATTAAGCATTTATGTAATGTAAATAACTTATTTGTGTTTTATATTCCACGAAAAATTTAGCCTCCTATAATTGAGAATTTTGAAGCTCTAAAGGAAGTTTTTCTTCAAAACTTGCTAGCTTAGCCATTAATAATAATTTTTATTAAATAAATATAGCTTAAATTTATCAAGAAGGTTTATCAATTCCAAAAATTTTTTTAAGTAAATAATAGGAATTTGGAGAGGATATTAAGTATTTTCTCCACCCTGAAGCAGTTAATAATTTTCCACTCTGAAAACGACACATACCTTCAACAAACCCTTTTTCGCTTATAGTTGGCTTTCTTTTGTCATCTAAAATAAAATCAACAACATTATCTATCGCAAAAATTTCTGCTCGCTTCAAAGTTTTAAAATAATTCTGAATCCTCTTTGTAGAGTCCTCGTTATTTTCATCAATAAGCGCACCCAAAATATATATAGAATTCCTCGAAATAGTCCTAAAAACCTGCCCTTTTATTCTCGTTATTTCTATTTCTTCTTCTAACGTTTCATCAAAAATTTGAAATAAAAGTGTTGCTTTTGTGATATTTCTTCCTTTGCCGTCGAAGACGTGGACATTTGCCCTGGAAGCACCCTGGTGATCAAAGCGAGTTTGTCTCCAGCAGACTGGTGGGCCCGATGCGACGAAAGGCGAGTGATAAACCTGGAGTTGTAACCCCGTAGTGGACGTTAAGCGATATAAATACCATAAGATAAGATATTTCTTCCTTTACTCAATAAAATTCCAATAGTTAATAAATCCCTCATTAATATTTCGTTATCTGAGTTTTTAAGTCTGTTATACATTTTTGTAATGTTTGCATGTGCGTCGTAGTCTTCTATATGTATATTTAGAGACTCAGCAATTTTAGAAAGCTGGGAGCAATTAATCTTCCGATTGAAGCTAAATTTACGAATAATTGAATCTGTCACTTCTGCATCAAGCTGGCAAAATCCTAAAAATTTTTCGTTTTCAACTAAGGTAGCTTCAATACTTGAGTGCGACCTTGAACTTAGACAGCCCATTTTAGATTTAAAATGAGATGCGTTTTATTTTAAATTTATTTGAATTTTTTTGAATTCCCACTCTTTAATTAAATCCTTATTGGAATTATTGCGAAAAAATAAAGCGTTCTAAATTTTATCAAAAATATATTTTTTAATAAAATCTCATTATTATATATCAAAATTCAATCTGAAACCAAGCTAATAGCTTTAAATTTACTGAAACACCAAGATTTTGAAACTCAAGAATTTTCTCCAATTATTACTTTTGGAAAGCTTAAAATGAAACTTACAAACTCAAATAGTACTTTTTCTCTCATTATCAGTATTACCAAATATTAATATTTCTCACAGGATTTTATAACTCCATTATCATGCTATAAGATCTTCCCTCTGCTGTTTTCTTGGCTTTAAAATTCAAAACGCTTTATATAATCAAAAATGTCGGCAGCAAATATCAAAAGATCACTCCACGCCCTCGGCGCTCGTACAAAATACGAGAAATCTCTGCTCAAAGCTACTTATCACGGTGACAACGACCCTCCAAAAGAAAAGCACGTCCAGACAGTCTTGTGGACCCTTCAAGGCCAGAACATCCAAACTCCTCCAGAAGTAGCCTTTTCACTTCTGACCCAGCAGCTCTTGACAAGCAGCTGGGCTACCCTTCTTAAAGCTTATATAATCCTTCACCGTGGGATCGAACAGGTTGGAACAGGCTACTCATCACGTCTTGCTGAGTTAAATATTTCAATGCAAAGCTTTAATGATCCCAGCGAGCGTGGCAGTGCCCACAATCAGATAATCCAAGACTATTATGTCTTTATCCGATCTAAAGCCTTGAACCATTCTCGCAAAGGCTCGCTTATGCTAACTCAGCAAACTGACTTATTTAAAGCAATTGAAAAAATGACAGATGCGGACTTGGTAAAAGAAATTGGGTATTTGTTGACTGAGCTGCAAAATTTGGTGAAAATGGGGCCTAGCTTCAGCCAGGCTATCAGAAATTACCAATTAAAAGTCACTCAGAACGCAGCGTTTTTAGTTTTGAAAGATGCCACGCCACTTTACAGAGTGATTTCTGTAGCACTTGACAAAATGGTAGATAGATTTTTTGGGTTTGATAGACAAATTGCAGAAATTTCAATGGAGCATTATAAGCGCTTTGAAACTTGTACAAGAATGCTGAGCCAGTTCTTTGAGTTAGCACATCATTTGCCGTTTTCAGGACTTGCACCACCTACATTTGTGAATAGACCAAGAGAAATTGTGTCATCAATGAGATCTTATATATCAGAACAGCCTGAGCATGTTCCGTCAGCAGAACGTGCCGTTGATATCCCAGAAGATCTTCATATGTCCCCTTCAGAATTAGAAGAACAACGGAAAATGCTTGAGGAGTATGAAAAGCAGCATAATAAAAAGGTTGAAGAAGAAAAAAAGCGAAACCCTCCTCCAGCGTCGCAGCCTAGACAAGAAGCAGCTGTGAAGCAAGATGACGACTTAATATTCCAAGAAATCACTCCTCCTTCAGCTCAAAAAGTTGACCCAAAGGCTGAATTTGTGATGTCTGCGTTTAACCAGCCACCTACAAATCCTGGGAATCCAGGCGATCCTAATGCTATGATGAACCCTATGATGAACCCAATGATGAACCCAATGATGACAGGAATGATGATGAACCCGATGATGAATCCAATGATGAACCCAATGATGAATCCGTTCATGACTGGAATGATGATGAACCCAATGATGAACCCTATGATGACTGGAATGATGATGAATCCTGCAATGCAAACTGGGGCTAATGCCAAATCAAATTTAGATCCACTTTCACAGCCTATTGGAAATGCGGTTCCTGATAAGAGAAATAACCCATTCAATAGAGCTTCTACTGGAGCAAATCCATATCCAGGAACTCAAGCAAACCAGGGGACTTTTCCTGTAAATGCAGGATCATCTTTAGATGGGTTGTTTACTCAGCCTCATCAAAGAGCTTCAAATCCTTTTGAGTCTTCAAACCCAGCTTCTAACCCGTTTTCTGCTCCGAAGACAGCTACTTCAAATCCGTTCGGAACTCAACAGCCAAAAGGAAATATATCAAGAGATCCATTTTCTGATTTAATTTAAGAATATTGGTTATATCCTTAACTTAATTTCTTTTATGTAATGTGCGTCGAATTTTAAAGATATTAACTTAGTCTTTTTGCAGAAGAAAATAGAATTAAACATTTTTATACTGCTAAAATATTAATAAAAAGAAATTTTTAATAAATATAATTATTTGGATAATTTCTTGAAAATCAACACTTTTTGAATAATGAATAAATTCATTAAATTGAATTTCAATTTACTTAAATAATTGAAGTATTTCCAAGAATAAATGCTAATTTATCTTTCATTTTTTAATTTATAAAATTAAAACTAAAATTATCGTAATAATTATCTAAAAATATATGGCGCTTACTAGAAGACGAGCTTCAGAGCCACCCTCTGAAATATTTTCTCTGCCGATTTCACATCTCAGCAAGCTAAATAAACTTTTGCCAGCTGGTTTTAAACTCGAAGGCACAGCTATCAAAGATCCAGAAAGTCCGTCTACGGATTCAGAAAAGAAAAAATACAAGAAACGTAGTCGTTCTCGTCAAAAAGAGAGGATTAGAATCAACACTTATTCTGAATGGACCGATCGTGACGTTGGGCTAAAAATGGGCGGAGAAGCAGCTCGCAGATGCTACGAAATCATCCAAAATCTCAAAATGCACATCTTGGTCGCTCCCTTTTTGCAACCAGTGGACCCTGTTGCCCTTAATCTCCCTGATTATTTAGAAATCATCCAAGACCCTATCGATATTTCTACAGTTGAAAGAAACCTGAAAGCTGGGCTTTACTCTAACTCAATGCAATTTGCAACTGATATGAGAAGGATCTGGCTAAATTCCTTTACATATAATGCAGTGGATTCTGACATGTTCTATATAACTCTTGAAATGGCGACTTATTTTGAGCGGCAATTCAAGGACCTTGAAGGGGTCTTGTTTTGTCCTGGAACTGAAATTAAAAAAATGCCACGTGAGAAGCTTGTAGTTAAAGAGTATATGAACAAGCCTATGACCTTACAAGAAAAGAAAGTTTTGGGGGCAAATATCAAGAAATTAGGCAAAGAGCAAAAGGAGAAGGTAAAATTGATTGCTGGGCTTGATAAAAGCGGGAAAAGTAAATTAAATTTAACGACGCTATCGCCGACTATTTGTAGAGAACTGGAAAAGTTTGTGAAATTGAGCTACCAGGCAAGTTTGCATAGGAATAGGCAAAGAAATTTGTTGGGGTTAAAAAGGCAGTTTCATAGTGATTTTTGTTATGGATTATCGGATAAAAGGATGAAGAACCATCATAATGAAGATATGGAGTATTATTAAGTGTATTGGAGTAAGGCAAGTAATTGGAAAATAATTAAAAAGAGCTGAAGCATTAATAAGGCTTGCAAAGAATAAATTATAATAATTTGTTAGAGTATATCAGCATTAATAAAGTCATTGATATGCAAAATTGAATAAAATTATCTCGAATTTATAAAACTAGCGACTTCTGATACTTAATTAAGGGGATATGTATTTAATTTTTTCATAAATGATTTAATATACATTTATTCTAATTTTCAAATATTTTATAAATTTATAAAAATATAAACACAATCTTATTTATTGGCAATCAAATAGTAAATTAGCTTGATTAATAATATAAATCTTAGCATGTAAAATTAATAAAATTTCAAAAAAAATTGGCAATGGTAGAGAAAATTAATTTATTACCCCACCAAGTCTTTTTCTCCCTCAATGCTATTCCCCTACTCATATTCTTATTTTATCAATTCTTTTATGTCCTTATCCCCTCCTATCTTCGCTGCAAAATTTCCGTCTTATCTCATTCTATCATTTAAATAGTCTACAATTTCTCTTAAAACTCCAAATCTTTCTTTTCTAGTCTTATTTTCCAATTTAACGCTCTTCTAAATTATTAATTTGTCTCACTTTTCACTATCGTATCTCATAAGGCTTATTTTCATTTTATTTCTTCCCCAACTTTTCGACTGATCTTCCAAATATGTTTCGTCAATGGTTATAAATGGTTGATCAGAACGTCCAAGCTATCATCATTGACAACGGTTCTGTAATGATCAAGGCCGGTATAGCCGGTGACGATGCCCCAAGAGCTGTCTTCCCAAGCATTGTCGGTCGCCCAAGGAATCCTGGAATCATTGTAGGAACTGAACAAAAAGAAGTCTATATTGGTGATGAAGTACAAGCTAAGCGAGGTTATCTCTATCTAAATTATCCAATTGAGTACGGCATTGTTACTAACTGGGATCTTATGGAAAGAATCTGGCATCATACTTTCTTTGACAATTTAAAAGTCCCACCTGACAAGCACCCAGTCCTCCTCACCGAAGCTCCTTGAAACCCTAAGAGGAACAGAGAAAAGATGACTGAAGTCATGTTCGAAACTTTCTTCGTCCCTGCTTTCTACGTCGCCATCCAAGCTGTGTTGCCATTATACAGCTCTGGCAGAACTACTGGCATTGTCGTGGATTCTGGCTATGGAGTCACCCACGTCGTCCCAATCTATGAAGGCTATGCTCTGCCTCATGCAATGTGTCAAGTCGACGTTGCCGGTTGTGACTTGACCTTACACTTATTTAAACTGATGAATGAGAGAGGCCACTCACTGACCAATTCAGGTGAAGTCAGAGACATCAAAGAGAAACTCTGCTATGTCGCTTTGGACTTCCAAGAAGAAATGAACAAAGCTAGAAGTTCTTCAGAAATCGAGAAAAACTACAAAATGCCTGATGGAAGCACAGTAACACTTGGAAGTGAAAGATTCAGAGCCCCAGAAGCTTTGTTCCAGCCAAGCTTGTTAGGGCTTGATAATAGGAACGGCATGGACGAGACTACTTATAAATCAATCATGAAATGTGACCTGGATATCAGAAGAGACTTATACGGAAACGTTGTTATGAGTGGAGGGTCTACTATGTATCCAGGAATTGCTGAAAGACTAAACAAAGAACTTGTAGCAAAGGCACCACCAAGTATGAAAATTAAAGTTGTTGCACCACCTGAAAGAAAATACTCAGTCTGGATTGGAGGGTCAATTCTCAGCTCACTTTCAAGCTTCCAACAGATGTGGATCACCAAGGCTGAATATGATGAAGCAGGAGCTAGCATTGTTCACCGCAAATGCTTCTAATAGGATATGTATATAATGTTTTTATAAATGATTTAATAATAAGTTTATTCTTAATTTCTACTGAATTATAAATTTATGTAGACAATAAACACAATCTTAGTTATTTTCAATCAAATAGTAAAGTAACTGGATTAAATCATCTTAACATGTAACATTACTAAAATTTCAAACAAAAATGACAATGGTAGCGAAAATTAATTTATAACCCCATCAAGTCTTTTTTTCTCCTCAATGCTATTCCCCTCCTCATATCCTAATTTTATCAATTCTTTAATGTCCTTAAAACTCCAAATCTCTCTTTTCTTGTCTTATTTTCCAATTTAACGCTCTTCTAAATTATTAACCTGTCTCACTTTTCACTATCGTATCTCATAAGGCTTATTTTCATTTTATTTCTTCCCCAACTTTTTTTGACTGATCTCGTCTCGATTTTCCAAATATGTTTCGTCAAAAATGAAATGGTGAATCAGAACGTCCAAGCTCTCATCATTGATAACGGTTCAGGAATGTGCAAGGCCGGTATAGCCGGTGACGATGCCCCAAGAGCTGTCTTCCCAAGCATTGTCGGTCGCCCAAGAACGCCTGGAATCATTGAAGGAACTGAATCAAAAGAAGTCTATATTGGTGATGAAGCACAAGCTAATAGAGGTGTTCTCAATCTTAACTATCCAATTGAGCACGGCATTGTTACTAACTGGGATGATATGGAAAGAATCTGGCATCATATTTTCTTCAACGAATTAAGAGTCCCAGCTGACGAGAACCCAGTTCTACTCACTGAAGTTCCTCTGAACCCTAAGATATACAGAGAAAAGATGACCCAAATTATGTTCGAAACTTTTAACGTTCCTGCTTTCTACGTCGCCATCCAAGCTGTGCTGTCATTATACAGCTCTGGCAGAATCACTGGTATGGTCGTGGATTCTGACGACGGAGTCACCCACGCCTTCCCAGTCTATGAAGGCTACGCTCAGCCTTATGCAATTCAAAGAATCGATGTCGCCGGTAACGAATTGACCTTGCACTTAGCTAGACTTATGAATGAGAGAGGCCACTTACTGACCAACGCAGCTGAAAAAGAAATCGTCAGAGACATCAAAGAGAAACTCTGCTATGTCGCTTTGGACTTCCAAGAAGAAATGAACAAAGCAATGACTTCTTCAGAAATCGAGAAAAACTACGAGATGCCTGATGGAAGCATAGCAACATTTGGAAATGAAAGATTTAGAGCCCCAGAAGCTTTGCTCCAGCCAAGCTTGTTAGGGCTTGATATTGACGGAATGGACGAAATTACTTATAAATCAATCATGAAATGTGACATAGATGATAGAAGAGACTTATACGAAAACGTTGTTATGAGTGGAGGGTCTACTATGTATCCAGGAATTGCTGAAAGACTAAACAAAGAACTTGTAGCAAAGACACCACCAAGTATGAAAATTAAAGTTGTTGCACCACCTGAAAGAAAATACTCAGTCTGGATTGGAGGGTCAATTCTCAGCTCACTTTCAAGCTTCCAACAAATGTGGGTCACCAAGGCTGAATATGATGAATGCGGAGCTAGCATTGTTAACCGCAAATGCTTCTAATGGGATATATATTTAATGTTTTCATAAATGATTTAATATACGTTTATTCTTAATTTTAAATAAATATAAATTTATGTAAGATATAAACACAATCTTAGTTATTGCCAATCAAATAGTAAAGTAACTGGATTAAATCATCTAAATCTTAGCATGCAACATTACAAAAATTTCAAACAAAAATGACAATGGTAGAGAAAATTAATTTTATTACCCCACCAAGTCTTTTTCTCCCTCAATGCTATTCCCCTCCTCATATTCTTATTTTATCAATTCTTTAATGTCCTTATCACCTCCTATCTTCTCTACAAAATTTCCCATCTTGTCTCATTCAATCATTTAAATAGTCAACAATTTCTCTTAAAACTCCAAATCTCTCTTTTCTTGTCTTATTTTCCAATTTAACGCTCTTCTAAATTATTAACCTGTCTCACTTTTCACTATCGTATCTCATAAGGCTTATTTTCATTTTATTTCTTCCCCAACTTTTCGACTGATCTCGTCTCGATTTTCCAAATATGTTTCGTCAATGGTTATAAATGGTTGATCAGAACGTCCAAGCTCTCGTCATTGACAACGGTTCAGGAATGTGCAAGGCCGGTATAGCCGGTGACGATGCCCCAAGAGCTGTCTTCCCAAGCATTGTCGGTCGCCCAAGAATGCCTGGAATCATTGTAGGAACTGAACAAAAAGAAGTCTATATTGGTGATGAAGCACAAGCTAAGAGAGGTGTTCTCAATCTTAAATATCCAATTGAGCACGGGATTGTTACTAACTGGGATGATATGGAAAGAATCTGGCATCATACTTTCTTCAACGAATTAAGAGTCCCAGCTGACGAGCACCCAGTCCTACTCACTGAAGCTCCTCTGAACCCTAAGAACAACAGAGAAAAGATGACTCAAATCATGTTCGAAACTTTCAACGTCCCTGCTTTCTACGTCGCCATCCAAGCTGTGCTGTCATTATACAGCTCTGGCAGAACCACTGGTATGGTAGTGGATTCTGGCGATGGAGTCACCCACGTCGTCCCAATCTATGAAGGCTACGCTCTGCCTCATGCAATTCAAAGAATCGACGTCGCCGGTCGTGACTTAACCTTGCACTTAGTTAGACTTATGACTGAGAGAGGCCACTCACTGACCAATTCAGCTGAAAAAGAAATCGTCAGAGATATCAAAGAGAAACTCTGCTACGTCGCTTTGGACTTCCAAGAAGAAATGAACAAAGCTAGAACTTCTTCAGAAATCGAGAAAAACTACGAGATGCCTGATGGAAGCACAGTTACACTTGGAAGTGAAAGATTCAGAGCCCCAGAAGCTTTGTTCCAGCCAAGCTTGTTAGGGCTTGATATTGACGGCATGGACGAGACTACTTATAAATCAATCATGAAATGTGACCTGGATATCAGAAGAGACTTATACGGAAACGTTGTTATGAGTGGAGGGTCTACTATGTATCCAGGAATTGCTGAAAGACTAAACAAAGAACTTGTAGCAAAGGCACCACCAAGCATGAAAATTAAAGTTGTTGCACCACCTGAAAGAAAATACTCAGTCTGGATTGGAGGGTCAATTCTCAGCTCACTTTCAAGCTTCCAACAAATGTGGGTCACCAAGGCTGAATATGATGAAGCAGGAGCTAGCATTGTTCACCGCAAGTGCTTCTAAGTAAGCTAATTTATCATTAAGCATCATTGTTAGCTAAATTATGAGGTAACCTACAACTGGATATTTGTCTAAAAAGTTCTTTGTCCAGCCTTTGAGGATCAGTTTTTCTTCGTCTGTGAGAGTGACTTTTTTAGGGTCAAGTTCTAAGATTTTTAAGTCGAACCTTTGTTTTGCAAGGCCTATTGTGAGATCTTTGCCTTTAAGATAATAATATTCCCCACCTTGCTTGAAGCTTGGAGAATTGGTGACATCAAAAATATATCCAGCACAGCCAATATAGACTTTTGAGTACCTTCCATCAAACACTGACAGCTGCCTTCTGGTCAACCTCAAGCCAAATTGAGAACTTGCTATTATGATTAAGAAAAGAATAATGAGAATTTTTCTCATTATATGATATTAATTCAAATAATAATTTTAAGCTAAAGAAGGCTGTCTTTATGCACATAAAGATATTGCCATTTATTCACAACTCGCTCCCAGCCAAGATTCTCTAAATATTCGTAGACTAATTTATTACTTCCTCCATGGTCCATATTCCCTTCATCTAATAGCACTATTGAGTATTTATGAAGTTTTCTATAAGCTGCTTTTATTTCTTCTAAATGATAGTGTTGAATGTGATCCAGTATTTTTTCGTCATAATCCATTGAATCAATGTATAGAAAATCAATTGGCTTATCATAATTTTTTAAAAATTCAACTGAGTCACTTTTGATGACGCTCACGTTGTCTTCAATCCATTTTGTTGCTTCTTTGGCTTTATATACTGCGTTTTGGTCATTGTCGACTGATATTAAGAATTTTTCTGTTGCGTAAGCGAATAGGCCAAAAATAGATGTAGAGCATCCATCATATGTGCATTTTTCTTCCCCTCATTCTGTGCCAAGCTCGATTAGGTTTTTTGAGTTTCTGTAAATCATAAGCTTCATTGCTTCTGAAAAAGTGATAAACCTTTTATCGTCCTTGGGGATTTTCTCAAGCGCAGTAAAAATTGCTATTTTATTGTCAGCTTCTAGTTTGGGAGAATTCTCTGAGTAAGGATTAACTGAATTCCATTGCACATCTCTTGCTTGAGAAAGAACGCAAAATATTTGGAATAAAACAGCTATATTGATAATTGACATAGAGCCCATATGTAATTTTAATGATTTATTTGCAAATAATTACTTTTTAGCGCCATTAATTATTAAAAAAATTGGTTTCGTGATAATTTCAGACTCCAATACGGCACACGCAAATATATAATCTCCGCTCTTAATGTGGGGATTTTTTCATTGACTTATCAATGCTAAATTTTTGGTCAGAAATACACTGACAGTTCACATAATTATTTCCGTTGCCAGCACGTAATAAATATCATTCCAGTCTTCAGCAGTTCCTAAAAATGCTAAAATCAGGCATACCATGGTAATTATTACAATTATTGTGTCTGTGCTGAAGGATTTATTTATTCATACAAAAAATGCAATTGTTTGAAAAACTGCCAATAAATTAATTATTGGGACAAATGTCAAAAATATTGGATAATTCGCTAAAATTGCTGCAAATAGCCCAAGTTTGACTATGCATAATGCTGATAGAATCCCAATATCTGCTGGAGATTTTTTAAGCTGTTTTGCTGCATATGGAATTGTGCAATATAAAGAAAGCAAAGCGCCAAGGCATACCAAAATACTAAGCCAGCCCTGCAAAGCACTTTTTAAGGTATCACTAATAAGCAAAAGACCACCAACTAGCGAAATTATGCACAGTTGACAGACAAAAGTTAAGCATACACTTCATACGAATGATACTAATTCTTTTATTTTCATTTTACTTACTTCTTTTGCTGTCAATTTCCTTATTGGCTTAACAACAGTTTGTTTAGATGGCTTTTCTTTAGGCTGTGACTCAGATTCTGTCTTAATTATGCTCTCAGTTTCTTCAACTTCATCAATTTGCTCTTCATATTTTGCATTCATTTTATGATATTTATTGTGGAAAGTAACTGTTAATCTTTATCCATCATAATATATACACAAGCCATTATTTAGCATTCAAAAAGATCATTATATTTCATAATTATTTTAATTTCTTAGATTAATCTATAAGTTTGCAAGACGCTCTTTATTAATCAAATTGAACTAGTTCCACCGGTTCTCTTACATCATAATCCTCTATCATTACTGAGTCATATATTTCGTCCTCCGAATATCTTTCTTCATAATATTCTTCAGACCCAGGATCTTCATAATCTTCTTCATAGCTCATCTGTGGGCTATCCCCTTCAATCTCAATCAATTTTTTGATATCATCTCCTTTATTGATTTCCTGTATCCTTTTATCTATATCCTGAAGCCTCTTTTTTTCCTCATCAACACTATCAAACTTGTTTGGCTTCTTTTTCCAGTCTTCTTCTCTAGGAGAATCACTCATACTACCTGAGTCTATTTCAGGAGGAATAAACTTCCCTTTTTGCTGATTAAAAGGTGGGTAGTTTGATGGCTTTTTTTCTGGACCTTTTAATTCAGGCTCTGAGCCTGATTCTGAGTCTATTTCAGGAGCAATAAAATTGGTGGGTTTTTGATTTTTAAATGGAGGGATATTTTGTAGAGGCTTGGAGACTGGGGCTGGCTTAGAAGGCGGGGGAGAGTCACTTTTAGGAGATGGCTCAGCAGGAGGGGATGAGAATTTTCCTAATTTTTGGGAATTTAGGGGAGGGATGTTAGGAAGTGGCTGTTTTGAAAGAGGAGCTAAATTTCCTTTTGGTGCTGGCTGTTTTTGAGGCTCAAGAGCTGCTGGCAGAGGATTCAGCTTTTGTTCAGGTTTTGGCTCTAGTTTAGGCGCTGGCTTTGGCTCAGGCTTGGCCATCATTGTTTGTATCATAAAAGTCAAGTATGGGACGTCTGATGGAGGCGTAATTTTCAATTCATTTTGGAGATAAGACCGAATATCATCAATTGATAGCAAATGGCACTCAGGCACAAACACATTCAGCGAAAATTTCATCTTGTAGCATTCCATAAAATCTCTGAAGAGATAAGCTGCCAATTTTCCCTCAGGTGTTTGGGCTGCCGAAATTGCCTTAGATTTGTCAATATGAATCTTCCCCTCGTCATTTTGCACTGCTTTAAATACATTCAACCTGAGCTGAGCCCTTATTTTATCAAGAACGCCTGCAGAATCCAGGGTTCTAATTATGATTTCTTTCAATTCCTCCATTTACTATTTGAATTTGGAAGAATATTTAAAATCAGCTATTATTTATATATTCTAAAGACCTTTTATTTAATGACGCTTCCACTCAATAAAGCTTCAGTAGCTTTCACAAGGTCACCTCCAGTCTTTTCAAGAGCCATTCTGACGATTTCTGGGTTGTTGAACATGTCCATGAGGGTTTGGACTTTGTTGTCAAATTCTTCTTTGGGTTTTACGACGTTGATGGTGATCCATACTCTTTGCCCGAATCTTGAACCTTCAGGATCAACAGCTCTCCAGTAGGAGGTATATCTGCCTTCTTCAGATGGAGAAGTACTTATTTAATTATTTAGTATTTAATTTATCTATATTCACAGGATTAGTTTAAAAACAAAAGTTTAAATTCCAGACTCGCGATACTACGGGGATTCTTACCTGACCATTTTTATTGGTCGAACAGAGAGGAATCCTAAATGCAGCACAACTTGCCACCTAACGTCGCAGGATGCGTTGCCTCGCCCTACACTTGACCCCTAGGTGTATTCTGCCTAACTCCTCTGAACATTAAACAGCCAAGCCTCATGCCTCTTAGAAACTATTCAAGCCTATGTGCCAGGGTGTTCTGGCTGTATAAAGGATCACTTAGAAACTGAACCCTATAATAAATTTCCAAAAGATGAAAAGTTCTCAGACAGCTTATTCCTACCATTTTATTACTATCTGCTGGAGCAGTACAGTTGGCGGTGATGTCTTCTTCTTCACCTGGCATAAGAGGGGGTAGCGGTATGTCTCGTCCAGTGAAGTCACCATTGATGCACACCAACTTACAGCCATTTGGCCATGGATTTTTTCCTTCATTTCTAAGTCTCCAAACCTTGATAAAATTAGTGTTTGCTGTGATTTTGTCGCCTTCGTGTCCAACTACATCTTTTACGAACCTACAAAGAAGCCTTGTCTCTGCTTCGCATTGTCTGTTTTTGCATTTCGCAGGTGCTGGCTTTTTTGCTTTTGGCTTTGACTTTGCTTCTGTTTCATCAACCGCACAGATAATGGTTTTTGGGACTTGCTCTGGGGTACGAATTTTAATAAATGGATGCTCGTGCTGGGCATTTGCTTCACACTTGCCACAAAAATCGAAGTTTTGGCAAACAGAACATTTATATCTGTGTCCTATAATGGGTGACATCCCACATGAATCACAGGTAACATTTTGATGGACAACTTCAGATTTACTGCTTTCTATTGCATTCAGGAGTTTTGGCAAGTAATTTTGCATTTCATTTCTGATTAATGCCACAATGGTATTAAGCTTCGGATCTTGTCTGGAATCAAGAACTCCATTTCCTAACTCATACAATTAATAAAGAGGAAAATATAGTGTTTTTCTGTAATTTTCGAAAAAATTTTAATTGTGGCTGCTGGACTTTTAGGATTTTAATAACAATTTATATAATTGGCTTTTGTCCATTTTTTTCATACATTTGATACCTAATTATTAGCAGTTTGCAGTTAGTTAAGGAGAGTAAGCAAATTCCGCATCTATCAAATTTTCCTCCACAAGCATAGCAAGGGACATTGAAATCTTCCTTTTCAAATGGTGCCGGCAATGACTGCGGAGCTGGAGGCCCATCTTCAATTACCTCAACATCAGGGTATGATTCTGACCTGGTGCTTTGGGTCATGAAGCTTTCTGTCAACCTATTGCCCTTGAGGTAAAGCAATAAGAACCCATTGAGTTTTTTTCCGGTCTTTTTGGCTTCAATGAGGTCTGCGTCACCTAGGATTGTGATATGGTCACCATCAGGGTCTTCATAAGCAATTTGTAATATCTGATAGTTAGGGACTTTCTTTTCGGCAAGGTTGCGGAGCGCTGAAAATGAATCTGGACGATCAATTGTTTGGACTTTTTCTGATCCAATGAGAAAACGAATTCCGTTCATGACTTAGTAGTCTGGGAATTTTTTTATTATGAACAGATTAATATACATAAAAATTGTGACGACAGACCACCCGACCTCTCGACCCTATTTCTTCAACATCAGCAGGCAACGGCCCAGTGTTGGAGATTTAGGTGGAAAGGGGCCAGTAATCCTTTATGTATAGTCGGGCTGGGTTTTCTTTGGGCCCGAGGAGCTAATTCTCGGACTTGAAGTTTTTCCTCAAGGACAACATTGGAAAGGGCAAGGTCGGCCAATATCTGAAGGGCAATATGACCCTCAGACACTGAAGACGGTATTTGCCCAACGAGAAAACTGGGAGTTTCGACCCAGGTGGTTGGCCCTTAGACTCCAGAAGCCACGGAAGTCAAGACTGGTCGCGCGAATCCCTTGTTTGAGGCAACAAGGAGGGTGTCCGCCGGAGCTCCTCAGGAGCGATGAGCGTGTAGGGGTGCAAATCCCTGGCCCTGCAAGGCAAACGGCTTAATCTAATCTAATTATGAACAGATTAATAAGTTCGTCATATGCATTTTAACTGATCGGTTCTGATTAGAAATAAACTGGCTTAATTAACAGAATTCACGTATAGCCTTCTGCTGACGATTTTTAAATTTTATTTTCAGCGATGGTTGGAGAATTCTTAGATTTGTGGTGAGTTAAATAATAATTGTCTGATTAAATATAAAAATGAAAAGCGAAAATAAGGTTGGGATAGATGCGAAAAATTGGGAGAAAGTGATAAAAAGAAATAATCTACTTTTATTTTTAAAATGATGGGCTTTGAAATGTTCTGGGAGTTTCGTATAAAATAGGGATGGGATTTAATTATGCATATCGAGATAAATTATGGGAATTATTCAACAGGAACATCAAATATGTCTTAAAAGCCTATTCAAGGGTAGAGATTTAAATAAAAATTATAATTTTATGATGATAAGGCAAGAACAATTTTATTAAGGTCTCGAGGATAAACAGGCAGAGATGCCCATGAAATAGCAATCTTTATTCGATAAGGAAAATTATTAAAATCTCCAGCGTATAAAAATTTATGTATAAGAGTTCTAGCATTTAAGAGGCTTAATATAATCTCAAAATAAATAATTTAAATTTATTTATCAGATTTTCAGCATAAGCTAATTTCGCATACCATTTTAAAAAAATTAATAATATACTTATTTACCAAGAATAGCCCACTAAGGAGCATTTTTGGTTGGCCGGACAATACTGGCTTGCCGAATTCGTTGGCATGCCATATTTTCTGGCTAACCAAATTTAAGAATGGCGAACCAAAAAATGCTCCTTAGTAGGCTATTCTTGGTAAACAGGTATATAAAATTATTATCGATTTCTTAGTATATATAACCCGGTTTTAAATATCATTTGGAGGTCTATATTCAGGATTATAATTCGTAGAGTTTTGATATAAATAATAAGGCTGACTAAATCTTGGGTCATATTGAACTCCTGGATAGCCTTGCGAATATTGAGGTTGAGGAGGCATCATTGCTGGAGGCTGCTGAGGAATACTTATTTGGCTTTGAACTGGATATTGATAGCCTGGATAAGATTGTGGGTATGATTGATATCCCAGAGGAACTTGGTATTGTATTGGGTTTGGCTGATTTCCTTGGTACTGGATTTGGGTAGGGTCAACATGCTTATTTGAAACCAAGACTCCTCCTGCAGTATTTTGCGGTGAAAATAGCCTTGTAAACTGTCCTACAGTCGGCTGAGCACCATTTTCTAATCCAGGAATTGCACGTCTAACTCCATACGCCATATTTCTATACATTTCATCTGGATTTCCTCTATTTCCTCCAACATTATTGCCAAGGAGTACATTTACAAAAGCTTCACATGGTGCCCTTCTCGCAACATAATTATTAAAAGTGTCTAAATTAATCTTACCCGCAATATTTGTTTTTTCTTTATTTTCTATTTTCATGAATTCATTCCATTTTCTCCACCCTTCATCATGAGTGATTGGGTTTTCCCTTTCATAATCCTGCTTTATTCTTACAGTGTAAAATAAAGGGAGTTGCTTAAAATAGTCATTTTTTGGGTCATTTTCTGCTAAAATTCTTTTAAGTATTGAATTTGAGTCGTATTTGCAGAGTGCATGCCCTAAAGCTTTTAAAGGTAAAATTATATAGAGACATGCAGCTGCAATTAAAAGTTTTGCAGGGTCACTATTTGAGTCAGGGAAGTTGTAATAAAATATGATAACCCCAAGCTACATAAATTTTACAGCATGAGAAAAAGCTACCCATTTCAACCATTCGTTCATTTCAAATGCCAATTCAGCATTATGCTCTTTTGGCCGTGTGTATTTTCTTAGAAGCATATACTTTGTGACTAAATACTCAAAAGTGATGCCAAAAAATGATATAGGAATTCCAATTGGGATTAATGGAGCATAGAAAAAGGTAACAATTAATGTTTTTATCACATTTTGCATATCTTACAGCAATATACATTAAAATGGCATGGCAAACCAACACAAACTCTTCACTATAGTAGCTGGCATCCCACAGGGTGCGCAGGAACCTTTAAGAAGAGAGGATGGCGTTTGGGAATGTGTATCCAGCTGATTTTTCTTTGATCTGATGAAGCGCAACGTCGGGTTAGCCGTCCGCATGCTTTATTCAAAAGCCAAGTTTATGCCTCAGAGGGAGATTGGTCCGGAAGTTAGAAGGGGTTTCTAGCAAGGTCAATGGCATTCGTGCTAACCAATCAGGACAACGCTTCAGAGTGAAACTGGGAGTTACACTCTGGGCAACAGATTTCCATCTTGGCAGAAAATTCAATTCTTTTGAATTTTTAATGGCTGGCAACCCCAATTAATGTACAGCAGGCGAATCGACTCACTCAACTATCGAGGTGTGTGCATATTCTTGTTCGGCAGGAGCAATCTTTGTAAGGTCATGTACGAGCTGGTATAGGCTAAAGGGAGCATTAAGAGTGGAGATAGTCCTTGCAGAATTGCAGCGAGCTTCTCGATAAGTCTTACTAAATTAGCATATCTTACTGCCAAGTCTATTTGTGGACCTTCGAATAAAACATTGGCATCTCCTTGACTCATCTTCAGTTTACCTTTTTCCATTGACCTTCTGACAAAAAACCTTCTAATTACCTTTAAGCAATACATTGGGCTAATAAAGTTTATAATAGGTGCTAAACAAGCGTTAATAATCAAAATATATGTCATCTGAGTCGCCAGTCCTCCAGGGATAAACCACCTTTCTGCATGCTCACTAGTCAAGATGATAGGAATAAGTCCAGTATTAATTGACATCGACAAAATAAGCATATCAGCCACACTCACATTAAAAAGTGTCCAAGTCTGATGAGATTCATGGGCTGAAAAAATCCTTATCAATCTCCCTAACACAAAGTTAATAAAAACTACCAGCAATGAAAGAAAAACTGATGCAGTCTTAGTACCATTACTAGAGTGATCTGAATCTTTTTGGTCATCATACATACTTTGCTGGTAATCATTGATAAAATATATTGTAATAAAAGTTACAAAAATTGCAATTGCGCTGATGATCCAGGTTTGGAATCTTTTTATTATCCTTTCAGAAGTGGTCCTTGATAAATTCTCCCAGGATAAATAAAATGGCATTCGGCTAGAACAAAATTAGTTCCGCTAATTTTCTCTCCCTCATGGAATTTATTTATGGGTTGGGTTTTCTTCTGAGAACTTCTGTACAGCAGCAGTTTAACTATACCAGATAAGCTGAGGCACTGCTCCAAGAACTTCAAGAGGCTCGAAGTTTTTACCTCTCAGCACACCCAAGGAGGGTGGCCCTAGGGCGAACACGCGCAGGAGCTGAGCCAAAGGAGCAAGACAACGCAGCACGTCGAAGCTGAACGCTGTATTTTCCCGTGAATCGATTCAGAGGTCCATGGGCCCGACACATGGACAAATAGGGTAGCAGCTCTGGAAACGGCTACCCTGTAGTGGATGTTAAACATTATAAATTAAATAAGATAAGATAAATTCTCCCAGAATACGTCGGTGGGCTCAGGAGCTAAAGAAGCTGTCAGATAGCAGCCTTTAAATTTAGTCAAATGATTGCGCCGAAAACAGTTTAAAAATCTATCAAATAGCTGCTGAAGGTTTGAGCGGTTTCATTTATTGTCCACTCCTCGAGTTTGTTGCTGAGTCCTAAACGTAATAAAAGCACTAGGGGCAAGATTTCCAGAATTCAGCATGCTTAAAAGCTCTTGTTGCTTTTCTGTCAATTCTTGGATTTTTTCTGCGCAATCTTCAAGAGTGATAGTTTTTTTCTTTATACAGCCACAAGATTTTCTTTCGGGAAAAGAGCCAGGATAAAAATGTTGATATTCTCTGAGATAAGATTCTCTAATTTTCCACCAGACTAATTCTCTAGTTATTTTTGTAAAAAGTTTTATGTCATGAGTAAGAACTATGTTAACTATTTCAATATTTGTATTTTCATCATTGCCGTTTTTTCGAAAATGCTCAGAAAGTTCTTCTTTTGTATAAGATTTCGGAAGTCCTTTAACCCAGAGCGTAAAATCAGAAGGAGTTGTTAAGTCGATGTCAATTTCTACAGCTCTTTCTTTAATACCCTCTTGATTGGCTATCAAAATTTTTTTGTTTGTTGATTTTGCTAAAAAGGTATTTATGATAAAATATGCCCAATTTTTTTGTATTTTTAAAATTTAAATTTATAAATTTTAATTGAAAATTTAATTGTTTTATTAAAATTTATACGGCGAACGATGGTGGCTCTTACGCATATCAGGACATAGCTTCTAGTGCAGAGAGATACCAAAGTTTTGTTAGCCTCAAGGCGAGAGGTAAAGCACTATTTCTGCTTTATTGGCTTAACCCAAGTGAAAGATTTTTTGTATCTTTTTTTCCAGCAGCACTCAGGTGTCAGGTTAGATATCAGGTAGAGGCATGGCAATTTATCTACCTAGACTCTTTCCTGGCTCTGCCCTGAATGGCCGAAGCTGCTGAGTTTTACTTTTGGAATGCCAGATAAGGGTTTAACGAAGATCTAAGGCTATAAGTATCTACAGTTAAAGCATCCCCTATTAAAAGGGGCGATCTCGCTTGAGTTAAGGATAGTGCTTTGCTGTAAATAGATATTCCTGGTAAAGTCTTAGTTCGGACCATGGAAGTAAAATCCCTCTACTAAGAAACCGATTTTTCGGCCCAGCTCAAGTTTCTGATGGAGCCCATTCTTAATTTTTACTGAGAAGCATATTCTATACATAAAGCGGGGCTATCAGCAAATATCACTAGTATAATCGTATAATACTAATGTTTAGGACTCAAGCAGTCTTAAATTTAATATAGCTTGCTTAAGATTAATTTATTATAAGTCTTTATTGCTTTTTAACATTAGGAATTTTTCAAATAATTTGCACATTATCGAAGAGATTAGTTAGTTTTTTTATCAATCCAAGGATAATATATCATTAAAGCGATCCCTGCAAACAAATGCAGTAAAGATTGCCACATTGGAACAGCTTCCCAGTCACCATATCCATATTCCATACGTTCACTATCACTTAAATAAGGATTTCCATAGTTTGCGGGAGTTAAAATAGTGACAGTGCTGGAATCTTTTCATTGCTCGTGTTTGTCAGCTACAATATTTCCAATCAAGCAGGCAATTCCTGCAATTGAAAATAAAATAAAAACAGCTCCTAAAGAATATCTCAAAAATCAGAAGTATAGAGGGAAGCCTGCACCAAGCTGATTTAGACTATCTAGAGCAGCGCATAATGGAAACTTATTGCCGTCGGATGGAAAATTGCAGCAAGGGCATCTTTCACTACTTTTAAAGTAATCTTCGTCAAATTTGTAAACCTTTTGAGCGTTCTATGTAATAACTTACCCCATGGGTTTTTGAAAGTTCTAAATCAGCAGGCTGTGATAGCAAGGACCCTGCAGGCTCTGCAGGAGCAGGATTTTGAGGCTGTTGGACATTATCAGGCACTTTAGGAGGATCTGGTTTAACAGGCTGTTCAGGTATATTTTCGATTTCAGGATATCTGCTTTCCCCATTATTCGAGTCTATAGGTTCAGATTCATTAGACTTTTGGTCTATTTCATTAGCAGTTTTAATTGGGGCTTCACTTCCAATGGATTCTTCAGAAATGCTTTTTTCTTGATCTGAATCCTGATCTTTACCTGACTCACTCATTTTTTGCCAACAAAAATTATTACAGTGAAAACTATTTGCTATTAATTCTGTTAGTCATAAAAAACTGAAATTATCAGAGCTAAATAAATTTTTTTCAATTAGCTATAGGTTTAGGCTATTAAAGACAAGCGAATTAGCTGTAGGGTATAATCAATTTATTGATAGTTACTTAACTTAATTATAGAACAATTAGTTCATCAGACACATTTTTTCATTCAAATATTTAAATTTAATTGATGATATGCCTATTAAATAGATTTCATCATAATAGGAATAATATAAAGTATCACAATTGATAGCTGAGAAAACTTTATTATGGATTACTATTTATATAAAGAGAATTGACAGCTACAAAAAAATTTAGTTCTATAATTATTATATCAGAAGATTATCATTCATAATATGGAAAACCTATTTGAAGAAAAACACCCACCTCCTATCAAATTAGTTGACTCAATCATCGTTCTCGGCTTATCCACAAAATCCCTTAGAAGTAGCTAACATTTAGACATTTTCATCGAAGGAAAACTAGAAGGAACTCCTGAAGTCCTTGCAAAATTGCCTCCATCTTCAAAAGACTCAAAAGTGTTCTCACAAGACCAAATAAACGTAACCCCAACATAGATGATTTTTACTGATAGAATCATCACCCTTGAATCCAATCCACTGCCTCCAGCATTTTTTTCAACCACAATTACAAGCGAAAAAGGCTACTTTACCCACATCCACTGTTTAATTACCTATGAAAAAATAAACCCAAGTATAATTGAAAGTTCAAAGGAAAGAAGAATTCCTAAGAACTTGTTAGAATTCGTCCCTAGAAACACAGAAGAAGAAAACAATCATACTGAAAATGATATCTCTTATTATATCCCAGTCGCATTATGCTTGTTGACTAATAGCAACTACATAGACTTATTCAGGAATATTTTAGAAAAAGTGTATGTTCATACGTGAGAAATGGTGCAGCAAGAAAATTTGCTGCTTGGGTCTACAGAGTTCTTAAGGAATTGCTTTTTTTTACTAAATGATACAATAATCCCACCGAACGACATAAATTACACAATTAAAGTAGGAAACCAAACAATTCCTTTACCGCTAGAAAATAAATCAAGGTTCAGCTATAATGAAAGCTGTGTAGCAGTTCTAATGGACTTGATAGATATAAGAAATATTATTGAGTTCTGAGAAAGTTTGCTACTAAGCAAGCACGCTTTTATCCATAGTGGGAATGAATATTTACTTTTTTTGATTTTAGAAGCATTTAAAATCATACTATTCCCAATGACCTGGACAATGAATTATGTCCCAGTGCTCAGTTCTCACTTAACAGATTACATGCAAACCCCTACGCCTATTTTGATTGGATTTAATAGTAAACAAATTTCTAAAGAAGAAGCAGTTGCAAAAGACCCTGAAGCGACCATACTAGACGTGGATTCAAATATTTTGTATTCTCAGTCAGAGCCGCTCCTTTGCAATTGTGTTAAAGCAAAGCTGAGCAAAAAACTACAGCTTGCCAAAGCTTATTATTATGTAAACCGAGGAAGACTGAATACTTTTAGAATGAACACTTTAGAAAAAAATATAAAAGATCCACTATTTGTAAATACTGCCAGAAAACTATTAGAACCAATAGAAAGTGACGAAAGAGAACAAATTTTTGTATCACTGGTAAGGCACTCTTTCCTAGAAGTGTTTATTGAAGGAATAGGCAATTTCTCTAAATATTTGAAGTACTCAGAAGAGACTAAACTTTTTGATTTCCAAGAAGACGATTTTATCAAAGACGTTTCTTTGTGCTCTAACTGTAAAATGCAAGAGTTTTGGAAAGGGTTTATTGACTCTGTCACATTCCAGCAGTTTTTGTTTTATTATGGAATGTTTGATGAATGCACACTTAATAAATTCAGAAAAATAGTAAAAGAATATAAAAAAGGAACTTATGAAATTTATGCCACGTCGTCTTGCTATCCTTTTAATGTATCTTCAAGCATCAGTCCTAAATTTATGTACGAATATTTGAAAAAAGAAGTGGAGGAACTTCCTACTGAAAATCATAAACAAAAATTCATTAAAAACACTGAAAAAGCGCTTCTTGAGAAAATCATGAAAAAATTGCAGAGAAATAATGAATATTATGACCAAGCTGAGCTATCACAAGTGTATGACAGAAGGAAAATGTCGTTAAGCATGATTAGAAGCAATTTACTTAATAGCAGTGAAGAAGCAAAAGAGATAACAAATATATATTATGGAAAGTATGGAATTGCAATGCTAGCGAGAATTCCTCTTTGCTTATCAAGAAGCAAATTCAGAGAAATCAGCTCTCAAAGATGCTTAAATGAGCAGCTAACAAATGAATGCGAATTAAACCCAACCAGATGAGAACCATTTGCCTTGAAGCTCTTTTACTCCCTCCGAAGAAATAAGAAAAATTGGCAACTTTCGGATTTATTAGAAATTTGTAAAATAATCAATCGGCTCAATACTCAAAATCTGCCACGACACCATGCAACGCTGATTCTTTCATTAAATTTCGAACGATTAAATAAATTAGAGGCATTGTTTAAAGTCGGCAGAGGATTTTCACCTTTGCAAGCTGATCCGGTCATAATGAACGCTGGCTGGCACCGGCTGCCTCACTTCAGGCTCACCAATCCGACTTAATTCCAGGACTCCTAGCTCTAAGAGTGTCGGACCAAGGCGAAACTCAAATATCGCTCTAGACTCTTGCTATCTTAAGGTCCCTAATTTAAGAAGGGAGAAAACCTAATCTCTGGGATGATGACCAACTATGCTCTTTTCAGTCCCATGCCAGGAGGAAAGCCCCATTTTTCCAGGTATCAACCTGCAGCACTAAGAAAATCTCTTATCCTATACACTAAGGACACGGACTTGCTTCTCGACTTAGTTCTTACTTCTTTTGTTCTTCAGGCGTTGAGAATATTGAATCAAGAGGTCGGGCGTTCACCTACTATATTAACATTATAGATTTCGAACAAAATGAAGGCTCAGTCAGAATTTTGATCCGAGGCCAAGGAGAATTAAGCAACCTAGCTAGAGTTTATATTCAAAGCCTAAGCCATGACAGAAATGACCGAAACCCAAGAGCTTCTATTGATGAAGATATGCTATCGCCAGGCGGTTCAAGAGAAATAAGCAGGGAATTAAGCAGAGAACTCAGTGGAGAGCTAAGCCCTGTGTCGCCTATTTCTGGCAATCCTGAATTCAAACGAAGACATACAAGAGTTATAAAATATCATATAGAGGTTAAGTCTTAATTAATTTTAAATGCTTGAGCTCTTATGTGATAACCCAGAAATTCACGATTTTTTAGATCAATTTCCGAAGTATCAGTGGCGAAAATGCATAGAAGCCAGCGTTGTGGTAGGGATTAATAGAATAAAAGAAAAGCACTCAGTAGTTACATATGAAACAGTATTGCAAGAAGCAGGATTTCATGACAAAAAGAAAAAAGATATTGAAGAAGCTTTAGTGAATATGAAAAAAGACATCCTAAGGATATCAAGTAAAGTTGATAACTTGGAAAGTCGGCCAAAAACTAATGAGAAGCTTAATGAAATAATTTTACAGCAGAATTCTGAGGATGTTGGATGAAAATCTAAACAAAATTTAAAACTGGGGAACCAGGATACAAACTGTATGGATCCTTCAAGGAGCTCGTCAAGATCCAAGCAAAATATATCGGGGATTCAGCAAAATGCTACAAGCACCGCAGCAATGAAAATTAGCCATCACCAGCATAATAATGAGACGAAAGCTCAAAAGAAGTCTAAGCTTCCAAAATACCTAGCAAGTCCCAATAGTGGGCTAAAAGGCGAATTTCAAAAAGATGAGCTGCTATATAATAGTAAAGGTGAAATTGAATCGCTAACAGAACCTCAGGAATTAACATGGGAGAGTCCAACCAAAAAATTACGAGAAATTAAAGGAAACCAATTGCAAAAACCTTCAAGCCAGTATAGATGTGGATCACTATCCTCATTTAGCTTTTCTCTAGACTTGAAAGAGCCTGAGACATGCCCAATAGAGCAATTACAAAATTACGTGAGTTCAAAGAACCTCCCGAAAGCTGAAAAAATACCAATTTTAAAAAATAAGCCTCAAGAAAGCACAATGCTTAAAATCGCTGACGATTTTTTAAAAAATCCGTTTACTTCATTTCTGGCTAAAGAGTCTTCAACTGTACCAGTTTCTCCTCAAGGATTTACAAGTGCTTTATCATCTCCTTCTAATAGGTTCAGAATTCCTAATAAAGAAGAAATGCAATACAGATATTATACCTAAATAAAATCAATAAAAATATTTCTACTGGTTTATCCTTATCCTATTTACTATTTGAGAATAGGCTAGCGAAAAGTAATAGGAAATTGTATAATTACTGAAAATTGTATAAATTATAATTTATATAAATTTAAAGCAAGAGTTTTCTTTTTGTAAAAATATACGGCACCGAAGATGCATACTATTCCAATAGAGAGATAAAGAGAATATGAGTAAAAATTCTCATTGAATTTAGTGTTCTGTCAGGATTTGTCTTTATTAGGATGGCTTAGAAATTCTGATGGAGAATTGTTCTTTATATCCTTAGCTTGAATAGAGCTGATCTCATCTTTAACTTCTTCAAAAATATTTTCAAAGCCTTTAGGATTAGAAACTACTGTGTTCATCTGTAAGCCTAGCGATGTCCGGAAAAATAGATTTTTTGGCCGCTCAGGATTTAGCTTGATCGATAAGACACATCCAAAGAAAAGCAAAAGAATTAGCTTCATATTTATAAGAAAACGATTATTTGCAAAGCAAATAAATAGCAAAGGCAAAGAGATTTTAAATTGAAATTAATAATTATTAGACACATTATGAATTATCTTTCTCTATATTATTTAAGCCACCTTTATTTAAAAAAATTAAAAATATATTTTTAAAATTTCACATATAACTTTGGAACAGGTATGGCTCGACCTGAAATTCCCCCTTCCCTCCCCCCCCCCACCCCCTGACAGTTTCAATTTGAACGACATTGCTAATTCAAAATGACAAGTCCCTCACTAAGGATTTGGCAAGTCAAATTTAATTTGTAGATTTCAATAAAGTTGAAACTGTCAGGAGGTGGGAGGAGGGGAGGGGGGTTCTCAGGTCGATCTATAACCATGCTCACGGTATATATAATTTTGCGATACTCAATCTCTCATTGTATATTTAAATTTTTAAGGCGCTATGTACTCTACATTTTCTGGGTAATCTCGCTCTGGGAGGATATTGAATTGGTTCTATTTCACCTTCAAATTCACTTTCGTCGCTACTTTCATACTCACTTTCACTTAAATCCCGCTTGTAAATTATTATTCGTTTGGGCAGGTTGTTTTGATCTTCTACTTTCATATCATTGATATTTTGGAAAGTCATCTTGCAAACAGGACACTTATTGCAAATATCTCCCCAATGCGAAACACATGAAGAATGAAACAAAGAGTGTTTGCATGGATAAAGAATTCCGCGATCTTGGCTTTCTAAATTTTCGAGGCATATGGCGCAAGTTTCCATTTCAAATTTATTTGGATTAAATAAGGGGCAATAATGAAATGTTATATACTAAAACTTTGAGAGAAAACGAGAAAAATGATAGGCTAAAAGAAGTTTAAAGGGATTTAATATAGAGTTTTGGTCATTATGAAAAGCATCACTTAAGCAGATATATTTCTGATTTATTGAGAGCACTATAATAGTTTGAATTTATAAATAAAATTTATAATTATATAATATTTCATGTTTATTTAATGAAGCTTATGGTTTTTTAAAAATTATTTTTAATTAAAATTTAATTAGAAGTATTAGATGGTAATTTCCAACATATTACTCTCTAAAATTTTTATGAGTCATATAGAGAAATAATTATTTTGCCATCAAAAGATTCATAAGAAGTTGCATTTGTATCCGTAAAATCTTAATAATAAATCAACTATATAAATTAAAAATCCACAATTTAATTATAAATATAAACTCTAAAAACCTCGAAAATTTCTTAACTTCCAAATAATTTTTTTTCAAGATCGAAAATCCATGCAATAGCATTATAGGTTTTCGCTAATGTCTATCCCTTTGAATTATAAATCCCCATAAGGCATTTATTAGGTGAAATGAAACTCCATAATGCCTCACAAGTGATAATAATTGATATAGAGTTGCAATAATCTCTCCAAAATGGATTTGGCACAATATCAATTAATTTGGACACGTTTTTTAGACTCCGGTAATCCTGATCTTGTAGAGATTGCACGATTGTCCATTTGAAGATGCTCAACTATGCTACTTCAAAATGACATACCTCCACTAACCAAAATGTACTTCAAAAGTTTAAGTGATTTTACCTCAGAAAAATGCCCTTACACGAATAGCAAAATATCTGAATTGAAGCACTTGCTGGAAAAACTTTTTTCATTCGGAAATTCTGTTTGCCAAATCCCAATTAATCAGCAACCTAACTTAGTAATGAGACCATCAGAACAAATTTATGAAGAAGTCAAGCCTATGAATCGCCAAATCTATGAGGAGGATAAAACGCCTTCCTCAGAGAAGTATTTAAAGGTCATTTTTCCAGAATATCATAGGTCAAAGCCTCAAAAATTTAAAATTGAAGATAGCAGCATCCTATTAACAGTTGGGCTCAGCCAGCCAGGACAGTTTCACCACGTAAACGTTCCGAATGTAGAAAACGTAATTTCAGTGTATTACGAAGCAAACAGCAGCTTTTTCAAAGCATGAGAAACGCCAACAGAAAATCCGGAAGGCTTATACCAAATAAAAAACGATATTGTATCAGTTGGCGAAGTCTATGTTTTTGGAAAAGCTGAAATATCTATTAAACAAATAATTCATCCGGGCCCAGACCTGGAAATTTGTGTAAAGTATAATAACGAAAACGAAGAAGTACGATATTTTAGGATATCAAACAGCGTTACAATTGGCAGTGGACCTAGGAATTCAATTGTGATTCCAGGTGAAAATGACAATGAATGCTACGCAGAATTCGAAAAAATACAGAATAATTGGAAAATTAAGGCAAGAAACCAAGCAGACTTCATTTGGAAACAAATGCATGTGGAATCTACAGTAGAATTACATTCACAATCTCCAAAAATCTCAATCGATCTTGGATCTCTGATGAAGATCGGGCATATGTGCTTTAAAATTATGATCAGTGAGTAACTGGAATATATATTAACATTGAAGTTTTCCTTAGTTAAAAAGCCAGGATTTTTTTATATTAATCCAAATGTCTCCTTTCTTGTAAAGCAAGAAAACAGACTCATAATTAATAGGCATTTTAATTAATTATTATCTCACTTCTTTTCTGCAGACAGGACATGTGTTTTTTACTCTTAGCCAAGGCTGAATGCAATCAGGATGAAATGCGTGGCTACAGCTAAGGACATTAGCTTCGGTGCCTTCAGCTATATCGTCCATACACACTGAACATTTTTGGATCTCTTCTCCTCTTTGCACTATTCTTTTTTTCAAGCGATTTATTGACTCTTCTGAAGCTGGATGAGTCTGCTGGCCATTCCTTCGGGAAAGTTGATTAATAATGTCATCAAAACTTCCTAATTGTTGATTTAGATATTCAATAGGGTTTATGCTAACTCCCCCCCCCTCCGTGAGTGAACAAAACCATTAGAAAAATCCCTATTTTTTGCCCAAAACCCACCCTCCGTGAGTGAACAAAAATTTTTTTAATACAAAGATTTTTTATGGAAAACAAAATTGATATATAAATGATAATTAGTATAATGAAATCTAGAGCTGATTTTCTTTAATTTTAAACGAATTGCTTTTTAAAACATAAATTTTATAAATTAAATTAATTTTTGCTTTCCAATTTTTGCGAATTAGGATTTTTTTAAATTTCGAAAAAAATAATATTTTATAAAATTTATATATAAATTTTTTTAAAAAAAAAAATTAACCCCCCTCCGTGAGTGAACAAAATTTTTTTGTTCACTCACGGAGGGGGGGAGTAAGATCTCCAAATAGTCGGCCAAGGACTCTTTCTTGTCGTCTTCCAAAATGGTTTCCATTGAAAAATGGTTCAAAAGCTTCAAAAGGGTCTCTTTCGAAATCTCGAAAGACGCCATTCTCCCAAAATGGGGAGTCGAAGAAGGCTGAGAATGGAGATTCTTCTCTTTGACGATCACGACGATTGCTTCCATGATTAGGCTGCCTTCTGTTGTGCTGCCTATAGCGATGGTCATGTGGATCATCATGTGGCTGCTCAAATCGAGGCTCTTCTGGAATTCGGAATTCTGGCTTATTGATAGGCCTGACACTTGAGGCTTCTTCTAATATTGTTCCCTGGCATTTAGGGCAAACCATATGATGCGGATTTATAAGGCTTGTCTCTTTGCAAGTGTAGCAGTAATATCTTACGTATTCATAAGTTTGTTGATTTTCATGAGATGCCCGTTGACGTTGAATTGCTCGAGCTGTGGCTTCTTCTTCAAGAAAATCATTTCCACAGTGAGGACAAATTAAATTTGAAGTATCTAAAAGTGAAGATTTGTGGCAATTGTGGCATAAGTAGCTTTTCATAGAATATCCTAACATTTTATATATAGTTCATTTTTAATAAAACTTGCTACAATTCTATAGATTTATTACTTTATAAAACCATATAATTAGTTAGCTAGAACTCATTATTTAATTAATGAAAATTTTATTACTTATTGCTATTACACCTAGGTCTATGGAAATTCATTCGGCTTTCTTGGGCTATACATTAAATGGAGTTGAATTTTCTGGTAGTTACTGATAGCCATGAGGGATATGAAGAATTAGAAACAATTGTAGAAAAAAGTAAGCCTGACATTGTCCTACATGCTGGAGATTTTTCAAGAGGTTATGATAATCTTCCATCTGTATGAAGACAGTTAGAAATTTTGGAGCAATTAGATAAGCCGATTTATTGGATACCTGGAAATCATGATCATAATTGCTTTATTCTCCATATGAACCCTTTGAGAGAATTTCCAGGCAATTTCTGTGAGTATCTAAGTAGCAAAAAATTTATTTTATTAGGAGATGTTGCGCATGAAATAGTTCCTGGACTATTTATTGCAGGACTAGGAGGGGCGCCGCCAAGTTTTGTAGGAGATGAAGAAAGATATTATGGAAAACCATATCAAACAAGAACGATTTGCAACTGAGTAGTAAGACGAGTATTGCATCCCCAATTGCATATGCCAGGGCAATATATTCTTTTAACTCATTTCGGACCTTTAGGGAGTAATACCTCCAAGTGTTTCGATGATGGAATTGAATCAGGGAACCAAGGACTGGCTGATTTATTGAATGAACTTCATGATACAATTTTGGTAAATTTTCATGGTCATCAGCATTGTGGGAAAGGGATTTTTGATCTAGAAGGTGTTCCTGTTGTAAACCCAGGCCCATCAGTGTTTGGCAAGATAAAATTGAATAACAATCGTTGGGAGATAGTTGAAATAAAACTACTGCAAAATGAGCACTATAGCTTTTTTTGCATATTTGCTTTGAAAGCAATGAGGCTTGAAATAGTGGGCAAGGCCTATTTCCAAGGTAAAACTACTATAAGGAGCAACGAGCGATTTTGAAGCAGACTAATAATTTAAATCTATTTAAGAACCGATAAGTATTTATTTCTTATGAAGCATTTATTCCCTGTGCTCATGCTCAATGCTCTAGTTTCATGGAAATTGCTGTTCTCCGCCCATGCATTAGTATTGCTGCCATGATGATTCGATCAGAGTATGCCCACATTGCAGTTCTCCCTATTTTAAACTTCAGGATACTAATCTCATGAAACTAGAGCATTGAGCATGAGCGCAAATAAATTTAAATTATTATCTGATTCAAAGTTGCTCCTTGTTATTTTACGTATTTTTACCTTGGAAATAGTACTTGCATTCTATTCCAGCTCTCATTACTTTCAAAGCAAATATGCAAAAATAGCTATAACTAGATTTGCAATATGAATGTATTTTTAATTTTTTCCTTGTGAATAGAAATTTGCAGAGCAAAGCCAATTAATATGTGATTTTATCAAATTTGTAATATAAAAATAAAATCAATTGATTTCCACAATGAAATATATATCGCTCTCAGAAAATAAATTAAACCTTTATTTTTATTTTACATAAATTAAACAGAAATATAATCGCTGATAAAATCTATTGTTTCCCTCAGCCCTCACAATCCTCAATAAATTTTCATAATTTTGTTTTCTGTCCATCCTTTATTTTTACTCCCATAAACATATAATTAAGAGGTCTTTGCTTTTTTTGAAAATCATTATTAAAAATAGTTTTCATAAGCTAAATTAGATTTTTCTTCAAATATTTTTAAAATAAGGGTTTTTTTTATTAATTTAGAGAATTAAGTTAATTTACTTCCACCTTCTTAATTTAATAATAGTAAAAAAATTCTGGAGAGTTTGCTGCTCATAAAGGGATGAGTCAGAATATTCTCGAGCTTTTTATTCTCAATCTGCAACACCCTTTTAACAGGGATTTCATATCAAGCGCGTAAATGGATGATAATATTAACCTAAGGCCAAAACAAGCAGAAATGGAAAGCCAAGGTTTAAAGAATCCACCAATAACTCAACCACCCCCACAACCTCAACTTTTTGTAGGAGACCTAGACACCCAAGTGACCGAGTCCCAACTTTACCAGCACTTGATCCGCTTTGGCAGCATCAACTACATCCGCATAATCCGGAGTTTCAAGGTTCCTTCAAGTCTGAATTATGCATTGGTTTCCTTCACTTCTCCTGAGTCCGCTGTAAAGGCGCAGAACGAGCTTGACGGCGAAGTCATCAATGGTCGACATATTCGCGTTGTCAAATTCACCCAAGAGAGGCTCCAAGATGCCAATATTTTTGTCAAGAACATCCCAGAATCAGTTTCTGCAAAAGAATTTAAGGATTATTTTTCAGTATTTGGGAATATTGTGTCATCAAAAGTTGTGTATGATGACCAAGGCAGACCTTTGAGATATGGCTTCATTCAGTTTGATAAGAAGGAAAGTGCTGCTCAAGCGATTCAAAGCAAGAATGGGTCAACGTGGCTTGGACAATTAATTTCGGTATCAAAGTTCTTGCCAGTCAACCAAAGAGTTGACAACTCAACGAATAAAAACTTGTATGTGAGAGGATTCCCACAAAGCTACTCAGAAGGAGACCTATTAAACAAGTTTTCACAGTTTGGTGACGTTATTTCAGTAGCCATTATGTTTTCTAACTTTCTCCTTCTTTTAAGCATAAAATTTTGCGACTAATTTTTTTCGAAATTAAAAAAATCGATTTGCACAAATCGGAAAGGAAAAAATTAGTTTGAATTATAAAATTAATGTTTTATAATACAAGCTATTTAAAATTGAATAGAATTAGCAAGGGACTTCATTTTCATAATTACTATCTATGTATCAAAATATTTTTTATCAAAAATTTTGATATAAAAACTTTTGCTCGAGCTTATTGATTTTTCCGGTTGTGCTCGTTCACCGTGGAGAGTAAGTCTGGGTTGCCATTTGGGTTTATTTGCTTTGGCAGCGAAAGAGCTGCAGAAGCTGCTCTAAGCTTAAACAATTCTGACGAGGATGGGTTTAGCTGGTATGTCGTCCCACATATGAAAAAAACTTATAGGCTGGCTCTTCTGAGAGAAAAATACTCCAAGCAGGTAGAGCTATGGAAGAGAGTGAATCTTTATATTAGAAATCTTCCACTAGGAATCGATGAAGAAAAACTCGAAAAACTTTGTGCTCAGTATGGAGAAATTACTTCAGTAAAAATATGCAAGTCAGAAAACATCAAATTCGAAGCACCAAAATACGACGCAAATGGAAATGTAATTAACCAGTCTGTCACTTATACTTATGATGCTTCTGGAAGCAGGGTTCCATCATCAATTACTAAAGAAATGACATCAAGAGGAGTTGCTTTTGTTTGCTTTAAGACTGAGCAGGCTTTGAATAACGCAATAAGAGGTCTCCAAACTCAGACAATTGAAGGCAATAAATTGATAGTTGCTAAATGGAAGCCAAGAGAGGAATTAAAGAAAATAATTCTGCAGTCCAAGATCAAGAAACAAATGAAATACATGTGGCCATTTGGACCACATCAAGGAATGCAAATGGGGAGAGGAAACTTCTTCAGACCTCAAGTGCCGCAAAACCAAATGCCAAGAGCAAGAGGAATTCCAGGGCCTCATATGGGTCCACCTCCACAGATGAATTATCCAATGCCGCCAAGGCCAATTCATAATATGGTGCCTCATCCGCCGATGATTCATCAAATTCAACCAATGCAGCCATTACCTCAACCTCCTCAGCAAGTCCAAATGCCAAAACCACCAATTCCAGATCTCACCAAGGTTGACCCGTCCCAGCATAAACAAATTTTAGGAGAAGCTTTGTACCACATTGTGATCACGTTTTCTAACCAAAACATTGCTGGGAAGATCACTGGTATGCTGCTGGAAATGACAAATGATGAAATTATTACACTACTTACTCCACTTTTCTTACAAAAATCCTGTTCAAATTTAAAGGGGGTTAACCTTTGTATTAAAAAACAATTATATTAAAATTTTTCTTTACTCCCCCCCCCTCCGTGAGTGAACAAAACCATTAGAAAAATCCCTATTTTTTGACCAAAAACCCACCCTCCGTGAGTGAACAAAAATTTTTTTAATACAAAAATTTTTAATGGAAAAAAATTTTGATATATAAGTGATAATTAATATAATGAAAATCTAGAGCTAATTCTGTTTAATTTTAAACAAATTGTGTTTTAAAACATAATTTTATAAATTAAATTAATATTTACTTCCCAATTTTTGCAAATTAGGATTTTTTTAAATTTCGAAAAAAAAAATTTTTTATAAAATTTATATATAAATTTTTTTAAAAAAAAAAATTAACCCCCCCTCCGTGAGTGAACAAAATTTTTTTGTTCACTCACGGAGGGGGGGAGTTAGAAAATTTTTTAAATATAGTTCATATCCCTTTATAGATTTCTTTATCGAGCAAAATGTACTGGATTCTTGAACGAGCAAAACAGATCCTCAAAGAGATGAGCTCAATCTCTATATCAAAAAGTGTTAGAAAGTGCCATGTCAAAAAATGGTGGCAAGTGTGAAAAAAGTTGGCAAGTAAACGCGCCGATTTTAAAAATGGTTTATTATTAAATTTAAAATTTAAGATACACAATTAGACTAGGATTTATTAATAATTAAAAAGCTTATTTTAAAGGTCTTATGAATTAATCATATTTTTCTAATGATAATAGATAGATAAATAATAAATGCTATATATGAGTTATAATTGATTTAATATTTTTGATTATTATTTATGTATTTAAATATTTAAAAGTGTGAATCGAGTTGTGCCAAGGCGAATGGATAGAATTTCCTATAAATACACCAGTATGATAACGATCAATGCTGTCATAAAATCCAAAGTTCCCATTGAAGTCTGATTGTTCTTTATAAAGTTGCTAACGACTCATATCATTCCTTTAAACTATTAAAATCAAAAAATTGTGAATCGAGTTGTGCCAAGGCGAATGGATAGAATTTCCTATAAATACACCAGTATGATAACGATCAATGATGCTATAAAAGCCAAAGTTCCTATTGAAGGCTAATGGTTCATTCAAAAGTTGTTATGACTCATGTCATGTACTTTGGAACATTGAAAATCAAAAATTTGTGAATCGAGTTGTGCCAAGGCGAATGGATAGAATTTCCTATAAATATACCAGTATAATAACGATCAATGATGCAATAAAATCCAAAGTTCCTATTGAAGGTGTGATTGTTCTTTACAAAGTTGCTAACTACTCATGCCATTATTCCTTTAAACTATTATAACTAAAAAATTGTGAATCGAGTTGTGCCAAGACGAATGGATAGGATTTCTTATAAATATACCAGTATAATAACGATCAATGATGCTATAAAAGCCAAAGTTCTCACTAAAGGCTGATGGCTATTTGCAAAGTTGTTAACGGCTCATGTCATGCACTTTATACTATTGAAAACCAAAAATTTGTGAATCGAGTTGTGTCAAGGCGAATGGATAGAATTTCCTACATATGTGCGAGCTTTATAATGGTCAATGCTGCTATAAAAACCAAAGTTCCCATTAAAGACTGATGACTATTTGTAAGGTTCTTAGAGACTCATGTCATGTACTTTGGAACATTGAAAATCAAAAATTTGTGAATCGAGTTGTACCAAGGCGAATGGATAGAATTTCCTATAAATATACCAGTATGATGATCAATGGTGCTCTAAAATCCAAAGTTCCCATTGAAGTCTGATTGTTCTTTACAAAGTTGCTAACGACTCATGCCATTATTCCTTTAAACTATTATAAATAAAAATTTTGTGAATCGAGTTGTGTCAAGGCGAATGGATAGAATTTCCTATAAATATACTAGTATGATAATAATCAATGCTATCATAAAATCCAAAGTTGCTATTGAAGGCTGATTGCTATTTGCAAAGTTGTTAACGGCTCATGTCATGCACTTTATACTATTGAAAACCAAAAATTTGTGAATCGAGTTGTGTCAAGGCGAATGGATAGAATTTCCTATAAATACACCAGTATGATAACGATCAATGATGCTATAAAAGCCAAAATTTCCATTGAAGGCTAATGGTTCATTCAAAAGTTGTTATGACTCATGTCATGTACTTTAGACTATCAAAAATCAAAAAATTGTGAATCGAGTTGTGCCAAGGCGAATGGATAGAATTTCCTATAAATATACCAGTATAATAACGATCAATGATGCTATAAAAGCCAAAGTTCCCATTGAAGGCTGATGATTACTTGCAAAGTTGTAAATGACTCATGTCATGTATTTTTTAATTTTTCAAGAAAATATTTAAATTTTATTTTTTCTTAAAAATATAAAAATATTTTAAAATATCTTTTTAATTTAAAAATTTTTTTTTTTTAAATATAAAAATTTTATTTTATATCTTTAATTAAAAATGAGCTTTATATTAGTTTCATTTTTTTTAAAAAAATTGGCGCGTTTATTTGTCAACTTTTTTTTATACTTGTCACCATTTTTTGACATGGCACTTTCTAGCACTTCCTTATATAGAGATTGAGCTCATCTCTTTGAGAGACTCTGTTTTGCTCGTTCAATAATCCAGTACATTTTGCTCGATAAAGAAATCTATAAAGGGGTATGAGCTATAAATATAAATCAGCATGATAATAATCAATAAATGTTTTTTATATAATTCATCATATAATAAATTAAAAGTGTGAAACTGCTTAAAAAAAAATATTCTACTTAAACTTTGTCTGTTTAATTAGGTTATAACTAATTAGTATTTTTATCGATAAAATTTTTCCTATTGAAAAACTTTATTCCAATTTAAAGAAAGGCTAAAGTACAGATTTTTTGTTTCGATTAAATGGGGGAGTTAGCAATCCACTAGAGTTGAGAGTTAAAGTTAACGAAGCCATTGCTGTTTTAAGAGCTGCATGGGCAAGCAATCCGGAGCAACTGAAGCTTCTATCAATTTCAAATAAATAAATAAAAAACTGGATTAGTTCTTTAATTATTTTTTTATTTTAATTCGTTGCAATAAATAAAAGTGCAAAATAATTTATATAGGGAATTATTAAACTAGATCCTTCTATAAGAAAACAGCCTTATAAAATGAGATTTACTATTAGAATGATATGGCTTATCCATTAAAAAATAATTTACCTTAAATATTTAAGTTATTATCATTCATATATAGCTATTACTGATTCCACTATTTAAAAATAAGCTTAGTCAAAAATGCAATCATCAATAACAAAAAGACAGAAGAAGAAGTGATTAACAGTAAATTCAGTAAATAACTGAATCTGATTTTATAAACAATCTATAGGGAATTCACGAGAATGCTTCAGTAAGACTGGTATTGGATAATGAAACTCTCCAGGCGGTTGGGCCAACTCAGATTAGTTGAATCAATTAGAGTTGGTAAATGAGCCTCTCTCTAGCTGGCTTGGCCAACTTGAGCTAGTTCTAACAACTGGAGAGCTTCCATCTCCAAAAACTGCCCTTATACGGCCTTTATAGGGAATTCCTTATAACTATTAACTCCATTTATTATTATAATTTAGTATAATGTCTTCCTCACAAAATGTAAGAGTAACTTTTGAATACATGGCAAACACTCAGCCAGGCGAAGACATAATTGTAGTTGGAGAAGCCGAAGAGCTCGGTGCCTGAAACCCTCTCAAAGGCATAGCAATGAAAACAGACCCAGACCGCTACCCAGTTTGGTCCACTTCTGTCCCTATCCTGCTGAAATCTAATACCACGACCTATTACAAATATGTTTACCGCAATCAGCTTAGCTGTAAATGGGAAGAGCTCAAAGAAAATCGTATACTTGAAGTTGAAGATTACAATATGATTGTCAGAGATGAGGCTGGCTCCCACATTTCCCGACAAATCCAGTGCCAAATAGACCCAAGCATAACCCTTGCAAGGACCCTTGAAAACCCAATTATCACCATTGATGAAGGACAAAGGTTCAGCCCTGATTCTTCTTCTCTTATTATAGTGTCGATGAATTTGCCGATAATAGTAGAAAGAAACCCCAGCTATGAGGCAGAAAAGCCTAATTCAGAAAAATGGATCTTTACCAAGGCCAGAGGACTGTGGCTTCCTGTTTTATATGAAATTGCGATTAGGGAGAACATTAATTTTATATGGATTGGCTGGCCTTATATATATGTAGAAGATGAAGCAGAACAAGAAGAGCTAGCGAACGAGCTGAGAGCGAAATATAAATGTGAGCCACTGTTTATCCCAGAAGATACAATGGCAATGCATACACAATTCTGCAATGGAATTCTTTATCCACTTTTCAGCAATATTATTGGGACGTCAAGAAAAAATAATCCTCAATACTCAGAAGAGTCATGGGAAGCTTATAGAAAAGTGAACTCTTTAGCTGCTGACAAAATAATGAAGGTATATAAAGATGAGCTTATATGGGTTCATGACTACCAGCTCCTGTTGACCCCGAGCTTTGTATCGAGAAGGACCAGAGATATCCTAAATATTGGCATCTTTCTGCACAACCCTTTCCCAAGCTCAGAAATTTTCAGAGTTTTGCCTCACAGAGAAGCGATTTTGCATGCGATGCTTTGTTGTGATTTGATAGGGTTCCATCTGTTTCAGTATGCCCGACACTTTTTAGACTCCTGCAAGAGGCTGCTTGGAATTGATCACCAGTTTTCTCCAAAGGGTTATTTAATGCTAGACTACTATGGAAGGCATATTATGATTAGAATTGGACATCTGGGGATTGAGCCAAGAATTATTGAAAATGTCGTTAACACTGAAGAATATGGCAACCTTGTAAAAGAACTTAAAGCTCAATATAGCGGCAAAAAAGTGCTGGTAGGGATTGATCCACTTCATAGGCTTTCAGGGATAGCGCTAAAACTCAATGCTTTTAAGCTGTCAATGCGAAATTTACAACATCATAAGAATAAAATTGTTTTTGTTCAGTTGCTAATAGAAGCTAAAAACAGCTCTGATAAAGAAAGAGACGAAGTTTTAGCAGAAATTGTAAGGCTAAAAGATGAAATTAATAGTGAAATCGGGCTAAACGTAGTTGAATTTATTGATGGGTCAGTTATTACTAGACCTATGAGATATGCTTATATGTCAATAGCAGCTGGCATTGTGAACAGCTCCTACAGAGAAGGATTATTTTTGATTCCTTTTGAAGTAATCGCAATTAACAAAGAGCGACCTGTCGAAATTATCATTTCTGAGTTCACAGGAGTCAGCCGAGCATTGAGCAGCTTAAAAAGAGTCAATCCATTTGACATTGTCCAACTTGAAGGAGAAATCCATTACCTTATAACCACCCCAACAAGCAGCCAAAACGTTCTAAAGCGCAAAAGAGACCTCGACTATATTAACAGTAATACGACCTCAAAATGGGCTGACAATTTTTTAACTGACCTAATCAGAGCCAGAAAGGACACAAAGCATTTCCAATATGTCACACATGGACTGGGCGATAAATTAAAATTAATTGCACTTAAAAAGAAATTCAGCTTGCTTCGAGCTGATTATTTGCTTAAAGCTTATAAGGAAACCAAAAACCGTGTGTTTTTCTTTGACAATGAAGGAACCTTGTCAAATCTTTTGAGGCAGGTGGAGATTGATAAAAGTGTGGGCCCTTCAGAAAAAATTGTTAACTGTTTGAATGATTTGTGCAAAGATGAGAGAAATACTGTGTTTGTGGTAACTGGGAGATCGAGAAAGGTGGTAGAAAATTGGTTTGCGCCTGTGCAAGGTTTAGGGATGGCTGCTGAGTATGGAGCGGTGCTTAAATGGAATTATGCAAATACGTGGGATAGTTCATTTAATGGCGAGCTACCTTGGATAGAGACTGCTAAGCAAATCATTGGGGCTTACGTGACTAGAACTGAAGGATCCACTATGGAAATCAAAGACTGCTCTGTAGTTTTTTCTTATAGAGATACGGATCCTGACATTGGCTCTTGGCAAGCAAAAGAGCTGATTTCTCATTTAGAAATTCTGCTTAAGCCCTTCATGAACGAATGCGAAGTTTCAGCTGGCTTAGGCTACGTAGAAGTAAAGCTGCAAGGCACCACAAAAGGTACAGCCCTCTATAAAATCCTCCAAGACCTAAAAGAAAGAAGAGGGCCCCCTGATTTTGTTTTAGCCATGGGAGACGACATCGCTGACGAAGAAATGTTTAAAGTTGTCAAAATTCTCAAAAAAGAAGGCAGCCACCTCCTAGCCAACAAGAGAGAATTAAAATCTTTCACATGCACAGTTGGCAGAAAGCCAAGTACAGCTGACTTTTATGTGAACGACGCAAGCGAAGTTGTACACATTCTGGAACAGCTTAGAGGGTGGAGTAACGTATGCAAGAAAAATTACTCATACGGTGACTTACGGACTCTTTCCAACAGACAATCATACAGACTATCAGGGCAATTTGACAACAGATCACCTTTATTAAAACCAATGGAGGCATATGCAGAAGAAAGTGACGAAGAGGAGCCTTTATCTCCTATGAAATGGAAAAGTTAAAATAAATCTTCTTAAGTAGTAAATAATTATGGCTGGAAGAGGTGCTCCAAAAGGCAAAACGTTCAATCCAAAACAGTATGAAAGACCAGGCCTCACTGAGGACGAGATCGAAGAAATTAAAGAAGCCTTTGATCTATTTGACACTGATGGATCTGGAACAATCGATCCTCGTGAACTCAAGTCTGCAATGCAAAGCTTAGGCTTTGAAGCAAAAAACCAAACAATCTATCAAATGATTAGCGATCTGGATAAGGATGGATCTGGTTCTATTGATTTTGATGAGTTTTTAGATATGATGACTGCAAGAATGAGCGATAAAGATACAAGAGAAGATATCAATAAGGTATTTAGACTTTTTGATGATGATAAAACTGGATATATCACTATTAAGAACTTAAGGAGAGTCGCCAGGGAACTAGGAGAAACGATGACTGATGAAGAGCTTTTAGAAATGATTGAAAGAGCAGATTCAGATGGGGATGGACAAGTAACTCCTGAAGATTTCTACAATATAATGACGAAGAAGGCTTTCCCTTAACTTAAACTCATATTAATTCAGTCAGAAATAAGAAAATTAATTTTGAAATTTATGAAAATTGAAAATAGACGTTAAGGATCTGAATATAATAAGAATAAATATTGAAATAATTGATATGCGTTATTTTAATTTTAATTTATATAGTTTACTGCGCGATTTCATATATAAATATCATAACGCGAAAAAGCATTTGGGGCAAGTTGTTTGTTTATTAAAAGATTTTAATGCCTTTTTATTTATTATTAGGTATAAGCTTAATTAATTATCATTATTATACTATTGTTACATAGGGAATCAAAGTTGCAAGGACAGGATAGCAATTTTGCATTTTGGAATTTATAACTTGGTTTCGCAATTGCTGTGTTTTTGGATTACCTGAATCTTAGTGACCATCTACTTTCCAAGAAATTGTAAATGCTGCTATTTATACACTTTCTTTTCTCACTCTATCTCTTTTGACTGCTCCTAATCTTGTGTAACAGAATCTTTTAGACTTTTGAGTGCCTGTCTTAACAGAAATTTCCTGTAAAATAGTAATTGTGGAGATCAATTCAACTAGTGCTTTGCTTAACGTTTCATTAATGAATAAGCTTTTTCTGGAGGAAATTATGAGGAAGTTATACTGCAAACTCTTATCTTTATAAATAAAATCAAATTTTTCCAGTTGGATAATTTACAAACTTTCTTATATTATTTTGTATTAAATTTTAACATCTTCTATATATAATGACATAAGCATTTTGCGCTAAAACTTCTTTTAAGCTTACTTTATTGCACGATGCATCATCAAATTCATACCAAAAGTTTCCACGTTTGCAAAAAGCTGTATAATGCCCTGATAAAATCGATCCATGGTGTACTCCAACTCCAACTAATTTATACTCACTCCCCCCCCTCCGTGAGTGAACAAAACCATTAGAAAAATCGCTATTTTTTACCCAAAAACCCACCCTCCGTGAGTGAACAAAAATTTTTTTAATAGAAAAAAATTTGTTATGGAAAAAATTTTTGATATATAACTCCCCCCCCCCCCCCTCCGTGAGCGAACAAAAAAATTTTGTTCGCTCACGGAGGGGGGTTAATTTTTTTTTTTTAAAAAAAATTTATATATAAAAATTTTTATAAAAAATATTTTTTTCGAAATTTAAAAAAATCCTAATTTGCAAAAATTGGGAAGCAAATATTAATTTAATTTGCAAAATTTATGTTTTAAAACGCAATTTGTTTAAAATTAAACAGAATTAGCTCTAGATTTCATTATACTAATTATCACTTATATATCAAAATTTTTTTCCATTAAAATTTTTTCTATTAAAAAAATTTTTGTTCACTCACGGAGGGTGGGTTTTTGGTCAAAAAATGGCGATTTTTCTAATGGTTTTGTTCGCTCACGGAGGGGGGGGGGGGAGTAAGTGATAATTAGTATGATGAAACCTAGAGCTAATTCTGTTTAATTTTAAACAAATTGCTTTTTAAAGCATAAATTTTACAAATTAAATCAATATTTGCTTTCCAATTTTTGCGAATTAGGATTTTTTTAAATTTCGAAAAAAAATATTTTCTATAAAATTTATATATAAATTTTTTTAAAAAAAAAAAAAATTAACCCCCCTCCATGAGTGAACAAAATTTTTTTGTTCACTCACGGAGGGGGGAGTCAGCTTTTTCTTCACAAAAAGGGCTTAAATCCAAATTTTTGTGAAATTTACAATTCTGATCTAACTTCTGGGCTCCACCTAGAGATCTGAATCTCTTTAACTGAATAATCAAAGCAGACGGTGCTTTGGAAAAAGAAAGCTTTTTAGTAGCAAATACTCTGGATTTGCACCGTTCACATGTAATGCTAACTTTTTCAGCTTTTGTGTAGCTTTGAATGCTTTTTGTAATAGTAGAGCTAAGCTCTAGCTGAATATCGATAAAGGGTTCTCTGGTAATTGAAGTATAATTGCATGAATTGCATTTAAGGTGGCTGCTGGTGATCCCATTAAAAATCGTCCTGCGGAGGAAATTTTCAGAAAGCTCTCTTTCTAATTTGTTGATAACAAATCGGAGGAATTCGGGGAGGTCGTGCTGTTTCCCAGGAGAAAAATACAGGCTGACATACTTTCATAGCCGGGAAGGTCTTACAGCTCCTTTTTCTAGCTTAAATATTGATTTTGTGAGTTCGCTTATAAGTTCTGTAAAAACAAGTTTATTTGATGTAAGTTCAAGCTGATAGAAAAAATCACGGAAAGGAGTAATGCTCATTAAGCATTGAAGTGCAGAATTCATATAACAAAAAAATCCAGGATTTTCTAGCTCTTATGCATAAAAGAAGTAAAATAAATAAATATGCAAATAAAATTGTTTTTTATAATATTAATTAGAAAAAGTTAATAAGATATTGCATGGCTTTAAAATACATTAAATTAAAAAGGCTATAAATATTTAAATTCGACAGCTTATGAGTTTGGAGTAAGCCAACTTTCCCATTTCTAAGGGTAGGAGCGTTACAATCAAGAGAATTTGTGTGCTGCAAACCCGAATTTTCGCCAGTAGAAACTATAGTATCAGGGTGTGAAGGCTCAATGCTCTCATCCATCAAAGTAACAACCTGAATTTCTTCTTCTGTCTGTAATTTAATATCAGATGTTGTCATAGCTTCATTATTATCTTTATTGCAACTCCCAGGCATAATTTCAAATGATTTATTTAAATTCGCTTTTCTATTTTCAGATATTCCATCATTTGTGGAAAAATCATATGATGCATGTCTTCTGTGGCTGAAATAAAATTGTGATATCGACGGAAGATGAACTCTGAGTCACAATTCCTATGGAGTAGGCACGAGCTTTCCAGATAAAGCTGAAAATAGTGCCTCTGTCACTTTTTGAAGTAGGCCTTTAGGCTTGAGGGTCGATGAGGGAAGTTTTGTGCTCCTCAAAGGGTTTTTTCTTCCCTAGAACTGGGCTAGACAGGTTTATCATCCTACTTGGTCTTTCTTATCGGGACTAACGGTGCATCCGCAAGAGATGGCTTTAACCTAGGTAGCTAATCCTTAGGTTAGATGGATTTATGCCAGATAGGAACTCTAGTGGTCTATACGCTTATGGATTATAACATTTAGATTAACTTCTGTGGCTGGTTTCTAAAAGTTCTCCATATCGCGCTGGGGTTTCCGAGCCATATCGGTCTTTAAGAAACAACCATTGCGCTCTGTTGAAAATTTGGTAATCAACTTTAGGATTTAATCCTTTTTTGGTTTTGCCTTGACCATCTAATAACTTCTTGGTTTTAATTTTTCCAGGCCATTTACTGCCTTTTATATATTCTGTTCATTCATTGATTCAGTCTGTTTCCACCAAATATTGCTCAGGATTACCATAGTGTTTCCCAAGTTCATGCAAATGTCAATATTCTTCTTTTCTATTTATTTCAGAATAAGTAGGATCAGATAATGGGTCTGCCATTAAAACTTCCTCCTTGAGGTTGACTTCTGGAAGAAGTGCTACCAAAAAGTCGTGCTGAAAATGTTTTTTTATTGGCTTTTGCTCAATATAAGCACGCTCAAAGCTAAATATTGATGCATTTTTTGAGGTCGTTTCAAAGATCATTGCTATTAATTCCAGCAAACTACTAATATTATTAAATATGGCATTGAATTATACTTAAACAATAGCTGGTTTCTGATAATAATTTTATTTAAGTTTAAGTAATGCTAGTTATATTTAGTAAATATTATAAAATAAAAAATCAAAAATCTGTTTATATCAAATGTTTTTATTATCAGAAACTGGAAACTAATAGGCTATTAAACTTGACTATAAATTTATATAGCTTACACCCCATTTTGGATCGGCCTTGAGAGCCCCTCCCCATGCCACCCACCCCCTAACGGTCCCAAATATTTTAACATGTTAAATATTAATTTGACAAGTTAAAATATTTGAGGGGGACTTGCCAAATAATATTTAACATTTTAAAATTTTCAGGACCGTCAGGGGCGGTTTAATGGGGAGGGGGTACTTAATGGCGAGCAACCACGAGGGGTGTGCTATAACATCCATAAAAGAAATTGATTGAAAATTATTTTTATCTTTTATTATAGCCTCTTCTTGGGCTTCTGCTTCTGAAATTATTTCTATTTTGTCTACCTCTGCTTGTTGACCGGTCCCTTCTTCTATCATTGCTAGTTATTTCTGCCAACTTTGAAGGGATCTCCTGCTTTGATTCTTTTAAGATTCTCATTAAATCTTGTGCAGATTTCATATTTCTGCGTGTAAAAAATGATATTGCAGTCCCTTTCGTCCCAGCCCTTGCAGTTCTTCCAATCCTATGCACATAATCTTCAATTGCATTAGGAAAATCAAAATTTATCACAAAATTTACTTCTTTTATATCCAAGCCTCTTGCCGCCACATCAGTAGCCACCATAATACTGATTTTATTATTTCTAAAATCTCTCAAGACTTGGTCTCTTTCTCTTTGCATTTTATCTCCATGGATTGATTCAGCCTCATAATTTTGGCGCTTTAAATCAGTCGCCAAAGTTTCGCATCCTTTTTTGGTTTCACAGAAAACAAGGACTTTGCAGTTTTGGTCCATTATATCTCTAAGAATCGTTAGAATCAATGCTAGCTTTTGTTCTTCATTTATAAACTCAATTATTTGCTTTATATCATGGTTAGCAGAAAGGTTTAAAGAGCCGACTTGGATGTGGATTGGGTTGAAGATGAATTCATTGGCAAGGTTTTGGACTTCTCGGGGTCAAGTAGCGCTCCACATCAAGGTTTGTCTGTCTGGGCGGATTTGAGAAATTATTTTTCTTATCTGAGGGCCAAATCCCATATCAAGCATCCTGTCGGCTTCGTCAATAACGAGAAAAGTCACTCTCTTTAAATTAGTGACGTCGCTTTCAAGAAAATCAAGAAGTCGGCCAGGGGTTGCAATGGCGATTGGAGGACAATTTCTTAATCCTCTTTGTTGGTATGATCTTGAAGACCCTCCGTATATGCAAATGTTATTAATTTGATAAGGAGACCCTAATCTGCTGCATTCTTGGGATATTTGTACAGCAAGTTCACGAGTAGGGGAAAGAATCAGTACAATTGGGCCTTCGCCAGGCTGTATTGATTGTTGGCCTAATATATGGATAATCCCAGGTAAAGCATAAGACACAGTCTTCCCAGAGCCAGTTTTGGCGATTCCAATCACTTAAGTTAACTTAGATACGGATAACACTTAACGTCCACTACGAGGTTGCCAACATGATAGCTTCCACTATTTTTGCACGTGTTGGGCCAACCTGCTTCGATCTCTACGGAACTCTTAATAACGATGCTGCCACATCAACAGCTCATGAGTGAGTGACTTCTGATTTCCTAGATGTGTATGACGGATCAACAATCGGTAGCTACAGATATCGCCATTTTATAATTATAGCAATTCCAATCAAATCTCTGCCACTCAAAGCTACAGGCCAACTTTGGCATTGGATCGGCGTCGGATTTGCAAACCCAGCTTCTTTAAAGATACTCAAAATTTCCCTTGGCAGATTGATTTCATCAAAGGATGTTATAGGTTTTGGGATATCTTTCCCAAAAATTGAGATTTGGATTTTCTCTCTGTATTGTGAGATTTCGGCTTCAGAGCGGCGAGATACCGTTGGGCTCTCTTTATAAAAATCTTTTTTAAAAGAAGGCAAAGAAGCACTGGGATTGGTATCTGAGCTGAAAGAAGGGTTTGAGATAGGCTGAGAAGGTGGTGGACGGAATCCTCCTCTTGACGAGGTTTGATGAGAAGATGGGTCACTACCGCCATAAGATGATGGAGTGCGATTGGTATAAGATTGGGTTGAGGAGCGAGGCGGGGATGCTCTGAAGTTAGATTGCTGTCTTTGGCTTGGCAGATTACCGTTTCGAGGATGGAAGTTTGGATTGCTGTATCTTTTAGCTGACATATTATAAGGATTTTGATATATATGTTTTAAGTGCCTGAGTCAATGCGACTGCTTTAATGGGGGTACTGATTAATAAATAACTTAGGAATAAATATTTCTTTCTAAGGTCTGCTGCACTTATTACCTATTTATCACAACATCATAGGTATCTTTCAGCTTTATATTTAAGACAAAGGATTGAAAAATAATTCATTAAATTATGATTAGAGATCTTGAGTTGCTTCTTCTTTGCCTTTTTCTCCTCCGACAGGTAACAAAGCTTGGTGAATAAACGGTACAGCTCCACCGCTTGCAATAATAGCGTTTGACATGAGGCGATTTAGTTCCTCATCATTTCTGATTGCGAGTTGAATGTGTCTTGGGACAATTCTGGTTTTCTTGTAATCCTTTGCTGCATTTCCTGCAAGTTCTAAAACTTCAGCTGCCAAGTATTCAAGGACTGCTGCAAGATAGACTGGAGCACCTGCACCGACTCTTTCAGCGTATTTTCCGTGTTTCATGAATCTTGAGATACGACCGACTGGGAATTGAAGTCCTGCCTTTTGTGATCTTGAAGTTTTGCTAGCGCTTGCTGCTTTTCCTCTGCTTCCTTTTCCTTTTCCGACTGTTGACATTTTAAGTTTTATTTCAAACCAACTCTATTTATAGTCTTTGATATTAGATATGGATACAAATCAGCCAATCAAATTCAAGATTGCAAATTAAGGGGATATTTAATTTTTTAATATATAATTAACTATAAAAGATACCTCAAATTTTCAAATAACAATAATTCTAATTTATCTTATAGATGAGAATCAATCAATAAACTAAATGATTTTCTAAACTAAATCTTTTCATTATTTATTGATCTTCATGACTCAAAAAAATTGAAAAATAATTAAAACTTTTGGCTTTAAGAAAAGCACTTCTATAAGCTTTATATTAGATTTTTAGTTAAACAAATAATAAAAATATTTACTAAAAATTCTCGCAAAATTTTGTGTTCCTACTTGAAAAATATTTTTTGAGTATTTAAGAGCTGCCATATATTTCTTTAAATATTTTCATTAGACAATTTTACTCAAGTGTAAAAATTTAAAATAATTTTGTTTGAAGTTCAATGTAGCTTTGCTTTTAAGCTATTATTTATAGAGCTCTTATATATAAAAAAACTAAATAGCTTTTTCAATTATTTAAATGAATGAGCTTTATTAAAATATTCAAATCTACGACAAATTATTAATTCATGCAAAATAGTAATTTGGTTATTTCAAAAACTGCAATAGTAATTTTTGCTGGGGCATGCTTGAATTACTCTTATTTTTTCTAGTAATCACTTGGCCAGCTATTTATGAAGTTGAATTAAATTTCTTCTTTTGCATTAAATGAATATTCATCTTATCAGCATATATACTTTCTTGCCTGCTAATAACGTTCTGTAATTCTTCATAATAAATCACCAGCTCGTTTTATTATAAACGATATGAACTTCCTAGTAGCAGGATAAAAACTAGCAACCTTTTCGTTCAAATTTTTCAAGCAATCCCAATCATTTCCCTATTTTCAAACCCAAGGACTTTCATCATCCTCAATTCAAAAATAACTTTTATAAATCCATTAAAATGGTATCGTTGATCACAACACCCACACTCTTATGGGCATCAGGAGTTTACTTACTTTGGCAAAACAAGAAGAGTTGTGAATGCTTCATCTATCGTGATGATATCGGCCAAAGACAAGGTATCAAGGGTTACGAAGAGCAAGCAATGATAAACAAATTCCATTGGCCTCACGAGCGCTACTTCGGCTCCTACAGTGCCTTAGTGCTACGACGTGGCTTCAAAGTCTTTACTCGTTCTTGCAACACTTGCCACGCAATGACTCAGAACAAGTACGATTTCCTCATCAAAAAGGCTTTCAGACAAGGAGAATTAGGCGAGATTGTCAAAGAGCTTGCCCCTGTGAACCCAGGCCACTGGTACATCAAGGGTTGGTTTAGACACGAGTGGATGGACAGGCCAAAGAGGATTTCAGACTACATGTTTTCTCCTTATATCTCCCCAGATCATGCTAGAAGTGCAAACGGAGGACTTTTCCCAAGCGATTTGAGCAGAATCGGGATATCCAAGCCAGGTGGTCCAGCCTATGTGTACAACATCATGACAGGCTATCACTATGAGCCACCATTTGGAATTGATGTGCCTGAAGGGAAACATTTCAACCCTTACTTCAAACATATGATTATTGGAATGCCAAGACCTCTTTATGACGGCATGATGGAGTATGATGACGGAACTCCAGCTTCCACCCCACAAATGGCTTATGATGTCGCTGAATTTTGCCACTTCATGGCTGCAAAAGATAACTTAGAGTATAGAATTGCTTGGCTTAAGTTCTTTATGATGATTGTTATATCATTCCCATTCTGCTACTTCAGATTCAAAATCGCAAAAACTGCAATGCTGAGTATGAGAGTTGAGCTTTATAACGTGTCAGATGGATATCGCAAGTATAAATACTTCAATAGATTCTATAAGCTCAAGAGGTCGTTTGGCTGGATGAGACAGCATCCATCGAACTTTTTCATAGGCAAGTAATTTAAGCCTTTAGAAACTTATTTAAGTCTTTGAAATTCAAATATATAATTTACGAATAATAAATGAATATAGTTAAATTGAATAAGAAATTTTATTGATAATTATAAAGAATCCAGCTTTTTATTAATATATCATTACTGAGCATAATGAGCATATATAAGGGCCTAGTATAAAGCAATCATAAATTGCTCTTCAAGCTCCAATCAAAATTTATAATAGAAAATTCTCTATTCATTAAAATCATCCATTATTCACATCAGAAATATAAATGTCTACCATTCAGGCAGTCCATACAACTCCTATCCAAGGCCAAAAACCAGGAACATCTGGTGTCCGCAAAAAGGTCACAGAAGTTCTCCAGCCTCATTACATAGAGAATTTCACTCAGAGCTGTTTTAACACCGTCAAGGAGCGAGAAGTTCTTGAAGGCAGCACAATTGTGGTCTCAGGTGATGGCAGATATTATAACAAGACTGCAATCCAGACTATCCTCAAAGTCGCTGCAGGCAATCGTGTAGGACGAGTTTGGGTTGGACAGAACGGAATTTTATCAACTCCAGCAGTTTCTGTAATAATAAGAGAAAGAGAAGGAGGGATTGCCTTAGGAGGCCTCATTCTCACTGCAAGCCACAACCCAGGTGGGCCAAATGCTGATTTCGGTATCAAATACAACATTGGAAATGGAGGCCCAGCTCCTGAAGACTGGACAAATAGGATTTATGAGCATACCATCTCGATCTCTGAATATTCAATTGCAGATATCCCTGATGTTGATATCTCAAGCCTTGGAAGAACTGAATTTCAAGTTGACGGGAGGCCTTTTGTTGTAGAAGTGATTGACTCAACTGAAGACTATGTAGCAAAAATGCAAAGCATTTTTAATTTTGACGACTTAAGAGCTTTAGTGTCAAGACCTGACTTCAAAATTCATTATGACTGCTTAAGCGGGGTTTCAGGACCATATGCGAGACATATTTTCCATAGGATTTTAGGAGTTCCATTGGAGCAAATCAAAAATTCAGAGCCTCTTGAAGATTTTGGAGGCGGACACCCAGACCCTAATTTAGTTTATGCTCATGATTTAGTTCATGCAATGGGAATTGGAGCTGAAGTGCAGCATGGAGATTATCCTGATTTTGGAGCTGCAAATGATGGAGATGCTGATAGGAATATGATTTTAGGCAAACAATTTTTCGTGACCCCTTCAGATTCTGTAGCTGTGCTTGCTGCTAATTCAGCAGCGATACCATATTTTGCAGGAGGTCTTAAAGGAGTAGCTAGAAGCATGCCTACAAGCACTGCGATTGACTTCGTAGGACAAAAGCTAGGGATACAGGTTTATGAAGTCCCAACTGGGTGGAAGTTCTTTGGGAATTTGATGGACGCTGGAAGACTGAGCATTTGTGGAGAAGAAAGCTTTGGTACTGGAAGTGACCACATCAGAGAAAAAGACGGCGTCTGGGCAGTTTTAGCATGGCTCAGCGTTATTGCCTATAAAAACAAAAACTCTGACCACTTGGTAGGGGTTGAAGAAATTGTGAGAAGCCACTGGCAAGAGTATGGGAGAAATTATTATATGAGATATGACTACGAAAACGTAGACTCAAATGCCGCCAACCAGCTAATGGAGACACTTAAAAACAAGTTTTCTGAGTTCCAAGGACAAGCTGACAGCTATGAATATACAGACCCAGTTGACCATTCTGTGACTAAAAACCAAGGACTAAGATTCATAACTCCAGAATGGCGTGTAATCTACCGTCTCTCTGGAACTGGCTCTTCAGGTGCTACCGTTCGTGTTTATTACGAAAAATACGAAAAGGTAAATTTGGATTTATCCACTGACCAAGCCCTTGGATCCATAATTGACTGGTCTCTCAAGTTCTCCGACATTAATGCCATTCTTTCCGTCACTGGCCCTACAGTCATAACCTAATTAAATTTAAATAACTTTGAAGTTAACTTATATCTTCTACTTCTTCTCCTTTTGTGATCACTTCATCTTTGACATACACAAACCCAGATTGCATTATATGAGTCTTTGCCAGTCCGTACTTTTGGATGTGGTCTCTCAATCTCATTCCTCCTACAACGGTCAAGACAGTAAACAAAATCACAGCCCACACAAGTGCCCAGCCCAGCACCACAATGACACCAATTACTTGTGTAGACAAGGTGTGGCCTGAAATTCCTTGCCAGAAGCAGCCGTCCTCGTCAGTGATGAATCCAGGCAGAATTCCACCTACAAGTCCAGGAACTAAGAAAGTAGCAGTTACGGACATTGGGTCGTCAATTTGGAGATATAGCACAAACTTGTAGGTAAAGGCAAAGATGACGCCTGTCATGATACCGACAATCCCTGCTTGCCAAGGAGTAGTATTATAAGCAGAGCTAGAAATAACGACCATTCCTGCAATGAAGCCTTGGTAAATTGCGATGGTATGAGTATGTAAGTCTTTGCTAAATAGTGTAAGTAGCTTAAGAGCGACAATTGAGGTAGCTCCTGCACAGATCCATGAGTTGGCTGCTGACATCCCCATTTGGTCAGCTCTGCTTTGGCCAATTGAAAAATTGAGACCAAACAGGCCTAAAATTAAAAGGACTGCACCGATTATATAGATAGGGTACATCTGGATCTGGAATTTTGCAGCTTTGCTTGGACGCCATCTTCCTCTTCTTTTCCCTGAAAATATAGCTCCCATAAGTCCAATAGCTCCAGCGAACATATGGATATTGATTGCTCCTCCTACGTCAATAAGATCTTTTTTAAGCTCAATGGCGAGCCAGCCGCCTCCCCATGACCATGCAACGATAACAGGCCATACAAAGAGCATAATCCAAAAAGCAAGCACTACGTAGACGTGGTATTTTGCTTTTTCACTGATTCCGCCATTGATGACAAAGAGGACGAAAAAACCACAGAGTGCAAAAAATGATGCGCAGGCTCCATGGTTCTCTGATCGCTCGGTAAGCCACTTTTCACCACCAAAGTTGCGGTTTCCAATGAATTCGCTGTCAGCGACGTTTCCAAAAGCGAAACCATAACCTAACACTCACCACGCTACGATACCTATTGAAAATTGAAGCCAATTTTTGAGTAGAAGGTGGTTAGCATTTTCAGGCCTGCAAAGGCCATATTCCATTAGCATGAGGCCAATCTAAATATTTGTTACCAAGCCTATGAACACTACAATGTCACCAATTCCTGGTAGGGTTAACGGGCATACAGACTCCGACATTTAAATTATAGTGGATGAGATTTAAAGTATTAAATCTTTAATGAACAGTAAGTGATAAGGAATAAAAATCTATAGGATAAGTCTACAGCAAATATTCAGTAGCTTTAGCATTAGGAGTTTTATAATATGTTGGAATAATTTCATATCCTCATATTTTTGCCAATAAGCAGTTAATATATTATCAAGACATAATAATTTTAATTGTTTAAAATATTAAACTATTGTAACCTCTAGCTTAAATATTTTGACTTGAAATAATTATTGAAAAAATTTATATTCTTTTCAATGTGTAGAATAAGAAGAAGAAAAGAATTACGGTTACCCTACCCTACGTTACCACCAAATCAGCACAGCACCAGCAGCGTCATTAGCACCATCAGCACATCAGCATCACGCCAAGCATCTTCCGCTCAGCACAAACCACAAACCAACTCATTTCCAGCTAAATTAAATTCTCATCACTATGTTTCCATCTTTTCTGGTGACGTCCTCAAAAATGGTGACGTCACCATCTACAGGGGAGACCCTTGTTCCTTTAGCTTCCGGACCTAGCGGCCACAAATTCCTACTCCAGAGGGGTATTGGCTCTGGAGATGATGTTCCGCGCCTTCTTCACGCCCCAAGCTCCGCACGAGGCATCCTCACTTCCTTCTCGCCGTGAAGTCCGTCCAAAATTGCTGCCGCACACCTCAAGGGCCTAGGGAAAGGCCCAATTTTGTTAGCAAAACTCACCCCCCTGACACTTCCTTGCTCCATGGCCTCCAGGTGACGCCTTTTTGTTTTGGCGTCACCTGGCAAAAAAAATGTTGTGTAGAATAAGGATCTTACTTCCCCCTCCGTCAGCGAACAAAATTATTGGAAATATCCATATTTGGGCCCAAAAACCCACCTTCCTTGAGCGAACAAAAATTTTTTTTAATATAAAAAAAATTTTACGAAAAAAAAATTGATATATAAGTGACTATTATAATGAAATCTCTAGCTAATTCTGATAAATTTTGAACAAATTGCATTCTAAAACATAAATTCTACAAATTGAATTAATTTTTATAGATTGGAATTTTTTTAATTTTGAAGAAAATAAATTTATATAAAATTTATACATAATTTTTTAAAAAAAGCTAACCCCATCTGTGAGAGAACAAAATTTTTTGTTTTCTCACAGGGGCAAAGTTAGATTTTAAATTATTTCTTGGAACGTGCGTTGCATTAAACTCTCATATGATTATTAATTTAGCTTGCCAAATTCATAAATGAAGCTTTCTGCAAAAATTTCCTATTTTAATTTTTAAAATTGTCATCACTATATCTTTTTCATTTGTGATCTATCCAAAACACGGAAAAAGTAATAAACTAATTTTTAAAAAATCGTATTATTGCGTTAAAAGCACAAATAAAAATGGCGAAATTTTGAAATGCTAAAAATGTTGCCATTTTCCAAGAATTTTCATTAATTAAATATAAAGTACACTTGAAATTGCTATAAAGTGCTTTTTTATGTCTTTTACACTCTTGGCAATCATAAAATTTAATTATTTATTCGATAGTTCTATATTGAATTATTAGCATCTAAAATTTAATAACTAACTCTCCCCTCTGTGAGTGAGCAAAAACCATTGGAAAAAACCTATTTTTTGGGTAAAAAAGCACACCTCTGTGAGCTAACAAATTTTTTTGTTCGCTCACGGAGGGGTAAGTGCCTTCATATTGATGGGTAAGTGAAAATTTACCAGATACTTACTTATTTCTCGTCAAGTAGGCCGATTAAGAAATTATTTCCGCGCATTATAAATTAAAATGAGCAAGTTCCTATTTATTTTGTATTAACAGCTTTGAAGGAAAAAATTAAAGGAATAAATAGGAGCAGTTTGACCAGCAAGAAGGAAAATTAATTTATTTTACTTTGCCTGACCTTTTTATTTAAAATAATCAGATATGTTTAAAATGATAAATTTAAATAAAAATTATGATAAATTTCCTCACTTTACCTTCGTGATTGAGATAGATATTGGTGAATTCTATTTTAAAATTAGTCTCAATTGAGCAAAGATTTTTTTCATATTAATGAATGATTTAATTTAAAATTATAGAATTTTTTTATTAATTTTTGAGTGATTAAAATTTTTAAATACTACAAGTGTATTTTCAAATCCCATAAAGAAAAATAGTATGCAAAATTTTCAAAATAAATTTTCACTCCAAATGAGTGGGAAAATATTACACGATTTAATGAGGAGAATTATAATATTTAACTAAAGAAATTAATTATAAGCAATTAGCTATAAACTCTTTATTTTATTCTTAGCAGCTGCTTAAATTTAATTATTGAATCGAATAGGCTAACTGCCTTCCTCACATATTTTTAAGCATTTATTTAGAAAGTTCTCTTGAAAAATAATCATAAATAAATGGGCGGTAAAAGAAAATTTAAAATAAAATGATTTTATTATCTAGAATTATTATGGAATGTAGCATGATTTTTGACTTCAGAACGTTTAAAAGTGTGTCCAGTTCCACATTGCTCACACTCATAAAGAGCGTTGAGCTTGTCAACTCCAGATTGTCCTTGAAGTAGATTGAAAAAATAAATTTTATTGGGGTCTTTGCATTCAACGCTAAGTTTATCTGGTAAATCTGATTTTTTACTTGTATCTTCAGGTTCAGGAATTCCATTTACTAATCCATACACCTTTTTCAGCCGATAAAAGAACATCTTTGCACTGGTTTGGTCAAACTTCATTTCTTCTATGATATTGAAAAGGTCTTTTGCTACGAATAGAAGGGTGTCTAAGTCAATCCCTTGATTTTGGAGCGTGGTTAGAAGATTTTGATCATTGTTAGCAAGATAAGCGAGATCCATTTAATATTTTTATAAGGGGGATTCAAAGAATTTTTACTTATTTATAATGATATGCCCCAATTAGAGTTTTAGCTTAGATCAGTAAAAAAAGAATTCACCAATTAATAGTATACTTTTAATAGGATTTGATGCATTGTGCAGATAATTTACTCATTAAATTTTTAAGATTTATCATATAAAAATGCGTATTAGGAAAGAGATAAATTATTTATTGTTTTGCATCTCGAAGAGTTCTCAGCATGACTCTATTAAGTCTCTTAATCATATTGACTGGAGACTCCATAATTCCTGCATTCAATAAAGCGTTATCAAGCACTTGGCTGATGATATCTTTTGCTAATTCTGGGTCAGTTTTCCTCACTTCATTGAGTTTGATGATGATCTCATGGTTTGTGTTGATTTCAAAAGTCTGGTTTCTAGTCATCGCACTTGTGTGCTTTTCTCTATCCATCAGCTTATAAACTTGTCTAACTGCTGATGGCATTTCTCCAGTAACCACAGCTGGAGAGTCTTTAAGCCTGCTAGACACAATGACTTTGTCGACAATTGGCATTGTCTCATTTTTAATCCACTCTACGAACGGAACTAAATCAGCTTCTGGGATTCCTGAAGCTTCATTGTATTGATGGGTTTCTATTAGATCTTTTTCTATTTCGTCAATTGAGCTTTCAATATTGACAAATTTGTGTCCTTTATATTCTCCCATATTCTTGAAAATCATTTCATCAATTAGTTGCAAGGAAAAAATCACAGGGATTTCTTTGGTTTTGAAAGGTTCCAAATATGGGGAGTCCATCCCGATTTCTCTATTCGCGGTGAATAAATAATAGATTTTTTGCTGTCCTGGCTTCATTTTTTCAATGTATTTGTCAAGTGTAGTCATACTTGTGTTTAAGCTATAGTAGTAGCGGGTCATAGTCATGATGGCTTTTGAGTTTTCTTGGTCCATTGCCATACCTTCGATGAGGAATTGGCCGAATTCTTGATACCATCTCATAAATCCAGATTCATCTCTTTCTGCTTCATCACTTAAGAATTTCAAAAGCTTTTTTGTCAAAATTCCTTTAATTTTTTCCATCATCGCAGAGTCCTGGAATGTTTCTCTTGAGACATTTAATTGGATATCTTCACAGTCCACAATTCCTTTTACGAATCTTAGCCAGTTTGGCAAAAGTTGGCTGCAGTTAGCCATGATCAAAACTTTTCTTGAATAAAGCCCCACTTCACAAGACTCATTAGCCATTCCGTATTTTTCTTTATGTGTATTTGGAACGTATAAAAGCACTTTCATTGATAATGGAATTTCTAGTGAAAAGTGGAGTTTCCATTTGTATGGGAGCTTTTGGCCACTGATATACTCATAGAAATCTTGGTACTCATTTTCTTCGACGTCATTTTTATTTCTAGCCCATAGAGCTCCTTGAAGGTTGATTTGTTGGCTGTTAAGCTCCAGTGGGAAGTTTACGAAGTTGGAGTACTTAGTCAATGTCTTTTTAATGTCAGCTTCATTTAAAAATTGCTTGCAGTCTTCTTTTAATTCTACAGTCACTTCAGTCCCTCTTGGAAAATCGAGTCCTTCAAGTTCTGATATCTCAAACTCTCCCAGTCCTTTGCTTACCCACAAGTGAGGGTTTTGGCAATTCTCAGACTTTGAAATCACTCTGACTTCATTGCCCACAATAAAGCTGCTGTAAAATCCTACACCGAATTGGCCAATGATTTTTTCTGTGGAGGACTTGTTTTCTTCGTTGGCTTTTAATGACTCTATGAATTTGTGTGACCCTGAGTATGCAATTGTCCCTAAATTTTTGATAAGCTCGTCAGCGGTCATTCCGATCCCTGAGTCACGGAAGGAAATGGTGCCTTTTGCAGCATCGACGGTAATTTTGATGGTGAGAGGGGTATCATCGGCTGATTGACCAGAGATGTTGAGGTATCTTTGTTTTTCCAAAGCGTCTGATGCATTTGAGACAAGCTCACGAATAAAGACTTCTTTGTCCATGTAAAGACTTTTAGCGACGATATCGAGAAGCTTGTTTGTCTCTGTTTGGAAATTGAGAACCTTTGAGTTGACCTTTGTGAATGATGGAGGTGAGATGTGAGAGTCAGGAGCTGGACCAGGTGGTGGAGGAGGAGAAGGAGGAGGAGAAGGAGGAGGAGGAGGAGGTGTAGTTGTATTGAAATAGCGGATATTTGGGATAAAGGCTTTGCTAGCGAGAGGTCTGAAAGCCTTAAAAGCCAAACGAAACATATTTATTATGGAAAATTATCGAAAGGAAAATTATGGCTTCATATTTTCTTACTCCCCCTCCATGAGCGAGCAAAACTATTCGAAAAAAATCTCTATAAAAAAACGCTTTCCGAGAGCAAAAAAATTATTTTATGGAAAAATATGTTGATATGTAAGTTTTAATTATTATAATGAAATATTTTAGCTAATTTTGTTTATTTTTACCAGCTTGCATTTTAAAATTAAATCAACTTTTACTTTTCAAATTTTTACAAATTGTTATTATAAATTTTTATAAAAAAATTAACTCATGGAGAGGGGGAATTAGTAAATTTAATTATAAAATAACTAAGCCCATTTTAAAACTAATTATATTGACTGAGTAGCATTTATTTAACGGTAACATACATATCATATAAAAATCTGGATAAGCTAGCTGTTGCTCTTGCTGCTCTAAAATTTTTTATAATTTATATATTTATTAGTTTATATTAATTTCTGTATCCAAAACTCATACCGCAATGATCAGCATGCATTTTAAGAGCATTTTCTGTTTTATCAAATTGGCTGGATTGAATGCATGAAAACTTATCAGAAGTCTCATGCACTTGCTTCATGTGAGATCTCAAGAGGTATCTGCTGAAAAATTTTTTAACGCAAATAGTACACTTAAAATTTCTTTTTTTCTCTCTATGTATTTTGCCTTCGTGCTGCCGGAGTCCTTGATATGATGAAAATCCTTTATTGCATTCATCACAGAAAAATTCTCCATCCTTTTTTTTGTCAGCAAAATTTATTTCGCAAAATCCCTTATCATTTTCATATGTGAAAACTTTAGGTTTTTCCTTAAAGACTTCAGATTTGTCAATTATCGGCTTAGTGATGCTGTGCTTATCCCTATCGGTTGCGCTTTCAAATGACAATAAGCATTGATTGCACATGAAAGTATTTGCACGATCAATCGGATCTGATGATATTTGTAGATCCTGAGGATGCGGTAAGAGAAATTGTCTGACAACAAATCTGTTCATTGATTTTATTAGGTAATTAAGTAATTACTTGCTATTGCAGAGCCTTCTAGGGCGTCATCCTTTAATAAATCTTTTATATTTTCTCACATCTTCTAATGTCTTCTAATAATATTATTTCCGCAACTAATTCTTCTTTATAGGATTTTAGTTGTTTGGGAAGGAAATGGAAGAAAACGGGTTATATTAGCCGGGCCGGAAAGCCGGCCCTCCAACTCGCCCTTAATGGCAGTTTTATTAATTGTTTGAGAAAAAAGGTGTGTGAGTCCATCAGTAGTGAATCCAATTTCGCATGTCATTAAAATTGGCAGCCTGAAAATGGAACTCACAGAGCTTCTTTCCTCCACTTTAAGAAATTAAGTGATTGCTTTTATTATTATTTTTGAAATTTTGTTTTAAATAATTATGGACAACTTTTAAACATAGTAAATTTATTCATAAAATAAACTAAACCATATTAAAATGAAACTAGTATAGATGTTTTGAATGAAGCTAATGACAATATAGTATTACTAAGCCTTATCGGCTTGAACCTTACTATTGTTGACAAATCTTTAAAAAATAAATTCGTATATTTGTAGTTTATACTAGATGTATCAAAAAAAATTCCATGATGGCCCGTGCACATTCTAAAGGCATTTTTTAGCATTGGGTGCATAAAACATATCAGAAGTTTTATGCATTTTTTCACTTGGTTTCTCAATAGTGTCTGCAATCAAAAGTTATGTGACTCAAGTCTTAGATTGCCTAAAATACTTTTATAGATTCTTTACAAAAAATTTCTATCTTTTTTTTTTGACAGCAAAGCATATTTTCCAGAACGTCCTATCACTTTAATCTGAGGAGAAATTTAAACTTTATTATGGCTTAGATATATTGTGTTTATCCCTATCAGTCACATTTTAAACAATAAAAGACATATTGATTGCACTTAAAAGATCTTGTGACTAAATAAGATCTGACAATATCTATAAAACTTAAACTTATTGTCTGATAGCAAATCTTTTCGTTGTTTTTATTGCTATTTTTAAGTTCTTTTTTAATATTTACGAAGTTGAAAGCCTAAAATGCAAACCTATATTTTATTTGCAAGTTTTGTTATGCATGCCTCAATATACCATTTTTGAAGTCAGTTATGGTTTGATAAAGATATATGATTTACTTAATATAATAAAAATGATATCGAATGGAAATGAATCTCTAAATTCAATTTCAAACCTCACATATATAAACCAAGCTGAGTCAATAAACAGAAGTAGACTAAAAATGAGTGATTTATTCAATAAACAAGGCGCAAAAGATGAAATATCCAGAGAAATAAATTATAAAATGGGCCTAAATAGTAAAAACTTCGAATCAATCGTTTGCTCCCTTGAGCATGACAAAAAATTGCTGAGAGAAGCATTAGCAGACTCAATTCAAAAGCGAGACGAACTATATAAAGCTGCTATTGACTATAAAAATACAAGAGACGAGCTGTTCTTAAAAAATGAATTTTTGGAAAGCAAACTGAAAGAATTAAACAATATGCAAAAGGAGTTCAATGAGATGGCTCACACTTTGCAAATAAAAAACAATGAGATAAAGGATTTAAAGGAAAGAAATTTAATTCTAGAATCAAGAATAGAAGAAAGTAACTTCAGCCAAACTCCAATTTCCTTTTATAGATTAGATTAAGATGTGTCTTTATAATTATCATTTCCTGAGCACCTGCGTTCCAATGAATGAGTGTGAGGTGGGCGTTACATGGTTAACTTGAGTCTGGCAGAAACTCCTTTTCTTGGCAGAGGAATTTTCCCTCCATGGTTTGAGTTTATATGGAATTTGCTGTGAATCCATTTCTAACCCAAGCAGCCAGGCTACCCAACCCTACTGAGCTTATGCAGATCGACCTTACACGGGACCCTTTAGACTGGAGAGTCTGCAGCCCTTAAGTTCTTGTCTAGCTTGTCTTCCCAATTTCCTTGGTTTATCGCCAAAGGAAAAGCTCAACCGCTTATGCGATTTGGGACGGATCACGAAGTAATATAGGCAGGTAAGCTGCCCTGCCTCTATTAAGCACTCAACCTAGGAATAGGTGCTGGCAAAAAAGATACTCAGCCTGGCTGCTAATCAGTGGAAGTAGTGCTGGGCCTCTCACTTCAAGGCTAAAACAACCCTTGGGCAGCTTTTTCACCAAAAATTAAGTCCGGATATACATAAGGACGCCACCACAGGGAGGACCGTCGCTCGTCATCATCCATTTTATGTGTATCAATTTCCTTTTATAAAAACGTAAATCCTAATTGTGATTCCCTTTTCTTCCAAGAAAATAGCCATTCTTTTTCTCCAGAATCTATATCATTAGCACTTAAAATTCAAAGAGACATCAAGCTAATCCCTTATCTTCATCAACTTTTTGATGAGTCTTTTTCCAGTACCAATAATTTTATGGACCTCATTAAAGATTCAAAACTTGAAGAAGTTTTGCTTAAGCTTATGAAATTTATTGATCGCTTTTTAGAAGCCGAGCACAATAGAATTTCAAGCCTGCAAGCTAAGACATCAAACCACCAAAAAAAGAGGACACCTACATTTTCCTCATATTCATCCCCAAAAAATGAAAATTTAACTACAAGTCCTGGAAGTTCTGAAGCAAGAAACTCTCCAGTGAGGCTATCTATAAGTGAAGGAAGTGATAACAATTTTGACTTTGACCATTTTGTGCAGTCTTTGTCTGGGCATAGCTCACGTGTTGATCAGCTTTCACTTCAAATCCAGGACACATTGAGCACAACAAGGTATGCCTTATCTCAATCATTTAGAGTAGCTTCTCCTAGATCAGATTCAGAGTATATGCAAAAAAGTATTGAAAGAATGAAATTAACTGGGAGTTTAAGCAATTTCAATAAGAAAATCGAAATTGAAACTGTAAATAAACCGACTAGATGTGATACTGAAAGATCAGTTGCAAATTCAAAACCAAAGCCTCATCCAACTATTAAGGTTGTAAGAGCACAAAAAAAGGTATCGGTGAATAACAAAACTGGAGAAAAATAATTATTAATAAACGTGTGTTAAAAAAAAAAGATTAATAATGATTTCTTGTTATTGTTAATTAAATTAATTATATTTATTTGAAAAATTCTACAGCATAGAATTAATTTCAATATTTTCACCAATTGGAATCGAAGCTTTAATTGGTGACCTTTCTCTGCTGTCGCCATTTCTAAATAAAATCCTGCTTCTCGTTTTTGTGGTTTCAATTGAAGAAATCAATCTGCTAATTTCATTATTTTTTTCATCAACTTTTATTTCTTCTCTATCAGCACTTTTATTTTAATGGAAGATTCGGAAAGTAATGTTTCCTATTCTTCTTCCTTTTGTGAAGAAAACGGAGCTTTACAGGATGAATTTTTCGAACTTTTACTATTAAATGAACTTATTGATACAGGATTACTTGATAATTCTGAATCAGAGTATGAATGAAATGATAGTGATACAGAAAATGTTGATACAGATGACAAAATATTGGAGTTTTTAAGTCGTTTAGATGGAAAAATACTAGATGAAATAGATCCTATTCAGGAAACCTTCAAATATAGGAAGACTGAGGTGATCATTGATGATAAGAAGACAATCGATAAGAAAATCCTGAACACCAGAAAAATAAAAATTAGATCAGATTCAAATTTTATCAGAAAAATAAAATTTGATATCAGAATCAAACATTATCAGGAAAATAAAATTTAGATCAGATTCAAATTTCATCAGATATAGAAAATTCATATCAGACTCAGAAATCGAAAAAATCGCGGATTACGTGGGTTCAGAAAATTTTACTAAAATTTTTATCCAAAGATTTTAGGAAAAGAAGAAAGTTAAAAAATTTTTAATCGGGACATGGCCCTGAAATAAAGGCCTTTAAGTAATAAAGATTTCTCTCTCTCTCTATCAGCAATCACACTAAACCCTTTTGTTCTTTTTTGCTGCGCATAATTCCTCAAAAAAGTTTGAATTTCTTTCAAATTCAAATGCTCTGCAATTTCCACCGGTGTTCTTTCAGTTATATCTTTAGCATAAATAAATGCTTTAGACGAAATCACTAAAAGCTGCACAAGCTCAAGATTATTCCTCCTAACTGCTCAATGTAACGCAGTTTGCTGTGTCTATATAAAAATTACAGAATCAACTGCTCTTACTAGCTCAGGATGCTCAAGCAACAGCTGAATAATTTCTTTCATATTTCCTCTCTTAATTTCTCTAAAAAATATTCTGGCTTTCGGGTGTGTATATGGATTTGAAAATTTGCAATCATGCAATTCTTCTTTGTCGGATTTTGCTTTTTTTACAACTTTACTTACTTGCTTTTTGTATTCTTTTAAAAGAGTTGCTGTTCTATCGTCATAATTTTTTGTGCTTGCAATGCTCATTAGAGAGCTTAAGTCTTTTTGAATACTTTTGCCTTGTAAATCAAAAAAATTTTTTGCAGCAGCCAGTTCAACATATACTTTTCGTGAAGGTTTGAAAATTCCAGCTGATGCCGAGCGTGGGACTGAATCAGTTTTAGGACTCTCTAAAACGATTTTAGGTGACTTTTTAGGAGTAGCGTCTGGAGATATATTTCGTGATACTGGTAATGATTTGTTTGAGTGACGAGGATGAATAATGAAATTTCTAGTGAATTTTACCTGCATTGATTTCATTCTTCCTGCAGTTATGAAACTTTGCTGATGAACAGGAGTAGATGGCCGTGATGAGCCCGTTTTTGTATATTTTGGATGATATATTCAGCTATAATTCATAGCTATTTTTAATAAAATTAAAAAAGTAATAGTGTTCATACTGAAATTAAATTAAAATTGATTTTTTATAAGATTCATCATTTAACTTAAACGATTTTTATTCATAATAAATGTCCGCGGCCAAAATCAAAAGAAATAGTGAAGAACTCAGAAAAATTATTTTACCTGCCCTTGACGAGGATTATGTGAAGCATCGGCAAAGAATTTATAAGAGAATAGAATCAACTTTTGAGTTAAACGAAAAAAACTGGAGGGAGCGGCAAACAAATTTGGGTCAAGTTTCAAACGCACTTGAAAATTTAAAAAGCGCAGTTGTGTCTACAGCTGAGAGCTTGCAGATAATTGAAGAGACTACGATCCTAAAGAAAGAAGAATTGCAAGCTTTATGCTCTATAAACACAATTGACCTCTCAACGCTCCCAAATGAGACTAAAAAATTAGCAGATTTAATTTCATATTATCGAGACATCAGGACCAAATTAGAAATAGTTAGGAAAACACACCATGATAGACTTGGAATGAAAATTGAAAAAATTGGTGAAAATATAAAGTTCAGCTTCGAATATATCGCAAGAGATAGAAAAACTGAGCATAGTGTGACTCTTGCCCTTAATAATGAAAAATATCAAATCGTCTCTTGCATCCCAGAAATTCCACGGCTTCAAGATCTCGAAATGGAGCTAAACTGGACTCTATCTTTAGGTACTTTTTTAAAGAAAGTTAGAAAAGAATTTACTAATTCACCTTATGCAAAAGGGTATTTGTTTTACATTAAGCACGCATAATATTTTTATTCTATCAAAATAGTTTTTTTAAAATTTTCAGCCTTTATTTGATAATAATTTTTATATAAGCTTTATGTATAATCAATGTTTAATATAATTTTATCTGTGATACTTTCGATGTCTTCGTTCTCTTTCTGAAGAGCTCGACGAAGATTTAGACCAAGTTTTCTCACTTGAACTTGAATCGCTCTTATGGCGATGGCTATCACGATGTCTTTCCCTATGCCTATAATCATCTCTATATCGGCCTCGCTCTCTTGATCTTTCCCTTCACTTTTTTTGAGGCCTTTTGCCAGATTCCCTCTTATTTTCTTCCTTTCCTTCTTCAACTAATAATTCTAAGCTTTCTTCAAACAAAGCAGAAGGAATTCCATTCGGGTCTTTATTCGCTGATATAAGGAGCCTTCATAATTCAAGAACAAAGCCTCTCGTGTTTTCTTCTAAGAAGCCATGAATGCTGAGCTCAAGCTTTTTGGGATCCAAAGCATTTTCTGTATTTTCAAGAAAAGCAGTTATTAAATTAGCTAAAATCTCATCTTCTATTTCCAAAATTTGAGTTGTTCTTTTGGAAATTCATTTGTTTATGAGTTTCATATTAACTTTTTTTATGTCTACTTTCTGAGAATATTCTGGAGGTCATGTCATTGATTTTATTAGCTTGTCTTCTTTCTTTTTGTAAAAAGGATCTTGCTCATAGGTAGCACCTATATATGATCTTCCTGCGGCCATTTATAATATAATGCACAGAACTTTAGATTGCGAATTATCGCGACGCTGTATTTTAATGAGGCTTATTCTAAATAAATAATAAGCTACAGCATTAATAAGCATAAGCAGCCTTAATTTTATATAATTAATAATTATTACTGTTATTATCATTAAGGACTTTTCCATTTTTTGCTATATCAGAAGTCGAACACTGTATGCAGCAATTTTCACACCTAGTTAAGACCCATTTCCCAATAAATAAAATTTATTTAAAAGTGTTATAAAGATTCTGAATAATTTGCGACTTATTATTGAAATAAACTTAATTTTTATAGGCTTTTAGTTTCGATTGATTTGTGTTTTGGAAGTACTATGGGCTCGTCTATAATATCTTCTTCCTCTATGATATTTTTTGGTGCCTTTTTAGCAAATATCGGAGCACTTTTAGGATTTCTTACTAATGAGTTATCAACTCTTTGTGGTCTTTTCTTCTTTAATACGACTTCAAATGCTGTTTGCTCATTTTCAGATTCATCTTTTTTCGTTTCCACAACCGTCTTACTCAGATCTAATTTTTTCATCTTATGATCATTTGGGCAAAGATTTTCTGACTTACTGTTTTCTCTATTAACAAGGGCATATATTAGCCCACTGACAGTCAGCAAAAAAATAAACTTTAAATTTATTTTAAATCTTCCAAAACCAACTCCATAGTATTCTTTGTCGTTTACTAAAGAATCGTCATAGATAGCTCTTTGCTGATCATCCATCAAAGTTTGGTAGGCTTTAACAATATATGAAAATTCTGTCTATATAAGGCTTACAGTTGGCTCTTCCTGCAGATCTGGGTGCTTTTTACGAGCGAGATTAAGGTATGCTTTTCGTATTTGATTGCTATTTGCTTTTGGGGATACGCCTAAAATTTCATAATAAGTCATATACTTAATTACTATTAATAAAAGAATTTTTATTGATTAGCTGCTATTCTATATCTATTTCAAAATAGTGCAATGGCAACTAGTAGAAATATTTTATATTCACTGTAATTAGGCATATCATCTAAGTCTTCCTTTGTCAAATTCTCTCTGGTCCGGCTTTCAGTTCCAAAGGGTCTTCTAATATTTTTATTAAAATAGAAGCCTGCATAATTATTTTGTCTTGAGGAAACACAATTCAAGTATTTAAACTGTGTATAGTCCAGGAACTCTTTTAGATGGTTAAGGTTGGGGCAGCTCCCTAAGTTGGTTTCTCCAACTTCAAGTTTACGAAAAACTCCAAGAGTTGACAAATAAGCCTATTAAGAGGCATCTGCCAACTTCCCAACTTAGTTTGGAAACTTGAAAATTGAAAATCAGCTTGGGGAGTTGCTGAGCATTCTCGCAGCCCAGGACCATCGAAAGGGTTCCTGGGCGATAGGCATTTGCATTATTGCTTTACCTGTACCTAAACTTGACTGTGTTAAGTATCTGTATGCTAGCTTGTTACAAAGCATAAATTTTATTTTATTATATTAAGATATTAAAGTTTAATTGGCAGTTTAAGTCCTCCAAGTCTCAGTGTTTTTCTAGCTTGCGTTTTTCGTTTTCTTATTTCATATTTCTTTAATAGTGAATTGTTTTCTGTTCCAGCCACAAATATACTGAAGAACCCTCCAAGACAAGCACCACATAAATTCCTGCCTGGTCAAGCACAGATGCCAACCCCCCCACCCCCACCCCCCCGTGCATGGATCCCACCCCCACCCCCTAGTATATATGGATCCCACCCCCACCCCATATGTTAAATAGATCCCACCCCCTCCACCCCCCACCCCCTCTATCATATAGGTAAACATATAAGTATCAAATCTTACAAATAAGACATACAATAAAATTTTAGTTAATTCATAAATAGATTCATAAATAAATATTAATGATCATAAGTATATTTAGCATAGACTGATATAGCCAATATATATTAGTAATACATTTAAAATAAAATAATTGCAAAAAACTTGTTACATAGAAAGGAATCAATAAATGACTCAAAAAATATTTTGATTTCTCTATAAAGTCTTTTACTCCCCCATTTAATAACGAACACTTTTTTAGTTCGTTATTAAATGGGTCTAACTTATAAAATTCTTGGGAAAAAAATATATAAAATTTATATTAAATATCTATGATTTTTTATATAAAAATTTCAATAAAGGGTTAATAATAAAAAGTCAAATGATGCCAACATAAAGAGAAAGCGCCTAAATATGCGAAAAAATAACTATTGCTAACTCCCCCACTCCGTGAGCGAACAAAACCATTAGAAAAGTCCCTCACTCTTCGTGAGCAAACAAAAATTTTTTTAATAGAAAAATTTTTTATGGAAAAAAGTTTGATATATAAGTGATAATTATTATAATGAAATCTCTGCCTAATTTTTTTTAATTTTAAACAAATTGCGTTTTAAAACATAAAATTTTACAAATTCAATTAATATTTGCTTTCCAATTTTTGCGAATTAGGATTTTTTTAAATTTCGTAAAAATACAAATAATCTCCTTCGTGAGCAAACGATATTTTTTTGTTCTCTTACGGAGGGGGGAGTAAAGCACCATCTTAAGATTAAGCCATATTAGCTCTTATTTATTACTCTTTGCTTGATTATGCTTGTCTTTATCTTACTCTAACTACTTAAAATTAGTAAACTGTAAAGACTAAATTAGCTTATATAAATTTTATAGTAAATTTTGTTCGGTATTAAATGGGCCTTAGGAAAAATTTTTAGGAAAAAAAAATGACTGTTTGTTTGTTATTAAATGGCGGGGGGAGCTAGCCTGCATTATTTAGAAATTTTTGACCTTTATATGATTTAAAACACGAGGTATGTGCTTGAAGGTTCATTGAAAATATGGTTCCTCGTTAGCACACTGTATCCGATTTTTTTTATCATCCCTATGACTTGAATTTTTTATGCTGTGAGCAATTAATACATTTTATTTGCCTTTAATACAGTTTACATTATATAGGGGGGGGTGGCATCTATTAATGGAATGGGGGTGTGTGGGTGGGATCCATAGATGCAAGGGGGGTGGGGGTGTGATCCATACAGGGGGTGGGGGTGTGATCCATACAGGGGTGGGAAGTGATCCATACAGGGGTGGGGGTGTGATGTATACATCCAAACTGGGGGGTGGGGGTGGGGGGTTGGCATCTGTGCTTGACCACCTGCCAACTAACTCGTCCACAAGTGTAGGGTGGAATACAGACCCATTCGACTCAATTCCTAGCCTTCCTGCACTATTATCACCCCACGCAAATAGATCTCCATTTAAAGTCAAACAAGCTGAATGGGCATCCCCCGCGAAGATATAGCTGGCTTTTGCGTTTGTGTCTGCAAAAATGTCAGGCACGTCAACAATTTTTGGAGTATAAACTCTATTTTCCTCAAGCCCACATTGTCCTTCACTATTATCTCCAAATGTATAAATATTTCCCATGTTGTCTAGAATAATAGAGTGCCTGCATCCAGCTTCGCAGTCTATAATTTGAAAGCCTTTGCATACTCTTCCCCAGTTGTTGAAGAACTCAATTGTTGCTGGTCTGTCCCTTCCTCTTACATTTCTAGGCTCGCCAAGCTCTCCATAAGTATTGTCTCCTACAGAGTATAATTTTCCTTTTTTAGTAATAATTAAAGCATGCATTTTCCCAATTGAAATTTTCTTTATATTGTCACCTTCGTCCAGCGTCATATTAATTTCAACAGGATGCCTTTGCTTTTGACCAGAAAACCATTCTCCCCACATAAAAATCCTCCCAGATTCCAATACAGCAGCAGATCTTAGCTGGCCAGCAAAAATCTTTTTAATAGGATCTCCATCAGTTCCTGGGATAAAAATTTCAGTTGGGTTGCATCTATGCTTCTTATCTAAAAATCCTGAGCCAAGCTCATGGCCCATGCAAAGTAATCGTCTTAAGCCATCTTCGTTTCTTTTGACCAAGATCATGGTATGATAAGATCCAGCAGCAATATCTAAAATTTCGTGACCGTCTATTTTTAGGACAGTCCAAATGTGATTGTTTTGGGGCTCAGGCTCTTCGGTTTTTTCTTGATCCTCTTTAGTAACTGGCTTATTTTTGAGCGCTTCTAACTGCTCTAACTCAGTATATCCGCATTGGCCGTATTTATTGCTGCCTCCTATGATTAACGCATTTTTCTCTGTCAAGCATACAAAATGCTCGGCTCCGCATTTTAATTTTACGATTCCTTCATGAGTGGGGTCTTTTCTTAGCAAGGATTGCTTGATTTTGCTATGATTCAGAAGAGGTGGTACAATGCCATATGCAAAAACAACAAAATTTGTGTCCTGCTTTTGGATTGTAATGTTGCTTGTTTTTTCTTCAGTGCTTGGAGATGCTACGAATGGAATCATTTATTAGGAAATATCTAATAAATTCTAAATAATAGCTTTAGACAATTAGGAGGTAAAACTATTAGAAACTATAAAGATTTTAAAGCTATTAATAATTGCATGATACTACTCTATTAATCTTTATAAGATTTGATATACTGGCACATAATAGCTTTTCTATTTTTTAAAAATCATAAAATATAATAATTGTATTTAGATAGAACAATAATAAAATAATTAACATACTGCTTTTGACTATAATGAATATTTAAAACTGAAAATCTTCTATTTCCTCCTAATGAGTCATGCCATGCCGCATCGCTTATAACTAGGATAACTTATCTAAACTAAACAAAAGCTCATAAAATATCTGCTCATTGTTAGTGAGCAAATAGAAAATTAATTTCATGCAATTTTTATTAGAAAAATGTTCTTTCTTCAAAATACATTGCTATATCAAATCCATGATATGATGTAAAAAGGATTTGTGTAAATTACTATTAACAAAATCAAAAATAAAAATGATACTCTATTTTATCGTTAACTTATCGTTAGCATACTTATTACCTGAACAGAGCCAAATAAGTCCTTACGACACAAAAAATCGATGCAACTGCCCTGAATCAAAGCTAGGCGACAAAGTTTGCAACTGAGAATGCGTTAGCTCTGGATGCAACTTCGATATGGGCGATTGCTGCGAGCCCTGAATGCTACACAATAATGTTTGTGATCCAGCCTGCAATACTGCCAGATATCAATATGATGGAGGTTTATGCTTAAATATTCCTGAATGCAAATGTGACCCAAGCATGCTTGGCAATCATGTCTGTGATCGTGAATGCGTAACTTTGGAATGTTTATATGATCTTGGAGACTGTTGTGATTTATCAGCTCTTAAAAGTGGAGTATGCACTCCAGAATGCCATTCCTGGCAATTCGATTGGAACGGCCCAAAATGCTTTGCAGACGCCCCTTCAATGTGCCCATGCGAAGATATACTTTTGGGGGACGGAGTCTGCCACCCAGAATGCAATATAGAAGTTTGTAGTTTTGACTATGGAGACTGCTGTCAAAATTGGATGCTTAAGAATGGAATTTGTGATCCATGGTGTAACAGTCCTACTTTTAATTTTGATGGAGGCGACTGTGAAGATAAAGAACCTTGCAATTGCAATTATAAAAAATTAGGAAATGGGATATGTGATATAGAATGTTTGTCTGATAGGTGCGGATTTGATATGGGAGATTGCTGTGATGAAAATAAAGTGAAAAATGGTGTATGTGATGTTGAATGCTATACTTTGAAATTCAAATATGATTATGGAGACTGCAAGCCAATTTCGAAAGACTGCAAATGTCCTCCTGAAGTGCTAGGAGAAGGAGAATGCAACTGGAAATGCTCGACTCCAGAATGTGGCTATGATTTTGGAGATTGCTGCGAGCCTTGAATGATCGGAAATGGATTTTGCGACTCCCAATGCAATGTACCTATTCATAATTATGACAATGGAGAATGTGAAGGGCTAGTGTGCAAATGTGATAGAAAACTATTAGGAAACGGCCAATGTGACCAAGACTGTTTAACTGCAGAGTGTGGCTGGGATGGGGGAGATTGTTGTGATTATAGCCTTCTCGGGGACGGACATTGTGACATGATTTGTTACGCTCCTCAGTTTAACTGGGATAACTTTGACTGTAACGGAGTTAATAATAGCTGTAAATGTGACCTTACGAAAAGAGGAAACTTTGTTTGTGATGAAGAGTGCAATAATGAAGAATGCGACTATGATTTGGGAGACTGCTGTGACGCAGCAAAGCTCGCTAATGGCATATGTGACCAGGAATGCAACTTTATGCGCCACAGCTATGATAACAATGACTGTTTAAAAGAAATGTGCCACTGCGACTTAGAGAAATTAGGAGATGGAAGATGTGATTTAGACTGCTATAATCCTGCATGTGGATTTGATTTAGGAGATTGCTGCGAATCATGGATGCTTAGCAATGATTTTTGCGACGTCGCTTGTCTGTATAATCCATTTGATTTCCTTTGTGTGAAGAAAAATGAATGCCCATGTGAAGTTCGCCAACTTGGAGATGGAAAATGCGATAAAGAATGCTTACTCCCTGGATGCGCATTTGACCTTGGAGACTGTTGTGATAGGAAACTTCTAAATAACGATCAATGCGATTACGAATGTTATGCACCTCAATTTAACTGGGACGGTCTGAAATGCTTGCCAGCTAAAGAAGAATGCAAATGTGATAAAAACAAGCTTGGAAACAAGTCATGCAATTGGGAATGCGTAAATGAGGAATGTGGATTTGATTTTGGAGATTGTTGTGAAGGATGGATGATTTCTAATGGAATATGCGACCTCATGTGCTACGCTGAAGCTTTTGATTTTGATGGTGGAGATTGTCAAACTATACATTGTCCTTGTGATGAATCGTTGCTGGGAAATGGAGAATGCAACCCTGAATGCCTATATGATGCCTGCTTATTTGATCATGGTGACTGTTGCACGCCAGAAATGCTGGAAAATGAGAAATGCGACTATGAGTGCTATTATTATGAATTAGACTATGACAATGGATTTTGCAATTATAGGCCACAATGCAACTGTGATCCAAGTTTGCTAGGTGATGGAGTTTGCCAATGGGAGTGCGTGACTAGCTTTTGTGGCTATGACTATGGAGACTGCTGTGACAATTGAATGCTTGGGAATTCTATATGTGACCCAGCTTGCTTTACAGTTTCAAAAGATTTTGATATGGGTGATTGCAAAGGGATAACAGAGTGCCCTTGTGATCATTCACAATTAGGAAATAATATATGCGACTATGAATGTATGAGGCCTGAATGCAATTATGATATGGGAGATTGCTGCACTGGAGAGCTACTTCACAATGGCCATTGCCATCTAGAGTGCTACCAAGAGGGTTATAAGTTTGACGCTAAGGAATGCAGCGTTCCTTCTGCGTGCCCTTGCAGTCCAGATCTCCTTGGCAATAATATATGTGAAGTTGAGTGCAATATTCCATTATGTTTCTTTGACCAAGGTGACTGCTGCAAGCCAGAAATGTTGGGAAATGGGGTTTGCAATTCTGAGTGTAATTATTCTTATAAAGATTATGATAATGGAGATTGCGTGGGAGGAGGAATAGACTCACCTATAGCGTGCTCGTGCTTAGAAGCGAAATATGGAGATGGGATGTGCGATTTGGAATGCAATACTGCTATTTGTTATTATGATAATGGGGACTGCTGTGAAAATGAAATGCTTGGGAATGGAATTTGTGACCCTGAATGTGATATGGAAAAGTTTAATTTCGATAATGGAGACTGTAATCATCCTTACATTTAATTTAATATCATGATTTAAAATAATTATTTAGGCTTATTACTTAAAATAGACTGCAAATTAAATATAATTGAAGAAATAATTTAAATCTAAAATTAAATATTGGCAAATAAATTAATTTGTGCAATAGTTGATGTAAAAATAGCATTTCAAATAGCAACTTGAGCTTTATATAATTCACTATTATGATTGTATCAGTAAAATCTTTATAGAATTTGTAATTTTTGATAAAAACATTAAATTTCGAAAAAAATTAAATTAATAGAATATTTCTGATATCTTAATTTCACTACTCTTGCTCAATTCAACAATTACGCTACTAATTAACAATCCCTTTAATTAACACTTTTATTCAATATTTTCTATTTACAACCTAAGAAAGGCTTTGAGTATCCTAACCATTCCAGCTTTTCCTCCTTTCTCCTGCAATTCCATCAAGCAAACTATTCCCAGTCGGCACTTCCAAGGTATCTTTTGACATTTGTCTTTTTGGTTTAACCATAAAAGTTTTTAACATTTTATATTCATTTCTTTCATCTTCAGGCAATTTTTTTAATGCATCTACAATGGATTCCCTATGGGAGATAGAACCTTTGGTTTGTCTATGGGCATTAATATCAGACATAATCTTTTTGGTTGTAGGAGTGATTCTCTTTATGTGGGGATTGACATAAATTCGTTCCATATTTATAATGTGGAGGAGTCATTCTGCGAGTGAAGTTGTAAGGATATTTCGGAATATTACAATAAGAGTCATCCAGGATGATATCACAGCTGAAAAATCTGACGCAATTGGTAATTTTCTATTAAGTCAATGCTGCAAATAACCATTTGATGCATGGAGGAGGGGTTGCAGGCGCTATTTCAGACCGAGGTGGTCCGATGGTGCAAAAAGAAAGTACCCAATGGGTTAGAGAACATGGCGCTGTTCCAACTGGACAGGTTGCTGTCACAGGTCCTGGAAGGCTCCATTGCAAATATATAATACACGCAGTAGGACCAATTTATCATAACGGAAGGTCTCACGAATCAGAATTATTAGAAGAAGCAGTGATGAGCAGCTTGGAAAAAGCTCATGAGCTGGGACTACAATCTATTTCAATACCAGCTATATCCAGTGGCATTTTTGGCTTTCCAAAACCTCTATGTGCAAAAATTATGGCAAGATGCACCAAAAACTTTATAGAAAGTCATCCAGAGACTACTATAAAAGAGATAAGACTGACGAATTATGATACTCCAACTGTGACTTTGATGGAAAAAGAAGTCGTGGCACTATATGATGGATTAGCTGAGGAAGAAAAAGAAGAACCTAAAGAAGAATCCAATGAAGAATCCAAAGAAGAATCCAAAGAGGAAAATAAAAATGAAGAAACTCCTGAAGAGAGTGACCCAAAAGGGGTAAGGCAAAGCAGTGAAGACGTGTCAGCTGCTGAAAAAGATGTGACTGTTGCACATGATAAAATGAGCAATGAAGCTGAAAAGGAGCCCAAAGGTGAGTCAACATCATCTGAAAATGCCATGGAAATAGAATTGAATAAAGAAAATGATAAAGAAAGCTCTCAGTAGACTCTAATTTAACGGCAATTCCAATAACAATGATCTTTAAAATGTTCATTTCTACTTCTGAAAGTGTAGGAATTAGCTAAAAATATCTAAAATAAAATTATTTTACCATTTTGAAAATTACAAAACCTTATTATTCCATTTTTAGTGACATATTTATCAAATAATCTCCTGTTTTAGACAATTTCTCAACAATCCTAAAACCTTGAAAAATTTGTGATTAATTCTATTTCTTCAATAAATTACTAAAAACTTAAATGGACGAAAACATAGCTCGAGATATTTCTGACTACTTCAACGTTATAGATGTGCTTGGAGAAGGTGCTTATGCCTCTGTATATCACTGCTATTCTAAAAAAACAAAAAAAGAAGTCGCTGTAAAAGTGCTTTCTAAAAACCAAATGACCGAAAAAGAAATATCATTAGCTATGCAAGAAGTTGAAATTCTGCAAAGCCTCGATCACCCTAAAATTGTAAAATTTGAAGGAATTAAATACAGTGAAAGCGCATTTTTCCTTGAAATGCAACTCTTAAGAGGAGGAACCCTTATGAATTTAATTAAAACTCGAAAACTAACTGAACAGGAATCAGCAGAAATTATGAAAGGGATTCTAGAAGGAGTTGCTTATTTTCATGAGCGGCAAATAGTTCATAGAGATTTGAAGCCTGAAAACATTTTATTCGCTGAAGTAAATTCAATTTCATCTTTAAAAATCACTGATTTCGGCCTGAGCTCAAACTTTAGTTACGATACTCTTTTGGATTCAAAAACAGGGACAATGATATATATGGCCCCAGAGCAGGTTTTATCTAATTGCTATAACGAGCAAGTTGATATATGGAGTTGTGGAATGATTTTATATATGCTAATAGAAGGGCATCATCCACTTTTTGAGCCAGACGACGATGTCTGCTCTTACACTTGGAAGCTAAAAAATATCGAATGGCAGTTTTCAGACGATTTTCCTCCTTTAGCTAAAAATTTATTTTTACGATTAACAGCATTAAACCCGCTAGAACGGTACACAGCTGAGCTAGCCTTAAATCATCCTTGAATTACAAGAAAAAATTCAACGATTCCTAAATCTCATTTAGAAGATGCAAGAAATTATCATGATAAGTTAAAAATGAAGACAATAGTTATGCAATGCTTGATTTTGTCAAATATACTTAATGATGAATCAAATGGACTAACAGACAAATATAAGCATGTTTTGTATCATTTGCCGATAGAGCCTGTAGATGAAGTTGATGAAGATGAAGAAGAATTTTCCCAGCCCAAAAAAATGAAATCACTTAACGTTGAGACGACGACTCGTCCATCATTTTGAAAAAGCACACTGAAGACGAAAACTTTGCTGACTACTCCTACTTCAAAATATGTTTCTTCTACTCCGAGATTAATCAGATCTAACTCGAATGGTTCATTAACGACTTTGCATAAAAGCAAAGCAGCTCTTACATTGAGAAAAGTCAAAAAGTAATATTTATCAGTTTAATAATTAACTAATCGAATAATCGCAAACTTGCTATTTCTCTAACTTCAATGGGGTATCATTGCCATTCATCTAAATTTTGACTATGAAAATTTGGGGAAAAATAATCCTTTTAGATGATTAGGTTTTATCAAAATTTTAAATATTAAGAAAATGTTTTATTAAGTTTGTATTTTTTTTCAATTTGGGAAGTAAGAAAAAATTATAGCTACAATTAGTCTAATTCAAAAAAATTATTGCTCATTAAGTTAGCAAATCAAAGCAGCTTGTAGTATTAAAAGCAGCTAAACTCCAAACAAATTTCATTTATTAAATTTATTTGAAAATTTAAATTTATATTGCTATAAATCTTCAATTTAAATTCCAACACTTTAATGATAAATGAAAGTACAAGGAAAAGCTGCATTCCAAAATGAAGCCACTTCTAATCTCTCCAAGAAATTATTAGCTAAAAAATCTTATGCTCTGCGAAATAGCACCGCTGAAGCAAATCACCATGAACTAGAAGACGTTCACAATCCTCTATTTTTACAATGAAAGCCTCAAGCTAGGTATCATCGCAAGAATTATAGCTACACAAAGGAGTCTGACTTTTCAGAAAAATCATCATTTGTAAATCCTAAAAACGAAATTGGAAGTTTATCTGTATATAAAACTAACGAGGATGCATTTTACAGACACCAAAGAGAAGCCCTAGCCCTTCGTCATAAGTATATAGAAAGCCTTGAGAGAAAATCTGGAGTTTTAAAAATAAGGGAGTCAAGCTTGAATAATCGTAATATTATGACCCCCTATGGCATCTCTCATACATTTAATTGCTCTAAACGTATCAAGAATTTAAGTAAACCCAGATCTCTCAATTCATCTGAAACAGACATTTCAAAGCACTCTATTGTTGAAAATTTGAATCTTCCAAAACTTAAAGAGACAAAAGAAATAAATGCAAAAGATTATGAGGAGGAGCAGGAAATCTCTCATATGCTTGCTGAGCTTGATACCTTTAGCAAAAGGATAAGGAAAAGCGGCATGACTTTTGGATGCTCCACAATAGACATTTTAATGCTAAACAGCAAAAAGAAATATAAATAGTGTAAACAAAGATTTATTTTGCATTTTAGCTTGTGTTTATTAATTTTTTTCGATAAATTTCATTTTAGCTATTGCTATGGATTAATATCATATTAAAATGATAAGATGGAGCAGAAGGCTTCTTGCCAAAGAATGGATGAAATTTTTCTCAAAGACTGATTATTATAATACACATTATGATAGAAGCTTCAAAGATTCATCAGACTACTCAGTCATTATGGGTGCCTTAAGAGTATTCTATATATAGGACTGATACTTGCAAATGCATAGAAAGGATATGACTCCAAAACAAGTATTAAGAGCAGCTTCGGTATTTAATGTAATGAGAATTAATGCAGAAACAACTGATGAGATGAATGCACTTAATACTTTAAGCTTTTCCATTCAAAAAATAACAGAGGATGCTAACACAGAATGACTCCCAGAAATGATATCGTTATTTGCAGATTTTTGATCTTTACCACCTAAGTGTGGAATTTTTTCCGCGTGTGAAAAGAGGATTCCACATATGGAATCAAAAGGGCTTCACATGTGGAATCCTCTTTTCACACACGGAAAAAATTCCATACTTAGGTGGTAAAGTTCAAAAATCTGCAAATGACGATATCGAATTTTTGTATTTTTTCTACGAGAAACAATGAGACTTTTGAATCTCTTTTCAACAGTCCTGGTATTTTAGAAAGAATTATTGAGAAGAGCTTTACCAATCTTAATGATTTCGATATTGGGAAATTGGCTATTTTAGTAAATACCTTGAGAACTAAAAAATCTAGGTCATTTAACGTGCTCTATGAGCACCTATTCTCAAGGTTTAACAACACTACAGATTTCACTTGCTTCAGTGAAGAAGCTTTAAGTGAAGTTACCAAAGCAATATTTTTGAAGCAAAATCAAGAATATGCCATTGAAAATGTGCAAGAAAACTTATTTAATTCAAAGAGCATGGATGCTTTTAAATCAAGGCTCTATAAGATTTTTAGTGATTTAGAGAATAAAGAAGATATGGTGATTACTGTTTGTGGAGGGTTTAATAATTTAATAGGCCCTTCCAAAAGAGAGATTTTCGATTTTATGTTCACTGCAATTACGAAATATTTGAATTTATACAATGATAGGATTAATCCTGGATATAGGCACTCAAATGCGAATAAATTAATAAAGATTGTAGAATGTTTTGACCATACACATCCTTATGCTCAAAGTCTTTATAAGCAAGTTACTGCTTCTATATATTATCATAACATTTTTAGGACAAGCTCTATTTTTTCCAAAATGAGTATGAAGAGGATTAGGATTTTAGGATAGCAGTCATCAGAGATCTCCCGTACTGAAGGTTCTACCGCTTTTCGACTCCAGCTCAGAGGGTCTATCATTCTTGCTAGTGCCCTTTCGGTACCTTCTGTCTCCTTCTTGCCTTGAGGCTTTAGTCTTGAGTACTTATGGATTTCTGAGGCCCTGCTACGGGCGATTGGAGCAGATTGATTCCAAGTGTCAACTCCTTGGAGAATATTGGGTGTCGAAGTGCTTTCCTTCAACAGCTAGAGGAAAAAGACTGCTCCCCTGGAGTCCGTCCCAGTTCGCCGTAGCGATAAGGTCTGTACTGCTGCGCCAAGAGGGTAGGCTGGCACGTGTCGCCATTTTAATTTATATAATTCATATGAAGAAAAAAGCCTATTTTGTAGCGAACTGTCTAAAATTGACAGTTAAATATAAATCGTTTGAGCTAGCTTTCCTTGACTATGCGGTTAGTTTTTTATCAAATGACCCTATCCAAAACAGCTTGGAATATTTTGACACAGTACTTTCATCATTAGCTTTGCTGAATTATTCGAAACGGTTCTCTGATTCGACCCCATTTACTCCAGGCTTAAAGGAGAATTGGGAGAAATTTTTAGAAATTTCGATCGAGAACGTTGAATCAATATTAGAAGGTTTTGGAGCTGGAAGCAGTAAACTGATGCTTGATAATAAGAAAGAAATAGCACAATCTGTTATAAGAATATTATGAAGCTATTGTAGTTTTCAAAAATTTTCGCAGAATTTGTTTTCACTTGCAATTAATACTGATATTTTGACGAAAAATAATATTGAAGATAACGATGATAACATTTTATCCATGCTATTGGTAATACAGAATAAAATTACTGAAGAAAGTGAAAGCAATATTTCTTTAAGCCCAGGATTGACAAGAAAAATTGAGAAATATAAGAAAAAACTTAAAAAGGCTTCTAAACAAACTAAAAAGGTTAAAAAAGCAAAGGAGGAAACTAAAGATGAGAATAAAGAAGAAAAGCCGGAATCTAAACAGACTAAAATAGCAAGTGAGGAATTTGAATCATCTAACTCCCCCTCTGTGGGAATCAAAAAAATTTCACTCATGAGCAAAGGGGAGCTAATCTTTATAAATTTTTATAGTAATTTTTTTTTCTAAATTTAAAAAAAATCCATTTTCGTAAAAATTGATCAGTAAAAACTAATTTAATTTGTAAAATTTATGTTTTAAAATCGCAAGCTTTTTAGAATAAAAAGAGATTCCGCTAGGGATTTCATTATAATAATTATCACTCATATATCAAAATTTTTATATTAAATAATTTTTGTTCGCTACTGTTTTGGATTTTTTAAAAGGGGATGTAAAGCCCAGATTCTTTAATCTTAAATAATTTCCATTTACTCAAGTCGTTAATTTATAAAAATTCTTTATTTCATAGATCTATAATTTTCTTATTTAGAAATGCAAAAGGGCTTTAACATGCCCATTATATTAAAAATGGAATTCTCTGTATCCATTAATAAGTTTATCCTGTGAAAATTTTTAAAAATTTAACTCATCTTTAAATTGCTCTGGGTTGGTGAAACTGCTAATTGAGCCATTAAATTCAGGCTTAACCTCAAAATATTATAATAAATAATGTATCTAAATCCGTATGCTGCTCCCTTAACGTCAAGCCTCTCATTAGCTCCTACACCGAGCTACTCAACTAGTAATTTAGATGAGTATAAGAATATAGCAATACTTGATAATTCAAATTTTAGCCCTGTCTCTGATGTAGGATCAACTAAGCTACGAGCTACAACTAATGACTTTTTCTTCGAAGATTCAAGAGTAAAGTGTCAGTCCTGCAACAGGAGATTCTTCCCAGATAGAATTGAAAAACACCAACAAGCTTGCTTACAAATGCAAAAAAATAGGCCTAAATTCCAAATTCTTGACAAGATATTTCCACAAATTGAGAGGAAAGATGAAAAGCCTTATAAAAACAAAAGATCGCCACTCAGGCATTATCAAAATAAACACTGATATAAACAGCATCAAGATTTTATTAATAAAATAAGATTGCCTGAAATTGGAACAATCCTTGAAGAAAATGGTAGGGACAGCGCAAACTATTCTCCTACAAGCTTAGAGGATGACTACATTCAATGTCCATATTGTGGAAGAAGATTTGCGTCTTTGCCTGCAGAAGGGAATATGTATTAAAATAGAGTGGTGAGCTAGCCTGTCTCTTAACATCTGTAACTGGTTGGTTAATTGGAAAAAGCTTGAATCTTGTAGAAGGGAGGATAGCTTTTGGAAATGTATCTCTGGCTACGTTTTACTGGCTTGACCGAATACTCACATCCAGGTAAAAGCTTTACCTTGTGGTGAGATGAGATGGTTCGCTAGAGTTGAAAAAGGTAAAACACAGCATAGCTAGAGGTGGTTACTTACTCCCCCCCTTCGTGAGTGAACAAAAAAATTTTGTTCACTCACGGAGGGGGGGTTAATTTTTTTTTTTTAAAAAAATTTATATATAAATATTTTTATAAATTTTTTTTCGAAATTTAAAAAAAACTAATTCTATAAATATTTGGAAGCAAATATTTATTTAATTTATAAAATTTATGTTTTAAAACACAATTGTTTAAAATTAAACAGATTTAGCTCGAGATTTCATTATACTAATTATCACTTATATATCAAAAATTTTTTTTATTGAAAAAATTTTTGTTTACTCACGGAGGGTGGGTTTTTGGGCAAAAAATAGGGATTTTTCTAATGGTTTTGTTCACTCATGAGGGGGGGGAGTTAGATAATTGGGCAAATTTCCATGCATTGTATCTTTGGGCTCGGAGTTCCATTTTGATTGGCAGCTCGACCAAAATATCCTTTATTCGATTTTCTGGAAGGCCAATCCCATTGGCATACGCCATGGCTTATTCAGCGTTTTGACTAGCGAATTTAAGCCCTCTTCCGTGAGAAGCAATGCAGTGGAAGACCTGGTCCGAGCTGGCAAGCAAGTGATGGAGCGTTATGCGGAGGCGAGTAGAGGGAACTTCCCTATAAGTAATTTAAGTTAAGCCTGCAGAAAGACACATTCCCAAATGCAAAGATATCATCAATAAGCCAAAACCTTTGAGAGTAGTTTTAAAAGATAAAATTACGTTACCGAACATTTATTTGGCTTATAATCGAAATGGGGAGAATGAATCAGGATCTTTAAGCAATACAAATAGGATATCTATCTTTAATATTACTAAGTCGAGAAAAATCTCTCCAGAGCCAGAAAATTTAAAATCAAATTTGATCAAACTAAATATGGAGGAAAAAATAAAGGACTCTGTTAAAAAAAGATATACAGTGAAGCATGTACTTTGTGCGCAGTGCAATTCTTTTCTGCTAGCAAGTGCAAATTACTGTAGTATGTGTGGGACTAAGCAAAGTTTTAAAATAAGCTAACTCCCCCTCCGTGAGAGAAACAAAACCATTAGAAAAATCCCTATTTTTTGCCCAAAAACCCACCCTCCGATAGCGAACAAAAATTTTTTATGAAAAAAATTTTGATATATAAGTGATAACTAGTATCATGAAAATTGAGCTAATTCTGTTTAATTTTGAACAAATTGCGTTTTAAAACATAAATTTTACAAATTAAATTCATATTTGCTTTCCAATTTTTGCGAATTAGGTTTTTTTTAAAATTTTGAAAAAAAAAAATTAGCATAAAATTTTTTTGTTCTCTCATGGAGGGGGAGTAAGTAATTAATACAAATTTTTATGCCTGCTGCAATTTATTAAATAATATTCCACCTAATTCCAACCTTTTTTCGAATTTTTCTATTATTTAAAGTTTAATTCTTATATAAAGAGCTTTTACTTTAATAATAAAGCCAAATCTAAGCAATTATAAAAATTTGGATCAAATCATGCATTTAATTAACAATGATGCAAGGACTATATGGCAGTAATCGATTTGTTAGACACAGAAGATCTGAAGGTAATAATACATTTGCTCAGCAAAAACTTTTCCATGACAGATTAGGAGGTTCTCCTAAATCGTCAAATCAGAATCATGGCTGGCCAACAACTTTTGAAATTGTCAGAAGAAATCGTTTGGAGAGAGCAAGCGAATTCAGAAAGCCTGGGATATGCATTTCAAGAAATTCTTTATCTAATCCAAATTTAATTTCTCAACTTGAAAAAACTTCAGATTCCATAAGTCTATTGAATCCCTCTAAAGATATTTCATTTGATTCAAAAATTAAAAAGAAAAAGAAAGCTTTTTCTAATGCAAAATTTTATAGATTAAGCAAAAAGATAGAGAAACTTCCTTCAATTTTACTGAAAAGCAATTCAAATTATTTTGGGTGTGTTGGATCATCAAGTCCAATTGGAAATTTATTTGGCAAATCTCAATTTGCTAATAAAAAATGCGATGATTATGAATTCGAGCCATATATAAGGCATAATAGAGCAAAAGATAGTGAATGCATGACTGATATCCACAGTAGAGAATTTCCTGATATAAAAATAAATGACAATCAGACGTTAACTCCCAAGCAAATGAAGAAAAAATGTTCATTAAAATCGCAATCAAGAATACGAATTAGGTCAAAGCTTATCGATTTTTCTGAAAGAGAGCAACTTTCGCCATGGGAAAGTCGTGGTGTTAATACTGATATTATAATTTAAGACAAAACTTTTCAAATATTATTGTTTTCACTTTTAAATAAATTATCAAAAATAATTTTTTAATAAAAAATATAGAAGTCTTCAAGGTAAAGTTATAGCTGCTCATGGGACCAATGAGTCGTCAGAACAAAATCATCCGCAACCTCCTATCAACAGTAATTGAAAAATTGATCAGGACAATACTTCATGCATAAAGCAATACTCATTCAAAATGATAATTTATATGTATTCTATTTCATAAATATTAGAAAATGTATTTATAGCTAGAAATTATTATTTAGTAACAGTTCATACCTGCTTGCAAAATAAAGTAAATTATTTATTTTCGGTCTTAAACCATAACAAGTGCTCGGGGATATTGTCGCGTATCTACATCTTGCTTATAGTTTCTCTTAATAATAAAAAATACTTTGGCCACAAGAAAAAATGCGCCTGCTACTGGTATTAATGATATGATGATCAGCACTCCAATTGCCAATAAAGCAATAATAAGTGATCCTACTACAGTTCCGAAAATAAAAGAAAAAAGGCACTTGAAATAAGAGCAGTCCCTATTAAAACACACATCATATGATATCACATATCCTACAGCAAGCCCACCAATAGCTAATCCAAATAGCTCCACAATAGGTGAAACTAGAAACGCCAGAGTATAAATTATTCACTTTTTACGAAATAGCCAGTTAAAAGCTGGCACATCTGTAAAATTCTCTCCATATATTTCTGCTGAAATAAATAAAAATACAAACACCCCAAACGGCATAAGCACTGGTGCAAAAATCATGCAGAAAATGATATATCAATAAAGCTCGAAATAATTCCTTCCTACCAAGCATGTGAATTCATTGTGATTTGGGTCTCCAACCTCCATCCCACAATTTCAACACCAGTGGTATCCACACTTAATACAGCTCATATGAGGGCATCCTCCATTTTTTTCAACTCTAAGCCTGCACCTAGGGCAAAACTTTACGTTATTTCCTTCAGCCCACTTTTCAAATTTATAATCATAATTATTTTTGCATTTTTTCCTTCCATGCCATTTTTCATTGCAATAGAAGCAATAATACGAGCCACAGACATTGCACTTTAGCTTTCGTTTCTTGGTGCTTCCTGTATCCCAGCCTTCACAATCAGGAACTGGGCACCATCGCAAGTATGGGTTTGATTCCAGTATAGCCTTTCGTTTGAATTTTTTGTATTTTTCTGCAATTGACGAAGCGAGTGTCGAATATATGATTTCTTCAGGAACTTCATATGGACAGCCATCTTGAAGACAAGGCACAGATTTTACATTACCTTCGGAGACTCTGTACTCTAAATAAGAATTTAGGCAATTTCTGCAGAAGGAATGGAAGCAGGAAGGAAAACAAACCATTTCTGAAGATTCCTCGGTACAGACTGGGCAATATTTTGCAAGACCTTGATTTGCTGAAAATTTAGGAGATTGATCGAAATTGTAGTTTCCTAAAGGCTCCTCTAGTGCTACCTTTGGATCTATCAAAGGGACTTTTAATTCTTTAATAGGAGGAGTCTCAGCTCCAAAAAACCAAAATTCACGATCCATTTTGAATTAATAATTTATTAAGTGCAGAGTTGTAATTATTTCAAAAACATCTTTCGAATTAATATGATAGTTCTGTTATAGCACACCCCTTGTGGATGCTCGCCATTAAGTACCCCCTCCCATGCCATCCACCCCCTGACGGTCCTGAAAATTTTAAATGTTAAAATATTATTTGACAAGTCCCCCTCAATACTTTAACTTGTCAAATTAATATTTAGCATGTTAAAATATTTGGACCGTTAGGGGGTGGGGTGGCATGGGGAGGGGCTCTCAAGGCCAATCCAAAACGGGTGTAAGCTATATAATTTAGATACGTTGAAGTTACATTCTGCAAGAATATAAGTCTTTCTCATTTTATTTATAAAAAAATGCAGTTTATTTACATAAAGCAACAGCTTTCCAAAGAAAAATATTATTCTCCATAAAAATGACAAATAATTTCTTAAAGGCGAAACAATTCAAAGTAAAATAGATCCTTATAAATATTTCTAATTCAAAAATGATAGATATGGACAGTTTGAAATCCCGAAAAAGCATTTTACTAACTTCCCCTATTGACTCAAAAAAGCGTAAAGTGATTGATCCCGAAAGCGCAGCAGTTTTAAAGCAACTAACTGAAATAGCTGAAGCTGCTCAAGATGCTGAAGATGATTTTAGTTTCCTCAGAACAAAAGAAAGGTATTTCACGCCTCAAAATCAGAGAAAAAATCAAGGTTCTTCATTTAAATACGAGCAAAAGCGCTTAAAAAGACTTAAAGAGATTCCTCCTGAAGAAAAAGGGCATTACTTGTACAAATTTATCAATTCTTTGAAATCATATCCCGATATTTATGATCAATTAGTTAAACAGGCATTTGATCGCGGCATTCTTTTTCCAAAAAAAAACTTATCTTCATCATATTACTATAACTATATTTATCCTACAAACAGAATTCAACTAGACCCACTACCCAAAACACCAGATGGTAATTTGACAGCTCCTTTAAATGTAACACCAGCTGATAAAATTATGAGTCATCAATTGTCAAGCCATTCAGGAAGTGAAAAAGAGTATACAATTCCTATTACGACTACAAGAAGAGGAGGAGTCCTTGAGCAATATTTTAGGAATGCAAATTTAAGGATCGTTCGTGGAGGTGATTATAAAGACCTAAGTCCAATGACTGCAGAAACCAAAAGAAGCAGAGCAAATTCATCACTAAGTCGAGTTCAAAGCCGACCTGGAAGCAGACTGAGGAGAATTGCAGGTTTCAAAGAGCATGTTTTGGACCCTGAAAATCAAAATTTAAGAAAAATTTTCCAAACTATTTCAGGTAATCTGGATGGGCTTTTTCGTCATTGTAGAGTGAGTAATCAACTGTTTAAGCAATTTCTAGAGAAAAAATATCCTAAAGAAATGGTGGATACAATGGGTAAATATTTTGATTTCAAACTTGGAACTTTTGAAGACTATGTTGGGGAAATGGAAAGATTTATTATGATGGGTGAAGAAAGGCAACTTTATTTTTGTTTTGATATATTGGATTTTAACAAAGACAAATTTATATGCTACCAAGACACTTATAAAGCAATTTCACTGAGGACTGAAAATTTTTTTGATGAAGATCTTATTAAAATACAAGAACTGTTTATTTTAAAATCACAAGGCCTTCTTGTCACAACTGAGAAAAGATTTAAAAGAAAAAAGCCCAGCACTTTTAATCTTACTCCCCCCTCCGTGAGTGAACAAAGCCATTAGAAAAATCCCTATTTTTTGCCCAAAAGCCCACCCTCTGTGAGTGAACAAAAATTGTTTTAATAGAAAATTTTTTATGAAAAAAAAAAATTGATATAATAGTGATTAATTAGTATAATGAAATCTCGAGCTAAATCTGTTTAATTTTAAACAAATTGCGTTTTAAAACATAAATTTTACACAAATTAAACTAATATTTGCTTTCCAATTTTTATAGAATTAAGTTTTTTTAAATTTTGAAAAAAAAACTTTTATAAAAAATTTATATATAAATTTTTATAAAAAAACAAATTAACCCCCCTCCGTGAGTGAACAAAATTTTTTTGTTACTCACGGAGGGGGGGAGTTAGCAATGAATTACTTATGGAAGAAGAGGAAGCTAAAGCAAAGCTAAAACAAAAAAGCTATGTTCATCCAGAAAAAGAGGAAGCAATATGCTTTGAGGATTTTTTAAGAATCAATTTTGGAGGGCGGCCCCAACTTTTGCTTCATTTTTTGGACTACACTTGCAATTACAATTATTTAAAAGCCTTAGGCCTCCAGTTCAACCTACAGCCTCTTTCCAAAAAGAACTCAGAAATCATTGTTGTCGAAATGAACCAGAATAGTGAAGTACTAGAAAACGTCCTTAGAGACGAGAGCAGATACATTTATCTTAAAGAGCTTGAAGACGCCATGTCATTATTTACTACAGAAACTGTTTACGATTTAATGGCAAAGTTTAATTATCTGAAGAGCCCAGACTATAAGAACATAAAAGTGATTTCCAAAAAATCCATGATTGAGAAGTTTGTAATGAATAATTAGCCAGATTTATTCGGAGTCAAGTGTGACTATATTTCAGAGCGGTTTTATGATTTTCTTTCAGGACCTGGACGCCATGATGTCACAAAGTCAAGATTCATGAAAATTGCCAATTCCTTAACAGAAGTAAAGAGCAATTCTAGAAGCCAAAAACTTTCATTTGATTTATATGATGTAAGGGCTGATGAAAAAATCACAGCAGATGAGATTTATAAGATGTTTCAGAGTCTGCCAATCAGATCTCCAGCCTATGACGAATGCTTAAAGTAAACTGTATTTAGGATTGTGAATGAGTTTTTAGCAAGCATTTTTGGAAGGAGGCATAAGCCGATATCATTTATTGATATATACAAATTCAACGAGCTGGTTGAGACATCTGTTTTCGGAAAAGAGTTTATAGAATTTTTCGAAGTCCCTTTCGAAAAGCTTAAGGACCGAACCAATTATGGATTTCTCCCAAGTAAAGATGTTTCAGAAGAAGATTTGAAACAAAGACGAGTAAGCATGACAGTTTTGAGAAACGCATCCAGACAAAGACTAGATAGTGATGAAGAATTTCAAGAATAAGAGATCGTCACAATTTGATAATACACATACACATGTAATAATTAACAAGTAAGAAATAGCACACAACATATATTTTAGCTAAAATATGAAAGTCGAAATGTGTGTAAGCGCTAATTAGCTTTCCAATAGCATTATTGCGTGCTATTCTATTATGTAAAAGCTATTCAGAGTAGTTCCAGCCTTCATTTGAGCAAGCTTGATTATTGTTTGGATAAAATCTAAAAAATTTCAAGTAGAAGAGTCTGTGGATGTCGTCCTAAACTATACAAGGAGCCATTTAATTAAATTGGTGAACTCGTTGCTGTGCTTTGCAGTTGCTTTTTCGCTTGCTCTTTGGATGTTTTCTTGTGAAGAGACTTATGGGATCGGACCTCTGATCCAGATATTCGGAGATTCCATATCTTGGCTGATCTCTGTTTATATTACTAGAAAAGAGTATTTAATAGCTGGCAAGACTTCTATTTGGCTTAGAATTTGATGGGTCGCCATGCTGCTTCAACAATTTGCTTGTGTGTCAATACTTATTACCTATGATTCCAATGTATCATATTACCAAAATACAAAGGTCGAGCATATTATCTTGCTTTCATTTTATGGTTCTATATGTGTTTATGGGTTTTTAAAGCCAGAAGATTTAAATAATCAGCAAAAAGAACAAGTTGAAGGATACTATCAAGTTATCAGCGACTCCTATGTAGGATCAGGAAAAACAAAGGAGCTGGAAGAGCAAGATGTGTGGGAAAAATTCAATGAAACGTCATATTTTGATGAAGAAGTAAAAATACAAGAAATAAAAAGACGGAAAAGTGTCAGAGAAAAAATTCAAAAAGTTGTTGTGGAAGATTATGAAGTTGATGAGAATCATGGAGACCCAATTGTTTATTATATTATTAGGATTTACAAAGGAAAATCGTCAAAGATAATTGAACAGACTAGAAGAAGATATCGAGAGTTTTTAAGTCTCTATAAAGAGCTTGAAACTCAGCATCTAAATTCTAATTTCCCACCTTTTCCTGCACAAACGGCAATAAAGTAACAAATATTCAGAGGCCTTATAGATATAAATAAAATAAAAGAAAGGGTGTCAGCTTTCAATAATTTACTAGAGTTCATCCTAAACAACTACTCAGAATTTGAAAATTTTAAAACATTTTTGCAGCCTAATGAAAAATTAAAATTCTATGGAAAAAGAAAAAGCCAAATTATTATTCCTTATTCTGTATCTCAAACCAAGCAATTTGACTCTTCACCTGAACCAATTGTTGATGAAGAATCTATTAGGAGAGAAAGAATTGGAAGCTTCATAGCTGAAAATAAGCATACAGTCTATATTAACTCTACACATCAAGAAGGACAGGGACATAAAACTCACACTGTTTATGATATTTGTGTAAAATTAGGATTTGAAGAAATCTGAAGTCATCATAGATTTAGTGAGTTTAAAGAATTGAGGGAGAAGCTAAAGAAGCTGGAAATCAACATGCCTAGCATTCCTTCTTCAGGGATTGGGGTATCTTCAGTTGACCCTAAAGTTGTAACAAAGCGAATGACCAAATTGACTGAATTTTTACAAAAAATTATTGATCAGAATGAACTGAGAACTAATCCAGATGTTATAAACTTTCTCAACTTAAATCAGATTGAACATATTTAAGATTAATTTAATTTTTAATAAATTTAAATTTGAAGAATTTGAGAAAAAAAAACTTAAAAATCTTACCATTCTTTTCGCAATTACAAAAATAATCATTTTTATTATTAACCTCCAGCAAGTATTTATAACAACTATTTTTTATCTTGACTATAAAAAGAATTTCTATTTAATTTAAATTCCCAATCAAAAAATCTGAAATAGTCTATTCATTTATATTTATCTTCGCTTATTAATTCAAATCCTAGTCTTTCTCTCAGCTTAAAAAAATCCGGGACTTATCTAACTCAATTATAAAATGGAAGAAGAGACCACTAGTACTGACACACTCTCTGAAGGAACAGATATTCTGGATCCAAGAGTCTGCAAGAACTTTTTCACTGGAAATTGTGAAGCTGGTAAGCTATGCAATTTTAAACACACTTTTCCAATACGCGAAGTAGTTTGCAAATATCTTCTTATCTACAAAGAATGCTCAAAAGGCTCTCTATGCCCCTATCTTCATGAAATAACCGAAGACAAGCTTCCTGAGTGCCGCAATTTCATGATTGACGGCGAGTGCAAAAATCCCGACTGCAAATTCAAACACAGCGCCGAAAGACGCGAGCAAAAAGAATGCATTTACTACAAAATGGGCTTTTGTGAGCAAGGTAAGTTTTGCAAATTCAAACACGTAAGAAAAGAAATTTGCTTGCAGTACGCAGAAACTCAGACGTGTATTTTAGGAAACGCCTGTCCTAAAGAGCATATAGACTATATGGATGAAGCTTATCTTGAAGATGCTTTCTATAAGTGCCATCCAGACGCCTCGGTTATGGATTATCATCAAGCAATGCAACTCTGCTTCAGGTGTATGAAGTTTGGCCACATCCCTGCAAAATGCCCAGTTCCTATTGAGCAGAGAGTCAAAGAAGTAAGGTGCTATAGATGTTCTGAGTTTGGCCACAAATCAAACCAATGCTCATATCAGTATAGCCCGTTCCGCTATAGATCGGGCTATGCCCATCTTTGCCGGGACACTCGAGGAGTTGTCTGCGTCAATTTTTGGTGACGAGCCAACTCCCCGAGTTGGCAAATAGCCATCATATAGTGATTTGCCAACTCGGGGAGTTGACTCGTCACCCAAAATTGACGCAGAAAACCCCCCGAGTTTCCGGCAAAGATTGGGCATAGCCCGATCTATATCCGGGAACAGGTTATATTGAGGCGCTGAAAACTAGAGCATATTGTAAAAAATAAAAATAAAAAGTAAATTATAAAGCTAATTTAGTCTAATTTAAAGAAGTTTGCTGGGTTCTCAAGGATTTCTTTGATTTTGTTTTGAGCTTTAGCGGCACGGACTCCGTCGAGGTATCTGTGATCAATTGTGCCAGTTAGGGTTAGGAATGATTGAACAGCTGGAGCGCCATTGATGACACAAGGCTCTGGCTTGACTGAGTTTATGACAAAACTGACAGGGCTTCTTAGTGATGGTGTGAAAGGAAGGTATATTGTGTCTAATTCAGTGTATGATATATCGCTTACTAACTCTTATGATCTTATTAATGAACTATTACTTATTAAATTCATTTTTAATCATATCAAAACAAAAGTATTTTATTATAAAAAAATTATTTAAGCATAAAATAATTTAGCCTTACATTTTGATTTTATTTTAGTACCGCAATGATTAAGCAGTGTCCAGATGGATAGCTCAAAGAGCCCAAGAAGGGAATATGCAATCCTAATGAGACTGTAAGCCAAGCTCTAATTTCACATAAAACACCTCTAAAGCATGTTGGAACATATTTTAACAAAGCAATCTCCTTTTTATTTTGAGCCTCTTTCACACCTTTTTCTACTTCTTCTGAAATTTCTGCTAAATTTTTCTGGTCAATTGATTTTATGCAGATTGGATAAGAAATATTTCTTTCATCAACAGGCACCATAAAAGAAACATCAATTGATGAATTTGGAGCATAGCATCCTTGAGTTAGCCTTCCATTTAAATCTGGAAACTCTTTTAGCATTTCGCCAATGGTTTTCAGAACTAAATGAACATATGTTATGTGCTTCCCTGTTTTCTCTTGCAATTCATTTAAGAATTTTGCAGCGTTTTCAAAGTTCATTTTGATGCAGCCATAAATTTCAGGTCCTACTGGGTCTGACCAAGTACAAATCATGATCTTCCTTCTTGCATTATTATATTTAGAAGCAGAAAGACCAACAAAAATCCACGAGCAAACTCCATAGAGACCTCCAAAAATCAGAAATATTTTCACTAAGGTAAAGTTAAATAGAAGGGCATAAATGACAGCTGACAATATCCCACACACTGCTAGAGCATTCATTTTTAATAATTAATATCTAGATAATAAAAAATCAATATTTTAGGTTTCTGAAGTAAAATTGAAAAGAAGATTATTGCCTAATTCTCAATTTGAATCATTAAAAATATTAATAAAAAGAAATCAATTTTTAAATATTTTTTGATTGAAAAATAATACTATTATCTGCTGCATAAGTACGCTTATGGTTATTCTCTAAAATGACCATTAATTTTATTTAAGATCTAAAGAATTTAAAGCAAAATTAATACTTCCATTTAACTTCAGTTATTTCATATATAAAATGTATGTTGAATGGGACGGTGCAACTTCTAACAAATTTCAAGGAGGGAAAAAAATCACGGGCCCAGCTTCTCAAGCAGAACTAGGAATGAAAGGCTTAATAGGAGAAACAAACACAGGCATCGAGGAATTAAAAGGACGCCGACATTTCGATGTGCCCGAATGCACAACTGTTATAGAGTGGAAACCTTGCTTCAAAAAAGTTAAAAACAAAAATGATCAGATGTCTAAAACAACTGGGCTAAAGAAAATCGAATTTAACGTAAAACCTCCAAAGCCAAGAGCAGAAAAAAAGCATACTGTTTTTGCACCCATTGCAAATAAAAATAGACCTGAAATGCCTTTTAACATGAAAACTGTCCTCACAGAAGATGGAAAAAGAGTCCAAGATGTACCAACTGATGAATACGATTTCCACGAAAAGCTGATGGGAAAGAAAAAACTAGTCCCAGAGTTAGATGATAAAAGAAACCAGCTTTCAATCCGAGCCTTAGGAGATAAGTCATATAAAAAAGTAGAGCATGATACAGACTTCTATAAACCTGGTGGCTTAATTACTGGGAGCACAAATGTACAGAAAATTCCCCACCAAGGCAGAAGTATCACTAACAATGATTTTGCAACTGTAATTTCATATGAATCAACAGGGCCTAATAGAACGAAATGAAATGACAGGGTAAAGATGATGAGAACAGAAGAAGAAAATCAAGCAGTCGGTTCTCTGATTGAGTGGGAAAAGACAGTCTTAAAAGAATCAAACCCTAAATACGTTGATCCTGATATATCAGATGGAGATTAATTTATTTTTATCTATAAATGATTTTAACTGTCTAAATTATTTTAAAGATCTTCTCTTCCTTCATGATCATGATCATGCTCATCTTCAGTTTCTTGTGGCTTAGGTCTCTTAGCCTCTTCTGCTTCATCATAAGCTTTCTTTGCGTCAGGTTCTCCAGCTAGTCTATGGGCAAAAGTTTTTTCAGAAAATGCTTTAGCTTCTTCTACGCTATCAGTGACAATGATATTATCGAAAATTATTCCAGAAGTGACTTGCCAAAGTTCAATACCAACACCTCCATAGGTTCCAAGAGCGTGGAGGTTTGGCTCTGCAACGTACTCAGGGTTAGGAATGGTTGGGGCAGTCCATGGTCCTTTGTAGCTTGGGTTCGGAATCATCTTTGGCCTCCATTCTCCTTTGTATTCTGGGTTAGGGATCATAGGTGCTTTCCATTCTCCGTCTTTTTCTTCCCAGTCTTCAGGCTTAGATGCGTTAGGGTCTGGAATCAATTCAGGAATATCGTCCCATCCTTCTGGCTTTTTATCTTCTGGGTCCGGCAGAGTTGGCTCATCAACCCAGTCATCAGGCTTTTTGGCACTTGGATCTTTGATTTCTTTCTTAGGCAGAATATCCCAATGCTCTTCAAGAGTTCCTTTAGACACTTCTTGGTTATCAATCAAAAACTGGTAAGTGTTGTCTGGGAAAATGATAGCTGTGTATTGGTGTGTTAAGTTATCTGTTTCACATCTGAATCTCTTACTCTCTAGTTAATTTTTTTCAATTTTTTCAATTTTATATTAATTTTTTTAAAGTTTAAAAAATCTGATTCGAAAGTAAAAATTATAGGCCGTTAAGCCTTTTTTTGGGCACTAACTAACTGGTCTCACAACCAGTCATCTATTTCCCAGTAAAAATAGGCGGCTAATCGCAACCATTAGATCAGTTTGCTGGTGTGCAAAAAAAGCTCAACAGTCTACAATTTTATTAATAAATTATGTCTTAAAAATATAAGTTCGAGATTTCATTATAATATTAAAATATTTTTATAAAAAGTTTTTGCATTATAAATATTTTTGCATGCTTACAAAAGGAAGTTAGTGTTGAGGAAATTTTTTCCTTTATAAGACAAGATCAAATGGGTTTTCTTTTCACTTCCACAAATATCAGGCCCGAACATGACTAAGTATGGGGTTTCTCCACCAAATGTGCTTTGGTCGAATCCATCTGGAAGGATCTTAATGTATCCACCACCGCAGTCTACGTTTCTTTCCATCTTAACGGTGTATTGCACAACAAGAGGCTTTCCTTGGTTAGTGAAAGCTGGGAATTTGGATGAGATTCCATAGAATCTATAGTCTTCAGTGGTTTGGAGACCTTGATCTTTTTCAGCATCTACATACCAATTTCCAGCTGATCTCCTAAATTTGGCCTGAGTTCCATCTGACTTCCAGTTAGAATTTACCCATCTGGACTCCCAGTCAGCGTTAAATTCTTCTTGGAAAAATACTGTTGCAGACGCAAACGCTACCAACAATAGGGGTGCAATCCACTTCATTTTTATATACGTGGAGCTTTATTAAACTCTCTAATAGAATGGAGAAGCTTATAAAGATTATTTGGTTATGATGCTATATAAGGACCCCCCCTCATTTGTCCAATTTTCTAGTCAAAATTTTTGATAGAGAAAAAAAATTTTCAGGACCTCAATTGTCTCATTTTCTAGTTTTTTTAAAGTAAAAAACTAGAATTTAGGGCATTCGAAAAAATGCAAAAAAGACTAGAAAATTTGGACAAATCGTTTTGACTAGATTTTTGGGACAAATGAGGTCCTGAAAAAAAAAATTCTTATAAAAAAAAAGACTAGAAAATTCGACAAATGAGGGGGGGGGGTCCTTAGCTTATCTGAAACTCTTTTTGGACCTATGCTGCTCATCAGCAGAGTTAATTCTGAGAGCGTGCCGCTCCACAGTACTTTTGCCGTCAATGAATTGAGTTCTGAAGAGCACATTGGCGTTGGTGAACATTCCTTCTTTTAAGGATACTACAATAAATTGTGACTCAGAAAAGTGGGTCGAAACCATTTGGCCAATATTTTGGGTGTGCGACATATCTAGAGCTGCGTCGATTTCATCAAGAATGTAAATAGGGGCTGGGTTGTACTTGAGCAATGCTAATATGAAGGAAAGAGCTAAAATAGACCTTTGTCCTCCGCTAAGCTCAGTTAAGCTCTTTTTCCAGACTCCACTGAAGCCAACCTTCATTTCAAGCCCTGTTAGCTCATCATCAATTTCTACTAGTTTGGCGGTGGTCCCTGGTATTAACGTGCTAAAAATATTTCCAAGATGTTTGTCGACTTCTATCCATGTCTTTTTAATGCACTCTTGCTTTCTTTTATCTAAGTCTTCGATGAGCTCTTGAAGCTTTTCTTTGTCTCCTAAAACGATTTTTCTTTTTTCTGTCAGCTGTTTGAATCTCTTTTCTTGGTCGTCGAGGGTGCTTGATACTTTTTTGTTGACTCTTTTAGACTGTTTGTCTATTTCGTCTTTTAGACGTAAATATCGGCCTTCTTCGATGTTTCTGTCAAAATTAGAAAGGTCCATGTCAAAGTCAGAAAGCCAAGGATTTTGATCTTCTAAAGCTCTCGTTTCTCTAAAAGCTTTTTCAAGCGTTTTTTGAAGATTTTTCTTTTTATTTTCGAGGCTTTGCAAGTCTTTGTGAATATTTTCGATTTCTCTTTCGAAGTTTTCTTTGGTTTTCTTGATTTCTTCTTGAGCTGTTGTATTTAATGCGATTTTTTCTAATAATAGTTCATACTGTAGATTTGCATGCTCAAATTCTTTTACTATTTTTGCTACCAGCTCCCTCAGCTTATCTAACTCTCTCTTTTCTCTATCAGCTTCATTATTAAGGTTTCTTAGCTTGTCCTCCTCAAATACTTTATCTTTTTCTTTCGATTCCGTTTCTTCTTCAACTTCGCATATTTTGTCCCTTATGACGTCTCTTGACTTATTTAGCTGTTTAAACTCTTTGTCAGTTTTTGCAAGGGTTTTTCTAAGGACTTCTGCCTGATCCACACCTTTTTGGCTTTCTCTTTTTAAAGTAACTATTTCTTTTTCAATATCTGCTCTATTTCTATTGAGATCTATAATGTTCTGCTGGAAAACTTGTAAGTTTCCTTTGAGTTCTTCGACTTCTTCTTGCAGTCTGGCAAAAGAGGACTCTTTTTGCATAGCTTCTTTGTTTCGCAAATCATTGTTTTTGATATCTAATTCATTTCTAAGCTTTTGCAGTGATTTTTGCTGCTGCCCGATATTATTTATTTTTACCATAATTTCTTCGAGCTTTCTTTTTGCATTTTTATGGGCGTACTCGAATTGATGGATTCTATTCAAGCTTTCTAGCATTGAAGAACTGTTAAGACTTTGTCCACCACTAATTGAGCCATTAGGATCATATAAATCGCCTTCTAGAGTTACTGCTATTTTCCTGATATCATTGGAATAAGCAATTCTTTGAGCCATTTCTTTAGTTTCACATACATAAAAATTCCCAAAAACATGAGCGATGGAGTTATGAATTTGAGGGTCATACTCAATTAGATCTAAGGCCACTTGAGCTCTCTGTCCAAAAATGTCAGAAACCCTTCTCTTTATATCATTTGATATTATAGTCGGCTGCATTTTATTGTTAGGAAGAATTTTGACATTTCCTAATGCTCTTCTTCTAAGTAGGAGTTGCCCAGTAACATCTGTATCAACAACAACACTGAAAAGGCCTCCAGCAGCTCCAGCTTCAAGCCCACGTGCATACTTTTCATGCTTGATATTAATAAGTCTTATGACTCTTCCTTTCACTTTATTTCTATCAAAGCCTGGCTCTGGATCAGAATAATCTAAGCTAAATCGATTTGCGTTTAGTTCTGTCAGATGCCTTTCAGCATTGCGGATTTCTTGCTCCAATTCTTGTTTCTCATTTTCAAGCTGTCTTAAATCTCTATCAAAATCTTTTCCACCTCTTTTTTCTAATTCTTCTTGGATTTCTTGAATGCGCTCTTGGATTGCGTTAATTTCGCCAGCGCCTTGGTCATGATTTTCTCTATTTCTAGAAATTTGGGCTAATTTGGCTTCATATTTTTTCTTAGACTGCTGAATTTTTAAGTCAGTGGTAGCGATTTCTTGTTTGACTTTATCAAGAGCTCTTTCCTTTGTCTGGATCCTGGACTCATTTAAATCATCTTCAAGCGGAATTCCTTGTTCAAGAGCTTGTTTTCTAGTCTGTAGACTTTCAAGTTCATCTTTTTTCTCTTTAACTTCTCGATCAAGTTTCTCTTTACTACCTTTTAGTTCCACTAGCTGTTGCTTATTTCTCACAATATCTGAGTTCAATGATACCAGGGTTTTCGTGACCCCATTGATTTCTGAAGTTTTTTCGCCCATCTCTTTAGTTTTCCTCTTAAGCTCCATTTCAGATTTTTCCTTATGAACTCTCAGCTCATCTAATTTCCTCTGTTCTTCTTCAGACACAAGAGCTTGGCTTTTCTTCATAAGTTCTTCATACTCATGTGTCGCTTTTGCAAGCTTTTTCTTAACGACTGCCTCTTTTTTTGCTAAACTCTCATTTTGGTTATCAAAGTCTCTTGCCAATTCTTCAGAGTTTTTGATTTCATTAAGCAGCTCCTGATATTTTGCTGCAGATATTTTTTGGCCAAGTTCTTGAAGTTCGTCACACAAGGATTTCCACCTGAGAAATTCTTCTTTTTCTTTCTGAAGATTCTCGAGCTTCGGATTTATTTCGTTATTTAGCGTATCTTCCATTTCTTGAAGTTTAAAATTCTTCTTATCAATTGTGGCTTGGGTTTTCTTCTTAATGACTTCATAAGCATTAGTTCCTGCAGTTTCTTCGACTAAGCTGAGGATTTCTGCTGGCTTCATATTGGTGACTTGAGTAATTCTGCCTTGCATGATCATAAAATTGGCGTTGTTTACATTCAATCCTGACATGGTGAATAGAGATTTCACTTTTTCTGCTGTCACTTTGGTGCCATTTATAGTGTATTTGGATTGGCCACCGATGGAAATTTCTCTTCTTACCGATATTTGGTCACATTTTTTGTAAGCTTCATAGGACCTTTCCTTGTCGGTATTATCGAAAAGGATGGTTACGTTTGCTCTGGTGACTCCTGCTTGGCCGTTCTTATAAATCAATTCTTGCAAGTTTGAAACACGAACTGTTGAGAGTGTGGAAATTCCGAGGACGAAGCAAATGGCGTCTAGAATGTTTGATTTCCCACTCCCATTAAAGCCTGTGATTGCATTGAAGTGAAAATCGAACCCAGAAATCACAGTTCTTTGGGCATAGGATTTGAAGCCTTCAAGGACAATTTCTTTAATTCTCATTTTATTTTTACCGCCTAAACAGATTTAAATTTATTTTAAGAAACTAAAATTATTAAAATATTCATTATACCTTCAGAACAGGTATGGCTCGATCTGAAGCTCCCACTCCCCTCCCCCTGACGGTTTTAGTTTGAACGAAATTGTTAATTCAAAATTACAAGTCCCTCACTAAGGATTTGACAAGCCAAATTCAATTTATAGATTTCAATGAAGCTGAAAAAGTCAAAGGATGGGGGAGAGGAAGGGGGTTCTCAGTTCGATCTAAAACCGTGCTCACGGTATATTAGGAAAGGGAATTGCTAATTTATTGAAATAAAATCTCAACTACTTGGGGCTTAGAAAATTAAAAATGACATAATTTAAATATGAATTCATATGAAGATTTTGGCATATGACTCATTTTACTTATTTTACTATTAAATTTTTTTTTGATTCAAAATCAGTTCTAATTATATTTCCTACACTTTATAGATTGCAAATTCTAGATAAGTTCCCTAGTTATCCTAATCATATAAATGGAAGACAAACTTAGGGGACAATTTTTCACAGGTAACTATAAAGGTGTTATTGACTCAAATGCGGCCAGCAAAGGAGTTTACCCAGCACTTCTTCATTATTCATCACTGATAGAAATTGGTCAGCAAACAGCATTAAGCAGTGCCCCTTCATCTCTTCCTCTTGCAAATCTTCAATTATTAAATTCACACGTCAACCAAGGCCAGCTAATTGCATCCAGCATCCAACCTGACCAGTATAATTTCCACGAATTCCTGAAATCGATTTCTCTAATCAATGAAGGCGACTTTTCTCAAGCAATAGAAACAACTCCTCAAACTTCACCTGAAAAAGCAGCTTTAGTCGCTTGTGCTATGTTGAAGCTTAAACATCCTGAAATTGCTGAAAACACCCTTAAAAATGCCTTATCAAAAAGCGAAGAAGACGCATCTCTGCAGTTTATGATGGCCATTACACAAATATTAAAAGGGGAATATGAAGAAGCAAGCTCCAATATTAGCGAATTATCACAGAAATTTGGGGACTCTCCATTGTTACTAAATGCTTCAGCAATTTGTGCTCTTGAAGAAGGAAATTATCAGGAAGCAGAACAAGATTTAAATAAAGCATTATCATTAGCAAATGAAATGGGTGGGAAAAACATGGACATTTCACTGAAAAATATGATTGCATGCAAAAGACAGGCTGGGGAGGATTTTTCTATTTATGAGCAGCAGCTGGCCAAAATTAATCCAAATGACAGCTATTTTACGACCCTTCAAAACGCATCTCAGCTATTAGATCAGCTAATTTCATAAAAAATTAAGGAAATTTAATATTCTTATTTTAAATGATACCAAAGCGAAATAATGCCATTCGAATATCACAGCTCAGCCTATCCGCTGACAAAGAAGCTGAGCCTAAAGAAGAAATTCCTGACTCCACCTCAACAGTAAACAGCCAAGAAGTCGAATCTCCTGTCATTCCAAGCTCCCAAGACCAAAGTTTTACCCCTGTCATTCAAGAGCCTGAAGCGGCAAACATGTATCATCACCCCCAAATAATTGACCAAGACGTTGAAAACTTCACTACAAGACTAGACTCGATGATCGGAAATTTCAGAAACGAGACAATCAAAGAGTTTTTATCAGTAAAAAGACAAATTCTGCATGAGCAGATCACCACAATCGAATCTGAAAGAAAAAGGTGCAACGCATTAATGGGCTCTAAACAAGACGAATTGGAACACCTTAAAGAGCAGCTTGCAGAGTCACAAAAATTAAACAATACTTATACGAACCAAAAAGAAGCTTTGGCAAATCGCACAGGAAATCTTAAAAATCAAAAATACAATACAGAGCTTGCTACAAAAGCCTATCTATCCTGGCTTCATTATCATCAGTTTTCACAAATGAAAAAAAGAATGCTTAAGGTGACTAAAGCCATGGGGAGAAGACATGTAATGAATGAAATTTTTTCTGCATGGAAAGAAAAATGAACTGAATATCACCATTTGAAAACACAAAGAGCACTAGAAGACAGAATTAATGCGGAAAAGCAGGAATTAGCAAATTTGTATAATAAAGAAATTGAACTTTTGACAGCAAGATTGAATCAAGCTGAAGCGAAAATAAATGAAGAGGAAGAAGCAAAGAAGAATATCCAAGACAACTTGAAAAAAGCGTTTATGAGGGGAGTTTGCGCATTAAATTTTGAAGCAATGAATATTTTGAATCCTGCTACAAATTTTATTGATAATGTTGCTTTGGGCTTTGAAGAACCAACACAAAAGATAGAAACGCAGATAGTTGAGCCTGCAATAGTGAAGACACCTGAAAAAGACTTATTAGATGAAATTCAGAATATTATTCCTCCTGATTCAAAACAAACTAATTGGAAGCCTGCTCCTGTGTTTGGAAGACCTCAAACAGCGCCTGCAGCAAAATTAAATAATCCTCTACCTGAAATATTGCCTCCATCAATTACTCAGCTCTCGAGCTTACCTAGTAATTTAGATGCTCCATCTCAAGGTGTTGGAAAAACTATAGTTGTGAATAATGCAAATAATCCTGAAATAAGAGTAAAAGGAAAAGTACCAAATAAACCGATTGTAGGGAAAAAACTTAAATAATTTATTTTAAAGCTACAATAATTACTAAAGTATAAATATACCCAAAAAATGCTTTGCATTTTAATATTAATGCCACGAGAGCTATTAAAAAATCTACGAGTTCTTGTAATAAAGACTACAATAGGGACCTTTAAAGGCTTGCTTTAGCTTTATCAAAGAGTTTTAAATTTATAATTAAAAGCCAACATCTTATGAAAATAGTTAAAATAATCTATTTAATTGTTCAAAGCTCAATTAAACTATTAAGTAAACTTATAGATTTGATGTAGAAATAAATTTTTGAGAATATCCTAGTTAATAAAAGATGATCAATTTTAAAAAAAAATAAAAGAGAAAACCTATAAGATAAAATCATTCAATACTTTTAAAATTCATCAAATATGCAAAGCTGCTAATTTAAGATAACTATTTTCCGAGCTTATATAAGCTATAAATTAAAAATACTCTCTTTTGAGACTTGCTATTAGGAATCAAGAACAGTTTCATCAAACATATTCATTTTTTATTACTTTTATTGGACACTAAATTATGAGAAAAAATTTGTCACAAACAGAAATACAAGGAAACTTTAAAGGCGAAAGGACGTGTGAAAGACTTTTAAGTGTTTTAGATTCAATATGCAATAATTTTGCTAGCCCTTATTTTACTTCGTCATTAGAATTTTCTCCGGTTTTAAGTAAGTCAAAGTTCATAAATTTGGAATTGTCAAGTATTGGGTATAAAAGCAACAAAAACCTTTCTTCATATGGAAGCTTTGAAAATTTTCCAAAAGATAAGCCAAGTAAGCCAAACCAGCAATTGCTAATGCAATCTCGAATAAAACCATTTCAAGGCCATCATTCATCTCTCAAAAAGCTAGGAAATAATATCACAGATTCATATAGAGACAACGGTGAACTTCCATTATGCTCTGAATTTTTTGTGCAAGGCCTGAGACCAAAAACTTCACCAAAAATAAATCGTATTAAACAAGGAAAATTTTATAGAGATTTTGGAAAGAGCGTTAATAAAACTTATTCAATTCCTCAAGGAAAGTAATTTAGATGTAGGCTAGAAATTGAAGGCAAACAGGAAAAATCTTTGACTAAGAGTGTTTCTGGAAATATAAGAATTAAAAGAATTATTGAAACTCCAAATAAAATCATTCGTAAAAGGCTTTCAGATTCGAAGATAAATAAAAGTATCACATGTGACTTGGATAGCCCGAATGAATTGAAAATTGAAACCCCTATAATCAAGCTTAAAGCAAAAAATAACTTGATTAGTAAGGAAAAAGTAAAAAATTCACAAAAAATGTTCAGTCCTAATGATATAGAGCCTTGATAAAAATATTTTATTGGTTTCCTTCAAACAAATCAGAGAGCTTTAGTTATATAAAATAATTCTTAAATGTATTTCATTAAGATTTTATAATGGCAGTTTCTTTTATAGAATTTTTTGATTGTTTTGCTTTTTTTAAAATAAAGCAATTGACCTTTTTTTATATTGCTTTAAATAGCTATTTATCTGTTTGATTCATTTAATTTGCAGGTTTATCGTATTATAATAGAAAATCTAATTCTTAGTTGAAATCAATATTGTATATAAATTTTTATAATTATTTTAATTTTTATAGATTTGGCAATCGCAGACACTTGCATCTTGATTTTTGATTTGATTAATTTTGTTTTTTGAAATTCAAATAGATCCAATTGTTGCATACTTATAAATGGATAAAACAGTTCGGCTAAACCCTTTTAAAACATTTACAGATGACACAGATCAAGGATCAGATACTTGCAGGGCTATCTACTCATATAGTTCTAAGGCTGATTCAACTCCAAAATTTAGACTTTCTATGCCTTCTATGATAAGAACCACAGCCTATATTTCTCCGAGATTAAAAAGAAAGCAGTCTTTGGCTTCCAGACAGGCAGATCAAATTTCGTTAACACATCGCGAGTTTGCTATGCCAAAGGTAGTAAAAGCTTCACATGATATTTCTACACCTAGCCTAAAAAGTAAATTTAAAAAAGCATGTTCCACAACTTGGTCAAGCACAGATGCCAACCCCCCCAACCCCATCCCCCCCCACCCTATGTTAATAGATCCCACCCCCTCCACCCCCTACCCCCCTCTATCATATAGGTAGACATATAAGTATAAAATCTTACAAATAAGACATACAATAAAATTTTAGTTAATTCATAAATGGATTCATAAATAGATTCATAAATAAATATTAATGATCATAAGTATATTTAGCATAGACTGATATAGCCAATATATTAGTAATACATTTAAAATAAAATAATTGCAAAAAACTTGTTACATAGAAAGGAATCAATAAATGACTCAAAAAATATTTTGATATCTCTATAAAGTCTTTTACTCCCCCTATTTAATAACGAACACTTTTTTAGTTCGTTGTTAAATGGGTCTAACTTATAAAATTTTTTTTGGGAAAAAAAAATATATAAAATTTATATTAAATATCTATGATTTTTTATATAAAAATTTCAATAAAGGGTTAATAATAAAAAAGTCAAATGATGGCAGCATAAAGAGAAAGCGCCTAAATTCATGCGAAAAAATAACTATTGCTAACTCCCCCACTCCGTGAGCGAACAAAACCATTAGAAAAGTCCCTCACTCTTCGTGAGCAAACAAAAATTTTTTTAATAGAAAAATTTTTTTATGGAAAAAAGTTTGATATATAAGCGATAATTATTATAATGAAATCTTTGCCTAATTCTTTTTAATTTTAAACAAATTGCATTTTAAAACATAAATTTTACAAAATTCAATTAATATTTGCTTTCCAATTTTTGCGAATTAGGATTTTTTTAAATTTCGTAAAAAAAATAATATTTCTATAAGTTTATATATAAATTTAAAAACAAAATAATCTCCTTCTTGAGCAAACGATATTTTTTTGTTCACTTACGGAGGGGGGAGTAAAGCACCATCTTAAGATTAAGCCATATTAGCTCTTATTTATTACTCTTTGCTTGATTATGCTTGTCTTTTATCTTACTCTAACTACTTAAAATTAGTAAACTGTAAAGACTAAATTAGCTTATATAAATTTTATAGTAAATTTTGTTCGGTATTTAAATGAGCCTAAGGAAAAATTTTTAGGAAAAATATGACGGTTTTGTTCGTTATTAAATGGCGGGGGGAGCTATAGAGGTTTCCTCTATATAGCGCTAAAAGCGCAGACATTTTCCCAGGAGCTTTCCAAGTTCGTCGGACCAAATCGCTTTTTGGTCCGACCAAGGCATTGATTTGGTGCAACCTACCCGATAAATTCCGATCAGAATTTATCGGCCTTACAGCGCCAAACATAGGAAACTTCTATAGCCTGCATTCTTTAGAAATTTTTTGACCTTTATATGATTTAAAACATGAGGTATGTGCTTGAAGGTTCATTGAAAATATACTTCCTCGTTAGCACACTGTATCCGATTTTTTTTTCATCCCTATGACTTTGAATTTTTTATGCTGTGAGCAATTAATACGTTTTATTTGCCTTTAATACAGTTTACATTATATAGGGGGGTGGGGGTGGGCATCTATTAACGGAATGGGGGTGTGGGTGGGATCCATAGATGCAAGGGGGGTGGGGGTGTGATCCATACATACTATCTGAGGGGGTGGGGGTGTGATCCATACGGGGGTGGGGGTGTGATCCATACAGGGGTGGGGGTGTGATGTATACATCAAAACGGGGTGGGTGTGGGGGGTTGGCATCTATGCTTGACCACACAACTAATCCCGAAACAATTTTGCTTAAAAATAGGAAGGTCTCAAAGAATTTAATCTTGGATTGCTTTCCAAATTGTAATTAGATAAATTTTTGATAATAAACTCATGGAAATTCTAGAATTGGAATTCAAATAAGAAATGTCTTTAAATAGCATTATTAATTCCTTATTTTAATAGGCTATGAAAAATATAATTTTGTATTGAAATTAAAACAAAAATTAAATAATTTTGGAAGAATATGGTCTATATAGCCACCCTGACTATGTTGATACCTTTCATAACTTGATAGAATTTATATATAAAAAATTTATGGATTATTTTCACTATGAATTATTCTTGTAAAAAATTATGTTTTACGCAATATCTGATGCATTGCAGCAGTAGCCTTTGCTCAGTCAAAATCTGGTTGTTCAGCAATTTTTTTCTCAAAGACATATATTTAAGAAAAGGATTTTGACCTTGCCTCTCTTCTTCTCTTTTATTTATTTTTCTAATTAGCGCTAATCTTTTCCTCATCCTCAGCTCAAATTTGCTTAAATCTCCCCTTTCCTCCTTTTCTTTTTCTTTCATCTCTTTCTTTATCACATTCTTTTTTGATGGAAAATTTCGCTTCCTCGATGCAATTCATTTTGCGATTTCTTCAGGGGTATCCAGAACAGGATCAATATGAATCTCTCTAGGAGGTGATGGAGGATCTGGTGGGGGCGGAGGAGGAACAGGTGGTAGCACTATGTATGGGAGATAATACATTATTTAATTTTATTATTATAATCATTCACAAGAATATAAATACATTAGGTTTCTAGCTTTCTAAATACAAGCTGTTTTAATCGGACATTGTAATTTTCTAAAATCCTTAAAAGCGCAGCTTCCCTGACTCTTTGAGTGCTATTAAGCTCCACGCTTTTCTTGTGTGCAACTCCTGATATAAATAATTGAAATCCTTTGGTGAGCAATTTCATGTACCTTGCCACTAAAATGTCTTTCATGAATGAATATTGTTTTGTGGCAAGACTGCATACGAAATCTTCTAATCGAACCGAATTATGCTTCAAAGGAGGAGGATGCAACTCTGAGTACTTTTTTGATGGCTTCAGCGCAGAAATTCAGGCGACTTTTTCAAGTCTATCTTCAGCTCTTAATCTGATTTTTCGCTGCTCTAGGTAGACTTCAAATTCTGTGGGATCTTTTGGACTGGCTCGCACCATAATGATCATGTCTCTTGGAATTTTTTGTTTTGGTTTTTCTAGATTGTCAGGGTGATAGTAAGACAGGAAATTATCATCTAATACGAATACTCTTGAATGCCAACGCTTTAAGTAGGGTCAGTGAGATGATCGTTTACGAAGAATACTTGATAAGATTGTATCTGGAGCTTCTGACATTTATATATTCTTTAACTTAAATGCAGGTGATTTAATAGTTTATTTCATTGATTTGCATAATTGATATGCTTTATGTCGATTAAATCATAATAATATCCAATTAAAATATAAGGATTGGATGTCGCAATAATGAAAATAAGGAATTTTTTTCAAATCATTTATCAAAAATTTTATTTAAATTATAAAATGATAATATTATAAATAGTCAGCAAAATTTAAATAAATTAGCAATTGTTTAAATATTTATTTCTTTGACAAAACTCGTCTCCCTGACTGAGAAAGATCTCTTTTTGTTTGAAATGGTTTCGCTCTCACTGTTTCAGGCTTCTGCCCAACTGAAAATGATTTATTAACGTTTTTTGAAGATACTTTAGCAGACTTCATTGGAGATTGCCTCATTGAGCTTGAATCCAGTCTTCTAACTCCCCCCCCCCCCTCCGTGAGCGAACAAAAAAAAATTTTGTTCGCTCACGGAGGGGGGTTATTTTTTTTTTTTAAAAAAAAATTTATATATAAATTTTATAAAAAATATTTTTTTCGAAATTTAAAAAAATCCTAATTTGCAAAAATTGGGAAGCAAATATTAATTAATTTGCAAAATTTATGTTTTAAAACGCAATTTGTTTAAAATTAAACAGAATTAGCTCTAGATTTCATTATACTAATTATATCTTACTTATATATCAAAATTTTTTTCCATTAAAATTTTTTCTATTAAAAAAATTTTTGTTCACTCACGGAGGGTGGGTTTTTGGTCAAAAAAATGGCGATTTTTCTAATGGTTTTGTTCGCTCACGGAGGGGGGGGGGGGAGTAAGCGCTTCTGATCTTTTCTTAATAGAAGGAAGCGATATATTGCTAGGGCTTCCCTTTTTCTTCGAATCTGTCATAGTTTGAAATTCCTCAGAGCTTTCATCTGAATCAGAAATTTCTTTACCAGTTGGATTCATTTGGCTAATGACTTCTTCATAAGTCTGATTTTGAGACTCTTCCAAAAGAGAAATCGCTTCTTTTCTGGCGGTTTCTATTTTAGGAATTGTATCAATTTTCACATCTCAACTTGGGTCGCCTCCCACAATCAGAGTACCTAAGCGAGTTCCAGAATAATTCCATATATGAACTCTACAGTCAAATGAACAAGTAATTATGATAGAAATATCTTCTACCAGACTTAGGCTTAGGATGGATTCATCGTGTGCTTTTCATTCAGTCTTCAAAGCAATATCGCTGCTATTTATTTTTGACATTTTGTCGACACCCAGAGCTATTGCAGTCATATAAAATGTTGTGGAATCAGGGCATTCGTTTGAGCCGCTTTTTGCTTTTTCATGCTTGGAGCCTAAACTGGCCAGTTTGTTTAATAGGGAATCTAATTTTCACTGCCGTAAGTTGCCTGAATCATCTCCAGTGAATAAGGTTTGAAGATTTTGAGATCATGCTAAGGCTTGAATAGGAGATGAATCTGTGCCTCCCATTTCGTTTTCAACAGTATTTTGAGTTTTCACAAGCAAAGTATTTTTAACGTTGCTTGGAGAAATTGCCCAGAAATAAAGATTGCCTGATAAATCACAGGCAACTAAGCAATTATGAGGATTCAAAAACTTGAGGTTTTTTATTTCTGCATCATGCCCTGTAAGTTCTGATTCTTGTCTTAAAGTCCTTAAATTTGTCAATAAAATAGACCCATCATCGCTGCAAGATCCAATTAGTCTGCTTTTTTGCTTTAAATCTACAGAATTGACTATATCGTTATGCTTAATTTTGTCAAATCTCAGAATGCCAAGGTCATCACTTTTGGAGTCATCATGAACTCTTACTCTGCAATCCCATGAAGTTGATATTAAATAGGCCTTTATGTTTAGCATGAACAGTATATTAATATCAAAATGCTCTATTATATAAGTAAATACGATTATATAGTCAATTGATATGCTAGCATTTATCTAAAACTGAGATATTTTATATTCAGGCCAAAACAACAGATTTGTAACTTCTCCAGTATGCTGTTTAAATTCTTTAATTCTTGCTCCATTTTTAATTTTAAAAGTGTACACATGTCCTTGAGAATCTCCTATATACATTTTTCTATACTTATCATCCATAATTAGAGCCGTGATGTCTCCTGGAGTCAAATCTCTGAAAACTCTGGAAAGTCGTCCGGTTGCTGCGTTTCACACTTTAACACAGCCTGAATGAGCTGTAATAAAAGTATGATATTGAGGGTTATAATAGCAGCAAATTGCAATTGTTTCATCGACTTTATTTTGGTCCTTTGGCTCCTCATATGCATATTGAAGAACTTTTTTTGACCCAGCAATTATTTTCTTTTCGGGGAAAGAAACTGTGAAACAGTTCAACTCAGCAACAGGAGCGTTGAAGCTTTGCATGCAGTTAAAAGTCCTAATATCCCAAACTTTAAACATACCAGAAATGTCAGCGGTAATCAATTGGTGAGAATTTGGTATACATTTGACACCGACTAAACTGTGAATGTGTCCTGACAATTTGTAAATTCATTTATTTACGTATGGATTTCATACATATGCAGATCTCTCGAGACCTGCGGAAAATAAGCATCCAACGTCAGCGCTCCAGTCAAGTGAGTAAATTCCTTTAGATAACTCTTTCATTTTTCTGTTAGGTTGATGACTTGGGATGTCTCATAATAGCAGCTTCCCATCAAGATCTCCTGTTGCTAAAATATTTAACCCTGGAATTGGCAGCATAGTTGTTACAGCATTTGTGTGATGAAACTCTTTTGGTTTGGGATATTGCATATAATTTTCTCTGTTCTCTCTTTCAAACACATCGTACAAATTTCAATAATAAATCATTCCTTCAGGCCCACCTGCATAAAGATTCCTATCATAATTTGCCAATGTAATTGGGATAATTGGGCTATCAATTTTATGATTTAATGAATAGCTCGTCTCATCCCAAAGCATAATAGATAAATCATTACTTGATGTCGCAACTGTCGAATACTCAGACAAATAATGTGCTCCAATAACAGCTCCTTGATGCCCTCTTACTTCTCTTTCAAATTTTCCTGTTTTCATATTGTAAACTTTAAATTTCTTATTATCTCTTTCCATAACCAGCAGCTGCTTCAACGGTGGAATATAATGAATATACTCAATGTCATTGTCATGCTTAACTGAATCTCTTCATTCAGCTTGCTTATAATTTTTTATGATATCAACAAACCCATGGTCTTTTTTAACAAGCCCTATCTCTATAATATAATTCGAAAACTCGTCTCATTCCAGATGCTTGTCATCATTTACATCAATTTCAGCAAAAAGATCATTCAATGAATTGACGAGGCTGACTTTGTCCTTGATTTCTGGAATGTGGTGTAGCATGATTGAAATAAATTCTGATTTCAAAAGACCTTCCTCTCGTAGCATAAAGTCACGTTTGATGTTGGATAATTTGCGGTAGTCCAGTAAGTTCATGGAAATCATCTTGTCGCCGAGCGCGGATTTTGCGTCAGTTGAAGTTTCAGTGGGGCTTTCTTTTTCGGCGTCTTCTTCAAAAAAAAGATCGTCATCTGATAAACTTCCTGTGCTGTCTTCTTTGTGGATCCTAGAAATTGATAAATCTTCGTCCATTATAGGAATATATTAATTTAAATAATTCAAATTAATTCCTTGTAAGTTTTTATTTATTTTTTAAGGTTATTAATCTTCTTCTTCCCAGCCACCGCTAGCGGTGCCGTCTAAATCAATATCTGTGCAATGAGTGACTGCATAAAGCAATTTTGATTTCATTGTTTCTTTGTTAGTATATGGAGGCAAGTCAATTGTAAAGAAACAAGTGTGAGAAATAGGGAGATAGTTATTGACTTGGCCTGGAGGGTTATATCTTGTTATTTTCATATGCTTCCAGTCTCTTCCTGATGGCAATTTTGATCTTCCCCACACAAACTTTAAAAATAGAGTTCGCTCTTTAGGTATTGTAATTGCCTGAGGATGGCGCTATCTTGCGCCATCCTCGGGCAATTTAAAAAATGGGCCCCACACCGGGAATCGAATCCATTTTTGGTGCGTGGAAGTCGATGTTCTCCACTACAAAAAATGGCCCCACACGTGGGTTTAATTCCCGGTGTGGGGCCATTTTTGAATTGCTCGAGGATGGCGCAAGATAGCGCCATCCTCGGGCAATTACTATATCATCTCTGTGAGAGACTCCCAAAACAGCAAGATATGAGGATCAGTCGCTGTGCATCCTTCGTAGTCAGTATTTGCTTTTAGGATTTCGATGTCAATATTTGCAGCACCACAAACCAAAATTTCAATTTGTTTCCAGCTGAATAAATTTAAGTAATCAATAGGAACAACTGCACTTATTCCATCTCGAATGGCTTCATAAGCTTTAGGATTTTCATTAAGCCGATATTTTTCAATTAAATCTGCATACTCTCCAGCGTTATGGTAAGTAACTTGCTTCTCTTTTCCATCTGGAATTAGCTCAACCTCTCTGCCACTTGAATCCTTTGTGGTAAATTTCTCATCATAAGCATAACTCAATCCTTCACAAAGTTTGAAAAGCATTCTGGAAAACAATTTATATATATATGATTTTATTTTTTTAATTATTTATATACAATTTATATATATTATATGATTTTTATATAAAAGTTTTTAGTCTATGAAAATTGTTCAATCAAGGATGGGATTAATTCCAAATGAATTTTTTGATTAAGGATAGAGGGATAAGCAAAATTTTCAGGGGTTAATTGATTGTCCGCTGGGTTTCTTAAAATTTCAAGAATTTGCACAATACAGACGTCCGAGCCTCTTAAGTCTCTTATTGTAAGCGGATCCATAAATAGGCGTTTCCAGAAGAGAGGGGGAAGAGAAAGGTTAAGGTTGTTTTGAGTTCTGATGGCACAGCCCATAAGTTTCCCAAGGAAATTGAAGAGCTCTAAATCCTGTGGAGTATCAGCAGCTGGGTTAATAATCCAAGATTCTCGGTTTTCTCCGATATTGTGGACATTATTTGGACATGGGACTAGTAGCCTTAAATATGAAGATTGAAGCTCATTACACATATTGCTCATGGTTTCATTATAAGGACCACCAGCATCGATTGAAGCTTCTCCTCTATACTTCACTGTATAAACTCTTTCAGCATTTCTATATTCTCTATTAGTTCTATTTATAAGTGCTCTATAAATTTGTCCAAATACAGAGAATTGTCCAGCTGTATCAACATCTCCTCTGTCTCTATGTCTAGCTGCTTTTGGTCTATCAATTGTTATGTCTCCTCTTGTATCTGAATTAGTCTTTGCTAAGCAATCTTTTAATAGTCCATTCTTGATTTTGAAAAATACATAGCATCTCGATCCAGCGAAAACCCTTTGCAGCTCAGTCATTGATTGATAAGATTCTATATGCAAATTGAACAGATATAGTGATTCTTGAACTCTTTTATTGAAATTAAGTAAAATCTGATAAAGGCCCCTCATATCATCTTTGCTTACCTTTTCAAGCTCTGGGTAATAGATTAATTCCCCTTCTGAAGGGTCGATTTCTTCATTTGTCAGAGCCATTACATCTTTTCCTTTAGATTGTGTCATTTCGTCTAAATAAATAATCAGCTGTTCAGCTGCTCCTGTCTTAAATAGACGCTTATATTTAGGACAATACACGTCATTCCACTCAGTTTTCACATCATCTGCTGCAAATTCTAAAAATGACTCAATCAATTTTTTGCTTCTTCCTCTGAATTCAGGACTCACTTTAAATTTGTAGCCCCAGCAAGATGATTCTGTGTTTACATTGATATTAAAATTATCAACATCAGTAGGAAGCTTCGGAGTTTCTGAAACCATTACTCTTTGCTGGGGAGATGTGAGCACAGCTACAAATTTGAGGTTTTCTAGCTGCTCAGTGATTGGGAATGGGGGTCTTTTAGTGACAAGGAATTTACCATTTTTGTAGAATTTGAATTTTCCATCATCAAAATCGGCAAATGCTCCAACAACGTCTCCAATTCTGAACCCTTCTACATTTGAATAGATGATGACTGAGCTTTCATGAGCTACTATTCGATTGTCAACAGTAGATTTGAAGGCGAAGCCAAGCCCAATTCTTCCATCAGAGCATATGGTAGTTTCGATATAATGCTTCCCTGCATTAAATTCTGGAGTTGTATCATAAATTGCAGGCTCATCTCCTATTTGGGTGATAGCTCTTTTATCGTCTGATCTCGTGGCTGTTTCTTTATAGTCTTTCCAAGTATGGTCTTTTCCATATCCTACATTTACTGGGATTAGGATTGGGATTATTAAAAGTCAGGCGCTAGCCATATTGGTGACACAGTCACCAAAGACCTCCCGTATGGGAGGTTCTACCGCTTTTCGACTCCAGCCCAGAGGGTCTATATCTCTCACGAGTGCCCTCCCGGCACCTTCTGTCTCCTCCTTGTTTTGAGGTTTCAGTCGTGAGTGGGCGGCTTATGGATTTCTGCGGCCCTACTACGGGCGATTGGAGTAGCTTAATTCCATGGATCAGCTCCTTGGAGTCTTTCAGGTACCAAAGTGCCTTTATTCGATAACTACAGGAAAAAGACTGTTCCCCTGTGGTCTGGGCTGAAACCCCCAATTTCTCAGTAGAGGAATGCCCATGGGTCCTCGGATCAAAGGACTTTGTTGAACACCTCAATTTCCAACCACAGGAAAGCAGCCAAAACCTACCCGTATACACACATTTGAGCCTGCACTTGATTCTCAGCTCGGAGTCCGTCTCAGTTCGCCGAAGCCATAAGGTCTGGACTGCTGCGCCAAGAGGGCAAAGTTGGCACGTGTGGTCAAGCACAGGTGGCAACCAGACACCCCACCACCCTTTTCCACCCCCTAAAAATGGCACCCCACCCCCCTTCACAGATGGCACCCCACCCCCTTCAAAAAAATAAAGGGTTTATCCTATAGAAGTAATTGATAAGCAGAATAATTTAAATATAATCCAATTAAAACACTATATTGATAAATTAAGTCCATAAATTGCTTTAATATTTATGATTAATTAATAAATTTAATTTAATTAACAATTAATTAGAAAATATATTAAATTTGTGTTTTATATTTATTTATAAATATAATGCCAAAGATATAGATAATAGCATTAATTATTAAATGAGCTAAGCACAATACAATAACTAGCATTAAATTTATTCATTCATAAATTAAAGCTAATCTGATGCCCATTGTACAAGGATTGCAGGACTGGATTGGTAACAGGATTCAATAGTGCTAATAAAAATAGTATTTGCTATTGTCAGTTTTACTTTCGATCTATAATTGGACTGTTTAGCCATTGTTCCACAAAGTTCATAAATATATATGCAGGATATACTGCTATTAATACCAAAGATCATTATTATGCTTGTTAATAAATTTTTTCAGATGTGGTGTGCTTAGTAGCTATAGGAAATTCTTATCCCATTCCACCTATCCTTAATCGATTGTGCTACGTTATGTGGATATTGTATAAATCAGTAATTTTGAATATTTAAAATAATAATTTATTTATTACGCCTGCTCTAAATTAGCATTTGTCATAGATCTATGCTATATTAAGGGGGTGGGGGTGCCATCTGTGAAAGGGGGGGTGGGGGTATCTGGCTGCGACCTGTGCTTAACTACACGTGTCGCCATTTTAATGTATATTCTACATTTACCGGGAACCAAGAATAAACATGATCTCCTTGCACTTTAAGCTTTTTCTTAGCAATTGAAGTAGCTTGCCCTCCAGCTCCAACCCTTTCTACAGATACAATTGAAACAAGCTGATTGTTTCCTCCAAAGCAAACAGCTGGGACTACAGCGTTAGCAATCCCAGTGAACTTGTATACTTCTTCGTCGTTCTTATAAAAAGTCAGTTCTTGAGAGTCAATGTCAATAAGCATAGAGACCACATCGCTGGCTCCATATTCAACACCTGCGCTGATTGAGCCTTTTTTATGGAACTCTCCAGATTTTTTCCAGGACCATGTTTCTCTAGTACAATCGCTTCCGATGTACTCAGAGAGATTGTAATTAGTATCTACAGCACTTATAACGCCGATGTACAAATAAGCAGAATCTCCATCTTGATCTATATGAAGATTAACTCTAATTTTTCCAGAGGAATAGGTTTCATTGAAAATCGCACATCCCCAGCCATTTGAACTTGTTCTGGTCACAGTTTTGTTGTTATTAGAGAGAGCAATATCAGGACCTTTAGGGGTTTCTGTCCATCCTGCAGACGTGCAAATTTCAGAGCTCACAGAAAGTAGTTTTTCAGCCGGTTCTTTTGCCCTTTGGTCAAAGCTGAAGAAAATTGAATCTCGGCTTTCTACTTTGCTTTGTGGGTCAAACTCAATATTTAAAAAGGCAGCACCCAGGATTTGAATGAACTCTGACCGTGTTTGTCTTCTATATGGATGTGATGATTCTTTTAAGTACTCAATTGCTGGAATTTTTGATTTAAAAGTGTCAAATAAGAACATTTCTAATTTCTCGTCTTTGTCAGTAAGGCCTTTCATATCAGAAACTAGCTCGTTTAGCTCAATAAACCAAGTCTCTTGAGATCCTGTATAAAATACTTCGATAGCTTTGAATAACAAGGAAACAGAAGACTGAAGTAAGGGGTGACTGGATTTTTCTAGTTTGTTTGAAAGATAAAGCTCATTAGCTTCAGAGAACAGCAGCTTTATAATGGTTTCCAAGGTGGGGTTAGGATATTTTATAAAAGACTTAAGAATGCTAACTCCCCCCCTCCGTGAGTGAACAAAAAAATTTGTTCACTCACGGAGGGGGGTTTAATTGTTTTTTTTAAAAAAAATTTATATATAAATTTTATAAAAATTATTTTTGTTCGAAATTCAAAAAAATCCTAATTCGCAAAAATTGGAAGGCAAATATTAATTTAATTTGTAAAATTTATGTTTTAAAAAAAGCAATTCGTTTAAAATTAAACAGAATCAGCTCTAGATTTCATTTATACTAATTATCATTTATATATATCAAATTTTTTTCCATAAAAAATTTTTCTATTAAAAAAATTTTTGTTCACTCACGGAGGGTGGGTTTTTTGGCAAAAAATAGCGATTTTTCTAATGGTTTTGTTCACTCACGGAGGGGGGGGAGTAAGAGCTCTTGATTTTTCTTCGACTGCAGGCGATGAAAGGATAAACAGAAATAGAGGCTGCAGAAATCGAGGGGTATAAAGCATCTTCAACTCTTCATTTGTATTCACGTTTTCTACAAACTTTTCAAGCATCCAAAGCGCAGCATCTGGCTTGAGGTCATCCTTTTGAGCTTGCGAGCCACTGCCAATTGGAATAACTTCAAATTTGTAGCCCCAATAATGGACAGATCCATCACTATGGAAATAAGTGTATACAGTATCACCTGGGACTTCGAATGACTGCCAGCATGACTCTCCTTGTCCTGAAAGACATTTAAGCTCACCTTGCCTCCCAGGTTTTTCATAGAACCTCAGAGGATCGCATCCAGCTTCCGTATAGCATTGAGGGTCAAATACAAATTTAAGCCCTTTTGCCCCAGGAATGGTAATAACATCATCTACATCCATTCCATCATTATAAGGGTGCAAACTTTCAACAGTAATTGTTTTCAAAGGCGGCCCAGCTGATTTACCTATTATGCACGAAATCAAAATAGTGAGGCATTCTCTAGCAGCTTTCAGCCTAAAGTCTTCTCTATCTAAACTTTTCAGTAGAGTTCTCACTGGAGTTTCAAGGTTTTGCAGCTCGGAATCGACATATGAGAGGAGTTTGGCCAAGCTAGCACTGCCAGGCATATTCATAAGCATGCTAGGATATTTTTTTAGAGTTATTACAAGCAGTTTCTTTGATAAAGCTAGACGCCTCATTTCGTCAATATCAAATAGCATGTTATAAAGCTCCATGACTGTGTACTCTTCGTATGATTTTTCTTCTTCTTTTTTGAGAGCCCCTGAATCTTGGCTGGGAAGCTGATCTACTAGTCCGAAAGATGTGGCATTGTTTGAAATACTTTTAAGGGGGTAAATGGGGCAGTTCATAAGGGTATCGGCACTTTTTATTCCTAATAAAATGTAGTACTTCTTTTCGTTTTTGGAAGCAATGTTTATGGCGTTTCCTTCTTTATCTGAAACGAGGGCATAGCCAAAAGGCAAAACAGCAGAATAAGTTGAGGTGACTTTAATAAGCGCGATATCTTTTAAAGGAGTGTTTTTCTTTTCTGCAGTCCCTGTTTTGATGAAAATCTGATTTCGTCTTTCGTCTTCAATGCTCAAGTCTCCTATTTCAGTAAAATCTCCTGGGTTTTCTCCTATAGACAGCCCAATGCAACATTTTCCAGTCAAAAATTTTTCTTTTTTCATTGCTAGTACTTTTCTGTCTGGAAGGCTAAAATTGATTACTTGGGCATTTTCATAAACTTGGACAATTTTATAATCAGCTGGAACTGAGCTTACGTTATCAAAAATTTTGATATCAGTGATAATTTCTTGATCTAAGTTTAGAGGTGGGTTTCTCATGGTGTCAAGTCCAAACGTATTTAATGAATATTCTAAGGCTGAACTTAAGTCTTGAGAATTTGCAAGGGCCTCTTCAGCTTCTTCATCAGAAAGTCCTAGCAATTTGAGTCTCAGTTTATCTAAATTTTGATCTTTTGTTTTAATTTTAATAAATCGTTCTCCTCCTTCTAATTCTTTTGCTTTTTCAATTTTGCTTTGAATGCTTCCTGCATATTTCCCATCATAGATTTCTAAGCATAGCAAACTAGCAGAGCCTCCAAAATCTAAATACATCCCATATTCCCCAACACGGTATCCGTTAAATACATTTCCATAAACTTTTTCTGACTTTATCCCACTCTTATCATTAATAATTGTCACTTCTCCATTAGCTTTTGCAAAGATCCTTATAATCAATGGCTCTGAAACATTTGCTTCTCCATTAGGCTCTCCATTGATTGCGAAGTGAGGTCTACCAATTGCAGTTGTGATCCCGACTTCTAAGTCTCCGATTTTTAACCCGCATGAGAGCTTATTATTTAGCAATTTTCCTTCAATAGCAGCCAAAATCGTGATAGTAGTGCATAGAGTTGGAAGAGAGTGGAAAATGGTATTTGGCAGAGTGTTCTTGATTTCCCTTCTTTCAGATACTCCTTTTGGATTATTTATTACAAAATGATACAGGCCGTTTTGATATAGCTCAGAATTCCCAGAACTGTCTTTCATTTTGAATGAAGAGTCGTCTAGAGCCCCGAGCTTGTAAAGTAAAACAGTATTTTCTGATACTTGCTCTTGGTAATTTATAATAGCTTCTTTATCATTAATTCCAGATTCAAAGCATTTAAGAATTTTGACTGCTGGAACATTCATCCACATTAGTTCTTGGACTAAAGCTTGTTCAGCTTCGCTGTACTCAGTAAATCTTGTCATAGCTTCTTCTTCAGTCATTTCTTTCTTTTCTTGATTCTTAGGTGCTGCTTGGAGCTTTTTGGCAAGCTCGTTCATGACTTTTGTGTATATTTTTTTGCTAGTCCCAGATAAAGGATTACCACGGTTAATGAATTTATTGATGATTCCTTCCATTTCGGGGTGTTTTGTTTCTTTAGACTCCAGAACATCAAGCATGCAAATCATTGATGCGATATTAAGTTTTATATACAAAGATCTCAAGTTTGCAATAGCATCACTGCTGGCTTTAATAAGAACATTTCCTGAGCCTCTTAAATTTTCCCAAAATGCAATTGTGGCTGTGCTCAGTCTCTCTTTTTCTTCAGGGTTTAATTTATCATAGAGCTTAATATTGACTTGTGACTCGATTCCATCAATTTTGTCAAGTGGCTCAGTTGCATTTGCGTCTTCGACTACAGAATAAAACTTCCCAGTTTCAGGGGTAGTAAATTCTCTTATAACACCTCGAGGGAGTCTGCAGTTATTTAGCCTAGCTTGAGAAAGGATTATTGGCACAAAGCCATAGCCATCCGAATTTTTAGATGAGGAGGCCATAAAGAAAAGGGTTCCTGAGTGGACAGGAGTCAGCGGAAGTCCTCGAATGACCATTTGAGCTGCTGCTTCAAGTGACCTTGTGAGCACATTAATCACTTCAGCTCTCCACCTATCAACCCCAACGAATGCAAGAATAAAGCTTTCTGCTTCATATGCCCATCTCAGAGAAATCTCTTTTGAGTCTTGATTTTCGTACCATGTCATTCCGTTTCCAATCTTGGTTAATAAGAAGGAAATAATATCAAGCTTGCTGTTTAATAACTTAGAGACTGTGTCCCAATAAGGCTGAAGAGTCTTGGGAGAATGCTGGGTTGGGATGATATATACTTAATTATAGAGGCCAAAACCTTTTGTGCTTAGCTAGTTTATTATAGTAAATTAAAAACATTGAGTAAGCGCTCTTAATAATTAGGAATACCTCAATATTCTGGATCCACATGTTATAACCTTTGCTGATGGAACACAAAAAGTTAGCTGAAGAAGAGAAACAAAATAATCTTCTCTGGCTAAAAGCCTAGGCAGGCATTGTGAGCCCAGAGACCCATAGATACACCAAAGCAAAGAAGAAATATAGTCAATTTGGCCAGTAATTATACTTGTCATCTTTTTGCATGATGCAGGAATTCCGTTGTACATGGAGATACCGTCTTCAATTTCCTGATAGTAATTTGAGAATTTTTCTTTATTTGAAATAATCCCATTTAATGCTACGTAGAAATCCAAAGATCCTGATCCATCTTTAAACTCCGCTGGGCATTCGAATTCCACATTTTCAACTACTCCAGGCTGTTTGGCATTTGCAAAGAGCTCAAGGAATTTCATGAAAGAGTCTTCTTGTGCTGGTTTAAGTCTGATTATGAAGTTCTGTATAACTTTTCCAACGTTTTCTAAGTCATACTCCTCAGCAGCTTGATAAAAGTCATTTGGAAGGTACTGCCATAGTTTTGACTGTCTGAAATACTCACGAATTTCTGCTGGAAACTGATCAGCTAATCCTTTGAGAACATTTAAATACCTGAAGAAATCGTATTCTCCTTTCTCATTTTTATTTTCTTCATATTTTTCTAGCACTTCAACGGTTTCTCTTTTAAGATTTTGAAGGTCGTCTTGAGTGATAACTCCTTTCATTGCTGGGTCTGCTTTTTGTACAAATTCATTAATGATCTCTCTCACAATGAAATTTTCAAAGCTCTCAGTCTCGTTATGGAATTGCCTTAGCCATTCTTGTACAGGGTTTTTGATAATTTCTTTAGGGATCACTGATTTCCCAATCCAATTTTCACCTTTGGCAAGCTGAGCAAGAATGACAGGTTCAGGGTCAAGAGTCATCAAAGTTTCATCAAATTTAAGCTCGCTAAAAATCACTTTCATGAACAGCTCTTGGATCAGACTTTTCAACGACTCATTTGGTTCCACCCAAGACCCAACAATTGAATAAAGAAGCTCTTTGAATAATGACCAAGAGCTCTTGCTGAGCCTTAATCTCAATTCCAGTCTTTTTTTGTTTTCTTCTTCAGGCTCAGGCTCAATTAAGTTTTCATAATCTGTGAATATAAATTCCAGGTTTTCTGAAATTTCAGTCAAATACTTTAGATTAACTTTTTCATCATCTCTTTTGATATATATCGCTTTTCTCTCGCCTCTAAAAGTAAAGATTCCAGTGGCTTCTTCATATCCTTCAATAGCTTGGCTTGAAAGTTTTGCATCAATGATTGGCTTTGCTGACCCTGCTTTGTCTATCACTAAATAAATTGATTGCTCATTTGGTCTTTCTTCAAGCAAAATTTTAATTGCATTTTCAGGTAAATCAGTTTGAGCCAAAATTCCTAATCGAGTGATGCAAAGCTCCTTTTTGAATGGCCGATGGATTTCGTCTTCTCCAATATAGCCTTTGGCCCACTTTAATAAATGAGAAATTGTGCTTGGGAATTGCTGCTCTAATATGATATGGCCATCTATTCCTTTAAGCGGACAACTCATAGCATCTATGACAGTTAAGTAATGATTATAGTCCCCTGGCTTTAATCTATCGAGCTGCTGTTGAGAAAGCTCTCTTTGAAGTGCTGTATAAACCTGGAAAAATGAGTTCTGAACGCAATGCAGCAAAATAGGATCAGTTCCTTCAAGACCCTGCCAATAATGCACTTTTTCACCTTTTATTTTGAGAGAGTCACTAAAAGCTTTCACAAGGCAGGTTTCTTTCTTATTGGTTTGCCCTATTAAATTTGCGAACGATAAGAATCCTAGCGTTCTAGCAATCCCTCTTATCCTTCTTTTTGCAATCACAGCTGCAATATCTTCTACTGGTATTGAAGATTCTAAAAATTTGGTTACGATTTCAGCAACTCTAAGAAATTCTTTGACGTCTTCATTTTCTGGTTCTTTAGTTTTTGATTGAATATGAAGCAGCCCTTTAAGTTTTGAAGACGATTCCACTGCTTTTTTGACAGTTTTCCATTTACTCCCGGCTTTTGCTATTGTAGCTTGGCTTTGGATTTTAGCTACACTTGAGAATAAATTTTTCATAACTTTATTAACTCCAAGCTCATTCAGGCTGATTTTGTATTCAGCACTAAGCAAGAAAACGCATTTTATGACGACATCTTTGCAAATATCAGTGTAGGTGGTATCTGGTTTGCCATAATCCATTAGCTTTTGCTTGTGCTTTTGTGCCCAGCCTCTGATTAAATTGCTTTGCTTGATGATATATTTCATTGTTGCACCGAGATCTCCTAGAGAGTCGAAAATTTTGGCTACTGTGTCAGTTGCTTCGTAAAATGCGATATAAATAGCAAAAATAGCTCTTTCAGCTTGGTCCATTTCAGCTCCACCTATATTTGTAGCTGGGCCCATCACGCCTGCTTTTTTCTTTAAGCTTGCCCATGCTGTGCTGATTCTTTCACTTCCTTCTATTAACTCTTGCAAAAATGGAATATTTGAAAACTTAGGTCGCTCAATGGCTTTTGAATATTTTGCAGCATAGTCTCCGATAGATACGACAACAGAGCTACTTCTTACAATTCGTTTTTTTATAGCTTCAGGGTATCCTGAAGCTGTCAAAGCTCGTTTAGCTCTTCTTGTCATACTTGCATTCGTTAGTATTGTGAACAAACTTTCACTGATAGGGGTAGGTTCCTTTACAATGGAAAGAGCTGAATCCGAAATCCCATATTTTAGTAGAGGGTTATCAAGAAGCTCAGTTATTTTTTCATCATCTGGGGCTGAGTCAAAAGTGCCAGATATCAAACTTGTACTGATAAATCCAAGCAGCATAACAGCTGAGTCCTTGACTGTATCAGGCCATTGTTTTGCTTCAAAATTAGCCTCTACATAAGATTTTATTTCTATTTTCCATCCCCAATAATTTACAGATCCATCTGAATGAAAAGTAAAAAATAGAAGAGGACTGATGACTTCTACAGGCTGCTTTGGAAAATTCTCTCCTTCCCATCTTGCAAATTTATTTCCTCTATTTTGATCCAGTCACAGTTCTAAGTAATCGCAGCCGTTTTCAGTTTTACACTGAGGGTCAAACGAAAGCACATATTTCTTTGCCCTGGGGACTCTGACGAGATATTCAGTGTTTAAATTGTCTCCATAATTATGACTGCTCTCATAAACTTGTGGCTGAATCGCAGTTCCTTGGACAAATACCTTGGGCTTTGGCTGAAAGGCTGATAGCGTTGTAATAATATTTTGTAGGCTTGTAAGAACTCCAGCAAGGAGGTCAAGATTCATATTCATCAGCATAAGGTAGTAAAGCAGGCTTTCAAATAAATTAGCAACGACTGTATTTTTGAGTTTAGCTGTTAAATCGTCTGGAATTTTCCCATCTGGGTGGAGAGACAAAATTTGTTTAAACTCATCCCCTCCGTGAGCAAACAAAAAAATCTCGCTTACTGAGGGATTAAAAATTTATATATAAATTTTATAGAATATTTTTTTTTTCAAAATTTAAAAAAATACTAAGTCGCAAAAATGTGTAAAACAAATATTAATTTTAATTTGTAAAATTTAAGTTTTAAAACTCAATTTGTTTTAAAATTAAGCAGAATTAATTATCACTTATATATCAAAATTTTTTTCCTAAAAAATTTCTATTAAAAAAAATTTGTCAGCTGACGAAGGGGAGTAAGTATTCTATCAATTTCATTAAACATTTTGACTGAGTAAGATGAAAATATGTCAAGCCATTTGCCTTGATAATTATTTTGGGCTGTACGAGCCATCAGCACGCTTTGGCTGGTTTCTAATAATTTAACGATTCCTGAAGCTGCAGCATTTCCAGAAATGGCGTTTTGTGAAATTCTTGAGGCTAGTTCAAGAAGTAGCTCAAAGAAATGCTCGATTTCTCTGCTGTGATCGTCGTCTTTGATATCGAGTGCAGGGAAGAGTTTTTCTGATTTTGCCATTTCTAAAAAGATTCTGTCTTCTAAGGCTCTGAAGACACCTTCTTGTTCTTTGCCTTTTTTCATATCTTCTAGTCTTCCCATTAGGTAGCTTAATTTTTCTTTAGGATCATTATAGAATACATCAAAGCATAAGCTAAGAGTCAAAGTGGCTTCTTCGGCGGCTTTTGTATTTGGCATGACTGAGAAAAGCTGGATTGTGTGCTCCATTATTCGGTTTCTAACACTTCTCTTGATAGCTATCAAGGTTTTTTTGTTTACTAACAGAGATGGCTAATTTTTTTTAATATTTTAATATATATTTTTTCTGGTTTTAAATCTATATTTGTAAATATTTGAAATAAAAAATCTAATATAACTAATAAAAACCTAGTTGCTTAAAATTTAATATAAATTGTTTAAGATATCATCATAATTATTGATTGCATATTAAAATATAATTTGTGCAAAAAAATATATATTAATGTTTTTTGCTCGCTTATTCAGCTTCCTAATGGTTTTGCTTGCTAACCAATTAGAGATTAAGAGATAAATCAAGACCATGGTCAGCATGAATCAAAGAAGCCAACAAGTGAGCTCGAATGAGTTTTTGTGCTGAGGCTAAAGCTGTTTGGCAACTCTCTTGGCTTATTTTTGAATAATCGTGAGTTTTAGCTAATTTAAGGAAATTAACAAAGGCTGTATCAAGAAGATCAACTGTTAATGGCTGAAGATCCAATGAAATTCCTCATTTTTTTGGCATTTCCAAATTTTTTGACTTGCTTTGCAGCATTCTCAAGACTGGAATATTTGCATAGGCCAGCTTATTGATTATGAAAGCAGATATTTCAGAAGGTTCAATTGCCAAGTATTCATTTGTAGGTCTTTCACTCTCCAGCATTCTGTACAATTTATTTTCTTTGAACTCTACATTTGGCTTTTCAACTAAATCCCTTATTTCCTCAGGGATGTTTTCAGGGAAAATTGATTGAACTTTGGAATTCGCTCCTAGGCTAGTATAAAATCTAACAGAATCCGGCAGTTTCCCATGCTTTTCTTGTGGCTCTTTAATTCCATTCTTATAAAAAGTAACAGTTTTATCATCCATATTCAAAAAAATCCCAATTTTATCCCCTTCTTTCCAGCTTTCCCATTTATAAACTTCATTATTTTTATCAAAAATGCTTGAGTTTGACTGATAAGAAAATGATGAAAAATTAATATCGGATCAAGCTGAAAAATTGTTATATTTCGAGTCCACCACTCCAAGCATATAAGAATCATTGTATGGCCCAATAGTAAATTCAAAGTAATATAAGCCTGAAAAATATTCTTCTTCTCCTAAAATGGTTGTCCAGCCTGCTGAAGCTGATACTACTAAATTATACTCAGAAAAAGTTGTATTTGGGCCTGATTTCGTAGGACTCCATCTTGGAGCGATTGATCCTAAATTTTTTAAAACAGTAAGAGGCTGATAGATTGATTCAAGAGCAGCTCGAAGCCTGTCTGTACGATCTAATTGTAAAAATCGAAGTGCAAGCATTAAAGTAGAGCTTAGATTCCCTGATGCTATGCAAAGACCAAAATAAGGCGCCAAGCATGACAGCTTGTCTATTTTTTTCATTTTTTCAGAGTCGTTGCTAATAACAGAATCAAAAAACTGCGAAATTTCTCCCAAACTTTCAGAAATTGTAGGCTCAGCAGTTTGCAGTGACAAAGGAGGAATTACACTCAAAATATCAGAGGCCTGCTTTATAACTCTTTGATAAATTTCAGGTTTTAAGTCTCCTACACATTCAATAAGGAAAAGCAAAGTGCTCAATCCCATTTTAATCGCGGCAGTTGCAGTAGTTGACAAAGTTCCTTGTGTTGCACTTGATTTATTTTCTTCATTTTTCGTTTTCAGCTTTCTAAACTGTTCAGTTCTCAATAGTCCTTCAAATGATCTCATTATGCATTGAAGCTTGACCAGAATTTCTTTCGAGTTCGCATCTTCACCACGCTTTCTCAAAATGTCTTCAATAATATTTTTGATGGCATCTCCGTGCTTTTCTCTCAGCCTATCATAGTTGTTTAAGCTTAAAATCATAGCCTCTTCTTGGTCTGTGTTGACATCTTCTTCTTTTAGCTTTGTGTGGTCGAAGCCAGGAACTTTATAATCATCAAGATCAGCACGGACCAGAAGCTTACCAGTATCAAAAATTAAGGAAGGATCATCTAAAAGTTCGAGATCTTGGTGAATTGTTTTCGTCACGGCGCTGAGATCGAGGCCTTCTACACGCGATACAATTTCACTTGACGAGTTTCCCATTTATTATAACTGATATTGCTTGGTAAAAATGTCAAGCATAATTGAAAGAGATATCAATTACTAATTAATCATATGGGTCACTTAATTAAGCGAAATTATTCTAATACAGAAAATAGTAATATATAGGATAGTTTGGGAAATTTTAAATTGAAATTTATAATCAAGCTATAAAAAATTGATTAATGAGTGTCTCAGAATTTGATGAAGTCAATCAAGGCCTTAGAGAACTTAAAGAAGTGTTTGATTATTTCGATAAAGACAGGAGCGGGGAAATAGATTCAAGCGAATTAGTCCAGCTTTTAAGCTGCCTTGGAGAAAATCCAGTTGAAGAAGAAATTCAGGACATGATTGATGCTATGGATGAAGATAAAAACGGAAAAATCAGCTGAGCAGAGTTCTCAAAAGAGTTTATAAGGAGAAGAGGGAAGAGAGATATAGACAAAGAAATTCAAACGCTATTTGGTATGTTCGATCGAGATGAAACACAAATAATAACTAAGGAAGGCGTCTACTATATGATGAATAATGTATTGAAAGAGAAAATTACTATGCAAGATGCAGATGACATGATAAGAGTGGTTTCAGGGAGTCGAGGGTATATCACTTTTGAAGAGTTCAAAAAGTTAATGAAAGATGGGATTTAAATGCCAGCAGATTGGTGGATACTTACATTATTTACTTAATTGCTCTGGTAATAGAGCGTTCACTTAAAAAGTGATTGATGCATTTAAAAATATAACTTAGGAAGGAAATGCTCCATTGGGATACATAAAAAAAATTAAATATAGCTATATTATAGCTACTAGTTCATTCTTCCTTATAGAGCATAATTCAACTTTTAAAATCCTGCATCCCAGTTCCTAGGTATTGACGATTTAAATTCTTCTAATTCAGTATCAATAACTTCAGGTATAGACATATCACTATCTTCGCTTTCCTGATTTAGTACTTGGTCCCAGGGTTCATGCAGTTCTGCATCATCTTCTTCTATATCTTCAAAATTATCCCCTACATCTGGTGTATAAGGAGGCACAATAGTTTGATGCATTAGTCCTTCCCAGTCAAATCCTGCAAACCATTCATGCTTTTTCAGATTTTCAATTGAGCCTCCACTTCTATGTTCTCCCAATTTACTCAAAAGCTGTCCTATCAACGATTTAGCTGATTCACTTGGCCCTTCTATATCAGAAGGATAGTCCAAATTCATGTCAAGTATGGCTTCATAGATCTTATAAGGATCTTCTTCATCTTCTCCAAAAGGCACTCTTCCACATAGAAACTCATAAAGGCATATTCCTAGGCTCCACAAATCTGCATTTTTATTATACCCTTTCCCCACAATCGCTTCTGGGGACATATAATGATAAGTTCCGACTAACGTATAAGTTCTGCCTTGGACCTGCTTAGCGGTGCCAAAATCGATCAGCTTAATAAAACCATTGGAGTCGACCATGACATTATCAGGTTTTACATCTCGATAAATGATATCTCTTTCGTGAAGATACTGTAGAACAAGGACTAAAGATGCAATGTAAAACTGAGAATCACTGTTACTTAGGAGTCCAACGTGTCTTAGAATCATGCTGAGCTCTAAACCATGAACATACTCGAGCAGAAAATAAATTCGTTTTTCGTCTTTATATGTTCGCACCATTTTCACTATAAATGGGTGGTCTATTAATAGCAAAATATGCTTTTCAAGAAGCAAATGCTCTTGTATTGCGTACACATCGATTTTCCTTCGGGAAATAGCTTTGAGCGCATATAGTTGAAAAGCGCTAGCAGGCCTTACCAAGTAGACTTTTCCAAACATCCCTTTTCCTAGCATTTTTATGACAATGAGGTCTTTGAGCTCTACCCTTTCGTCTTCTATTTTTATTCTTTTTAGCAGCTGCTTTCTCATATTTTCATTTACAAGCTGAATAAAGTCATTATTTTGTATCACCCACACGGTTACACTTCCATTCGCAACCGCTGTAACTGTCGAAATATTATCAATTAAAAACCCTCTTTCCCCAAAATAGTCATGCTTCATCACAGTTCTAATCAGCTCTCCATTTTTTCTCAAGTCTACTTTGCCTCGCTTGACAATATAAACTGAGTCAATAGGAGTCTTTTCTTTTATAATAGTTTCGCCTTCTGCATATTTTACACTTCGAATTATTCCAAACAATTCTTTCATTTTTGTACTGTCTAAAGTGTTGAAAAGGTAAACTTTTCTCAGCACATTGGTCGCAGCATTTTCTTTGACGACATCTTCATATCTGCCTCCTATGCTGACTTCAAAGCGATATTTCGTAAGTTCGCCAACTTTCATATCAGCTGAAGCAATCATATCGTCTTCATATTTTTGGTCTTCAGCAAGTGTTTGAGTTACATGGACATCGCCTACTGCAGTTCCTTTATCTGCAAAAAGTTGAGTCGTCTTTGCAAATTGGAGCCTGCCTGTAATAATTATGTACAGTTTTGAATTGCATAAGGTGCCTGCTTGGATTACAATGTCACCACCTTTGTAGCTTTTTATGTGGAGTTCTCTAATAATGGAGTCTTTTTGGTCTTTATTTAAATAGCTGAGAGTTTCAGATTTGTTTATAGCTTCCATTATTGTGTTTTTCTCAATAATATCTTGAAGCTGGTTTCCTAGTGTTTTTTGTAGAGTTTCTCTACTTAGCGAGACACATTTTACAGGTCCTTCAATAGCTACACAAGTAGCTGATCTTGGAGCATTTGTAAGCAGCGCCATTTCTCCAAAATAGCCTCCAGCATGCAGCCTCGCTATTTCCTGCGACCCTTTTTGTACAGAAACAGTTCCTTCTTTAATGATAAACAGCTGCTGTCCGCTTTCTCCTTCAGAAATGATTTTCTGTCCTGAAGTATACTTGCAAGCTACAAGAGAAGCAGCCAGCGAATCCTTTTGCCTTGAGCTGAGTGGCTGCAGTAAAGCGACTTTTTCAAGAAATTCTCTATTTTGTTCATAAATTTGCGTATTCATTTCTTCAATAACTTTTCTAAAAGTCTGTCTTTCAATCCCTCACAGCAAAGTTTTATCCAGACACCTCACTGTGGCAGACCTCGGATTATCATGAAGTAAGGCTAATTCCCCAAATCCTTCGCCTGGATGGATTCGATTGACTCTTTTTCCATTGACGAGAACTTCAAGGACCCCGCTTTTTACGACATAATACGATCTTGAAGGTTTTTCTTGCTCAAAAACTGTGCTCCCAATTTGAAAGATATAGAGCTGCATTGATTCAGCGACCATATCTTTGTCTTCATCAGTTAGGCTTGTAAAAATAAAATGATTGTTCAAGGCTGTTATTATAAGTTTCTTGTCGTCTTGAGATTTCTGGGCTTGGGGATCAATTTCAGCGTCTTGTGCTTCTATGTAGGCCATTCCTAGTGGCATTGGAGATTTTGATTTTTTCTTTTTTTCGGATTGTTCTCTTATTGCAGATTCTTCGTCATGGACTGCACTTTTTTTGCGGTCTGTCTTTGGGACTCTGTTTAGGAAGGTTCTTTCTTCGCCTGTCCCGTCGTTGTTTTTGTCTGCTTCTAAATAGCGATTTGGTTTTAATTTCATACATAGTTGGCCCATTCTTATTATAATGACGTTGATATTTTTCAATTAATTGTTGTGAATTGGAATCTTAAAGAGAAGATTTTAAACTTGTATGATTTAATGGTTGATTAAAATTTAATCCACATAGGAATAGAAATCGTAGTTAAATAAATATAAAATCAAAGATCGCAGAACCACACTTTAATCTTATAACACTATTGTGGAATGGAAAGTATAGTTAAAATTTATCTCTTATTAGATCTTGCAGTTTTAAAGCTTTAAGAACTTCTGCAAAAATTATGCAGGTTCCATTATTCTCTCCAAACTTTAATAGCAAATATTTTGTAGTTATCTATTAGAGCTCTTTTATTCTTTAATTACAGAGCTTATTAATTGTATAAAATTGGAGTCATTGGTCTGATGCACAATTAAATGACAAATAAGTCTGCATTTATAAAAGATTTTATAAAATTTGGAAGCTTTAATTATATTCTCTAATATGTCAAACCCAAGTTTATCTTAATAATGAATCTAAAAATGATTAGGTATCTGATAACTCAGTAGCAAACTATTAATTCTTATATAAAATTACACACCAATCACAATATTTGCTGATTTTATTTTGAGGCCTTTATCGAACGCTATTTTCTTGAAGCTCAGCTTAGCTGTGCGATGTTGTGCATTGACATTTTCATATACCTTTTTATCATCAGCAGCATTTACAGAGTTATCCAATACTATTGTGTCATTTATTGTAAGAGTTTCTTGATTATTACCCGCAAAAAACTTTTTTATAGTTTTCTGTTCAGCTATTGAAGTTGTGGAGTCCTCTTGTGTTTCATTAACCCTTTCACATGCTACAGATGAAAGTTTTTGTCTTTGCCTGAAAAAATTAGACACAGCAATTGTCTGAATATAAAATACATTTATTGTTAAGGAGAGGAATAGCCCTGTAATATAAAGAAAGGAGGCATATAGATCTTTGGTATCTGCATTTTTGCATGTTGAAGATAAAGATTGCATACAGTACTCATCACGCCAACTGCATAGCTTTAAAGATGATTTTGCTGAGTCAAAGATAATATAAAAAAGACTTAAAATCCCAGTTACAATAAAGGACAGAATAGATGGGATTTTAAAGTGTTTTAGCTTTAAAACTGCTGTGTATATTGTATATAATGCTCCACTTAGCAATCCAAAAATAAATATAAAAATTCGTACTCAGTCTACTCATTTAGTGTCACCTTTGTATCCAAGAGCGGCGTAAGGGAGAGTTAGAGTGCATATAATGACTGTGGCTGCTGGAAGCAAAAGTTTGGAGGAGAATCTCAAATTTCTCATATTTTCTTAGAATTAAATATCTCAGTATACTTATACTTATCACATTTATAATATTTTAGATAAAATCATTATTACTTAACTTGTTAAAATTGGTAGATATGATAAAAACATATGATAGAAATATTGACTAAACGCACATTTGAACTGACATTTTGATAGTAAGAAGGTTCTTGGGGATTTTAGTCGAATTTTTTGATAATGTTGCAGTTGATCGCTCCCCTCTCTCCATGAGCGAACAAAACTATTAATTATTACTTATAATCGAATTTTTAAAAATTTATATTGAAAAAACTCTAGTTCTCGAAGGGTTTCTGACAGGAAGTTGAAATTTTGTAACCATCCAAATTCTGCTGAAACAAAGCTGATATTTTAATCTCAGATTTAGCCCAAATGCATAACTAATAAAATTGGCAAGAAAAAGCCTCTCATTTATTTTAATGAGATTTAAAACAATTTTGCTATTTTTCAGACAAAGAAACTAATCAAAAGTTCTAAAATTATCTGGAAATATCTTCCTTTAATATTTTACCAGACTAATAGTGAAACTTTATTTCATTTACAGAAAATATATAATTATGGAATAATATAATCATAAATTTTATTATTTTTAAAAGTTCCATTGAGAAATAATAAAAATTAAAACATTGGAAAAATCCCTAATTTAAAGACTGTAAATATCAATTAAGCTGTTTAGCTATGAAATATAAAATTGGAGTTGATTAAAGTGATCTTATTTCTTCCTTTAAAAAATAAAAAAAAATTATTTTTACTTTGTGATGCTTATTATACTTATTTCATTTAATTTGCTCAGATAAAGAAATACCAAAGCAAAGAATTTATTATGGCTATTTATTAAAGCTAATTGATTCATGCTTTTTATTTAAAAGCAAGTAATGCTGCTGATTATTATGAAAATAAACTAATAGGTCAAACTTTATTTTCTTTGTCGAACAAAAATTATTGAATAAATTGATGAAATTAAATATATTCCAAAAATGAATAACAAGCAACTTATTATTTGCCTAGTGAGAAAAAAGTTTTTATTAATTTCCTTGAGCTTTAACCTATTAGCTGAAAATCAGCAATTCATTCAGCTTTTTAATCATAAAATGCCTTTTTGTGATGCATTTTTCTTTTTAGCACATAAACTTATCTGTATAATCAAAATCGATTTAATTTTTTTAGTATAGGATAATTTAATTATTTAAAGAATTTACAATTATATATTTAATTAGCATTTAGCTTTTTTTTCTACTTTATTTAGGTATTATTTTGAATATTTAAGTTCATAAAGATCAAGCAATAAATACAATAATTTTATGAAATTTTTATTACATTAAAATGCATCAATATTACCACTAAATATCAGATGATAGATTTTTCTTGACGATTATAGACTTAAATAGTAAAATTGTGCTGGTTTTTATAAACTTTAATGGGAGAATATAAAATCTTCTCTTCAAAGCACTGACTCAAGATAGTTTTTTTCTTGTCATGCTATCTCTCATTTGTCAAAAGTGACACATCATGCGACCCAGACCTCTGTTCTAGCTGCGCGGGAAGCGTCTCTTTTATTTGCACAACATGCAAAACTTCCCCGGGCACAACAGTTATACTTAATAGTATTTGCTTGCCTAACTGTCCTTATGGTTTTTCTACAAGTCCTTGCACATCTACTACAAATGCTGTAGTTGATGTGACCTTTAACCAAAATACTTTTAGCGGTCAATACGGTCCTTTTATAACAGGGACGAGCTCGTCAACTTATCAATTTTTTTGGAGTCCAGAAAGTGTCGACCCAATACCATCTTATCAACAAGGATTATATTTCGATGGAACTGGCCAATATTTATCAACTGATGGTACATTTTATCCAAATTATGAGATAGCTTTTTGCATGTGAATAAAGACAATCGGTCCTAGTTCAAGCCAAGATCTTTTATATTTGAAGCCTGGAAGTGGAACTGAAATACTGAGGGTTAACACTCAGGGCGGGCTTAGACTTAAGCTAGAAACAAAATCAGGAACTCAAGGCTCGTTAGTAAACGATTCAAAGAATTTAGTGATAATTAGTAGCACTACCTGATACTTTGCTTCATATACAATTACATTTTCTTCTTCAGCTGGGTCTACGACGATGACTCAATATTTGAATAGCGCCGCTGATAACACAGTAACAACTAGTAACCAGCTTTTCAGATGATATAATGCAGGGAGTCAAACACTTATTCTCGGAAAAGGGCCAAATGGTAATTATAATGGGTGAATCTATAATTTTAAATTTTGGAATACAGGCTACTCTGCCTGAGCAACAGAATATAGTGCTGTTTGTGGATCTGGAACAAGCTCTTGTTTCGTTAGCTGTAATTATAAGAAATATTGGAACGGCTCTAGTTGCTTAGATTGTCCGAGTCAGTGCACAAAAGGATGTATGGCTTCTAATAAATGTGTCTGCGATGATTCTCTTTGTGGGGTATGCACAGGATGAGGATCAGGACTATGCACTACTTGTTCTTCAAATACTTCGGGAGGTGGATCGAATCCTTGCTCTTGCAGCTCAGGGTCTTATAGCGCAGATGGATTTACTTGTACAAGCTGTCCAGCAGGATGCTCCGGATGTACAGGTGGCAGCTATTATCAGTGTAGCTCTTGCCTAACAGGCTATTATTTCTTAACCACAATGTGCCTTAGTTCATGCCCTACAGGCTACACACAAGATTCGACTAATTCTACCTCCTTAATGCGAGCAAAAGATTAAAAAGTTACTATTGTTTGAAATAATAACCCCTTCAAGATGAAAAAATAATTTTAATAGTAAGATCTCTAGCTAATTCTATTAAATTTTAGATAGCTCATTTCTTTTCAATCACAATTTTTTTTTTCTTTAAAAAAAAAAATTATATATAAATATAATTATTTTTAAATTATCCCCCCTTTTTAAACGGGCAAGATTTTTTTCTGCTAGTTCTTAAAGGGTGCTGTGAGTAACAAAATTTGCTCACTGTCCACAACCAATGCTCTCTCATTAGTTTTCCAGAATCAAATTGCTCTTGACACTCTCAGTGGAGTTACAGTAGGGTCATCTAATACAAACAAATACCCAAATTGGGAAGCAACTGATCCAATTCCTTCCATTTATAGAGGCTATTACTTTACAGCTGATTATTATATGACATTGTCCTCTCTACAAATATCCCCTTATTTCGCAATCACTATATGGATAAATCCTTCAAACTTGGCTTCAGGAACTGGTCATGTCGTAACAAAGTACAGTACTGACAATTATTTTTATTTGTCTATTAATTCCAGTGGCTACCCATCTCTTAAGCTTATTCTCAAGGATACTTCTACAGTCACTCTTTCAGGCTCCACAAGCCTATTCAGCGCATGGCATAATATAGCGTTTACAGGTAAAATTGATACAAATGGAAAGACAGTTATAACTTTGTATGTTGATGGGTCATCCATAAATAGTGCTACTTCAGCTAATGCATCTCCCTATATCGACCAAGGAACACTTTATATTGGACGGCAATCATACTCGAATGGGTTTGTAGGTTTTTTATGGAGTGTTAAAATTTATAATGATAATACTCTTTATAATTCTGAGTGAAAAACATCTGGATGTGCGAGTGGATGCACGAAATGTCCATCAGAATTACTTTGTCCTAGTACTTGTGCTTTTGGAACGTTTTTATCTTCAGGATCTTGTGTGTCATGCTCTGGATGCTCTAGTTATGGATGCAGAAGTACTGATACTTGCAGACTTTGTAAATATAAAGAATGCACAGCGTGTAATTTATTTGATGGGGATTGCACAGCTTGCATTACAAACGCTAGCTTGTCAGGAGGGGTTTGCTCTTGCAATTCTAATACTATTTGGGCTTCTGCAACCTCAACATGCGAACTATGTGACAGCCTATGCTCAACGTGTGCTGGAACTTATTATTTCCTTTGCAATGCTTGTAGTGGCTCAGCAGTTCTTGCAGGAAATGTTTGTTTAAATGCTTGCCCATATGGGTTTACTACAAGTCCATCATGCACAAGTATTTCAACCACTGTTATAGATCAAACATTTGACACCGACTTTTTAGGGGCTTATGGGATTTTCACCACTGGAACTTCGGCTTCTACTTATAGAAAATTCCTGGGGATAGCGCGGAATGCGCTATCCCCAGGACCAAACCGGGATCGGATCCCACATGGAACGAGGGTTCCATGTGTGGATCCATTTTTGACACGTGAAAGTAAATATCTCACATGTCAAAAATGGATCCACACATGGAACCCCCGTTCCATGTGTGGATCCGATCCCGGTTGGTCCTGGGGATAGCGTATTCCGCGCTATCCCCAGGAATTTAGTATATCAGTTTTGGAACAGTCCTGAATCGTTGGATCCTATTCCTGCTTATAAAAGAGGTCTCTATTTCACTGGTGGACAATATTTAGTATCAAATACGAACATTTATTTAAGCAACAGTGTATCAATGGGATTATGGGTATATGTGGTGACTGCTGGCGATATCCTTCAAAAACAAAGCAGACTATCACTAAGCTCAGCCGGAGTCGTGAAGGCGACTCTAGAAAGTACATCTCAATCTACAATATCAGCATCAACTGCATCTTTGTCATTTTCAGGGTGGATTTATCTCTCTTTTACAATTGCTTATACAAGCGGAGCAACAACAATTACCGCATATAAAAATGGATCTGCTGGGACACCAGTTTCAAATACAGCTTATCTTTTCAGGGATTTATCTTCTGATATTTTATATCTCGGTAAAAGCTCAACATCTTCTAGCTTTGTCGGCTTTATTTATTACTTCAGCTTATGAAATACTGCAATCACTGATTTTTCATCTAAAATTTCTGTACCTTGCGGAACTACTAGCTCCCCTTCTGCTTGTCTCTGGACTTGCTCTATTACTCAATACTATGGCACGTCGTCATATACATCATGCAGTGGTAGCAGCTGTGGAAATTTAGGATGCAGAAGATCAGGATCTTGTAATATTTGTAGCGATCCTCTATGTGCTAAATGTTCTGGCTTTGGATCTAATTCATGCTACCTGTGTGTTTCCCATGCTTCTGGAGGATCAACAACTGCTTGCTCATGTGATGCCAACTATTATACTTCGGCAGATGGTTTTTCATGCCTTTTTTTATGCAAAGCTCAATGTGCTAGCTGCTCAGGATCAGGATATTACCAATGCACAGCTTGTGCAACAGGCTACTACTATTTAAATGGGCTTTGCCTTACATCATGCCCAACTGGATATACTCAAGATTCCACAAACAACCAATGCACTTTAATTTCCAGCACTCCTGTTTCCCTTGCCTTACAAAACTATATTATGCTTGATAGTGTCGGTGGTTTTACTGTTGGTTCCTCAAGCTCTAATATAGGCCATGCCACTATATAGATTTCTTTATCGAGCATAATACAATGGACGATTGAAAGACCAGTTCAGACTCTATCAAAGGGACAAGCTGGATCTCTATAGCAGGAAGGGTTAAAAAGTGATATGTCAAAAATGGTTGAAAAATGCGAACAAAGCTGACAAGCAAATGCGCCAATTTTTTAATGGCTTTATTATAAAAAATTAATTTTAAATTAAAGATACCATTTAGACTCATTTTGATAAGTATCTTACCTATTTTTTCCTTCTTTTTGAGGAAGCTAAAATAAAATTATAAATCTCTTCCTTGATGCAACATATAACTCCAACTTTAATATTACTTTCCTAGAAATTTTAAAAATCAAACTTTTTTTATAACTCCCCCCCCTCCGTGAGTGAACAAAAAAATTTTGTTCACTCACAGAGGGGGGTTAAATTTTTTTTTGTTAAAAAAATTTATATATAAATTTTATAAAAAAATATTTTTTTTCGAAATTTAAAAAAATCCTAATTCGCAAAAATTGGGAGGCAAATATTAATTCAATTTGAAAAATTTATGTTTTAAAAAGCAATTCGTTTAAAATTAAAAAGAATTAGCTCTATATTTTATTATACTAATTATCATTTATATATTAAAACTTTTTCCCATAAAAAATTTTTCTTTAAAAAATTTTTGTTCACTCACGGAGGGTGGGTTTTTGGGCAAAAAATATGGATTTTTCTAATGGTTTTGTTCACTCACGGAGGGGGGAGTAAGCGATTTTTCAATTGCAATTGAAACATAATTGTTACTTTGATAGTGCTCTCTAAGGTCTAAAGATCATAGAGACTCTTAATTTTTATTTAAAAATTATTTGTAAAATTTATTGCCATCTTTATATATAGTTTTTTAATTGAATTTCAAATAATCAAATTTTTAAAATACGATTTTCGGCGAAAATTGAAACATAAGCATTATTTCATTAGTTTTCTTTACTGCTATAGGCCGTAGCGACTCTTAATTTTCATTGACATAAAATTCCTTATGATGCAATACCATCTTTATATGGCTTTTTGTAATGTACTTCAAAAATCAATTTTTAATAGACAGTTTTCAATCATAATTAAACATAAGTATTTCTCTATTAGTTTTTTCTATAGCCTTTAAATGTCATAGCGACTCTAGAATTATACAAGAAAAGTAATTTATCAATATCTATTTCTCTATAATTCATAATATATATAATTCGATAGAAAATAATTTAAAATTAATTTTTATTATAAAGCCATTTTAAAATTTGGCATATTTACTTGTCAGCTTTGTTCATATTTGTCAATTATTTTCTTATATGTCACTTTTTAACCCTTTCTGTCATAGAGTCTATTTGATAGAGTCTGAATTTGTCATTCAACCGTCCAAAACATTTTGTTTGATAAAGAAATCTATATAGGGATATGGGCTATACTTATCCATCATGAACAGACTCAGCAGACCCTGTGCCTTCAATATATCGAGGCTATTATTTTACAACTTCAGCATCAATGTCTATGACCTCCCCAATAATCATCACTCCATTCTTTACTGTTACAATTTGGGTAAAGGCAGCAGGTTCAGGTATCTTGCTTCTTAAGCTCGATGGGTCTAATAACATGTTCAAAATTACTTTTGAAGCTTCAGGACAACCAACAATAACGCTAAGGCTCTCAGATTCTTCTGTAGTTACATTAAGTGGAGGGGTAAGTTTGTTTAATACTTGGCACAATATTGCTTATACCGGAGACATTGTAAGTGGAAATACAAAAATTTACTTTTATACTGATGGAGTACTAAAGTCAAACCAAGTTTCAGGGACTGCATCTCCATTTGCTGACTCGGGATATTTGTCCTTGGGCATGTCAAATGGATCCTTTGGGTTCATTGGATTTTTATGAAGCTTAAAAATATTTAACGGAAATACACATTATAATGACGAATGAATCACAACTGGCTGCCCGAGTGGGTGCTCCACTTGCCCTTCTGAAAAGCTCTGCCCAGATACTTGCGTTTTTGGATCGTTTTCAGCTTCTGGGACTTGCACAACATGCCCTGGATCTTGTTCTCCTCACGGATGCAGAAGCACTGATACTTGTGTACTTTGTAAGTATAAGGAATGCACAGCATGCACTTTATTTGATGGGGCCTGCACAGCTTGTATTACAAATGCTAGCTTGTCAGGAGGGGTTTGCTCTTGCAATTCTGGCAAATTTTTAGTTTCTTCAACTTTAACATGCGAATCGTGTGATAATTTGTGCTCAACTTGTGCTGGAACTTATTATTTCCTTTGCAGTGCTTGTAGTGGTTCTGCAGTGCTTGCAGGAAATGTTTGCTTAAACGCTTGCCCATATGGATTTTCTACAAGTGCGTCGTGCACAAGTATATCAACCACAGTTATAGATCAAACATTTGACACCGACTTTTTAGGGGCTTATGGGATTTTTAAGACATCAAACTCAGACACTACTTATCTTATTATCTTTACTTAAAACGATCTAGACTCGCAGCCCTCCACTTAGCGTTCACTACAGGATCGCCGCACCAGAGCTTCCGTCATATTGGTGCATGTCAGGCTTACAGGCCCCTGGGCCGACCTACGTTGATTCGCCAAGACAGGCTTGGAAACGACATTGCTAACTTCGATAGCTCAAGAGCGGATGAATTCTGTCGTTCTTGGCGCTGTGTAGCAACTAAAGGCTCCTTCACTATCACTGACCTTTCAGATTCTCTAGGGATAGGCAGAGTCAGGTACCTCAAAATTGCTTGATGTCTTCATGTAAATCCAAGCTTCATAATTAGAAAATATAAAATGCAGAATGAGCGCTGCCGATTTGCACCGGCACCTTACTAATGTTGCCATTTTATGATTATACAGACACTACTTATCAATTTTGGAATAATCCAGACAGTACAGATCCTGTTCCTGCTTATAAAAGAGGTCTCTATTTTTCGAGCGGGCAGTTTTTAGTATCAAATACAAACATATATTTAAGCAGCAGTGTTTCTATGGGGTTATGGATTTATGTGATAAGTGCAGGGGATATCCTTCAAAAACAAACCAGACTCTCATTTAGCTCATCTGGAGTTGTTAAGGCAACTCTAGAAAATCCATCTCAATCTACTACATCAGCAACGACTACAGCTTTATCAGCATTTTCAGGATGAACTTATCTCTCTTTTACGATTACTTATACAAGCGGAGCAACAACTATTACAGCTTATAAAAATGGTTCTGCTGGAACAACACTCTCGAATACAGCTTACATTTTCAGAGATGCAGGCTCTGATTATTTATACATCGGCAAGAGCTCTTCTTCTAATTTTTCTGGTTTTATTTATTACTTTAGTTTATGAAATACTGCAATCACTGATTTTTCATCTAACTCCTCTAATTACCCTTTTAAAAATTTTATCAAAATTTTCGTTGATGAAATTATAAAATAGTTATATTTAAAATGATTATTTTCTCAATTTGATTACCCAATTAGGTTTTAAAACCTGGCAAGATACCTACTTAACCGAAAAGTTTTAAAAACTCTAAAGAGCATGAAAATAAGCATGCTATTGATTATGTAGAATAAGTTTTCTGTCCCATGCGGTACAAGCTTAGTCACTTCCTGCCTTTGGTCTTGCACTATAGCACAATACTATGCTTCGTCATCTTGTGCATCATGCAGTTGTAGCGGTTTAGGATGCAGAAGAGCTGGATCATGCAATATCTGCTATGACCCCTTATGTTCTCAATGCTCAGGTTTTGGAGCCAATTTGTGCACTTTGTGTGTCAATCATGCATCTGGTGGATTAACAACTCCTTGCTCATGCGATGCCAATTATTCTCTTTCAGCTGATGGTTTTTCTTGTACAGCATAGTACCAGTGTTTATCGCATTGGCTATCTGATGCCGCTCAACTGTAGAGTTGAACAAGACAACATCATTTGCCAATTAAACTCCACTAGTTGGCAAGTGACTATATTAATTTCGGTTAGCAAACTGATGTTGTCCGAGCCAATTCTGCCAGTTGAACAGCATCATATTGTACAGGACGATCAATACTTGCTCTAGACTATACTTTTAGTTGTTCCACTGGATGTGCTGGATGCTCGGGACCATTATATTATCAATGCACTTCCTGCTTAGCAAGCTATTTCTATTTAAGTGGGCTTTGCCTTAGCTCATGCCCAACTGGATACACCCAAGATTCAACTAACCACCTATGCACTATGTCTTCAAGCACTGCTGCATCTCTTGCTTTGGAAGATTTAATTAATCTTGACGCAGTTAGTAGTTTTACAGTCGGATCTTCTAACTCAAACACATATCCCTCATGAACAGATTCAGCTGACCCTGTGCCTTCTATTAACCGCGGCTATTATTTTACCAGTGCATCATCAATGTCTTTGAGCTCTTTAAAAATCAGTCCTTTTTATACAGTCACAATGTGGGTAAAGCCAACACTTCAAGGCAACCTTTTTCTTAAGCTGAATGGATCTACCGAGATGTTTAAAATTGTGTTCACGTCTTCAAAGTACCCAGCAATTACCTTAATTCTTCAAGATTCATCCACAGTTACACTGTCAGGGTCCTCTGATTTATTCAATAGCTGGCACAATATAGCTTTTACTGGTGACATTGTAAGTGGAAAGACCAAAATATTTTTCTACACAGATGGATCATTAATATCGAGCCAGCAATCTACAAATATGTCACCTTTTATTGACGCTGGATCATTATATCTTGGACATTCTAATGGGGCAAACAGCTTTACCGGATTTTTATGGAGCGTAAAAATATTTAATGAAAACAGTCATTCCCTTGATGAGTGAAAGACATCTGGCTGCATAGGATCATGCTCCAATTGTCCTTCTGAGCTAAAATGCCCTGACAATTGTGATTTTGGGTCATTTTATTCATCTGTATGTGTAACCTGTTCTGGATCTTGTTCACCTTATGGATGTAGGAGTTCTCTGACTTGCAGGCTATGCTTGCAAAAAGAATGTAAGGAATGCACATTATTTGATGGGCCATGCACAAGCTGTATAGACCGAGCCACCTTAGCCAGCGGAGTTTGTGCCTGTGATTCCAATGCTATTTGGGTTCAATCTTCTCAGACCTGCGAATATTGTGATTCTTTATGCACTCAATGCGCAGGATCATACTATTTTCTCTGTAGTACTTGTATAGCTAGCAAAATTCTAGTAGGAAATGTTTGCTTACTCGAGTGTCCTTATGGCTTTGGAGCAGGCTGTTCGAGTGTTACTTCTCAAGTTATAACTCAATCTTTTGACCAGAATTTTGCAGGATCTTACGGAATATTCACAACAGCTGCAAGCTCATCGCTTTATCAGCTTTTTAACACTCCTGAAACCAACGATCCCATTCCTGCAAAGAGCAGAGGGCTCTATTTTTCGAGCGGAAAATATTTAGAATCAAACATTGATGTTTATTTATCTTATAGTTTTTCTCTTGGATTTTGGGCTTATGTTGAAACTGCAGGAGATTTATTTGAAAAACAAAACCGATTAATTATCAATTCTAGCGGTGCTGCAACAATTATATTAGAAAGCCCAAGCTTAGCTACAGCAACAGTTACTACTGGAGTGATAAGCTCTTCAGGCTGGTCATACTATTCAATAACTATAGCATACTCTTCAGGTTCCACCACAGCTACAGTATACATAAATAACATTGCAGGAACTCCAAGCAGTGCAGCCAACTATAGAACTTTCTCTTCAATAGCGCGATAAGGCGCATTCCTAGGTTTTACCGGAGGGTCTTGGACATATGAAAAACCTGCTATTCCTTATTCATGGGGGAGACAAAAAGCCTAAATAAAGAATTCTGCCTGATCAATCTCGAGAACTTGAAGAGAGGCTGTGTGGAAAATTACATTTTGGTTCGTCAAATGGATCTGAGGAGCCAATTCTGGCCAGTACTTGAAATAAAAAATGATAGTTGCCAGAATTTTATTAATTTTCTGATGATGAAGAGTATGATCAGAATTTTAATAAATGGCAAGGATCAGACAACTTATTCCTTTCAAACTGATCTAATAATTCCTTTGGTAATAATAATATAGCATTCATCACACGCAAATTTCTCCTTTAGAAATTTTGATTCCACCCAGTCTCCACTGTCATCATTAGTGACTATGGGAAACTAATTTATGAATATTAATACTGGCTATATCTTTTTCAGGCAGTAAAAAGAGTTCATGGAGTTGTACTTGCACTGCAAGTTTTCGCTTTAAAACGTCTATTAAAAATTTACTTTTTGGATTTTTAAAATTCTATAAAGATGGAGATAGTGACAATAGAAAAAAACTCAAGTTATGAAAAATACTACTGGCTACATCTTTTTAAGGCAGCAAAGAGAGTTCATGGAGCTATACTTGCACTTGAAGTTTCACATGAAAACGTCTATTAAAAATTTACTTTTTGGATTTTTAAATTCTATAAAGATGGGCGATAGTGACTTTGGAAAAACTCAAAGTTATGAATATTACTACTGGCTACATCTTTTTAAGGCAGCAAAGGGAATTCATGGAGTTGTGCTTATAATTTAAGCTTTGCTTGAAAACGTCTATTAAAAATTTACTTTTTGGATTTTTAAAATCATAAAGATGGCTATTGTGGCAATGAAAAACTCGAGTTATGAAAAATACTACTGGCTGCATCTTTTTCAGGCAGCAAAGAGAGCTCATGGACTTGTGCTTATACTTTAAGTTTTGCTTGAGGACGTCTATTAAAAATTTGCTTTTCGGATTTTTAAATTTCATAAAGATGGCTATAGTGACAAAGAAAAACTCGAGTTTATGAATATCACTACTGGCTGCATCTTTTTTAGGCAGCAATGAGAGTTCATGGATTTACGCTAGTACTTGAAGTTTCGCTTGAAAACGTCTATTAAAAATTTGATTTTTGTATATTTAAACTCTATAAAGATGGCGATAGTTACTATAGAAAAACTCATTTATGAATATTACTACTGGCTGCATCTTTTTCAGGCAGCAAAGAGAGCTCATGGAGTTGTGCTTGTACTTTAAGTTTTTCTTGAAATCGTCTATTAAAAATTTGCTTTTTGGATTTTTAAATTTCATAAAGATGGAGATAGTAACTCTGGAAAAACTCAAGCTATGAAAAATACGACTGGCTGCATCTTTTTCAGGCAGCAATAAGAGCTCATGGAGTTATACTTGTACTGTAAGTTTTCCTTAAAATCTTCTATTAAAAATTTACTTTTTGGATTTTTAAAATTCTATAAAGATGGAGATAGTGACTATGGAAAAACCTGACTTATGAATATCACTACTGGCTACATCTTTTTCAGGCAGCAATGAGAGTTCGTAGACTTGTGCTTATACTTTAAGTTTTGCTTAAAATCGTCTATTAAAAATTTGATTTTTGTATATTTAAATTTCATTAAGATGGCTATCGTGACAAAGAAAAACTTGAGTTATGAATATCACTACTAGCTGCATCTTTTTTAGGCAGCAATGAGAGCTCATGGAATTGTGGTTGCACTTTAAGTTTTGCTTGAAAAGGTCTATATTAAAAATTTGCTTTAGGATTTTTAAATTCCATAAAGATAGCTAGCGATTGATATAGGCACCAAGACAAAGCATTTGTTATAAGACATTAATCAATTTAGCGTAATAAATATTTTTTAAGTGGGTTTTCTGATCCTATGCCATTTTATTAAAATTCTGATCATACTCTTCATCAGAAAATTAAATAAAATTCTGGCAACTATCATTTTTTATTTCAGGTACTGGCCAGAATTGGCTCGTCAGATCCATTTGACGAACCAAAATGTAAATTTCCACACAGCCTCTCTTCAAGTTCTCGAGATTGATCAGGCAGAATTCTTTATTTAGGCTTTTTGTCTCCCCCATGAATAAGGAATAGCAGGTTTTTTCATATGTCCAAGACCCTCCGTAAAACCTAGGAATGCGCCTTATCGCGCTATTGAAGAGAAAGTTCTATATATTTTTAGAGACATTATTTCTCAGACTATTCTAATTGGCAAAAGTACTTCTTCAAGCTTCGCTGGGTTTATTTATAATTTCAATCTGTGGAATAGTCCTATTACTGACTTCAGTTCTCACTCCTACCCTTTAAAATTAGAATACAAACTTTTGTTCCATTTAAAGGGAATTAATTGTTTTCTTTAATAAAAATTTTATATTAAATTTTTCTCTATAAAATATTTTTATAAAAAATACACAATATTTTTGAATTTTAATTTATTTTGCGAAAAATTAATTCAAATATTCATCGATTCATGTAAAAAAACTCTTTACATAATATATTTAATTGCACTTTCTCTTTTAATTAGGTTTAAAACTAATTGTAGAGTAATTTGTATTTCACCAATAATATTTTCCTATTAAAAATAAATTTCCAATTTAAAGTGCCCAAAAAAGCAAATTTTACCTATATTTTGTTCCAATCAAGAGGGAAAATCATGTAAATAATGATATTTGCGGAACAGGAAATGGAAGCGATTGCTTATGGGCTTGCGGTTTTGGATCCTATAAAGACACTGGAGGATCATGCTCTCTTTGCAATAGTTGCTCTAAAGGCTGCGTAAGGGCAAAATCATGCAATGTGTGTGATGATAAACTCTGCAGCGTATGCACAGGGTTTGGATCAAATCTTTGCACAAGTTGCGTTACCTATGCGTCAGGATCTCCATGCTCATGCGATCCAGGGTATTCTTTGTCAACAGATGGGTTTTCTTGTGTTATTTGCAGCACAGGATGCTCTTCTTGCAATGGGTTTAACTATAACGAATGCACAGCTTGCATTAGTCCTAATTATTATGTAACCAATCTCTGTGAGCCTAGCTGCCCCACTGGATATACTCAAAACTCTTCTACTCATAATTGTGACTTATCTTCATCACTTGCATTGTCTTTGAATCTTATTGATCAGCTTCGTCTTGATACTGTAAGTGGGTTTACTGTTGGGAGTGACAGTACAAATACTTATCCCAGCTGGGATAATTATGATCCTATTCCAGCTATTCAAAGAGGGTATTACTTTACAGGTACAAGCTATATGACTTCCAGCTTAAAGTTTAGTCCTTATTTTTCCCTATCTTCTTGGGTAAAAGGATTAAATGATGGCTACTTTTTAACAAAATACGATACTTCAGTGTATCTTTCGATATCTTTTGCAGGCGGAATTCCAACGCTTACAATAAAACTATTTGCGGGAACGACGATTTCAGTCTCAGGAGCTTCAAGCATTTTTAGTTCTTGGAGATTTTTATCATTTTCTGGGGAAATTTTAAGTGATGGCACTACAAAGATTATCTGCTATTATAATGGCGTTTCTGTTAACACTCAAATATCAGGATCCCAAAGCTTTCTCAGGGATAGTACTTCAGGAAGCTTAATTTTAGGTACAGATCAAGCATTTGCAAATGGCTTTAAAGGATATGTTTGGAATCTGCACATATATAATGACAATAGTTATGCGATAACTGATTGGGTTACTTCAGGATGTAATGGCTGCTCACATTGTCCTGCAGATTTAACCTGCTTAAGTGAATGCAGCTTAAATACATATCCAGCCTCTTGCTCTCCATGTAAAGGAACGACATGCAATTATGGCTGCGTGAGAGGTTCAACATGCAGGCTTTGCAAAGCCAAAGAATGTTTATCTTGCAATTCTTTTACTGGAGCTTGCCTCAGCTGCATATCAAATGCAAGTCTTTCAGGAACGACTTGCCAATGTAATCCAAATGCTGCATATTCTGATACATCAGAGAGTTGTGAGCCTTGCAACAGTGCATGTGCTTTATGCTCCATCCCAACGTGAGCTGGCTGTATTTCATGCTCAAGCACTCGTTATCTGTTCGAAAATTTATGCATCGGATATTGTCCAACTGGATATTCAAAATCAGCAAACACGTGCATAATAGATTCATCAGATGCATATGTCTATAATTTGAGGCCAAGCCAAATTAAAGATGAAGTTATTGATCTTCAATCTAGTATTGTTGCAAGCACAGGAAGCGATAAAAGTTTCTATCCAAACTATAAATCCACAGATCCTTACGCAGCCCAATATCGAGGATACTATTTCAATGGAAAATCTTATATGAGTATCACTTCATCTCCTAAAGCCCTAATTCTTGCACCTAAATTCACTATTTCAATTTGGCTTAACCCTGCTGCGGCCTCTTGCGATTTATTTGCAAAGCAGTCAAATTCTATATCTGTTTCCCAGATTTTTAAGCTCAGCTTATCATCCTGAAACCCTTCATTGAAAATAAAGTTAAATGACGGATCAACCGTTATGTACACAAGTGCAAGAAGTCTTAATCAAAATCAATGAAACTTGTTGATAGTTTCCTCAGACATTTCAGCAACTCCATCCCAAATAATTTCATTCAGCATAAACTCAGTTCTAGATGTGTCAAGTGATTTAGGCACTTCTTGATTTGAAGACATGCAAGACTCTTTTAAAATTACAATTGGCTCATCATTTTTGTCATACTTAACTCTAAGCAATTACTTCTCTGGATTTCTTTGGGATCTGAAAATCAGGAATAAAATTGTTGATTTTTCTTCTTTATTCTCAAATTCCTGTACTCAATGCTCTTTATGTCCTGTTGATAATTCGGGAGATTGCATTCCTAGCTGTAAGATTTCTGAATACTGGGATGGAGCGCAATGTTCTTCTTGCAATAATACGTGTTCAGCTGTTGGTTGTGCAAGGTATGATAAATCTTGTAATTTATGTAGCAATGTCCTCTGCAGCGTTTGCAACGATTTTATCGCTAGATCCTGCCTTCAGTGCAAGACAAACGCTTATTTGTCATCTGGGGAATGCATATGCAATAACGGATATTTTTTAAATAAAACTCAAGAAGCATGCACACGATGTGATGCAAATCAGTATTCAATCAACGGAATTTGTAAAAACTGTCCAAATAAATGTACATCTTGTTTTGATTCATCTCGTTGCTATACATGCATAGATAGAGCTGAGTTATTGAACAATAATTCATGCATTTGCAAAGCTGGGTATAATGGAACTAATTGTGATGAAGTTTATTTTGATGCAAAATTATCCGTCAATGCTGATAATTCCTTAAACCTTACATTCTCTCAAAATCTTATGAATAATATTACTCAAAATGAGCTATATATAAGTGTTGGAGGTATTTCTTTATCAGACTATTCATGGACAGTGGAAAAATTAAATAGTAAATTTTATAACGTTTCAATGAATTTTTCTGTTGAAGTTGATAGCAAAACCCCAATAATTGTAAAATTCATAAATCTAGCATATTTTGTATCAGAAACAAATGCGCTGCCTAAAAACGATACTCTGGAAGGAATTCTCTATCATTATAATCCATATTCAAGTAGTCAAGAAGCCGGTGCAATTACTAGCCAAACAACAGCTGCAGTTCAGTCAATTGTTGGAACTTCGCTAGCGGTTTCATTTATCAATCCTAATCCAGCTTGCTTATGGAGTATGCTGAATACTCTAAATTATATCTCATACTTAGGCCTTACCAAAATTCCAATGAGCGAGTCACTATATGCTTTCATTATAAGTTTGAATGGCAATTACTATTTACCAAATTTATTCGAATTAATAATTGATGAAGATCAAGGAACAGAACCATATGCCCAAGCCAAGAAATATGGATACGATACTGATTTGCTTTTATTGAATTCTGGAAGTGCCTTAACAACACTTGGAGCCATTATAGCGTCACTTCCAGTAATTTATTTCTTATCACGCTGTTCTCACAGATACTTGGCTAGAAAGCTAGCTGGGTTAATAAAAAATTATAAGTGGTCAGTATTTGTCAGATTTTGAATACAAAGCTATTTAGATATTAGTGCTTCAGCACTTATTGGATTATTGAATGTAAGCTTTATTTAGTTTTCATTCGGAAATGCAACCCAGGGTACAAATACATTAATGTGTCTTGGAGTTTTTGTAAAATTTATTTACTCCCCCCCCTCCGTGAGTGAACAAAAAAAATTTTGTTCACTCACGGAGGGGTTAATTTTTTTTTTTTTAAAAAAATTTTTTTTTCGAAATTTAAAAAAATCCTAATTCGCAAAAATTGGAAGGCAAATATTAATTTAATTTATAAAATTTATGTTTTAAAGAGCAATTCGTTTAAAATTAAATAGAATTAGCTCTAGATTTCATTATACTAATTATCATTTATATATCAAAAACTTTTTCAATAAAAAATTTTTTCTATTAAAAAAATTTTTGTTCACTCACGGAGGGTGGGTTTTTTGGGGCAAAAAATAGCGATTTTTCTAATGGTTTTGTTCACTCACGGAGGGGGGGAGTTAGATCTTTGCTTCGATTTCTCCTGCATTATTTTTTATGTTCTCTTATAAAAACTTACCAAAAATCCAAGAAAGAGAAAAAGGCTTTGAAAAGCTTTGGAGTTCATTCTTTTATGAGTTCAAAAATGACCAAGGACTGATGAGCACTCAATACTATTCTTTATTTTTTGTAAGAAGGCTTATCTATATTATAATTTTGACTCAGCTTGATGACTATCCAGCATCTCAAGTTATAATTAGCACTGGGCTGTCCGTTGTAAGCGTTATATATTTGATCAGATACCGACCTTACGAAGAGTTTATTCTTCAAATTGCAAATACCATCACTGAAATTTTAATCATGATTTTTATGGGATTAATATCTGCGAACCTCTTTGACTTATCATCAAGTATGCATAATCAATTTGAACTAGCGTTATTTGCAATTGCAATAGGAATTATGGTAGTTCAATCCGTTTCTTCAGTCGCAATATTTGGAAAAACATGCTATGAATTAATAAAAGAAGGAATTCGGAGAAACTCACCGAACAAAGATAATGATAAGCTAAATGGAAAAAATTCTAGAAAAGTCGCACATCTTGATGTAAGTCCAGCCAATTCAGCTGAAATGAATAATATAATTGAGAATAATTGATTCCCTGAAGAAGAAATCCAAAATACCTCGGACCTGCCAAACGAAGATCATGCTAAATTAAGTAGAAAAAATTCTAAAAAAGTTGCAAATCTTGACGATATTATCCCAACCAGTCCAACTGAAATGAATCGTATAATTGAGAGTATTAAACTTCCCGAAATTACCGAAGAGGATCTCGAATAGTGCCTAAATAATCCTTTTTAAAAAATACGTGAATAAAATAATTTTTGTAATCTTTTTGTTTTTTTTTTCAACGAGCTTTGCTATTATTCTATAATAACTTTTATAGTTCTTATATAAGTCTTTTGATATTGGCATTTAATTCACAATAATAAATTTAAATAGGTAGCAGCTTTTATTTTTCACAATTATGAGATATAAGACATCTTTATTTTATACTCTGCTGTGTAAAATTTTGATGATATTTGACCTAATTTCAATAAAACTTCAATTTTCTTTTTTAGCCATACTGATCCTCCTGAAGCATAATTTTATAATTAAAAATTATATTATTTTTCATTTTATTTGAGAGATTATAAAATTTAATTTTAAATAATTGAATGCAATATTTTTAAATTTCAATAGAATCAATTTAGTGTTTCCAACTGTTTAAATAGCATTCTGCTTAAATATCCTCCATTAAATTAGGTTGAAGCTGTTTATATAGAAATTAGTTTTTTACATAAAATTTCCATTTAAAAATTAAATTTTGTTTTTATTTGGAGGATGGAAATTTATCAATATTTTGTATCAATTTAAAAAGTGGAGTAACTTATTTTTAATACTCGAGGCTAGATATATTTTTACTATTAAATTAAGTGTTTCTATTAGTATTTAAATATTCAATCATTTCAATTCTAAGTCTTGAAGAAATCTCAGCTTTTCAGTCCAAGAATGATCAATTTTTTCTATATAAATTAAGATTGCGACTATATGCAGAAGGGCTTAGCTCATTAAATCAGCTTAATCACTCTTAGATGAGATTAATCAGAAAGGTAAATGACTATTTATAATTAAATCAATTTATCTTCTATAAGTTTATTAATTCCTATTTCTTATTAAGAATTTCTCAGCTTTAAAAACTTCAACCTGTTAATAAAAATTAAAAATTTTTATCATTTGAAGAAAGAAATTGAAAATTGATTACATACATCTTCCCATCAAAGCTGGAACTTTGGTCTGGCGTCTTCAAGTCGTTCCTTATAAAGACTCGCAAAAGTCCTTCCTAACGAGAAAGCGGAAACCCCAGAACGACGACAGCGGCAGCAGGAGTGCAACGCCGTAGGAGACGTTACATGATATAGACTTAATAAGATAATAAGATTATAATTTGTAATAATCTGAATTTTGATCATGCTCTAAATTTAGCTATAGTTTTCCAAAATTCTTCGAAAAAGATATTAATAAAATCCATTTTCATGCTGAAATTTTATTTATCTAATATCGATACTTTCCTCTGTTGTACTTAAAATTTAATATTCAGTTTTCAAACTTCTGCTTATAGTTCTTGAAAGAAAATAAGCAGCAATTATTAATCATGCTACATAATTGTATACCGAGAGCAAGGCCCGTTTTTTTGGGGAATAGGTGTAGGAGTTTGACTTGAAGAGCCTAATGATGGAGTTATTCTTGATAAATTGCTGGGGACTTTCAACTGCACTATTCTAGTAGGTTCTGGAGTTGATGGAGTTGATGGAGTTGAAAAATTGGTTGGAGCAGGAGTGTGATCTTTCCAGATTTATTCTATTAAGCCATTAATTATCATTTGTTGAGCTTATCAGAGTAAATGCCATCTTCTTTTCGCTCATTTAAATAAATAGTTAGTAGCACCTCTTGCAATTGGTCTACATATCCTTTCTTTTTCAACCTTAGCATCACTTCACTCGGTGCTGAGTGTTTGTGAGGTTCATCTTGCTATCTATTTTTCATCAAATTTATTAAAATTTAAAATAATTGATTATATTAAATGTCTTAACCTCTTTTTAATGTATCAAAAATTTCGGTCAGTTTTTGGTTTTCTTCATCATTACATTTGTCAATATATTGCTGTATATTAATCAATTGCTTTTTCATGGCTCCAATTTTCTTTAGAGCTGGGCTTCTTTTTACTCCTAAATCTTTCTCTTCTATACAAATTGACAAAATAGGCCATCATGGCCGGAAACCATTACCGGGCATTTGGGGCAACAGAGGAAAAGAAAAAATCAGAATTCTGGGTCACCGAAAATAAAAAAACGGTGGCCCCGAAGGGCGATGGCAGATTTTGCGGGGTGGGGTGTGGGGTGTGGGCTTGGGCTGACCGGGCCTCCCTCGACCCACAGACGAAAGACCGACGGCGCAATACCAAGCAGGCACTTCTGGAGGAGCATTTTGCTCTCCTGTAAATGGCGGAGGTAGTTCCAGAAGGAGGCTGTAGACGATTCCCTCGTACCCTGAGCACTACCAGGGGTTAAGAGAGTCCACTGACGAAATTTTTGGTCCAGCAGGTTCGGGTGAATCTCCTTGAAAGATGTCGACGTCACCATTTTTGATGACGTCGACAGAAAAGGGCGTTAGGTGGCTTTAGTGATTAGCGCCACATGAAACGTGAAGCTGAAGCTCGACTGGCTAGGGGCTGAAATAATCCCTGTTAATCCCCTCTAATCTAACTCTCTCTATACAAATTTGAATATAATGCTTGGTGCCATAATTTCGTCGTCATATTAATAAAGTTTCTCCTTCGATTAGCATTTCTATGAGTTCTAAGCTATCAGCTATTACTTTGCCTTCTTGGACTTTATCAAAAGTGTTTCCCATAAGGTTAATAATCAAATTAAGCATAATCAATGGATTAATAATTGTATAGGCGAAGAAATATAACCAATAATATTTCCCATAATCCGAAGTATCATAGTCTCCGATGTTTGCTTCATATGCAAGTGTCAGACTATGAAAATAATAAGTATCATCATTCACTGGAACGCTGTACAAAACATATGATATCAGTGAAAACGCGATTGTGGAGTAAAATAAAATTACCAAAAAGAAAAAAATATCTTGAAAAACTTCACGAATTAGATTGATTAAATATCGGGTTCTAGAAAAAATCCTAAAAAATGTAGTCCCCCTTGCCCAAGAAACAAAGGTTAAAATCCCAAGAAATTCATTCATTCCATACTCAAAATCATTTCATAATAAAACTGCATAAGTGATTGTCATTAAAATTCGAATGATATCAAGGTAGTTTCAAAAGATTGTCCAGTAATATTTTCCTGCAACTGCTATCAAGTAAACTCCATAAGCTGCTTGGATTGAATTTATGATGAATGGTGGATAAAATGCATCTTTATTGCCTGGATACCTAATAGTATAGATTGCTAGCAAGACAAGGTAGACACAGTAGAAGCCACCTTCTATGTCTTGAACTCAGCTTACTCTAATCCATTTTTCGTTTAAAATGTGCTGGATTAATGGAGTTTCAAAACTATCTATGTCAGAACACAACCTTAGGCTGTCCAAAAATTTCAAACTGTCTCTTGACCCAATTGTTAAATTGAATTTCACCAAGGTTTGAAGGAACATAATTGCTTTTCCTTCTTTAGTATAATTGTCCATCGACATGAAATTTTCTGCTTTCGGATTAATAAAGTCAGAATATACTGTAATTGGAAGCTTGACTGATTCATTACAGAATTTCGGTAAGTGGGCATTTGTACACCTTTTAAGTGCGATTCTGTAAAATTTGTCTAGTCCTGTAAATCCTTTATAATTTAAATCTATAAGTGACCTTTCTAAATAGTAGAAACAAAACATATTGTTTATAGCCATTTTATCAATGACTTTAAAAATTGCTGATATACACTCAAAGAAATTCTTTTCAATTGCAATTGACAGAGGAGTTGGGCCATTTCTTGATGGGTAAAATGGTCCGTTCTTTGCAACAGCTAATCTCAAGTGCTCAGACATGTTAAAATATGAATATAAATGTAGAGTATTTAGAAAATATGGCATGATAATTCACTTGTCCATTTCTGGATCATGCTCAACGTACTCTGCTAGCATGATTTTTGAAATATATTTCATGAATTTATATTTTTCTCCACTAGGACCATATACTGAAAAATAATTCACAGTCAGAGGATTTGGCATTATGGTAAAATCACAGTTTTCAGATGCAACTATATATGATTCGTCAGGAGAAACAGCCATTCCAATAATTCCTTCTTTCAGTTTAAAAGTGGAGATCATTGAGTAGTTTTTCATATCCCATAATGATATTAAATGGTCTTCAGAACAAGCCATAAAATATAAGCCATTCTGTGTACAATGAATATGCCGCACTACATCTGTATGAAAATTGATAATATGTAAGCAATTATTTTTATTGACACTTCATATTCTAATTGAATGATCTCTACACCCAGATATCAAATTTTCGCCATCTCTAGAAATTTCGAGTGCTTGTATTCGATCCGTGTGCCCGATCATTTCATGCAGAAAAATATTTGAGTTTATATCATGCACAATGATTGTCCCTGAGTCATCTCCAGAAAATAGCATTTTATAAGGATCATAATAAGCTAATGACCAAACTTCACTTTTATGGGCTCGGAACGTTTGAAGTTTAGAATTATCCATCAAATTTCACACCACAACTCTAAAATCACTATCTCCAGTCACTAAAATATTTGTATCAGGGACAGCTAATAGCGTTTTCACTACTCCTTCTGTCACAATTTCTTTATCTCTTTGATAAGTAGTCAGATTCCAAAAAATCATGAGCCCTCCATCAGTGCAAGAAATTAATTGGGACTCATCATAAGTTAAAGCCATTGCAAAAAGTCCATCAAAATGGTCAAGTTCTTGGATTTTTAGCCCTGTGTTTGCGTCTCATATAATAACTCTTCCATCATCTGAATTAGAAAATATTTGATTTTTTTTAGAAATAAGCAGCTTTCAAATAGTCTGGGTGTGGGCTCGACATTTAGCATTGTCGTCAAATTCTGGTATTTTCCAAGTCAAAATATTGGTATCTTTTCCTAAAGAGTGGATAAATTGTTGATCCTTGCTTAAGACAAGGGATCTAACAGATTTATCGTGCCCACTGAGTACTATTTCATTACGGTAAGAATTTAAGCTTCACACTCTAATTGTGCTGTCTTTTGAGCCAGATATCAAAACTTCTTCTTCAAAGGTAAACAATAAGTCTCTGATTTTATCACTATGCCCTGTAAATGTCCTTTCAGGATCCCAGCTGCCAAATCTGTATAAAGTGATATTGGATTCAAAATCTCCAACGGCAAGCCACCTCATTGAAGGGGAGAATTTCACACAGCCAATTTCAGATGTCGATTTTATTATTGCAGACTGGCTGTTATTTATAATTGAAAATATTGTTATTTGAAACGACCTATCGCCTGCTGCAATATATTCTCCGCTCGGGCTTATATCAAGTGTCATTATTATTCCTGGAGATGTAAATAAAACTCTACCTTGAACTGATTTTCTTTACTTCGCCCCTTCATGGGCGAGCAAAAAAATTTGTTTTCTCACGAAGAGATTATATTTTTTACAATTGATAGTCAATTTATTTTCGAAATTTAAAAATTTTCCAATTCAAAAATTGGAATAAATTAATCTAATTTGTAGAATTTATGTTTAAAAAGCGATCTATTTAAAATAACAAAATTAGCTACATATTTCATTATACTAATTGTCGCTTTACATCAAAATATTGTTTTTATTAAAAAAAATTTTTGTTTGACTATGGAGAATATTTTTTCTTTAGTAAAAAGTTCTCATGATCTAACTGTGCAGTCTTGACTTCCAGAAATCAAGTATTTTTCATCAGGTATAAGCTTGATATCATTAACCTGTTTATCATGCCCATATAAAGTTCCTATAAGTTCCAGATTTGCGTATAAAAATTTCTGAATCATTCCTCCTTTGCATGCTGTGAATATATATTTCCCATTTTTTTGAAGGATAATTGAAGTAATTCCTTCGTTGTCAGAGTTAGAAAGTCGTTTGTCTTTTATTATTTCTGTTTTGGAGCATATAGCTATTCGAGATGTTTTGCTGCCAAATACAAAATTGCCATCAATTGGGGATATTGCAAGGCTGTTACCAATAAATGGGATACGAACAGGGACTGGTAGAGTTTCAGAGCAGTTTTTTATGATTTCAGTCAGTTCATCTCGGATATCGCCAGCAATCGATTTTCCAAGCAGATCATGCAATATGATACTTTTAGCATGCGAAAACTTATCTGGGGCAGCAGAGGTTGGGTTCATTCTCTTAAGCGTGAAGTAGCTATTTGAGGTTTCCCTGTACATTTTTAATAATATAAACGTTACAACTTTATAATCTAATCGATAGTACAAAATGCTTACTTCCCCCTTTGAATTATAGTCAGTGTCACTAACTATAGAACAAAAAAATTTTTCATCGAAACCTTTCTGTCAAAAAAAAATTAATTAATGAAGTTTATTAGCTCGAAATGATAATATTGTTTAAATAGCATTATACTTCAGTTTTTTTTTATTTTGGTAAAATCTAATTAGTTATTAAAGCTATTTATATAAATTATAGAAATTGCCCGAGGATGGAGCTATTTTGCTCCAACCTCGGGCAATTCAAAAAACAGGCCCCACACGGGAATTGAACCCCACGTGTGGGGCCATTTTTGGTATGTGGAGAATATTGACTTCCACGTACCAAAAAATGGCCCCACAGTTCAATTCCGTGTGGGGCAATTTCTATATAATTTTTTGCCTATCAAACACTAAATTCCGTTTAATTGTAACAATTGTTGAAACCCTTATTAATTCTTTAATAATTAACTTATCACTGCTTGAGTCTTATATCATCACCTCGCACCTTACTATGCACAATTCCATCACCTCGTCTCGCTTTTTTCCACCCTTTCCAAACTTTCTCTGCATCTTCGTCATTCTTCGCTCCCTGATTTCAGAACTACGACCGTCCATTCATACCCTTTTTTTTGGGCCTTCCTCCAGTTTCAAGCTCCAGAGTTCACTTTCCAGTTATCTACAGCGCTGTTTCAGCATCTTTCCTGCTGTAGCCCAATTCTTCGAATATATCGAGTTCTATCTCCAATCTCGCCATCTAATCAACGCTTATCATTTTATCTTCACTAGTCTCATAACTGTCAATTTCTTCAAAATTGCACAATCCTTGACTCAGGGTTAAGCTAGATCTGTTTTTGAGATGCTCTTTTGTTTCCATCAATCTAGTTCCAAAAAAAATTGCCTATAAAACAAATTTAATTTTTATATCAATTTAAATAGGATTAATTTTCTAAAAAATTGAAAGTATTATCGATATTTTGCTCCAATTTAAAATTGGGGAGTTATTAATTAATATAGTAAAGGAGATGAGATTATATAACTAATATTTATTTAAATAAATAAATATTGATGTAAGACTTAATATAATAACATTACAATAAATCATAAAATGTGTATATTTAACTCAATTATCGATATTAATCCTCTGGAATAATCCTCTTCTCATCTACAGAGTTATACCAATTGAATTTTGCAAGCTTATGACTATTAAACCTTGAATCTTCTCTTATATCTCTTCCTAGCTTGATAAAAGATGGGATTGAAATTTCCTCAATTTTCTTTTCACTAGCAATTTTCAATATAAGAATACCTTCCTCCACGTTTAAAAACTTATCCAGCATAAAATAAGACTCCTCATATATAAAACAAAATCTCACTCTTTTTATTGTTTGCCTGAAAGGATCTTTTCTTTCAAGCAGTCTCATATATTCTTGAGAAGTAATTTGGCATTTTGTTACAGTGTATTCATTGTTAATTTCTTTGTTTCTAATAGCATGCATATAAGTGTAGCTCCCTGACTGGCCTCTTTTTTGAATTTTGTCTAGTTTCTTGTCTTTGACTCGTAGAAAGGTATCTTCTACGTAAATTCTAACACTAGGAATATTGGAAGGAAGAATAGGGATCTGTGAAGGCTCTGTGTCCAGTTCAAGCTGGACTAAAAATTTCTTACTTTCCCTCTTTCCGTTAACGAGCAAAACCATTGGAAAATTTTTAATTTTAAATCAGCAAAAAATTTATGAAAAAATATTTTCATGTATAAAAAATAATGGTAAACAGCTTGTATTTTAAAAAATAAATTTTTCAAATTAAATTAATGTTTCTGTCTCGGAATTTTTTAAATTGGAAAAAATTTCGTTTGCTTACTGATAGAGGTGAGTTATAAAACTGCATAGGTGTAGGAAGGCCAACAGCTCTAAGTACACAAGCTTGGCATCTTTTCATCTTATCATCAAAAGACTGCCCCTTCACATTATCAATAATCGACAAATGTGAATGCCCGACCCACGCTTTTTGAGTGTTCAAGTCAGTTTGTCTTGCAGCTTCAAGACCTTCATATCTGGCTTCATTATTCATGACTGTATAATGTTCTTCAGCTCCTTGAGCTGCAGTCACCAAATGTATGACAGCTTCATATCGTCTGTCTCGTAAATGCACCACGCTCCAGCCTCGCTCATCTAAAATTACTTGCCAGAGCTCAGGACTTATATATGCGGATCCATCCATTAAGCCGCGATCGCACAAAATTACGCTTTTTTCTCTGGTGGCGCTTGCGATTTCTGTAAAGGTGTCTTCCAAAGCCATCTGCATTTGCATTAGATTGGCTTGGAGTTCAACTTGAGCTGATTCATCAGAACCGTCAAGGTTTATCATTGCTCCACCTTTCATTAGAAGGGTGGCTGCTTCTGGGACAATGTAGACGCTGTAGCCTAGCTTGCTGAGTTCCTTTGCAACTGAATTGATGCTTGTAGTTTTACCTGCGCAAGGCCCACCAGTAATTACAATTCTATAGACATCTCTGGTGTTAAAGTTGCTGTTTGAGTAACAAGAGGAAGCACTTTTATGGTTTTTTAAGCTTGGGAGCTCTGAAGAATTTGGAGATTGAGGTATAGGTTTTTTGGGCTCGACAAAAGCATAGATAGAAAGCAGACCAATAATGATAAGGAGAAGGACGGTGTTGAAGGAATCACCAAGAATTTCTGTGTCCATGATTGCTTTAAGGATTGAATAGGAAAATTATGAAATAATGCCATAAAAAATCAGACTGACAGAAAGGGGCTCAGAATCTTTATCTTAATTAATATATGTATGTTTAACGCCACTGCCAGGTTGCTCGCCACAGCTATCTCCAATAACGATATAGGGCGAATTTCACTCTATTTTCCTCGGGCCATTAAAGGTACAACTACCTCTGACTATGATCACCCAAAAATGGCGCCAGTTTTGAAGTTGGGCTTTGACGGCTCTTCTTTGTGCTTAGGCACTTGCTTGGGTCAGTTCGGTACCTTAAAGATCCCAGATCCAGTACCGCCTGGGTTAAGTGGTACCCTTCTGAAAAATTCCATTCCATAAGGTCAAGAATCCGGCAAGAAAACCACTGGCTCTGACATAGCTGGATGATTTCACCAGGGGAAACCAAACCTCATAATAAAATATGGAAAGAGATGAATTTTCTGTCAGGAAACCAGAAAATTCGAGTGACGCCATATTTTAATTATAAGGGGCTTTAAATCAAGACTTAATATGAAATGCACTTGTCTGGTTTTGAATTTAATTTAATTTTGAAGGAAAGAAATGCTGAAAAGATTATTCTGAAAAATATGAGAGTCTAGCAACTTCATCATAATTCAGAGCAATTTATGTGCCCCATTCGTCGGCATGTCAGGCATGCTACGTCTTTTAACTCTTTTTCGAATGGAATAAAATCAGTTTTGGCTAAGCATTAAGGGATAAATAAAATAGCGTCTAGGCTAGGGCATTGCCTCCCAGCAATGACTTGAGCTATTTTATTTATATCCGACAAGGTTTTGCAAGCCAAGAAATGGGCAGTATTGCCTAGCCCTAGTCGCTTTCAGGAGTTGATTTTTACCTCGAGGGAAAAGGTGGTTTCAGAGTTGGAAATGAAAAGCCCAGCACGTATGCAGCCAATGCCTAGGACCATTCAGGCAAATTCCGAGTGTGAACCTGGGAGTTACGCACCAGGTTTTGAATTTTTCCTTTACCAATAGTTGGCCAGAAATTCCATTTTTGGGGATTTTTGTGCGGAAAACCTTCGTTCAACCCAAGCAACATGCCGCAGAAAATCCATGGCCTTCCTCTTCAACACTGGAGCCTGCAATGCAAGGAGATGGAGACGAAGACATAAGCTTTATTTACAGATGCCATGCTATCAGCGGTGAAAAAAAGGAATGATGGTGTCCGAGCTTTAACTCGTTAGGTGAATTTATCATCCCAAGTCAAGCCGTCCTCCCTGTTGTCATCGAAAAGGTGAATCTCCCTGAAATTTATTGGTGCCTGTGTTACCCATAGGCGAGCAAGCCAAGACCTGCAATTTAAGTTTAAGTTAAGGCTAAGCATTGAGAAGATTCATGCGTTATGGATTCACAATTTTCACATATTTTCTTCGATTCCTTACAAGCTTTCAACAGGTTTTTACATTTCCCAGCGAAATGCCCATGCTGTTTGCAAATAAAGCAAATAAAATAGCAACACTCCAAAGGATCATGATTTTTTGCTCCACAATAAATGCATTTCTTCCTTATCAGTTCCATCCTCATGCAGTTCTTTTCTCTCTTATTATCTTTCTTCTCTTTTCATTTCGTAAATTTCCTGAGGATTTTCAATTCTTTTTTCTCTTTTGCATTTAATGTTTTAAAAAATTCTTTTAGCCTTTTCTGTGTAAAATCTCACAATTTTTGAATGAGTCTGGATTCTTATATCTGGGTTCAATTTTATTGTACTCATAATTATAATATCAACCTTCTTATTTAATTTTATTAACTCCTACCTCTTCTTTGTTCATAATCAGGATCATCAGTAGGTAGTTCAAATCTACAAACCGGACAATTATTGTGTTCTTTAAGCCAAGGAATTAACTCCCCCTTTTGCATTTTAGGGTTTTTTTTAAATATAAATTGAAAGGAATATATTTTGAATTTTAATTTATTTTATATGAAGAACTAAATTAAAAAATTAATCGATTCAGTTTTAAAACTTGCACTTTTTATTGAGTAAGGTCAACATTTTCATCAAAAAATTTTCCTATCAAAAAAAAATTGTTCAAATTTAAAGGGGTTCTAAATTAACCAAAAATTAAAAAATTTCCAAATATTTCGTTTCAATTTAAAGGGGGAGAGTAAGCAATTTTGATGAAACATATGCTGGCAAGGCATATCAATCGCTTCTTCATCTGGCCCAAACTCTTCTTTACACACTGAACATTCTAAAACAACTCTGTCTTCCTCAATCCTCTCCCCGCACTCGTCAAATCCACTCATAAGTCTTCCTCGCGCTTTAATGACTTCTTGATTAATTTTCACACTTGGGAGAGTTGAAATCGCTCCTTGGGATGCTGGAGGAGGCCCATAGCGATTTGTGTCGTTCATCATCAAGTGATGGATTATTTGATCCATTGTAGCATCGGTATCTGTAACGTTAGTTCCTGATCTGAGCGATGATAGAAGGAGGTGCAGGTCCAATGACATGCATTTTTGATAGCGAGCCTTTTACTGAAGTACTTTTTGGTCGAAAATTGGGTTGAATTTTTTTGATAGATAGTGAGTCATTTGACTGAAAAAAAAACTGTTAAATTTTGATCAAATGCATTTAAATGAAATATGCAATATCAAAAATCAACTATCATTTTGACATAGAACGATAGAAGGAGCGATGACAAAAGATTTCTGATACTCTGAGCTGGCTGATATGGTACAAAGTTGCGAGGATGCTGCTCTTCATCTTCGATAAGTTCGACAAAATTAGAGCCGCAGCTTGAGCAAGTGATAGTTTCTTCGTTGATTTGGCTTTCCCTTTTACAGATATGACACCAATATTCCATAAATAATTTATTCGATGAAAGAAAATATCTTAATGCTAGTTTAAAATTAAGATCAGTGGCTGCTTATTGGGTACAAATAATTAAATTTTCAGCTAAAATAATTTATTATTAGATTTTTATCCTATTAATTATAAAACGAGGATGCTAGAAATTTCGAAAATATTTTTCTATATACAGAATGAGCATAATATATTTATTTATTAATAATTCTTTCTATGAATTTACTATAAGTCGATAGTAAGCTAACTATTGCGTTCTTTAAAAAGAGAATAACTAAATGCCAATAATAATCTTTTTAATTTTGAAATTTTATTCTATAAATTTGAAATCTATTTCCTAACTTTTTACTTACCCCCACTGCTGAACACCTATAGCCTCATGAGCCGCATTAATCTGACCCCTATGCATATTTTATCTAAGAGTCTTTCACCTATTGTGAGATCAAGCGGCTCAAACCCTGCTCCTTATAAAAAGCCACCTTCTTAAGTGTTGCTTGCCTAGTATAGTTGTTAAAGGTTCACTCATAAAACTAAACTCCATGGTAATAAAATTGCTTCAGGATTGAAAAGTTCTTGGGGAGAACTTATTCTGATGAAATCATATTAATTATTATAGTTTCGTTGTACAAGTCCTGTCTAACGCTGCAAATTATTGATTTAAAACTTCAGCATTGAAGTGCTAAATTTGCTGGATAAAACCAAACCTAAAGTCAAACTGCCAAAATGTGATTTTTGCACGGGAGAACGAAAAATTATGATGATGCCACTTTTTATGATCTATGTTGCCCTAACAATGTATCTAAAGTTTTTAAATAAATGGCAGTTTCTCAAGAAACTTCCCAAAAATAAATTCCAAAAATCTATAAACCTAAAACAACTCAAATTATTAACAAAAATAAGTAAAATATTAATATATAAATCATTAGAAATAGCTATTCCATAATAATAAAATCATCATGCATCATTCTATATCTGAAAGCAAATTAAATGAAGACACAAATGATATGGTTTTAAAGCAAGTAGTATCAGCCCTAAATGAAAGAAGCCTAACATTAGAAGAGTGTTTCAGAGCCGCTGACAATGATGGCGATGGTCTAGTTTCATGCAGTGAGCTTGCTCAATTTTTAACCAAATTACGGCTTGAAATTCCTCAAAACGTGATTTCCAAGCTCCTATATATATTAGATGAGGACATTTCTGGAAATATTGAAGCTAACGAATTTTATAATTGCTTAGCAGCTTATAAAGTATCGACAGAAAACCATCGCACAAATGCTAGAACTTATGAGCAAGAAGTCTTAGTAAGATTTATTGGCGTTATTAATAGAAGAGGCATAGACCCTGAAGATATTTTCAATATGTGTGATACTAGCAACTCTGGGCTTGTTTATCCTAGAGACCTTGAAAAATGCTTGATGGGAATGAATATAAAATTCCAACAAAAAGAAATAAGGTCGCTTATGAATATTTTTGACGCAGATAATAGTGGAGAGATATCAAGGAATGAATTTTTAAGGCATATGAATGTGGGGAATCAAGCTTTTCAAATTGAAACTGTGAAAAGTAACTTAGCACTACCTGAAACAAGGACCAGCAATGCATGGCTAAGCCCAAGAAATACAGAAAGTAAAGTGGATTGAGTTGTGAGCACAGTCACCAAAATGGAAAGCAAAGGTCTAAGCATTGCAGAGTGCTTTGAAAGTATTGATACTAACAGAGAAGGAAAAATTACTCTGGGGTCTTGCTATAGAAGTCTTGCGAAATCATATCCTCATCTTTCAAGAGATGAGCTCTTAAGGCTTCTAACGTTTATTGATAGCGATAAAGATTCCATCATCAACCATCCAGAAATTCAAGAATTTTTAAATACTTATTCATCCCCTAACAAGCTATCAATCAAGCAGCTTTTTTCAAAAATCGCTTTACAGATCCAAAATGAAGGAGAAACCACCTCAGCTTATTTTTCTAAATATGGAATATCTGGCACACTAGATGCAAATACTTTTCAAAACCAAATGGCAAAGTTATTTGGTTTAACTGCTCCTCAAGCTGAGCAGATTTTTGTATCATTAGATTTAGAAAAAAGTGGTGCAGTGTCTGCTAAGTATTTGGTTGGAGTTATCCAGACATATAGAACTGATAATATGCAAGATGAATCAGATAGCCAACAGATTCTTTCTACTGGAAGAGACCCAAAAGAGATCCTGCAAAAATTAGCTAAAGATTTGATAAATGCATTAAAAGTCAATTCATTAGAACCGATAAATATTTTTAGATTTGCTGACAAAAGCAATAAAGGGACCGTAAAAGTATCAGAATTTCAAGCAGCGCTACAAAAATTGATACCTTTAATTGATAAAAAATTACTAAAAGAAATGGAAACGCTGTTTCCTAATGAAATAATTACAAAAGAAGATATTATAACAACTTTTCAATATACTAAAAAAGAAGAAGAGGAAGGCTTAGACCAGCATGGGCTAACTGTTGAACAAGTATTTTGGCTTAGGAAACTTATAGAAGCTATGGAAAAAGTTAATGTGACAGAGCAAAACTTGTTTACAGCTGCAGATCTGAATAATGATAATAAAGTAGACATTTTCGAACTGAAAGCAGCTATGAAAAGATGCTTTCCAGGTGTTATACTTAGTCATGCTGAGCTCACATCAATTCTTTCTGCATTTGATACTAATAAAAATGGCGGCATTGAAAAAGATGAATTTATTCAGAGATTGCAGGACGCAAAAACATCTAACTACTCCTTTCTGTTAGCGAGATAAATTATTTGCTCTTTTTAAATTTTTATTTTTGACTAATTTATATATTTGTAAAATAATAATAAAAAAATTTATATAGGAGTTTTCCCTATATGACCCGATAAGGGCCGTGGGTTCTCCGTGGAATCTCTCTGCTGGTTGAACCAATCAGTGAATGGTCAAACAACGCACTGAGTTGGTTTGGCCAACAGAGGGATTCCACGGAGAACCCATGGCCCTTATCGGGCCATATAGAGAAAACTCCTATAATTAAATAGAATTAAAGAGAGATTTAATCAATTATTCACTGTCTCACGGAAGGCATTTTCCCCAAAAAAGGATTTTTCAGAGTGTTTGATTCATGGAGCTGAGTAGTAAGCACAATAAGCGAGCAGTCAACAGCCACTCTAAAAAGCTTGAAACCCAAATGAGCACAGATCCTGTATCTTTAAGTCCTGGAAAATCTATTAAACTTATGAATCAGCCATCACTCAAATTTGGAGCAAAAATTGCTGCACTACCGCTTAAGCATTTATATAAAGACAACAAATTTCTTACAAATGTCCACAAAATTCTTTCAGCAATAAACCCGAAAACTCCAATTTTTCAATTTTTTGAAGACTTAGGAATTTATCCTCACTCAATATTCAGCTTGCAAAGGTTAAAATTGATAGGCCAAGATTACCAAATTTCTCATTCAGACTGTGAGGAAATGATGAGAGCTTTAGATACTCACAATAAAGGATACGTTTATTTCTATAGCTTATTTACAGTTTTAGAGTCACATAGAAGCACAATGGTATCATTTCCAATTCCTCAAAATCCTAATGCTGATCCTACTACTGTATCTTTGCTTGAAGCCATTGCGATGAGCCTTGATTTTAATTTTCCACTTAAAAATCAATTACCAGATTTTTTAGAGCCAATTGGAAATGATAGAGCTCTTGATTTCTTAAAATTAGAACAAAAAGAAATAAATCAGCTCAGATTAGCTTTATAGCCCAAGACAGCTTTTAGCTTGGGCTAGTAGCTTTCCCTCCAACTCTAGAATTTGTTTTTAGCCAAAAGTTGGCAAGTGGGTATGTTTCTTCACTAGTGAATCGTGTAGTTAGTTGACAAATTTTGGATAAAAACCAACTCCAAGAGTTGGAGAGAAAGCTGCTAGCCCAAGCTAAAAGCTGCCCTGAACTATACCAAGCAATGCATATGTCTATCATATTGCCACAATAATGCAAGCATTTCTTCCTAAGCTTGCATTAGATCCTAATGAAGTAATGCATTGTGCAATTCACTCTCAGCAAGTCCGCAGCCAAGCAGCTGAATATTTTGCTCAGTTTTATTTAAACGCAGATGATGTCCTTGAAAAAAATGATTTATCAAGCAAATTACTAAGATCACTTGATTTAAGACCAGACGAAGCTAATATGATGCAGGAATCCATATAATAATAAAATTGCTTAAGATGAGGGGCGCTCCTCTCACTTAACCTTTATTATTATGGGGTTAAAGATTTTTACACATGCACTTCTTGATGATAGTGAAATAATGCCGAAGGTTTTCTTACTTCGCGTCCTTTATATATCGTTTTTACCTCTTTCTATAGCCCTAGGAATTAGTAAATTAAACCAAATAGGTGCTGGAGGAAAGCCGGTACAAGCGTATTCACGGGAGTTCCGGGCTCTCAAATGGCTTCAAGGAGTTAGAAGGATGTTCTGCCAACAGGATATGCAACACAATCAGGGATAGTGACCATATCGAGAAAAAATGGACCTTATGGACCTTACTCCCTCTGTCAGTGAAAAAATAAACTTGTTCGCTCACGGACGGGGGTTAATTTTTTTTCTTTAAATTTATATATAAATTTTATAGAAAATTTTATATATAAATTTTAAAAAAAATCCTAATTGCAAAAATTGAGAAGCAAATATTAATTTAATTTATAAATTTATGTTTTAAAACGCAATTTGTTTAAAATTAAACAGAATTAGCGCGAGATTTCATTATACTAATATATCACTTATATATCAATTTTTTTTCATACAAAATTTTTTCTATGAAAAATTTTTGTTCACTCACGGATGGTGGGTTTTTGTGCAAAAAATAGGGATTTTTCTAATGGTTTTGTTCGCTCACGGAGGGGGGGAGTTAGCATCTAGTGGCCCAACTAAAGGCGGAGTTAAATTTAAGTAATCCAAGTCTAAGACGCAGGAATTCATTTATGGGAATAAAGATGGAAACAGGCCAGTTTATCAGTTTTTTACTTATTTTGATAGTGTATATAGCATGTATATCGGAGGAAAGATAAGAAACCAATTTCCTCAGCTTCCTTTTAATGATGATAGAACCCCATTAGATATCAGAAAAGCATATGAAAAAATGGCAAATTCTATAACTGAACAAAGAAGTTTATATGAGGTATCTTTGTCTGAATTACTCTCAGAGTCAGAGCTAGCAGAAAAATTTGTGCCTATTTGCAAGCTGACTTCTGAAGTGCTGGTGAACTATTTTAAGTACCTAAAAATGAATAATAATCCAAAAATACGTGTTTATCATTTTATTGCAGTACTAGATAGCTATAGGCAAGGCGAAGCATTAGGAGCTGTACCGATTTCAAATGATTCTTTTATAGCTCTTAATGAGAATATCCCACTAACACTATCAGGAGCGGATTGGGCTAGAAAGAAAAGCATCAGCTTAGGAGCAATTGTTGATAAAAACCAAATCCATAACATGCTTACATTTTTATCTTCTAAGGATTTAGATTCCTTATTCAGTTTAGTAGACGCAACAAAGAGAAATTTTATTTACGTCCATCAAATCGCCACTCTCATAGACATTGCTCATCATACTCAAGGCAATATTGGCCAGTTTCCTCTAGGGCAGAATCCGAAAACACCAAGAGAGGTAAAAAGTGTTCTCCAAGAAAACGCAAAACATCTGGACGCATATCATAGCAATGCATATCAATATTATACAGAAAACAGAATTGATCCAGAAGAATCTTATCTTATTAAATTTATAATGTTTAACGTCCACTACGGGGTAGCCTTTCCAGAGCTGCCACCGTATTTGTCAACGTGTCAGGCCCATGGATCTCTGGATCGATCCACTTCGTTGCGATAGGGCACGGCAAATACAGTGTTCCGGCTTCGACGGGTTGCGTTGCCTTGTCTTCCTTGACTCAGCTCCTGTGCGTATTCCGCCTAAGGGTCACCTTCCTCGGGTGTGCTGAGAGGTAAAACTTCTTCGAGCCTCTTGAAGTACTTGGAGCAGTGCCTCGGCTAATATGCCAGATTTAAACTGATGTTGCTGTACAGAAGTTCTCAGAAGAAAACCTAACCCCAAATAAAATTGCTGAGGAGAGAAAATTAGCTCCGCTAATTTCGCTCAAACCGAATACCATTTTATTTATGATCCAGAAGAATCAGTGGATCGAGAAACTTTTCTCAAAGTTTTCAGTGATGAATACACCAGCACTGAGCTAAACATGATATTTTCCGCTCTAGAAATGAAAAACTGCGGCTATTTAAAGGTCTATAACTACATTTCATGCCTAGAATCCTGCTGTAAAGCTTCCCCATTAGCTCTTTCAAACAAAATTAGCTTTGATCCTATCTCAAATGTAGTCTTAAACATCCCAGGATCTGTATCAACTGCTGACTATTTTAATGATCTTTCCCCAAATGATATATTAGAAAAAGCACAAGCTGTACGATATTTACAAAACAAATTAAGCATCACCCAAGATAAAGCTCAAAGGTTGTTTAATGTTATTGATGATGATATTGATGATAAAGTCTCTGGCCAGGAAATTTTTAATAAAATTGATTCTTATAGAGGTCCACCGCCAAAGAGCACAAAACCGACACCAAGAAACCAAATAGAAATTACAGAAAAAATAAATAATGAGAGCGAAAAGAAGGCGAGTAAAGAAGAATCAAAAACAGAAAGCCAGCCAAAAGTTCCAAATAAGCCAGCTGCAGTGAAAAAAGCAGAAATAAAACATGTAGATGTGTCGCCAAGTGTTTTTCAAGAGGGATCTATAGATCAAGCAATTTATAAAATAAAATTATACGCCAAAGCAAACCCAGATGGATTTTTAGCCCTTGAGTCAGTTTTCCAAAGAATTGACGAAGAAGGAAATGGCGCATTAAACACCTCAGAGTTTTATCTAGGCTTAGAAAGATTGAAGCTTGGACTATCATCTCAACAAAAAGAAGGCTTAATTAATATTGCAGATAAAAGCAAAAACAGCACCATTATATATCAAGATTTTATTGATTTTATTTATAACTACCAGTTCCAAATTAAATCTGATGGAGCTGCGCCGCCAGACTCTCAGCCACTATTGAGATCAGCCCCTAAACAATCAGATCCTATATCTGAAATTCGTGACTACACAATAGTCCCCAGTCAAGATTTCTTTGTTAGGTCAAATCCAAATATAACTACAATTCTTAATAGTGAGCAAGCCGCTTTAAAACGATGCACAGAGCTTTTACCTAAAGGGAATGCCTCATTTAGAGACCCAGATTTTGGGCCAGAGCAAGAAAAACAAGGAGCTTTTTGTCTTTATTGGAATGGGTCTCCACCGTCTTCAAATTATCCACCTCCTGAAGAAATAAAGTGGCTTTCTCCAAAAGAATGACTCCCTAATCCATGCTTTTTCAACGACGATATCAGTTCAAATGACGTCATGCAAGGGTCTCTTGGCGATTGTTGGTTTATAGGCGCGCTCAGCGTTTTAGCTACCAAAGATGAGCTCCTTAGAGGCAGCATCACTAATTTATCTTCAGCTAAGCAAATAACCGGAGAAAACGCTCTTGGGATTTCTAATGGGGTTTACCCTCCTATTTTTCACAATTTTTCTAAAAAAGGTTTATATGTGATAAAGTTTTTTAAAGATTGCAGATGAAGGTGGGTCATTATAGATGACAGGCTTCCTGTATTTTCTGAGATTGGGGAAGTAAAGTTTATTTTTGGCCACTGTAAAGATAATAATGAGCTTTGGGTATCTCTAATAGAAAAAGCTTATGCTAAGCTGCATGGATGCTATGAAGCTTTGAATGGAGGACTTATTGATGATGGACTGGTAGATTTAACTGGACATGTTGCTGAAAAATTAAAAATCAAAGGAAGAGGAGGTATTTTATCAGTCCCACCTGAGCAAGAAAGGCAAAAATCTGATGAGTTGTGGCAGAAATTAAGAAAGTTTAAAGAAGAAGGCACTTTAATGGGCTGCTCTATTGATTCAGAAGGAGTTGAAACTGATGTAATTTTTGATGGTGAACCCTGCGGATTATTAGCCAAGCACGCTTATGCCATTATTGATGTACTTTTCATCCCAAATCCCAAAGCACACAACACGAAAAAGCGTCACAGACTACTAAGACTTCGAAATCCATGGGGCCAAAGAGAATGACTTGGCAAGTGGTCTGACAAAAGTCCTGAGCTCAGAGACAACTTAGACGTCGTTAAAAAAGAAATAGATAAGCTTGGCCCTGATGAAATATTTGACCCTGAAAATTCTAACGATGGCACCTTTTTAATGTGCTACAGAGACTGAAGGCGAATATTTGACAACTTATTTTCCTGTGTCGATTTCCCAGACCAATGGTGAGGAGTCAGATTCCAAGGACAATGAACCCAACAAAATTCAGGTGGGACCCCTGCCAAAATGAGTAAAGCAAATTGCGAAAGATGGGGTAGCAACCCACAATATATTCTCACCCTCAAACAAAAAGCAGAAGCATTTATATCTCTTACACAAGAAGATGGCAGGTTTATAAAAGGTAGCGTTTTTCCTTATGATGGAATCATAAATACAGCTTGCTTTTCAGTCATGAAAATGCTGGCAGCTGAAGACAGGATTGCTGCTTTTGATAGCTCAAGAATAGCAAAACTCTCAGTTATGAAGCTGCATAGAGAAATCCAAATCAGAGAAACACTTCTGCCAGGGAAATACGCGATAATTCCTAGTACCATGATGGCTGGGAAGATTGGGAAATTTTGACTGTCTATCTATCTAGATTGTGATAAAGACAAATCAACTGTATATTCTGCAGAAAACAGAGAAGATATAGGAGATCCTATTGAAGAGGAAGAAGAAATTAGTAAGGATGCACTCACGCCGACTATGCTAAAAGAAATAAGAGACATTGTGGCTTTTTTAGCAACGATATAAAAGTTAATGCAAAAGTATAATAAACTAAGTTAGCCTTTAAAACTTAAGCAAGTGTGGGTACATCCCGTTTCTCAGTCTGAACTTAGTTGATAAGTATTTCTTGACCAGAGGATCTGAGATAGCAGAAACAATGCTTGAGTCTAGATTTTTCTGTGCGGCCTTCTTGAATTCTGGCACCTCTTTCTTGGCTGGCTTAGCGACAAAGAACTGTTCTTCGCTTTTTGCAGCCTTTTTCTTTTCTTTTGCAAAGAAAGCGTCATTGATGCTTGAGGTGTCAAGTCCGGCTCGATGTCAAATGATTGTGTATTTTTGATATTCGGCAATTCTTGGGAAATCTAGTCAATAGTTTTTAATAGATCAAAAAGACCATTAAATTTCGATCAAATCCAAAAATTTTCTCTAATGAAATATAGGCTATCAAAGTGTACGATCATTGGACCTAGTCCAAGTCCTGTGATGTCGATCTTGGTTGATGTAGGCACAGTGTAAGCTTGAGGGATTCTTTTGAGTGCGACTCCGTTAAGTTTGTATGGTCCAGTTACCAACAACAATCCACTTTCAAGTTGCTTGAGGAAGACAACTCTTTTGCCTTGGTGCTTACCAGCCAGGAGGATTAAAACCTGACCAGGAGTGATCCCACCTCTGAGCCTTGTTGGTTTTTGTTCTTCCCTAGTTTTGGTCTTTTTGAAGTCTTCTGTAGGGTACCACTTCACCATTTGTGGATATAAGCTATTATAATGGCACCATTCTTAGCTGAGTTCATATGAATTTAAGCGAAAAGAGGTATAGGGATTTTGGGGAGAAGTGTGGAGATATTAGCAAAAGTAAGTGATGGAGCTTAAAAAAGGAGATAATGCAGAACTACGTGAGAAGATGAAGCTTAAAATTGCTATATGAATTTCTTCAGATGGAAAGCATATGAGATTGTAAAAAAAGAGTCACAATGCATAATAACGCTTTACCAAAATCCTATTATGAGGATAGAAATGCAAAAATAAATACCTAACTTAATGAGAATTACATGTAAAAATTTGACAGTATTTGCTATTCATGGAAATATCTCAATCTACTACAATAGATATAATGATGCATAAAATACAAATAAAAAAATCTCTTATTTTTCAAGTTTATGCAGCTCTCATTAAAAATTTTGACAAATTAAAATTAATTAATCATCTGATTATGACGGTTACTCTAATTTTCTTTCATAGTCTCTATAGCACAGCTTTTATTTGCAGCACCTTAATAGCTATTTTGAAGCCTCCCTGCCAACTTATTTAAAGGATTTCTAAATAATCAAGCTTAGTTATTACTTTGATTTCTTAAAAGATTTCTTTTTCCTCTTTTCAGTAGCTCGTTTATTAATTTGCTCTAAATACTCTGAAAATGTGATAGATTTCTCCTGTCCGTCGTCTGTTTTTTCATTTTCCCCGAACAAGGCTTGGATTTCTTTTTCCAGATGTTCCATACCGTAGCGTACGTAAATAAGCTCTAAAGTGTCTTCAACAGTAACCCTGCCTGTATTTCCTTTGTCGTACATCATAAACTGTACCAAATTAAACAGTTTTCTTGGCTCTAGTCCTGTTTTATCACTGACGACCCTCTTGTACATTATTTCGAATTCTTCTTTTGATACGTATACAAATAAAATGGCGACTTATCCGGCCCGTCCTTCTCTCATACCTTTGGGGTTTTTGGGTCTAAGAAGGCTGGGACCTAGAAGTTAGTGCTCTAGGTGTGCTTTCTCCGGGACACCATGACAGATTTTTTAGACAAGGAAATCAGAGTCCATATGACAACTTCACACTTCTGGATGCGAAGGTAATGGGAAGATTCGGGGTCATGTGCTACCTCATATCCCCGGGTAGATATATTTCGATCGCTAAGAGCTGTCCAAGGAAGCGCCTGGGTGTGTCTTCACAAGAGATGGCGATGTCGCCAATTTTTGATGACATAGACAGAAAAGAGCATTAATTCAGACTGATGCATTGACGAGGAGTCTGAAGCCGTCGAAGGCAGAGAGAGGCTGAGATAAACCCTTAAGACCCATTCTAATTTAATCTTTTGATACATAACCGTCGAGATCTTCATCGACTTCCCATACCATAAGCTGCACTTCTTGTTTTGACTGTCTGCAGCCCAGTTCGTGCAAAACTCTGCTAACTTCTTGCCATCCAAATTTCACACAGCTTTCAATTGCACGCGGATCATCTGATTTGCTTACAAAAGTTTTGAAGACTCGATCCAATGCATCACGTTCAACTTGATGAATTTTGACTTCTTCTAGAAGTTCGTCAGGCGATTTCTTATCCATGTTAAAATATTTATTATTTAATAGCTACATTACTATTTTAACTGCTTTTTGAAATGGAAAGAATTTTCGTGAAGGTTCGGCTTCCAAACGCGATATTTGTGCAGAAGCTCATTTGACAGAGGAACTACATCTTGCTTTGATAGGATTATTCTCTCTGATTATATTTAGAAGACTAAAGCTTTAATTGTAAAGATTATTTAAAATTCAATCTAGCACAGAATATCTCAAAATCACTAAGATTTTTGATTTCAAAAGAAACTTCGTTGTTATTGTCAGGCAATATAACTGTCCGGTTCATAAGCTGCTTTGTTAATCCTTGCTTTTCTTGGGCTATTTTCTGCCGCACCTCGCTCTTATTATCGCTTCGTATAGTTTTATGCAAGTCTAGTGCCATGCTTTCAATAGTTTTAAAGTGAGTTTTCACATGATAGTAGCTGTTTACTTCTTTTCCACCCCCAAAACTTTGTTTGGAGGACCCTGTAAAATCTTTATAAAAGGTTTTATAATTGCTATTTGGTGGCAGAGAAGTGTCATAGTAGCTTCTTTGAAATTTTATGGTATCCAATAGACGTTCATGGACTGTTCGTGGCCTTTGGTACATTGGTGGCTGAATTTCTTTGCTTTTGTCTCGCTGCCTCAGTCTAAAAATGGGCCTGTGAGATGGAGATGTATCAAGCCATTTGGATTTTTCGATGGCATCTTTGATTCGATCTTGGTCTTTAAGACTTCCACGATGGGTAAATAAAACGACTTTTCTTGGGGTCGCACTTGATGAGCGAGGACTTTTCTTATTGTCCAAATCTTTTGCAAGCTTAATGATTGTTTCGTTCATACGTTTGCGGTAACTTTCGGTTAGTGACTCGTCGAGCTTCTTTTTCTTTTCTTTGTAGAGTAAACCTTGGGCGTGAAGGCTTTCTTCTGTTTCTTTTTGTTTGCTGAGTTTATCTGCAATATAAACGTTGTACATTTAAATATAAAATGTTTGGCTAGATTTGTCCTGATTAGGTTGTGCTCAGATCTAAAATAGTTATATTATGAAAATTAAAAAATTTATAATTAATGTCGAATTTAATTAAATTTGTATAAAGTATTTATATAAGTTGAGAAAATATTATTTCAACACTGATTAATTTCTAATTGTATTTCTCAATTACTATGTATTTAATACTATAATATCAAGTTTGCTAATTTGTATTTAATTTTTCTATGCTGTCAAATTAATTCTCAATAGCGATTAACTCTGCTATCTTAAAACAGCAAAACAATTGAAAAAATCCAGCCACTGTGAGTGAGCAAAATAATTTTTAATATAAATATTTTTGATATATAAGCGATAACTATTATAAATTAATATTTAGCTAATTTCATTATATATTAAATAGTTTACATTCTCAAACATAAATTTATAAATTATCTGCATCCTTATTTTATTTTAGCAAATTGGGATATTTTAAATTTCGAAAGAAATCTTTAATATAAAATATTTTAAACTGAACAAGAGGCAAAATTATTTATTAGCTTAAGTAAGAGGGGAGTCAGTAATTCGCTTAATTTGTCAAGAATTTGGAGAACTTTTGGGTTTGCTGCTATTTTAATTATAAATTATCAAATATTTCGCACATTTATATTAATATTTAAATAAATATAAAAATAGTCTAACACTTATTTGCAGTAGAAAACATCTCACAGAAGTCATAATTGGAATTATTTTTTATCGAAAAATCATATATTATTGTGGGCGGTATTTAATTTTTAAATGAACAAATTATCAATTATCATTATTTATTAATATACATAAAATTGCCTGTAACACACGTGGCGGGCGCCCTTATGTATATTCTGGCTGATTTTTGGTGCAAAGAGCTGTCCAAGGGTTGGGTAGCCTCTAAGCGAAAGGCCCATTATTTCCGCTGATTAGTGGACTGACTCAAGCAGCAGTTTTTTGCATTATTTTCCAGCAGCGCCCATGTCTAGAGCGGGCGCCTAATAGAGATAAGGTGACTTGCCTGCTTAAGCTCCTGTATCTGCGAAAACAGTTTTTTCCTCGGAGATCATCAGGAGAAAAAGGGGGAAGATAGGCTAGATCTCAGGGTTTAGTCTCCCCAATCTAAGAGACTCCCCTCAATGGGACGATCTGGCCGAAGCACAGAGGGTTGAGCATTTCGGCACTTGGATAGGAAATGGAGATTCCTTTCAAAATCTTGCTTTTCCATGTCAAAATGGAAATGCCTTTCCCGGAAAACTGGAGCTCGAGTTCAAGCTGCCTTGAGGGACCCTGCCCCACACTTGCCTGTGGAATGGTCTGCGCTTCAGGAAGTGGGGACTTTAAATATCCATCGTAATCTACTAATATAATATTATTTATTAAACCAGCCAGTCTATTTCAAGTCCTGACGTTTGTGTCTTTTCTCGAAAACTCGTGATCTATGATATTCTTTCAAATAGCAAAGCTGACATTTGCCTTTAGCATAGTGCTGGCGATCTCTATGAGGACAAGTTCAAGCTAATTTGTCCTTTCCAAAGCGCCTATAGCAATTATTGCACATGTTTTTTGCATAAATTTTCTTATCTCTGTGTGTGCACACTCTTTCGCAGCTCTGATTCTCACTTTTCGAGGAGTCAGCCTGTTGAATTTTAGGAAGTAATTTCTTATCGTTCACACCAGATAATCTTTCAAGCGACGGTAAAACCAAACTCATTGGCCAAACAGAATCTGCAGGAGACATATTCAAGAGAGAAAACATATTTGTAAACACGCTCAGCATAGGCCTTATTTCCATTGTTTTATCAGAATTAATATATTCCATTAATTCTTTTCTATTGATGATAAATGTGAGAAAATCAAAATATACACATAAAATGGTGTAACGAATTAGCCCTCTTAACAACTGTAGCCAGACGAGAGTCTGGGGTCTTGTGAAGGGGAGAGCAGCCTGCTTGTATGTCTGGTGGAGCTCTATGCCGGGAGGACCGACCGCAAGCTCTGTAGGAAAAAAATAGCCAAACCGCTGGCACACCGTTAGCACATCGGTGGCACATATTTTTGTGAAAATATCTAGATTATGATTTTCAAAGTTTATAATCTCATGGAGCTTTGGGCAAAATGGTAAATAGCGAAAGCTTTAAGAAAAGGCAAAAGTAGTGTCTCTTAAAAATTAAAAAGAACGAATACTCAAAGATTATCAAAAGACAAATATTATTTATTGCTTTATTAGTAATATATTCCTATTAAAATTCTGCGAATATCTTGCAAGGTAAACTCATTCTTGAATGCTGCAAAGAATAAAACATAATAATAAAATGGCTACCTACTGAATTAGTTCTCTTAGAGAATTATTCCTCCTCAGATTTATTATTACAGAATTTCATTTTATCCGTGAATCTTACCTTCAATGCTAATATGGATTACTGCATAGATTATTTCAACTAGCCCAATGAAGAAAGGAGGCATATTGTTTTTGCTGCTTGCCCACGCCCGATGAGTGCAACTCTTAGGCGGAGCACGCGTTGAAGCCGAGCTAGAATCGAGATCAACGCGACAAGTTAAAGGGTTTCTATCCTTAGTAGAGTCCTCTGGAATGCTTGCTTGATAAGATGGCTTCAATGCCATCAGTGGGAGTTAAAAGGCAAGCTCTGACGTTATTCCCTGCAGAAGAGAGTATAACTTTAAAAATCTGAATAATTAAGTTTAAGTTCTAAGAATTAAAATAAAATAAATGAGGATTTTTATATTATATATTCAGTACTTTTTTATAGTAAACTCATCTTCAATCCTATGACGTTAATAAATAGACAGCTGAAGAGCACAAGCTTTGTCCATTTTCTAAAAAAATAATCACAAGAAATCAAAGGCTAAAATACTATTCTAATGGATTCATTATAAATCATCAGCTTTGCTGACTCCTCTTCTCTTTTTGCGTTTCCCTTTCTTTCCTGTGCTTTCTCCAATGCCTAAAGCTTTCTTTCTTTCTTCTTCTTCCTTCAGGATTTCTGCAATTAGTTCATCATTTCCTTCTTCGCTCTGTTGTTTCAAGCTATTATGGAATTCTTTGCAATCTCTTTCAACTACTTGGACTTTTGCCTTATCGTCAGTTGCCACTTTACCTCTTGTAACTCCTTCTAAGAAAGAATTTAAGTCTTCTTCATTAAAAGTCCCTACAAGTCTTGCAGATTTTTGCTTACTAGGGAAATAAACAGCCAGATTAGGCATCATTGCTTCTGAGATTCCAAAGCTTTCTCTAAGCTCATATTGACAAATACCATCTACCCAGCCGAAATGAAAAGGAATTTTTCGTTTTTCCATTAAAAGACTTACTTTCTTAAATACAGAAAATTGGGCAGGGTTGTTTTCCTATATAAAACTTACTGGATTTCCTTCAAAAAAGCCAATAACGCACATACCAACTTTTTTAGCACAGGCTTTTTCAAAATTTTTACTTGTGTATTCCACAATGTCAGCACTGTCTTCATCTATTTCTTGACTAATTTCGCGTTTAAGCATATATGGGATAGCTTGTTTGTCTAAAAAGAAGCTCATTTGTGCATAGTCATTTAGATTCCCTGTATATTCAAGAATTTTGTAATTTCCAGTTTCATCTGGAGTTGAAAAAGCAACTATTGTAGGGAATCTGCTGGTGGTAAATATTTTTCTAGATTCCGCTTCTGGTTTCTTGAAAAAGCCAAATTTAACGAAATCCTTGAAGGCTGGATCAGCAGATAGTCCTCTGAAATAAAGGTTTGGGGAGTTTTCTGATAAATACAGTAATCCAAGTTTTTGTTCTTCACCTACTGTGCGCACAAAACTGTTGACAGTTGCGTCTGCAAGAGTAATAATATCGCTCTTAAGCTCTCTTGCAATCTCGTCTTCCAGCTCATATTGGTCTGAAAACACGAGTTCTAAGCTCTTGCGTTTGCGATTGCTTGGGAATATTCTTAATGATGGAAATTTTTTAACTCCTAGTGATTTTGCAAGATCTTCTTCTGCTCCACCTCCGCAATGAAAATTTGCAAGCAAAACGACACCGTTGTAATTTTTTTTGATATCGTCCCATTCAGCAACTTGGTTTTCTTTATAAAAGTGGACAATTGCAAGTTTTCCGTCTTCCAGCTTTTCTTTGAAATTGCCAGCGTCTAAATTCAAAATAGGAATTTCTGGGATTTCAGGTACATCTTGCTGCTTTTGTTTTGGTGCTTTTTTCCTGAGTTTTAGCTCTTGTCTTTCTTTTGCATATTGTTCTAAAAATTTAGAAATATCAAAAAAGTCGTTTTTCCCTGGATATTTCGCAGCTTCCTCCCCAACTTTTACCAAAATCGTCGGAAACTCAGTGACTCCAAATTTCTTTGCATATTCATTTTCTCCTAGCAGAGACACCCAAAACTCCAATCTGCCTCTGAATTGTGAAGTAAGTGCTTTATACATCACAGGAGCTTTATCTTTATTGGTAAACAAAATCACGTGGTTTAAGTTTTTTTCTTTTAAATATTCTTCTTTGTCTTCATTGAGTTCTTCACCCAAATATGGGATATTTGTCAATAAAAAGTCTGAGATTTCTTTATATGCAATTCGGCCTTCAAATCTTCTTTGGTGGACTAGAGGCTTTCCTGTATATGGGTTTAACCCAGCTGGGACATGAGCTTCAAAAATGGGTAACTCTGCTTTTACTTTTTCTGGGCACAGTTTTTCATCATCTGTGCAATCAATTGCATAGACCCTGACAAAATTGTGGAGTTTCACTAAAACTTGCTCAACAACCTCAGCAAGGGCTTTTGAAGACACGCCTTCTCGATCGTAAATGATGTCAACTGTCATAAAATCTGGATTTTCTATTATCTTGGCAAGCTCTTCTTTAGCTGTGTGGTTCACGTAAGGGCAGTTTTCATATAATGCTGAGCATCCTAAGGCAAATAAGCAGAGCAAATAAAACATTTACGTGTAAATATTTTATTGAAAGATGGCATTTTAATTTTCTTATAGATTATTTATGCAAAAATGTAACTTTAGACTTACCAATAATTCTTTTTCTTATTTAAGAAGCAGAAAATTCTATATATAGGCTTCTTTTACGAAAAGGCTTATAATCTTTTTTTCCTTAAAATATTTTTCCCCCTCAATGCGTTTACGTTCTTGCCCTTTTTATATCAAAAATGATTATTTAAAAATTTAGCAGAATACCATTGCAAATTATTGGCTCACTTTTCGATAATCATTAATTTTAAAAATAAAAATTATAGAATAATTATGTCCTTCTTCCCTGGTATTGTCCTGTGAAAAGCATTCCTCGAAAGCAATAATGAGCAGCAAATCAAAACAGCAAGGTACCAAATAGTATCAGTGAGTAGCCTGCTTCTCGAAGAAAAATCAATTCAGCCAATGACACGAAGATTACTCAAAGAGATGAAAACCCTAGCAGAGAAAAAAGACGAAGAGTTTTCTAGCGAACACTTAAAGCGTTTGATTAGTTTTGTTGATGTTTTATATGATTTTTGTTCAGCAAAAATAATCAGTTCTGCAGAAGAAGTAAACACCGAATCAGATGACTAGATAATTAGGATTAACTTGAAACATATTAAATGATAATTATCGTTGTGAAGAAGGTCCTTCATTTTAAGCAATAAATAATGATATGAGGCATTTTTCATAGAAATTTGAATAGAAAATAATAAACTAAGAAAATACAAAAGTTTTTAAATAATTTAAGCTTTAACATATCTTGAGACCATGCAGCTCTGGAAGGACTCTGAATTTACAAGATGATTCAAAGCAAATAGGCACTTTTTCTCTAGCTACTAAGGATTTGTAAAGCTCAATTTGTAGCCTTGGCTTAGAGAGTAATTTAAACTGTCAGAATTTAACATTGATGCTTTCCATGTCATATTCAATTATTTCTGCATCTTCTGAAGAACTTCTTATCTCTTGAGCACCATTTATAGTTTCAGGCTCAGTATTTTCATTTAAGCTGTGGAAATTTTCTTTTAGGCAGCTTTCTTCGACTTTTAATTCTTTTCTTGGACAATCTTCTATACAAGTGTCAAAAGACCTTGACCTTTTCATTGGGATTGTACATTCAGCCACCTCTTCGAAATTTTCTTCATTTTTCATGTTAAAATTAGATTCAGTAGATTCTTCAGCTACATTGATTTCTTTTTCCATTGTCATGGGAGGGTGGACTTGTTTTATTTCAGCTGCTTTAGTAAGAATTTTTTCTGTTATTGATAATAGTTCTATATGTGGTTTGGCCATAGCAGAAATATTTGATGTTTCATTGGGGATTTCTTGCATTATTGACAGTGGCTCTATAGTTGGTTTTGATAGGACAGAAATATTTGATGCTTGAGATTGGATTATTATTGGAGAAGTTAATGGAATTGTGATGAGAGAGACTTTAGCTGTTATGTGTGAAGAAATAGATATTGGATTGATTTTTGGAGGGATTGAAAGGGAAAATGATTTAGTTTCTGAATTGATTTCTAATAAAGGATTTAGGGGCTTTTGTAGGCAAGTCAGAGATTTAGATTGAGACAATGATGTATATTCACAGATAGGTTTTGAGATAATTTGGTAGGTAATCTCTTTGATGATATGGGCTGATAAAATATTTTCAGAAGTTGTGGTTTCTTCCTCTGCTCCTTCAATGTCCATTTCATCTGTTCCATCCTTTATTTCTTGATAAGGAATACTTTGTGGGATCTCTATAGGCTCAAGTTTTGGCTCAAATTTTTCTATTTCGAAGTCTTCATTTAATCGTTTTATAGGCTTTTCTTTTCTATTTTGAGGTTTATTCTGAAGTTCCTCTTTTTTTATATCATATGTGTCGTCAATCACTTTATAGCTTTTGAGTTGACTTTGTGTGTTTTCTGAGACATAGAGTTCAATGTTGATTTCTTTTGTTTTTCTGATTTTTTTAGGTGTGTCAAAATCGCTGTCTTTTCGTGGCCTTTTAAGAGGTTCAGGCTCTTCATCTTTTACTTTGGTTTGGGAAAATTTTATAATAGGAGAAATATTTGGAGCGTCAGGGATATATTCAGCGTCCATTTTGGATCTGATTAAATACTCTCTTCCTTCACGTATTGTATCTTCCATTGTTCTTCTTCTGAATAGCTTTGGCTTAGTGCTAGTTTGCTTGGCAGTGCGTTTGGACTTTTTATCTCCTTTGTAATTCATTATATTATTAGTAAAAAAATAGACAGGATACCTTGTTGGTTGCAATCTAATTAATAGCACAAAGGCTAGCACTATTGATCTCTTTTTTAAAAGAATCATTATATAATAAATTTTTATCAATTTTTTACATTATTATTAATCTCCATAAATATACATGATTTCTTATCCTCGAACATCTGAAAATCCTCAACTTGAAGACTCAGCCTTTCATAGAGCAGCTAAATCAGGCAACTCTCGCCTTATCGAATGCTTTATAAAAGCAGGCGCCAATGTAAATCTTCAAACAAAGCGATCTGATGCTCCTCTCTATCTAGCAGCTCAATCAAACCATCTTGACTCGATTTCTCTTCTCCTTCAAAATGGTGCAGATCCAAACATGAAAAATTCAGGAGGAAACACAGCACTTCATGTTGCTTCATTAAATGGCAATTATGACCTTGCAAAACTGCTGATTTCTCATAATGCAAGTCTGAGAATTAAAAATGAGAGATGGCAGTATCCATTTCATATAGCAGTCAAAGGAAATCATGCAAATTTAATTGAATCATTTTTAAATACAGATGTTGAAGCAGCACTATTGAAAGATCTTAATGGGAAAATTACAATTGATTACTGCAAACAGCCTGAGTCCAAAGCTGTATTTACTAGGTTTATATTATGGAGAGAAAGGAAAGGAATTTTATTTGTGAATAAATTTAGCAATTCGTTTGGAAGAATTTCAAATGGAGCATTTAGGGAGATTGTGGAATATATTTAGATAAATAATTATAATAATTTATTTCCTTACTGATTTACATTTTCAAGAGATCCTTATATTAAGTTTTTTCGTAAAATTTTGAAAATAGCAGCTTACAGTTATTATATTTAAATTGATAATACACTCTAATTCTGTTTAGATATTAATAGCGTAGTTGCATCTTTGTACAGACCTAGAGAAAAATGATAAGAATTAAATATCTTTTTGCCTTTAAAAGAGTTCTTGAATATCTTTAATTATTAAAATTAGGCTTTCTCATTGAGTACCTCTGCTCCAACTCGACTTAGGATAATTTTCAGCTCAATTATTTGAGGTGGTTTTATTACTAAATATTGCTTACAAAATTCATCCATCCCTGCTCTTAAGCATTTTTCTCTCGCATCATTATCTCCTGACATTCCACATATCAGTGTTTTGTTATGCCCATTTTCCTTTTCAATATTTCTTATTTTTTGTGTCGATTTATACCCATCCATCTTAGGCATCATTAAATCCATAAATATTGCTTTATACATATACCCACTTTTGGCATAGGCTTCATACATTTTCCAGGCTTCATTTCCATCTTTAGCATGCTCTGCATTTATATGTGTGATTGCAGAAAGGTTAACTTCCAGAAACTCTCTGTGCGAGGCCATATCGTCTACTATAAGAACTTTAAAAGTTCCAGCTTCAGTCTTTAATGAATTATTTTCATTAGAATCACATGCAAGTAAGCGAAATATTGGACGATTATCAGTTATAGAGGTTTCCTCTATATAGCGCTAAAAGCGCAGACATTTTCCCAGGAGCTTTCCAAGTTCGTCGGACCAAATCGCTTTTTGGTCCGACCAAGGCATTGATTTGGGTGCAACCTACCGATAAAATTCCGATCAGAATTTATCGGCCTTACAGCGCCAAACATAGGAAACTTCTATAATGTATAATTTGGGGAAGGAAAAGAGTTTTCTTTACTGTTGGTAAAGACTTTTTTTTTGTAGGGCCATGTGATATGCTTGGATTGGTTTTCTGGCATTGATTTGGAATTTTGGAATGTGGGAGGAATATATGATCTTGGACTAGGAGTTAGAATTCCAGAATTAGTCTTAGAGCATCCTACGATTCAAGCTCCAATCTGCACATTTTCATCGCAGTCTTGAGAATAATCAGCGCTTGAAATATTTGATGTTTCAGACAAGATTTCTATGACATATGGTATTTTTTTATTAGAGACAGGGTCATAATTTTTAGGTGGCTCTATATACTCGGGCATTTGTATCACAGTTTTTCTTTTTTTCTTAGACAATTCTTCACTGATTTTGAATTTTTCTGGTTTCCATTTAATTGAATTATTAGGTAAAATTTCTGGATGAGAGTATATAGGGATAAAAGTCGGCTCAATTCATTTTTTTGACCCTACTATAGGAATAAAGACACTCAAAATTGCTCTATTCTTACTTACTGTAAATAAGCAATGATTCACTCTGCCTTTGAGGAGTTCTAAAATTGTTCCAAAAAGTGATAGCTTGCTATTGGTTTTTATAGGAATTTCAAATGATTTAGATTTTGGAGCAGCATTGGCATCATGATTCACAAATAGTTTGTTTAATCCTTCTTGAGTTGCTTTTTCAGAATGAAAAGAAATTTGATATTCAATGCCACATTCCTCGGTATATGAAGATGGCCCTTTTAAATGAAACAATAAATCAGCCCCTAAAGTTGAATAATCAATTGCAGCCTCAAATAAGCATCTCAAAATATAAATATACAATTTCTTATCACCTAAAGTGCATGAAGGAATGGAAGAATCTCTTGAGTAGATAACTGTGATGTCTTTCCTAGATGCCTTTTTATAAATCTCATCTATCAGACAGGCGACTTCAACATGCAGATTGAAACCTTCTTCTTTCAGATTCACTTTAGATATTTTTTTCTTTTGGCCATTATTTGACACTTTTTCATCATCTATTATACCGCATTTACAATTTTCTGACTCATTAAGAACTTGCTCATATCTGCTTCACTTCTCTTCCTTAAGCCTATACAATACTCATAGGGATTTTAAATCTTTTTCAATATATCCTATACAAAAAACATGAAAAAGCACTACAAGAGTGGTTTGAAACATACAAATATCTCGGATGGTTCATACCAGTAATATTTCCAGAAGATTTATGAATAGGCTACATGTTCAGGCCTTTAGAAAATAATAATTTAAGATACTGCTTGGTACGAATGCTATATAAATTTCAGGTAAAGAGCCACGTCCTATAGTCGCTATTATAAATTGGATTACAATAATTTCTGCGATAGCTCTACACATATACGATTTTTCAATTTTTATTGTGAGAAATATCAATATTGACAAGAGTGATAGATATATTGATAATACTGTCATTTCTCTTCCCAGCAATAATAGAGATATTGCAAAAATCAAAGATATAAAAATTGCTACTGGCCAAGTTTTCTGATGAGAAAACAGCTTATCAACAAATCTCTTTTCGCTTATTGGATTTTTGAATCTTAGCCACCAATGCTGCGCATAGGTAGTGACAAATTTATTAGGAGATTGATCGTCCGCTTTAAATCCCTTCATATTTTCAATATTTCACTTGTTCAGTAAAGTCGGCATTCACTGCAAGAAATGAGGCGAAATCACTTGTTTTGATAAAGGGAGCATTTTTAAGGCTTTAAGAAGAAATTGAATTGGATAGATATTGATAAATAATTTAAATATTTTTCCGCACTGGACGATATTAATAGATTCCTCCTATTGAGGTTTCATTTAATTAAAGACTCAGAAAATGGATAAATTTAATTAATGCTATAAGAAATCAAGTTGCATTGCTGATAAAATTTAAATTTAGCCTTCTATCTTGCATTCTTTTTATCATTAATGTAAAAATTATATTTTATAATTTACTATGTGCTGAAATGATATAGTGCGTGCTCCCCGATAGATTTTCAAGGAAAATGCCTTTCAAAGAAAAAATTGTTTTGAAATTCCAAAAAATTCAAAAAAGTCAAATATCAATTTAAAAATGCCATTATATATGTCCTATTTGTCAATTTGAAAATTGACTTTTTAGATTTTTCCTTAATTTAAAATTTTTAATTTTTATCTAAAAGCACTTGTCCTCAGAGATCTAAAATGAGGCTTGCGCTATATCAATTCAAAAATTTTTAATTATTTAGCGCAGACTAGTGCTCCATCAATATTTTTTTATATAGAAGAATATGCTTTAATATTTTTCAAAAGTTTAGTATAAAGAAGATTAGGGAATAAGCTTTCTTTCGTATGGATTTTCTCTTATAAGGCACTTCAAAACCTTTTCTATAGTAATTTAACTGAACATAAAATATTTTAAAAAATGAAAAAATAACTTATGATTATTATTTTTTGTTATATTTATCAGTTTTCAGCTTTCTTGCAGATGCTGATGATTTTTTTGCTTTTTGTAGAGCAGATTGGGCTCTCTTTCTTGTTTTTTTCTTGGCTTTTGTTGAAACTTGGCCAGAAGAAATTGAATTATCTACTTTTTCTCCGAAAGAAGCAAACATGGCACTATCGCCTTTAGAAGAATTTTCTTTGCGAATTAGATTAGGATTCTCGTTTTCACTACCAATTCTCTCTTCAAGCTCTCTTAATCTTTTTTCAAAATATTCCATTCTAGCTAAATTTTCTACTTAATTTTTACCTTCAGCCACTCTGTTGGAGGTTTTTTCTGAATTTCAGGCTACTTGGGCTATGTCAATCATCGATTTTTCTCTATTAGTTATTTCCCTATCAAGCAGTTCTCTCATTCTTTCAATCTCATCAATTTTTATCTTTTTCTCTGATTTTTTTCCTTCATCTTTATAGCCTTTTATTTTTTTCCTAGGATTTGCCTCTATTTGGCTCTGCAATTTTTGTAAATTTGAAAAAATTTTTTCTTTAACTTCCCTGTGATCAAAAAAAGCATTGAAAAATTCCTATTTTTATTTTTTGTCCAAAGCCCACTCTCTGTGAGTGAACAAAAAATTTTTTATGAAAAAAAATAATTGATATATAAATGATAATTATTATAACGAAATTTCTAACAAATTCTGTTTTATTTTAAACAGCCTTGCATTTTAAAAATAAATTTTACAAATTAAACTAATTTTTACTTCTCGATTTTACAAATTTTTCTTTTTTAAATTTTGAAAAAACTTCTCCTTGAGGAACAAATTTTTTTTTCGCTCACGGAGAGGGGAGCAAGTAAATCTTCTCTTTCCTTCGCAGCATCTTTAACAACATTTATCTGATTCGTAAGCTTCTCATCACATTTTTCTATGAGAATTTGAAGATTTTGCCCATTTTCTCTCACACTTTGCTTCATAACTTTTTCTTCTAATGAAATGATTCTATTCTCAATACCATTCATGGTATGTTTTAGCGAGCTTAAGCTTCTCTCATTTGTTTCTAATTTTTCTATTCTAGATAAAATTTCAGAAAAATGCTTTTGCATGTCTGCTACTTCTGAAGATTTTTTCTCACTCCCCCCCTTTTAAATTGGAACAAAAAATTTTTGTTTCAATTTAAAGGGGGTTAAGAAAATTTTTTAAAAAAAAAATTCAAAAACTTATCGAATTAGATTAATAAATTTGTTTAATAAAATGCTGTTTACTCTTTATCCTTTAAAACAAAGCAAGATATAACTAAAATTTTATTATTAATTAGCACGCCACTATTAATTGGTATCAAAACTATTTTACACAAAAAATTATTATTTCTATTGATAAAAAAACTTTTAGAAAATTTATTAATCAAGTGCTAATTTTGTTTAAATGAGATGCTATTTATACTCTATTCTTTAAAAAAAAAGCAAGAGATATAGAAATTTTCAATTTTTGTAAAGAATTCACATTGAATTTATATCAAAATTATTTAAATAAAAAATATCATTTTTATCGAAAAAAATAAAATTTTTTTTGAAAATATTAAAAAAAACAATTAATTTTTTTTAAAAATTTAGAATCAGGATAATAAATTTATTTAAATAAAAATGCTCTTTATACTCTATTCTTTAAACAAGAGCAGGATATAACTAAACTTTTAATTTAGTTAAGAAGAAACATTTGGCTTATACAAAAAACCTTTTACATAAAAATTATGATTTTTATATATAAAATTTTTTATTAATAAAATTAAATTTTGTTCCAATTTAAAGGGGGGGAGTCATCAATATAATCTTGTTGGAGTTTTACTATCTGTGTTACATATAGAAGCCTAGTTTCTAAAGACGACTGAAAGTTTTCTATTTGCTGGAATTTTTTATTGATTTCGTGGGAAATCTGAATATTTTCAGAGATTTCTGCTTTGGATTGTTTTTGATCAGGGGATTTGAATTTGTTCATATTAGACAAAATGGAAATTTTTACGAAAATTAGAAGTTACCTAGAGATGGTAGAAGGAAGTTTTTATATTGATTAATATAATAAAATGGCTTTAAGCGACGCTAAAGGAGCTCTTGTAGATATTCACCAAGATCTTGATGAAAAAAAGAAGCATTTATTGCTAGTCGAAGATGTATTTACCATATAGAAAGTCCATAATGAACTTTTAGAACTGGAAGCCAATTTAAAAGCAGATCTCCAATCCCGAGTCAGATTCGATCAACAAATTACAACAGAATACCAAGAAATAAGAAAAAAGCTAGAAAAAGATGCTCATCAAGAAGCAAATATAGCTGAAAATACTTTTAGATCTATTTTTGAAGAAGCCAAAGCTAATATAAGCAATTTCCAAGACATTTTAAACGAAAAAATCCAAATGAGAATTGAAGCTCAAAAGAAATTCAACAATCTTAGACATGAAGCTGAACAAATTAAAGCAAATATTATACAGCAATCGCAAAATAGAAGAAATAATATGAAGACCAGCTTTGATCAGCTAATGGACGAGATGAAAAAGAAAAAACAAGATTTAGTGACTGAAAAAGAAAAATTAAAGCGTGACTCAGCAAATATTGCAGCCAGAATTCTTGAAAAATATGAAGAAATTTCAGGTAAAATAGAAAAAGCACATATAGAGAAAAAAGAAGCTGGGCTTAGTCTTATGGGAGAAATCCAAGAAACCTTGAAAGAAACCCATAAGCATTTTTCTTAATTCTAAACCGAATTATTCTTTTTTTAATAAATGGCTCAATCTGTTCCATAAATAAAATGGCTTTCGCTTCAAGCGAAGTTAGCTCCGCTAACTTTCTCTCACTCAAGCAATTTTATTTATGGGGTTTGGTTTTACCTCGAGAACTTCTGCACAGCAACAGCGGTTTAACTTTGGAGATAACCAGAGGAACTGCTCCTCAGTGCGATCAAGACTCTCAGGTCTTTACCCCTCAGCACATCCCAAGGGAGATGGACCCTCAGACGGAACACGCGCAGGAGCTGAGTCGGAATAAAGCCGTGGCGGCAGCGAAGCCCGTCGAAGCCTGAACGCCTTATTTACCCGTGCCCTGGCGATCAAAAGGGATTGATCCAGCGATTTCTGGGCCCGACACGTGGATAAATATGGCGGCAGCTCTGGAGTTGGCTACCCCGTAGTGGACGTAAAGCGATATAGATAATTAAGATTAAGATTAAGGCTCAATCTGTTCCTCTCACTGATATGCTTGTAGCAGTCGACAACAACTTGCCATCAGCTAGCATCATCAGAGATCCTTCAGGAAATGCTTATACCTTTTATAAGTATAAAGGCACGATCGCAGAAAGGGCTTCTCTTGAATGGAATCCTTCATCTCTTGCAAGAAAATCAAAATACTCACTCCCCCTCCTCCGTAAGTGAGCAAAACCATTGGAAAAATCTCTATTTTTTGCCCAAAAATCTACCCTCTGTGATTAAAACAAAATTTTTTTAATAGAAAAAATGTTTTATAAAAAAAAATTGATATATAAGTGATAATTAGTATAATGAAATCTCGAGCTAATTCTGTTAAATTTTGAACAAATTGCGTTTTTAAAACATAAATTTATAAATTAAATTAATATTTGCTTCCCAATTGTTGCAAATTAGGGTTTTTTTTACAATTTCGAAAAAAACATAATTTCTATAAATTTATATATAAAAAAAAAAATAAACCACCCTCAGTGAGTGAACAAATTTTTTTTTGTTCACTCACGGAGGGGGGAGTCAGCAATAAGAGGATCTCACCTTGTTATTGTAATGAATCCTAATGATGATATCACAGAAATGATACAGCCAAATATCATCCCAGCTAATTTTTTCAATAAAACAAGACTGACTGATCATGATTTAACTCCATTTATGGATGATCACAATGACCGCCTTACCCTTCACCGTGATTTTAGATTGGTTGTATTGCTTACAGCTCCTGGAGTTCCTCATTGTTTACAGAGATATATTGATGCAGGCGATTTTAAGTTTATCGATATAGTTTAATAAATTTATTTATTGCATATAATAGCAAACCTGATAATTTCTAATTTACTCTTGCAAAAATGTTTTTAAAATTACCTTATAGTTACAATAAATGGCCCATAGAAGAGTGCCTCTTACGCAACTAGTTGCAGCTGTTGATAACAATTTACCAGCATCAAGCATCATAAGAGATCCCTCAGGCAATGCATATACTTTTTATAAGTACAAAGGAACCCTAGCAGAAAGGGCTTCAAATGAATGGAATCCTGCAACACTTGCAAGAAAAGCAAAATATGCAGTAACCAAAGGAGATACACTAGCCATTGTAATGAATCCAAATGACGATATAACTGATATGATTCAGCCTAATATCATCCCTGCAAACTTCTTTAATAGAAATAGACTGAGAGATGAAGACCTTGAGCCTTTTATGGAAGATCGAAGAGACTATCTTTTTGTTCATGAGAAGTTCAGACTTGTTGTTATATTAACAGAGGATGGTGCTCCACATTGCTTACAAAGGTAAAGTATTTAGACGCTTTACGCCCTCTATGGCTGGACTTGGCGTCTCTCCCGCTTTATAAATCTACCTATAAGAGCATAGATTTTCAAATCCTATTTGATAAAAAAAATGTTAACCTCTTTTATAGGAAGCTAAAAGCATGCAGACAATATATATTGACGCAGGAGATTTTCAATTTATTGACATAGAGTAGTTTATTGTGATTTGTTAATTTTTTTAATAAGATTTTAATGGCACAAACTATAAGTCTTGCACAGCTGAAGACAGTGGCCCAGCGATTACACTAGCGATAATAATGACTCCAAAAGCTGATATAGCTGATATGATAATCCAAACATCATTCCTTTGAATATTTTTATCCTCTCTTTCTTAATGAAATATAGTTATTATATTCTCATATGTAATAATGAGAAAATCTGAACAATAACTTATTGAATCCAATTATCAATTAAGATAATTTAATATTAAATCCATATGCAAAAATCCATTTTTATAAGATAATGTCTAGGCACAGGCAATTCAAGAGAGATATCGAAGAGGATGAAGACTATGAAGATTTTGATCCTATGGAAGATACAGATAGCCCAGACTATTATATCGCACGAGTTATTGAAAAGACCGGACCAGCGCATAAAGACCAAGTTTTAAAAGCTTTACAAGCAAATGATTGGAATGTTCAAGCTGCAATCAAAGTAATCAATGCAGCAAAACAAAAGACACAAAAGCCAGCACAAAAAGCTTCCCCACAAAAAGCTTCTCCACAGAAAAATGCTGCCCCAGCCCCTAAACAGCCAGAAATTAAGGTAGCTCAGCCTCAAATAAAGATTGCTGAGCCATCAAAAAAATTAGAAGAAGATTTGCCAAAACTTGATGCCAAATCAAGCTCTACAGAAGAAGTCAAAACTCCGCATATTGAAGAATCAAAAACTCCTATTCTCTCCCCTCAAGTCTCTAAGCAGGATTTAAATGCAGATTATCCTGACATTTATCCAGATATGTAAACTTTATTTAGAGTACATGATGGTAAACCTACAGTAAATTTAGTTGTTATTGGGCACGTAGATGCAGGTAAAAGCACCTTGATGGGCCATTTATTATTTTTGTTAGGCTATATAGACCCAAAAGTTATGCATGCTTATGAAAGGGATTGTAAAGCCATAGGAAAAGATAGTTTTCAATATGCATGGGTTTTGGACGGGACAACAGAAGAAAGACAAAGAGGTGTCACAATTGATGTAGCTTGCAAAGAATTTTCCACTGAAAATAGAGAAGTCGTCCTATTAGATGCACCTGGACATAAAGATTTTGTGCCAAATATGATCAGTGGTGCTGCTCAAGCTGATGCGGCAATTTTAGTTATAGATTCTTGCCAAGGTGCCTTTGAAAGTGGCTTTGAAGGAGAAAATCACCATGGGCAAACAAAAGAGCATAGTTTTCTAGCAAGATCTTTAGGAGTTTCCAACTTAATTGTAGGAGTCAATAAGCTTGATATGATGAATTGGGATCAAGGCCGATTCTTAGAAATCCAGAACAGGCTTAATCCTTTTCTCAGGACTGTAGGCTTCCGTGATAATTCTGTGACATATATCCCTATAAGTGGACTTGGCGGTGTAAATTTGACGTCAAAACCAGAAATCCCTGAGCTGGCATCATGGTACAATGGCCCTTGCCTAATAGAGCTGATAGATAGTCTGCCACCCTCACAAAAAGATGCCAAAAAGCCAGCAAGACTTTGTATTATGGATTCATATAAACTGTCTCATGGAACTTTATTGGGCCAAATTGTATCAGGAAAAATAGAAAGTGGGACAATTAGTATAAATGATAAGATAGTCATTATTCCTACAGGAATAAAAGGTAGAGTTAAAGCTATTGAAAAAGCGGGCCATTCTGCTACAAAAGCTTATGCTGGAGAAAATGTGGACGTTGTACTTAAAGATGCCGAAGGCGATTTTGGGCTGGTTTTACCAGGACATGTGCTTTGCAGTGAGCTATATCCTGTTCCACAGGTAAAAAATTTCAAAATCAAAGCTGTCACCTTTGATATCCTTTTCCCTGTCACAAGAGAACAAAATTTGATCATGCACATTCAGTCTCTAAAAATCCCAGTCAAGGTAAAAAGGATTTTACAGCAGATTGATCCAATAAATGGAAAAGTTATAAAGGAGCGCCCGAGGTGTCTTACGAAATTTATGTCAGCGATATTAGAAATTGAATCAAGCCGCAGAGTTTGTTTAGAAAAATTCTCAAACTGCAAAGGGTTGGGAAGAGTCACATTGAGAGATCATTCAGAAACAGTAATGGCTGGGATGGTAATTGAGCTCTTAGAATAATCATTTATTTATCAATTTTTGCTAATTTTATATTAAATTAAATATCAGGAATATTCTGAGATATGCCAACTAAATAAATCAATAAAAATGAAGAAGGGAAGAAAAATTGAGCTTTATTTTTTAAATTTCAAAAAATTAAATGAAGGAAAAGGCTGAAAAAGCTCTAGATTAAGATTAGAGCATGGTTTTATAATTAAAATATTTAAACAATAATTTATTTTAAAATCATAGCTTGTACTTGAAGATAAATACTACGCAGATTCTTTCAAGAGCAAAATTTTTTAATTGAAAAATATGAGAAGCTAAATAAGTTGATTTTTGAATTTTTCTTTTAATTTAAATATGATATTCATGCTGATCCCTATAAATAATAAATGGTGCTTCTTGAGTCATCAGTAACATCAACTCCAATAGAAGTCATCGCAAGCTCCTTTTTAGCAATTTTTCTGGCTGAAATTGGAGACCGCACATTCTTCGTCATCGCTGTCCTTGCAATAAAAAATTCAAGGTCAGCAGTCTTTTTAGGGAATTGGATTACTATTAGTATATTAGCTGTGATTGCAGCATTTATTGGCGCAGCCGCAATGAAATTCATTGATCCTTTATATATACAAATTGCTTCTTGCATAATGTTCTTGGTGTATTCACTTCTCTGCTTTTATGAGGCATATCATGGAGAAAATGAGTCAGATTCAGACAAAAATGATCCTCTGTTGGCGGGAAATGAATCAAATGGAGAAAATCATGATCCTTTGCTAGCAGAAAATAGTCAAAGACTATCGTGGATGAAAGCATTTTGGAAGACAGCAATTATGGTTTTTCTTGCTGAATGGGGAGATAAATCTAATATAACTATCATATCACTATCTGCTCTTACTCCAGAGAGGCATGCTTTTAAGAATTTATTTAAATTTTTATCGAATTTATTTAAATTTTAATTGGAAACTTCATATTTAATAGAAAATACAGGGAGTTAGCGATCCTATTTTGGTTGCAATAGGAGCGATATTAGGGTTTGCAGTCATAGGATTGATTGGAGTTATTGTTGGTAAACTTGTTGAAAAATATATAAATGAAAAGGCCATAAAAATAGCAGCTGGTGTCTTATTCCTCATTTTCGCCATATTTGCCCTTCTTATGATCATTTATGATTTTGAGTTTTAAATAAATAACACATAGATAAGGCAAAATCCTTTTATTACGATTTTATTTTTAAATTGAATAATTTAAACATATCGTACTTCTTCATCTAAACCTCAAAATCCATAAATTAAAGGAAAATTCTAAAATTTCGAATTATTTTTGAATAAAATCTTTTTGTTTAAATATAGATTAATGCATTTTGCTTATTCAAAATTCTATCTATTAAAAAAAAAACCCCCTGAATTATAATATACTTAATTTCAGTTAAAGCATCAAGATTACTATATAATTTCTCAGAAGCAGCGATTTAAATTTTTATTTTACATATCTCTTTAATTATACAAACTTTGATTTTAATCTAATAAAATGCTGTCAAAAGCCATTGAAAGACTCAATTTGCTTGGCCCTATCGAAAAAGCATTTGCTGCTCAATTAAAATCATTCCCCCATCGAGACGCATGGCATTTCCCTGACAAATCTATAAGATGGACCTTTAAAGAAGTGAATGTAATATAAATTCAGAGGTATTCTCAAGCATATGCAATGGGTCTTGCAGAACTTGGACTAAATCCAGGAGATAAAGTTGCGACTTGGCTTTCATGCAAAGAGTTTCCAGAATCTTTGATCCTCCAGCTAGCATGTGCCAGGGCTGGCTTTGAAATTGTTAGTCTTGACTCCATATAAATAAAATGGCATTCGGTTCGAGAGAAATTAGCTCTGCTAATTTTCTCTCCCTCATGGAATTTTATTTATAGGGTTAGGTTTTCACTCGAAGACTTCTGGACAGCAATAGCGGTTTAACTCTGGGGATAACCAGAGGAACCACTCCTCAGTCCACTCAAGATTTCGGGCTTTTACCTCTCAGCACATCCCCACGGGAGGATGACCCTTAGGGCGGAACACGCGCAGGAGCTGAGTCGAGCGACAAGGGCGACGGCAGCGCGCCGGGTGAGACGTGCAGCAAGGCCGTGTGAAGCAGGAGTTGATAGAAGGCTTGGACGGGGCTGACCCGTGCCAAGATGGCTCGCCTACGTCATCAGTTTTGCCATAGGTCCTTTTGGGCTGCGGCACTAGACACCTTAAACACCAGATAATTAAGTAAGTAAGTTAGTCTTGACTCCACAGAAAATTTTGAATCTGGTATGAAATCTGCTAAACTTCTTATTGTGTCTCCATGGGAAAGCTGGGGAAATAATAATCGTATTGATTTTGTGCTGAGCCAAATTCCAGAAATGTTGAAAACTCAATCTGGCAGTTCACTTAAAAGCCAAAAATATCCTGGATTAAAAGGTATAATTCAAACTGGATTTTCTACAATTAGAGGAAGCTTAAAACTGAAGCAAATTCCAGTATACGCAGAATTAGAAGAAACGTCCAATTCTATGCAAAACTTTGAAATCAAGCCAAATTTACCTTTGTTTAGCCATTTTGGAGTTTCCCACACCCAAGAAAATTTAGCTAACTTTGCAGTAGATTTCTCAGAAAAACTAGGAGTTAAAGGTGGAGATTCAGTTATAAGCACTTTATCTCATCAATATCCACTAACATTTGGAAGCGTGCTAGGTGCAAGTTTTGTTGGCGCAAAAACAGTTATTGCCCCAGATGCTGATGGGCTCAGCTTATATAAAGCTCAGCATGCGAAAGTTTTGATTGTTAACATGGAAAAGGCTCAAAATATAAAAGGGAAAGGAGAAATTGAGACTTTAGTGATTGGCACCAAGAAAAGTGCTAGTATAGAACCTTTTGTGAAAAAGTTGCATGACCAAGGTGTTAAAGCTAGGAAAATAGTAGATTTCGATTTAATTACGTTAAAGAAATCAGCTTAACTAATTATCTCAAACTGGGATATTGGATTTATTACAGTGATTAATATATAAAAATTCATTCAATTGCAAGTCAAGCTGCCTTCTAGGAACAGAGAAGCTGCTGTTTTGAAAATTCAGTCTATTTTAATTATCTTTTTAAGCAAAAATTACGTGTAATTTATAGTAATTTCCAATAATATGGCATCGAACAGAGCTTTTGAGAACTTTGACTGGGGATCCTCTGCAGCCTGGCTGCAATATTACAACGGTTTATTTCCTACTCCTACACAGCAGCAGTTAATCCGGATAAAACAAAAATGATATAAAAAGAACATAGATCCTAATTTTGACCCTGAAGTCTCCCCACAATCATCCTCACAGCCATCAGCCTCTTCACCTCAACGTCCTCAACCAGCCCAATCTTCTTACAATGCCCCATCTCCCTCTGCATTGCAGCTCGTACAAATAATCCTATTTCTCCTGGCATTCCCTGCCTTTTTCATCCATAAATCCCTTCATCTAATAATCGCAGGCCATTTTGCAGGGATAATTCACTATCACAATGTTCCTAGGCTTAGTGCTGATTACTGAAGAAATGTGATATTAGACGACAATATGCACGCCATCTTATTTGCCTTGATATTTTTGTTTTTCAATAATCATGTGCTTTGGGCTGTGCCAGCATTTTTAGGGACTTTTGTGTATATTGGAGATATACTGTCAAGGCATTCAAGTGTTCCAGCTTCAATAAAAGTCTATACAAGGAGACTTGACGCTAATAAAGTAAATATGCTGCAAGTAAGGGCTGATGCAGAAATGTGGATTGGGTTTGCTTCGATTTTGATGATTTTCTTAGGGTCCAATATAGTTTTTCCACTTGTCTATTGGCAGTATACAAGGATGAGGTACATGCTAAACGGGTTTTCGAAAACTTCTTTTGCTTATCTAAGGCTTAAGGGAGATACAGTTTTCCAAAGGATGCCTACAATTATACAGAAGGGCTGGGAGAAGGTAAAATCAATTTGTGCTTGGTCTGTATCGATGGAGGCTGGACCTTCAGCTGGCTCATCATGCACAGTGTTCTAACTTTTTTGCAAAATTGAAAAGATTTTTCTAAATCAACCAATATTTTTATTTAAAAATTAATAATTAAGAAAAAAGGATTAAGAAATAAATAATAAAAAAATCTGGAGATTAATCATTATTTATTCTCATTTTCTGTTTTTAAATATAGAAAATGTTGCTTTATTTGGCAAGACATGGAGAAACTCTTGCAAATATTTCTAAGCGCATGCAAGGCCATACTGGGGGAGAACTATCTCCATTAGGCATTGAACAAGTGACAAAATTAAGCACTCGCTTAAGTGAGCATAAATTTGATGCAATTTATTCAAGCGATCTAAATCGCTGCATTCAAACCCTTTCTTATATAATAAAGCATCATGGAACAGTTGAGCCTATTTATGATAGTAGATTAAGAGAAATATGCTCAGGAGACTATGAAGATCAGCCATTTGCAGACTATGCGCACCTTCTGAATCCTTTTGGATTTCCTGCTACTAGAGATTCTCCATTTCCTGGTGGAGAAAGTTTGTTAGATGTCAATAGAAGAGTCAAAAATTTTTTTGATTTTTTGATAAATCGGCATATGAATGTTCAAATGAGTAGCAATGAAGAGCAAAAAATTCTTGTAGTAACCCATTGTGGATTTATTATGGAATTCTTAAATTTTCTGCTAGAAATGAAAGGGGAAAGCCCAAGAGAGGATTGAAGAATACAGAACACAGCTGTATTTGTCTTCAGAATAACTATAAATGATGAGAAAGTTAATGCTGAAATTGTCACTTTTAATGATGCATCACATCTTTCTAATTAAGTTATTAGTCCCTATCTGCATTAATATCGATCAAAAGAATTTTTTAACATAATTTTAGTGGATATTTTATTTACATTAATAATAATTATGCTAACTCCCCCATCTGTGAGCGAACAAATTTTCACGGAGGCGGGGAGTAGGTTCCCCGCTCTGTGAGTCAGTAAACAAAATTTGCTCTCTCAAGGAGGGGAAAAAATCCAATTTGTAAAAATTAGACATAACAGAAGAGAATTAACTAGAGATTTTATTCAAATATCATTATTTATATATCAAATTATTATATTAAAGCAGTTGTTACACACTATTAAAGAGGTTTAATTACCAAAAATTAGAGATTTTTTCTAATTATTTAACTCATTTGTGAGGGGGATTAAGGAGATTTGCTTCCCTATTAACTAAAGACCAATTAGCTGGGCTTAACAGCGCTCTTCCTAGCTGGTCAATTGTTAAAGACAGGCCAGCAATTCAGAAAAGGTTTAATTTTAAAGACTTTAACGATGTTTGGAAATATATATAAATGGCCAGTGGCAAGTAACCCATCCTCCGAGTGGCTTTTGGTGCAAGAAGCTGCCCAAGGGTTTTGTTAGCCTCGAAGCGAGAGACCCAGCACTAGATTAGTGGTCTGACTCGAGTAGCAGTTTTTTGCCAGCAGCACCCAGGCCCAGAACGGGTGTCGGATAGAGGAAGGGCGTCTTACCTACCTAAGCTGCTTTTGTGGCCTGCCCTGAATCTGCGCAAGCACATTGAGTTTTTTCCTCGGAGATGATCAGGAGAAAAAGGGAAGACAATCTAGACAGAGACCTCAGGGCTAGTCTCTCCAATCTAAAAGGGTACCTCAATGAGACGATCTGGCCTAAGCTACGCAGGGTTGAGCAATTGGCACTTGGGTTGGAAATGGAGGTTCCCCTGCAAATCTGGTTTGTCCAGATCAAGAGGGGAAAATGCCTCTACCGAGTAACAAGGGGTTTCGGTCTGGACTCAAGCTGCCTTGATAAGTCCACCCACGTTCATCTGCGGAATAGACAGCGCTTAAGGAAGTGGGGACTATAAATACCCATCGTAATCTAGTCTAACGATGCTTGGGAGTTTATGAGACTTGTTGCAAAAGTGGCTGATCAGCAAGATCACCATCCTGAATGGTTCAATGTCTATGGAAGAGTTGATGTAACACTTTCTACTCATGATGCTGGAGGAATAACAGAAAAAGATGTATGGCTTGCACAATTTATGGATAAAGCTGAGTCTCTAATTAAGCACGAGCATAACGAATAAATTTAATCTTAAATTTAAACACGATCCTGAGTTAATTTTTCTATTCTTTGATAATCAAGTTGCAATATTAAAATAAGTTTGTGCAGCGAAAGAATCTAATTTATTTATCAGGCTATTGCTTTTATTTAATTATTTTAATTATAATGTAAAAATATCTATTATGTTTATTTCTATGATATATATAATGGTGGAGGTAAATCATCAAGAAAATATGTATGTTTTCCTTCTTTGTAAAGGCTATATTCATTATCCCAATACTCTATATTACAAATAATATTCCTCATACAAATCTTTATCCCTAATCCATCTTTTTTCTTCTCAGTGCTCGCACTTTGTTCCACAAATTCTTCCCAAAGCTCAAACAAAGGCCTTACCAGCACTTTTAAAAACCCTTCCTGTGATTTACTGACTATAACATTTATTCTATCACAAAGAGGAGTTACTGGGATTCCTCGATTTCTTTCCATATCCCCTTGCCTGAAAAATTCTTTTGTTATTAAATTTGTCCACTTTTTGTGCAATTCGAGAGTTTTAGCTCCATGTCCTATATCGGCACATTTCAAACAAATTTGCAAAGACATAAGTTTAAATTTATCATCTGTCAGCGTTAGTTTATTAGCCACTTGTGTTTTAAACTCTGCAAGCTTATCAAAATGCACCTGCAAATCAGTTGCTAAAATCGCTAAAACAACTATTTTTCTGAATCTCTGATAATCTGGCTTTGATAACCCTTTCACAATATTCGTGCTTAAATTGCTTACCCCCCCCCCCTCCGTGAGTGAACAAAGCCATTAGAAAAATCCCTATTTTTTGGCCAAAAATCCACCCTCCGTGAGTGAACAAAAGGAGAACTTTTTGGGACGGCAAAAATACTGCAAGGCTCTGCAAAAAACTGCAAGGCCAGTAAAAAAAATGGCAAAGCCAAGCAAAAAAATGCAAAACTTGCAAAATTTTGCAAGTTTTGCAAAAACATTGGACAAAAGCAAAAGCAATTTAAAAAAAAAAGCAAAGCCATGCAAAAAATTTAAAAAAAAATGAAAAAATTTCGCAAAGCAGGCAAAACTTTTGCAGGGTGGCAAAAAAGTTGCAAAAATTGGCAAAAATAACGATTAGAAAATTTAACAGTAAAATTTTAATAATTTATTGGAAGTGTAGTACAATGTTAAATTATTTAAACAACATATAATATAGAAAAAATAGAAATTAATTTCGTGAAATAAATGCTAAAGTCTAATACAAATATCTTTTAAAGAATTTTCCAAAAACATAACTTAAGAATTTTAAAAATTTGGAAAATTTAATTTTGGCAAAATTTTAAAATGAGATACAACAAAGTGTTTTGCCAAAATTAAATTTTCCAAATTTTTTAAAATTCTTAAGTTATGTTTTTGGAAAATTCTTTAAAAGATATTTGTATTAGACTTTAGCATTTATTTAACGAAATTAATTTCTATTTTTTCTATATTATATGTTTTTTAAATAATTTAACATTGTACTACACTTCCAATAAATTATTAATTTTACTGTTAAATTTTCTAATCGTTATTTTTGCCAATTTTTGCAACTTTTTTGCCCACCCTGCAAAAGTTTTGCCTGCTTTGCGAAATTTTTTAATTTTTTTTTAAATTTTTGCATGGCTTTGCTTTTTTTTTTTTTAAATTGCTTTTGCTTTTGTCCAATGTTTTTGCAAAACTTGCAAAAATTTTGCAAGTTTTGCATTTTTTTGCTTGGCTTTGCCATTTTTTTACTGGCCTTGCAGTTTTTTGCAGAGCCTTGCAGTATTTTTGCCGTCCCAAAAAGTTCTCCTGAACAAAAATTTTTTTATGGAAAAAAATTTTGATATATTAATGACAATTAGTATAATGAAATCTAGAGCTAATTCTGTTTAATTTTAAACAAATTGCTTTTTAAAACACAATTTTATAAAAATTAAATTAATATTTGCTTTTCAATTTTTGCGAATTAGGATTTTTTAAATTTCGAAAAAAAATATTTTTTATAAAATTTATATATATAATCTTTTTTAAAAAAAAAAAATTAACACTCACGGAGGGGGGAGTTTAATATTTGGAAAGTTTTATTTGCATGCATATTTTCTAAAACACTTTGGTCGTTATATTTAATGGCAAGTGGGTCTTGAGTTGCTACTAAAAATCCATTATTTACACCTGGGTGGCCTATATCATGACAAAGCGCAGCCACTACAAGAGAAAATACATCAATATCTAATATTTTCCCACTGACAGCAAGTCCATCTCTAATTAAAAATACAATAGAAGCTGCCACATCTGCTGCATGGATGGAGTTATGGTAAAAATTTTCTTTTTGATAGCCTTCTTCTACTACAGTTAAAAATCGGTTTAGTAGGTGGGTATCAATATCCATGCTATCAATCAAGTCCAAAAAATCAAAAATATATCTGCCTACTTCAAATGCAGGGTTATTTATGGACTGAATTACTCTAGCTCTTCTTCTAATTTAATAAATAAAATTTGTGATAACTGCTAATAGATTAATTTAAAAATATTTTATAGTTAACTACACTGACTGGCACGGGGTGCTTTTGGCTCGAAACTGAGCCAAAAGCACCCCGTGCCAGTCAGTGTAGTTCACTATAAATATTTTAAACATCAATTAGAATTTTACAAGCTAAATGAAAATTCAAAAAGCATTATTAATGCATATTACTAAAAGGCAGATTAAGGGTGTCAAAGTCTCATATTCCTATTGTTCTTAATACTTCACAAAGCGGCTGCGAGTCACCGCAAAGACTATACATAGTTGCACTGTTTTTTCTATCTGGCATAGAGTCAATTGTGAGCACTTTTTCTGTGACCCCAGGCAAAGAATCAACAGATTGAGTATATACATGAATAGCATTCATTCCAATGCTTGCCAAGTCGAGGTCAGCTGCTACTCCTTTTGCTGGATTTCACATAAGATATTCCTGATCAATAAGAGAAGAAATTATTTCATTTATTTCTTCATGGGTTATCCCAATGTCTAATTCTGTAGTAGATGATGAAGAAGATCCTCTTCTTCTATTTCTAATTACATTAATATTTGAATCTGAAGATCTCATTGTTGGAACTGATAATTGAGCATCTTCAAGGCTGTTATACACAATTAAAATGGCGAGCCATCCGACCCGTTCTTCTCCTGTACCCTCAGGGACTACGGGGTTAAGAAGTAAACGGGGCCTGGATATTGTGTCCAGGGTGGGTTTTTTACCTTGGTCGGGACACCACGACAAGGTTTTTTGCCCCTCACAAAGACGAGAAGACCAGAACCGCAAAATCAGGAGTCACACTTCAGGACTAGAAGGAAGTGAGGAAGCTTGTAGTGGAGCTTGGGGACCTGAAGAAGACTCCGGAAGGCTACTTTTCCCCCCTCCCCAGAAAGGACGGCGCCGGGTCACTAGACCCTGATCAAAGGAGTACCTGGGTGAGTCTCCCTGTCAGATGGCGACGTCACCATTTTTTGGTGACGTCGACAGAAAATGGAGTGAGCAACAGAGCCGGTGCATAGGGCGCAAGCCTGAAGCTGGCAGCGCTGGGTAGAGGCTGAAATAAACCTCCGTGACCCGCTAAAACTAATTAATCTAATCTAATCTAATCAAGGCTGTTATAGCTAGATTCCCTTGGGAGTTTCCTACAAAATGCATATTTTGATAATACATTTTGGCTATTTAGTTTCTTTAATTTGTCCAAAATTACCATGGTTCTTTTTCCTGTGATTGGAGAACGGTTCTTATCAGCAGAAAGCAGTTTGCTTTCCAAGTATCTGTATCTTTCTTGTATTTCATCTCTATCTATAATGATTCCTCTATTTATTTCGCTGAGCTTTTGGATTTCTTTATCTTTTGCCATATCTCTAATTGCTAATATCAATACTAAAACAATTCCTAATACCTCAAGCTGGCCTCTATGGTAAAAGCCAGCTATGGTTAGCCAAACTATACATATTATAAGGGAAAATTTTGTAATGCATTTTATTTTTAGATCTAGCATAGCTGGCGATATATAAAGAATTAAATAAAGGCAGAATAAATCCTCAAGTGAATTAGAAGATGCTGCTATGATCATGTAAAATGCGAGTGCTGTGTATATTTTTAAGTGGCCTGTTATAAGTCTGATGGCAATAATAAAAAGCGATTTATAGATAATTTGTATCGTAATGCCCTTGAGTAGCATAGAAATGACCACATTTAAGAGAATAGTCGTGTTCAGTATGTCTATCTTCATTATTTATAGTTAGTCAGTTTGTAAGTAATGGAGTATTTTGATTTTTACAAATGGATTTAAAACGAAACAGTTTAAGAAGTTTTTACTTATTTTGAACAGAGGAAATAAAGGATTTTAATAAAATAAGAAATTTATAGAGTTAATAGAGACTTGAAAAATAATGATGAGAAATGCAGAATGGGATATGAAAAAGAAAAAAAAGAAAAATTGGACTTATGATGAAATTTGGGAATATTCTAGATCTTTTATTGAAAATTTTTGAATCTGCCAAGCAGTTTTCAAGATAAGATAATTAATAGTAACCTAAATAGAAATAGAAGTAATCAGCCAATTTTTTTAGTAAAGCAAATATTTTTATAAAGCAAGTAAGTCAGCATTATTATAAATAAATGCAAACATTAAACTCATTAACGGCGCTCTAATTCTTTTTAGGCAATTCATATCTCTTTAAATAAAGCTACACTATATATTGCTTTAATAGCTTTAAAGCTATTTAAGGCAAAATGAACTATGCAAGCTAATGCAACTTTCTGCAATAAAAGAAACTTAAGGACACCTAAGAAATTCAAAAAATTGCAACTCCATAATTCTTTTGAAACCGCTTTATAACTTATGGAAAATTATTTAAGATTAATTTTTATCATTGTATCGAGATTGCATATACCTTTAGAGCAGGTATGGCTCGACCTGAAACTCCCCCTCCCTCCCCCCCCTGACGGTTTCAATTTGAACGACGTTGTTAACTCAAAATGACAAATCCTTCACTAAGGATTTGACAACTCTAATTTAATTTGTAGATTTCAATAAAGCTGAAACTGTCAGGGGGTGGGGGAGGGGGGGGGGGGGGGTTTTCAGGTTGATCTATAACCGTGCTCACGGTATACTATTTGAAAGAGAAACTGAATTCTTTCGATTCCAGTATTCGTCTAATGGGGTTTTTAATTTATCTGTTGATGATATTGGCCAAGGACTAGGGTTTACCACACTTAATCTCCCCTTCTTAAAATAATTAGCTTTTGGTGGATTTGCAAGAGACTCTTTGGCCAGCCCTCTAAAATTGCTTAATTTAACAGCATTGGCTGGAATTATATGTTTTCCAACCATTTCAAAATCATAATTCTTAGGAGATGCTCTCAAACTTAATGAAAATTTAGTTTCTTCTCCAAGGTAAAAATCAAGCGAGAAATTTCTGGACTTATTTTTCCTTTTTCTAGTTAAATTGCTTTCTGGGACGATTTCTAGGTCTTTTTTCAATGCTGCTTTAATTGGAGGAAAATATAAAGAAGTATGAAGTTTTGGCTTTTCGTTTGTTTTTTTACTTGCACTATGACTTCTGCTTGAAAGCTGAATGATTTGAGCTTTTAGGTCATCTGGTGGGACACTCTGAACGCGCTCTTCAATTTCATAGATTCTTTTGTTTAATGTTAAGGTTTTAGCTTGCAAGTGAGTTCTTGGAGAAGTTTTTATTGTAAATTTACTTCAATGAGAACGCTCGCCTGAATTTTGAATGAAGCGAGGACTTGATGGGTAATAGCGTAAATTATTCATTAATAAGCATTTAAAATAAAGAGTAGAGAGAGAGATTATTCTTGCTTAGAGGCCTTTATTTCAGGGCCAAGTCCCAATTTATTAATTTTTCTTTTTTCTTGTTTTCCATGCTCTTCATATAAATTTCTCTTCAGGCATCTTTTTTCCATCAGTTTTATCCTTTCCATCTCCATCAATTTTAGATGCTCAGTTTCTTCAGAGAATTTTTTGAATTTTGTAATTTCATTATTGGTTTGTTCTCTTAAATTCATATCTGTTTGTTCTTGCTTAATACTTAGTTTGAACTTGAGTTTTAGAATTTTTTCGCCCACCGAGACTTTATAGGAGTATTTGAAGGTTTCCTGAATAGGTTCTAAGAGTTTTTCTTTGGGATTTAGCAAAGAAAAATTGGGCATTTCATTTTCATCTTCTGTTTCTTCAGTTCTATCATCTAATCTAAGCCTTTTCTTTTGAAAAAAAATCTTTTCTCTGGTCTTTCCTTAGCTTGACACTATAATTTTCGTTTCTTTTCATAAGATTCATTGGGTCTAAGGCCATAAAATTCGAGTTTCTTTGTTCGAATCTGCTGGAATTGTCTGTGTTTGGAGGGAAGTTTTCATTAAGAACTGTGCAAAATTTCACAAAGACTTCTTTTTTTCTTCTTTTGGTCAGTTTTTTTGAGAAATTTCGAAAAGTAAATTTTCACTGACAATTGTAAAAACTCTTTCTCATTAGGAATTTGGATAGGATCTGTTTCTGAATCATAGTAAAATATGATGCTTGAAGGCAGGAGTTGTAATTCAGTTTCTTCTGCTCCAATGAGAGCAGGAATCGAAAGTGAATTTTCCAGCTTTCTTTCCATTTTAATAGTTATAAAGAGTAGAAGATTTATTGTTTTTACAAGTTTTGAATAGGATAGGCTAAATTAAAAACTTCGACCATTTGTATTTAATTTCCAAAAGAGATCTAACTGGATGAAATAATATTAATTGATTTCTTGGGCAGCAGGTATTTGATGAAAATAAATTGTTTACTATAGAATTAATATTATTTACTACAAATATGAGTTTTCTTTATCTAAAGCGGAATGCTTTAATTTTATAAATTTATTTTCAATTCCTTCTTCACAAGAGTAAAGATTGCCATCTCTATTATTAATAAATTATAAAAATTATAATCTTTTTGTTTCCTTTATTTACTATAGGCGCTTTTTTACTTTCATTATTTTCATATTTGCACATTTTCTGATTTAAATTCATTATGATTTTCTGATGCTCTTTTTTTCTTTTAAGCTTCCTACAATAATAATTTCATTTAATTTTTCCCTATTTCAGCAATACCAATCCTCATGTAACTCCTTTTAAAAATCGAATAATCTCTGCATCATTTTAATTCTAATAAATTTTTTAAATACAGAATGACCGAGTTTAGCGAAGATTCAGGCTTTGAGCAAAACTCAGAAGATGAACTTCTTTTTAACCTTGACATAAAAAACAAAACCCCTATCCACCAAGAAAATAATAAATTAAAAGAAAAACCTGAATTAGAAATAATTCCACATATTCCTTTAGCAGAATCTGGGCACAGCTTAGAACCTGACATGATGTTTGGGTAACTCCTATTTAGTTGAAGGCCGAATTCGCTTTTGCAAAACGGTCCAATACCTTTATCGTTTACATATGACAGAATTCCTGCACAAAATGCTATTTTTAACGGATACAGGCCTGAAGATTCTTTAGAACTCAATGAAACTTTTTCAGGGCCTGACACTTATAAATTTTCAATTAATCCAAGAATAAAACATGCTTGGGAACTTGTATAGCTTTATGCTATTTTTATATTTTAGTTGGCATGCTAAATCCATTTTTGCATAATAAGATCTATTAATTCTATTCCAAATTGGAACCCCATGAAAACATTATTATATAAATTCTAATACTATAAAAAAAGAATGAACCAAAAAAGGAAAATCGCCCTTTTATTGGGATGAAAGAAGGCCTAGAGCCTGAAGAGCTCGAATTTTCATCAAAATTCGAATGTGGAAACCTAGATAAAGTTGTAAAAGTAAAAGAGAATGAGTACGATTTATATTTAAGGACAGATTCAAATACTTATGGTCATAATCAGTGATATTATTTTAAAGTATCTAACAAAAGCTATGCAAGGGAGGTCAAATTTAACATAGTCAATTTCTCTAACTCCCCCCTCCGTGAGTGAACAAAAAATTTTATTCACTCACGGAGGGGGGTTATTTTTTTTTTTAAAAAAACATTTATATATAATTTTTTTATAAAATTTTTTTTTCGAAATTTAAAAAAATCTCGCTTCTATAAAAATGGAAAGCAAATATTAATTTAACTTATAAAATTTATGTTTTAAAACGAAATTTGTTTAAAATTAAACAGAATTAGCTCGAAATTTCATTATACTAATTATCACTTATATATCAAAATTTTTTTCCATAAAAAATTTTTCATTTAAAAAAATTTTTGTTCGCTCTCGGAGGTGGGTTTTTGTGCAAAAAAATAGGGTTTTTTCTAATGGTTTTGTTCACTTACGGAGGGGGGTAAGCGCGCAACAGTTTATATACACAAGGACTAATGCCATGCATTTACCGCGAAAAAACTGGCTGAGTAAAAGGTGGTTACAATATTACGTATACTAGTAGTAAAGTAAACAGACTTTTAGTCAATAGATATTACTATTCTTTGTCATTCTTATTCCAATTTCATGAAAATGACACTGTCTTTTTTGCTTACTCTGTACCTTATAGCTATACAAAATTATGTAAATTGCTGAAAGAGCTTGAAAAATATGATTTTGTGAGGAAAGAAATTCTTTGCAAAAGCTTAGGAGGGGTTGAAACACCAATGCTGACTGTTACTGATTTTAGTAATTCAGAAGAAAAAGAAGCTGTTTTTATGACTGCAAGAGTTCATCCTGGAGAAACCCATGGGTCATGAGTAATGGAAGGATTTTTAAAATTTATCACAGGAAATTGCAAAAAAGCCAAAAAGCTGAGGAAAAAAATTGTTTTCAAAATAGTCCCTATGCTAAATGTAGATGGTGTTATTGTAGGAAATACAAGATGCTCTTTGACAGGAGAAGACCTAAATAGAAGCTTCCAAGACCCGAACCCAAAATTAAATCCAGTCATCTATCATCTAAAAAGTAAAGCAGCAACCATAAGCTCTGTCCACAAGCTGATATTTTATTTTGATTTGCATGCCCATTCTAAGAAAAAAGGAGTTTTCATGTATGGGCCACATTACCCTCTTCACTCAGAAAAATATTGCAAAATAAAAGTTTTCCCCAAACTTATAAGCGAAACCACAGAAATGTTCCGCTATTATTCTTGCAGGTTCCGAAATGAAGCTAGCAAACGTAAAACAGCACGTTTAGTTATGTGAAAAGAGCTTGAATTGCCATATACCTATACAGTTGAATCTTCCTCACATGGATATTTAGACAGTGAAAGAGCTACAATTGCGTTTACCGAAGAAAATTTGCATAGACTAGGGAAATGTTTAGGAGAAACTATATTAGAATATATAGAAATTAGGGATAGAGATAAGGAAGACCAAGAATTAAGAAAATTTGAAAGATTGAGAAAAAGGAATAAAATGACAGAAAGTGATGAAGAAAAAGAAAAAGAGCTTCTAAAAGAAAGAGAAACGACCCAACGTGTAGTGATTCCAAAAAGAAGAACGATGGCAGATATCATAAATAGTATAAGGGATGAGCCACAAATAATGGAGAGTGAATCTGATAGCTCAGATTCTGAAGTAGATGAATACAGCGAAGAAAGAGACGAATTAGAAGCAGAAATGAAAAAAAATATTCTTAAAGCATTCAAAAAAGTTGAAAGCCTTTTGGATTCGCCATTAATAATCAAAAGCTATCTCCCTATATCTTCGAAAAAAAAGAAAGCTGAATCTAAAGAAAAATTCCCAAAGCCACCTATGAGTTCTTTAGCTAAATATTATGCTCTAAATAAATTCTGTTAAAATATTTATTAGTCATAAATCAAGTTTTAAATAAATTAGGATTTTAATTTGCCTTAATCATAGATAAATTAATGACACACAAAATACTTTTCAAGAGCTTCATCAGCTTCTCGAAGCAATCGTAAAAACTTACGATTTCGAGCAGAAAGTGCAATCCCAGATTTTTCTCCAGAAGATATCTGTATTCAGCCTTCAGGAACTCGTCCACCTTCACGCAACAACGATTTTCCTAAATTTTCATACTCAAGAGGCCTACAAAAATTCAAGCAAAAAAACGCCGAGCTATCATTTGATAAAAAAGAAATTCCAAAACCCAAACACAAGCGCGACTCAAAATCATTATGTTTTTCAGATATCACGAAGAAAATTAATGTGCCAATAACAAGTAAAGACTCGGAAAAGCCTTTCTTTCCAGCTTATGAGGGCGCCAAAAGCTCTTCTGAAGCATTTGAGGATTTAAAAAGAAGTACCCCTATAAAACTGCGGTACAAGATGTTAAGTGATCAAATACATGTAAATCAGTTTTCAACATATAAAAATACATTGAAAAAGCCTTAATGAATTTTGCTGTTAACTTCAATCTTTATCCATAAATAGAAATAATTAAATGGAGAGTGGAACCCCTTTAAGAGAAATTGTCAGGATATTGGAGAGGTCTTGGAAGGAAGAATACAAAAAAGAAGCAAAAAAAGGCTTACTCCCCCCTCCGTGAGCGAACAAAACCATTAGAAAAATCCCTATTTTTTGCCCAAAACCTCCCTCCGTGAGCGAACAAAATTTTTTAATAAAACAATTTTTTATGAACAAAATTGATATATAAATGATAATTAGTATAATGAAATCTATAGCTAATTCTGTTTAATTTTAAACAAATCTCGCTTTAAAACATATATTTTATAATAAATTAATATTTATTTGCTTTCCAAATTTTGCAAATTAGAATATTTTTAAAATTTTGAAAAAAAAATTTTCTATAAAATTTATATATAAATTTTTTAAAAAAAGAAATTAACCTCACGAGGGGGAGCTAGCTGATGCGAAAATTATATATGCTAAAATATTAATAAAAGGAGCCGCACATATAAGAAAAAATCCGAAATTAGCAATCAAAATCCTTAAAGAAATTAGTTTTAAGAGCCCTGAAGCTTCTCTTATGCTTGCAAAGCTGTATCTAAAAGGAAAATCTGCTGCAAAAGATCTATATAAAGCGTACTATTATTTAAGAATAACAGTTGGGTTTGATTGTAAATGTGAAGACCGCTATAAAGCACAGTTGCATTCAGGTGAAATCAGTAATGTCTTTTCATGCAACTACGCGTTGGCGTTACGATTATTAAATATGTGTCGATTTCCAGACGACTGTGAAGAAAGGTTTAGAGTAAAGTTTGAGAAGCATATACAAAAATTAAAACCTACAAAGTAGCAATTTTCTTTAAATTATCCTGCTGTGCAACTGGCGTTGCTTTAGCGGGACTTACATTAAACTGTCTCATTAAATCTTTTGCAAGCTTTGAATCAGGGGATTTCCTTATTGCTGCAACTGCTTCAAAGGCTCTTTCTTTTTCTATCATCACTTTAAATGCTAAATCCTGCTTCCTCTTTATTTCTTGCTCTTTTTCTTGTCTGATGGCTTCGATTCTAATTTTGTCTTGCATGTGTCTTTCTAGAACATGATCTCGACGTGCTTTCCTAATTATTCTTTACAAAGCTCTTTTTTGCCGTTCTGCATTGAGTATGGCTTCTTCGTCTCTTAGTCTTTGTAACTCGCTTCGGATTTCGAGCTCTTTGCTTCAGTTTTCTTGCTTTTTTTCTATCAATTTCATGGAGTAGTCCATCCTTTTTTCAATTGCTGCGGCTTTTTTTATTTCGAGTTCTTCGCCTTCTTTAAGTTTTTCTTTTGCTTTTAACAGTCGTTCTTCTTTTTTCTTTTTTTCGTCGTTTCGTTTTTCTATTAGAATTTGCATATATTCTTTTCGCCTATTTTGTGATTCTCGGTGTTTAGTGAAGATTTTGCTTGCCAGCTCAGACGATTCTTCTTCTATTGACCGCTCAACTGTTTTCATGATAATTTCAGCTTTTTCTCCAATTCTTGATGCGACTTCTTTTTTTTGCTTAATATTTTGTCTATATTTATCTCTTGACTTGTTAAGTTTTTCATTGATTTTTGATAATTTATCATCGATTGTACTTAAAAATTCTGTATCAAGTTTTTCTTTATATGCTCTCTTATCATCATTTTTTCTTAATTTAACTGAACTTGTTCTTGCTCTATCCCCATCTTCATAAGCTTTTTTTTGTCCATGTGATTTCAATGAAGTCCTTGTATTGCTTGCTTCGTAGCTCACATCTCTGTCTTTTGGTATTTTTCTTGAGGCTTCTTTTTGCTTATTTTTTAATATTTCTTGCTTATTCCTCCCTAAGCAAGAAGAATTTTAGATATAAAGAGGGGTTTATTTTAAATTTATAATATTTATATAAGTTTTTATTGTAATAATCATTACTAATATTTAAAAAATTATATTATATATTGCAATAATTTCTTATCATGCATATGCATGCCAATTTGAATTTGGTATGTGAAAACCAAATATGCGTTTCAAAACGCAGATTTTAGTGCGGCAAATTCATAATTTGAAATTTCATATGAAAATGGCGCGCATAAACGTCCATAAGAAATTTATGCAACGCATAATAGTATAATTTTTTGTTTACTTGCTTATAGAGAGAGAGCTAGTATCCGCTACTATTTTTAGTTTTTTCTCAATGGCTTTAAGTCCTTTTATTTGGTTGTCCATTTCACTTATGGTGTTTATGATCAATTCTCTGTTCTTTTTCTTGATTTCTTCTAATTCGTCCCCTTTGCTTCTATCTTGAGTGCTTTCATCATAAGAAGCTTTAGCATCAAATTTACTGAACGCTGAATGACCTTTCTGTATTTGTTCTTTTAAGTAAGCTCTGATTCTTTTAACTGTTTCATTTAACACCCTGTTGTAATAATCATATCTCAGCTGTTGAACTTCTTCACTTATATTTCTATCATAAAAATCATCAATGCTTTTACGTTCTAATTCTTTTGGCTCTATCCCAAGGGCATGCATAGCAGATTTGATATATTCCTTCTCTACATCAATTATGTAATTTCTCATATTTAATAATGAAATCTATTATTTATCTATAAGAACTCGCTGCTCAATGGATTTATGGGTAGGATAACGTCGCTGTTCTTGACAATTAAAGATTGCTTTGAGTATTTGAAGATTTTTTTCTCATTGAAAAGGGATAATTTTCTGTATTTTTCTAGTAGACCGAATGAGATTTGGATTTCTGGATGGACTGAGACCCATGATAAAATATTTTCTGAGAATTTTTTTATTGAAATGATAGTTGGGTGCTCCAAAAGCATCGAATCGGGATTTTGGATAATTATATCAGATAAAGCCCATTTAATTCATCCATAGATCTCTAAAGCATTTTGGCTTAAAAATGGTTCGAGCTCTGGGGTAAATTCTTGGGTATTTTCAATGATATAAACTATACAGTTAGTAGCTTCTTGCCTAAACCCTCTTTCATACTTGAGAGTTTTTGCATCAAAAACTAGCAAGCTTTTTATGGATTCTAGCCCATCAATTGCAACTTTTAGGATATCTGAAGACCTATTTAAAAGCTCTTTATTGAATTTTCTTACTCTTTTGAATAATATATATATATTTTTGTTAAAATTAATTTTTATATTACATTTTTTTTCAATATAAAATTATCCACAAGAGCTATAGTATGCAATATATTAGCAAATATTCTAAAAAAGTATTAGAATTGTTTAGAAGGGGCAATTATATGGTATAAAAATTAACTCTCCCATTTAAATTGGAACAAAATATCTGTAAAATTTCCATTTTTTGGGTACTTTAACTTTAAGTTGGAACAAACTTTTTTATTAATACAAAAATTTTATGTAAAAATACTAATTTTATAAAATTAGTTTTAAGTAGAATATTATTTAACAGTTTTCACACTAAATAGATTAATTTTTGAAATAAATTAAAATTCAAAGTATTATGTCAATTTAAATAAATTAAAATTGAAATACTAATTTTTATAAAATTAGTTTTGACTTAATTTAATGAAAGTATTACAATTAGAATGCTGTTTAAACAATTTTTTCACCAAATAGATTGATTTTTTAAATTAATTTTTCAATAAAAGAAATTAAAATTTTAGGTATATGTCAATTTATATTTTTTCAAATTTTAAAAAATTTTTTAATCTATCTAAATTGAGACAAGATATTTTGTTCGAATTTAAAGGGAGCGAATAAGATTCATTATTTTAAAAGATAGGCAGTTAAATTTATGGTTGGATAGGGGAGTGTTTTCATTCTTGAAATTATGGAAGTCCTTTTGATTAAGGAATAGGGTTTAATTTTCCCAGTTTTAGGAAACTATCAATGATGTCTTTCGATCAAGTGCGGGGGGCTTAGCATTTGAGCTGCTTTTCATTTCGTCTTATAGTTTTTCTGCTCTCGAATAGTAGCTATTAAAACAGGTATCAAAACATCAGCCATTTCACTATGTGGCATATTTTTATTCCCGAAGAATTCAAATAATGCTCTGCAGGAATCCCAACCTACCTTTGCATTTTTATGCGACAGTCCTTGGACCGAAATATCAAAAAAATCTTTAAAATAATCTCCAAGGTCTGATCTCGAGAAGTTTTTAAATAAGTTTCCTGTGGATATAATCGCATTGGAAACAATTTTTTCTTTTTTGTTTTGGCTGTTTTCGTGGATTATTTTATAAATTAAGTCAAGCCTATCCAAACATAACGGATTGGTACAAAAGCTTGAAATTGCTGCAGCCCAGCTTATTGCAATCTTGAGGTCTTTTGACTCTTTATGATTTAATAAAATATTTATTGCAGTTGGGCAAAAATGCATTGGCATGGCTTTAGTCTTGAATAGTGTCCCTATAAGTTTTAAAAGGCTATTCCTAACTTCCCCTCCGTGTGCGAACAAAAAATTTTGTTCTCTCATAAGGATTTATTTTTTTTTTTTAAATTTATAAATGAATTTTTTTTTAAAATTTAAAAAAACCCAAATTCGTAAAAATTGGATTATGCTTTAAAATATAGCTGTTAAAAATCAAATAGAATTTGCTAGAGATTTTATAATAATAATTGCCACATATATATCAAAATATTTTTTCATAAAACTCACAAAATGGGTTTTTTAGGCAAAAATAGGGATTTTTCCAATGTTTTTGTTCACTCACGAGTGGGAGTAAGTGTAAGTGTATAAGGTGCCTGAGATTTTTCATAATGCTTCAAAAATCTTAGAAGCTCCTCAAACTGCTCTGTTGAAAAATTTTTGAAATTTTGCATAACCGTCAAAACATCAAAAGCGCAGCTTAAGTCATCAAACCTCTTTTTCCTGATTAAATAAAACATCTTATCAATTGCCAAATCTATTAGTGGGCAATTTTGGTTTCCTCTGATATATTCTTCAATAATCTTAAAAGCTGCTTTTTGTATTTCAGCATCTTCACAAACCAAAAGGTCATCTAATTTTGATTTAAGCCAATCCGTCAAAAACCCAATATAAGCTGAATAATTTCTCGTAATTTTTGCTAAAAGTTCCAGCTTTTCTTTCAATAAATCATTGGAGTCTATAAAATTAAAAACAAACTGTGGGGTCAAAAACTGGACCATTTCTTCCACATTTTCTTTAAAGGCACATGTAAGCACCGAAATCATCGCCTTAGTAATTTCAATGTCATTTTTTTCGAGCTGTCTTATTACAGTCTCTATTAGAGGCGGTAAAGAAATTGCAGAAAATTTAAGGTAAGAAGTATTTCCAACCAAAGCTTCTGCTGTTTTTAAAACAGCTAAGACAATTTCTTTAGGCTCGTTTCTTGATAAAATATAACCCAATGCTTCATGCATATTATAAATTATTCCTTCTAAGGAATGAGAAAGCTTATTCAAAGCGTGGGCAGCCCCTGAATTTTCTAAATTGTCTTGCCATTTAAGAAGCGGCGAATTTGCTATAATTGAAGCTATAGTAGAAGCTACTTCAACCCGGATGCTAGAAGAAGCATCATTTATAAGCAAAAATGCCAAAGGTGGCTGACTGATGAACTTTTCTGGACAATTTCCAAGGATATTTTCCCCAGGGAAAATCAAGGGCCAAGAGTTAAAAAGGATACTTGAGTTTTCTTTATTGAATAAGGCACCTATGTTTTTTAGTGCATAAATAATCATTTTTTCTTGGCTAAGGCTTGGCTCTTGATAAGGTTTTTCGAGGCTTTTTGTTCTTTGTAAAAGGGATCTTTTATCTAAAATGGACTGAACATTCTGCAAAGAGGTTACAAGATTCCCTTGAGTCTCTACTGAGCGAGTAAGCGGGGTTTTTCCTCTTAATTTGGGGTGCTTCTCTTGTTGGCCTTGAATATTTTCAGCAATTACTATTCCTACTTTGCTCATTTGGTCTGAAATAAATAGCCAATCTCGACGAGATTCTTCATCTTCCTTAGAGACCATAGGCCACTCTGATTTAGGTTCGGATGAGATTTTTGGGGATTTCTCAATGATTGAAGCTTTTGATTTTTTCTTAAATTGGCGTTTGGATTTGTTACCGGAAATAAGAGAAGCCATTTTAATATTATCTAAAAAGTCGCTGAAATTTTATTTATCGTGTTTTTAGGCCAAATGTATTAGATATAATGCAGAGGGAGTTAAAAATCTGTCTATTCTTTATTTAAATTATCCCTATTTCTAGAATGCTGAATATAAAATGGAGTAATATGGATTTTTATGTACAATACCACCATTTTACTTATAGATAAATTTAATATAATCCTTTATACCTAGTTTTACTTTAATAATAATTTTCATTTTTCTCCACTTAAAGAAGCTATTATATGTCAAATAAGAAAAAGTTAATAGCTCCTTAGCACCTCTGGCCTAGGTCATAGGGCTCACATCTGGCGAAAGTCGGGTTTTGCCAATTAAATTGGGCTTTTCATTAGGTCCTTGAGATGCAGCAACAAATTAAGGATGCCTTAACAAAATTAAAGGGTGCTAGGAGGCTTCGTACCAAGCTGGGCATGTGAAGGAGGCCTAAAAAGTCATCTTCAGCCAATTTCCCTTCTAAAGTAGGAATCTGGGGCCACTAGATCTTGGATTCAGAAGAAATAGAGATCTCCACAAGAGATTGTGGCGCTACCAATAGGTGATGACATCATCAGAAAAGGAAGCAAAATTTTAAATAACCTTCCTTCTCCACTTAAAATTTTATTTTTATTTAATCTCTGATAGCTAAACACTTTTCTACGAATTCTTTGAGCTTAGGAATGTAGGCCTCACCTGCTATTCTCCACGTTGAATTGTGATCACCATTCTCAACTGCATACTAAATAATTCTTACAAAGGTTTTAGATCTTGAGTTAATCGCTAAATCATGAAGCCTCTTCATCTGCTCACAAGGGATCAGTTCATCTTGTAGCCCTGAAATGAATAAAATTGGCACAGTAAGAGTCTTAATTCTTTCTGCACTTGGCCAATGGTTTTTGAGTAAAAGTGACTTGAAATGGGAAATATAAGGCATTACATTGTCCACAACGTCGTCTAATGATGTAAAAGTATTTTCGATAATCAAGCCTCTTATTGGGAATTCCTGGAACTTCCAAGCTGAGTAGATTGAAGTGGCTCCACCAAGTGATCTTCCAAATAAAAAGACTTTGCTTCTATCAATTGGGGCTTCCTCAAAAATAAATCTCATTACTCTGTCAGCGTCTCTATAAATCCCTTGCTCACTTGGAGCTCCTTGTGAGAATCCATACCCTCTGTAGGAAACTGCAAAAACATTTACTCCCAGCTCTTTGACGAAGCTTTCAAAGCTGTCCATCCTCAACGCAAAATTCCCTGCATTCTCATGATAAAATATAGGCTTTAGGTTTATATTTTCCAAGAGGAAAAAGAGTTATATTATTATCAATTAATTTATAGGGCTTTATTATATAAATGTTGGAGAGCTTGAACCTTTGCTAGTAGTCATTAATCATGTATGAATTTTCACGTTATCAGAAGTAGTTAATTCCACCATTGATTAGTAATGAGTTATTTTTTTAATTTATATATATTAAAAAAAATTTAAAAAATTGTAAAATATTTGAAATAGAAAATCTAATTTAATATCAAATTATCTTAAATTAATAGTATGAAATTTTATTATAATAATTATTATGCATACTTATTTGCATAAAAATCTTTATATTAAAATCATTTTTCTAAGTTTGAGGAGGGGATTAATTTTCTAAGAATAGGGTCTTTCTAATGGTTTTGCTTGCTAATTAAGGTGGAGGAGTAAGTAGAATTCCTCATAAGCAATTCCTCGCTCAGATGGATTTCGGTACCCTTGAGGATTTAAGTCAGGGGTTGGAGGAAGATTTAGCCCCATAGGAGTTGGTTGATAGATGAGCTTGTTTTGGAAAAGATATAGACAGACTACAACAAGAATGATCAGAATAGCCAGCCACCAAGCACAGGAATAAAGGAAAGAGGCTATCCTATCTAACATTTTATAATGGCAGATGATGGTAAAACGAGTAACAAGTTTTAAAATATTCAGGGAGATTTGATAGGAAAAATGATATTTGAAGGAGCATTTGATTTTTGATTAGAGAAAAAGAAGATAATTTATGAATTAAATTTTAAATTTAATCATAATTATAATAGGCTTATTATCTTCTCTAATAATGCTTTATAAAAAAATTAAAAAAATTATAACAGGACAGTAGTCTGAAATAAAGCCACAGAATAAGATAACAATTAATCTAATCTAATCTAATAATGTTGCCACATTTTGATGCTTGGCAACTATTATATTTAGAAAATTATTGCAAAATATATATGTGAAATTAAATGTAATCAGCCATTGCAATTTGATTCAAATAGAAGTTATACCAAAGTAACTCTAATTTGCATACTTAAAACTGCAATGAGATCTATTAATTATATTTTTTTAACAGCAATAAACTATTTTAAGCATACAGCACTACTATAACTGTTATTGAAGCAATATTTCAATAAGCGAAGCTTTCTTAATCAAAATTGTCACATCTTCCTCAAAACTATTCTCCAAACTAGCCATTGCAGAGCTTAATATAAAATTATGACAGTTAAATGATAATTTTTAAATGAAGATTTGTCTTTACAATAATAAAGTTGCTCCAGATCTCACAAATAATTGCTCTGGAAAACTTAGAGGAAGAGGCGTTCGGCAACCCTTAATTCTTCGAAATTACACAAACCAATCTCAAGGAAAATTTATTTCATCATTAAGATCAACTCCGATAGGTTTCATCAGTCCTCCGTTCCCAAGGAAGCCGAAAAAAGATATTTCTTTTAGGTCAAATCCGTGTAAAATGGTCTTAAAAATAATTTTTCATTCATAATTTTTTATTTTTATATAGCTAATTACAAAAGTTATATTTCAAATATAGAAAATATTTATTCCTCATTTTCCAGACCTTCATCATCTTACAATAGAGCTATTTCATGCAGGAATGAAAGAGGAAAATCCCATACTTCTTCAGCTCGGAATGGCAGCACCTCTTGTGATAGAAGACTTTCAGAGTCCTTTGAATTCTCTCACAAGCCGAAAGAACTCTTATCAAGAATAAGAAAAATAGGATGCTGGACTGATAAATCAAGATTGAAAAAATACGAGGCTTTGTTTTTATAGCTTTAATTAATTTCCGTAATAATGATGCAATTTGGCTTTTTTAAGCGTCGAAAAATTAAGCTAAATAATGACGATTTTCCATTTTTTTGGTGAATTTAATAAGACAGACTCAGTAAAATTTTCATTAAGAATTATCCATCTCTGATCTTTGAGACCCAACCTCTGCCTGCTTCAAACCCATTTCTGTAGCTTCTGAAATCATTAAAGGTTTCTTCTATTTCTTCACGAGTGTTCATAACAAATGGCCCATATTGCACCACAGGCTCACCTATTGGTCTTCCTGCCAGCAAAGCAAATTTCGCTCCCTCGCTACTTTCTATTCTTAATTCTCCGTTTTGAGTTAAAATTCCTGCTTGAAACCTTGATAAATTTGAATTTCCTATTGAGACAGTCCCATTAAGAACATAAACATATCCATTCCACCCATCAGGGATTTCTTGATTAAGGGTTTTTCCTCTTTCCAACTCAACTACAAAGTAATAGGTAGGTGTTCTTGTCACTGTTCTAGCAGTTTGTCCAAGACATGTCCCTGCTATAATAGTAGCTCTCACTCCATCACCTTCTACCTTCAAAATTTCTGACTCCCCAGCATCTTGATAGTTTGGTTCGCACATCTTATACTCTCTGCTTAAATTCACCCAAAGCTGCAGCCCTTCCATACTATCAGTCCCAGGCATCTCAGCATGCATAATTCCTTTACCAGCTGTCATCCACTGCACAGCTCCTGGACCAATTTCTCCTGCATAGCCTTTGAAATCTTCATGCTTACAAGACCCAGTGATCATATAAGTCACGGTTTCAAAGCCTCTATGAGGATGATCAGGGAAGCCTGCAGGCTTCGAGACAAAAAAGTGGTCCATCATAAGAAAAGGATCTAGGTTTTTCAGCTGATTAGTCCCGACTACACGCCTAACACGAGCTCCATCACCTTCTGGAAGCTCTGGAGGGTTTATGATTCTTGCAATGGTGCGCAGAGTTCTGGACATATTTTGTTTTTCTTCGCAAGAGGAAGCTTGAATATCTGGGCACGTTTGGGAGCTGATGAAAGGGATTAAGGAGAGAAATAAGGGAATTAGCATTATTTTTTAAAATAGTTACTAGTATAAAAAATATAAATGTAAACTATAATATAGATATACAAAATTAAAGCTAAAATACGAGTAAAATCAAACTTTGTTCTTAAATCAATTAAACTTCTTGTTTATTGAATTCCAAGCTATATTAATTATTTTAAACAATATTAGTCTTCCAAAACTGGATAAATGAATAAGCAACTCCTTGAAAAATTTTCATACTCAGACCTCGAAGAAAACTATAAAAGGCTAAAAATCGCAGTTGACGAGCTCAAATACTGTTTTGATTCATATAGAGAAGAGAACCGCGAACTCTATTCCACAAATGATATGTTGATTTCTACTATTGAAGCTATAATTACAAGTAGAAGAGAAACGAGAAAAGTTAAAACTCCTCAACCCTCTCCTACACATAGCGTTACCAGCACCGAATTCAGTGACTACTCTTTCAGTGAAATTAATAGCCAATGCGATTCTTTATCCGATCTTAATACTGATACAGCCAAAATTACATTAATGAGCCCAAGAAAATCAGGCCGAATTATAAGAAAATCCCACAGAATTATCCTCAAAAAGCCTGCAGAAAGAAGTGAAACCCAAATTAAAAGGCCCAAAAATAAGCGATCAATAACGCTTTCAAACATCCCTGAAATAAGCTAGCTAATATAAGAATTATATTAAATTTAATAAAATCCCTGAACAAATCAGCTGAATTGCTATTTCGTCATCATCGTGATCGCCTGGATGATCATCTTTTTCATCCTTGTCCCACTTTATTTCTTCTTCTACTAGTCTCCAAAAGTTATATGTATACACTTCTTTTACACAATAGCTATTCCCTTGCAAATAAGGATAATACATATACTCTGTTAAGTTCAAAATATAGTCATAATAGACGCCTAAATAATCTTTGGTCTGCAAAAAGCAATTTTCACTGAACCTTGAAACTGTGTTGCAGATTTGGTTTATTTCTAAAAGAGTATTCTGGTTTGCAATCGCATTTTGCAATGGGGAATCTCCTTCAAATAAAGGACAAAATGATTCACCATCTTCAGTGAACCCACATGTGCAGGGTTTGCTGAAGTTTCCTGTTTTATCGTAGCATATATCGACTCCAGGTCTGCATTGGTCAGGCCATTCATTAGAAACTGGAGGCTCTGCACATTTAAATAAGCCATTTTGAAAAGGCACTGCAAAGCCACTTGCGCATGACTGAGAAAAACCATTGAAATCTGCGTTATCAGTGATTTCACCTATATCCAAGCTGTAATACGCAATACAGGCTTTTTGGTCACATATTAAATAATTGGCACATTCATACGTCAGTGAACAATACTGCCCTTCAACCTGCAGGTCTTGGCACAGCATCAATGTTGTATTACAAAAATACCCTGGCATACAATCATGAATATATTCACAAAAATCACCATTTCTCTTACCTAGGCAGAAATTCTGCTGACAAACCCCGCTTTGACAATCACTATTTTCTTTACAATAGTCACCTGGGTGTAAGTTTTTAGGAGGCGGCTCAGCACATGTGGAATTTTGAAAAGAGGAAGAAGGGCAGGTTAAGCCAGAATTATCACAGGGATGGACATAATAGGTGTTAAGGACATCAGATTCATAAATATCTTTGCGATATTGAATGCACTGAAGCTGATCCCATTCGTCTGTAGAATTTGAGCAGAAATACCGAGGACATTGAGGATAAGAAATCACTTGCAAAGTATTATACATGTTCCAGTAAAAATTCGTAAAAATTTCTTTTACACAATAAGGGTTTTCTTGAACTTCAGGAAAATAACCATCTCTAATAAGTGTTAAATTCAATGCAAAATTAAGAAAAGTCTTCTGATCTTCTATTGGGAAATTCGCAAAACAGTTGAAGCTAAATCTTGAATGAGTGTTGCAGCCTGAGTTGATCGAAAGATTATTAGCTTATTATTACTTATCGAGAAGTCTGCTGCAATTCCTCGAAGACTATCTCCACCCGTAGCACCTTCTTTGCCTGCTTGCCAGTTCGTATAGGCCTTACAAAGGAAACTCCTGCAAGACGAGGTCTGCAGTCTCCACCCGGTAGTTGAATGAGTCGAGTTGCCGTGCTGTGATTCAAAAAAAAGATTGCCCACTAATGGTTGAATTTTCTGGTCAACCCTCGGCCAAATCCCAGGACGTAACTGGTTTCACGCTGAGGAGCATTCCCGATTGTCCAGAATAAACACTACTACTGGGAGACTCCTTTCCAATTTTCTATTCATTTTTCTGAGGCAAAACCTGGGTTTTGAGTATGGCTAATCCAGCATGACGCTTCACCAAGCCAGGAAAAAAACTGCTGGGCACGCATTCCCAAACGCCATTTTTCCTTCCTCAAAGTCAATGCGCACCCTGTAGGATGCCACCTCATGTTAGGCTTGCTATCCATGCATTTTATGTATATAGGTCAATCGAAAGGACAGCTACTGAATCCTGAATAGCACTTTGCACATAAGGATCTCCAGGAAACAGAGGACAATACCCATTCCCATTTGAATTAAACCCACAAGCACATTCCTGTGAATACAGCCCATCTGCTGATGTACACAATGTCCCTAATTCACATTCAATAGGCAGTGCCGTAGATGCCGATAATGGAGGGTTTGCACATACAAACTTATCCCCTTGAGGGCTTGCAAACCCTGAAGTACATGCCATTGAAAATCCTTCTACGCTTACTGAGCTTGTAATTTCTCCTATATCAAGACTTCAATATTCAATACAAAATCCTGAGTCACAGAGAGCGTTATTAACACAATCATACTCATCTTTGCAAGCTCCACCAATTTTTACTTGTTCCACACAAATCCCACTATTGCAAAAAGCGCCTGGCATACAGACTCCTAAGGAACATGGCTCATTAATGTTAGGGCCTTGACAGATGCCTAAGAAACAGTTCTTTGTGATGCATTCAATGTCTAATGAGCATAAATCGCCTGGATAACGGTTTGATTCTAACTCATTGTTTATGCAGGAGGAATTGGATTTTGCTGAGATGTTACAATTGAGGTCTTGATCACATGGATTGAGATAATATTGATAGGGATAGGAAAAGGCTATGCATTGACTTGATGGCAACTTGTCTGTGCAAAAATAGCTTGGACATTGGTCAGCATATGCAAATGAGAGAGAAGAGAGATTAAAGTCGAAAAAATAATATTAAATTAGAGGTGGGTGGAAGTAGGATTGGCTTGCAGTCACCAAGCAACCATAAGATTCATTAGCTTTGCGGCACTAAACTTCTCTGCTTTGCCGCGAGCGAGAGTGCTCAGATACAACCTTTTTTTACCTCTTCAGCACCTACAGGAAAAAGACTTAATCCCTAAGTTCAGGCTGTAACCCCTGGTATCGCGATGAAGTCCACTTTTATGGTCCCGAAGAAAGTACCAAATTACTTATTTCCAACCACAGAGACTAAGTCAAACCTACCTGGATTACATAACCCACATATTGGGTCTGAATCTCGACTAGTTTCTCGCCCAGTTCACCTCGATCATAATATTGATGAATCTGTATCAAAAGATCGGTTAACTTAGATCGCCGTTTTTATGCATATAGAGAGATTAAAGTCAACATAAGTGATAATAGCATTTTGCTGTTTTAAAATTTATCATTATTTTCTAATAATTTCAACTAATTTTTATCTACTTAATTTGCCTCACTATTGATTCCAAATCACAATCTAAAATCTGAATCCCTAAGACAATATCATAAAATTGCTTTAGATACAAGTCGAATAATTTCTGGACCTTTTAAATCTTTACATATTAAGTAAAGGCATAAAATGTTCATATTGGAATTTTACTAGAACATTATAAGTGGCTGATGAACATTTTTAATTAATTAATCTCTGTGTATATCAATCGTAATTAAGACATCTCAAATAAATTTCTCATAATAGAATGGATATCGCCTATGAAATTTTAGCAGGAGAAGCGTATTCTCATGACTCTGACTGCATGGATGATGGAGGGCCAGCTTGTGCAAGCCAAATGACGGTGGCTTATCGCCTGCTATGTACCTTGGTTTGTGTATTGTTTATTCAGGTCACTTTTGAGTACTTTGTCTTGAAATACTTCACAGGGCCTTGGGTTTCCAAAAGTTTGACAAAATCAGTCCCAAAGTCTCCTTATCTCATAGAAAAAATCTTTGGGGTTATACAAATTGTTGAGCTTTTATGTCAAATTTACTCAAAATCACATGGGCATCGGCTTATATTTTTGCTCAACCCATGCCACGCAGTCACTTTATTGCAAGCTTATTGTCTTTTATCTAACTCCCCCCTCCATGAGTGAACAAAAAAATTGTTCACTCAAGGAGGGGGGTTATTTTTTTTTTAAAAAAAATTTATAAATTTTATAGAAAATATTTTTTTTTTCGAAATTTAAAAAAATCCTAATTCGCAAAAATTTGAAAGCAAATATAAAATTTATGTTTTTAAAAAGCAATTTGTTTAAAATTAAACAGAATTAGGTCTAGATTTCATTATATTAATTATTACTTATATATCAAAATTTTTTCCATAATTTTTTTTTCTATTAAAAAATTTTTGTTCACCCACAGAGGTGGGTTTTTGGGCAAAAAAATAGCGATTTTTTCTAATGGTTTTGTACCCTCACGGAGGGGGGAGTAAGTCATCAGGATTAAATAAAAAAATTTTTATTATCACAATAGCAAACACATGGTGCGCGTAAGTAAAATGCAGAGAAATCGCCTTATTATTCCCTACCCCAGGCAATCTCCCACTAAAGTATGATTATCTGTTATTCCATGCAGAGCATTACTTAACTGGGATAATTGTTCCATTTTTATTAATATTAGCAGGAAGATACACAGCTCGATATCAATTTAACTGGAGAGCCATATACTTTGTAAGTGATAAGAAGGGTTATCAATTCTTTACGCTCTATCAAAGACTTGTTTTATCAAATATAAGCATGCTTACATGGGCAAATATGAATTTCACACTCTGTGCTGCCACAAGTAAATTTTAGCTTACTCCCCCCCATCCGTGAGCACAAAACCATTAGAAAAATCTCTATTTTTGCCCAAAAACCCACCCACCGTGAGTGAACAAAAATTTTTTTAATAGAAAAATTTTTTATAGAAAAAAAATTTTGATATATAAGTGATAATTATTATAATGAAATCTCGAGCTAATTCTGTTTAATATAAACAAATGGCGTTTTAAAACATAAATTTTACAAATTCAATTAATATTTGCTTTCCTATTTTTATAGAAGTTAGATTTTTTTTAAATTTCGAAAAAAAAAATTAATCCTCCCTCTGTGAGTGAACAAAATTTTTTTGTTTACTTATGGAGGGGAGGAGTTAGCTGATCCATTTTATCCAACCATAGGAAATAATTACTATTACTTGGCGGAGTTCTATCTTTTTATACTCTCTATAACTTCAACATATTTATGGCTATCTCTTAGCTATATTTTGAGGCCTTCTTTATTTAAATTAAAGGCTAGTTAGTCATATTTTGTGTCTTTTTAATAAAATTTAGTCTAAATTTAAGAAATTCCTTTATTCTTATAAGTCTTCAGAATCTGCAGGGTCAACACTATCTATCCTAATATCTAGCGGGGCAAATAATGCATGGGTCATCTGCCAGACCTGCAAAATGTTATCTTCAGCCGTGCTTGCCATCATTAGCTGGTCATTCATATTCCAAGAAATATCTGTTACTTTTGCTGTATGCCCACCATGCACAAATAGCAGTTCAGGCGGCCCTTCACTTTGGTCTTCATCCATGCTATCGTCTCCAAGTCTGCTCAAATCCCAAACCAATACTCTTCTATCGCTTCCCGCAGTTCCCAATAAAGTTCCACTAAAAGGTGCCCACCTTACGCTATGCACTGAGTCCTTATGAAATTCCAATGAGCACAGCTTATTTGCCATGTTTCTGATGTCCCAAATAGCTGCTGTTTTGTCACTGCTGCCTGTTGCCAAGAGGTTTTCATCTGTCTTGTTGAAGTCTACTGAATTTATTTCATGTATATGAGCGTCTATACAATGGGTTGGGATGTCTTGCCTTAAATCCCATAAAATCAATTTTCTGTCATCTCCAACAGATGCTAAGGTTTGGTTATAAAACTCGCTCCAGGACACGTCTCCTACTATATTAGTATGAGCTACTAGCGTTCTGTAAGGATATAATGTGCTATTCGCATCAGTGGCTGCAGCGATATCTCAAACACAAACTAAATGGTCATCCGAGCCACTTGCCAGTCAATTTTGATTATTTGTGTTCCAAGACAGTCCGAATCCTTCTTTAGAATGGCCTTGAAGAATCAGCTGAGGGCCGTTCGTAGACTTATTTGGGTGTTTGGTGTAGTCGTAAATATAAACAATCCCTGATGGACTTTTGGTAGCTATCAAATCGTCGTGCTTTGGCATCACTCGGATTCTATTCGGTTCACCATCATGGTTTATCCTGATAATCGGTTCTATCTTGAACTCAGCTTTCACAAGAGAATTAGCCTCATTGGTATTATCCAGGACTGATTTGGCATTGATTGTTTCTTCTAGTGGCAATTTTACGCTTGCAACGATTAATTGTTCTTGCTCTGCTTTTGAGGTATGAGAACCTATCACTAATTTCTGGACTGTGTAATCACAATTGGAGCGGGATTCTTTTGAAGGCAGCCAGTCAACAGATAATGATGGCCACTCTAGGACATGAGTAATTAAAGCATCATAAAGAAATGGGCAGTTTTTTTTCCAGATTTTGTATTCCTCGTTTATAAGCTGCTCATCAAGTTCCTCAGCACAGTCTTGGTCTTCTTTGAGCATACTTAATAATTATTTTATTATTTTTTCTTTAAAAATATGGCATCTATTAGCTATATTTCCAACAATCACTATGCAATCTTTTATTTAATATAAGCCAAACCTATATCTTATAATTTCTATCTGCATTTATATCTCTGACCAATTCCCTCGGCCCCATCTTTACTGATTCTTTCCCACTCTCCAATACTGAGCCTCCTTTTTCTATTTATTTTCTTCACTTCTTTTGAATTTAAAACGTTTACAAAATTTGTAGCAACTATGGTGCCATATTAAATAAATGTCAAACCATGATCTTCGAAATAAAGCTATTGAAATAGCCATGCGAGCATGTGATGAAGATCGCAAGACAAACTATGAAGAAGCCTACAACCTTTACAAGCAGTCAATTAGATTCTTCATGTATCTTTATAAATGTAAAACCCTATATAGATGAGCAAAATCATATTCTCAAGGAGAGCTTTCGGGAAAAACTTGGCGAGTACATGAAAAGAGCTGAAGAACTTGCCGAGTATTTACATGGAGAAGAAATATCAGGTAATCAGCCAGAAGAAGACGATTAAAATAGAGATAACAATTAGAAGTCATAAAGAAATGGGCAGGTTTTTTTCCAGATTTTGTATTCCTCGTTTATAAGCTGCTCATCAAGTTCCTCAGCACAGTCTTGGTCTTCTTTGAGCATACAGAAAATTCCTGGGGATAGCGCGGAATACGCTATCCCCAGGAATTTAGTATATTTAATAATTATTTTATTATTTTTTCTTTACAAGTATGGTATCTATTAGCTATATTCCCAACAATCACTATACAATCTTTTATTTAATAATATAGACCAAACCGATATCTTATAATTTCTATCTACATATATATCTCTGACCCTAAAATTCCAATTTCTTCGGTCCCATCTTTCCTCATTCCTTCTCACTCTCCAATGCTGAGCTTCCTTTTTCTATTTAATTTTGATATACATAAAATGGCCTGTGGTCAGCGACCCATCCCTCTGTGGAGGTGTCCCTATGTATATCCCAGACATAGTTTTTGGGTGCGAAGAGCTACTCAAGGTAAGGCCAGCCTTGAGGTGAGAGGCCCAGCACAATTTTCAACTGATTTTGTCGCCTGACTGAGCAGCAGTTTTCCGCATATTTTTGCCAGTTCGTTCGAGGCCGAAAGAGGTAGGGTGACTTACCTGCCTAAGGTACTTGGTGGCTTAGCCCAGAATCCCGCAAGGGATTGAGTTCTTACTTAGAAAAGAAGGGAAGGCGAAGCTCGACAACGATCTCCCCGGCGCAAGTCTCTCTAATTTAAAAGGGTCCCGGCAAAGGGACGATCTGGCCAAGTGAAGCAGGGTTGGGTAATCTGACGTTTGGGCTAGAAATGGTTGCTCAGCAAAATCCGCTCTGATCCAAGGGAAATGCCACTACCGAGAAATCGGTGCTTCGGGCCAGGGCAAATTGCCTTAAGGGAGCTCATCCCGCATCGTGTCTTGGAAGTGGGGACTAGAAACACATATCACATAATCTAATCTTTCTATTTAATTTCCTTCACTTCCTTTGAATTTAAAACGTTCATATTTATCTGTTAGCAATTGTGTTGCCATATTAAATAAATGTCAAACGAAGATCTTCGAAAGAAAGCTATTGATATATCCAAACGAGCATGTGATGAAGATCGCAAGACAAACTACGAAGAAGCCTACGGCCTTTACAAGCAGTCAATTAGATACTTCATGCATCTTTATAAATGTAATGCCCTATATAGATGAGCAAAATCCCATTCTCAAGCAGAGCTTCCAGGAAAAACTTGGCGAGTACATGAAAAGAGCTGAAGAACTTAACGACTATTTGCATGGAGAAGAAAAGAAACAGCCAGTTCTCAGCGGCGGAGTCAGAGAAGAGCGCAAGGGACCAGGCAAATCAGGTAATCGGCCAGAAGACGACGATGCAAATGCAGGGCTGCGCAAAGGTCTTGAAGGGGCAATTATCACAGAAAAGCCCAACGTCAAATGGACTGATGTCGCAGGGCTCGCCAACGCCAAACAAGTCTTGCAAGAAGCCGTCATTTTGCCATCACGATTTCCCGAACTTTTCGTTGGTAAACGTACCCCTTGGAAAGGTATTTTGCTATATGGTCCACCAGGTACTGGCAAGTCCTTCCTTGCCAAAGCATGTGCAACCGAATGTGATGGGACTTTTTTCTCAGTCTCTTCTAGTGATTTAGTCAGCAAGTTCATGGGAGAGTCCGAAAGACTTGTTAGGTCACTCTTTGAAATGGCTAGGTCAAGCAGACCTGCTGTAATTTTTATTGACGAAATCGACAGTCTATGCGGCAGCAGAAGTGAAGGAGAAAATGATGCCACAAGAAGAATCAAAACGGAATTTCTCGTTCAAATGCAAGGGGTCGGGCATAATGAAGAAGGGATTTTAGTATTAGGCGCCACCAATATTCCTTGGGAATTAGACCCTGCTATCAGAAGACGTTTCGAAAGAAGAGTTTATATTTCGCTACCAGAAGCACCAGCCCGAGCTTTGATGTTCAAGCTGAACTTAGGAGACACCCCAAATGATTTGACTGAAGAAGATTACAATGAGCTTGGCAATAGGACTGAAGGCTACTCAGGCTCTGATATTGCTACTACTGTAAAAGCTGCATTAATGGAACCTGTAAGAAAATGCCAAAGAGCCACTCACTTTTTGCCTGTCAACGTTGCAGGACAGACCAAGTATTCTCCATGCGCCCCAAGTACTCCTGGAGCTAGAGAAATGACACTTATGGACGTCCCTGCTGGAGCTCTCAAACCGCCTGAGGTGGATATTGATGACTTTTTCAGAATTCTTGATACCACAAGACCATCTGTTTCTCCTCAAGATTTACTAAAACAACAGGAATTCACAGAGATGTATGGACAAGAGGGGTAATAGTTAATTTGGTTATTTTAAGAAATTATTAAAAGCATTTTCTATGCTTTTTTCTATGTATTTTACATTAGGAGAGATATTTTGAAATTTTGAGAATTTAAGGGGATAGGGATATGTACGACTGCAGATCCAAATTCATCAAATTCTGACCGAGAAATCCACATGCGGAATTTATCAATAGAACTTAGGATGGCTCCACCTATCCATGCTAGGTGTTTACGCTCTGGTGGAGCTTTTACGAACACGTCTAAGTTGCTTGGAGCTAGCGCTTTGATATCGCGTTGGACTTTGTCTTTTATTCGGGGAAACATAGTGCTACCGCCACTTAAAATGATATTGGCAAATAATTCACGTCGGATGTCTTGGTCACATTTCATGATAGCGTTATAAGACAATTCATGAATTCCTGGCTGATCTTTTCCAATAAGAAGAGGCTGGAATAGAATTTCAGGACTTCTAAACCTTTCAACAGTTAAAGTTATTGATCTTCCGTCAGGCAATTCATATTCCTTTGCAATAGAGCTTGTAGTCAAAGCAATATTTAATTCTTGTTGATAATCTGGAGACAGATAACACAATTTCTCTTTGATATCTTGAGCAATTTCGCTTTGCTTAGAATTTGGAAGCTCATTTCCTCTTTCTTTTAAATTTGTCAATAAGAAATCAGTGATTTCTTCTCCACCGATACCTAATTTTAATGTAGAACAAGGAAGTGCATACCCTTCAAATACCGGGACAATAGATGTTTCATTAAGCCCGCTTTCTATGACTAGTCCTGTAGTCCTCCCACTCGCAAAAAGTGACATAACAGCGCTGTTAGCTACATAAAGTCCATGGACTCCAAAAGTTTCGAACATGATTTCAGTGATTTTTTCACGATTTGCTCTTTTGTTTAGTGGAGGCTCCATTATCATGATTTTATGCTGATTTGGATCTACTAGAAGCTCATTGAAGAAAATGTGATGATAAAGCTTTTCTATTTCATCTCAGTTCTGAACTTGAGAGTATTTGACAGGGTGTGAAAGCTGCAAAATGTCTTGTTTTTCAATAGCCTCGCGGCCTATGTAAAGATCTTTGCTGTCTAAGGACAAAGCAGCTGCTAACTTTGGCCTCCCAACAACAGTGGGCTCTTGAACTTTAGGAGAATCATGCCCTGAGAGCCCAGCTCTTATCATATGTGACCCAATGTCGATGATCACTCTTTCTGTAAGTTCGGTGTCCATTTTAATTTAAACTGTTTTATTTAAAAATTCACATTAATTATCTATATATTTTCGTAGATTTTAGTCTATAAATTAAAATAATTAAATTTCTGTTTAATTTACTATAAATCAGTATAGCTAACCTTCCGTCGGTTTTGCATTACTATACCAATTTTCATTGAATAAATTTTGCTTAGCTGTTTCTATTTATTATAGAGTTGAGGTGGCTATAGTGAATTAAAACTGGTATAATCGCAATCATAAAATAAATGGAATTCGGTTCGAGAGAAATCAGCTCCGCTAATTTTCTCTCCCTCATGGAATTTTATTCATGGGGTAAGGTTTTCCCTCGAGAACTTCTGCACAGCAACAGCAGTTTAACTTTGGGGATGACCAAAGGAACTTCTCTTCAGTGCTTCAAGAGGCTCAGGGTTTTACCCTCAGCACATCCCCACGGGAGGATGACCCTTAGGCGGAACACGCTCAGGAGATGAGTTAGGACAACGGCAACGCGCCGGGTGAGATGTGCAGCGAAGACTGGCGACGAAGCTTTGATAGAAGGCTTGGCCAGTGGGCTGACCACCGTGCTTCCAAGATAGCTCGGCGACGTCACTAGTTTAGCTATATCCCTATTTATTAGAGTGGGGGCACTAGACACCTTAAACACCAGATATTAAGCTAAGGTATAATCGCAATAATCAAATCTCTGAAAGAAGGTCTCCTCTCTGGGTCAACTTGAAGCATAGATTTCAAAATCCGGTTTAAATCTTCGTCCTGTATCTTCTCATTAATAAATCTATTTATGTGCTCTTGCAGATTGGAATCACTAAAAGAGTTCAAACCTTTGATATTTTCTAATGTAGCGGCTTCTAATAATGTGATGCCTAATGAAAACACATCAGATTTTAAAGGATTGTGGATAAATTTTCTATCTCCTTGGTGTCTTTTGTATAGTTCATAAGCTCGAAGCATTTCTGGGGCGAAATAACTAGTAGTTCCAGAAATCGTATAATTTTCTTCAAAATTAACTGTGTTTATTGTATGATCTACCTTAATAGAAGTGTTGAAATCAGCAATTTTTAAGCGCTTGTCATGTCCAATAAAAATATTGTCTGGCTTTATGTCTCTGTGAACTATTCTACGCGTTTTTAATAGATTATACCCTCTAGCGAGAACATCTAAATATTTTACTCCCCCCTTCCGTCAGTGAACAAAACCATTAGAAAAAATCTTTATTTTTTGCCAAAAAACCACCCTCCGTGGATAAAAATTTTTTTAATAGAAAAATATTTTATACCAAAAAAATTTGATATATAATTGATAATTATTATAATGAAATCTCGAGTTAATTCAGTTTAATTTTAAACAAATTGCTTTTTAAAACATAAATTTTATAAATTAAATTAAGATTTGCTTTCCAATTTTTGCGAATCAGGATGTTTTTAAATTTCGAAAAAAAAATTAACCCCCCTCCGTGGGTGAACAAAATTTTTTTTGTTCACTCACGGAGGGGGGGAGTTAGTATTTTTTGAGCGCTGTAATACTTTTTTTTGGCTTTTCTTTTTTGAATTTCTTCATTAAGTGTGCTTGGACAAAATTCCATAATTATATGCAGCTCATGCGGCCGATCAGCTTTTTCTGTATTTTCATTGTAATAGCAGCCATAAAGCTTTAAAAATGTATTATCACCGGTATCATGAAATTCTCTCAAAATTTGAATTTCATCTTTAAACTGGCTGAATTCTTGAAATGATCGAGTTGAGTAGCATTTATCGACTGCAGACATCCTTTTTCCATCCAAGAAAATAGCGACTTTATTTATATTTAGCAAATAGTTAGAGCGCGAACAATCATTATACAGCTGAGAATCAAAATTAACTTGCTCAGGGCTGCAGATTTTCAAGTTCGGGATATCAATATATGCTCTGATCTTGGAATTTTGACTATCAGCATATAAATCAAGCAGCTTTATTTTAGCATCATTTTGAAGGTGGATTCCACAAATTGCAGTCATAAATTGCTCTGCAGCTTCAAAGTCCTTAATAATTTCTAACCCATTAATGCAGATTGATTCATAAATACTTTCCATATTGGAATAATATTTAAGAGCTTTTAAAAGATTCAATCTTAATACAAGACAATGAAGGGCATCAATATCTTCCAAGGGTTTCCATAATGCTGCTCTTACCTTAAATTGCAAACACTTGCTAATATGATCTATACTGCCATATAATGATAGAATATTTACCATAGTTGAGAGAGCATTAAGTTCTTCGAGGTCTGTGCATTTTAAAATCAACTTAGAAAATTCATTTAGAAAATCAGGGTCTAGGCCTGGAAATTTTTTGGCATCTTGAGATTTAACATAGGCGACATACCTTTGAGCTGCTTCCATGTTTAGTGAAATTTCATCAAAAATCTCCTTTTTTTCCTCACTAAGAGGATTATTAAAATCTGGCAAATCTGCATTTCCAAGCTCGTTAATCAAGTTCAAAATTTCATCTCGTTGTTGATCTTCAAGAGATGGTAAAGTTAAAATACCTGAAAGTGTTTTTGTCAGTTTTTCAGGCCCAACCTCCAGCTCTTCACGCATTTCTTTGGTTTTATCAATTATTTCTTGATTTATTTTCATTACATTAATTCCTCCTTCTATTGATAATATTTCCAAATATTTCTTGCATTCCAAAATGTTCTTATCTGACAATTCTTCATTTTTCATATAAATTTGGACACTATGTGCTGCAATAAGGAGTTTAAGCGCTCTTTTTTCTTCTGGGCCTAGTTCTATCGAATCTTCTACATTTTTCAACGGATTCAAGATTTCTAGAGAATGCTCCTTATTGGAAGAAATAAAAGATGAGATGTCATCTTTAAGTTGGCTAGGAATATTATCATAAAATTTGCTGGATTCAGATCTCAGGTGTTTTTCTATTTCCTTCAGAGAACGGGGTTTAGCTAGTTTGTCCATTTATAAAGATTAGTAATAGTTCTGAACTGATGATAATTAATTAATTATGAATTATGTTAAGAATGATATTATATTAACCATTTTAAAGATTATGTCATATTGTCAGTATTTAAATATTATACTATTTAGCATATATTTATGTCTAATTAGATTATTAATATCTCTTAAATTTGGTATTACTACATCAACAGTAAAAAAAGGGAACTGAAATGAGTGCAATCCGGATGAATAACTATTTTGAAGACTACGACTTCTTATCAGCGCGTAGAATCAAATTACATAATGAAAGATATATATGGGATGTCCATGATGACTATAAAAATCTTTTGAGCAGAAAAACATATTTGATTGCTGACATTCTTCCTGCAATCGAAGCACTGAATGGTGACATGGCTTAATGGTCAAATGAAGAAGAATGAGTGTCCTCGGTTTTTCTTTAATCATATGCGGTGAAAAAGTGTCAATAGAAGCGTTCTTGGGAAAAAATGCGTTATAAATAGTAAGTAAAATCAAAAATGTAAAATAAGTGTAAGGAACTAATTAGTAGTACGTCGTGAAGGTATATTGAGAACATATAATGAACAATAGACGTGATCGAACAGCATCTATGAGTACATGGCGACGAAAATATAAAATTGGTAACCTGGAAACATCACAGCAGTTGAGTGAAATTAATCCGTATGATGATAATCGTATTGAAAAAATGTGGATAATTATACAGCATAGAGGTATGAACGAAAGCTTGCGCACGTGATGGATTACATGTAATAAACATAACACGGGATATAAAGGAGGAAATAAAAGGTAATCTGAAAAAATAGTACCTCCTGATATAACACTATGTTTGAATTCCCTAATATAGGCGTACAGTATTTGTAGTACCTTATCGCAGTGATCTTAAACTGGTTAACAACTATCTAAAATAGGATTAAAAGGTTAAATAAGTAGAGCTTGCATTTCAAGGTGATGTCAAAGACTAGGTTGCACGATATAACTAGAGTCAATATCATTCAGACATCATGCAAATAATAATTATGGTTACTATCAAACAATAATTTAACCGGTATACTAACTTCAAAATCAAATTCTTTTGGGGTGGGATGGTAACAACGCAGAGCATATAAGGTGGAACGATTGGTAATGACAAAGAATAGGTGAACAGCGCGACAGGGTAAGATAAACTGAAATTTTGCTTAGTGCGGAATACTAAGGGAGCAGCATGCTAACGACTCGTGACCTTCGGTCGGGCACTGCCGTGGTGCATTATATTTTCTGTAGTAATAAAATCATTCAATGCAATTATATAAAGGCATTGGTTGAAAATTTTATTTTAAAATGCTTACACAAAGCCATTTTCCTGCCTAAAGGGTGTAAAAATAATTTGCTCTTATTTTTAAATACTAATCATTATATATTTCAAAACGGTTAAATAAAGCATAATTAGCATTTATCAAATTTTATTCTAAAAAAATGCTTAATACATCAATGAATCTCTCTCAAAAATTTTTGCAGAAATGCATAGAAAAAGATCATATCAATGCTTTTTGAACGCCTCAGAGTAGAATGTCCTTCAGTAAGATTGCCGAAGCTTAAGTTTTTAAGATCTTTAGATCCATCCTTATGCAAAAAAGAAAGGGAGATTAGATGAACTATATGAGCCTAAATTTGCTAATCAGTCAGCTGCAGTTATTAAAGATATTTCATTCCTTCAAAATTCCCAAATCATAGGGAAAAAGTTTTCACTAATTTGAGAAAAATGAAGATAAATCAAATATCATGTTTTAAGGATTAACGAGCTAATATGAAAATAACCGAGAAATAGATAATTTAGTCAAAACTAAGAAAAGAGTTGTATGCCTTAGCATTCCACAATTATTTATCAGCCAGATGAAGATGAAAAATACTTTTGAAGGATTTATGATATATTATGCAATTGAAAGGTTGTAGAATGCAATGGCTATTAATCAAAAATTATGTAATATTTTGCATGCTATTTGAGTAAATACAAAGCCTAATCCCCCATTAAGAGAGAGCAAAACCATTTAAAAAAATGTATTTTTGGGAAAATTAATTCCTTACGAGCGAGCAAAATTTTAATATAATTTTTTTATATAAAATACCTTTTATATATGTTTGATAATTATTATAACAAATTTCTAATTAAATATAAATCTTTTGCTTTTAAACCGCAATAAAATTAGAAAAAAAAAATTATATAACTTATAATTAAAAATTTAATTGATCTTCTTTAAGAACAACAAAAAGATCTTACTTGCTTTAAATAGTGGGGTAATTATGAGGAAACATAATCTAACTTAATATAATTTAATACACATTTTTAAATCTTATAATCTAATTAAATGGTATATTTATTATTTTTATGATTCATGTTATAAACTATATGAAAATTTACTGTTTAAAATTTATAATTATGGGAAATAATATAAGAAATCCGCAAAGTTTTAGCTCAGACTGCATCCAAAACTCAAATCTAAATTCAAAACCTGCAGACACTTTATTTGACAATAATATTGAAGAAAAATCACAAAACTATAAGCTGCCTCTTTATATCTCTCAAACTGTAACCAATCAGACTCATTGCACAGATAATAGCACTTCAATAATTTCCTGAAAAAGCAACTCAAAATCAGCATGTGTTTTTGACTCTAAAACCAAAACAATTTATGAGCAAGAATTAAAAATTCCTAAAAACTTATCAGGAAATATGATATGCAGGATTCCTGATAATAAATTATTTTTCTATGGAAATCTCCCTATTTCAGGCTCAGCGTTTATTCTTGACAGTTTTTACAATATAACAAATCTTCAAGAAGGAAAACCAGCTTTTGGAGCTGGAGGGGTTTATTATAATGGCTTTGTCTATATATTTGGGGGTTGCGATTATCATGATCTTTTTAAGGCATCATCAAGATATAGCTTATCTGAAAATAGATGATCAGAATTGATGTCTTTGCCAGTAAAATCTTATTATTGTTCTTGTGAGGTATTTAATGGAGTAATTCTTATTTATGGGTATCATCATGAAGTTTTATATATTTATGATCCAGCTATTGATATATTTACAGATGTTAATGTCCCATTTGTAAGATTGGCATATAAAATTATAATAAAAGTAAACAACAGAGGATATATTCTGGATCATGGTGGGACTATTTATGAAAGTCTAGAAAATGATTTATTTTGTTGGGAAAAATGTAGGATTGGTACTATTAATCGTGAAGGTTTTAATTGTTCTTTAAGAGTTGAGTGCGAAGGCTATATTTATTATATGATAAGCGATGAACTTTATCAATTTAGCTTGAAACCAATTGATATTTTTTTAATTGATAATAAAACATATTAGCAAAACCAATTAATTACTAACAGCAGTTTTTTTAGGCTTCACAATTTTCCTTACATCTACAGCTCCCTTCGTCTTACTATTAATCTGCACTTTTTTCGACTCAATGACTCTAAATAGCTGCTCCACTTGATCTTTATCCAATTCTCCCACCAGCATCTGTAATGCCTCATTAGACACACTTTTCAATGTTTTTAGCAAATTTCTGAAATGATCATACTCATCAATATCTTTAATAGGGGAATTAAAAAAGGAATAAGTATACAGAAATTCAATGCTCTCATCAGTCATCATTTTATTCACAATTTCGTCTATATCGTGGCTCATAGGCATTTCTTGGACATCTTGTGGAGGATTTGCACAGTATAAAATGTAAACTATTAATTTGAAGATTTGTGAAATATTATTTGTGACTATTTCTGGGAGCTCTTCTTGTAGCATTAACTGGGTGAATCCTATGACTGCTATTCTTCTGTCATAAGGGTGAGAATATTTTCCTTTAATATTTAAAGAATCATTTAAAAACAGTTCAAGCAAATTTTCTCCATTTTGGTTGAGTCTTGAGGATAAAATTTCTAGCGTTTTTTGGCAGTTATACATAAACCCAGAAAATATGACACCAAGTAGCCTCATTTTGAAAAGCTCATTTCCTATAGGAAGCATTAATCTCTGCATAACATATAGTATAATTTTTTCTAAATCTTCATCAACATAGCCTGTATATACATGGAGAATTTGTTGCAAAATTAAAGCCCCTCTTGATATTTGGGACTCAGTTCTGCCATCTTCATCTGGAGTTTGTTGCAAAAACTTCCCAGAAATATCAACAAGTCTGCTTATTATATTTAAATTAGCCTTGATAACTTCTCTTCCATACCATAAAGTGTTGTTTATAAAAGGAAATGCTTCATAAAATGTATCTTCAGCTTCTTTTTTGCCTAGAATAAAGTCAAAAATTGTCCAGCAGTTATTGGTGACATTTTCACATTTTTTTATTATTTCATTTTCTATATCAAACAGATATTCTTCATAATCCTCTTTCCCATCTTTTATAGCATCAATTAGTGGCTGAAGCTGCTTTTCAATATCTAACTCCCCCCCCCCCCCCCTCCGTGAGCGAACAAAACCATTAGAAAAATCGCCATTTTTTGACCAAAAACCCACCCTCCGTGAGTGAACAAAATTTTTTTAATAGAAAAAATTTTAATGGAAAAAAATTTTGATATATAAGTGATAATTAGTATAATGAAATCTAGAGCTAATTCTGTTTAATTTTAAACAAATTGCGTTTTAAAACATAAATTTTGCAAATTAAATTAATTATTTGCTTCCCAATTTTTGCAAATTAGGATTTTTTTAAATTTCGAAAAAAATATTTTTTATAAAATTTATATATAAATTTTTTTTAAAAAAAAAAAATACCCCCCTCCGTGAGCGAACAAAATTTTTTTTGTTCGCTCACGGAGGGGGGGGGGGGGAGTAAGCAAACTTCTACAGAAACATGAGGGGACTCTACAATAGCTTGCATGATTTTTCAGCATATTATTTTTATCAACATTTTGCAATCAGATTTGATAGATGGTCTTTGGTCAATTTGATCATCAAAATTCAATATTTTATCTACAAGCTCAGGAATAAGCTTATCTATATTAGTAAGCGCAACGTTTGGCTTGTTCTCTATTATTATTTTCAATGCATCAAAAAATCCTAAATTTTCATGTTTCCCTATATAACTATTCGAGTTAGAGATCTGTCATTAAAAATAGTTATTTTTTTATGCTGGAAAATATATTAAATATTACTATATAAGAAATAAAAAGTAGGAAAATTTCATCGATAAAACTGTTTATTCTTAAAGCTGATGAGGAGTCACTAATTAAGGTACTTATTGTATTAGAAGCTTGGTTATGAACACCTTTGTGCTTTTGTTCTGGATCACATAAAGATACTATAAAAGCGACTATTTTTTGGTATAAATCAGAGTTAGTTTTTAATAACTCAGAGCCAAAATAATTAAAAAATAGGCAAAATCTATTGATAACGAGATTTGAGTCATAGTTCATGATAGTATCAATATGAGTAAGCAGGAGAGAATCAATGATTTCTAGTAAATCTGGTCTTTGTATAAGGTAATAAGACAAAGCTGAAAGACAAAGCAAGCCTAAATCTAGTTTAGCTTCATTTGTAAAAGTCATAATAACCGAACTACTGAAATTTTCCAGGCTAGAAAACGACAAAGGGCTTGCATTTAATATTGCAAAGTCTATATAATCCACCAAAAAATTCGTAATAAAAGTCAGTGCTCCATCGATTTTTTTTGAAAATTTTAAAAGTAGCTCAGCTGATAAAGACTTTGGTGTCTGTGATTTCTTTTTGGAGCAGATATCATTAGACATCTCAATAAAATCTTCTGGGTTAAGCTCAAATCCTTCTTTTTCATTTTCTGTTGTTTTAAGAAGAGGGAAAAGTATATCAACAATTATATGTTGATAATTTTGATAATGAATATGATAAAAAGAGTCATCTCTTAAGGTCTCTACCAGGAGCTTCAAAAAATGCGAAATTAAATCTGAAATGCTTTCTTGTTGAGTTGCAAATTCATAATTTGTATGAGAAATAATTAGAAAAATGGTATACAGCAGAGGCTCATAAAACTCAAAAATTATTAAGGAAAAAGGCTGTTGATTGATATCAGATTTTGCAAGAGATTTTATGTCGTTATAAGTTGTGATAGAGACAACATTGTAAACAGCTTGTAGAGTAAGAGATTTCATACTGTTAAAAAAATCCTGAGATTTCGATTTTCCGATAGTTATAAGTTTGTGGCTGTCAGAGTTTGGATATTCTAATAGTAAACAATCTTTAAAATAGCTGGCGAGATCTGCCAAGTTCTTATACTCCTGCGTCTCGAATTCAAATTGGACTATAATTTTTAAAAAAGCTAAGGAAAGCTCATATAGAATTTCCAAACTTTCTTCTAGCAAACTATTTCCTCGAGGCAATGACCTCAGACTATTGATTGTATGATTTCCTAAGTCTATAAGAGGGCCTATGAAATCTCTAAGAAAAATTCTGCATTGTGCTGTGTGATTTATCCCCACAATCATTGCTTCAATAGTTTTTATTGCTCCAACTTTAAAAGAAAAGTCGCTTTGAAGAGAAGAAATAAGATACTGACTTATGTTCCCAAAAAAAGTTCCTGAACTGATACTATAGTCTCGAGCGAAAAGAAGGGCAAGTGCATCTTCTAATGTGTTTCTAATAGAAGTATTTATCGAAGGAGCTACAATTGAAGAGAAAACAGATTGAATCAGAAATTTATTGGTTTCATAAGGAACAGAGTTTTGCTCCAATGCTTCTTTAATGATCATTTTCAGTCGAATTGATGCTGAACTTTTAATCTGTAAATTTATATCATTTCTCACTGAAATTATTTGAACTAGATTTAATATATAAAGTTCAAGGTTAGAACTAAATTTTGAAAGTTCAGATTCAGCTTCTTTTATATCTTCGCTTGTCTTAGAGGTAAAAGTCTTATGAAGGAGAGCTATAATTGTGTTTAGGTCTTGGCTCATTTATTATTCTAACTAAAATGCCCTTTTATACCGAAATCAATCTACCGCCAAGATGGTTACCTGAAAAATTTTCTTACTCCTTGCTTATCGAGAGAATTTTATATAAAATTGTTTTTTTTCGAATTTTTAAGTCCAAATTTGTATGCTTAACTTTAATTTTAGAAAAAAAATGTAAAAGTTAATAGGATTTCATCATTCAACAGACATATATTAAATTTACTTAAAAATTCTTGATTAAAAAATTTTTTTGCTTCTTGCAAAGTGGTTAATTTTCCCCAGCATTAGAATTTTTCCAATGTTCCTCGTTATCCAAGGAAGGAGGTATAAAACTCTTATTTAAGTCAAAATTGTCAATTTTATTAAATATCTTCACTTAAATTTACGCTAAACTCATCCTTTTCTTCTATTTCTTCTTTCATATTCCTCAAGGCTACCCTTACATCACTTGCATTACTATGAACAATATCTGCTAGCAAAGGAGCTAATTCCATAAGTGCCTTATCTTTTTCATCTCCAACCCAGCTATTTATATAAATCCCATTCTCTGCTTGCAGCTGAAAATTCGCAGCCATGTTATCTATGATAATCACACTAGAAAGCGGCCTTCCCAGCTTTCTCAAATCTTTAATAAATACAGGCCCAGCTTGAATTGTATGCTGCCTATAAAGTCTATAATTTGACACAATGGGTATATATATTTAAATATGGCGTCTTCGTCTGGGCATGGCCGGGAGGCCATGCAGCCTCGACTCATATTTAACTATATCCGGCAAGGTTTTACCATTTCAGAGATGGACAGTAATGCTAGGTAAGCAATTCTGGTTGTGTTCAGAGCCTAGCCCAAGTCTAATCTCAGGAGTGGATTTTTCCTCGTGGGGAAGGAGGGCACGGAGTTGGAAAGGGGAAGCTCAGCAAGTCCTTAAGACCAATCGGGCAACTCCCTAGCGTGAAACTGGGCGTTACGTCCCAGGCTACGTGTTTTTCCTTTTTGCCGATAGCTGACCAGAAAATCCATTTTTTGGGTTTTTCGGAAAAGCAGCCCATGTCCAAGCAAGTAGCTCATCCATGAGCCGTCGAAGCCGGAACACTCACCCTAGGCGCACCCTGGTGATCGAAGCGGGTCGTCCCCAGAGACCTGTAGGCCCGATGCGGCGAAAGGCGAGCGGCAGACCTGGGCGTTGTCTACCCCGTAGTGTTATAAATTTTAAGTTAAGTTAAGTTAAGACACAATGGTCAATATCCATTACATTGATAGCTCAGTCTGCATATTCTTGCACCCCAGCTGTAAACACTACAATCTCATACCATTGGGCCATTTCTTTTAAAAACTCTCTACAATAAGGCCTAATTAGCAGCTGTCCAGATTTCCCATGGTCTTTAAAGTGGACTAAAGTTTCGTCTAAATCGAGAACAAGGGTATATACATTTCCTGATACTTGTGGCAAATACGGAGCGTCTAGTTGTTGCATATAGAAGTTTGGGGTAAATTCTTTAGAGGAATTTGACTGAAGCTTGGTGATGTGGGATCTTGCGCTGGAAATGGAATATTTGTCAAGGTTATTTAAAATGTGGACCATTTCATACTGAAAACCATTTCTACCGTTATTCGGCAGAAGTCTGCAGATTGTTTTGATGCAGTTTGAAATGACGTCACAGTGATTTTTTAAATAAGTTGAGTAATCTTTTTTATTAGAAATCCTAGATTTCTTTGCTCTGACAGTTTGCTGCAAGTTGGCTGCCCATGTGTTAGATGTGAACTCTGGAGGGAGTCTTGATAAGATGATGTCTACAAGGGTCAAAAAATTTTGATGCACATAATTAATCATGTGTCTTGCCTGATTCGCAATTCCAGTCCAGATACCCTTATTCTTCGTCGAATGCGCTAAAGCTGCAATTGCACAGGACTCGAGAATGATGGTGTTTCTCAATGACTTCCTCATCCTGATTTCTCTAAATAATTTTTCAATGTTTCAAATTGCTTCATCTTCTGTTAATTCTCAATATTCTCCACATATTGATGAGACATCTTCGTCAGCTTTGAGTTTATTTAAAATATCCCATAATTTTTCTTCGATCTCTTGGACTTTTTCTAGCTCCTTTCTTCGTGAGCTGAAAAAATTTTTTCGCTGATTATTTTTTTTATCGAAATTGAAAAAATTTGCGAAAAATTTGAGCAAAAATTAATTTAATTTTTAATTTTTTTCTTTTGAGTCTAAAAAAATATAAATTAGCTCGAGATTTAATTTAAATAATTATTATTATTATATATAAAAATATTTTCTATAATTTTTTTATTGTTTGCTAGCAACTAACTCCCCCCCCCCCTCCGTGAGCGAACAAAACCATTAGAAAAATCGCCATTTTTTGACCAAAAACCCACCCTCCGTGAGTGAACAAAAATTTTTTTAATAGAAAAAATTTTAATGGAAAAAAAATTTTGATATATAAGTGATAATTAGTATAATGAAATCTAGAGCTAATTCTGTTTAATTTTAAACAAATTGCGTTTTAAAACATAAATTTTGCAAATTAAATTAATATTTGCTTCCCAATTTTTGCAAATTAGGATTTTTTTAAATTTCGAAAAAAATATTTTTTATAAAATTTATATATAAATTTTTTTTTAAAAAAAAAAAAATTAACCCCCCTCCGTGAGCGAACAAAAAATTTTTTTGTTCGCTCACGGAGGGGGGGGGGGGAGTAAGGAAATTTAATTTCAAAAAAATAAGGATTTTTCTATTGTTTTGCTTGCTTATTAGAGGAGTAAATTTATTAACTGCGGAGTTTCTGATTGGGGAGAAAAAATCGATTTTTCTTGAAAATTCGGTTGGAGCACTTGATTCGGATGAGGGGTGTGAAAGCGAGAAATTCCTGGGAGTTCCAATGTTTGGTTTAAATTGATTCTTAATTTGTTAGGAGTTCTTGATGTATTTTTATGTAAAGTCGGAAGATGAGTAGGGCTCTTTTCAATGATAATTACTCGTTGAGTGCCCTGTTTATAACTTACTGAAAGAGAGCCTTTGTGGAGACTTGCAAGTTTAATATCTGACATTAATTGAATTAAAATAAAGCATATTATGAAAATTAATTAAATTTACTAGAAAATTTTTTAGTGCTTCAGATCTCTCCTTGAGGGTGGGTATGCCTTAGCGACCTTACTATAAAGGACTCAAAACCCCATCGGCAAATTCCTTCTGTATAAAGGCCTAAAGCTATCCCTTGGACAATTGCTGAAAATATGTGCTGAGTCCCTGTGAGAGGTAAAATCATCATTCCCAGAATATATTTAGGTAGCTGCAATTTGTAACACCTTTTAAGGATGCAAAATAATATGGTCACTATTATAATCCCAATGATATACGTAATAGCATATTCGATAATTTTATTGTCTAAATATAATAAGTATAAAAGATACCCAACTGATCCTAAAATTCCCAATAAAACCAGCACAACTACAGACTGATGGTACCATTCCCAGTACTTTATGCTATCTCAGCTTACTCCCCCCCCCCCCCCTCCGTGAGCGAACAAAAAAATTTTGTTCGCTCACGGAGGGGGGTTAATTTTTTTTTTTAAAAAAAAATTTATATATAAATTTTATAAAAAATATTTTTTTCGAAATTTAAAAAAAATCCTAATTTGCAAAAATTAGGAAGCAAATATTAATTTAATTTGCAAAATTTATGTTTTAAAACGCAATTTGTTTAAAATTAAACAGAATTAGCTCTAGATTTCATTATACTAATTATCACTTTATATATCAAAATTTTTTTCCATTAAAATTTTTTCTATTAAAAAAATTTTTGTTCACTCACGGAGGGTGGGTTTTTGGTCAAAAAATGGCGATTTTTCTAATGGTTTTGTTCGCTCACGGAGGGGGGGGGGGGAGTTAGCGAAATGTCTTTAAGAAATCCTTTCTCCACATAAGAATAATGTAAAACTATCACATATGGAATTGTAAATGCAAAAAAGTTGAATAATAATGAATTTATTTTTGAACCATCTTCTGTGCTCATCAGTGTAATGTTTGGTCCTACAAGAAATAGGACCAATCCATATCCAATATAAGAGATAAAATTTAGACTTGATTCTGTTTTGTCTCGTAGCTCTTTGTCTTTGAATCTCAGAACTACTGATACTGTGTAAAAATATTCTATAAGACCAAAAATGCCTAATTCTGATAATTTATATATATTTAATTATCTCTATTTTTTTAAAAAAATATATCCTGATATAATCAAAATATAAAAATAAAATAGTTTTGAAAGCTGGAGATAGGCAGAATTCGTGAATGACTTATATACCTCAGAAGACGTCTCGAAGCTTCTTAAATGCAGAGTCCCAAAAGAAATTACTATTAGAATCCCCAAATATAGCAGCAATAGCACTTTAAAAAAATAAAAATACTGCCTTACTTTGGGTGTTGAGTTCTGGTCTTCATTTTTGATCATATTATTTTAAATCAAATTATTATATTACTCTTCTACAAGAATTCCTTTCATTTCGCCCTTCAAAATGTCTATTCCACCACGCAGTATACAGATTTTCGGCATAAGGACTCTTTGAGATAAAATATTGCCAAACTAAATGAAAATTACGCTATTTGCATTCATAGAGTCGTCTCCAATTAAGACTAGGATTGCATCTTTTTGAATCCCTTTGAGCCCATCTACTTGATTTTTTGATGGTTTAAGAGCAGGAAGAATCGATTTTGTGTTACTTTGAGCTAGTGCAATAGGAACTGATACAGTCGCTTTTGTTTTGGTTTTCTTTTGTTCTGCAGGAGCTCTCACGTCGACTAGGATTATTCCGTTTTTTAGCTTGCATTGATTGTTGTCTATAATAAACAAGTCTTCTAGATCTATCATTGGAACTCTTGTTTCCTGAGCTATTTCAATTGGCAAAATCATTTCCCACTTCTTCTTGGAGTCTTTTACAGGAGACTTTAACACGCAGAGATCAACTGTCATTTTATTGAAAATCTCTTTTGCTTCTCTTAAGCATCTATCAAAGTCAATAAGTCCGTTTAGAGCAGATAAAATGTTTATGATTTGGTCATGCTGAGATTCTAAAATCATTTTTCTCACTTGTTGCAATATAGAAAAGCCAATATAATATAGGAAACTTGGAGGGTGAGTTAAAAGCTGGTCATAAAGTATATTTGATTGGACTGAATTTTAAAATATGATTGATAATATAATAATAAATATCTAATCAATGAGGTAAAAGATATATAAATTTGATTTAATGGGAATATATGAGCGTATAAAGTTAAAAGCCATGGGGCCGCATACATTTCAGGATTTACATCTTTTACAAACAAATAATGCCCTAACTCAGGATCTAAAAAGTTTATTAAGTTTCTCAAAATAATTAAAATATGGGCAAGACACTCATCATATCGCAGAACTGTATAAAGATATTTTTCAATCACTTTGTCAAAACATACAAAAGCTGAAGCTTCGTCATTTTCATATAAAGAAACAAAAACTGCAGCAATTGAGTCTAAACCTTGTGAGTACTTAATAGTAGAATGCAAAGAAAACCAGAGCTTAAGGATGGTTTCTAATTTTTTCTTTCCATATGAGGAAGCCAAAAATGGATGATATTGGTGGCATCTTGGGATATCCAATGAAATTTGCTTATTTGGCGCTGGAATTCTTACCGAGCTATAAAAGCTATAAAGAATCTTATGCTTAGGCTTCAGGTTCAAAATTTTTTTCCACGCTTCAGCTCTTAATGACTGTGGAATTCCTTCTTTACAGAGCTCAAGAAATGCGGGGTTTGGCATATTTAAAATTGCGTTTGAGAACATTTTGAATTTTTTAAGAAAAACAGAAAAAATTTCGATTGGTTTTTTTTTTGATTTTGCTGAAGATCCTGAATGGTGGCTTTTCACTGATTTTGATCTAAACATATTCCCGATTTTTCCAAATAATGAGTCACTTCCTGATCTGATTAAGGAAGCTTCATCACTAAACATGATATTTTCACTTACCCATCCTCCTTCTTCATTATCTTTTCTTAATTCTTGAAGCAGATAGTCAGCTGGGACATCAATTTTTTTTACTAAAATAATGGGAAATTCTTCTTTGCGGCTTGAATAGGGGACTACTATTGTAGGAATGTTTAAAATAGGTGGAAGATAAGGCAATAAATTGATAGCAATTAAATATTGTTCTAGAGATTCAATGGATTCAAGGTTTTTATGCTTTGTTCATAGTAAAAATAAGTATTCAAGAGAATGCTGAGGAGGGCTATATAAAGAATAAGGAGAGATTCCTTGAAAAAATGGGTGATAAAGCAAATCTAGTGAATCAAGTCTCGAGTTCGGCTGAATAGAAAGTAAAGAGCTCAATAAGGACTGAAAATCTGGAGAAATTTTAGTTAATAAAAACTCAAATGCCAAAAACCTATTTTTCACTTACTTTTCAAGGTCAGATTCTGCAGCTTTATAAGGAGAATAGTTTTGATATAAATCAACAAACTCAGCTGGATTTTTTACTGGAATTGGCATCATGCACAAGCACTCAAGCAAAATTATCCCAAGCGACCAAGCGTCGATTTTATAATAACTTTTGCATTCGTTTACAAACTCTTCTGGGGCCCTATATTTTCAATTTCTTCCTTGAATAAAATCAACCCCAAATATCAATGAATCTATTGCATGGGCTAGCTTTATTACTCTTTCTGAGTTAATTAGCACCTTTTTAGGCTCTAATAATAAATAAGGGAACCCCATTTTGGCACCTACATTTAAGCCTTTAATAATATCATAAGAAATTCTTCTTATACTATTTTATATAAATCCTATAATTTCTATCATAAAATCTTATTATTTTCTAATAAATTTTCTTAAGCACCTAAATCGCCAGAAACAATATAATTCTTCCTCTTCAAAAATTTGATTTCTCATCCTATCTAAAACTCACCTTCTATTTTCCCACAATTTCCATAAATTCTGATTATGTGTCTCAGTTACCATCAACACTTTTCCAGGTCCTATATTTTTGATTTTTATATATTCAGCCAGATTGGTATGAACAATAGATTTTGCTTGAATAAATCTTCCTTGAAGCTCAGGATATGTAAAAAAATCATTAGTTTCAGAATCTTCAAAATCTTCCTCACTAAAGGACTTTGTGTCTGTGATTGGAATTTCATAGTGTATTTTCACATAGGAAAATTCAAAACAAAAATCTTCCATTTATATGGATTTAACTTGGCCAGATAGCAAGGTGCCGAAGCCAGGCCATAAATGGGATTTTCTAAAGATGCTTGCGATTGCAGGAATTCTTGCGAATATTTATTTAGCTTGGGTGCTGGATAAAGAAATCGATAAAAAAAAAGAGAGAAGAAAGAAAATTAAAAGGGAAAATATGCTTAAGAATCTATGGGATAAAGAGCAGGAAAATATTAAAAAATAGACATTTAAATAGTGAAAAATAGATTTTTATTAAAACTGCTCGTTTAGGGAAATGGGACTAGTAATTTTAATTGAGGGGAATTGAGAATTTGTAATTTTATAAATGGAGGAAGAGAAACGAGCCAAGAACTCAGGCCAAGAGGAAAATCGCTACCAAAAACTAATTGCTCTCATTGGGGACTTTGGGGAAGAAAAAGTCCCAATACACATAGAGAAGCTAAAAAGTGAGCTAATTTCTGCTGATCAGCAATTTTATGAATTTTTGACTGAACTGTTAGCGAAATGCATCTCTTCAATCCCAGGGAAGCAGCACATTTATGCTACAGTTCTAGCGAAGGTCTTTGAACAAAACTCAGCATTGGTGAAAATTGTGATAGATAAGCTCTTAGGTATTTACAAAGATATCTTACAAGAAGGCAATTTATTGCGCATAAAACTTGTGTTACGATTTCTAGGAGAAGCTAGTGCTCTTCATTTGATCTCCTCAAGCTATTTTAACTCTCTGCTAAACAGGCTAATTTCTTTATGGAGGGAATATAGCCAAACAACATGGGATTTTTTCCCCAACATATTAGCCAGCACCTTTCTCCATGAAGGCCAACAAGTAGATCAAGAAATTTTTGCATCTTTTAGAGAGCTTCTAAAGCTACCCAGGAATCATGCATGGAAAAAATATTGCAAAATTCATCAATATCAATCCGAAGAAGGTAGGCTAGAACAGCTAGAAAAGGCTGTTGAGCATTTTTCGCTGCAAGGATTCCCACAGCCAAGATCTCTAAGCCTCTCCACTCCACTAAATGAAGGATTAACACTTGACGAGCCAGCAGCTACTCAATGGAGTGAGAAATGGAAATACCAAAGTCCTCTCTGCTTTGACTTATTAAATACAGGACTAGACTCCATTGAAAATACACTTACATATGAAAAAGCTTCTGAAATCATTGATGCTTTTAAAGCAAAAACCCGGCTTGCAGCAGAAAAACTTCTCGTCATAAATCAGCCTAAACTTGTAGTAAACGTGCTAATTGATGAACTTTTAACACTTCCTAAATCTCCTTCTAAGCCTATCATATACAGTTCTATTCTTTTAAACTTACAGACTTCAAGCGCTGCCTCTAATATTTTTGAGCCTTTAATAGAAGAATCTATAGAAACGCTAATCTCTCTGCTTGATACAATTGATTTTTCAGCCCTTGAAAAATTTCAAGACTTCATAGCTCATTACATTTCTAACCAGAATTTCGTATGGAACTGGCAGTCTTTTCTTAGCCGCGTCCCACTTACAGAATCACAAATTGCATTTGTGAGAGGAGTCATTTATAAACTAGTCAGACTATCCGATGTAGATTTTGTAAAGGCTGAGCTCCCTGAGCCTTTCCATATATACCTGCCTGCAGACCCAGAAGCCCATCTCCGGTTTGCAGAAATTGAAGAAAGTGTAGACAACACTGATTGCCAGCTGATTATTGATAGAATTAACTCTAGAGCTACAAATCAGGCTATGAAAGCTCTTTTAGCATCAAAAGAAATTTGCAGCTCAGGAGACTTTTTGCTGCAGATCTTCTGTGAGTGCTTGTTTTTCCAAGGAGCCAAAAGTATGCTTCATATAACTACTTATCTGGAGAGGTATTTTGAAATTATGAGCAGCATTTCGGGGATAATTATTTTAGAAAGCTTGGCTAATGTATGGAAAACTTCTCCACAGAGAATTAGCTTGTTAGCACAAAAGCTGGTCCAGATAAAACTGGTGGACTATAAAGAATTAACACAATTTTGCGTTGGAAGAATCGTGAAAGGAGACCAGTATAAAGACTATAACAGCTTAGAATGGAACCTTCTTAATTTCATTGTGGATGAAACTTCACAGAGCAGCAAATTTGAAATTGTAGACATAGTGCTTAGAGGGGTTGATCTGCTAAATAGAAATGCAGAGAAAAGAGCTATAGAGTTCTTAACTCCCCTCCATTTAAATTGGAACAAGATACATGTAAAATTTCAAATTTTTTTGGTATTTTAACGCTCTTTAAATTGGAACAAAATTTTTTCAAGAGGAAAATTTTTATTGTGAGGGAATTAATTTTTATAAAATTAATTTTGATCTAATTTAATGTAAAAAATTCAATAGAATATTATTTAAACAGTTTTCGCACTGAATTGATAAACTTTTTTAATTAATTATTCATAAAAATAATTAAGAACCAAAGTATCGCGCTCAATTTATATTTTTTCAAATTTTAATAAAAAAAAATAACCCCCTTTAATTTCAGCAGGATTTTAAGCTCCAATTTAAATGGGGGGAGCAAGAAGAGAAATAAAAGACTTAGATGAGCTGCAGTTTAATGCGATTGAAAATCTTGTAAGAGAAAGGCTACCAACTGATATTTCAAGCCTTAAAATAATCGTTTAATTATGGTACTGAATTAGAATTTTAAAAATTAATAGAATTATGGAATATTTTGTGAAATATGCTAACTCTCCACCTCCATGAGCGAACAAAATAATTTGTTAATCATAAGGGGTTTAATTTTGTGTTTTTTTAAAACATTGTATATAAATTTTATAGTAATTTTTTTTTCAAAATTTAAAAAATTCCTATTCGAAATATTTTTAAAGCAAATATTAATTTAGTTCGTAAAATTTATGCTTTAAAAAGCTAACTGATTAATTTAAACAGAATTAGTCGAGATTTTATTATTATCACTTATATATCAAATTATTTTTTCATAAAAATTTTTTGTTTTCACCCAAAAAATAGGGATTTTTCAATGCTTTGTTTGCTCACGGAGGGGAGGTGTAAGAATAATCCAAAAATCGAGATCCCTGAGGTAGTGACAATTTAAGGTGCTTCTTTATAACTTTTCTTGAAGTTGGCGATAAAGACCGTATAGCATAGGCAGCAGTCCCTAAAGGATGCCTCGTAGTTCTTTCTAAACTTGCTTTTTGTTTCTGTAAATGTTGCTGTGAAGTTTCATTATTTTTAAGTTCTTCAGGCAAATATTGATATTTCAATGTGTTTACTACATCTTGTGTGAGATTAAGAATTTTGCTGCCAGTAACTTCATTTATTAGCTTCCTTCTCACCTGTGCCATAATAGCCAAATCTTTGCTCATAACTACATTTTCGTATACTAAAACAGGCGTTTTTTGTCTTACTTTATTGACTCTATGTGGACTAATTCTAATTTCTTCATCCAACTTGCTTGAAGATACAGGAGAAATCAGAAAGGGAAGCTCCTTTTTTAAACTTACTCCCCCCCCCCTCCGTGAGTGAGCAAAAACATTTTGTTCACTCACGGAGGGGGATTAATTTTTTTTTTTTAAAAAATTTATATATAAATTTTATAAAAAAAAGTTTTTTTTCGAAATTTAAAAAAATCTTAATTCGCAAAAATTGGAAAGCAAAAATTAATTTAATTTATAAAATTTATGTTTTAAAAAAGCAATTCGTTCAAAATTAAACAGAATTAGCTAATGATTTCATTATACTAATTATCATTTATATATCAAAATTTATTTCCATAAAAAAAATTTTTCTATTAAAAAAATTTTTGTTCACTCACGGAGGGTGGGTTTTTGGGCAAAAAATAGGGATTTTTCTAATGGTTTTGTGTTCACTCACGGAGGGGGGGGGAGTTAATAGAGGGAGGAGAGAGGGTTACTTAAATGGGAACGGAAATCAGACCTATCTGATACATGAAAGTTCCAGCATGACTCATCCAAACAGTCTGGCCATCCATTTCGATTCTTACTTACTTACTTAATTATTCAGCGGGCAGAGCCCACAGCAAACCCTTATGGTTTTTTTCCTCCTTTTCCATCCTTCAATTTCTCTTTCACCTATTCTGTCAATTTCTCCTTTAGCTTCTTCTACAGTACCTCCATCAGTTCATCCTTCAGCATCTCTTTCAGAATCTCCTTCAATTTCGCCTTCCCTTTTTTGTCTCTTCTCAGTCTCACCTCTATCATTCAGAACTTTAGTTGGTCTTAAAAACGCACATTTTGTTGCGTCCTTCCTCTCCTTATTCACAATTTTCTCATCTTTTTCTGATACGCATTCTAATTTACTTTCTTCTTCATCTTCTTTTGATTTCTCAAGCCCAGAAATTTTGATCGCCTTCAGACTCATCCAAATTTTTTGTTCTCCTCTACTTCCTTGCTCTCAGCCACTGATTCTAGTTTCTCTTTTATATTTTTCCAGTCTCGTATGCTTTTCCAGCACCTGAATCAATTCTTCACCACCCAATAATTCTCCTTGTATGCAGGCCATTGCCTTAAGCAACTCATCTAAATCGTCTTCAATTATAGTCACTCTTCCACACCCGCTCTCATTCTCGTATACATCTTCACTTTCATAGCCAATCCATTCCGTCTCATCCCATTCTTCCTCCATTGTAGGAATTCCTCCTCTAAAGACTCTAATTCATCCAAAATTATACTACTGTCACTATCAGAGCTAAATTTTTCCAAATTTCTTTCTCATCTGCACAATCTTTGGTCAAGTTCCAAAGCAGCTTTGATGAGTCACACCTTTTTGGCAATTTTAGACTCCATTAAAATAAAAAAGTGATTTCGATTGATTCAGGAAGCTCTATATAAATAAAATGGCTTTCGCTTCAAGCGAAGTTAGCTCCGCTAACTTTCTCTCACTCAAGCAATGTTATTTATGGGGTTGGGTTTTACCTCGAGAACTTCTGCACAGCAACAGCGGTTTAACTTTGGAGATAACTAGAGGAACTGCTCCTCAGTGCGATCAAGACTCTCAGGTCTTTACCCCTCAGCACATCCCAAGGGAGATGGACCCTCAGGCGGAACACGCGCAGGAGCTGAGTCGGAATAAAGCCGTGGCGGCAGCGAAGCCCGTCGAAGCCGGAATGCCTTATTTATCCATGCCCTGGAGATCAAAAGGGGATCGATCCAGCGATTCCTGGACCGACACGTGGATAAATATGGTGGCAGTTCTGGAGTTGGCTACCCCGTAGTGGACGTTAAGCGTTATAGATAATTAAGATTAAGATTCAGGAAGCTCTAGTGCTTGCTAAGCAGTGGCATTGGGCGTAGAGGACGTATTTGGATTTAGGAATGAAACTCATTGTTTTCCTTTCCTTCAATTATAGTGTTTTACATGTCTACTTCGACAATCCTACAGAGCTGGCTGACCTCTTCACAATCCTCTATACAGACTGGAAGGCTTGCTTTGATCCTATATCTGCTATAATTAACCTCTCCTGGCAGGTAAGTATGGTCCAGTTGGGACAAGCACTACCTTACTTAAGTGCTTGACTTTTATGTACCCAACTTTAAAGGGCGGCTTCATATTTTGCGCCATCTGTGAAGGTAACCACGCCATCTCCGAGTGTCATCATCCGAGCCCTTAAAATGTCTCCTGACCTGAATATGGCTTCTAGGGCTCTCGTGAAGGAGAAGTAGAGATCTCTTTTATCTTCCCTGTTTGGGTCTCTGGGGTTCTTGGTGAGGTAGAATTTTTCTGGTCCTCGCCATGTGCTGTGCCTCGGCAAAATTTCGTGGTAGGTCTGTGTCAGAGGTGAACCCGAACAGAACGCCACTTTCGTTAACACTCAGATCTGAGAGAGCCAGAGATGCCTTGGGGTGTTCTTCTATTTTGCTTCCTCTACCATGATTAAAAAACGTTATAAACTTAATAGAGGAGATGATGATTTTGGGCTCGGAGATCTTGATAAAGATTTTGGTCAAGACTTTCTTAAAACGCTTTTTGTGTGGACTCTTCTTGATGAATTAGCCTGTAATTGCGAGATATTTGCATTTGCTCTTATACCCGGCAGTTTGAAATTCTCTTTCTTTTTTAATAGTCAATTTCCGTAAAAATCGTTTTCCATTATAAATAATTAAAATTGGTTATTTTATTATAAATTTTTTATCTTAAATAAGAAAACTCAATATTCTTTGTTTTTTCTGTATAAGGTATATAAATAATGGATTTTTTAGATGAAGTATTAAGCATCGAGGATAAGGCTTTCCAAGAGGGATATGAAATTGGGAAGAAAATTGCTGAAGAAACTAATAGAAAAGCTAGTCATTTAGAAGGATTTGAAATAGGGAAAAAAATCGGCTGAGAAATTGGGTATATCAAAGAATACGCTATGATTATTGGAGAAAATCCACCCACAGAGAGAATCCGAAAATTATCAGAAAGCATTCAGCAGTTTGACATAACCCCAGACTTAGATTTCGAAGAATTTGAAATGAAATTAAACACACTAACTCCCCCCCTCCGTGAGTGAACAAAACCATTAGAAAAATCCCTATTTTTTGCCAAAAAACCCACCCTCCGTGAGTGAACAAAACCATTAGAAAAATCCTATTTTTGCCTAAAAACCCACCCCTGTGAGTGAACAAAAATTTTTTTAATAGAAAAAAATTTTGATATATAAGTGATAATTAGTATAATGAATCTAGAGCTAATTCTGTTTAATTTTAAACAATTTGCTTTTTAAAACATAAATTTTACAAATTAAATTAATATTTGCTTTCCAATTTTTGCAAATTAGGATTTTTTTAAATTTTGGAAAAAAAAATATTTTATAAAATTTACACATAAATTTTTTTAAAACAAAAATTAACCCCCCTCCGTGAGTAAACAAAATTTTTTTGTTCACTCACGGAGGGGGGGAGTAAGAGCTCTCTATAAAAACATTTTATCCTTACTAAAGGTAAAGCCATCATTATCTACTCCAAGTGATATTTTCTAGCTATTAATGCAAGTAATAATTATCCTTTTCTCCATTATTTTGCCCCCCCCCAACTTACCTAAAAAATTCCCTTTTTCCCATTAATCTCTATTTAATGCTCACCAAAATTACCAAAAATTTACCCCAATCCTTATATCTAATAAACTTCATTTAATTTCTACATAAGTACTCAAACCGACCTCAAATCCAAATAAATCGGCGACTTTGATTTTTTATCTGTTGACTTTTTCAATAACTCATGCAGTTTATCCCCACAGCTTTGAAACTGTTCAATAAAATCCTTCGAATGTGACAGCTTTAACCCCAACTTGCTCTTTAAAATCTCTAAAGAATTTTGTGCAGCGAATATTATTTCATTTAATTTGTCAAGATGTGCTTCTTTTTGGTCTAGCTCTGTACAAGTTTCAGAGTACTTATCTCGGATTACTGAGATATCGACAAGATTTTCTCGCTTTTCTTCTTGATATCTGATGCCGTTTAAGGTTTTGCTTAATTCTTCTCTGTCTTGATTAAGTTTTTCTAGTTGTTTTAGCCCTTGTTTGACTGTTTGGTTGAGCCTGTTTTCTGTTTCTTTTAAATAGAGATAATAAGGATACATGTCTTCGACTGAGGTGACATTTGTGGCTTTTTGGATGTCCATGAAGATTTTTTCTTTTTTTCTGAGCTCGCGCTTTATGTTTTCCATTTCGTCTTCGAATTTTTTTTCACTTTCAAGGATTCTGAGCCTCCTTTCAAGTAAAATCACTTTTTTTTCTTTTTCACGCTGAGATTCTAAAACTTTTTTCCTTCTGCGGATTTCTTTTAGATAGGCAATTAAGGCATGGCTTTCTTCGTAATGGCTGGTGTTTTCATTGAATTTTAAGCTGTTGTTCCTTTTTACCATGTCGAAATTATATTTTGCGGTTTCGAACTCTTCAGCTGTGCTTGGTATTTCTGACCTAAATCTCTTTAAGCTTGCAGAATGATGGTTATATAGTGCAGAAGCTTCTTTCAGCTGTTTTTTAAGCATATTTATAGGCTTTCTTGGTTTTTAGTCATTTGATAGGAACTTTTGGACTTTTGGTATATCGTGTGGCATTTCCTCTATCAAAAAAAATTTTTTTTATGAGGAAATGCCACAATACAAAAATTTTCTGATAAATGAACGGAGCCGTTTTCTTAGCCCTAAAATTTCTAATCTTTTATTGATTACCATATGTTGTAAAGTTTCTGTATAAAGAGTTTCTTCAATAGTTTTATTACTTATATCAGCATAGTCGTCATTGAGCTTTTCTAGCTTATCGCCGCCATCAACAATTTCTAAATTGTTTTCAAGTAATTCTAAATCTCTTTCAAGAATTTCTAGTGTTCTTTCTTTTTGGGCTACATCATGGTGGATTTTGTTATAGGACGCTTTTAGCTGCATAATTGAATTTTCTATTGTCTGGGTAATCTTTTTATTATGAATGATAACGTCAATATATTGGCAAAGATTGGCCCCATTTCAATTGTTCGGGACTTTTTGCTGTGGGGCATTCCTCGGGAATTTTTCTTCGTGAGACATTTACTTGAAAAAAACCGTCAAATTCGATTAAATGCTCATGAATCGACAAATTCCTCCAAAGGAAAATCCCACTAGCAAATAGCCCAGATAAAAAAATTATGCACCATAAAAGATTAGACATACTTTGTATTAAAATATTTATATATATAAATCCAAAAAGTATAGCTTCTTTTAAAAAGGACGAAGAAGGCGAGTTCAATCTAGTCAAGCTTTTCAACGAGGAGGTAGGTGATGAGAAATCTCTGCATTACTTTTACATTTTTTTGGCTTTTTCCATCAAGTCAATTATCTTAGGTGACGTTGGAGTCATAGACGGCATTAAATTTCCTAGGTATTTTTTACGTTTAATAAAATTGTTTCAACTTGAGTTTGAGCTGCGATTCGAATTTGAAGACCGAAGAGTCGTTATTTTTTCATAGAGATCTTGCATAGAAGAAGATCTATTGCGTAAATTTGGGAATTTTTGTGAAATCTTGTCTCGATCTATTTCAGTGAAACTAAAAATTGGAGCATCTTTTGGTGGTTTGTCAGCTTCTTTTGACATTTATAGGATTTGCTAGTAAAAAGATAAATTTATTATAGCAAAATTATTATTATCATGAGCATTATGAAATTATGAGGGAATTCGTGAATGGATAGTGAAGGAATTTAAGCAGAAATAAGGGATATTTTATAGAGATTTGGTATATACTATCTTTCCAAGGACAGATTTCAAGCTTGTTGAGATGTAACTGCCCTGAGCTAGACCTATCTTTTGGATTTTGTGATGTATTTTCAAGTCTTCTTCCAGAAGACTTAGACCTTGCTGAATTTTGTGCAGGAGGGATCAAAAGCTTTGGGGCTAAATTTTTTAGCAGCTCAATAAGTTGTGATCTTTTGCTGAGCTTTTCTAAATCTTTTAAGGGAGTCAAATTTTCGCTTTTGTTAGAAGTTTTGATTTTCGGGAGATTATTTGGGATGACACTATTGACTTTTATCGTTGGTTTGTTTTTCTCTATCCTCCCTCTACTTGATGGCAAGCTAGCACTGATTTTCCTGAAGTGAGTTATTTTGTCAATCTAAATATTTCTTATGCTATTAGCAATGAATATATCCTTTAGTTTAAGGCTTTTAAATTGTATGAATATTCATATGATAAAAGCTACCTTTTCTTTATTTTCAATAAACTGGTCTTCATTTTCGAAATCAGGCTTATCTGGGATTTCTACAGTATAAGACCTCGGTTTAACCACAATCGTTTCTTTGTGGGGAAATAACATTTGCTCTTCTATACGATGGGCCAATAGCAATTCTTCTCTTCGAGGCACCAAAATAGGCTCTTTAATCCTTCTTACAGAGTTTATATGAATTGGATGCAGATTAAGTGTACAAAAATTGCTGCAAGATATTTGTTATTTAGCTAAATTTATTAAATTTACACTCTTTAGAGCTTGATTCCATTAGCCCTTTATAAATATCTATAATAAAAATGATGATTCCGATTAAGTGCCTTATTTTCTTCTGTTTTAAAATCGTCATGGGTGTAGTAGCAGCTTGACCTCCTCTGCTCAGGAGTTTTATTTTGTCTTTTTATGGTCATTGTGTGGTCACTTGTTAAATCAGTCGATTTGAAAGAGGTATGCTGGCGTATTCTAACTATGGTTGTTTTAGGTTTTTCTCCGATAGGTTCATGAGGAATAGTCAAGTGATTCCCATAATGAGTGATTTCGAAATTCCAAGGAGAAACATTTATTTCTGGTTTCGGGTTCAAATGAGAAAGTTTGGCTTCTTCGTCGTCGCTTAAAGAAAATTTTTCACTTTCTTCAGCAAGCCTTGATATGGATTTTTCTTCTAAAGTTTTCCCGAGCATTTTTATATAATATAGGCAGAATTCGCCAAAAAATAAATTAAATTCTTTGTGAATAATATTAAGCACAATTTTTAACCTTTTTTATATTTGTTTTATCCTAGTAAATGAAAAATTTTCGGAAATTAATTATAGATAACAGCCGATTTCAATATTTTTGTCTATTAAAGTCAGCAATATTATGTAGACTTCAATGCTTATTATAATAATTAATTAAATCATATAATGATTACAGTCTATTCTTCCACTTCCTAACTAGTGAAAAGGCTTCTGTAATAGTGCTCTGCCCTCCTTTATATAATGATACATCTCTAGCTTTGTCACACTGTTTCAAATATAATGATACAATAGAGTCGGATTCATCCTCCTCTAAGTTTTCAGACCCAAAATCCATCTGAAAACTGTTGTTTGCGAACTCATTTTCTTCTTCTTTTTCTGATCCTGAGCTTTCATCTCCGTAATCGCTTGAAATCAGCCTAAATCCAGCTTCACTTTCTTCATAAAAACTTTCAGAATTATTATAAGAAAATTAAAATAGGATTTTTAATAAAAAAAATATAATAAAATCAGACTTAAATCAATAGAGAATAATCAAAGATAGCTTATTTCCTTTCATTAAAGGGGAAGCTTCTGTGCTTTCTATCGAGTTGATGCTCTTTTTTAAAGAATTGGCTTTGGGGGATTCTTTAAATTCTACATCAGCTACATCAAAAGATATTAAACGCGGTCTAATTCCTAATGACTGTCTTGCAAACCGAGGCTTCAACGTGGTATTTGTATATTCTATGTACACTTCTAAAAGACTGTTTTCACCTTCAATTTGCAGTTTCTGGCTCGGGAATTTCAAAATTTCTTTGTCAGTCAGATTTGGGTCTCAGCTGGCAAAATCAATGACTGATTTTCTGATAGCTATTGAGATTGAAGATTTTACTTTATAGGTAGCTGGGAGAAGAAGGCTACCAGATATAAGAGTTCTGATACCGGATACTGCGTCGAGCTCCCTTTTTTTATAAGGTTTACTGAATTTAAATCTTTTGGAAGCCAATATAAAATTTCAACGTTCCAAAAGTAAGGGATGACAGCCTTCACATGTTTCCAGAACTTCTATAGCAAATTCTTTCGTTGGAGAATTTTCATTGAAATAAGAAGAAATTTGGTCACGAATGTTCATGAATTGTATAGTGGACAGTCTTAATGAAGTTTTTGTTAATGTATCTGATCTTGGTATTGAACTTCTTGACTGGATTATGAATTCAGTCGCCTTCAGTGTAAATTCAAGTAAAATGTCTGTTTTATGATTCTTTCTTTCCATAATGTTCAGATTTTTTATTATTATGATTATATCTAATATGATAGCAGGATTTAATAAATTTTAAACGTATAGTTTGTTGAGTATAAATGGCTAAGACGTCCAATAGATTTGCTGGGACAGGATAGATTTGATTTATTTTAATTATGTAAATGGCAAAGTTATTCAGGATAAGAAAGTTTAACCGATTGGAATTTTTGAATTTTAGAAATGCATTTTTAGAGTAATAGTAAAAAATAACTGACAAGAATTATCCTTGAATACTGAAAAAGAAAAGCAACAGAAATTTAAAAATTATGTAAAATTGGTATTAAGCCATATTAGAAGGGCTGATACAGCTGAAAAAATAACTGACCCTAAAGCCGGAATTTTTGAAAATGGCTGAGGAGGTTAGGTAAAAAATGATTTTGGACTTAAAAGGTTTCAGAGAATATTAAATATCATTATTTGATGCTTTTTAATTTTATATGAGTATTAATCTAATAAATCTACTTATATATAATTATGCATGAATAACTTAATTTAAAATTTTTTATCGAATAATTGTCTCTATTATTTATTGATTCTCAGAAAATCACATATTGTTAAAATCAGCGAAATGTAATTCTGAAATGAAAATAAAAGTTCAATATAAATGGCAAGGAGAAATCTGATCTCCTTATTAAGAAAATAATCAATTCGTAATTAAAGAATTACTCAAAATAAAAATTTATACATATCAAAATTTTTCTTATATAATCTGTTTATTTTTTCACAGTTTTTCTTCTGAACTCTGTCCTTTGAGTTACCATCATTTGCTTTAAATTTTCCTCTCTTGCTTTTGCAATATATTTCTGTAAACTCTCAGGCTCTCTGAACAACTCAAATTTTGGCTTATCAATAATTTTTATTTCTTCTTTATCAACGTCAGATTCACTCTCCCAAAACTCAATTTCTTTACTTTTGGTCACTTTTCCACATTCTTGTTGTATTTTATAAGCATTTTGCAGATTTACAAATTCGCTTAGTTTGTCAACCAAAAATACCTTTATAAAATTTTCTTTAAGTTTTGGGTGGAGTATATCTTTAACAGTTTTTTGGCTTGTATCTGTGGATCGCGAGGCAGCTGCTCTTTTATTTGAAGACCTTGATGGAGATTTTGCCATTAATTCGACTTGCTTGTCTCACATTAGATAGATTGCTTCAACTCTAGCTCGTTTAATTTGTAAAAATCTTCGGATTTTTCTTTGTACAAAATAAATTGATCGAAGCCATTTTGACATACATAAAAATAGCAAATCCATTTCCAAAATATCTTCAGAAGCTTTGCATACTTTCTGGGCCATTTCTGTCCTTTTAGAAAGTGAGAAAGAAACTATTAGATTTGCAAGACAAGAAACTTTCTAATTGAAAAATACTTTATGGCTGATTTTTTTACGTACGTTTTTCAGAATTATTCTGAATTTTCCAATTGTTAAAGAAAATGAATATAGTCATTCAATTGCTTTATAAGCTCTTTCATGCAATTTCTACTTAAAAATTACTTTTTTATTGTAAATTTTTCACCGTGAACAACTCATAAATCCAAATAAAAAAATTAGTTGAATTCAATTTCTTCGAATTTCAATAAACTCAGCTTTATTTTTATTCCAATTATCCTTTCTCAATTTATTTTCTAATTTTTCTCTCCTCAGAGATTGAGCTGATTTATTGAGTTCTCTTACAGAGTCCATAACACTTACGACTTTTCTATTATGATCTCCAGCTTTAATCTGGATTAATTGATTTCTTATGCAGTGTCTGTAGCCATCCAGGAATTTATTTTTTCGAATAATATGCTTGCCTGGGGTTTCTGATCTCCTATGTCCTTTTAATGCTATGCATAAATCTTACTTGATAATTGATGATAAACGGGATCTTCCATTCTCGTTGTTAACGGAAATTCATAGCTAAGTGCATTATTTTTATCAGCAGTCTCATAACACCCTGGGCCTATTTTTTCATCTGTCATAGATTCACTCCTAAATCTTCTTGGGATCGGGTACATAACTGGTTTTTCAGGCTTAATATTTTCGTAGATCTTCATTCTTTTTTTTAAAGTTTCGACTGCAGTTTTTAAGCACGGCGCAACAAAAATGTCTTCTCTCAGCATTTTTCGATTCCCTACAGTTTTGTTTTCTTGTGAAATTGAGGTATAGCAGTAGTCATCTACCATCTTCTCTACATTTTCTACCATCATATAGCATTTTTTGGCATCTCCGGTTAGGCTTGGCTTCCTCCTTTCAATTACTGATCTAGTAGGTGAAAAAATATCCATTGATTTGTTTGGCTTGTGAAAACTTGGCTTTAAAATAGTAGGTGCCTTATCCATAATTATGTGTGAAAATTAATTTAGATTTAATTTATACTAGACAGGCTTAGTTTAATAATTTTTTTAAGAGAAAAATCTGTTATTAGGCATATTCATATAATTTATGAGTCTTTATTAAATGTAACTCTTATATGTTCTTGCAGCCTGCGCATTGGCAAAGATTAGAACAATAGTTTCCGTTTTGGTAGCATTCGCAATATTTTTTAAGGCATGCAGATCTACTGCAGTGGCATCCTTTATTATGAACCGACTGGATTTCACCTTCGATTTCAATTGATTTAAACTTAGGTTTAAATGCTTCTGGGTTCCTTTCTAATGTTAAATTAATTGCGTTTTTTCGCTGAGTTTCCTTTTCTTCTGTATTAGCACAAGAGGTACAAGCACAATCAGTGCAGTACTGACCAGTGGCAAAACACTCACAATAGAGTTTAAGACACTTGGATTTTCTGCAACTGCACGTCAAAGGCTTCTTTTCTCGGGGTCTCTTCAAAGGAGAAGAGTTTGCAAGTGAATTTAATAGCGTTTCCTTATATTATAAATTTTTTTTCTATATCTATTTTTCTAATAGTATTTATCTAATAATTTAATAAGTCGCCATGATTTTTTTCTTCATCAGAAATTTTTGAGTCTTCAGTAGATTCTTGGGATGTCTCTTGAGAAAGTTTAAAAAAATCATTTTTCGAGGGAGTGTCAAGAGATTCTGAAATTAAATCATTTGGCTTACTATGGGCAAAGAATGGATAAAAAGGAGGAAAATAGCTTGTGAAGTGCTTTGGGTTGTAAGTGAAGTTTGAATTGAATGTAAAATGCAAATTATTTGAATCAGAAAAATCCTTCAGAGGCGTAATATTTGGGTTTAAGGGAGGCATGGAAATGAAATTTCGACTTGGTCGAGGCGTAAGAATGAGAACATCGTCTCTTGTTTTAATTTCTCCCATGCTCTCGATGCCTTCCATAGAATATAAAAAATTATTTAAGTAAATTGATGGCAGGGTTTTATCAAGCTCAATAAGCTTTAATTGATGGAATTTAAGCGGGCCAGTGAAAAAAATCAAAAGCGAGTTTATAATAATAAAGATCAAAAGATGAAAAGTTGAATTAAATTGCAGCCATCACATAATAATCGATATCTTATGGCTATTTTATTTTTATTAAAATCAAAAAACTTTTCTTTATGACGTATTAAACATTTTAAATAATGCTCATTATTTATATCGCCACATATAAATAAAAGAAGATTGAAATTTATGGCAGGATGCATTAAGATGGCGAACTAAACCATTCTGTTAGCATCTGTAGCTGGGTAACCCAGGGGCCTTGTGGAAAGGAGGATCCAGGAATGTGCATCAGGCCAGGTTTTTGCTAGTGTGGTGGCTCAATGTCGGGCATGCTCACATTCAGGCTAGTTTTTTTTCTCATGGGAAGGAGTGGAAACTCAAAAGTTGGAAATGGATGTTACAGCAGTGCCAGAAGTTGTTTAAGATGTTTAAGAAATTATTAAGTGATGGAATGCCAGTTCTTCTCCTTGCGCTTCGCCTGGCCAGGTTTGCATCTATCAAGGCAGGCTCCGACAACCATTTATCCCAGCTACTTGGAGGTCTTCACTTTGATCGACGAGTGTCCTCTCCAGGAACATACCCAAAGTGCTTTCCGGACCTTCGATCTGTGGGACGAAAACCCTGAAGGAAAAACACACCAGACTATCAATCTCGAGTGTACGTGGGCTTCTCTCTCTACAAATAATCATAGGGGCATGAAATTTGCTGGGTCCTAACTCTTGCCAGTGTTTTGTCTTCACCTCCCTGTTGAGACCGTAGCTCTATGAACTCGGCCATATTTTGTTCCTCGGCATAAATAATTATGAGAAGTTACTTTTTTTGCCAATCAGGAACATTTCTCAGCTTGCTATCAGTTGAGTTTCCATCTTGGTTTCCAGGTGACCAGAAAATTGATTTTTTGAATTTTCTGGGAGCTAGCCCTGTTGGCATACGGTATGGTGGCCCAGTGTCTCTAACTCTCGGTTAGCGAGTGCAAATCCTTAGACTGACAAGCAAGGAGTGTTAATGCAGGCGATTAGTGGTTGTGAGCTGCAGGAACTTCTTTATAAATAATTTAACATACATAAGATTTATGTCAGAAATCTTGAACTTATCAATGTCAAAAACGCCAAAAAGCCAAGAATCCTCTTTAGCCCTCAATGAATTCTCTCTAAAAAAGCCCTCACATCGCATCAATTGAAGCATGCCTCAGAATGACTTAACTGATATTATACGTTCGTCTCTTCAGAACTATCCAAAGCTTGAAAAAAGCATAGAAAATCTAGAAAAGCACCCAATTAATTGCAAATGTTCTGTCATGACAAAGCTCAATCACAAGCTTGAAAAAATCCATGGGTTTTCCCCTTATCCTTGTGCCTCTGAATTTTGCATTAATCGAATTTTAGGTGATAATAAACATAGTAGCGTTTTAGGCTATTTTGGAAAAATTGATCCAAATAGAAAACGACTAAGCGAGCCTGGGCCACCAAAGAGAAGAAAAGCAAATTTGAACGGGAAATTGATAATTAATGATCCTAATTTAAATGATATGAATCGCGCTATTGATTATTATCAAAAAATGAAAAAAAATTCGGATTTTCCTGAAAAATCTTTTGCGTTTGAAAGCTATTTAAATCCTCCAGATTTTACAGCCAAAATCCCTGATAAAATATTTTACAGCCCTAATTTTTCATTCCCAAAGCCTAAGAAGCAGAAAAGAATGTGTATTTAATGAAAATTATATGATTATTCTATTAACTCCCCCCTCCCTGAGCGAACAAAACCAGTAGAAAAATCCCTATTTTTGATTAAAAACCCACCCTCCGTGAGCGAACGAATTTTTTTAAATTTTGAAAAAAATAATTTTTATAAAATTTATATATTAACCCCCTCGTGAACGAAGAACATTTTTTTGTTCGCTCATGGAGAGGAGGAGGAGTAAGTAAAGCATTTTATTCATAGCTAAATCGCTAATTAACAATCCACCTGTTGATAACATTTTCCAAGTTATTTTCACCTTGCATATAGGACAGTGGGGCCTGATATTTGGATAATTTATATATTCAGATAGGCAGGGAACATCGTAAAAATGCCCGCAGTCTAATTTAATTTGGTCTTTATCTGATCATTCACCACACAGCCCACAGCGATTATTTGTTTCTGGAAGAGTTTTGGATTTTTCATCATACAGGTTTTCTTCAATGGCTAGATGAGTTTCATTAGAAATTGTAGTATTATCTGAAGGTGAGTCATAATCTCCATCAGTGTCTATTTCGCTTTCTGTGCTCAGTGGGTTTTCTTCTGATACTGTATCTCCGTCTACATATTCGTATGAATTTTCGGGGCATTTTTTTTCCTCAGGACTTTTTGCTAGTTCGGGACATTTGGTCGAAATTTTTTTCTCGTGGGTATTTTCCGAGGTAAAAATTTAGACCGAATATGTATCACTAGCAAAAAGTCTCGATCAAATGACATAAAGCCGAATTTTCAGCGGAAATTGTTGCATTTTCCTGTGATGGGTCATTTAATGGCAAAGTATTAAGACAATCTTGTGAGCTTAGTGATGACTCAATGCTGATAGTTTTTACATCAGCATCATCTTCTGAAGAAATGTACCCATGCTTGAAATATGTTTTTATCACTTTTCCAATACGGTTTTCTTCTTGTTCCAAAAGCTTCAATAGATTTTCTTTTTTTGAGGTGTCAAGCTTTTCTTTTGGCTTTTCTGGGTTTATATATGAGATCCAATTAGGTTCTGAATCTCCTGGGTCGCCTATTTCTCCTTGAATTCTTTCTAAACCTTCATAGACATCTGATAAAGAAGGTCTATCTTTATAAGGAGTTTTTAGCATTTGAGCTATAAGCAGCGCTAATTTTTCAGGAATATCATGTTTAAGCAGTTTTTTATAAATAATGTCAATAAATGAGCTTTCGTACTCATACATGATTTGGGCAAAGGAGCATCTTCTCATCTTATTGGAATTTTGAATGGATTTTCCCCTATATTTTTGAAAATCAACCCCAGTCTTTTTAATTAGGATCTCGAAAAACGTCTTGCCAAGTGACCAAACATCTTCCTTTTCAAGATTAATTTTATCACTATTCTGAATTTTATCAAAATACAATTTTAAAAGTATTGGTGACATATACAAAATGGTACCTGTAATAGGGTAGGTTTCTTCTGACAAGCCAGTTTGTCTTCGAGTGATCCCGAAATCGCCCAATTTGAAATGCCAATCTTTACAGACAAAAATATTTTCAGGCTTTATATCCCTATGTGAAATTTTGTGCTCCAGCAATACAATTAGAGCATATGTAATGCTTTTAAACTGTTTCACAAGCCATGAGAGAGGCCAATATGTATTTTCACTTATTCCCCTTGGTTAGTAGGCAAAATAATTGGTTTTGGAAAAAGTAATCCATTTTATTACCGACCAAAGATTTTTTATATATATAAATTTTTTATACAAATAATTATTTAATATATAAATATAGCGTTTTATGCAGATTTCTTTGAAGCAATAAGATTTCACATAAGCCCTTGGTTAGTGAGCAGAATCTTTTTGCTCGCTAGTCAAATGGGGAAGTTAAAAGCTTTTTCATTGATTGTGAGATGCTTCCATTTTCACAATATTCCATGAAAATAAAGAATTTATCATCATATTTCAGATGATTATAATATTTGACTATGCTATGTGACATATCGCTTACCTCTGAAAAAATTTTTGCTTCGTTCTCATAATTATGCTTAATCGTTGAAAATTCTTTTACAGCAGCAATAAGAGGCACTCGGTCAGATTGCTTATGACGATTCTTTAGTTCTGCGATAAGGATTCTTTTGTTTGGAGGCATCTTATGAAGTTGAGTGTATCGGTATTTTGCGTAATACTCCATTATTTAACTATAAGTAAAAGGTAAAAGATTATTGATTTCAAGTATAAGGAACGCATGAGTTTCAAGATTAGATGCATTATACAGAGAATTTGCATATAAATTTATTTTGTAGATTTAATTAAATCTCTTCTGTTCAAAATAATTTATCAATAAAATGAAATATATGAAGAATTCTAGCCATTTTATTGTCTGTGAAATGAGACATAGAATGTATATATACATTGAATCAAAATGAGCATCGGTTGAGGAAAGTTCTGGCAGGGGATATTGGGAAAGTAATTGCAGATTCCCATAATGCTTAGACATATAGGCAATTTTTGGGGGTTTTCAGTTAGCTAAAAATGAAAATTCGAAGTTTTAGGGAGATATGATAACAATAAAGAAAGGCGGCAATTTATGATTATAAAAGATGAGATAGGTCTCTGCTATTTTTATTTAAGCTTAAACAATTGAAATATATAATTTTTTTTCATGATGCAAACAATGGCTTTTTTTGGTAGATAAGAGTGCAAAATTGCAGATTTATCATTGAAATTGAATAATCATAGGATTATAGGCTCAAAATTTAAATATTATAATACCATACTTATCAGAAAATGTTATTAATTTAAATAAATCCTTTTGATATGCATTTAGTTAATAATTTATTTAGATTTTTATGCTTAATTGTTACTAGATATTTATTTTTGAATTTTTGGCAAAGTTAAAATACCGTTTAAATCTAAAAATTTCTGTTACAAAATCCCTTTTAAATATTCAATAGAACTTATAATTCCAAATAGCGGAAATATAAATTTTACTATTAAGTTTAGATTATAAAAATGATTGAAGACTCTTATGTTGATAATGAATCAACTGCTATTATCTTACAGAGCCCCAAGTGAGATACAGAAAATGATCTTTCAAAGAATGTTAAAAAAAAGTATTTAAGAACTTATTGGAAGCAGAGGACAAATTGATCATAAATTTATTTTAGATAATTTGTATCTGAGCTTTGTGAAAGGGTTATTATCTATCCTATTTTGGTGATGGAACAAAATTTTATATTATAATCAAAGGAAGGATATATAGAAATTCCAGTCAGACAGGAAGAAACAGGAAATCTAAACTTTATTGAAGCTAATCCATTTAGGATTGAGTTGAATTTTCAGGGTCCTCACTTGAAAAAATCTAACCTACGCCTTTATCAGTTATATTCAAATTATATCTCTATAGTATTGGAGCTTTCACTCTATCTAATATTTAATTTATAAATTTGTATAAAAATCGTTTAATTTTCCAGAATATAATTATATTGTTTTAAAGCTTTTATGAGTTAGTGAACCCTATATCAAATGCAATTTAAAGCATTTTGCAAGTTAAAAATAACGAAATTGATTACAGTTGAAAGTCAAAAGGTAAATCGAGCCAAAATTTCTTTTAAAATTAAGTTTTATACCTAGCCTATTGAGCAAACAGTCTGAAATAAGAGATTTTCAAAATAATTATAATCTTTCCCACTAACAATTAAAATAAGCATATTAAAAATGACTGAGAATTCCTATGATGATTTAGATAAGCTTATTGAAGCAGTCATACACATTTGTAGCAAAAAACCAAATGAAAGGACTCAATCTGAACTCTCTAAACTAATGGAAATGACAAAGCATGCTAAAGTGTTCAAACAACTAATAGAAAGTAAAGGCGAAATCGCTCACAACACATGTTGCAGATTCCTATTGCATGAGTGTTGTGAAGCTGGGGAGTACTTATTTCGCTTTGGAGACAAAGGAACAAAATTTTATATTATAATCAAAGGAAAAGTTGGCATCGAAATCCCTATTAAACAAGAAGACACAGGAGAGTCAGTTTTTGTTGAAGTTGTCCAGCTTGGCAATGGAGCTGCATTCGGAGAACTAGCCCTTGAAAACTCAAAACCAAGAGCTGCCTCTGTTAAATGTAAAGTCCAGACCCATTTTGTAGTGTTAGAGAAATCTGACTATGACCATATGATCTCAAAACTTGTCAGAGAAAAAAGAAACCAATTAGTAAATTTTTTGCATGCTTTGCCAATTTTCAATAAAAGCACCAAAGGTACATTATCTAAATTGACTTATAATTTCAAAGAAAAAAATTATATAAAAAATCAAGTTGTTTATAGAGAAGGCGAAGACGCTGATAGTGTTTATTTAATAAGACAAGGAGAATTTGCGTTCTATAAAAGAATTACAGTAGAAAGAGGACTTTCAAGATACCCAAAAGAGATAAAATCCTTAAATAAAGATTATTCCCACCAAAGCCAAATCTCGATTTTAGGTGTAGGTGAATTATTTGGTGAAGAGGACGTTTTAAATAATAACGTAAGATCTTCTACATGTATCTGCATATCGCCTAGTGCTTTGGCTTTACAAATTGGGAAAAATGATTTTTTGAAGAGGATAAGAGGAGAAGATTCATGGTCTGCAATTAGAAGCAGGTCAACAGATAAAGTAAAAAATATTGAAGAAAGAGTTAATATGCTGACTTTTATAGAAGAAGAGCTGAAAGGAAGTCTAACACCAAGAAGGAAACGAAAACGAGAAAAAGAACAAGAAAAGTTATTGAAAAGTGAAGAAATCAAAAAATCCCCATTGAAAAAATCTGAAACCATTATAAAACTCGAAGAAAATAAGAAGTCTCCTTTAAAAAAAATTGAAGCATTAATGGTAAACCAAGTTTTTTGCAGAAGAAAAGAGTCATCAAACTCTTTGCTATACAAAATGGTCGAGCAAGAGTTAAAGCTAAAGCCTCAGATATTGTCACAGACAGGTGTAGTTGGGAATGTTAAAAATAAAGAAATAAATTTGCCTAGGTTTAGCAGAACAATAGATGTAGAAAAATATATTCCAAGAGTAAAGAAAAACCCATTCATGAAAAATAAATTTGAAATTGATTTGTTCCAAGATGGGCTTCCTATATATGAGCATAAAAGATCGTTGTCAGCTTTAAGAGTGGTTAAAACTGAAAGACCTATATTGATATATGGTTTAAGGCATATATCTCCATCAAGTATAAGGGCTGTTTCTCCAATAGACTCTAGACGAGGGAAAATGTCTAATTAATTATGTAATCATTTTTGATATTAAGGAGAGATTTATGTATATATGCTTTCTGAGTCTTTATTTAAGGATAAAGTATAATTATAAATCCCAAATAACACGATTTCTACTTGTAAACATATGCTAATTGCATAATAGACATGCAAGTAAATCATTTTCTTTTATAAAATCATTTTAATTATAAATTGAGGACTAATTCTTAATAGCAAAAAGTTTTTCATAAATATCATGATATAAAAATCCTAAATTATGAAGATCAATTAACTTGATTAATTTTCTTAGGAAAAGTAAAATAAATCAAAATTTACCAAATCTCAAATTTCTGATTTTCTCTCAAATCCTAGATTTATTTACTTAACTCATTTGAAAAGCAGATTATTTGTTAAGCACTTTTTATTCAGCAAATTCTATTAGTACTTTTCGTATTTAGAAGTGGCTGGATGTTTGCAATCTAAATATCCTCTTAAATCTTCTTCGCATTTACCACCATGCTGAAGACAGTTGAAAACCTTCTCATATGAGGTCTTGCAGGATGCAGGAACTCCCTTAACTTCGTTATAGCACTCAATCAAGTGCTCTGCATAAGGCTGACAAGTCTCTGGATCCACTATTTTCCCAATTGGTCTTTTACGGCATTCAGCAAATTTCTTTACGACTGGTGCACAGGAGCTATAAGCTTTGGCTGAATGAATAAGGTTTGAAAATACTTCATCTTTAGAGTACAAAAATTAATATTTTTACCAATTCCTATATTGAAAATTTTTTAAAAATATTTTTATTTCAATTTTTTATATTTTTAATATTTTATTCTTTGGGAAAATACATTTGGAATTATTTCCTCCAATTAAAAGATATAGAGTCAGAGTACACATCGACTTGAGGAGGGAGGAACTGGAAATTCCAACTATTTTCGACCATTTTATAAACTGAATGCAGAGCCAATATTATCTTTTACCGAAGATTTAGCTTCATGGTTGAGAATGATTATAGAGGAATATAAAATCAAGTTATTTATAGAAAAATGATAGGATATGAGATTTAGAATTGCTTAAATCAAGAATTATAATATTATTTATAAAGTTTTATCTTAACTATTTGCATCAAGATTATTGATAAAATTTGCTTTTTCTTGAAATGCATGACTAAGAAATTTGTAGCTAACTTACTTTTGATTAAAAATCCTTTGCCCTTACTCCCCCCCCATCCTTGATCGAACGATTGACTGTAAAATTCCTAAAAATTGGGGAAATTAACCCCCATCCTTGATCGAACGATTTTCATATCATGCAAATTTTTATATACATAAAAATATATATTAGTTATCAAAAGTTTGGGAAGATGCACATGCACATGATTAAGTTGTTTTAGAGAGACTTTGAGACGACAGAAAGCTTCGAAATCAACCATTCGAAGTTATTTAGTCATCAGCCTAGTCTTAAAAACTCAATAATCTAATAAAATAGAGATTCTTTAAAATTTTTAAAAAAAAAATATTTAGTTTAATAAGGAACAAATTAAAATTTATACAGTTTAAAAGGGTGACTAATAAATCAAAATATTAAAAATTGGTATTTTTATGAAATTAATTTAATTTTTTGCTGTAAAAACTAATTATTAAATACTCTTAACCCTCTTATTTAAAAGTAAATAAAAAAAAATATATATATATATATATTTTTATTTTATATATAAAATTTTGTTCCCAAAAAATTTTTTTTTTAACCCCCATCCTTGATCGAACGATGGCGGGTCGTTCGATCAAGGATGGGGGGGGGAGTTAGCAATATGCTCAGAAATATTAAAATTAAATAAATACGACTTTGATAATAAAACAAAATTGGGAAAAATTATTGCTCATTTAGCAAATTCTTTTATTGAAATTTAAATTTCTTTATAATTGTTAATTTAAAACATATGAAAAATATGCCAACTACAAAAATCATTTTTGATTTTATTATATACACTTATTTAAAAATTTGTTTCAGCCAAGAAGTTCTTTGAAGCAACTGTTTTACAAAATTTAGACCATAAGCCTTTTGTTATCGTATTGGCTTTAAAATAAATCTGTTTAGCATATACTAACTCCCCCTCCGTGAGCGAACAAAAAATTTTGTTCACTCACGGAAGAGGGTTAATTTTTTGTTTTATAATTTATTTTTTGAAATTTAAAAAATCCAGTTCGCCAAAATTGGAAAGCAAACATTAATTTAATTTATAAATTTATGTTTTAAAATGCAATTTGCTCAAAATTAAGCAGAATTAGCTAGAGATTTCATTATAATAATTATCACTTATATATCAAATTTTTTTCATAAAAATTTTTGTTGTCACGGAGGGTGGGTTATTTTCAAATAATAGGGATTTTTCCAATGGCTTTGTTCGCTCAGAGAGGAGGAGTTAAAGAGTAATCTTGATTAATTTCAATGAATTAATTAAAATTAAAATCATAGAAAGAGAAATTCAGTTTGAGTTAGAAATAATAAAGCTTTCAAGCACAATTTAGTTTTCATTTACAATTTTAGAATGAAAATCATTAGAAAAAAGCTATTGCTTGATTTTTTGTTGACAGTAATTAATTGAATAACAAATGTCCGTTTCATCTAAATATGAATAACTTTTATAAGATAATAAATAAACTGGTGAGAAATTATTGAACTCTGAATCTATCAATAAAGGTTTTATAATATTCCCTGCAAGCTATCATTTTAATTACTCCATTTTATTGTTTTTACAAAATCCAGATTTGTGAAAATAAAAAAATTTTTAAATTTTATGACATTGTGTCTTAGAATATTAAGTTTAACTAAACTTATCGTAAATCTTATTGCAATCTCCGAAGACCTACCTCCTGCCCTATCGCATCCCAGCATATAGGCCCATGCGAATAGGAGCAAAACTTTGAAGGACGTGAGACGATTTTCGGCAAAACAGACTAATGAGCGTTATGGAAAGGGATAAAGATCTTCGATACCAACAGGAAACTTTTCTATAATCTAAATCAGTGCAAATGGAAACTCAAAACCCAGGATGCAGTCTTTGTATCGTGTTAGGAAAAATCTATGATTGGTCAAGAGATAAACTTCTTCACTTGTGAGAGATCTCTTTTGAGCTTGTGCTCTATTTCGTTATAAAAAACTTCTCCAACTGTTTAAGAAAACCTTGCCGATACATTTATCGGATGCCAGCATCCTTCCTCAATGTCTCTTCACCCTGAAGGATATCTTCTACAGGAGTTTAGAGGGTAGTTCGATTCGCCACACCATTTTAATAATATGTCTAAGAATGAAATCAGTTTAAAATTAAATAAAATAAGCTAAAAGTGCTATTATAATAATTATTACTCCCTTATCAAAGAGTTTTAATAAATTTTTTTCTTAATATGCAATTTTCCAAAAAAAATAATAATCCTGCATACTCATGAAGGGTCGAGCTACAAGAATATAAAGTGCTGCTTGCTATTCTTGTCAATTAAATTAGCTATTTCTATCACTTACTTGCAAAAGTAATTTAAACTTAGTTTTATGCCAAAATTAAAAAAATATATTATAATTATTTATGCTTAAAGTAAATTCTCATAAAAAGTTTCACATGCATTAATTTTCTTATTATCCTTCACTGAAATAAAATGGAGAGACAGATCGAGAAATTCGAACTATCTAATCAGCAAAGCAATTCTACAGAAAGAGAAAGCTATTATGGTATTTCGGCTAAATTTAATGCAACTGCTGAAGGCTGTTTAATCGAGTACTTAAAAATCCACAAGTCTTCAACTTTAAGTGAACTTGAAAATCATATAGAGGCCAATATTAGCTCACTCAGAAACTACAAAGGCAAAAAATATGTTCAGACTCCAGAGCAGGTCACCAGGTCAACCCTAATCAGAAACAGACGGATTTTTACTGTTGAAAGTGAAAAATGGTCGATTATTGTAACGTCTATTTAGGCCAGAAATTTAGAGGAATTTGAGAATGAGCAAAATGCATTAATTTTTAACTATTCGAAAAAGAAATTAGAAAAACAAAAGCAAAGAGAAGAGGAAGAAGCTCAATATACTGTGCTCAAAAGCTTGTTGAAACTTGAAAAGGTATTAGGGGATGAAAACAATGAAAACGAAAATTTTAGGAAAGCAATTGATGAAGCGTATACCAAATTAGCTAATAATAGTTAAATGGTTTATATTTAATAAAGTTCATGATCAGGCTATTATTTTTAGTAATAAAACGATATGATTTTATAAAATTTAAATGAATTTAATCCAGATAGTTAGGATCACAGATTAAATTGAATATTAAAGCTGAAAGGCGGCAATAATACCTTGAATCTTTGGAGTTTGACACTAAAACGTATGGTGGAGTTGATAAATAGTTATTTAGAATGGCTCTCTGTTAAATAGCAATGCGAACTGGCGCCTGCACTTAACATAAATTTTCTAAAGTTAAATTAGCTTAGCTCCTAACAGCTAAAAATTGTCCTTAATCAAGGAAAAACTTGCAAAGTATAAGAATTTTACCTATAATGATGAAACTTAAAAGACGTTTTATTTAAGATGAAAATAAAATTTAATGAGCTTTAAAATGCTTTAAAAAATCATTGTTTTTAAATGGTTTAATGGGACTAATATTTTAATATATAGTGTACAAAAGCTTATCCAATTTTAAAGATATGGGAGTCTAAAAATTAAATTAACCATTTAGATAGCTAAATTTTGTCGAGCATGAACGTGTTAATTTTTATAGCAAATATTTTTTTCAAAATTTAAAAAAAATTCCACTTCGCTGCTCGCTATTTAAAAATTATACAGAATTAGCTATCTATTTCATTATAATAATTATCACTTATATATCGAAAGATTTTTTCAATAAAGATTTTTGTTAACTCGTAGGTTTTTACCCAAAAAATAGGGGTGATTAGGTATTTATTCCAGATTTCGATCTATTAGCTTCTATTAATCAAATCCAAGAAAAAATTTAAAAGGTCTTAAAGACAAAATTAATGAGAACAGTTTTATTGATTATTGTTCAAAAAAGAATCACTAGACTGAAGAATTGTTATTCTGCAAAGCTAAAGACTGAAGTTTGCAATTTACAAAAACATTTTAGATTGCATATAATCCTATAAAATTAATTTTTCCAAACCCTATACTTGCTTATCAGAGTAAAAATTATAATTTTTAATAGAGGCTCTTTTAGATAATTATAATTTTATAATTTGGAAAACTAGCATCCGATCTTAATTAAGATGGTTAAATGTTCTCCAGAAAGCCAACCTATAGCAAACCCAAATAAAAACGAATCCCAAAATATCACTCAAAATCTCCTCCTATCTTTAGAAAAATTTGAACAGGAAGAGCAATATGTAACCTCTTCTGATGAAAGCGAGCAATTTGAAGATCCCAGCCCCTGAAAGCCAAAAATTCTGTGCTCCACAGACCACGTAGAAAAATACAACAATACAATTGTAGGCTGTTTAATTAACTATAGAAACTTCCTTGGAGTGGCGCTGCAAGCGCAGGCCACTCCATGGGGAATTCATGGGTTGGTCGAACCAACGCACAGTTTTGGTTCGACCAACTCCTATGTTGGTTAAACCAACACAGGAATTTCACATGGAGTGGCCTGCACTTGCAGCGCCACTCCAAGAAAAGAAGTATATATGAGACCTCGTGGCCCAACAAGAATCGAAGATCTAATTGATCACGTAAAAACAAAAATGCATAAATTAAAAAGCCTATCTGGCAAGCCATACAGGAAAAATGCAGTTGAGCTGGTAGATTATGCACTTACAAATGAACCAAAAATATTTTTATTGAACGATAGTTTTCACTACTATTTAAATGTATTGTAATTGCCCGAGGATGGCGCTATCTTACGCCATCCTCGGGCAATTTAAAAAATGGCCCACACCGGGAATTGAACCAACGTGTGGGGCCATTTTTGGTACGTGGAAGTCGATGTTCTCCACATACCAAAAATGGTGCAAGATAGCGCCATCCTCGGGCAATTCCTATAACAGATAATTAGGAAGACTGCGCTGATGCGTATGAAAAGCTGCACAAAAGAGGCAAAAACAGAAAAAAGGAAATGACTAGACAAGAAGAGGCGGAAAATTATAAAAAGAAAAGAAATAAACATAAAGAGATAAAAACAAAAATCCAATCTCAGCTGGAATACCAAAATGAAGATGTCTCCACTTTAATTAAAGCATATGCAATGCTGACATCAGAAAATCCTATGGTAGCGGCCGAAGTAAAATTTAGAATCAACGACCTTTATAGAGCATTAAAATAATTTTTAATCAAAAATTTACTTTATTTATATGAGTTAATTATTATTTATTTTCATATTGCTTTTTTGAAGCATAATATAAAATGATATTGTGCCAATTTTTGTTTTGCATGAAAACTATTCCTTCGGCGTATTTTAGTTTTATAGGGCTTGATTAACAGTTAACCTTTATCCAGCTATATAGCCCAGGAAGAGATAGAGATCATTCTGGGCTGGGAGAATGCTGAGCATCTCCCTAAGTTGGTTCTCAAACTCAAGCTGACGAACCAATTAGTAGCTGAAAAATGCCCTCATATTAGGCATATTTATTAAATCCCCAAGTTAGTAGACTAACTTGGGCTATTGCTCAATATCCCAGCGCATAGGCGGAAACACCTAGTCCTTGGATATAGGAGGTATAGAGTTTGGCTGCTTGACACTCCAAAGAGAGATCCTTTGGTGAAAAACTCGCAGTCAAGTTTAGTGGAGAAATGCATCCCTTGAAACTTTCTGGCCTGGGCATGCAAATGACGCAACTCAAAACTCCTGGGCGATTTAGGGCACTTGAAATTAAAGGGTAAGCTTAGCCTTTCATCCTGTGGAGGAGTATATAGCGCCTTTCTTAAGATGGCGCATTGCGCGCCATCTTAAGAAAGGCGCTATAGCACGTTAAAAACATAGTAATAAGTTAAATAAGCTTTTATTGAAAATTTTTGGGGATCCTCACCAATTATAAATTCGATTCTTTGTCTAAATTATATTTAACTATTTTAGAAGCAATAAAATTGTTTAAATCACAATACATAAACTTTAAATTGCATTTTGAGTTTTTCTAAGCCGTTTCATATTAGTTATAATTTGAAAAATTTAATATTAAAATCCTCCCGGTAATATATTAAAACTTTAGGTTTGAATTCAATTATGGTATTAATTAATAGACTGAGCCTTGAAAAATGAACTTAAAATAAATTAATATTTTAGGTTTTTTCATAATTTAAAATGAATGTTACTCCCTTAACTAAGATTTAGCGAGTTTTTTATTGAAAAATATAGATCTACTATAAATTTAGTGGAATATGAGTTTTGGCATGAGAATGAATATACTTTCTGATCTTATAGCTAGAGTTTATTTTATACCATAACTCAAAACTTAGAAATGATTATCGATAAAGGCCCAAAATAGTCAAAAATTATCAAGAGTAATCTTATTATAAAGCATAGATTAGTAATTCTGGCCATATAATAAAATGGCATGGGAAGTCAACTCGCCCTCTTAACTCCTGAAGCTGGCATCCTACAGGGTGCACGCCTTCGTCCGGTAGGAGCAACCTTTGTAAGGTTGTATACAGATTAGCGAGCAGGCGTGCCTTAGTAGTAGAGATGGTCCTTGCAGAATTGCAGCGAGCTTATCGATAAGCCTTAATAACAATAATTAGCTAAATTCTGGCCTAAAATTAAATGATTAGTAGACCATAATAAGCAAAAAGTAAAGGAAATTATAAATCTAAGGACCCTATCCATCACTTAAATAAAAGAGATATAGCTATAATATAAAAATATAATTGATTAATCGGGTTGGCTAGCCTAAAACTTAACCATCCCAATAAATTTCATTTTCTATCACAAAATTCCATGAATTTAATAATGGTTTTCAATTTAACCATGGTCTCGAATTGAACACATTATCTTATCCCTAATTCAAATAGCAAGCAATAGTTTAAAATAAAGTAAAAAAACCCTTTAAAATTATTTAGAAAGGCAAAAGAAAAAGTAGCATAACGGTTTTACTGATTTTCATCTATAACATCACGAGGGAAGTGTGCTTCTATCTTTTAATTAATAAAATATTACAGAGCTGGCTAAATATTAAATTATAAAAGTATATATCAATATAAGTATATTTTATTATATTTAGAGCTAAATATCATTTTAGTTTATAATTAAAAGGAAATAACAAGGAATGGACAAAAATACTAGAAACTTTTTGACCGTAGACGAGAAATATAAATACACTTCTGTTGGATGTTTAGTGGACTACCTTAAAGCTCATGGGCATACCCCTATAGAAGCGCTAATTGACCACGTTAACTCAGTTAGGCATTTGATGACCACATCTAAAGGAAAAGCCTTCACCAAAAGCGCATTTGAAATTGTTGACCATGCGCTGAGTTGGAACCCAACAATATTTAAGCTAGACGATCAATTTCGCTACTTCTTAAATGTAACAGCAACTTAGGATCAAGAAGCCTCAAAACACGAGCATCATTTCAAAGTTGAAAAGCAGCTAGTTAGTAAGATAACTCTTAAATAGCTTGAAATTCTGCTTTCTGAAGCCTTTTATGTGAGATAAGAGCTCTGTTCTGAGCAATAGATCGGTAATTACGCAACCGTTACAATTTCATTCATCCCGGATTCAAAGAACGCTCTTGTTCGGCTACCCAGTTCCAGTTGATAGCGTCTATATAAGCCCTTTATTGAGCTCAAAATAAGATAATTGCCCTTACTAAAATACCTCTATTTTAATTATGAAAAGTAGCAAAACACCAACTACTTAAGGAAGCGGGCAGAAATTATTAAAGAGAGGTTGGACAAAAGAAACGAAAATAAAAAGAGAATGGAACGCATTAAAAATCAAATAGTAAATGATTTAAAAGGACCAGCAGAAAACTACTCTGTCATGACCAAAGCTTATTTGATTCTGATTTCTAATGACAAAGATAGAGCAGAGAGCTTAAAGAGAACTATTAGAGAAACGTATATTGCTTTAATAAAACCATAAAGCAATTAATTTTTAATAAAATCTCATATATTAAAAGAAGTGATATTAAAAACTATTGCAAATTTCTATTTACTCATTACTTTATTGTTTTATTTAATAATGATTAAGGCTTTTATTAGAAACGTTTAACTTATTTCTAAGTATTGCATGCTATTTTAGCTTAAATATGATCACTAAACACATATGCTTAAGGCATAAACAAGAGTTTAATTATTAAATAGCAGAATAATCTAATTTTAAATTTCAGGGTTCAAAACGGATTCTCCTAAAAATAGATAGAGATAGATTAGAAAAATCTCTAAGAAAATCATATTAGTTTATACAGTTTTGCGTTTTAAAACACAGTAATGAATTACGTATGATCGCGCCCAAGGCGCCTGAATTTTTTACTTTCCATTACTATTTTGACAAAATTTTTAACAGCATCAATTTCACTTCTCTGACTCTTCTTAAATATCATTTTCATTTGGCTTTCGTATTTTTTATATCTTTTGGAATCAATTTTGTATATTTGACCTTTTTCAAGTATCAGCATTCATGCTGCAGAAGGATGTTCTAGTTTTCCATGATTCCTCCAATCCTCGAAATGCACCTCTATCTATCAGCTCTTCAAATATTCTTATAAACCCTCCTTTGCCATGATTTCAGATCTATCCCTTCCCAAAACAATTATTTAACCCATATTTGTCCAGTTGACTCCTGCATCTGCTTTCTAACCTCAATTTTCCCCAGTTTTAAACTTAATAACTCGGATTTTATAGAAAAGATGCATCTCCAATATGAAATAATATCAGAACTCTATTTTGATGGCATCTATAGCCATCTTGTAGAACACACCACAAAAGGCGAGAAAGTCTTCACTATTTGTGTTTACCTCACCTAGCTCGCTTCAGCATGTGCTCTGCCGAAGAGTCACTCCCCTTAGGCGTGTCAAGCAGTACGAACCGTATGCCTCCTTTTTTCCTTTTTCGGCTGAATTACCCTATAATTGGCAGTGGACAAATGTATCTGGAAAAACTGAATCATATAAACTCTTATAGAAGAAAAAGTTTCAAACAGAGCTAATTTATATAGTCATTTCACTATTATGATTCGCTAGTGATAAATAAAATCTTAGGTTGGATATTAATTTTCCATGCAATTATTATTAATGCTACTTTAAGAAACTTTGCTTAATTTATAAAATGTTTTTAACAACTATCAAATGTATATTCTGATAATAAATAATTCTTTTTATTAGAAATTAAATAATGGCCTTACTTGAAATTATCGTCTTTCAGCTTCAAATTTTATTTTATGTTTCCCAAGCATATAATATTGATATATTAGTATCAGCAGTCACAAACCCAACTCTGGCAGAGGACTTATTGGCTTCTTTAAATGAAAAGCTGCAGAACAATTTCATGATTATTCTCACAAAAGCTGAAGACTGTGAAATTGAAAATGGCTGCTTACACTTGCCAAGTCTTGTAATTGACGCTACTTTTAATACTTTCTACTCATTTCAAGTCCAAACTTATTCAGAAGCTGCTCATTTTCTCTATATAAATTTGAGACAGCCTACAGGTGTTTACGGAAAATATGAACTTTTTAGTCATATTCCTTATAATTTTCATTACCAAGCATTAAGTCTACTAGTGAGCTTCTTCAATTGAGAAACATTTATAATAGTATCAAATAGTGCCGTAAATCCAATTGTCCTTTTATTTGAAAATGAAGGCAAAGGCTCACCTGTTTTTTGTACCGACAATGAAACACAAGATATTTATGATTTAATTATAGGAAGAGAAGTTAAAGCCAAAGGAATTGGGAATATGATAATTCTTAATAGTGGCCAAGGCTCTTCTATGATAATCAAAAGTTTGGGCTCTAAAATGATGCTGGAAAACGGATATGGAGTCATTTTAGGAAGTGACAGCATTTGAGGGAATTTTAGTAATGATGGATTGGTATTTTATACTGAAGAAGGTCTTGAAAAGGCAGAAAGCGATAGTCATTTTGAATATTTGGCTTTAGAAAAAATATTGGATAAGATTTTGCAGGTAATAGATTATAGAGCTTTCTCTTCAATGGCGCGATAAGGCGCATTCCTAGGTTTTACCGGAGGGTCTTGGACATATGAAAACCTGCTATTCCTTATTCATGGGGGAGACAAACAGCCTAAATAAAGAATTCTGCCTGATCAATCTCGAGAACTTGAAGAGAGGCTGTGTGAAAAATTTACATTTTGGTTCGTCAAATGGATCTGACGAGCCAATTCTGGCCAGAACTTGAATTAAAAAATGATAGTTGCCAGAATTTTATTAATTTTCTGATGAAGAGTATGATCAGAATTTTAATAATTCCTTTTGACAATAAAATTTGAAAATTCAAACTTTTAATAGAAGATTTAAAAGAGATAATTTAAGCATAAAGATAACTTAATAAATACTCTTTACTGCCTTAGGGAGACGATGCCAGTAATGATTTGCTTTTTTCATAGTGACTTAGCCATCTTAATTGTTTTTTAAAATTGGAAAATTCAAATTTTTTAATAGAAGATTTGAAGAGATAACTTAAGCATAAAGATAACTTAATAAATACTCTTTTCTGCCTTAGGGAGACGATGCCAGTAATGATTTTTAAAAATTTGACTTTTTCATAGTGACTTAATTAATTACTTAATCCTGTGCCATTTATTAAAATTCTGATCATACTCTTCATCAGAAAATTAATAAATTCTGGCAACTATCATTTTTTAATTCAAGTTCTGGCCAGAATTGGCTCGTCAGATCCATTTGACGAACCAAATGTAAATTTTCCATACAGCCTCTCTTCAAGTTCTCGAGATTGATCAGGTAGAATTCTTTATTTAGGCTGTTTGTCTCCCCCATGAATAAGGAATAGCAGGTTTTCATATGTCCAAGACCCTCCGGTAAAACCTAGGAATGCGCCTTATCGTGCTATTGAGGAGAAAGTTCTATATACAACTGAAGAAATAATTCAAATTTTGGAAAAGCAAACTATTAGCCATCACCCTGAGCCAAGTTTTTCTATTATAAATATACAAAATGGTGAAAAAATCAAAGTTGGAGAAGTTAAAAACGGGAAATTGCTGATTGAAAATGATATGGTTTATCCTGGGAACTCCACATCAATTCCTAACATGCCAAAAATAAGTATTACTATTTCTCTTGCTGATGGTATCACAGATCCAGGCAGCGCCGATTTCACTTATCTTGCTTTGATCCGACAAGGAAATCATTATGCCTTTAGCGTTGCTTACCAGTCTGGACTCCTTAAGTTATTATGTATCCGGCCATAAGCGCTCTCACAGGCGCTGACCATCCGCCCCGTCTCGGCTCCAAAAATGGCATGGCGACAATTTTGGATTTCCGACCTGAACCATCTGTCTAGGGGATTAGCTCGCCCTGGACAGAGCCGCTCCTAGATAGCGCCCCGATGGTCTCGGTGAGGAAATACCATGTGGTAGGCAAAACCTGTCTAGCCCATCTAGCAGGAACAGGGAAACCCTTCGGGAGAAATAAAACTTCCCTTTTCGGCAAGGCATCCCCGAGTCTGAAGGCCTGTTTCCACCGGAACAGAGGCCCAGGATGGACATAGGGAGTGCGCATCGGAGACAAAGTTTCATCAACGACACCATTTTATTTTTCCTGTTCTCCTTAGGAATTTCAATTTGAATATTCAGTCGACAGACTGTGGAGCTAGTGTTTACGATCCGACCTACTCAAGACCATGCTTTGGCCGGCTCAAATCCAATATGGGAGTAGTTTATTTGTCCTCTTTATATGATAATGTTTGCTATGGAGATATCTTAGATTTTCGAGCTCTCGGCATTTCAGCTCCTATCATATCTGATGGGTGTGCAATGCCTCTATTTACCAATAAAGCAGTATTCCCAGAAATTATGACAGTTCTTAAAGAAATGTCATATACAGCTGGACTTCTTCCTGAGCTTGCAAATATTTTTGGATGAAAAAATGTTGTACTTATCCAAAGACCTGAATGAGCTCAAAGCGCATATGAAATTGCGTTAACACAGCTCTCAAGTTTGCATATAGGGATCGCTAATAACCAGTCTTATTATTTCAGCACCACTTATACAATTGATCAGTTTGAGAAATACAAAGATTTTTTCTTAGACATAATCAACACTAAATGCAGAATTGTGATTGCCTTGGTCGATCCCATAACATTTGGAAGCCTCTTGATATCACTTTATGATTTAGGAATGAGAAAAGGTGACTTAATCTTTTTGCATCATTATAGGATTTCTGTTACAGATCTTGTTGTTGGGTTCGAAACCGATATTGATAAAATTCTTGAGTTACTACAAAGGTCCTTAACTGTACACACAGCTGAGTGGATAGGAACTTATGGTGAAACAATAAAAAACCAAGTCGAGCAAATCTTTCATTGATCAAATTTTTTAGGCTTTGCTTTTGACCAAACTATGTTAGCTTTAAATGGAATTGATTATAGCATTTCTAAAGGAGATAACCTTGAAAATTCTTCAGCAGTCAATGCCAACATCAGAAAACAAAGATTTGTCGGGGTAACTGGGACTGTTTCAATTGAGTCGGATAGCAATAGCAGAAGTAACTTTTATATAAATATTTTTAGTGTGCTTCCTGTTTCAAAAATATCTGAAAAAGGAGACGAAAAGGTAGGAAATTATAGCATCTCTGGAACCCAACGATTTTTATTTAATAAAATCACATGGCCAGGTGAAATAAATACAATTCCAAGCGATATGAGAACAAATCAAATCGACTGTCCATTTGATTATAGATTAGTTCAAGACTCTTTGGATGGGAAAATGATATTTTTAGCCATAGTCAGCTTCTTAATTGTGATTGAAATATTTTTAGGAATTTTTCAAAAAAATCGCTGGAGAGGAGTTAAAATTGAGAATCTTAGTGACCCAAAAATGATGAAATTTGGAGACATCTTGATAATGGCGATTCTTTGAATAGAAACTCTAGAATTAATAGCAATTGGTCCTGATATGAGATCTTACAGTATAGTGATTTCCAAGTCTATCAGACTTGTATCTTCAGATTGGGGTGGGCCACTAGATATCACTGGTGATAATTTTTGAATAGAAATATATGCAGTAATATCACTTATAAGCTTTATGGCCTATTCAGCCTGCGTATTATGAAAAAAAATGAGCAAAAAACATCATCATTACTTTTTCGAGCTTAATGAGCTAATCGCAAAAATAGGGATTCTTTTACTTTGCAGCATTGCGTATATTCCATTAGTCTCAATAGTTTTATCTGTATTTTTATGTAAAGAGAGGGCGGGGAGCTCTATTACTGATAGCTTTGTGTCTCATGATTGTTACACGTATTGCTGGTCAGGGTTTCATTTAGCGATTTCTTTACTGTGCTTTACTATTTTAATTATATATATGACTCTTGTTATTTATTTTCAGCCTTCATGACAGCTTTTTCATCCAATTTTCAATATTATTATAAATCCAAAAGTAGCAGTCTACAAATCAGCTTTGTATTTTATAATGATTGGAGTCAATAGAAATGTGTTTTTGATAGATAAAGCCTTAGGGGGCTTGATTTATTCCTTTATGCTACTTGTCCTTGCTTTTTTATACTGAAAAGTAAGGATTTATAATTATCCACGAATGAATATGTGGGCTATTATAGCAGTTTTTGCTGTAATTTGGAGCAATGCAGTTTCAAGTGTTTATTCCATTGTCAATGATGGAAATAATTTCTTCTGGGAAATTGCATTAGTGGCTGGGTGGAGTATTTTGGGGTTTGTTGGGATGCTATTACAAAATTTTAAATTCCCAAATTTATTGACTACAGAAAAAGGAATCGAAATGGGAGTTTTATTCAAGTTTATCTTACTCCCTCGAAAGCAAATAAAAAAATTTTGTTCATGAGGAGGCTAATGCTTTATTTAAGAATTTATATATAAATTTCATAGTAAATTTTTTTAAAAAAAATCCTATTTGAAATAATTTTAAATGAATATTAATTTATGTTTTAAAATGCAAGCTGTTTGAAATTAAGCAGAATTAGTTAGAGATTTTATTATTATAATTATCACTTATATATCAAAATATTTTTTCATGCAAATTTTATTATTAAAAAAATTTTTTGCTTGCTCACTGAGGGGAGGAGTTAGGAGGCAAAGTTTTAGCCACTGATATAAATGAATTGAAGATGCTACCACGAGTTCAAGGTAATGCTTCTTCAAATTGTAACGCCTCATATTCAGAAGTACAATTCTTCGTAGCTCCAGATGAACATTCAAAAACTAAGGCGCGTTTCTCAGCTTCTCAATTAGTTTTAGAAGCTTAACTATCATAAAGAAAAGTATAATAATTTGCCCTTTTTTAATTTTTTTTGTTTTGCAAAGTTTTAGCGTTTAACACTAGGCTATCCAATGTATAAAGAAAGTCAATGCTTCCTTAGTGGATCAAAAGATTCATCTGATTGCTTCAGAAATTTTTTTCTAGCTCATAATGCCTTTAAACCTATTGATTTAGCCTTTTAATCGCATAGCGATTAGAATGCTAAATATTTATCAAAGTAGTTATTTTTATATAACTTTTTTCAGGTGTTTACCAATAAGCATCCTTCTTATAAAACTCTATAAAGGCTGCAAAAGAAGGTACACGTAGAGCCAGCGCCGGATAGAACCAATCTTGGCCGAAGTTCAAGGAGCAATTTGAGCATGATGATCTAATATATTAGAAGCAGCTTAGTCTAGAGGAGGGTTAATGTGCAAAAAAGGTAAAACTAAAGAAGCACAGCTATCTCTAAAAGAACTACTTTCAGCTAGACCTTTATATTTTAATATCATCTTAGACACTCTAATTTAGTGTTAAAATATTAAAAAAATTATTTGCATAAACCCTTTACTTTATATTATTTCTCACCAATTATCTTACTAAAGGATAATTCAAATTTCTATCCAGCTGCCGTGCTTTAAATTTTCAGATAATAAATTATCATAAATTTTAATTTCATTTAATTTTTTTAGCTTCTCATTTCTAAAGCTCTTGCTTGAGCGAACAACTCAATTAAGCTTTCTAACTCCGTTTTCTCTCTCACTATAATACTCAACGGTGCTTGACTTCTATATCCTCTGAAGTTTTCTATTGAATCAGGCTTGATTCCTTCTCTCAAAGCTTGAAACAGCCTCATGATTTCTGCGACTGATTTTTTATTTTTATTATTTCCAATTTTTTGCTCAGAAACCGAATCCTCAAGCTCCTGGAACCTCGTTGTTGATTTTTCGTCTATTATGACCATTTCCCCTTGCTGATTTTTCAAAATGACTGAAAAAATATCAACCACTTTTGCAAGGATAAAAGGTACACTCCACGTGAAAACATCCATAAAGTTTGGCAGCATATAAGGATGCTGATTATAGTTATATTGCTGAATATTCAGGGTATTGTTGTCAAATTTAATTATTGCTCCTTTATTGTTGTAAGAATCACAATAATTAGGTGCAGAAAAAATGGTAATTACTGCTGGGAACTCGTTATTTCCGTTTCACCTATGCATTTTAAAGCCATCAGGCTGAGCCTCATGGCCTCGGATTACTGAAATTAAATCATTTCGCTTCAAAAAATTGTTCATTACATCGTTTCCAAAATAAAAACTGCATCCTCTTACTTCGTTTTTCCTCCACCCTTCAGGTAATCTTCCATCTGGGGTGTCTACTGGGTCTGATCACAAAATATCACAATAAAGTCCTTGCTTTGGAGGCTCCACAAACCTATTGAGTCTTGTCAAGTCTTCAATTGTCCTAAGCTCTGGCGAAATACCTCCATGTAATGCTAAAAACTTCCGATTTATTAAGCAAGAGATCGGAATACAGTCAAAGCTTTCCATTATCCTATCATATACCTCTATATCATACTTATAAATGCACTCAGTCCTGAAGTTGAAATAGGTCGTCATCTGGCGGCATTCATGATTTCCTCTGATCATATAAAAAGTCTGTGGGAAATTTATTTTGATCGCATACAGTAGAAAAACAACTTCTATTGAATAAACTCCACGATCTACGTAATCGCCGAGAAACAGGTATTTTGTGTTCTCTGGGTTTCCACCAATTTCAAACATCTTAAACATATCGTATAGTTGTCCGTGTATGTCTCCGACAATAGTGACGGGATCTTGAAGGAATAGTAGGTTTTCTTCTGATCTGAATATATTGGTAGCGATGTCGATCAGCTGAAGAGCATCTGTCTTCGCAATGCGGCCTTCTCTTTGGAAATGAGATTTCAGGGCTTTATATGAAGGCTTTCCGTTCCCGTCTGATGGGAAAAGCAATTCGTGGGAAATTGGCCTGTGAATTGGAGGTTTCACATCTTTCATGAAACGATCGCCTAAGGGATCAGATAATGGGTCCATATTTAAGTAAATTTTTCTGGCGAGTGCATAATATTAGGCAGAAAACTGTAAAAAAGTTTGATAGATTTATAATGTTGATAAATACATCGAAAAGAAACTTTTCATTAAGTTAATTAATTTTTAGCAATTCAGTGAAGTTTTTTAAAATTTCTGCTTCGTAATCAACAGGCTCCATTAATTCTACTTCAAATTCCTCAATATCTTCTGTTCTAGGCATGGCAAACTCTTCTTTATATATTTCCATTTCGCTATTGATTTGTTGGGCAATTGATAACTTACCAAATTCCTCAGATAGTTCACTAATTTTTTCAAATCTTTTTAAGTATTTGTTTTTTGATGCAATATAAGTGTCTCTTAACACATTATTTCTTATCAATGCCTCATTTCCATTCTTATTTTTTTCTTCTATCACCTTTCTTGAAGCTTTTTCAATAAGATTAAATAATTTATTCCTAGTCCTCTCAAGCAGATTTAAATTATTCTTTAGCGGAGTTGCAATACGCTTATGATCTTCTTCAAGTTTTGCAAAAACCTCTACACAATACTTAAGCTTTCCTTGAATTTCAAATTTCAGCTGCTCGATTTCTTGCTTTTTCTTATCTGCTAATTCTAAAACGAATGGGTCATCTAAAAGTATCTTTATCAGGCCTTTTTAACCACCAGTAAACAATTGCAACCAGTAGCCTATTATAGCAGTTTCTAGATGGAATAGGAAGTTTTTTGAAACCAATTAGCCAGTTTGTTGGTGGCTAAAAAGGCCCCAATTAACTATACAACTTCATGTTTATTGTGTTCTACCATGCAGCTAATACAAAGTAGCCTATAATCATCTTTGCAAAGCAAGCCAATTTCTTTTTGATGATCTTTGCAAACATAAAGCGGCTTATTCTCTCCAATTATCCCAAATAAAGCATAGTTAATAGGAATTGCAGCAAAATGGCGTCTTTCTCGGCATGAGCAAAATGGACAAATTATTTTATTTGCTTCTAAGCGGATTTTGTTCAAGCATTGTTCACATACAGAATGGCCACAATATAGAACTTTAGGAATATTGCTGGTAGCCCCATATTTTTCATAGCAAATAGGGCAGTTTAGTTCTATAGAATTTTTTGCTTGATTTTCAGTCGGGTTAGTATTTTGAAATTGAACTTGTGTACTTTCTTTTTTTAAAATTATTTGCGATGATTTTGATATTAGGCTCGCTTGTTGTATCGGATTAGATGATGGATCAGTAATTCCAGAGTTAGAAGAGTTGGCTGGAGGTGGAAGAAAAGGATTAGACGCGTTTGCAGAAGGCTGGAAAGATGATGGAGCTGCTCTTGGAAGCTCTAATATTCTTGCAGGTCCTTTATCAGAGATACCTTTTGAATCAATCTCAGTGAAGGATCTCGGAAGAGAGTGTGGAATAAAAGGGTTTAAGAAAGGGTTGCTTGGTTGAGGTATACTATGTTGCTCTTGAGAAGGGGCTGAAGGCGGTATTTGGCTCATTTGTAATATAATTTCTTGAACAAATTATTTATAATTATAATTAATATTGATATTTTTATTTTTATAATTCTCTATTTTGACCCTATAGGAAAGTGAAATTAAATAAGTTTTGGGAATCTCTAACAAATTTTCTTTAGTTAATTGAAATCTTAGATGAAAAGATACTCCTCAGCATAAAACTATTTTATTTTCAAAGATCTTTCAATTTTATTATTGCTTTGGCTCTTCCACCTTAATATTGGGAAGTTCAGCTAAATCTAAAGCTTTCAGCAGCTCAAGTGTGGCTGCATCCACTCTGATTTCCTTTGTGCTCACAATTGAACGCTCTGGAATATAATCAAGCTTCTTTTCTCTTTCTTCCTCTTGTATCTTTACTCCGCCCCCTTTAAATTGGAACAAAAGATCCCTCTCCAATTTAAGAGATTAATTTGTTTTTTACAACAAAAATTATATTTTAAATGCTTCTATATATAAAAAAGATTTATTATCTACAAAAAATAAATATAAATTGAGCATATGCTTTGAACTTTAATTTAATTTTATGAAGAATTAAATAAAAAAGTTAGTTGAGGAAACTATTTAAATAGCATTCTACATAAAATTTTCCTATTTACAGTTTAAAGAGGGTTAAAGTATCCAAAAATGCAAAAGTTACCGATGTTTTGTTCCAATTTAAAGGGAGGAAATAGCGAAATTCCTCTTACGGGACCCTTTTGGATTCTTTTCATAAGATGTGTGGCATAGCCTGCAATTTTATTTCTCAGTCCTTTGGTTTGAATTACGGCGAATTCATCACAAATCCTTTTATTTATGTGGAAATCGGCAGTCATTCTTGCGTAAAACTTTTCAACAATCGCTCTTGCAGCTTTTTTGACTGTTTTTGTTCTTACTCGACCCATATCAGGCTTTAATTATTACCATATCTGAGATAAATATAATATCTAAGACTTACAAGTACCTTTCAGGAGAAATCATAAGGTATTTGCAATCTATTTTGAAAAACTGACAGAAAATTATTATTGCTTTATCATTCTGATTCCTTTCTTTATGAGAGTAAAAATTGTTTATAATTAAAAGATAAACAAAATTTTTTCCCTAACTCCACCCGTCTTTTATTGAACAAAACCATTGGAAAAATTTTTTTGGGGCTAATAATCATCTGTGAGGAAAAAAAAAATTTTTTAATATAAAAAATTTTTCATAAAAAATATTTTGATATATAAGTGATAGTGATTATAATGAAATATCTAGATAATACTGTTGAATCTTAAACAGCTTGCATTTAAAACATAAATAATTTATTTTTGCTCTCCAATAATTGCGAATTGTGGAATTTTTTTTAAATTGTGCACTATAAAATTTATATATAAAAACCTCTGTGAGCAAATAATATTTTTTGGTTAGCTCACAGAGGAGTAGGTAAGCACTTAATTATAAGCAAGACTTTGAAATCTATATTTGGAACGTTATACTAGGGATAAAATATAACAATTTTGTGAGAAGTAATTTTGCCTCATTTAAGTGATAAATTTATCGATTTGCAAATCTTTTTATTTGTTTTTTTAAATGACTTTATGCTTCTTTTTAAGCACAACTAAAGTTAGAATTATGTTTTAGATATAATTGATTTATTATTTTAGAATTTTCAAAAATATTACAAGTTTTCCTTAATTCATTTATCCATATTTTTAAAATTGAAAAAATTAAAAATTTTCTTTCATATAATAAATAATAAGAAGATTTTCTTAGCTAATCAATTCATCATGCTTATTAATTATTTTATTGCAATTATAAATCAACTTATCTATTTATAAAATTATATCATAGTTCATGATATCCTTTTTTTTAAGTCAGAAAAAAGGAAAGCTTTTCTTATGCAAAAATAAAAACATTATAGATATTTAAACAATCTATTAAGAAACAATTATTAAAGGGAATTTCTGCTCTAAAAATTATATTAATACTCAAATCTTTTTCTCCTCATTCAGGCCATCATATAATTATAATGCATCCATGAGAAAAAAAAGATATTAAAAAATTTCTATATAAATAATCTCATCTAATTGTATTCGATGCACCTAAGTCTCTTATCTTTCATAATTTATAAATAAAGTATGAAAGTTTCAACATTTTGAGTAAAATAATATATAGGGCCTTCCTATAGATGGCGCGCAATGCGCCATCACCGGGCCATGTCGGGAGAGGGTTCTCCACGAGGAATGGTTCCACGTGTGGAACCCTCTTTTTGGCTCGTGGAAAAAGAGGGTTTCCATACGTGGAACCATTCCTCTTGGAGAACCCTCTCCCGACATGGCCCGGTGATGGCGCATTGCGCGCCATCTATAGGAAGGCCCTATATTAAATAATTATATAATAAATCAATACTCATATTTAAAAAAGGTAAAATTTATATAATAGGTTATTTATCAAACTATTAAGCAGAGAGGAATAATTAATCGAATCTCAAATAGACCTACTAAATTTTTCCAACTTTTCTCTATGTGCTGGCAAATTCATATTATGGAATCTTTTAATAGGTGCTTCGAAATTAAAAAGTCTCATTTTTCCTTAGTTTCTCTTCATCCTGCTGCTGTAGATAATTTCTATGAAAAGCACTAATAATTTCTAACTGGCGATGTAAAGTCCATGCTCTTAAAGGTAGCAAAAAATTACTATCTTATGCAAATCCCTCAATAAAAAGTATGCTTATAATATTCAAGCACTTGAATTCTTAACTCTGCATATTCCTTACAAACACACAAACAAAAATACAGTTTTCAATGCATAGATTCGATACCACAACGCTCAAAACTTTCATTATTTTTCTCTTGAATTATATAAATTACAAAAAATGCTTCGCAGAGCAACTCTGAATTTCTTTAAACTCACCCGTGGTCCAAAAATTGATAAAGGAGGTGTCAAAAAAGAAGTAAAGGGAGACATAATCAACATTTCCAAAGATCATATTGATCCTGAAATCAAGCATCTAACTTCTTTCTTCATAGGCAAATATTTTGGGAAAATTCTACTTTGTTAGAAAATTAAACTCTTTTGAGCGAAAAAAAAATTAAATTGTATTCAAATTACAGTTATAATTAAAATTTTGCTAATTCTATTTAATTTTTATGCATTAGTGGCCTACATAAATTTTATAATTAAATTACATTTTTATTCTCAAATTTTGCAACTATATATTTTTAATTTGTGATAAGAAAAAAATTAACCCCATCATTTATAAAATCTCAATTATCTAGACAATTTTCAACATTGGAAGAATCAACACAATCTAAATTGGAATCTAAGCCAGATCTTCTAAAAATGAATAAGCAGTTTATTGTACCTACAGGCACAGGAGGTAGATATAGGGTAGACTATGTATTAAATCATTCAGATTTGATTGGACAAATTATTACCATTAAAGGCTGAGCAAGAACAGTTAGAGTCCAAGGCGGTGGATCATTTGCATTTATTGAAGTAAATGATGGCTCTTCCGTCAAAGGGATACAAGTTGTCGTCAATAGTTCTTTCCCAGATTTCAATAAACTCAAAGGGACTGGAATTTCAGTTTCCTGCAAAGGTTTAGTAATAAAAAGCCCAGGAAAAGGCCAAAGTGTTGAAATTCAAATAGAAGACCCAGAGAAGCATTCATTTTCTATTATTGGAGACTGCGACCAGTCAGAGTACCCAATTTCCAAGAAAACTCATACACCTGAATTTTTAAGAGAAAAAGCTCATTTAAGATCAAGAACCAATTTAATTGGTGCCGTCTCCCGAGTGAGGAACGCTTTAGCTTTTGCTACACATTCATTTTTTAATTCAAGAGGATTCCTTTATATCCAAACCCCGATCATCACTGCTAGCGACTGTGAAGGTGCGGGAGAGCTTTTTAAGCTCTCATCTGAGAAAAAAGAAGGCAACTCTGAAGATTTTTTCGGAAAACCAGCTTTTCTTACGTGCTCAGGACAACTTAATGTAGAAACTTATTGTTGTGCATTGTCTGATGTATATACATTTGGACCAACATTTAGGGCAGAAAATTCTCATACTACAAGACATTTGGCAGAATTTTGAATGATTGAGCCTGAAATGGCATGGGCTGGGCTTGAAGAAAATATTGAGTGCTCTGAAAGCTATTTGAAATTTTGCATAAAATATGCTTTAGAAAATTGTGCGGGGGATTTAGAATTTTTTGATAAATTTGTTGAAAAAGGGCTGATTCTAAGATTGAGAAACGTTATAGAAAGGCCGTTTGAAAGGATTTCGTATACAGACGCTATCAATATAATACAGAAAAGCAAAAAAACAGTTTAAAATTATAACATAATGAAATGGAGAAATTAATTTTGCTAATTTTCACTTCCTTATGGAATTTTATTTATGGGGTTGGGTTTTCTCCCAACAACTTCTGTACAAAAATAGCGGTTTAAATTTGGGGACAACTAGAGGCAATGTTCCACAGTGTAAAAGACTCAGAGTTTTACCTCTTAGCACATTCGAGGAAGGTAATCCTTAGGCGGAACTCCCAGAGAAGTTGAATTAGGCAAGGGCAACGGCATCGTGCCGAGTTAGAAGCGCGCTGGCCAGTATGGTAAGCAATTTATTTGGGATGGTCAGACCTTTTGGATCAGTTTAAAATTATTCCAAACTGAGGGGATGACCTAAACTCAGAGCATGAAAGATATATATCTGAAGAAATAATAAAAGGGCCCGTCATAGTGTGCAATTATCCTAAAGTCCTCAAAGCGTTTTATATGAAGGCTAATGATGATGACAAAACTGTGCAAGCAATGGATATTTTGGTACCAAAAATAGGAGAAGTTATAGGGGGAAGCGCTAGAGAAGACAGGCTTGAGCAGCTGGATAAGAATTTAGAGTTCAAAAATTTAGATAAAGAAAAATATTGGTGGTACAGAGACTTAACTCCTCCCTAAAATTATTTTGCTTGCTCACAGAGCAGTTATTTTTTTTAGATTTTCCCAATGTTTTTGCTCACTCGCGCCTCAATTTTCTGACTTTTTTGGTTTTTTAGTCCAAATTTTTTTGCTTTGATAGAATTTTATCTTTTTTTTTCGAGCAATTGTCTCATGAAGAAAAAGTTATGATGAAAATCCGAGGAAAAAGTTTCTATTAAATAAATGACAACGTCGCTCTTGGAGGAAGAGAGTAAGGAAATTTGGATCAGTCCCACATGCAGGGTTTGGATTAGGGTTTGAAAGGCTAATTATGATGGTCACAGGAGTTGAAAATATTCGCGACACAATTCCATTTCCTCGGTGGCCTGGGCATGCAGAATTTTAAGATAAAATTAGATAGTCCTTTGTGGTAAATAAAATTTGAGAACATTATTATGATTTATAATTATATGATATAATAATGCATTCTTTTAGAGGATGAACTATTAAAACTATCATAGAAACTTGAGCCCTTGAGAAATACCTTTCTAACTATATGATAAATAAATATAGTATTTAAATGCTTTGCTTAAGTCTTCTTGTTCCTTCTTTAATTAAAACAAAAAAAAGCTTTCATGGGTTAATTATTTTAATTTTAAAATGACTTTTTCGCTAGCAAAGCAATGAGTAAAGCACAGATCTATAATGCTGTGATTAACATTAAAATAGGAAAATAATTAGTTGGTGTATCTATTTATCTATTAATTTGATTAATTTTACTATCTTTATACTTTCTGAAAAAATTATAACTTCTCATTAAATTATATAATTAATTCATGAAATCCATTTTTTCTCATTCGGTATTACAAACTATCAAAATGCATTTGTGAGCAAAAAAAAGATATTATATTAATTTTAAAATAAGCAAAATTTGCTTTATTAAATTCGGATTATGTAACCCTTTCTTTGATAAAAATATAAACGTTAAAATTTTTAAATTAAAGATCTAATTTAATTGAATCAATATATCAATTAATTAAATATAAGATATATTTTAAAATCGTAAGTCTTTTAACAGATTATTTATCTAGTGAAATATTTACAAAATTAAGATAAAATTATTTCTAGTCTATGATTCTAGACAAAATTCTTATTCCCTCTTCGTAAGAGATCAAAACCATTGGAAAAATACCACCTCCTGAAGAGCAAAAAGCTTTTTAATATAATCATTTTTATATAACAATATTTTAATGCATATGTGATATTTATTTTAATAAAAATCTTTTGCAAAGCTTGCATTCTAAAACATAAATTTCACAAATTAATTCCAATTTTTACAAATTGAATCTAAATTAAATTTTAAAAAAAAACTCAATGATTTATATATAAAACTTAGTTTCTCTCCGTGATTGAGCCATACATTAAAATGTCGACATGTGTTGCAGCCTGCTCTCTTGGCGTAGCAGTCCAAGCCTTATGGCTACGGCGAACTAGGACGGATTCAGAGATAAGAATCAAGTGTAGGCTCAAGAAATGTGTATCCGGATAGGTTTTGGCTGCTTTCCTGTTGTTGGAAATGGAGGCGATCAACAAAGTCTTTTTGGATCCGAGTACCCATGGACATTCCTCTACCGAGAAACTGAGGTTTTGGCCTATGCCACAGGAGAGAAGTCTTTTCCTGTAGCTGTCAAAGGAAGGCACTTCGACCCCCGTAGACTCCAAGGATCTTGGAATCAAGCTTCTCAAATCGCCAGTAGCAGCAGAAATCCATAAGCACTCAAGACTGAATCTGCAAGGAGGAAACAGAAGGTACCGGAAGTGATACAGACCCTCTGAGCTGGAGTCGAAAAGCTGTAGAACCTCCCGTACGGGGGTCTCCAATATGACTAGCGCCTGACTTTCAATAACCTAGCTTAAACTCTCCATGATTGAGCCAATTGTTTTATGCTTCCTTACAGAGGAGGGAAGTTAGAAGTAAACTATTAGCTCAATCTATTATTTTTTAGATAGATTGACGCATTAAGCTCTTTAAATAGAGCTAAAATTTTAAGTGTATAATTTTATCAATTATTTTAGAAATTTCAAAAATAATATGTATATTTTATTACTAGGCAAAAAGTAAAAGTTTTTCCTAGGTATTAGATCTCTTATCTACTAGTTATATTTATTTTATTAGCTTATTTCTAATATTAAATAATTTGCTGCTTAAAAATGGTATCATAGACCATCATATCTTTTTTCTCATTATAGTCGCTATTCACCCTAACTCCCCCCTCCGTGAGTGAATAAAAAAATTTTGTTCACTCACAGAGGGGGGTTAATTTTTTTTTTAAAACAAAATTATATATAAATTTTATAAAAAATATTTTTTTTCGAAATTTAAAAAATCCTAATTCGCAAAAATTGGAAAGCAAATATTAATTTAATTTATAAAATTTATGTTTTAAAAAGCAATTTGTTTAAAATTAAACAGAATTAGCTCTAGATTTCATTATACTAATTATCACTTATATATCAAAATTTTTTTCCATAAAAATTTTTCTATTAAAACAATTTTTGTTTACTCACGGAGGGCAAAAAATAGCGATTTTTCTAATGGTTTTGTTCACTCACAGAGGGGGTGAGTAAGCACACTTGTGAGCAAATAAAAGATATTTTCTTCTATAATTTCTATTTCTATAATTATATCTCAAATAATACAAATTTTTTCGAAAAACTAATAAAAGTTTAGAGTTATAATTTAGAGTGTTTTTATATTTTTGATTGCTTCATTAAATACAGATTTAATTAATAATTTTGATTACAATTATTATATTTACATTACCAGCTATCAGCAATCAAATAAATTTTAGAATTTTCAAAATGGTTAAAATTCTCTTTAATTCATTTTATCCATCTTTTCTTCATAGGAAAAAATTAAAAGTTTTCTTTCATATAGCAAAATAATTAGATTTCTCAGCTCGTTTATTTATTATTAGCGTATTTTAATTATCATCCAATTTAATTTTCTTATTAAAATATATCATTAGTTCATGATATCCATTTTTGTAAATCAGAAAAAAGTACAGGCTTTTCTTAATTAATCAAAAGATATATACGGATATTCCAGCTCATTAATCCTTTAATTGCTTATTTAGCTATTTTGATTGGAAAATCAATTTAACTACATATAAAAATTATATCATTAATTCATGATATCTATTTTTTCCTCATTCATACATACAAACTTTTAAAATGCATTTTTGAGCAATAAAAGATATTATCGAAATTTTTTAATTTATTGCTTTATAAGTGAAAATCTGATTAAAGTGTTTATATATGCTTTATTTTAAATCAAATTTCAATATATTTAGCTATATAGTAATCGAGATAACATTTGCATAGGAAATGCTGACAAGCCTTAAATATGCTTTAATCAGATTTTATGATTTCACGAGCGTAATATTTATTGACAAATTTATTTATCTTACTCATATTACAGCATCGACCAATGCAGGATGGAATATAATTCAAACTTTATAAGAATTATGAACATTATAACTAACTATACCCTGAGAGCCTCCTTTTGGTTGGGAATGTCCTGACTATTTTGGCATAAATAGAGAGTTGGCTTTAATAGCATTTGCTTGTGTTATTTCTTATTAAAGATTTGTCTAAGGAGCTGGGATATCCGATATAACCCAAACCAAAAGGGGGTTCGGGCAATACCAATTTTAGATCTATTTAAATGCAAGTATGCAAATATATAGAGCTTCACAGAGTCTAAAAACAACACTCATAATTGTATAATTTACCAATTTAACGAAGAATATGCATATAGTGTGCTAGTTACACGCATAAACCTACCAAGCTTTTAGGGGCTACGAAAAATTTTTGTAGGGAAAAAGTATTCCTTTAACCAAATGAAGAATGATATAAAAATATTTTTGGATTTTCAAAGAATAGGCCAATGAAAAATATTCTAATGCTAAAAATTTTGACATGCTAAAATTTCAAGATTCAATATTTTGGTTTGCCAAAATGTTTTAGTTTACTAGATTTTTTGGTTTTCCAATTTTTTTTTAGACTAAAATTTTTCTAATTTTTTCTCCATTATGGATAAGAAGTCGTTGTTTTTGCGCTTTTTATTGCCTTCCCTACTTTTTGGGCACGCTGAATCCCCTTCTCATTAAAGCAGCACGCTTTCCATATTTTAGAGCTATTTTTCATGAATTAAAAAGTGTATGTATTTTCACCAAACATCGCAAGTAATCAAGGTAGTCTTAGTGCTTTTCCATGTATTCAAACTCTTGCATACTCAATCTAGGCTTTTAAATAGAATGATAATATTAAAACTCATCTTTAAATAAATATATGTTGCAAATTTCAATAGAGTATGTCAGTCATTATTCAAGATAAGTTATGCTATTATTCTTATTTATAACCTCATACTAATTGGCTTATAGAAATTTTAATTATTTATCTTAATATATATAATAGTATCAATATTATAAAGACTTTTGTTATAAATGATATAATTATTTCTCCTTCATCTCTGCATTTCCTGTTCATCTATAATATCTCCAATATAAATATCTTTTTTTTCTTTTAAATTAATAAATTTGGCTCGTTTGTATCAAGATTAGATTAATATGATTTACTGACATATTGCTGTCGGGAACTCAGAGTGGATATAGCAACCCAAACATATTGATGCCCACTTATGACTTCAAGGGCCATCTTGCTCTTATAAAAAACGAGCCTTCTAGACTTGAAGGCAAATAGAAACTTTAACTTTTGGGTCACTTTGATCAAAACAATACTTATGCCTTCAGTTTACCTAACGACTAGGCCTTAATGTATATGGCTTTTCTGAAGTTTTGAATAAGGGCCACTTAAAAAAAACCTAAACACAGCAAAAATAATATTTCTAGATAAGAAATAGTTTTTGGTGATAAGCCTAGTCTGTACTAAACCATTTAATTTTATATTCCTTTGTGTCAAAGAGGAAAAAAAGATAAATTGTCAAATTTTGATTCTCAATAAGAAAAGATTGGGTTTATAAATATATTAATTTAAAATCAGCTTAATATAAACAAATGGTGATGACTTTAACCACCCTCTCATGTGTATATCCGGATATGGGTTTCTGGAATCAATAGTTAGTCCAGTAGTACTAGTGTCCTGCAGAAAAGGGCTTAAGCACAAATCCTGCTAGTTTGCACCCTGATTCATAGGGCATTACTTGCGACTTATTTTTGCCAGCAGGACCTGAGCCAGCAGACACACGAGATGGAGAAGGGTGAATTACCTATTCAAGCTGTTATAGTGGTCTACCCCGAATCGCGGGAAGTGACAGAGATTTTTTCAAGGATGGCTTGAAAATAATGAAGATAGCTAGACGAAAGCAAAGCAGTCTGTCCGGTTCAAGGGATCTAAAGAGGCGCGATACTTTCCAAGGGTGATAGGCAGGCGGAGTAACTAAGCAGTTGAAGGAAGTTAGAAATTGTAGCGCCCGGCGAAGGGTTTAACCTAATAGGGCATACCAATACTGAGAAACAGGGGTTTCGGCCTGGGTTTGGAGTTACCAGAGGTGGAAACAACCAAATTTAGCTGTGCCGCAAGGCTGCTAGTGCCGAACAGATAGCTAATAAGAAGCAAGGACTTTCAATACTCATCTATTAATATATATCATATAAATTCAGCTTGGGTTAAATAAAAATTTATTATAACTATCTAACATTTTTAATTAGAAAAATTATATATATTAATTATTAAAAACTTTTTTATTTAAAAAAATTTACTTTATATTAAAATAAAATGTGCCTAAACTATTTGATTTTTATTATAGTTCATTATTTAATGATTCTGCACTATATATTATTTTAAAGCTTGCATTAATATAAAATTTATCTAATTATCTATAAGTAATAATAATTTTAACAGCAAAAGCTTATTTTGTACCCAATTTTACTAATAATTCTCCATATCTATTTTTTGCTCATTAATGACATTTTATTATGAATGTAAAAAATGAGGAAATCCAAAGATATTCCATTTTTTTGTTAATCTATATTATACAGAATAATTAAAATCCAATCTTTACCCTTGTGAAGCTTCTAGGTTTTTTAATTTCCTCCAGCTCTTTTATCATTTTTATTTCTAAACTTTTCTTATCACTAACAGTCGGTAAAAAATCTTTTTTTACCCTTTTATCATAATATATATCCATCCTATCCCTTACCCATTTTCTCTTTGGCTTAATTTCTCTTTCTTCTTTCGCTAGCTCTCTAAACGTCCAATTATAGTATTTCCCTTTAGGAGTTACCGCTCTGGCTTCTTTAAATTTAGGAACTTGTGTCATTTCTCCAGTCGGGATATCCATATCAGCCGATTTTCCAATTTGCTTTATTTTTTCTTTCTTTTTCCAATAAGCGACCCAATATTCATCAGAATCTTCAGAAAAATTAAATTGGGTGTATGCTTTAGCCTCAATTGATTCATTTCCGTCCATCCTGTATTTTCCTTTTTGTGGATCGCTGTTATTTACTTTCTTCAGCGTCGTTTCCACTTTAATCAAAGGATCATAAGCAGGTGATGGGTCGCCTACAATATGGACAGGAAAAACTTCCCCAGTTTTTGTAACTTTATTCACAATAGGAGGTGGAAGTCCTTGGGCTTTTCGAATTGTGGACTCAGGAACATAAACTGGGTATCTCAAAGGGACTGTCACTTCGCCAATTTTTTTCAGAAGATTTGCATTAAGTTCTGGCTCTTCATGGATTTTGGTCAAAACTGAAGAAGGGTCACGCTCTTTGAGAAGGATTTTTTTGGCTTGATTTTGTAAATGCATGACGCGCTCTAGGTGGATTTTATATGGGGAGTTTGACTTGGATAGCTCTGTATATGGAGTAGATATTGAGTAGTCTTAATCTTAATCTTAATTCGAGATTATCAGCTGCTAAGCTGTTATTTTTGACGCAGTCACCCAGACCCGAAGGTTCCTCCTCTTTGCGACGCTGCCTACAGGACTCCAACTTCTGTTGAACGTCTCCTCCTTGCAAGCTACAACCTACCTCCAGTGTTGAGCTGCAGATTTAGGAATTCTGTGGCCTTGCTTGAGGCTGTGGAGTACAATGTTGTCCACACAGAAAACCCAAAAAATGGATTTTCTGATCGACTTTTGGCAAAAAGAAAAAGTTGAAGCCCCGGGCGAAACTCCTGGTTTCTCGCTAGCGGCATTGCCCGATGGCCTGGGTGTTCCCTGCAGGCATAGCTGGGCGCCTCCTTTTTACCCTTGAAGAAAAAACCAATAGGGCTTGAGACTGCTTGGCCGGAGGCCAAGCCTAAGTTGAGACGCAATCTTTAAAGTATGATATTGAGTAGTCATCAATAGGCTTTTTATAAATAGGAGATGGAGAGGTAGTTTTAGATCTAAATGAAGGAATTTGCTCAGCTGGAGCTTGAGATGTAGAGGAAAATGAGGAGTCTCTTTTTGACTTCATTTCTGCAAAAGAGCTTTCTAGTTCTGATAATCTTTCTAAGCTTTCTCGGCGTTTTGTTGACTCTAAAGCACGGATTTCTTTGATTCTTTTAAGCTCACGCTTATGGTTTCGTACTTCGTTAGCGAGTTTTTCTTTTAACGCTTTCACTTGTTCTTGTTTTCATAATGGAGGTCCTAACATATTAAAATTTCATTTTCCATCAAATAATCGAGCAAATTTTCTTTATCTCAGCTTTTTATTCCTCATATAAATCTACATGGAGTCATATAAATAATGAGCACTATTTTGCACTCTCGCTTTTCTAATGATTCTAAATCTGCAACAAGAGTCCTTTCAGAAAAACCAGAACAAAAAGCCAAGCTCTTCTGGAAGTCGTCAGCACCTAGTGATTTGTCTAAGCTTTATTCTAGCCTTCATCAAGAAAAACAGAAAACTCACAGAAAATCAATGCCGAATTCAGACTCCTCACCTCCTATAAAGCGAAAATTCAGCCCAACTCAAAAGCTGATTCGTCATAATTCAAGCAACATTTTAAACCCAATTTTCCTCAGCAATAGGGATTCATTCCAAAGGTTCCTTCACACGAGGTCTACTCCATAAAGACTATTTTTTTTTTTGGCCTATTTTTTTTGGCCTATTTTTTTTGGCCTATTTTTTTTGGCCTATTTTTTTGGACTTTTTTTTGGCCATTTTTTAGCTATTTTTTACTAATATTTGGGCCTAATTTCATACTAATGATTTTAATATAATTTTTAATGCATTTTAAACGATTTTATCAACATAAAATACACCTTTAACAGATCTCTTACTCCATGAATGCTAATTATTACTTTTTAAATTTCGAGAATTTTAAATTTAATCAGGATTTTTCCACTTAATTTACTCAATATTAATCATGTAAGGAAATACATCCGCTACCCAATAATTATTTAGTCTCTCAGCAGCTTCATGAATTATCCTCGACAGAAAAAATAGACCAAAAAAAATAGACCAAAAAAAATAGGCCAAAAAAAAAATAGGCCAAAAAAAAATAGGCCAAAAAAAAAATAGTCGTTATGGAGTAGACCTCGTGTGAAGACACGCATTCCAAAGGCACCTTGTAGCTCCGATTTCTGAAAGGGTTTGAGCACAGGTATCAGAGATCCCTAACAAATGTACATATTCTTTAGACATGCCAAAAAAGGACTTTTTCTCAGCTTCAGTTTCATCTCTTTTGATCCCTAAAGCCAAAATTTCATCTCCAAGACTAGTTTCTATAGAGCTCGAAGATAAGTCAGAAAGGTTTAAAAGAAAAATCATCAACTCCAATGTAGTTTCATACTTGGTGTCAGAAAGCAAAATCAGGCCGTTAAGTTCTTCATTGAAATATCAATCTAAAGGAGATTTAATTAAAGAAGACATGAAAAAGTTTGTAAAGAAAACAAGTGCTGTGAAAAATAGTGAAAGGGGATATTCTAGAGAGCCGAATAAAGGACAGAAAATTAAAGATATAAAGCTTTCAGATATGAAAAACCCAATGGAGCCTTATATTGAATATATTATTCAAAAAAGAGAGAGCTTGTACTAGTTAAGTTTTTTGATTGTGCATTCTCTTAATATTAGATCAATAATAGCATTGCTTAGATAAGAATTGTCTTAAAAATATTATTAGTATGGCAGCAGTTAATTTTGACTCATAATATAGGACTACATAGGCTATTTAATTTTCCCATTTGTTATATTCAAAATTTCTGATATATCAAAAATTCCTTCTTGAGTGATGTCTGAAGAAAGTCTTCTTTTTATTAGTCTATGCTTATGATATATCAAATGAGCTGTTTCCTTTTTCTTCTGATTAGGAGTGCTTGAAAGAGACCTTTGTTTTTTAATTCTACCCTTTCTTTTTTGATGTAAACTTGGTGTCTTAGGTCTCAACGCAACAATTTTTGGCTTATCCAAATCAGCAGTCTCAGTCCATTCTGATTTCATCTGTATCATTTTCTCCTCAAATCCCACAATCCTTGCATTTTTTGGCTTTTCTATCTCTAAGCGGCATATTCTTGGCGAAGCTGTTATACTTTCATTGCCATCATATAGCTTGCTTGGCAATGGCGAAGTTTGATTTGCCCACCAAGTCTTTCCCCCTTCAAAACTCTTCTTTTTCCCTCCAATCTCTCTATACCTCTTTATTTGTCCTCTCATTTCCTTCAAAATCTCACTGGTCATCTCATATGTTTTTCTGCAATATGTTGGCACAGGTTTATCTTTCTCATTGAATTTTACAGTTGGCATCACAACTTTCCCATCTTTTTTCATAATAATTAGTTAGTTAGCCTAGCTGCTTATCTTTGAGATGTCCTATGTTTAGCTTGAGTCTTTCTATTTCCTCTTGGACTTCAGCTTTCCAGTCAGATCCTAAGGATAAGTTAAAGAAAGGTGCTAGAGCGTCGTCAGCATTTTCATCAGATTGTTCTCCACCTGGCAATTGTACGCCCCATTTGTGCTCGAGAGAGGTGTCATTTGCGATTGGGCGAATGTATTCTTCATTTCAGGTCTTGATTTTCATTTTTCTTTGCCATTTCGTAAGTCTTCTGGCTTCTCTTGGCTCCATAGGGTATTTTTCGCCTCTATACAGTTTGATGCCGACATGTAAGGGATGAGGAATAGGCTTAGCAAGCTGCGCAAGCCATGGAGGATATTCGCTTACTACCTATTGTATCAAATAAAATTTTTAGTTAATCGAGGGATTTTTTTATATTAAAATCCATATTTGAAAAATATGTTTGGACAACGAACTGTTTATCTATATATTAAATATTTTGAAGAAAAATTTTTGCTTAACTCTCCCTCCGTCAGCGGACAAAAAAATTTGATTTTTTCGGATGGGGATTTTATTTTTTAAATAAATTTTTTTTCCAAAATTTAAAAAAACCGAATTCGAAATAAATATTAATTTAATTTAAAATTTATGTTTTAAAATGCAAGCTAATTAAAATTAAATAGAACTAGCTAGAGATTTCATTATAATAATTAATTATCAAGAACATATCAAACATTTTTCCATAAAAATTTTTTATTCGGGTGGGATTTTACCAAAAAAATAGGGACTTTTCCAGCAGTTTTGTTTGGGGGCGTAAGGGGTTTAATCTTCATATTAACATTTTGAAGGGATGGAGTTTATAGGCTTGATTTCAGGATCAGAGCGATCTTTGAAAATGTTGATAATGTCTGTGGTGAGTTCAATTTTTACTTCTTCTTTGGAACCTCCTTTACCCTTTTTTGGGCCACGAGTGAGTTTAAAGAGTTTAAGGGTTGCTCTGCGGAGCATTTTTTATAATTTATCTAAAATTATTAGAATTCAAAGAGAAAATAATGAAAATTCTGTGTATTGTGCAAAAGATGACTTAAGCCAAATTTATATAATAGAATTGTTCAGCTTATTGTTCAAGTTGCAATGCAGTTTATAAAAACCTTCTAGATTTCTAAGGCTAATTATCTCATAATTGTTTCTAAATAATACTTCAAAAATTCGAAATTATTATAATAATCATACTTTATCAAGCAATATCTAATGTCTGATACTTGCTTTTTGCCCTTCACTTTCACATTAATATTAACTATGGAATATCGGAACGAGAGATCTCAGTCAGAATTTTCAACTAACTCCTACAACCAGCGACTTACCTACACAACCCAACTAAATGACGATCTCAAGCGTGACCTTCCCAATTTTGTGCTTCGTGACCTAATTGACAAAAATTATGAAAAGAGAAAACAAGCAGGCCACGAACTTCAAAAAATTTTCAAGCAGCAAGTCGACTCTTCAAACTTCGCCAGCATCAAATCTGCAATAGAATTTTTCCGTCAAGAATACTTAAACTCCATCAATGACGTCTTTCGTAAAGCCGGCTTGATGGCTTATTCTGCAATTGCATCATCCCTTGCAGCTGACAAAGAAGCTGACACTTATATTCCAGACCTGATTGGTCCTGTGATTTGGTGCTGCAGAGATTCTGACTCCAAAGTCCGTTACTATGCAATAGAGTCTATGTATAATATAGTAAAAGTTTGCCGTCAAAAGGTTTTACCCCTGTTTTCAGATGTATTTAAGTCTATGATTGATTTATTTGCAGATGTAGACCTTGAAGTAAAGCGAGCTGCAGAGAAGCTTGACAGTTTATTGAAGACAATTTTAGTTGAATGTGAAGCAGACAGCTCGGTTTTTAATTCAGACAAGTTCATGGGCGTCATGAGTGAAATGGTGTCAGGGGCTGGGAACCCAAATGTCCAGCAGATGCTGGTGTCGTGACTTGGGGTGCTTGACTCAATACCTAACTTCAATTTATTAGAGTATTTATCAAATTTTATTGAAGGGTTATTCATGATGCTAAAAAGTCATATAAAAGAAGTCCAACAGGCTGTTTATAATTTTTTAAAAGATGTACTAGAAGAAATCAAACAGCAAATTTCACAAGGAGATGTCGCATTTTCGTGCTTTGTAATTGAAGCAATGGTAAAGATGGTAAAAGATGAAAACACAGTTGTAAGAAGTGAAGCAATTACGTGGATTTATGAACTGCTAGAGAAAGGGAAAAACAGCCTTGTCCAGCAGTTTCCTAACGCCCTGAAAGCAGTTTTACAATGTTTATCAGATTCTGAGAACTTTATAGTGGAAAAAGGTGAAAAAACCAATTCAAAACTGATGGAACTTTGTAAGTTTTTTAATTCTGAAAGCGGGCCATCGTTAAATTTCGATGGACTTGTAAGTGTTTTAGTGTCGAAAATTGACCACCAGTCTAAAAGGACTAGAATTGCAGTGCTTGAATGGATAATTACCTTGCAAACGATCAGCAATGAATCAATTGAGTCATCTCTCGACATTTTAATGGACACCTTGCCTTCAAGACTGCTTGACCCTGAAGAGTCCATTATAAACCAAGCTTTGCTTATTTTATGCAAAATTGCTCGATATAAAGGCTACTTTAATCTTGTCATGAGCTGCATTTTACGCTTATTTTCAGAAAAAATGAGCCTTATGGAAACCAATGGCTCCACAATTGTGAAAACAATTTGCATTGAGCTTGGAACTGAAACGGTATATAGAAGCTTTGCTGAACTTTTGTGTGAGGACGCTAATAAAGAATTTACTATAAAAATGGTAGAAGTTTTAAGTGATCTGTTGCTAACTGACCAAGAATTCGAAATCCCAAGAGAAAAACTAAAGCACTGCTTAGAGACTGAAGACTCAAATTGCATTGAATTTTTTGAAATTTTGTTTAAGACGTGGTCAGTTAACCCTGGGTCCACCCTTACATTGGCATTATTGGTGCAGGCTTATAAACTAGCGTATGAGATGCTGCATATTTTGTAATTGTAATTTAGATCGCTCTGTAATATTGACCCTTCTCTATTAAAGCAACTTGCTAGGCTTGTACAATTGTTAGACTCTCCTATTTTTGTTCGTAAGAAATATGCAGATCTAAGAATGCAAATGCTGGAATATTATAAGCATCCATTTTTGCTGACTTCTACCCTTAAAATCGTTGAAAAGTTGCATATTTTAGGGAAATTAGCCCCTTAAGAGCTAGGGGAAAAAAAAGATAAAAATTTTGTTTTTATATATAATATTAATGTTTTAACGAGATCTCTTTCTAATTTTATTTAATTTAAGACAGCTTTAACATAGTAAATAAATTAATTTAAGTTTTTAAAAAACTATTAACAATCTTGGATGCATTAAAACAATTTTAATATAAAATTTACCTTTAAGAGAGCAAAAAATCTTCCTCGCTCTTAAATCGGGAGTGAGAGCATTGTATGCGATTTTAATGTTTTTGCCACCATCAAGAGCATATCAAACTTTACAGCACCGATTAGAGGATATTAGTGCCCTGCATAGAAACTACCCACAGCAGGATGAAGAGAAACTAACGAAAACGAGGCTTTTAAAATACGATGCCCTCATTAAGAGATTCCAAGATGTCAACTTGCCAGCACATAGAAAAGATTTAATGACAAAAGTGAATGCAGAAGAAACTAATATTTAATTTATAAAAATAAACTCATTATTTAAGATAAAGTTTTGATTTATTTGTTTTAAACCTTAAATAAACGAGTGATTTAGTCCAAAAAATGTTTCCCAAAAATAAGTTTTTTATACTTATTTTTAGTTTATCAACCTTTATTATGATTTCGATCTTTTCAGCTAACTCCCCCCCCCCCCTCCGTGAGCGAACAAAAAAATTTTGTTCGCTCACGGAGGGGGGTTAATTTTTTTTTTTAAAAAAAATTTATATATAAAATTTTATAAAAAATATTTTTTTCGAAATTTAAAAAAAATCCTAATTTGCAAAAATTGGGAAGCAAATATTAATTTAATTTGCAAAATTTATGTTTTAAAACGCAATTTGTTTAAAATTAAACAGAATTAGCTCTAGATTTCATTATACTAATTATCACTTATATATCAAAATTTTTTTCCATTAAAATTTTTTCTATTAAAAAAAATTTTTGTTCACTCACACGGAGGGTGGGTTTTTTGGTCAAAAAATGGCGATTTTTCTAATGGTTTTGTTCGCTCACGGAGGGGGGGGGGGGAGTAAGCAAGCTAATAATTAGAATGCATATTTATATGCATTTTCCATTTAAAAAATGCTATTTTATAAGCCTGCCAGAAATAATTTCTCAACATCATACGTCTGCTGTTTTTGAAATATATATAGAGGTTTCCTCTATATAGCGCTGAAAGCGCAGACATTTTCCCAGGAGCTTTCCAAGTTCGTCGGACCAAATCGCTTTTTGGTCCGACCAAGGCATTGATTTGGTGCAACCAACCGATAAATTCCGATCAGAATTTATCGGCCTTACAGCGCCAAACATAGGAAACTTCTATATACTTTTGCTTCGATTCAGATGGTGATAGCCTAAATTATTTAACCATACCATTTCATTTTGCTACAATATTTTTCTAGATTAAATCAAAAATTAGCTCCTTTATTTTTTTTCAGTCTCTTTTTAGCATAGCTCACCCCTAATCATTTATCATTATATTTCTTTGATTATATTCCTCCAAATACTTCCAAAACTATTAAATTCTCTCATTCCTATAAACAATCCACCTATAAATGGCAATCAAAACTGGATCTGAATTTCAGCCTTTCCCCTTATTTGACACTGAGAACCCTCCTAAAAGACGCTTTTCCTATACAAGCCCTCCTAAAAATAATAAAGCTAACATTTCATTCAATACTTTTGCAGCCTCTGCAGACCTTTCTCGAAAAGACGGCTGATTAAAGAAAAGGTCAAAAAATCTGTTTCATCATTGGCAATGAAGATATTTCGTGTTGCAGGACAAAAAACTATATTACTACAGAAAAAGCACTGATAACCAGCCTGCATTCGTAATAAACTTTGATTTAGTTACAGTTGACGTACAAGTTATAAACCCAACTAGCCCAAGCTCGATAATAATCCTCCCATTAGGATCAAAACGGATTCTTGAACTTAAAGCAAAATCTTCCCAAGAGCTCGCAGACTGGGCTTTTGCTTTACATTTTCATATAAATTCGTCAGAAGGCAAAAAGAAGGATTTGGCTACTTTAAACCAAAAGAAAGAATTTTGAAAATTTGACAGGATTTCTGACGCCCAGTTCAGGCAATCAGCTTCAACGGGTGATATTTTATTGTTTAGAAGCAAAAATATTGCAGCGAAAGTGCAAAGAGTCCTCACTCGAAGCAAATTTGACCACGTTGCAATGCTTCTATGTTATTCTTCAGGCAAGATTGGGCTATTAGAAGCTACAGGGCTTGACGGAGTCGGTATAGTATTTTGGGACGATTTTTTAATGTATAATTGACACTTATTGTACTCAAGAATTGTATATAGAAAATTAAACATAGAAAGGGATCAAAAAATGCTTGACATTTTAAGTGATTTTGTTGATAAAGTGAAAGGAAAAGGATACAAAATTACTCCACAAAAAATATTCAAAAAGAGAGAAAATTTAAAGCCTGGGCATGAAAAGAACTTTTTTTGTTCTGAATTGATTGCGTCAGCTTATAAATCGCTGGGACTACTTCCTGATGAAGTTCCTTCATGCCATTATTGGCCTGGACATTTTGCGAATGAGAAAAATATTGAGATTATTGGAGCTTCTCTTGGCCCACAGTTGGTTGTTGACATGAATTTATAAAATTATTTTTATTTCTAATTTTAAATAACTTTTAAAGTTTGTTATGACTAATGAGAAATACCTAATATAATAGACAAGCTTAAAAATTTGGAAATGAATAGCTAGGAAGCACAGGACTTTGAGAAATTTTAAAAAAAGAGCCTGGTCTTTGTATCAGGCTTATCATATGAATAATATAAATGGCGAAACCAAGGAGAAGCTTGATGAAATCCATAATAGGATAATAAATCTTGAAGCTTTCTATATTTAAATGTGCTATAAAGATATTTCAAAGAGTCTAAACTATTCATAACCTTTAAGCGATAATTTTTTGGATTAATTATAACAAAAGACACAAGCTAAATAGATCGCTTAGCATCCAAAACTTTGCATATCTTCTCATAAACGTAAGTTTTTGAATGCTGGATGTTCTTTGGGTTGAGTAATTAAATAAATGATAGCTGAAGAGTTATAAATAATGATATTAAAGTAGATTAATAACTTCAATTGGGAGACAATTAACTATCCCAATCCAAAAATAGTCTGCACAGCTAAACTTGCTGATGCGAATATAAGCATGTTAGACTAGTTAAATATAAGGATTTCCTTGCTTAACGTCTTACTTAGACATACCTGGATATGCCAGCATCTCCAAAATATAGATCAGCTTCAGTTTTGACCTAGGTCTTAGTGCTGTATTTGAACCGTGAAATACAGAGTTTAGTGATTTGGCAGCTGCTTCTTCAGTAATGGGTTCCAACTAGGATAAAACTCCCTAGTTAGCATTGGTACCAAATATGTATCGTTGCGACAGTAGTGACCTCGAGAGATAAAAAATCTGTTTTCTAAACAAATATCTGCAAAACACAAAGTCTTAATTTATGGACGAGAGAAATATAGCAGATTCAGCTTCCTTTTAGGTTTGACTTTTGCTGTAGCAAGTTCCCAAACTCTGAGCAGGCTCGGAGAGGTTGCCATTATCTATAAAGTGCATATAAGCAAACTATTAATTTTTCGAAATTAATTATATTAATCATAATTTCGACTTAAATTATAAAATGCATAGGCTTGTCAACTTTAAAGCCATTTTTACGGAGGATACTGAACAAAACTATAAGTAAAAGATTCTCTCTATAAAAGGAGTCTAGCAATCTTTTAATCTAAATTCAGTATAACTCATAGCTTAATTTTATGAACTATTCATATAAAAATTCACAGTGAATGCGCTATTCCAATTATTCTTTTCTTTAAATCCTTATAAAATTTAATTCTATATATTATCCTCTGATGTACTGATTGACGACTATCATAATTCTAATATTTATCTTCCCTATGCATGCTTAAAAAAGAATAATAATTTTTCTCCCCTCAAGCCTGGGCATTAATCATCATATTATTACTATATTTATTTTTATGACGTTTTTCCTATTCCTCTAAAGCATAATCCTTGAATCGTTATGCTTGGGGTTTGGGTTTTCTGTTTTGTAAATGGAATTCATGGTCTATTTATAATACTTGGATCTTTTCAATGAAATCACAAACGAGAGGTCACAAGTTTAATTTAAATATCTGAAAATTAGTTACATTAAACATTGTACACTAGAACCCATATAACAGCGAGCAAGAAGCCGTCCTCGAAGCTCTTTCATTAGATATTAAGCTTGTCCGACTGCTCCTGGTAAGATTTTCACTCATCCTCTTTTTATATAGAGGGTTAGAATTGATATTAAGTTTTGGTGCATTTTTGGCTTTTTGGACCCACATCTTCTTTTTAATTTCTTGCTTGGTATTATCGCAAGGTGTGCATTGCACATGGACATCTAAAACATAAGGTAAAACCTTGCCCTTTTCAGTGGCACAGCATGAACCCATTCTTTTTGCTTTTATTTAAAATCCAATGATTTTCCATGATATTAAATGTCGTTCAGAGGTATTTATAAAAATCATTTAACTAATTCCTGGCTAGGAAACAATATTTTGGTTTTTTAATGGGGGAATTTTTAATTATTTTTTGAAAATTTAAGCTGTTTTAATTATATGTTGGAGACATTATTATAATTATACAAAAAACATTTTAATTTTCCCGAAAAATGTGATTTTTCAAAACTTTAGAAAGGAAGTAAGAAGAAATTTCCAAAAGAAAAATGAAAGGGAAGAGGAGATTGAGTCTTTAGCAATAAAAATTTGCAACTGATATTGAAACATATTTTTAATTAAATATTTATTAGATTTAAATTTCTTGACCCTAAGTTGAAAATATGATATCAAACTATCGCTAAATTTAGTTGAAGAAAACATAATTTTATTATTTGTATTTACTCGAGGAACTTTAAATGTTGATTGAAAATATTATTAAGGTGATAAGTAGTTAACTTACTTGAAGTTTAATGGCCTCTTCTTATTGTCTATAATCCGAATAAAATAAAAATTGAAAGCTTTCTTTTAAAATAGCTTTAGCTAATTGAATAGGCATTTTTACACTAACCAAATTGACTAATACAATTATTTTTATTGCTTTCTGGTAAATCAGCAATTTTTTTAAGACTGCAAGCCTCGATTTAGCCTTAAAAAGTTAATGCTATGATGATTTTTCTCCTGTTGGATGATGCCAAATAATTGAAAAATAAGATTTATACTTGGCTTATTATTTGATAAAAAGAATAATTTTCTGAAGTATGTAAATAATAATGCTGTGATTATGCCTTTTGTGTTATAGTTTTAGAGTTACAAAAGAATACAGTCTTGTACAATTGCAAATGATAATAATTTTATGTAGAATGAAGGCACAATCTTTTTGCTAGACAAAATAAAGCTCAAAAATCAGTTGAAGCTACTATGCTAAAATTGAACAAGCTATACTTCATTAAGCTGTAATTTTATATATATATTTAAAATATGGCACTGATAGGAGCACTATGTCTCTGCTTTATTTGTGTATTACCTGATTTCAGCTTAATGCAAAATTTAATCTGAAAAGAGCTTAAAAGTTTCAATATTGATAATTCATTTTGAGATAGGAAATTAAAGATAACTGGATCACCGAAGAAAAATATTATTTGGTTCCAATATCAGATACATTTTTAGATTCTATAGCTACTATGGAGAAATTTGGTTAGCCAAAAAATATGGTTTAAAGAGTATTTTAGTTGCCTATTCATCATAAATTAGAGTGCCCTTGATAAATTTTAGAATTTCTCACAATATCAGAAAGGAGATATCAAGACTTTATAATACTGAAAGCCTTGGAATAACTATAAATTAAGTGTTTCAATAATCACTTTTTGCATAGCATGGGCTCTGATAAAAATTAAATGAAATCAAGCAAATAAAAAGTGACAAATAGAACTCTTCATTTATATTTTTTTAAAAGCCATAATTAATCGCTTAATTTTGCTTAAATTCAAAAATACTCCTCAAAACAAAAATTAAAATCAAATAATCTTGAAATTTTGAAATAATTAACATTAATTTGTTGAGACGTAATGCACGTCTACTAAATCATCTAGTTTAAAATCTTTATTTTTTGAAATTTTCCTTCTTATAAACAAAGGATTATCTTGAGCTTTATGAAGCTTTGGAACTATTTTCATCTTTTTCAATCACTTTTGCAGCTTGCTTGACCTTCGCTTTCCTGCTGTGCTAGTATTTTGATCATTTTTAGATGGAGCAATTTTTGTATTATTTGACCCACAGCAAGATCCCATTATTTATTTAAAATTCATTTGACTGATTATTATGCATATGAAGTCTAATCTATACATTTGAAGAAATTTTAATTATGAAAATACTCATAAAATATTGATTCCATCTTTTAGTCCTCCAATCACATGGCGAACTTATAAAAAATCAATTTAATTAAGTATTTAAGCAAAACTTTTCAATTTTTTCCACAATTTCAAATATTTAGTTTATAAATCTCTAATTGGCATCGAAATTTAAAAATTTTTAATTTAATTTCTCATCAATAACTAAAATTTTTACTTCACACATTATTCATTAGAGTATTGCTCATCTAATACAAATATTTGTACCTGGAGAAATAATGGCAATACTCGGGATATTAATTTCTTTTCTTTCTCTAGCTTATGCAGATCCTCACTGTTATGCAGTTTCTTTAGAAGGTGGCGGAAGTTATGGGGCATTCGAAGCAGGGTCTCTTTGGCAAATTGCTTATACAGCTCCAGTCAATATCTCATGAGATGTCGTAACCGGAGTTTCAACTGGAGCACTCAATGCAGGAGGTGTAGCCCAATTCAAGCCTGGCAATGAAAAAGCCATGGCAGACTTTTTAGTAAATACTTGGCTTACACTTAACGGCTCATCGAGCGTTTATGTTGAATGGGAAGGTGGCCTTCTTGAAGGAATTTTATTCCAACGAGGCTTGTACAATACCAAGCCTCTTGTAAACACCTTGCATCAAAAATACATATATGGGGTTAATCGAAATGTTACAGTCGGCTCAACCAATTTAGATACAGGTATATATGGCCAATTCAATGAATCTTTAGGGCTTGAAGGCTTACTTACAGCGATTACATGTTCAGCATGCCCTCCATGGTATTTCCCACCAGTTAATTTTCAAGGAAGCACATGGGTTGATGGCGGTGTTATGATAAATCAAGACGTTTTTGCAGCTGTAGAAAGATGTCTTGATGTAGTCCCAAGCCAATCACAAATTACAGTAGACTTAATATTTGACTGCATGCCTTATACACTTCCACCAGAAACTAATATGACTACTTTAGATGTCCTCAAGCGCGTTCATGATATCAATGGATATGATGGCCAAATGTGGTTTTATTATAATGCAATGGCAGCTTGGCCAGACGTGAATTACAGATATGTAGTTTTCCCAAGCGTAAATATGCCAGGCGGAATAGTGCCTCTTGATTTTAATCAAACAAATTTGGAGTGGGAGGTGCAGCTTGGAAAAAATGATACAGAAAAAGTTATTAGTGAAGGAATTGATGGGAGGACGATATTGACCCAGAGATATATGGAAAATAGGCAAAAAATTATTTATCCTTAATCTTAACTCGTGAATATTTCTTAAATATATATGCGTCTGATTGGATTTTTTTGGATTAATTTAAACTTTTATCATATAGAATTTTTTCATCATGAGCTTATATATTGTATGCCATTTTATAGTGTAAAAGCCAGCTTTCCATTTAGCTCCAATTTGTGTAAAGCTAAGAGCTTTTTTTAATGCAGTATGAAAAGATCATCCCTAAATTTTATAAGGTATGATGAAGAAGCTGTACCTTTTTTTATTTACATCCCTACACTGGCTATCCGCAAAACTAAAATATTAATAAAAAGTTTAGGAGATAATAAAAAATAATTGAATTCAATTTAACAGTGCATTTGCTTGTTTTGTTAAAAATATTAATTATTATGATGTAAGCTTTGAATTTTTACTGTTATCTTTCTAAAAGAGTTGCTTTTTAAAAAAATTTGAGAAGCTTTTTGAACCAAGAATAAGGCAGATTCAGCAAATGAAATCATGGATTCTATTAGATTAATTCATTCTGTCTTAAGTAACTATAAATGTTTTAGGGATTAGATCCATAAACAATGTGGAAAAGTTCTTTAGGAATTTAAAATGGTTTATTATTTCTCTGATTACAGCATGTGGATTTCAACATAAGCCTAGTCAACTCTCTAGCTTTTCAATGGTTCAATCTATATCTATCAGCAAAATTAATTAGATCTTACTCTGTGAAATTCGCTAAGGGCTAGCCTTTTGCATTATCTTTCGTCGCTTTCTTTTGAGACGTCTCATCCTTTTCTTCCTCCACTTGTCCCTCATATTATTATTCATAGATGAGGGGGGTAATAAGGGATTAAGAATTGAATTTTTAAAATGATGATCTGTATATTTTTTCTCCAAACCTAAGTTGATAATTTTAAAAACTTTGATGGTTTTGCAATTTAACTAAAATTACAGACGAGCTATGAAGTATATTGATCGAAATTTAATATTCATATATTGCAACTATATTTCAATTTTAAGACTTAATAGGACATTTTTAGAAATTAAGCCAATAGTCCAGGAGACCAATAAATTTTTTAAAACCCTTTTTATATCTAAGCTGGAATTTTACCTAAGGTGAAACTGGATAGATTACTTACAAAGGTTTAAATTAATAATTTAATAATTCTGGACTCAATGATCCAGTGAGATATTGGGAAGATATTGAAGGAGACATTAAGTCCATCTGACTGCATTGAGTCTGTTGACTTTCTTGATATCGAAGCTTTCTTCTTAAAAGCAAAGGATTTTCGCTTAGCTTTAATTCTGGAGCCGTCTGAGCTTTATTGCTTCAGAATCGGTGCCGTGAGTTCAACTTTAGCTTCTCATAATCAGAAAGTTCTTTTAAAGCATAAGCACTTGTCTTCCTTCTATTTGTATTGTAGCATGAACCCATTTTATTGCCACCAAAATTTTGTAACTTAATGGAATTATCTGGAATTTACAAATGGAAAATTTTAGTATAAAATCTAAGCAGCATAAGACTCTTAAAATGATTATATATTTATTATTACTAATAAACTATAGGCTATCATTGCTAACTCCCCCCTATCCACCTATCCATGAGCGAACAAAAAATTTTTTTCACTCAAAGAGGGGGTGATTTTTTTTTCAAAATTTTAAAAAATTCCAATTCGTAAAAAATTGAGAAGCAAAGATTAATTTAATTTGTAAAATTTAATTTTTAAAATGTAAGCTGTTTTAAAATTATACAGAATTAGCTAGAGATTTATTATAATAATTATCACTAATATATCAATTTATTTTTCTAAAAAATTTTTTTTTCGCTCAAAGGAGGGTGGGCTTTTGGGCAAAAAATAGGGATTTTTTCTAATGGTTTTATTCACTAACGGAGGGGGAGTAAGAAGCACTTATCTCTAAAATTTATTTAAGATTTCACCTGCTTCTGTTGCGCCCTATTATCTTTGCCCTGCTAATCAAAATTCAAATTCTATGTGAAATATTGCTAAATTAAGTCTGAAACCAAATTTTCTAAAGCAACGCCTGTATTGCAATTTTTTACTTCATTCTTGTGCGATACTTTCGCCTTTTTTTTTGATGCTATCGTAAAATCTCCATATTTTTCGATTACATGAAATTTCAATAAACGATAATTTTTACAGCCCAGTAAAAAATCTTACTTATAAAGCAATCTAATATTTTTTTATCAATTTTTTGGTTTTATTTATTATTCAAAATTCCAGTTTCATAATTAAAGCTATAATATTAAGAAAGGTTTTAAATACCATAATCCATTTTGCAAAAAATTTTAGCCTATCTTAGCAAGCCAGCTTAATGAAGAATTTTACAATTTTGTAAATCTTAAAATTTTTATTATTTAATAAGCCTTATAAGTTAAATGTAATTACTAATATACTTAGTCTACTATTTAGCTCGTATAATGCTCAAATTTTTTTACTTTTAATGATTATTTTTAGCAATTTGATAAATCCAAAGGATAAAATTTAAAAAAGACCTTACTGAATACTCGTCGAATATAAAATAATAATAAAAACATTTTGTATTTCAATAGAGGGAATTTAAAAATCCCTTAAAAATTCAGCTTTTTTAATTTTAAATAAGTTAGTCTTGTGTTATAGTGGAGAGACTAAAGAAGGAGAACCTGTGTCCAATATATTATCCAAACTTCTTGTTGGAGTCAAATTTCGGCTCACAGACGAACTTGTTTGGGTTCATAGTCTCTTTTTATATAAAGGATTTTCGTCTAGTTTTAATTTAGGCGCATTCAGCACTTTTCTTTTGATTACAAGTTCTTTCTGGATTATGATTTGGCTATTTAAATCCAACTTTGAGTTTCTTATTCCAGCAGTGAGAAAATGATTAGAAAACCCAGAAACAACTTATATCAAAAATATTTTTATAAAAAATTATTTTCATTTATAAATGATAATTAATATATTTTAAATAAAAACATAAATTTAGAAATTAATTTTTACTCAATTTTCAGAATTTTTAAAAAAAAAAATTAGCCTTTACCATGAGCAAGCAATTTTTTTTCTCACTGCTCACTGAACAGGGTTAGTGGTCTTGCTCTCTTCATCTGGAGGTTATCACTGGGTTCTTTTAAGTCAAATCTCATTGAGCAGCAAACTCCCATGAATTAGATTATTTCAATGGTTTCTAAATCCATTTTGATAAAATTTCAGTGTGGACTAAAGGAGGATTTATATTGAAAGGAGCATATGAAAATAAAAATTTCGAAAAATATTTTAGAAAATTCAAGCATAAGAAAAAAAAGTTTTGGGTTAAAATAAATAATGATCCTGCTGTGAAGTATTTATTCTTTAGCGATCTAATGCTTCTATGATTGCCAAATAATAAAAAGATTATTGACAAAGAGATAGCCTAATTTATATATTTCCGAATAAAAAAATTCTGAGTAATTTGAGAAAATTAAATAGGATATAGTATTAGATAAACATAATGCGCAAATCCATAAAGTTTTTTTACAATGAAGTTAGTATTATAAAGAAAATCAGCTCTATGATTTAGCTAAAAAGTCGTAGCCTGCTGCGTCATACGTAATTATAGACAGTGAAGTAATATTGACTTCTTTATCAACTCTTATACTGATATTTTATCAAGTGAGCAAACTAAGTAAACATATTTTATCTTTTATATTTTAATAAACAGTGCTTAAAGAAAGATGCTTAAAAGCTTTGAAAGACAACTTATAAATAAATGTAAAACTTAAACCAGGTTCAAATTTATTCTTAAATATAGTTAAATAATAATTTAAAATAATATGCGTTCTAATTTTTATAATGCATTTTTTAATTTTAAGAGATACAGCCTTTGTGTTAAACTCAATTACGTTCTTTATTAAAAAATTGCAGTTAATTTTAATCCCATATTTGCAAATTATAACAATACAAATTATAAAGCCAGTTTTACTTACTTAAAGATGTTCTCTTTTACTAAAACTGATAATATGATATAAAATCTTAAGAATTAGGTTTTATTTGATGAAATAATAAAATTTTATTATAAGATATACCCAACTGGCTTGAATTAATGAAATTATATCTTCTCAGCTTGACTAAATATCTATTTAAAGTAAAAACTGTCATAACTCAAGTCCTTGCTTGATAAGCCTTATAGAATTTGATTGATAGAAATATTTGCAAAACTATCAAAGAATATGGCGGGCAAGTAATAAGGTCTGCATTAAAGCTTGCTGCTATTTTCAGTTTAAAATATTTATAATAATATTAATGCCTTTATGATAGATTTTGAATTGCTACTAAGAAATATTCAGGGAATATAATTTTTAAAATAAAGTGATTCTTCTCCTAAAAAGTGTTACCAAGCATTTCTAAAGTCTAAATATTAAATAAAGAGCTATTTTTGAAGTAATTCAGTCTATAAAATCCCCTATCTTGAAGGTTTTATATAATCTGAGAATATTATCCATTTTATTATTTCTTCCCGATGCTCAAAATATAGTAAAACATCTTTTTATTTTGTAGGTCTAAAGTAGATATTAGCAATTAGAGAGAAAGCAATGAAAAAGCCCGTTTAAATCAATTTTTGTTAGTTTAAATTATTAATGATATTGTAATGAAGCCTAGAAACAGCTGACAGCCTGATTTTGATACAAATTCTCATTTTTTGACAAACTTTGAGCCTTATTTAATCGCTTATGATACAAGCTGCTTTTATTAATTGTCAATATAGGCGCTTCAGCTGCTTTTCGATGATAAATAATTTGCATTTGTATTATAAATTCTTTACGACGGTTTAGACGAAAATTTCTGTTGCCGGATTTCCATTGATCGGTGGGTTCGACTGCGGTTTTGGCACTTTTCTCTTGTTTAGCGTAGCACGAACCCATTTGTTTTAAATATATGCTTGAAGAGATTTAATGGTAATCAAAAATAAACTCGATTTTATCAAATGAAAACCGACGCTGGCTGTAAGCTGACAGGTTAAAAAAATGCATTTTATAGAATTTTGAGATTAATTATACGTCTAAGTCTTTTACTTATAAATTTCCATATGCTTTATAACTGTGAATAAAAATTTTCAGTTTTATAAAAATCTGGATTTAAGTAAATTTGAAGCAATTGGCAGTATTTTAATGCTCAAAACAATTTTAAAAATTTTTTGTTGAATAATTTTTGAGTTTTGATTTGATAGAGTAATCGCTTCTTTCCTTGAATTTACAATAAAAATCGTGGTGAATATTAATTGAATAATTTTCAAAATGGACTTTAAAAATTTTAATAAAAATTACCTTGCGGGTTTTTATTCAGGTGATTAAATGAGCAAGTTTATCTCAAATTTAATTCTTAGGCTTTTATGCTATTAAAGTAACTATTTTCATTAGATTTAAGATAAATTATGAAAAAATCTTAAATATACTCTAAATAATGAAGAGAGAGTCTATGAGACTCATTCGTATTTTATTGTTTATATTTTCTTACAATTTCCAAAAATAGCTAATTTTCCTATTATTTTAATTTATTTTTTGTTAGGAGAAAACTTCATAAATCTCATTCGATCCGAAAAACCATTAGGTTTAATGATATTTCTGTAATTTCTGCTTAACTTCTTTATAAATCTGCCAATTATAGGTCTTGAGAGAAGAGCCTAATTTTTTAAAACTGTCAAGAAGCCTAATAATCAATAAACCTTTATTTAATATGAAATGTAAGTAATCAGAGCATAATTAGATTTTTGATGAAAAAATTACAGTCTTCATAGAAGGAAAGACTTTACTTGAGCATTCCTAAAAAATTGACTATTAGGATTTCTTATTCAAATTGGCTTTTCTATCGCATTTAATATGGAGTCTAGAATTAGATTGAACACGCAGCAAAACGTTAATGATATTGATTATCTAGATAGCAATGTTAAAAGAAATAAATTTATTAAGAATTAAGCCGAATGAGAAGAGAACAGAAAGCTAGCTTTCTATTTCTTAAGAATATGTTATAAATTAGATATAATGATCATTATTATTATTCAGTCAGGTATTTAATCAATTGCCAATGATGCAATAGGTCTTTCTGCTTTCAATGATTATTTTAAAAGCAGAAACTGGGTTATTTTCTGATTTCGAGTAGTTATACTTTAATTCTTAGAGATAGCGAGAGAGTCTCTTTCTTAAAAATAAAAATTATTGAAAAACTTCGGTTCACTATGAAAGTCCTTGCTAATATAGCCAATTTTTCAGAAAATATTAAAGGAGCTTGCTTTAAGTTTTAACTAAGCTATTTCCATATTCATACCAAAATTGTATGTAAGATGGTTATTTATAGGGTATTAATTTTATCAACTATTTATCAAATAACTTGAGTTTTCACTTCTTAGATGTTTTTGCCTAAACCATTAGTAAAGAGCAAAAATAGAATAAATGTATTTTATTTACAAAATACCGAACATATAATTTTTCTATTTGTTTTCATCTTTTAAGATATTTATTACAAAAAATCGTAAAGCTGAAATACGAATAAGCTATATAAGGAAATTTATATAAAAATAAGTACATTTAAAACTAAGAAATTTCATAATAAAAGATCTTGAAAATAAAAATGAAACCGTAATTAAAATAATCAGTATAAAATTTAAGATATTTTAATCTTCTTTATCCTTCTAATTATTAAAATATTGTAACGCATTACTCCATTATTTAAATATATATGACTAGGAAATCCAAAAAAAATCTGTTAAACTTTATCAAAGAGGCTTGATTAAAGAATCAATATCTTTAATTAATTACCATATGCAGTTATATGAATATTAAGCCTTAGATAAAGATATTTAAGTTTATTTCATAACAATCCAAATTGTAGATGAAATGAATTGCCAATTATTCAATTAATTTCATACTTCTATTATATAAACATTAATTAACGTTATATAACATTTATTGTATGTGTTTGCTTTCAATAGTTATTACACTTGAGCTTGAAGAAAATGTCCTTGTAAGATGATCAAATCCACTTGTTGAAGGTTGAATCTCGTTGTGTAGTAGGATTGTCCTTCTCTTATATAGTGAATTTTCACTAAGATTAAGCATCGGAGCTTCAATTGCTTTTTTAACTAAAATTTTTTGTCTTTTGCTTTGGAGTTTAAGCTTCTCATATGCATCTTCATACTCGCTATCACTTTTGTGATGGCAAACCTTTGAATTTTTCATATATTTGGATTGAGTTCCGTAACAAGCACCCATATATTTTATTATTAAAATTAAAATGAAACCGCAATGACTATTTTCATATTTAAACTCTGCTAGAAATGTTCTAAATTAGCTATATTTGAATCTTTTAAATCTACAAATTATTTATTTTTGTTTATAACTCGCTTGCAAACTGCTTGTAGACAAAGCTTTTTTCCCATTCTTTTCTTCCTTGTTTTGCCATCCATCTCCTTTCAAATTCATTACTTCTATCTCTTCCATCCCATTTGCTCCCAGGCTTTATATTAAACCTATTTTCCCAGCTATAAGGGCATTCAGTTTTCATTTTTTTTAGTCTATTTTCTTGAAATGCCAAAGCTGGGTCCCCAAATCTTTTTTTAGTTTTAAACTCTTGATCAGCGTCTTCTTCAATTTCATATCTTGCAAATGGTTTATTTTTTTCTGCTTTAATATTCCTTATCATATCTTCTTTTTCCTTCCTTTGTTCAGCTCCGCTTTTTCATTGATTTAGTCTTTCTTCATTTAACTTTTTCAGCTCCTGCTCTTTATTTATTCCTCCTTCTAAAATTCTGCCTTGCTTATCCCTATGTATTATATTTCCAGCTTGCAATTCTTCTTTATTAGTGATTATTTTTTCAGTTCTATCTGGCTTCGCCCCAAGCCATTTTACATCAGCTTTTCCAATTCTTTCTCTTACTTGGACTTTTTCAGAATTTTCATCAAAAATAGCCCTTTGGACTATTTTTTCTTCATTTTTTTCGTTTTCTTCGTCCTCACTTTCTGAGTCTAGTCTTTGTCTTGGTTCTGATTCTTCATCTGATTCATATCCGATCCACTTATCAAGTTTTCCTTCATTTTCGGTCTGATAAATATCAGTGACTTCTGATTCTTCATTCAGCAGCTTTTTCTTATAAGAGTTCAGGCTTCTAGCACTGTTTTCATTGGATGCGTATAGTTTATGATAATCTTTAGACATTATTAAGAATTAAAATTAAACTGCATGCCATGTACATCTGGCTGATCTCACAAAGGTATCTGCACTAGGAATTGCCATAGCATGGAGCATGAATTCAAGCTGGCCAGGCTCGATTCTTTTTTTCACATATGATCCTTTAGTACTGAAAACCATGCTATCAGAGCCTCCACAGTCTAAAGTAACTTCTATAGCTTGAGACTGCTCATTATAAACACCATATGAGTAGCAATGGACATTTTTGGATAAATAATAAAAACATCTGACCCCAGTTTTGCTGTCTAGCTCAGTCCCTTGTTTTTCTATTAAAAGTACATTGGTGCGGTTATCTAGATCAGTTTGGATGGCGTCTCTGACTGTTACTGAAATTTCAGTGACACTATGAAAAGTCAAAATAAAGCACCGTGACCTGACTGAGTATAGTTCTCTATCATATCCTAAGCTCTCAAGCCATCCCCAAATTACCTCTTCGCCTTGAGCTTTGATATTTTCAATAAAAAAGTCTTTAAACCCTTTTAAGCTTAGCCCATTTTCAGTTGAGGAATATTTTTTAAGGACTTTTTGACGATACTCGACCTCACTTATAGTCCTATTGATACACTCATAAAACCCTTTAAATTCTGTATAAGAAAGCTCTCTGTTTAAGAGCATATCAAATTTTCTGAAAATATCATTAATCGTGGATTCTGCTAAGTCTGTAAGCTCTCCTTTACTGTTAAGCAGAGTTATTCTTTCAGGAACTGCATCAGTTGGCCTTCTTAGCAAGCATCCTGAAGTCCTTGGCAAAATTATATATGATCCAGGGTCTAGTAAAATCTCCATCTCACACTGTCGGTCAATGCTAAAATCTTTGGATTCTATCAAATTTACTGTCCCATCAGGCATTCTTTTAAGCACCACTATCCCTATGTCTAAATATTGTCTTCTAGAAGCAACCCCAAAAATCCTTTCATCTTCTTGATGAATCCCTATAAAAATCCTGACCCTTTCAGGTAAATCTACGCTATAATACCACTTAGATACGACAACTTCCATATTTGAGTCTTCTACGTCTTGGACCCTTATAAATTTCCCTTTAATTCTAACTTCGTCCCAGTTTTTTACTCTGCAGACATTTAGGGTTGAAAAATGCTGAATAAAGTCATCAAAATTCATCCAAAAATTCCCGTTGTCTTCGTCAAAGACAGGGTTTAGCTCTCTTTTCATGGCTGCAGTCCATTCAGCTGACCCATCACTTCAGTCACCATTTCAGTCAATTTTTCCTCATGGATTACGCAAATTTATTAAAAGATTGCCTTGGGCTTCTTTGATAGATAAAATTGTATAAGCATGCCCAGGCAATAATCCAGCTTCTAAGGTCCCAAGGAAATTGACTTCGTTTCACCTTTCTTCGCCTTGAGTGCTTGCTGACAAAATGTATAGTGGATCCATGCTTTGGATCGGGTTTTACTGACGTGGGAGATGTCAGATGGGAGTTGACGAACTAGTTTTTGCTTGCAAAGTAAGCTCCCCAGATGACAAATCCTCTTGTTTGTTGGATATTTGTCATCTGAGGAGAACAAACGCTGATTTTCAAATCCCATCTGGCGTTTCCCGATGTCAGTAAAACCCGATCCAAAGCAGGGTTCGGGCTATACCCTTCTTCGTCAAAATCCTTTATCATCAGCCAAAACTGGCCACTTTCTATAAGTTTTTGTATATCTTCGTCGTGAAAATGAAATTGGGCAGTTGGACGAGAATTTGCAAAAACTGCATAAATGCAACACCAAAAATTTTTTTTTTCAAAAACTCTTAAAATATTACCAAATTAAATTTAATTTTTACACATTTTCATTTTTTTCAAGATTTTTTGCAAAAAAGCATTCGTGTTTTTTGCATTTTCTGCAGTTTGTGTGTAATTTTTTTTGAAAATTCTCCGTAGTTGGACATCCAGTTAAATCAATAAGCCCTTCATTCGCAAACCCTCCTTTTAACAAATAATAGTGTCCATGCAATTTAGCATAAGCTTTTTCAAGTATAAGTACCCACAGCTCATTTCCATTAGCCCTTGAAAATATTGGCTGCCCCATCGGAAAGCAAGGAAAATAGTCATCAATTGTAACAGTGACCCATTCTCCATTTTTACATAATTTGATTCTATAAATCCCTATGCTATTCACCTGCTTGGTAATGAAAAGTCTTTCAATTAAAGCTGGCCTTTCTGCTAATGAAGCAAGAGCACTCATAAACCAGGAGTCTCCTAACTGTCCTTGGCGAACATCATAAGGCTCAATTTCTTCAGAAAAGATTCTGGGGTCTTTTAGCCCTTCTCCATAGTCTACTATAAAAAATTCATTTGGCCTTCTTCAATGGACCAGCTGGTCAAATGGCTCTTTATCAACTTCTCTATAAATTGACGCATCTAAAGGGGGGAATTCAATATCAAGAAAATTCGTACCTTTTTGAGTCAAAACTTGCTCAATTTCTTGTATAGCTTATGCACCGTTATAATGGACTTGATTCCTTTTATATCCTAAATAGAATCCTTATCATTCATATTTTAAATAAAATTTCTTTAATTTCAAATTATTTATTCTTTTTTATATAATTTATGTTAAATGGTCTTCTCTCGCCCCTTATGAAAAGCAGCGATTATGAGACAAAAGGCTTAGGCACAATTGGGGATCAAAAGTGACAGGCCAAAAATGATTGAAAAGTGTGAAAATAGGCTGGCAAATAAACGAGTCAACTTTTAAAATGGCTTTATTTTAAAATTAAGATATGAATTGACCAGCAATATTTAATTCAATTTCTACAAAATATATTTCAAAACTAAATTATGCAATATGGATTTATATTAGTCTTTAAGAACTTCACGAAGAGTTATAATCTATAGTTGAAAATTTCTAAATATAAGTTCAATTAATCATGTAAATATAATAATATTTAAAAAATTTACAGTATACCAAAATACACTCACTAAAAAACAAGCTTTTGGAATTTCAATAATAGCCATTTTTAATTTTTCTAGAGTCAGTTCATATGAGACTTTAAGAACTTTTAGCAGTATCTTAATTTTAAAATTAATTTTTAAAAAAGTCATTGGCTCATTTATTCGTCAACCTATTTCGCGCTATAAACGATTTTTGGTGTGTCATTTTGATCCCCAATTGGGTCTAAGCCATTTGCCGCATAATCGTTACTTTTATTACGGAGCGAATAATGCAAATTATATAAAACAAGAATTAATAATTTTGAAATTTTATTTAAAATCTTAGTGCTTATCTATGATGAGGGTTCTGTCTTGGATGCAGAAGGCATTTAGTCCATTATAACGTAAATTTTCAATGATGGTGACCTATAACGGTGCATGAGCTATACTGATGACAAATTTACTGAGATTTTAGACAGTATTTGTTTGGATTTTTCTATTTTTGCATTGAGGTCTTGAATTTCTCGCTTTAAATATTGTTCTTGGAGAGCACGTGGAGCTGCTCGGATTATGAACCGAAACTTTGATTTTAGCATCCATTGTCTAGTCATTTTCAATACTGCGACTGTAGTTGTTTCAAAAGCTTGAACAATGGTAGATTTTACTAACCCAGACCCTCCGTCTAGTAAAACATTTTTGGAGCCTGTAAAATCAACTGTAAATTCCAATGTATTTAATCTCTGAAGCTCAACTCGAAACTCATAAATGCACTCTACACCTTCTGCTTTGCCTGGGATTATTTCTTTGTGTAAGATGATGCCTGGAGATAGCTCCTTTTTAGATACAACTCCTCTGCCCTCTGTCATATTGATTATTAAATTATTCGAATACTTCGTTTTCTTATATATTTTTATGCTTAGCCTTCTAATTACAGCACTCTATTATGCCCAAAATTTATATGAAATAAATATTTCTACTCTTTGTTTATTTTAACAATAAATTTTCATGGAATTCAATGAAAGCACCGAAGCTGAGTTTCAAGATGAAAACAGATGGATTGGCTTTGATAGCACTGATAATTCCAATTATGGATATGGCTCAGACTATTACTTCAATTCGTATGCTCATTTTGGGATCCATGAAGAAATGATCAAGGACACAGTCAGGACTGACACATATAGAAAAGCTATAGTCAGAAATCCTTACTTATTCCAAGACAAAATTGTCCTTGATATCGGCTGCGGGACAGGAATCCTTAGCGTTTTTGCAGTCAGGGCAGGTGCTAAACATGTTTACGCCGTTGATTGCTCAGATATCATCGACTATGCCCAAAAAATCATAAAAAACAACGGGCTGCAAGACAAAATCACCTTAATCAAAGGAAAAATTGAAGAAATCCAGCTTCCAGTCTACAAGGTAGATATCATTATTTCTGAATGAATGGGATATTTCCTCCTATACGAAAGCATGCTTAACTCTATCATTTTCGCTCGAGACAAGTGACTTATAAACGGAGGTTTACTATTCCCAGACAGAGCCAGAATTATTATAGCTGCTATAGAAGACGAAAAATTCAAGCAAAATAAGTTTGACTTCTGAAGAGATGTATATGGAATTAATATGATAGCTATGAGATCACGCGCTATCAGGGAGCCTTTTGTAGACCTTGTAGAAGAATCGAAAATTATTAGTACACAAGCACCTATTTTGGATATTGACTTGCATACAGCCACTTTTCTTATATTATTTATAACGCTTTACGTCCACTCGGGGTAGCCTTGTCCCAGAGTTGCCACCATATTTATCCACGTGTCGGGCCCATGGACCTCTGGATCGACCTACTTCGATTCACCAAGGCACGAGTAAGTACTTCGACGGGGAATTGCATACAGTCACTATTGAAAATTTATCGTTTTGTTCATCTTATAGTCTACATATACCAAAAAGCCAGATTTTAAGTGGGATTGTGGGGTGGTTTGAGGTTGGGTTTTTCCACTCGCATAAGCCGATTACTTTGAACACGTCTCCGAGGTTTAAAGACACTCATTGAAAACAGACTATTTTTTATTTAAATGAGGGGCAGCAGGTGGAAGCTGGACAAGTTTTGCATGGGTCATTTGCAGTGAGGCAAAACCCAGCCCATAACAGAGAATTAGATATAAAAGTATCGTTTATTTTGGAAGGGAGCCACAGATTGAGGACTTGGCAGTTTTACCGATTAACTTAATACTAAGACTAATTCATTTTAAAATAGCTTACTCCCCCCCCCTCCGTGAGTGAACAAAAAAATTTTTGTTCACTCACGGTTAATTTTTTTTTTTTTAAAAAATTTATATATAAATTTTTTATAAAAATTTTTTTTTTCGAAATTTAAAAAATCCTAATTCGCAAAAAAATTGGAAAGCAAATATTAATTTATAAAATTTATGTTTTAAAACGCAATTTGTTTAAAATTAAACAGAATTAGCTCTAGATTTCATTATGCTAATTATCACTTATATATCAAAATTTTTTCCCATAAAAACTTTTTCTATTAAAAACATTTTTGTTCACTCACGGAGGGTCGTTTTTGGGCAAAAAATGCCGATTTTTCTAATGGTTTTGTTCACTCACGGAGGGGGGGGGAGTTATTTAAATTAATTTCTCGACTTTTTCCTTATATCCACTTCTAGCTTCCCTTTATAGTCTCTTTCTACAACCAATTCATTTTTCACTCCTTCAGAGCTGATTTTCGGCAACCCTTGGTCTAATGCGTATACATCAAACATCCCGATTCCATACCCTCCGACCCTATTTTTCAGCACAATAATGCAGAATGCTTCGGGACTCACATATCCTCTGACGTCTCTTTCGTGCTCTCTTGCTTCATTATACAGTTTCATTGCTTCTTCTTCATCAAGGCTTGGGTCAATCTGCATCAGTAAGCTTAGCACAGAATTCATGTCAAGTGAAGGGAACCTTATCATCTGTCGTAATTGGTAATAGTCTTGGACAACTTCATATTCATACTCATCAACTAAGATTTAATGTCGGAAATAAGCGGATAACCAATAACTACCGCCTTATCGAAGCTCCAAAAATCCAGTATCCTTATATATCAGACTAAAATGAGGGAAATGGAAGGCTGCCTATTTGGATTTCCGACGTAATCACTTGTCGAAGGGACTAGTAGGGCGGAGCCACCATCCAGGAGATGCCTCGATGGTACCGATAAGGGAAAACTATGTCCACGTGGTAGGCAAAAATTGTCTAGCTCATCTGGCAGGAACAGAAAATCTTTGGGAGAATCAAAGCGCTCTGTGTCAGCATGCTTCCATTGAAATGGTCTAGCTACTAGGAGCATCTTTCGCCATCACACCAATCCATCAGACGGTGCGCCTTTGAGTCCTTATACCTCGAACGCCATTATTTTAATATTAATAAACTAAGGCATTTAAGAAGTCAGCTTTAGTTATCATAGCAACCTTACTGTACATTTTCTCAGCGAATTCCACAAAATTGATTTTTTGGTACCAGTCTATATAAGAAATTAAGCCAGTTTGTTGCTCATCAATAAATGCACATAAAAGTTCACCTTCTTCTTGGGTAATCCAAATGTTTAGTGTAAATCTGATCCCGTCAATAAAGGTTTGGTAGTCAATTGAGCCTCCTTGGTCTATATCTAAGACTTCAAAAATATAGTCCGAGCTTTTTCCCATACGAGCCATTGTCCCACATACTTTGAGGATTGTCAATTCTAGCTTGTCAGGCCTATCTCTATGAAGCTGCATTATGATTCTTTCTCCAGCTTCTCTGTTGTTTCTGCAGATTTTCATTATGAGATCCATAACATCCACAATTGAAGCGACGCCTCCAAACTGCAAAATTTCATATTGCTCAGTGAAATTCGCAGGTTTTTCTTTGATTTTTGTAGTCAAAACAGAAAATTGTTCTTGGACAATTAAAGCATATATTGAGACTTGATAAGGAAGTGGACGAGGATGGAAAAGTCCAAGGAACCTACAGAACAAAACACCATACGGGTGACCAATTTTATAAAGCTGCTCCAAAGATGTTATCAGAGCTTTCAGCTGCTTTAACGCTAAGGCTTTTAGCCCATAATGAAGATATACGAAATCTAGCATATATTCCGTCATTGTGCGTGGCTGTCTTCCTAGTGCCATTTCAAGCCTGTCCAGCTTACATTTATCTTGCATTAAAGCTTCAAATAGTTTCCAAACATTTGAATAAGTCATAGGAGGCTCCCTACGCAGGTTAGAAACATTTTCTAACAGTGGGTTATTCTGTGTAACACTTGGGGCTAGGCCTTCAATGATCATTAAATCTTGAGCACTATGTGAGCTGCTTTCTAAGCTGCCTTCTCGAGACCGATTAAAAAATCTTTCGTCGCGGTCAGGGCTTTTTGGTGTTCTTTGTTTTTCGCCAATCTCATAGAGCTGGTCATGCATGTTTTGGCACTCTTCACTTATAGATTGAAGCTCTGAGTGTTTTATGCTGAGCTCGTTTCTAAGCTCGTCTTTTTCTTTTATTACGCTTTGCAGCCTATTTTCTGACTGATTTAAGCTGCTTTGGAGATCTGCTACTTGCTCTTCAAGGATTTTTACTTTATAGCCTGCAGCCTTTTGTATATCAGACACCTGCTCTTCTAAGACCTTTACTTTTACTTCAGATGGGCCTTGCAGAGACACTTGTGACAATTCTTGTATTTGGTTGGTTTTGTCCGAAATTTCTTTTTCAAGGACTTCTTTCATTTGGTTAAGTCTCGAAGTTTCGTCTTGATGTATTTTTGCTTGAGTTTTTAAGTCTTTGCAATCGTCCTTAAGCTTTTCTATTGCAAGTTGTGACGATTGCAGCTCATTTTCAAAAAAGTCTTCTTGGTTTTTCATTCTATGGTGGAGCTGTTCTACTTCTTTTTTAAGCTGATTTTGGAGGTGCATTAAGTCATTTTTTTCTTTTTCCCAGTCACTTTCTTGTCGATAGGATTTTCCTACTGATTCTTCAAGGTCTTTTCTGGTAGCGTTTAAATCTTCAGTTAGTTTTGATACTAAATTCTGAAGCTTCAGTTTTTCTTCAATTGATTTTTTTGAGTCTTCTGACTGGTCTTTCATATTTGCTATCATTTGTTCGATTTCTTGCTTTTCTTTTTCTTTTGTGTCAATCCGCCGCTTAAGCTCTTCTTTTTCTTTGGTCCAGGCGAGCTCTCTGTTATCGTAGTCTAATAGCTTATCTTTAGCAAGTTTAAGAAGATCAGCAAGTTTGCTTACTTGGGTATGCAGCATTTCTTTTTCTTCTTGAGCAGTTTTTAGCATTTCTTCTAGCTCAAAATCTTTGGATTTAATAGATCGGTGAAGATCTTCAGCTTCTTTCCGCTGCTGGCTGATATTTTCTAAAAGTTTGTCCTTTTCTGCAAGCCATTCGGACTCTTTTTGGTGGGCTAAAACTTGACTGTCAGAAATTTGGGACTTTGCAGCCTCTAAAAGTTTATTTAATTTTTCATTTTGGGTTTGCAGCTTTTGGCGGGATTCTTCTGAATAGAAGATTTCTGTATTTTTGGACTCTGCTTCACGTAATGCAGATTTCGCGGTTTCGAGGTTTTCTTTAAGTTTTTGAATTTGCTGCTGTAAGTTGTTTTTTTCTTCCTCAGCATCTTTACGCTGCTGACTGAGATTTTCTAAGAGTTTGTCCTTTTCTGCAAGTCATTCGGACTCTTTTTGGTGGGCTAAAACTTGATTTTCAGAAATTTGAGATTTCGCGGTATCTAAAAGCTGGTTTAATTTTTCGTTTTGGGTTTGCAGCTTTTGACGAGCTTCTTCGGAATAGTAAAGTTCTGCGTTTTTGGACTCTGCTTCATGCAATGAGGATTTTGTGGCTTCAAGACTTTCTTTAAGTTTTTGAGTTTGCTGCTGGAAATAGCTTTTTTCTTCATCAGCTTCTTGGAGTTCTCTAATTTTTTCTTTTAGTTCAGAAATTTGTTTTTTATACTGGTCTACAGCAAGAGATAGTTCGTCGATTAAATTTTCTTTTTCTGACAATTTTTTCTTTATTTTATCGTAGTCTTCTAACTGCTTTGATAAATCTTCTGCATCTCTTTGTAACTGATTATAACTCCCCTCTCTCCGTCCATGTGTGAACAAAAAAATTTAGTCTACTCAGGGAGAAGGGTTGAAAAAAAAAAATTATATATAAAATTTGGTGGCGGAAATTTTTTTCGAAATTTAATAAAAAGGCAAATCGTAAAATTGGAAATCGAAAATTATTTTAAAATGAAAACTATTTAAATTTAGCATAAATTTCATATAATAATTAATTATCACTTATATATATAAAATATTTTTAATAAGAAATTTTCCGAAAAATATTTTCTTTTATTCGCTAGGAGGGTGTTTTTCCTAAAAATATGGATTTTCCAATGGTTTTATTTGCTTTCGAGGTAAGGAGGAGTATGAATCTTCAGTATTTTGGATTTTCATCATCAATTGGCTATTCTGCACTGCCAAATTTCCATTTTCTAGCTCCATTTGGTATGCAGCTTCTCTTTGCTCCTTTAAGGTTTGGCTTACCTGTGCTAGTTTTTGGTTAAGAAAATCTTTTTCTACTTTGATAGCTTCAGCCTCTGTCTGCTCTATTTTTCCTTCAGGCAAGTTTTTGAATAAAATGTTTTCTCTTGTTAATTTTGAATTTTCTAAGGTCAAATTATTGATTTCTTCTTCATTTTCTTTGATTCTTTTTTTAGCTTCATCCCTTTCTTTTTTAACTTGGGCTATAACATTGTCTTTTTCTTCTAAATAATTCCTCATTTCTTCCAAATTTTCATTCAAACCTTTTATTTTATTCTCTTTTAAGCGGTTTTTTCTTTCCTCTTCTTCAAGCAGCTGGTCTTTTCCAGCCAATTCTTCTTTACTTTTCAGAATATTCAGTTTATTTTCTTGGTTTTGATTATTTAAGTCAGCTGAGAGTTGGCTTACTCTTTCTTCTAAGGCTTTCTTTTCAGCTGTCAAATATTCGATTTCAGGGTCACTTTTACGCTCTGCCGAACTTTGCTTCAAAATAGAAATCTCCCTCTGTAGGTTTGCAAGCTGAGCTTTAGTTTGTTCAAGCTCATCTTCTTTATCTCTCAAAATCCTTTTAGTTTCATCTCTTTCCTTCTTCACCAAATTTAATTTTTCCTCTTTTTCATCTAAAAGTGCTTTTTGTTCTTCAAGTCTTTCATTAATATTCCTTATTTGATATTCTTTATCCCTAATTTTTTTTTCTGAGCTCTCCCAGTTTGCTTCATTTTGTAGTATCTGGTCCTTATATTGTTTTAGCGCTTTTGTTAAACGGTCAATTTCTTCTTGTTGGGATTCAGACTGAGCTTTATAAGAGTTTATTAAGCTTCGTGTTTGTGCAGAAGTTTCTTGGTCTTGTGATAATAGCGGCTTAGACACAGGCTGGGATTGAATTTCATCAATTCGTATTTCAAGCTCATTTATGTAAGACTGCATATTTTTTTTATCGTCTTGAAGTTTTGAGTTCTCTTGGGCAAGCCTTTTATTTTCATTGACAATAGCTTTTGTGTTTCCTCCTTGGCTTCTAGCCTTTTCAAGCTCAACTGAAAGAGTATTGATCACGTCATTTAGACTGTTTCTTTCTTGTTCCCAGCTCATTTCTTCAGGAGAGCCAGGTCTTTTTAAATTATTTTTTATTTGATTGATGGCGTCTTGGATTTTTTTTCTGTCTTCTGGGTCATCGATTTTTTCTTCTAGCTTATTATTAATTTCTTCTAAAATATTTTTCACACGATCTGCTGACTGTGCATAAGCTCGGTCTGGGTTTTCTTCAAGTTTCCTTACTCCCCCCCCTCCGTGAGTGAACAAAACCATTAGAAAAATCCCTATTTTTTTGCCAAAAACCCCACCCTCCGTGAGTGAACAAAAATTTTTTTTAATAGAAAAAATTTTTGATATATGGGTGATAATTAGTATAATGAAATCTAGAGCTAATTCTGTTTAATTTTAAACAAATTGCTTTTTAAAACTTAAATTTTATAAATTAAATTAATATTTGCTTTCCAATTTTTGCGAATTAGGATTTTTTTAAATTTCGAAAAAAAAAATTTTTATAAAAATTTATATATAAATTTTTTTAAAAAAAAAATTAAACCGTGAGTGAACAAAATTTTTTTTGTTCACTCACGGAGGGGGGGGGGGAGTTAGCAGCAGCTCTTTTTTCTCTTGTTCCCATTTATCTTTTTGTTCTGTATATTCTTGAAGAAGTCCTTGTAAATCTTCTTCTTTTGGGTTTTCCACAATTTCTTCTCTTCTTTGTTGCCCTTTTCCGCTTCTGAGTTTCACTTTTTGTGTCTTTTTAGCTTTTAAGGAAGCTGGGGCAATCACAATTTCTTCATCTCCTGGCGTCTGCATTTGTTTTTCTATTGATTTTACCTTGTTGTACAGTGTCTGGATTTCGACTTCTTTTTCTTTTAACGTGTTTTCTAAGCCAACTTTATCTTGAATCACTGTCTGGATATCAAGTGGCTCGCTTTGGCTTGAAGAAATCAGCTTAGTTTTTGGGTTTATTTCAGGCAATTTGCCTAGCAAATTGCTAAAAATGTTAAAACAAAGCTGCATTCGGTTGTCGAGATTTGTGAATTTTTTGATAAAAGTGTAGTGAAGAAGGGTAAAAATTGCAAGGCCGGAGTTTATATAGAGCAGCTTTAAGCCGAATTCTGCTTGGATGTCAACTTTTTCATTGTTCGGCGGCTCTAAATGATCGATGTTGCTGATTAAAAAATAAGCAGTCGCGATAAGTATGTAAACTCCTGCGTTTAGGAAGTGATTAAGATTAAGGGTTTACACAGCCATAAGCGGCCTTCTTGAGTCGGACTAACTTGAATCAGCTTCCTAGGTTATACACTCTGCAGGTGCACGATAGCTCCGATAGACGAAGGCTATGTAATAGGCAACACCTGTCATATCCGCTTGACAGGGACAAGAAAACTTTCCAGGAGAAAATTAAATTAAACGATTATGCTGGCCATAAGCGGATAAAACACAAGCCATCACCTATCTTGGCTCCAAAAATTCGCCGTTTTGGATTTCAGATCTCAGCCAGCTGCTTAAGGAATTAGCTCCTAGGGCAGAGCCGCAATCTGTAAGGTACTCCGATTGTTCCAATAAGAAGGATCCATGTGATAGGTAAAGCCTGTCTCGTCCATCCGGTAAGGGACAGGAAAACCTTCTGGAGAAAAAAAAAAAGTTGCTGCAGACTTTCAATTGAGATGGTCTACTTACTTTCTCCATCCATCACTCCGGTCACCGCTCCATCAAGAGATGCCCCTCGGAGTTCCATTTCCGTCAATTTCCCATTTTATTCTTCGGCAAGGCATGCCCAAACATGAAAACCTATTTCAAAAGACAGAGGCCTGCTTTCAATTCATTAGGATCAATCCCATTTGCTTCATAGAATTTTCCTTGGAGACCAATTTCCATCACCATTTATCTCTTTATTAAGTGAGGAATCCTTATTTTAGTCAGCGCATTTCCTTTCATAAGCAAAATCATCAGCAAATTCAAAATACAGATCCCAATTGAAAAAAGCAGCAAAACTGCGCCGATCAAATAAATGATCCCGGCAACTTCAAAGTTGATGATGTTCCCACAGACAGTTCTGATTCCGTCTATTTCTGATTTCCCACATGCAAAACTTTCAAAATTGTAAAATGTGGTATAGACATTCCCCCTGACATCTTCATATTGAAGAAGATGAGTGATCGTTTTGAGGGGTGCAGATCCAATGAGATTGCCTTTTTGATAGTGTTTATTTCACCGAAGTATTTTTGGCCTAAAATTGGTTGAAACTTTTTGATAGTGAGACATTTGACGAAAAAAGCCGTTAATTTTCACCAAATTTCATATTATTTAAAAAATTTTCGACCAAGTTTATTTCGGTGAAATGTACACTGTCAAAAATCCGCTGTCATTTGGCATGCAGCCCGGTTTGAGGCCTATGCGGAAATCAAGGAAAGAAAAAAAATTCTGGAATAGGGAAAGTGATATAAGAGCAAACAGGACAGAATTCAGGCATAAGTTGATGCTGGCTTGAGTCACTACTGAAATCATATACAATTTATGATAAATTTAGGAAAATATGGATGGATTTAGGTATTCATGGATTATTGGGATATTTTTTTTTATAGGTTTTGAGTGGGATTGGACTATAGGCAAGAAGAAGTTAAGTTGATTTTTGGAGAAGAAGATTACGATGTGGCAGGAGTTGAGATTGAAATATTTTAATTGTGAAGAATAGATTTACGATGAGTGAGAAATAACACAATTGTTTTAAAATAATGGATTTGCTGTATAAAAAGAACTCTTTTAGGGTTTGCAAGCTTATCTATTTATTCATCAAACAATTAAAATTTGATAGTTAGATTATTCTTCTATTTCCCCCTTTAAAATTGAAAAAAAAAACTGTTTTTCTATTCAAAGGAGGGTTAATTGTTTTTTTGAAAAAAAATTGTGTTAAATCTATAAAAAATTTTGTAAGACTTTAAAACCTAAAAATATTAAATTGACTACAATAATTTGAATTTTAATTTTATTTTTATGAAGGATTAAATACAAAAATTAATGATTCACTTGAAAACTATTTATATTTTACTTGCATTTGGTCTATTAAATTAGGTAAAAACTAATTTCATAAAATTAGTGCTTTCATCATTAAAATTTTCCTACTGAAAAAAATTTTGTTCCCATTTAAAGGGTTTAAAGACCCAAAAATGAAAATTTTACCACATTTTGTTTCGAATTTAATGTTCAGTAGTGAGAGATTTTCGCAATTAATAAGCATTTTAGCTTAACTAAATAATTATGATAGATTTAAGTTTAAATCAATCTAATTATTATCTCTTTTTGCAAAAAAATTCAAAGCATCTTATACCGCTCTATTGAAAATGGAAGATCAGCTATGGAAGCTTGCTAACTCTCATTTTGAAATGAAAGCCTACGAGTCTGCTGCATTTTACGCAGATAAACTCGTCACAATAAGTGGGAAAAGCGATCTCAACTTTGTCTATCTCCTCGCATCTTGCTATTTGCAGAACAAAGAATACCCGCGAGTCACCCACATTCTTGAAAAGCATAATCTTCTTCATTATAGCATTAAAACTCAAGTCTTAGCAGCTCAAGCCTTAATCGCTTCAAAAGACTACCAAACTTGTATCAGAATTTTATCTGAAAACGTCCAGCAGCCAGACAAGGACATTAATTGGCAATTTTTAAAACATCTTTATATGGGAAAAGCGCATGAAGCCAGAGAAAGCAAGCAGCTAGCAGCAGAACAATATATTTTGGCATTAAAATCAGACCCTACATGTATAGAAGCATTTTCTTCTTTAATAGACAAACAGCTTCTTACAGCTGAAGAAGAAATCAAGCTTATCCATATACAAATAAATCCTTTTTTCATTGCTAATTCTAGCACTATTTCTCATAAATTAAAGCAAATTTCTATATATTTATATAAAAAATATTTAAATTTATATAGAATATTGATGAACTAGACCTAGAAAACGAAAAATGGCTTAAGGAATTTTATCAAGCCAAATTAAAGATTTTTTCCAACCCTGGCTCGGAGCTGCAAAATCTGCAATTGCAAAGTAACATTGATGTAATGCTGGCTTTAGCAAACCAGCTATTTTCTACGCATAAAGTAAATCAAGCCTTTGAACTTTCATCAAAAATCATCAGGGAAGATCCTTATCATCTAGGAGCTGTTCCATTGCATTGTGGATGTATGGCAGCTTTAGGGGAAATTGGAGAATTATATAACTTGTCACATAATTTGGTCAAAGAATACTCAGACTCTCCAGCAGCTTGGTACGCAGCTGGAGTTTATTATTATGCAATTAAAAAGTATGAGTACGCAAGAAAATTCTTTGTAAAATCATATATAGCTCATATTGGTTATAGGGAAATAATTTTTAAGGCCTTTCCATTTTTATTTATAATTCTATTAGGTAGGTATAAAAAAATTGATAGAGACTACCTGCCTGCATGAATATCATACGGCCATACATATGCAGCGCAAGACCAGTCAGACCAAGCAATGCGAGCTTACAGAACCGTTTCTCGGCTCTTCCCAGGGTGTTATTTAGCTAACTTATTTATGGGTATGGAATATCTCAGAACCAAAAACCTAAGAATTGCTTTAATGTCTTTTGAGCTAGCTAAGCAGGTGAACTCTGCTGATCCTATTGTATGGAACGAAATTGGAGTTGTTTTTTATAAAAAAGGAGAATATATAAGAGCTAATGAAGTGCTGCAAGAAGCTTTGAAACTATGTGAAGGAGTCATAACATCTACAGCTGAAACTGTGATGTTTAACTATGCTCATACTTTTCAAAAATTGAGAAATTACCCGAAGGCAATTGAATTATATAGTGAATAATGTGTTGATAATGCACTTATTATAATTTTTTTGAGGAAAAAAATATCTGGATTTAATTTATTTTAATAAAGGATACCAAAAATGTATTCAGTCGAACTCAAAAAATGCTTCGACATATACAGCATTAGGACTAGCTTATTATTTCAGCAACCAAATCCAAGAGGCTGTGGATTGTTTTAATAAAGCGTTATTTTTGAAATCAAATGACAGATTTACCAATGATTTGCTTTATATTGCGCTTTTTGAATGCAGTGAAGATCTGCCGATGCAAGTAGAGCCTGAGTTTTCTCCAGAAATGCTTTAATTTAATCTATTTATTATTAGCTCTTATTAATTTCCCATTATCTGCATTTTTTAATATATGCAAGCCGATTTCTTTTGAATTTTGTGATAGTATCACTTGCATATTCTTGAAGGAAAAATCTGACAGTAGCAACTCAGAGTTACCTTTGAATTTCAAGATCTCTTAGGAGCTTACTCCTTGCAGTCCCTATCATTTCATATTCCCCTCAAAAATCTCTTTCTTTACTATTTAATTTCCAATTTGCAGATCTGGAGAAATAAATCCTAATAAAAAATTTTAGCTAGAATGGCAATTGCTCCTGAGAAATTGCAACTGTTTGTTCGTTATTTTTTTCATATATTAAGCGAGCTTATTATATACTAGCTTATAAAATGCATCCAATGCGAAGTAATATAAGTAAATCTTACAAAAAGCCATCATGGTTCCTTGAGGTTAATCCTTTAGGACTGCAGAGCTATCTAATCTGGAAAAGAGTATTGTATATGTAAGTCAATAAATTTTTCGAATATTTCGATTTATTTCATTGCCCGCCTCTATCAAGATTTCCAAATGGAACAGTAAATCTAATAGAAAAACAATTTTGAGGATTTGGAACTCCAGAACAAATCTTATAAAATTCTTGAAAATAGGGATTCTTAATGACGAAGATTTTTGGGAAAAATGAACTGACTTTGTCAGATATTGTTTTATTGCCTATGGCCGAGAGACTTTATACACTAAAAGACGGAGCTTGAAGAGATCTTGATGATAGAGATTTATCAAACTTATGATTTTGGCTTGAAACCTCATAGAACAGTTATGAGAGCAAACCTGAGAAGGATCGCAAAATTGGTCATCTACAGAAGAAGCCCAAATTATAGGGTCTTAGCCTTCATTTAGATAACTATAATTAGCTCTTAGCCAATCAATATAAAGTTATTTTTTAATATTAAAATTGTCGACAAAATTTATTTAGATAAATGTAGACGACTTTCATTACAATTTTATAATAATAACGATGACATCTAATCCTGAAAGAATGCAGCTCATTATCCACTATTTATGTCCCTATGCTCAGAGAGCTTTATACGCACTAGCGTATAAAGGGATACAATGTGAGATAACAGAAGCGGATTTAGTTAATAAGCTATCATTCCTCCTAGAAGTCAATCCATTAGGAAAAGTCCCATCTCTCAGAGTTGTTCAGGACGGAAAAGAATATCACCTTTCTGACTCAGCCTGTGTTGCTGAATATTTTGATTCGTTTCCAGGCCCAGCTCTTTACCCAAGAAGACCTGACGGCTCAATCAACCCATTAGAAAAAGCCTTAATTGATATTAAGGTAAAACTTGTTTCTGATGCACTGCCTGCCACTCTTTTCCCTCATTTCAGAGCAACTGGAACTCCTGCTCCCCCCCTCCATGAGCGAACAAAACCATTAGAAAAATCCCTATTTTTTGCCAAAAAACACCCTCTGTAAGTGAACAAAAATTTTTTTAATAGAAAATTTTTTATGGGAAAAAATTTTGATACATAAGTGATAACTAGTATCATAAAATCTGTTTATTTTAAACAAATCGCGTTTTAAAACATAAATTTTACAAATTAACATTAATATTTGCCTTCTAATTTTCGAAAATTTTTTTCTATAAAATTTTATATATAATTGTTTTTAAGACAAAAAATTAACCCCTCCATGAGCGAACTAGATTTTTTTGTTCGCTCACAAAGGGGGAGTGTGAGCAAATTGAAGCAGCTAAGAAAATATTGAGAACTATTAATGAATTGGTTGAAGGAGGAGGATTTCTGATGGCCAAAGATCTGGGAAGAAATGAATTTACTTTGGCTGATCTTATATTACTTCCATTTGTTGAAAGAATTGTTGCTTGGAAAGATCAATTCTGGAGCCATCTTGTGGAAGGAGAAGATTTTTCTAATTTGTGGGCCTGGTTCGACAGAATTATGCAGGAACCTTGGGCTCAAAGATTCAGAATACAGCAGAGAAGACTCATAAACAATATGACTCGATTAAGAAGCCCTGGCTATGAGGGGCTTGAGCTTCCAGTAACTAATTATGATTAGTTTGCAAAGCAAATAAAAGTTCTATAAGTTATTTGTATATAATTTCTATATCAAAACCAATTAATTGTTTAGAAACATACACAAAATCCTGCTGAGAAGGATTCATCGAAACTTGTGAAACTTTAGTTGTTATTTTATAAGTTGACAAAGATAACACTTGATTTCATTTGGATATTTCTAACTCCCCCCTCCGTGAGCAAGCAAAACCATTCGAAAAAATCCCTAATTTTTGTCTAAAAAGCACCCTTTATGAGCGAACAAAAATGGTTTTAATAGAAAAATTTTTATGAAAACAATTTGATATATAAATGATAATTATTATAATGAAATCTCTAGCTAAATCTGTTTAATTTCAAACAGCTTGCATTTTAAAATATAAATTTCGCAAATTAAATCAATTTTTGGTTCTCTTTTATAAATTTTTAAGATTTTGAAAAATAAATGTTTTAAAAAAAAAATTAACCCCCTCTATGAGCGAACGAAACTTTTTGTTTACTAATGGAGGGGGGAGTAAATAAATTTTACTTCATTGGAGACTTTTCTCTTAAAGGCTATGCAGGAGCTCTAGATCTAATTGCTTCGCTTTTAGTTCTTTCATGAGCTGGTATTCGTTTCTGAGAAGCCAGCTCCATGCTTATTTTTTTAAAAATTATCATAAATTGTTGCATAATTTCTCTCATCAATCATAGCTTGGAAGGCTCATTTTTTATTTATTTGAGGGATAAGGAGGGATTATGTCATTTTGAGTTTTTGGCCCTTTATTGATGAAGATTCTCCAATGCTAAACGCTGCTTGTTTGAACTTGAATTGGAGATGGCAAAAATCTATTGATACTTGTTTTAGATTTTTGCAGTTTTGGCCTAGAGAATATATAGTAAGAATTAACAGATGATTTCTTGCACTTCTTTATAAATTTTAAAAGTTTCTCAAAACCCAGCAGGCTATATGAGTTTAAATATTATTATAACGGCTAAAATTATCAAACCTATTTATACTTAAGATAATCTGAATTATAAGGAAAATTTGTATTCCCTAAATAAGGTCTTACACTTTGTAATTCGGAATAATTGAAGCAATTATTTCAAGCTTACCGAATTTCTTTTTCTCAAATTGCAAAAATGGCCAATAATATATGAAGTATATCAACAAGTTTAGGATTGAAAAAGAGATCATGGAGTACATAATAAAATTCAATTCGTACTCGATTGCATGAACAGAATCATTATCAATTGAGCTAAATGTCTTTAGATAGCCACTTGTTAAGATATATAAGTTTTTAGAGAAATCATTTAAGTCGTTTTTGTAATTACTGTTTTCTGGAGATGCTGCATTTATTGCATCGAGATAAAATATAGTAATTGCCCGAGGATGGCGCTATCTTGCGCCATCCTCGGGCAATTCAAAAATGGCCCCACACCGGGAATTGAACCCACGTGTGGGGCCATTTTTGGTTAGTGGAGAACATCGACTTCCACGCACCAAAAATGGCCCCACACGTGGGTTCGATTCCCGGTGTGGGGCCATTTTTTAAATTGCCCGAGGATGGCGCAAAATAGCGCCATCCTCGGGCAATTACAATACCTCTGAAGCTGTATATGTTCCATAGGCTATAAAAGGATAAGGGCTATCTCTATGCTCAAAAATGCCGACTTGAGAAGTTTTTGATATCATTTTCATGAATCTTTTGTCAGTTACAAGCTTTTTCAGGATTGAGAAAAATTCGTCGTTTTCTTTGTTAAATTCATTAGTAGGCACCCTACTGATGTCATATTGGTTAAAATAGTTAAGAAGAAGAGGCTCATGTATTTCTCTAGCCCACAGTCCGATTCTTGATAGCAGAGACCTTCTAAATATGAAATTTTTCAAGATTTCTGGACGGTAAATCATCATGATCTCGCAGTCATCATACAAATAATATTTTGTGACCAGGATATATATAAGACCTATCATCAGCAGCACACAGAGCCTGAAAAAATACCTAAAAAACAGTCGTGAGTGGATATTCTCATTTTTTTGCTGATTTTTTTTATTATTTCTGAATAAATTGTCAGTATCTAAATCAACGCCATGGATATTCGAAAGCCTTTCTACATATTTATGCTTCAAATCAATGCACTTTGGTAAAGCAGTATTCCTGAATAAATTCAAAAAATTATCATAGCTTCTATTGACAAAATAAATAAATCCGGACAAGAGAATAAGAAAAAGCATCATAACTCCAAACTCCGTGATTAAAAACGACGTAATATTATCTCCCATCGACTTTACTCTTGATTTTTCACAACTAACTAGCCTATCCAAAGCTCGATTGGCATATTCATAAGTAAATCCTAGCGAGTTAAAAAATATAACTTTTACCTCTTTCTCAGAATTTTCATCATTTTGGACATTAGATATAAATTGATAGCCCTATATAATGATTACTGCATTAGTAACAAATTGCAAAGTGTCAATCAGGTTCATTTTTGTCAAATCATAATTATTGCTGTCAAATCTAAAAACAGGGATTATTGGTTCTTTAACTATTTCTGAGCTTGAACAATAGCTTCAGTCTTTATAATCACTCAAAATATTCCCTTGAGAAATAGCAAACTCATCAATGTACATTTTAAGCTTTGCTAAATCGTCATTGAGACTATTAGAACTGCTTTCTATGTCACTAAGGACTGTTCTAACTCATTCTGAAATAATACTTAAATGAGTAAGCTGATCACCTAAATGAGCGAAAGTGTGAAGAGATTCAGTATATTTTGCAGCCTGATAAGTGTATATTAAAACACCTATATTCGTTCCCAATACACAAATAACCTACATATATATCACAGCTACAAATAAAGCCCATTGAAGTTTCGTTATATTTTTTGCCAAACGCTGAATCTGCTCAGTTGCATTTTTAAAAAAAAATTTCGTTAGCAAATATCATATTTAAAATCTATTAAAAATTTTACTATAAGGTATATGCTATTTTTTTATATAAAAATAAAAATGTGGCCACCATTATAAGATTTAATGATTATAATATGTCTAGCTCCTTCGTCTTAATTTTGGATCCCATTTCATATTTAGCGCAATATCCTTTGATGAATCTTCTATAAGTGATTTATTTGTCATAGGAAAAGTATTGCATTCAATTTCTGGTACATTTAAATGATTTTCAAATTTAATGTCATCAAACAAAGCTACCCTTGAGAAATTTAAATTTTTCTTTTGGGCTGCCATAAAATCAAGAATTTTTTTTTTTTCAGTGTCGATAATATAAATGCATCGAATTTTTTTTGAAGCTACTTTCTTAATTCTATATTTCAATTGAATTTTTTTTCGATCCCTTATTATATGCAGTTCGCTGTTTTTAGAAAAATCAAAGTGTGCCAGCTCAGGTATGACTTCAACAATAAATTTGTTTGTAGTATTCCGCTCTTCATAACTGAGAGTGTCAACAAAAAATTCAGTATGGCAAAGAATTTGTCCATTTTTTGAAATAATTAATGCTTGGCGATCCTTACTTAGAGGCTGAAATGATAAAGAAAAATATAAAAAATCATCAAAGGCTGTAAATCTTTCATAAGCTTTAACTTCTATAATAAATCCTTCCTTGTCTCTTACTCTCCCTCCATGAGCGAGCAAAATCATTGGAAAAATCCCTACTTTTTGGGAAAAAGCACACCCTCAGAGAGCGAGCAAATCGTTTTTAATATAAACATTTTTATCTAAAAATATTTTGATATATAAGTGATAATTTTTATAATGAAATCTCTAGTTAATTCTGTTTATTTTTAAATCATAAATTTTGCAAATTAAATTCTTTAAAATTACTTGAATTTTTTAAAAAAATAATTATATATAATTTTTTAAAATAAATTGAACCTCTCTGTGGGTGAAAATGAATTTTTTCACTCACACTTAGGCGGGGGAGTCAGCAAGAAATAAGCTGAGCTAAGAACTTCAGCTGAATAGCAGCTCCCAAAATATTGTCTTAAATAGATTTCGTGTTTCTTGCTTAAAACATTAGGGATTCAGTCAAAAAAATAGGCATCGCGTGCATCTTTTGTAGAAATCTCCAAAATTCCAGCAGCTTTCTCATTTATGCATGCAATATGTCCAAAGCTTTTTTCTTCAGCGGAAATTAAAATAATTCCATTATTGTCGTCATAAGACTCTATTTGTTTAAGTACACTTGTTTCGCTAGAAGCATCTTTAAGGGCATTTTTCCTTTGACTAACAAAGAGTGCATGCTCTGAATCTCCAAGAACGCCATCAAGGAATGATATAGAAGTTTCCTATGTTTGGCGCTGTAAGGCCGATAAATTCTGATCGGAATTTATCGGTAGGTTGCACCAAATCAATGCCTTGGTCGGACCAAAAAGCGATTTGGTCCGACGAACTTGGAAAGCTCCTGGGAAAATGTCTGCGCTTTTAGCGCTATATAGAGGAAACCTCTATATATATAAATCGTAAAGTTTGATATGCTTATGCTTTTCTATCATGGACTCATAAAGTGATGACAGCTCTTCAATAGCATAGGAGGATTCCAAACAAAGCTTGAATAGAATTTTATATGAGGGCGAGCTATGAGATATTGCAGATCATAGATCTAAAAGTATGTAGCATAAATTTTCATCAAGTTTTTTTACTCTTTCAAATTGGACTAGATATTCTAAATAATTTATTACGCTTATATATGAATTTGTATATAATTTTTATTAGAATAATTAAAATTTTTAAATAAATATTCAGACTAATTAGACAAATTTGAGATATATCAGAAAGATGTTTATGCTCAAATTTTCTTATCGCTTTATTTATTCTCCATGCCTGTATACAGCCTTCAAAAGATGATTTTGATTTTCTCCTATTGCATAACTTTATTCTGGCAACCCTAGCATCTCTTAAGACATATAAGCAATAGTTCACCTCTCAAAAGGAAAAATTTTCATTTGTTTTGAATTGAACTTTATCTATTTTCGAAAACAAATCAATTATTTCATTTTTACTCTCCAAGTTTTTATTACAAAGGAATTTTCTGATGTTTTTTTCAGCATCATATTGGTCTTTGAATACTTTATAGCCCAAAATATCTTTCAAGCTATCTGTGCTATTTAATTCTCGATATGATTTATATACTTTGTGGTGTATTAACAAAAAGAGCGGAAGCTGCAAAAAAATCATAAATGCAATTATAATGGTGGAATTATCAATTAGCTCTCCAACTAAAAATATAAGAAAAATAACTAAAATTTCAAAGAGTTTGCATGAGTGAATAAGGTGGCCAATTACATTGTAATATGGTAAATCATAATTTATTCGATAGCAAAGATGAGTAAGAAATAAAAGAGCTGCAATATGATAGGCAATTGAATGGTTTGAGCCAACGAACACATATAAAATGCATATAACAACAGTATAAGACTGTATATATAAATCCAAAGAAGATTCATTTTTGGCGATGATATTTTTACTTCAAAATGAATGCCGAATATCTGTGTGCAGAAGTTCTTGATAAATATTTAAAAGCACTATTATCACTATGCATACCATACTTAATATAACTCCTACAGCACCATAATTTAAAATTGATGAGTCTGGCTGATTTTTATATTCATTAATATTTTCATCATGAAGTATTGAATATTTTATAACAAATAGAAAAATCATTAGGCTTGGAACTCGCAATAATTCTATTTCAAAGCTTATTATCTTCCTTCAGATGAATTTCATCAATTTTGGGATATTTTTATTGGTACGTTTAAAATTAAAGGCAATTGCCAAAAACAGCATAATAGAGAGGACATATATAGTAAGACCATATGTGCAATAAAGGGAAACATCAAGAGAAATGCAAATTGAATCAAGTCGAAAATAATATAAAAGTATTCAAAAATCGAAATAATCATCTCAGTACTGTATGTGCATATTTGGATATAGAGCCAAAGACATCAACTGTAATGATGAGATTAAATTAATAATCAACTCAAAGATTATTTGTTTTTTTCTTGAAATCTTAGGGCTGTATTTTTGCTTTGAAATCGAGCAAAAGGTATCTAAAAGCTTGGAGCCAAGGTTTTCGAAAATTCATTTATTGCTTTTTGCCAGCAAACAACCTTTGCTGGCTATAGTTGAGTCACTATCATCTTTAAGCATTTTTATGTAATGAATCAATTATCAGAAAAGCTATTTTTTTAAGAAGAGATAGAACTCAGATAAGCTACTTTGTATGCAATTTGTATACAAAAAAAATCCTCAGGGAACGTACAAATTGAATTTTAAATACTAAAGAAAATCCATAATTTACTCTTATTAATTTATCAAATTTTTTGTTCAATTAAAATTTTCTTTAGTGCTCTGAGTTCATCAATTTGATTAAAATCTTCACACTGCTATGAAGTCAAATCAACAAAATTTAATCAATTTATAAATATTTATCTGATACAAAACCAAATTCTATTGAACCAAAGATACATTATGCGTTTATTATTTCTAAAAAGAAGCTAAAAATGGCAATATCAGGAAAATATTCATTAGCTATGAGCAAAAAAATTCGAGCTAAAATTATTAAGAATTTTTTTAAATGCTAAAGCCTTCATTTCCTTGATAAATAGTTTGCAATTTATAATAAACAATAAAATTTAATTGTGGCTTTAATTTTTGCCTATCATTTTGACCTGATTGCAAAAAAAAATTATTCTCGTTAAGAAGACACAGCAATCAAAAGAGAAAATTATTAAAATTTACTGAAAGACTTTACATTTTAGCAGCTTCCTTGGGCACTATACCTTTTTGTAATTTGTCTTAATGATCTCATATTATCTAAAATCATTTCTTCTACAGGATCTCTTTCTCTTGCAAGCTCAGCTGGCTCTCTACATTAAAATTACAATAAATTCTTAAATCTTTCTATTTCAGCTGTAGAATAATTGCTGCACTAAAACTTACATTTTATTTACGAGTGACTGAATTTCTTTCTCCAAAATGCTTGAAGTCTCATTATTTATATCTTCACTTTTAAGTTTTCTTTTAATTTCTTTGAGTTCTGATATTTTATTTATTAAATAATTTCTAAATATCAATCACTTTTTCAGTCCTGATTCTTTTTTCATTTCAATTCTTTTATCTTCTTTTTCAGATTTCAATTTTGATAAGCTTTCATTCATCTCATCTATTTCATTTTGCATTTTTTCTCTTTTTTCTTTTATTGTATTTTTTTTCTCTTTTGCCTTTTTGATTTTTTCTGTAAGCTTTTCTTTTTCATCAATTTGCTCTCTAAGCTTCTTATTTTCCTTCAAAATTTCGTTGAGTGTTGCTTCTGAATCTTCTATCTGATATTCGATATCTTTAATTCTATTCAAAATTCCTTCAGAAACTAACGCTTCTGTTGACTGATTTTCCATAATCTCATTTTCAATAATTGACCCTGCTAGCGTTGAAGATAGAGTTGAAGATCCTATGTTTTGAGCTTTAACAGAAAGACAAATTTGAGCATTTTTGTCTTTGCATTTTTTTACTTTGTAAATTTTTCCAATTTCAGGGGCTTCTAAGCATCTGCTTAGATTTAAAACGACTTTCCCAATTTCTTCGGTTTTTCCTTTATTTTCTTTGAGAACTTTTAATTCAATTTTTTTATCAACGGTTGAATGCTTTTTTGTATAAATCATGTGAGTATTAGTTAAGGTTTCTTCAATATCCACTTTGGCATGTAAACTGTCAGGTATAATTTGATGAACTGTCGAACATGTCTTTTTGCCTAAAGTGAAATTTACTGCTTTTCCATTCAATTTTTACATGAGTTTCATGTGGAACCTCAATTTCAATGTAGTGAAATTCAATTTCAAAATTGATTTTCTCACCTTTTGCACCTATTCTATCGAAAATATCCATAATTATAGTTTTAATGCCAACTTTTAAAATAAGATTTATGAAAATTAAAATTTTAAAGGTTTAGGAGCAATAAGTAAAAACTTTTCACCTTGAAAAATTATTATGATGATAAGATCACGTCAGCCGATTTTGATTGATTGGACATGAAAATTAATAAAAATGTGGGTTTGGTTGCTTAAAGGGAGACAAACTTGATAAAATGGCACTCCCCTGGTTTCCTACTACTGCTGTATCTGATCTTATAAAATTATGACCAAACTGATTTATTTTTAGTGCTTTCTTGATTATTATCTATATAGAAGCTTATTTAATACTCAACCTTGCACTTCTGTTCAATTCTGACGTTTGTTTATATAAAACAAATTTTTAATTTTTTAAATATAATGATGAAAATTATAATCAGGTTGGTATTGATAGAGCCTCACTTATAAAGGCTGATATTGATAGAGCCTCACTTATAAACAAAATATTGATATCACTGAATAAATCATAAGTTTTAGGGTAAATCAAATCAAAAGAATTTTACTTGAATATTAAAACTGTAGGATTTCAATAAATAGCTGATTATTATAAAAAATTAAATCTTTATTTAGCCATTGATTTCCAAGAAAGCTCATTTAAGATCAAGAACCAATTTAATTGTGCTCTCTACCAAATGAAAAACGCCCTAGCTTTTGCTACAGATTCATTCTTTAATTAAAGAGAATTTCCCAATCACTACCGCTAGCAACTGTGAAGGTGCGTGATCGCTTTTAAGTTTTCATCTGACTAATGAAAAGATAAATATGAAGAATATTTCGGAAAACCAGCTTTTCTTGTATGCTCAGGACAACTTAATGTAGAAACTTATTGTTGCGCATTGCCTGATGTATATACATCTGGACAAACAATTAGGACAGAAAATTCCCAAACTGCAAGACATTTGCAAAATTTTGAATGATTAAGCCTGAGATGGCACGAGTTGGGCTAGCTCTTAAAGCTATTTGAAATTTTTTATGAGAAAATTGTGGAGGGGATTTAGAATTTTTTGATATATATGTTAAAAAGGCTTATTTCAAGATTGAGAAATGATATAGAAAGGTCAATTGAAGGGATTTCGTGTAGAGATGCTATCGATATAATACAGAAAAGCAAAAAACAGTTTAAAATTACTCAAAATGACCTAAACTCATAGCATGAAAGATATATATCTGAAGAAATATAAGAGGCTAGGCATAGCTTGCAATTATCCTAAAGTCCTCAAAGCTTTTAATATGTGGATTAATGATGATGAAAAATCTGCACAAACAATGAATATTTTGGTAGCAAAAATAGGAGAAATTATATGGGAAGCGGTAGAGAAACAGGATCTATAAGTTGAAAAGAATTTAGAGTTCAAAATTTAGATAAAGAAAGATATTGGTAGTACAGAGTTAGGCTATTAAAGGCAGGCATTATATCTCTGCAGCCTGCACTTGTTTTTTGGCTGAAGTCCGTCCCTGCTCGCAGTGGCCATAATGTCGGGACTGTTGTGCCAAGAGGGCAGGTTGGCACATTTGCCATTTTAATGTAATTTTTTAAATATTGGTAGTGTAGAGACTTAAGGGAATTTAGATCTCCCACAAGTAGGATCTGGATTAGGATTATGATGGTCAAAGGAGAAAAATATTCGCAATACAATTTCAATTTCTAGGTGACCGGGAATTCAGAATTTTAAGATAATTTTTGCGGGGAAATAAACTCCGGAAATGCTATTATGATTTATCATAACATCACCAAACTAAATCTATAATAAATAAATATTAAATTTTAAATGCTTTGCTTAAGTTCTGTCTGTGAATTTTGTTTAGCCTCTTCCTCTTGCTTCATTTGATCATTCTGAGCAGCAAAATTTTTATAGCAGCTTGAACAAGAGCTAAAAATATAAATAATTCCAACTCCCATCAGAAAAGCTGCAACTATAAACTGAAAAACTGTATGATATCTGATGCATAAAGTCCCGACACTATATTACATATACAAAATATAAAATATTCCTCTTCCAAAATATCCAGAGATAAATAAAAATTTTTGCAGCAGGAAATTGCATGGGACTTCAGCTCCAATCATCATTAAGCCAAAAAACCTAATTCAAAATTACACGTAATAAACTGGTAAAATCACATTTATCGGATCACCTAAATCTATTGTGCCGAAATTAAAAATTCCTAGTGCTATAAAGGAATAGAATTGTGAGGCTGATGGATAGGAGTCCTAGGCGATAACTCCTGATAGAGTGTGGACTGGCGAAAGTATGCTCTTTGTGAGCTAAGTAGAAAATCTTAAGGGATCTGCCAAATGGACTAGACAGGTTTTGCCTACCACACAGTCTTTGCTCATGAGGACTGCTTGGGCATGATTCAGGAGATGGTTTTGACCTAAAGAGCTAATCATTTGGGCAGGCGGCTCTGGTTGGAAATCCAAAAGGTATAGTTGGTCCGTCTGGCAGTGCCGAGAAAAGTCTAAGTCTAGTGGGTTATCCCATTTATGCCCTGTATAATCTTTAATTAACTAGCTAGCGCTATAAGTAAAATTGCCAAAATTATGCTTGTGATCCTTAAGGTTCTTCTCCAATTTCTTCCTCCAGTTGTCTCCTGATTATCTACCATTTATAAATAACTTTGCATAGATTATCATCTCTTGTGGTTCTATAAAGAAAAACAGAAAATTTTCATTCGCTTCTATACCATTTAGCACTTGGAAATTAAATAAATTTTAAATCAAGAATAACAAAAATAAAGAATATGGGCATTTGTGCAAGTAAAAGCACGAGAAAAGTAGCAGCAGATATGAGAAGTACAGAGCAGTTGTCAGACTTAGATAAAATAAGAGCTGAACTAATTTTGAGAATTCATAGCTTGCATTCTGTGAAATCTGATTGTAAACAGGGGATCGAGATCTGTGCAATACAAAAAGAAAAAAACAAAGCAATTATTTTAAAGCTAACTCCCGCTTCTGTAAGTAAATAAAAACATTAAAAAATTCACCTACCCGTGTGATAGAAAAAAAATATTTTGATATATAAGTGATAATTACTATAAGGGAATCTCTTTTTAATTCTGTTAAAATTTAGGAAACTTGTATTTTAAAACATAAATTTTGTTAATTAAATGAATGTTTTCTTTCCAATTTCGGAAAATAAAATTTACAATGAAATTTATTATAAATTTTTTAAAAAAATTAACCCGTTAGCTAAGCAGGAATATATAAGCAAAAAACTAAAGGAAATACAAGAAATTATAAAACTGATTGATGACTCTCAAGATAAACCTTTAAGAGACAAAAATACAATAGTAAGCGATGCTAAAGAATTAAATGAAAATCTTGATCAAGTTTTAATAGGAAACGACGTTGAACAAATTATTTCTGGAAAAGAAAGTTCACAATATGATGAAATTCTTAAAAAGAGTTTATCATTGACAAAAGATTCGTTAGATATAGTCAATCAAGTTGATCAGATTTTCGAGTCCTCAACTTATTTAAATGAGCCAGCATCGGGTGTAAGAAGAAAATACAATAGAAGGACAAAAAGTTCTGGAAAGCCACTTTAGTATATAGGGTTTTCCCCTAGATAGCCCTTTAAGGGCTGTAGATTCTGGGCGGAGTCTTTAAGTTGGTCCGACCAATTCAGTACGTTAGCCGGACCAGCTCACTTGCTTCCACCAGCCAAAGGATTTTACCCAGAATTCACCGCCCTTACAGGACTACCTAGTGGAAACCCCTATAATTGTTTATAGAGATGTAATAAAAAATTTTAAAAAAAATATAAGTGGCTTATTTCATCGGTTTTCAGTTATGAAAATTAATATAAGGAAACCTCGGAAAAGCTATAAAACCAAAATTTTCTTACTTTATTAGGCGTAAATCCAGTAAAAGATATAATGATTTTATTTTTAAGTATCAATAAAAAAATGCGGTAATTAGAAAAAAATAAAAAATCAAAGATCAATATGAAACAGACACAGAATATTTTACCTTAAAACAAGATTTTTAAAAAAAATTATAAGCAAGCGATTTCTATGAATACTCTAATTAATGTTTAATCTCTATTAGAAACTAAACTGCACATTGTCTTTGATTAATTGAATTAAGTTGTCATTTTCATCAGCTTCCAACTCAAAATAGTTTTCTATCACCTGCCTTGATTTTTCATAAATCGCATTATTAGGATGCTCTTGCAAATCCTCAAGTTTACTTAACCCTCCGCATTCTTCCAAAATATCAGCAAATGGATTCGTCCCTTGTTCATTAGAAAAGCTTTCTTTCCCATTTTTCAAAATCCTATTGATACCTTCCAAAGCAACAGTAATTATCTTTGATTCATTTTGATTAAGCAAGCTGCATAGCGCAGGAATCACGCCACAATTAACTAAATGCAAAACTTGGTCAGGCCTTCCTGCAGCTGCAGCATTGCAAAGAGCCCAAACTGCTTCTTTTTTGATCATTTTTTCATCGTGCTCTACTATACTTGCTAATTTTTTAAAGACATCAGCATTAATTAATGAATCTAACTGTTCCTGTGTGCCAGCACAAATATTCGAAATGCTTCACACGGCTTCTTTTCTGATATTTTTCTTAGAAGATGTCAATAAGTTCGATAATCCTTGTGCAGCACCTAAACTAATAGCAAACTCTGTTTGCACGGCAGTCCCTGACACTATATTTCCAATAATCCTGATAGAAGGAAGCTGTATATTATATAAATGATGGCCTAAAAGCTGAATGACTTTTGGTACGCATCCACTGTGTATTATATTGGTAATTTTTTCTTCCCCTCCTTCACTTAAATGTGAAAGCGCCCACAAGCAGTCAGATAAAAGGTCAGCATCATGATGACTTTCAACAATCTTTGCAAGCAATGGAATTGCACATTTAACGAGTTCATAATCAGCAGATGGTTTGCCTCGGCATAAATTACTTACAGCCCAGCTTCCATTTTTTATCATAGAAGGCTTATTGGAGTTCTCTACACACCGTATTATCAAATTAAGCCCATCATATTTTAATATGGTATCCCTACAATTAGGGGAGTCTCCTCCAATATTTCCTATAGCCCAAATAGCTTGTTCTTTGACTTCTTCGTTCGAAGATCGAAGTAAATCTACTAATAAAGGAATTGAGCCTTTCTCTACAATGACCTGACAGTGCTGATGTGTACCTGAGGCAATATTTGTGATAGTCCATGCGGATTCATATTGAAGCTGAGGAAAATCATGTCTTTTTATGAATTCAATGAGAACTGGGACTACTCCTGCATCAATGACATTTTGGATAGGAGGCTCATTTTCAATACTTAAGAGCTTACGAAATCCTTGAGCAGCGTACAAGTTACGCTCTGGTTCAGGAGATTTCATAGCTTCAAGGAGCTCTGGGAGGTCTGCTAAGGTGTAAGATGGCTTATAGTGGTCATTCACTTTGATTCATTCACGATCGCTCGCTTGGAAATTTCTTCGTTTGCTAGCCATATCAGCCCGCTTGGATTTACGAAGCTCAACTGTTTGTTCTTCTTTGCGACGCTTGATGTCTTCTGTGTTAAAGGACTGCATAAAATCCTTTGCTCGTTGTTCGAGCTTGTTGGGAGAGTCTGTATCTTTTGACATTTATAAGAAATTAATAAACGACAATTTCAATATTTATATTTTTTTGGTGGAAAGGCTAATTATAATATTTATTTACAAATTTAATAAAAAGATGCTAAAAATATGTATATTGTTTAAGTTCAAAATTATTTTTAAAAGTTTGGTGAAAATCCTGAAAATTTCGATTTAAGTGGTACTTGACATAGGAATTGCATTTTTAATAAATTCCAAAAGCTGATGGAATTTAAAATAAATGATTTACGATAAGCCATATATTATTATGAAATTAATTGATGTCTTCCATATTTTTAAATATTATCAGAATTGATGAATAAAAATTATTTATTCACAGCCAGCAATTTTAATATTTCAATACATGAAAGAAAGGAACAGATCAATATTATTTTTGATTTTTGGATTTTCTTTCCTCAGCTAGAGAAAATACTTAAAATTACAGTAAAATGGCACTTTGTCACAATAAATATCCCACCTGTTAGATATTAGCTCTAATAAAAAGCTTAAAACTTTAACTAATGCTTAAACTCCTTATTATTGTCAAATTTTAAATCATGCTCACCATTTTATTACTGTTTTCAATGGACAATAGCAGAAGTAAATTATTAATTTGAATATTAATAATTAATATGGTTAGGCTTATTGTTCTGATGCTATTATCGTTGACAGCTTTTGCGATCACTCCAAGTATCTTTAAAAGCCAATTCTTAGAAGCAAGTGGAGATTGTAGCTCTCAAGAAGAACAACAATCCCAACAAAATCAATCTTGTCCTCAACAGCAAACAAGCCAATGCGGCCAACAAGGGTCTCAAGTTGTAAAAGGAGATAAAGGAGAAAAAGGCGACCAAGGACCACCTGGGCCTCGAGGACCTCAAGGTCCAGAAGGGCCTGCAGGACCCCAAGGACCAAAAGGAGACAAAGGTGACAAAGGTGACAAAGGTGAAAAAGGAGAGCAGGGGCCTCAAGGCTTAAAGGGTGAAAAAGGTGAGCAAGGAGCACAAGGGTCACAAGGACTTCGAGGTTTGAAAGGTGACAAAGGGGAAAGAGGTCCAAGAGGGGTTTCAATAAAATGCATTGAATATGATGAGGTTGAAGATTGCAATGCTACCTCTTCTAATGCTTCTTCTTCTGTTAGCTCATCGCAATCAAGCCAAGATATATGCCATTGCCCTCTTATAAATTCTACAAGCTCTGAACAAAACTCCACTTCAAGCTGTTCTGGACAATCCTCAGGATCTTCTTCTAACGAAACTTCAGGATGTGCATGCTCAAGTGTTGGAGCAAACTCAACCAGCCAATCTTCTCAATCTAGTAATGAAAGCTCGGCGAATACAACTTCTGGATGTGCTGGAGCAAACTCAAGTAGCCAATCTTCTCAGTCAAGTAGCGAAGATTCAAGCTCTGGCTTGTGCAAATCTGGATAAATATCAGTATAATTTCTATTTCAAAAATAATTAACAATTTTTCAAAAGTAGTTTTATAATATATTTTAATGCAATGGTATTAATCACACCTCAAAATAGAATGAAATATAGGTAAAATTTTTGTTTTTGGATATAAATCAACCCCTTTAAATAGGAATGAAATTTATAGAAAATGTTATAGATGAATATTTAATAGCTTTGACCTTATTTAACGGAGGGGGGAATTTAAAAAGTGTCATTTAAACGGCTGGCACGCTGAATTGGATAATTTTCGAATTAATTTTTATAAAAATAATTAAAATTCTATTCATCATTTATATTTTTTTTTTTCACAACAGGAACGGAATTTTTTTCTTCATTTTAAACAAGGGAATTTAATAAAAATTAGATCTGAAGCACTCTCCCTTGAACTATTAGAAATAATTTCATTGTTCATGAAGTTGCTTTAGTGACTTTAGAAAATATCTAAATACTATTAAAGTGATCATTTTAAAAGATTATTTAATTTTCATGCTCTTATAAGACAAAATGTGTTTTTGATGATATTATATAGTTTCGTAAGTCAACAAAAATACCAATATTTGGAAATGATAGTCAAAAAAAGCTCTAATATTATCTTTTAGTTCCATTCATCAAGTTTCAGGATTTTAAAAAATGGCTTGCACCTTCATAACTGCAGTATAAAAGTTTAACTTAAAAGAAATTGAAGTAAGAAATAGTAGATATAATCTTCTGTGATGAGTAAAAGTTCATAAAATAAGTATTATCTAGAAAGCTCATGATTAGTAGTTCTTAGTACTCTTTATACCCCTTAGTTTACTTATGTTAAGAATTATTAGTCTGGTTAAGAATAAACCAAAATAAATTCACGTAATATCTACTGAAATGATTAAAAAAGTCTATTAATTAGGTGTAAATGAATTTTCCAGCGAAATCTACCATTAAGAATAAGTCCTTTTATTTGTGCCCTGCTTAAAAAATAATTTAATTTTAATAATAAGTGAATATTTTTCAAAATGCTAAAATGCTTGATGTCTAAAAACAGAACCAAATATTTAAATTGAAAGGCAACTCTTTAATGGTAGATTAGTGTGCTTTTTTATTTTTCTTGAATATATTGTTATTAAAAATTTCATATTTTGCAAATAAAGTTAGCCTTATTTTAAAGAATGCGCATAAATATTTTGTACTTTCAGCATGGCTAGGGCACTCAGATGGTCAGAGTAAATAAATAGTTGACTATGTATTAATTGATTAGACATGCCAAGGCTTGGATTTATCAAGTTTGGCGCCTTTATTTCCAATCCAAAGAGTCTGATTTAATTTCTAGTTGGCCTTCATCCGTATTTATAATGAAAAGCCTATTAGGTCTAAAATTTGACACCATATCAAAATCCACATAGGCCAGCCCAAGGCACGAATTAATTTTTTTGACTTATGCAGTAAAGCTTTTGTGGACAGAGCCTTCATATAAATATATTTCTGATACAAAAAGGTCTAATCTTTCATATAGGCCTAGTCCTTCTTTTTGGGAGTAGCATAAACACCTTAAAAACCTAATTAATCAATAATCTGATTAGCTGTCACTATTAAAAAAAGATTATGGTAGCAATTAGAAATGCTTATTCACTATCAGGTATATTTGCAAAACCTCCAGATTTTTTAAATTTAATTATTCAATTCATTATATTGCAATATTGAAAATACCCTAGTTATTCTTTTAGTTAATATTTTTCATTCAATTTTAATTATTTATAATTTTTACTTTTCGAGTTCTTATTAGAAGGCAAAAACCAGTGTTTGCATTTAATTCATTAATGGCTGATGCCTAAAGCGGCCTGAAAAGATTTATATGTATTATGAAGACATGGCACGGACCTTTAACATAAATGCTTGATAAGATAGTTCCCTTTGGTATTTTCAAAGAAAAGCTATGTCTCTTCTTAGCGAAATAATTCTTTTAGAATTTCTAGAATATCATCCTCAAAAATTTTATTTAGAACATCAAAGAAGAAAAGCAAATTATAAGAAATTTATCCTCTTAACTGTTTAAGAAACTTGCACACTACTTCCTAATCTCCCTGAGCAAAACCTAGACCGTGCAGAATCTTTTGGAACAGAAGGAAGTTGAGGAAGGGCAAAGTTTAGTTGATGCTCAAACCAAGGATCACTTAAAGCTTCTTTGGCTGAAGGTCTGAAGTTTGCAACTGGCTCAGTCAATTTCAAAACCAAAGCGGTTGCTAGCTTAGAAACATTTTTCCAAGATTCTCTTGAAAAAGAAATTTTACAGTCTCGATTTCTTAAAAGAATATCTTGTATGTTGTTACCTGGGAATGGCATTTTCCCACAAAGTAGTATATACAAAATAACTCCTGCACTAAAGACGTCCACTTTCGAGCCGTAATAGCACTTTCTTAGTACTTCAGGAGCTATATACCCAGGAGATCCACAGCGAAGATGCAGTCCTTCAGTGACTTCAGCTGCCAAGCCAAAGTCAGCAAGCTTGAAGTCATAATCATTTTCCTCAGAAACCATTAAAATATTTTCTAGCTTCAAGTCTCTATGAGCAATGTCTAATGAGCTCAAATAGCTTAGAACTCCTAGAAGCTTTTCAGTGAATTTTGCAGCAATTTTTTCATTATAAACTTTTCTTTTAATTATTCTGGAGAACAAATTACCTCCTTCTACATAGTCAATAACCAAATAAATATGGGTTGAGCTCTCATAAACATAATGGAGCTTGACTATATTGGGATGGTCGAGTTTCCTTATTAATTTTATTTCGTTCATTAGATTTGTGAGATTTACATGGTTTGCAGTTACATTTTGCTTGCTAATGGATTTTACTGCAAACATCTCAGACGTGTCGATGCATTCTACCAGATATACGGTTCCAAAAGCACCGTTACCCAGCTCTTTTATAACTGTGAAATCGTTTTCGAAATCTGTCATAATTGCAACTTTTGATAAATGCTTAAGTCAAGTATCCAACGTTTCTTGATTTTCAACGTAAAATTCCTTCGAACAGCCTCGATGTCCGACAGAGAATCCAAATCTAGCATCTTCATCGCTTTCCTCCATGAAAGGCTCAACGATTTTTCAATCCAATAGTGTTTTTTTATTTACTGAATTTGGACAAAGCTTAACCAAGTAGTTCTGGCTTAATAAAAGATTGACTGATTTGAGTACACCTGATTTTGAATTCTGAAAGACCGTATTTTTAAAGGTCTCCACCAATTTTTGCTTTGTATCAGGCGTCCAAAACTTCTTAGAATCTTGAGATTCTGAATTTATTGCTTCAAATACTGACATTTATATTATAGCTTTCCTTTTTTTATTTGCTATAATTTTGATTTTGAGCGTTTTATGATTATATAATTTGAATTTTAGAGAATAAATAGTTGCCAATTTGATATACCATCAAAATAAATTTAACATATTTTTTGAAAAAGATGATTTTTAGGTATTAATTTAGTTTAAAAGGAATTTTATAAGTTACAAATGGCATTTATTGAAATTAGTCAATTTTATTGAATTTATTATTTTTAAATGCAATAATCCTAAAAAGGAAAATAAAAATATTCCAGCAGACTTAATTAATGTATTTCTGAATATTTTTCGAATTTTTTAATACTTTTGGTTTAAATAAAGGGACAGATGCTAAAATAACTATGAATTTGATTTAAAAATTGATCTAAGAATCAATTTTTCAATAATGTCTACTTATTTTGATTCACCAAAATATGAGCTGCTGATTTATCAAAAATGTCAACCTTTTCAATAAAAATGGGTATTATATTAATTAAATTGAGTGCAAGATATTATAAAAAATACTATTCAAATTCGCAAAGAATTTAATAATTATATTTTTCTAACATAATATCTCTATTCAAAAATAGAATTATTATTAAATATCGTGATTAATAGAATTTTTTGGCCTCCTTTTAAAGATTAATAAATTATTTGCTTACAATTAATGATTATTAAATATCTCATATTTCTGATAGATTTAAAATTCAATAAAAAATACTGAAATCAATATGCAACTAATCAGTTTACATCATTTTAGTTTGGGTATAGAAAATTATAATACATAAATATTATCAATTTTCTTCACCAAATTTCATTAAAAAATTGATTTTATCATTTATTTTTTAACTTATCTTAACATTGAAATTATTAAATATAATAATTTTTGTGATTAATCCAACATCTTTAATGACTAATTCATTTGGAGATAGTATCTGCCCTAAGGATTTATTGTGATAAATTCTATCAAGAAACTAATAAACTAGGTTGCAATTATATCGTTTTTATTCTAAAAATAATTTCTATTTATTATTTATACTGCTTAAGATATATTTCCCATTATCTTACGGCAAGCTTGGAATTTACCTATTTTTGAAACCAAATGGTTCTGAGAAGCTGCGGAATTTAATTGTTTTTCAAACCAAGGATCATTCAAAGCTTCTTTTACAGAAGGCCTAAGGTTTGCAATTGGCTCAGTCAATCTCAAAATAAAAGTCATTGCAAGTTTTGAAAGATTTTGCTGATGTAAAAAAGAAATTTTGCAGTCCCGATTTCTTAATAATATTTCTTGTGCATTTCTACCTGGGAATGGCATTCTCCCAGAAAATAGTATATAAAAAATCACCCCTGCACTAAAAACATCGACTTTTGAATCGTATAAGTTTTTTCTTAAAATTTCAGGAGCTATGTATCCTGGAGATCCACATCGAAGACTAAGACCCTCTGTGGCTTCAGCTGCCAGGCCAAAGTCTGTTAGCTTGAAATCATAGTCGTTCTCTTCAGAAACCATCAAAATGTTTTCAAGCTTCAAGTCTCTATGAACAATGTTAAATGAGTTCAAATAAATTAATACATCCAGCAGCTTTTGAGCAAATTTTGCAATGTGTTCTTCACTGTAGACTTTTCTTTTTATTATTCTTTTGAATAAATCACCACCTCCTACATAGTCAATAACCAAGTAAATATTTGTTTGATTTTCATAGACATAGTGAAGCTTCACTATATTTGGATGGTCTAATTTTCTCATAAATTTTATTTCATTGATAAGATTTGCAAGGTTTGCTGGATTAGCCGTTATATCATGTTTGCTGATTGATTTCACCGCATACAACTCAGCAGTGTCATTGCTTTCTGCTAGATATACAGTTCCAAAGGCACCGTTACCCAGCTCTTTTATAATAGAGAAATCATTTTCGAAGTCCATCATGATACCAACTGTGGATAAATGCTGGATTCAGGTATCGAGCGTTTCTTGGTTTTCTACATAAAAATCTTTAGATCAGCTTAGATGGCCTATTGAAAACCCAAATCTAGCATTTTGCCCATTGTCTTCTATAAAAGGCTCAACGATTTTTCAATCCAATAATGTTTTTTTATTTACTGAATTAGGTCCGACCTTAACCAGGTAGTTCTGACATAATGAAAGATTGACTTCTTTAAGGATTCCTGATTTTGATTTCTGATATACTTTATTTTTAAAGGTCTCTTGAAAGTTCTGCCTCTGATCAAACTTCCAAAACTTTTCGGAACCTCCAATTTCTGTATTTATTGCTTCAAATACTGACATTATTTTATTATTATCCTAATACAATTAGTATATATTCCAAATATCAGTAAAATTTGAATATCGGTTTGTCCATGAATACCTACTTATTAGTCCACTACTATTAACTAGGATGTCATTTTGATTTTATAAAAATTTTCAGTAAATTATATGAAATTAAGAAATTTCTGGAAAATTTTATAGAACGACATCAAACTCTTAGATTAATAAAAATAATTTATGAATAGTTAAGCTAATAGAATACAAATATTTAGACTCTATTATTATGTAAATTCATTTTTCTAGATTATTCTATTTTTTTTTGCAGCTTATTAAACCTTGAAATAAGATTCTTATATTCTGTAAACTCTTTGAAATGAAATAAAAATTCTATTCTGGTGGCCTTTTCTTCTAAATACATCTAGAAAATATTTTTAATTCAAATCATATTCAACTTTAACTATAAGCTCATAAATAGAAAGTGATTAAATATGATAATAATTATTTAATCTGATTTAATATCAAAATTTTAAGACTAATTTCTAGAAATACATAAGTAAATTAATTTTTATAAAAATTTCACAATATAATAATAAATTTAGTTATAGAAATATTTTATATAAAAATTGGACCAATAGTTATCTATGTAAATAATTTTATTGTTCTTATAATTTAATATTTATCTGATTAATGAACTGAATTAAATTTGTTCGCTGGGTCTAATAGAAAGCGCCCTTAATGTTGGTGGCTCCTCAGATGCTAATTGAGCTGGATTTAATTGTCGAGCAAATCAAGGGCTTTTTAAGGCTTCGTTTGCTGAAGGTCTAAGATTTGGAATTGGCTCAGTTAGCTTCAAAACCAATGCAGCTCCATATTTAGACACGTTTTTCCAAGAAGGATGTAAAAAAGAGATCTTGCAATCCCTATTTTTCATTATAGTGTCTTGCAAATTTTTGCCAGGAAACGGCATTTTGCCACTAACTTCCCACTAATAATTAAATTCTTGCTTATTCGTCAGAAGTTTTTCACAATTTTATAAAAAATAAACTTTATAGAATTAATTTGAGGATCTTAAAATAACATTGAAAATAAAATTTGGCATTTCCCTACAAATTCGATCTATTAATATATAAATTTACTATTTTAAAATTCTATGCTAAACCCCCGCGAATAAGCAAGAATTTGCTCATTACAAGGGGAGTAAGTAGAATATATAATATGACCCCTGCACTAAAAACATCGACTTTTGTATCATAAGGGCTTTTTCTCACTTCCCCCCTCCGTGAGCGAACATTTTTAAAAAATTTATATAGAAATTTTATAGAATTTTTTTTTTTTTTTCAAAATTTAAAAAAATCCCACTTCGCAAAATTGGAAAGCAAATATTGATTTAATTTGTAAAATTTATGTTTTAAAACGCAATTTATTTAAAATTAAACAGAATTAGCTTGAGATTTCATTATACTAGTTATCACTTGTATATCAAATATTTTTCCATAAAGCATTTTTATTCGCTCATGGAGGGTGGGTTTTTTGGCAAAAAATAATGATTTTTCCAATGATTTTGTTCGCTTACGGAGGGGGGAAGTCAGTACTTCAGGCGCTATATATCCAGGAGATCCACATCGAAGCGACAATTTCTCAGTTGCATCTGCTGCCAAGCCAAAATCAGCTAGTTTAAAATCATAATCATTCTCCTCACTCAGCATAAGAATATTTTCTAGCTTAATATCCCTATGAGCAATATTAAAAGAGCTTAAATAGTCAAGTACTCCTAAAAATTTTTGCGCAAACATAGCAGCTGTTTTCTCTTCAAAAACTTTTCTTTTTATTATCCGATTAAAAAGATCTCCTCCTTCCACATAATCTATAAGTAAATATATATGAGTTGGGCTTTCATAAACATAATGGAGCTTTACAATATTGGGATGATTGAGAGTTCTCATAAATTTTATTTCGTTCACAAGATTATTGAGGCAAGACAGGCTTCCGCCGATATTGTGCTTATTTATGGATTTCATTGCAAATAATTCAGAAGTCTCATTGCTGACGACCAGATAAACAGTGCCAAAGCTGCCGTTTCCGATCTCCTTTACTATTGTAAAGTCGTTTTCAAAATCTGTCATTATGCCTTTTTTAGACAAATGACTAATCCATATATCAAGGTTTTCTTCGCTTTCCACATAAAAGTCTTGAGAGCAACCTCTATGGCCAACAGAAAATCCATATCTAGTCACCTCCCCATTGTCTTCTGTAAAAGGCTCAATAATTTTCCAATCAAGTAAAGTTTTTCTACCAACTGAGTTTGGAATAATCTGTACAAGATAATTTTGAGTTATCAAAAACTGGCTCTTTTCTAATAAAGTTGATTCGTTTTTGATTCATGCCTCACTTTTAAACACTCCTAACGGGTTTTGATTGTGTTCTGGCATTCAAAACCTGTAAACACCTTGAAAATCGTTGTTTATTGACTCAAATACCGACATAATTAAAAATATGGCGTCTTCGTCTGGGCATGGCCTCCCGGCCATGCAGCCTCGACTCATATTTTAATTATATCCGGCAAGGTTTTACCATTTCAGAGATGGACAGCAATGCTAGGTAAGCAATTCTGGTAGCTTTCAGAGCCTAGCCCTAGTCTAATCTCAGGGGTGGATTTTTCCTCGTGGGGAAGGAGGGTACAAGGTTGGAAAGGGGAAGCCCAGCAAAGTCCTCTGGACCATTCGGGCAAATCCCTAGCGTGAAACTGGGCGTTACGTCCCAGGCTTTGTATTTTTCCTTTTTGCCGATAGCTGACCAGAAAAATCCATTTTTTGGGTTTTTCGGAAAAAGCAACCCATGTACAAGCAAGTAGCTCATTCATGAGCCGTCGAAGACGTGGACATTTGCCCTAGAAGCACCTTGGAGATCAAAGCGAGTCTGTCCCCAGCGGACTGGTGGGCCCGATGCGACGAAAGGCGAGTGATAAACCTGGGGTCGTAACCCCGTAGTGGACGTTAAGCGATATAAATTCCATAAGACTCAAATACCGACATTTTGCTTTATTAAGCATTTATACATAAAAAAAATTTTTAGTGTAACTTTCAAAGCTTTGTTAAAATTTTATATGAGTCAAACTAATATATGCAGAATATATTTCTTATTTTATCCATTTTATATGCGGGGTTTTAAGGAATCAGGTATTGCTCGTCAAATTAGGCTTTTAACCTGGGGATGAATAAGCATTAAAAGAAGCTTTATATAATTTAAATTTCAAAAGTGCATGATACATTTAAATAATTTGAGTTTATTAATTTTATATTGTATTAAAATGGTAAAAGTTTATTTTAAACTCCAATATTTAAATTTTATAGGCACATTTTTAGGAAATAGCAAATTGTTTTTTTCTTTTGAAAAAGTCTGATTTTATTAAGAAAAGCAGCTTTCTATTATTCTTATTATAATTTATTTCTTATTTGATAATCCTTTGCATCTTTATCCTAAATTCTAATTCTGCAAGAAAATATAAAATTGCTACAAAAACTGCATAATCTACAGACCATGTCATTTTTAACTAATGCGACCCGTAAAGCAAATATGGAAGTAGCTGACCTATATAGTGAAGCCTCTGGTGAACTCATCGCTCTGCTAGAAATTATTAAGTTTAATTTAAATTCTTCCTACTAAGCAGATTTAAATTACTCTTTGCCCAATTACAATGCTTAAATAATTATTTATAATTTTTATCAAATTCTATAAGATTCAAGATCCAGCTCATCCAGCTCATCCAGCTCATCCAGCTCATCCAGCTCATCCAGCTCATCCAGCTCATCCAACTCATCCAGCTCATCTACGTCTATTAAAGTCATTTTGGGAGCTCTAACAATTCCTACATCGTTTGCTTCATAACTTTTATGTATCCATTTTGACCTTTTGATTATCCTTGAAACATCTTTAGACCTAATTTTCCACTTTAAACTTGCATCATTTTTAGCAACCAGTGAAAGGTGATGAAAGCACTGATCATAATCTTGAACGTTAATTTTGATTTGGTAGTCCAAGTATCTTAAAAATTCAATTTCCTGGAAATCAAGTGTTGATTTATCTAGCTCAGGAAAATAACGTACAAAGGCTGAATTGCAGAGATAGTGAGGGCTGTAAACTCTTTGAGCAGTTAGAGTGCTGAGCATCACAAGATCTTTTCAGTTTGAGCTACATAAGGGAATCTGAGTAAGGTTTAAAAATCTGTCTAAGTATATTTTCAATAATACACAGACTTCTGCACAAGAATCAATAGTCAAAAGAATATGCCCTAAAAACGCCGAAATTTTGCTTGGATCTTCGACTTCTTCAATCTCTGATTCCATAAAAGAAGACCTTTGCTCATCTGTAAAAAAATAAGCATTACTAACAAATCTACACTCGCTCTTCTTGTTTAAGTGCTCCAAGAAGATTCCTCTCAAGCTTATGCATAGCGAATCTATAACTAATCTAGTGTCTGGATGAATTCATCTATGAGAGCTAACTCTGAAAATGGTATCACTGCTGATCTCTTGCTTTGCCATTTATTTAATAAATGTTCATTTAGGTAACTTAAGTTACAAATATCTTTAAATATCATTAGCATCATCTAATTTTTTGTCAAATTAATTAATAATTTCCCTAAGAAAAATTTTTTAAGAACGATAATGATATATTCCAATTTAGTTTTGAATTGATTTCAAAAAATTTTAAGCAATCTTTTTTGGGAAAATTAAAGCTAACTTTATTGATATTAGTTATATAAATTTATTGAGTATTTTTGATTTTCAATCATTGCCCTGGCCGATTTTACACTTTAAGCAAGCCTGTCATCTATTTGTTGCTGGACCCTGCGATAATTTAAGGTATCACTTGCTGAGGATCTTGCACTGTAATTAGGATCAGTTAATTTCAAAATGAAATTTATAGCATTTTTTGATATGGTTTTTTTTATATTTTAGGATTGAAAGAAACGAAGCAGTCTCGATTTTTCTGAAGGATTTCAGCCGAGTGTCTTCCAAAAAATGGCATTTTGCCATATGATAAAATATAAAAAACAACCATTACACTAAATGTATCAGCTCTGGCGTAAAAATCAAGCTTCCTAATATTTCAAGTTATATATATCTAGAAGATCCACATCTAACTTGCGGATTCTCAGCTCAAAAAAAATTAATTTGAAATCGTAATCATTTCTTTTCGAAGTCATTAAAATATTTTCTAGTTTGATATCAAGATGAGCATTGCTAATTTGGCTTAAAAAGTTTATGGCATCTAATAGTCTAATAGCCAAATTTGCCACGGTATTTTTCTTCTAGCTCTCATACATGTTATTAAGCAAATAAGAGAAAAATTCTGTAATTTTATAAATTAATTTACTAAAAGCTCTATACTTGTGTTTTCAACGTTTAGTTAAAACTAATATAGCTAAAAATATTATTAATTAGGGTAAGTTTTTTTTTTATTCTTCCATTATATAAAAACCACATTTCTGTGTGAGCTTATATAAGAATTTAATAAATAATTAATGATAAAGTACAGCAAGTTCTTTGAAATTTATACATCAAGATAATGATTATTGGTTAAAATTATTTTAAGTAAAATACCTAGCTCGATCTCTGAAGCGCTATATTAGAATTCTTTGAAAATAATGCTTTTCCATTTAATTTATCAAAGCTAATTTCTTTGATAAGTTAATTTTTTTTAATTTTAATTCAATTATCAGCTGCACTTTGCAGGTCAACTTTTTCTACTTTAATAAATTAAAATTAAACTTATATTTCAATAATTTGAAATTATCATAAAATAATAAAATGCATATCAGTGTAAGTTTATAATGTCTGGCTTTCATATAAAAATGGAGTTTGACAATATTTGGATAAGCAATTTTCCTCATTATTTTTATTTCACGAGTGAGATTATTTGATTTTTTTCTAGCTATCACGCAGGTTCAATTTGCTTATTGATTTTACAGAGCAGTCTTCCTATTTACAGTGCTTGTAGTAATAAAAAAAGATCCGAAGCTCGGCTTTCAATTTTTTAAAACTTCAAAATCTTCATTGAAATAATTTTTTAAAAATGGTGAATCGCGAAAAGGGTCCAGGGTAAGTAGATCCCATTCATTTAGAAGTCTGAAGTGTTTTTTTTTTTCTGGTCAGAACACCGTGGCAGCATTTTATCCTGACCCAAGATGACAGACCGAAAGCTAAAAGTCCGCTTAAAACTTCTGGGAAGTAATTATGCTCCTGAAAAAAGGGCAAGGCAGTCCAGAAGAAGACATTGGCGCTTCTTCTGTACTCTGAGCAATACCAGTGGTTAAGGGAGTCAAATGCCTTAGAGCTAGATCCAAGCATTTTCAGGTGAGTCTCCACAAGAGACTTATGACTTCATGAAAAAGAGCCTAGTGTGGCATCAATACTTAAGGCCACCTTGAGCCTGAAGCCATCCAGTATGGATAGGCTGAAATAATCCCAGAGATCAGCTATATATAACTTAATTTAATCATCGAAATTTGTCAAAAACAAATTGGAGAGAAAGCTAAATCACGCTTTCAGCAATTCAAGACTTTCAACGTAAAAAATTCTTTTACAGTTATCGCGGCCAACTGCAAAACCAAGTATTTTTAACAAGTGAGATAGCTACTGATTTCAAATTCCTGAATTAGATTTGTAAATCACATTACTTCTAAAAGACTCACTAATATTAAAAAAAATTATGGAACTCAAAAATCATAAAAACCTTTATATTGCTTATTAATTTGTCTAAACGTTGAAATTTTGTTTTTGTGGCTAAAATTCCGCTATCCTTGCTTAATTCCTTAATAGAACGATTTTACATTATTGTTTGAAATTTTAGAAAATTATCTATCCTTAATCGATATCTCTAGTTTCTTTTATCCATAGAGAGCAAAAGAGCCTCGACAAGAAAGTTCTAAGATTTCACATCTTGAGTTTTATTATGACTTGCTATAGTTAAATAGAAATTATGAAAGCCTTGCATAGTTAAATAAAAAAGTCTAATTACATTAGCTTTTAAAATTTGGCTTTCGGTATCATTTCCTATTGTCGTAGGCAAAATTTTTAATTTATGATTGTACTTACTTTTTATGGCCATTCCTTAGTAATAATGTAAAAGGCTCATTTTTAGCTCGACTGGTGTCTAAATTTGTTTTAAGGCTGTCTAATTTTGACAATGATGTGCTATTTATAGTCACACTATTAAAAAAAGGAAGAGCGAAGGCTTCTTTAGGACTTGGTCTAAATTCTGGTTCCTTTTCAGTAAGCTTGAGAATAGCATCAATTGCATTTTTTGATTTATTTTTCCAAATTTGGTTGTGAAAACTAATTACCCCTTCTCTGTTTTTTATTAGTATTTCTTTGGAATTTCTCCCGAAGAAAGGCATTTTTCCTGAAATAAGAATATATAGAACAATACCGGTGCTATATACATCAACTTTATAGCTGTAAGAATGATTTCTTAATATTTCAGGAGCTACATAGCCTGGCGAGCCACACTTTTTCGTTGATTCTTCCTTTAGTTCTTCTGCCAACCCAAAATCAGCAAGTATAAAGTTATCTATTCTATCTTTTGATGTCAACAGAATATTTTCTAGCTTAATATCTCTGTGCACAATATGCATTGACTCTAAATATTCTAAAATATCGAGCATCTTAGCCCCAATTATTGATGCTTCTGCTTCAGAAAAACTATTTTTCTTAAGTATTCTTTGATAGAGATCCCCACCTTCAGCATAGTCTAAAACCAAGTGTATATAATCTTCGTTCTCATATACCATATGGAGCTTAATTATATTCGGATGATTCACTTTTCTTAATAAGGCAATTTCATTAATTTGGTTAACAAAATTGACAGAATTCTCAAAAAGTGTCTCTTTACTTATTGCTTTGACAGCATATATCTGTTTTGTTAAACAGTTTGCTGCAAGGTAAACTTTGGAAAAGCTCCCTTTTCCTAGCTCTTTAATAATGGCAAAATCATTATCAAAATCTGTCATGATACAGAATTGCTGTAGATGGTTGATCCAATCGTTTAATGAATTTTCATTATTAACATAAAAATCACGGTTGCAATTTTTATGCCCCAAAGTAAAGCCATAAAATGTTTCGCCATTTTGCTCTTCTATAAATGGAGTGACTAATTTCCATTGAATTGAGGCTGCTTTGAAGAGAGAATTCTTGCTTGTTTTAATAATAGAGTCTTTGGTGAGGATAGCTTCAATGAGCTTTTTTTCTTTATTTTTGGACTTTTCATATAGTTGATCTCTGAATATAACGATTATTTCTGGAAAATAGTTTGTATTTGCCCAGAATTTATTTGATTCTCTTTCTAATTCGTCTTGTTTTTCAAATACTGACATTTTATAAAAATGGTATATTCACTGAGAAATATGAACATAACTATGGATGTATGGCTGATCTGAGAAACGGAGAAAGGCCAACTTTTTAAATTAGGTTTAGTGCTAGAGCATTGATTTAAAATTCAGACAGTAATCAAATGATATTTGAAAAAAATCTTTGAAATTGCAGATTTTTGAATAAATACCGTTACAACTTATTCTTCGAAGTTTAAAAGTAAATGAAGAGCTAAATTTATTCTAGATAATTCTTACTTTAATTCATTCTGAATTCTTCTTAAATTATTTCACTCGAATTTACTAATTTTTTACCATGAAAGACACTTAATTTAATAAATGCTGAATATCAAAAATTTAAAAATCTGTAAAATAATTTGATTTTTAGATAAAAGAATTAGGCCCTTTTGCTAATAGTTATTTTTTAAAAATTTTCAATAGTTGAAAAAATTCCAAAACAACTTTCAGGTGGCTTAATCTTCATAAATCCTTTTCGAAATAAAAAAATATCATATCAAGAATATTAGTTTTAAGCCTGGTTTTACAAATAAATTCAAAACAAAGGCTTTTTTCGAATTTATTCAAATTCATTTTATTTAAGTGATTTTAAGCTAAATAGAATAAACTCTAAATGCCTAAAAATAATTCATGCTGAAACATCTCTAAATTACTCTGAGATTATGAGTGATTTTTTTTCTGCTTTGCAGATCTCATAATTAAAGGCAGCACTAAAATTATGATTGGAGCTAATATTATTAAACGGACGACCACATAAGTTTAAAAAATTGAAAAGTGGGATGTCAAAATATTTTTTTTAATTCTTCTAATTTTTTATTTTATTAAAAATTTATTTGATTCAAATTGAGTAAATATATAAACTTATCAATAAAATGTTTTAAATTTTTCTAAAATTCTGCTTTGATTGTCGAAAAATATACCAACAGAAAGCATTTTTGATGAAAAGATCTGGTCTTAATATCGATTAAAATGGAATAGCTAAATTAGATTCAGTATTTACCAGTAGAGATGGAAAATCCTGCTGCAGTAAATTTTGATTAGAATAAAAATATTGATAATTAAAGATCAATTTTGCTCTTTGACCTGCAGTCCAAAGATTGTTTAAATGAATGAGGTTGCAAATTAAATGAGAAAACTAAAGAAAATTATTAGACCATTTTGAGAAATAATAATATTCCAAATAAAAATAGCTCTTTAAATTCATAATTAAATATAGAATTAAAGATTTATATTGAAAGAGAAATTGGCTCCAAGATTTTGTTTTATTATGAGCAAGGCGAATTTAAGGTAACTAAAGAGAATTCATACCCAGTTTCGTCCCTTATTTAGAGAAATCTTAAGTGCACCGTATTCTATGCAACCAGAGAGTAGCATTTAAATATAACTATCTAAACAAATGTTGTTTTACTTCCTTTAAAATCGCATCAAAAATTCTTAAGTGAGTTGTAAAAAATCCTAGTGAAAGCTATTAGGATATTACACACCTTACTGACACTAATACTTTGAGTGATATGACTAGGCCGCTCATATCATAATGCAACTCACTAAGCTTATAAATCATGCTTAAAGCAGTTCAACTATGATTATCTCGGACCCAAAGTCTTCGTTTGGCGAAAGCTAAGACTGTTCAGCAAGAATCAATAGGCATTTGAGATCCCTATAAAAAATTATTATGTTTTATAAGATCAATTATTATAACTACGACTTTTTCTAGTAATAATTAACAAGATTAAACTTAAAGTTAATATTTTAAAACAAAAATTGACCAAATATAATAAAAGCATTAAAATCTGATATTTTATTTATACATAAAAAAAAAATTATTTCAAACATCTATTTCATAACTCAACAAAGCACTATTTAATCCGTTTCTTACAAGCACACAAATTATATCACCTTTAAGCACACTGACCATATGCTAATATACCTCAAAATTCCATTTTATCACGAATAAATGGAGCTAAAAACTTCAAGCTTTCCCCCAAAGAACAATTTAGAGTTCACCGCAGAGGTTTAAAAAAAGCTCAGCGAGAGCTTGATCGTGAACAGTCCCGTCTTCAGCTCGAAGAAAAAAAATTGATTGCAGAAATCAAAAAACTCGTTAAACAAAATCAAATCAGTTCTGTTAAAGTTATGGCCAAAGATTTAGTTAGAGAGCAAAAGAACCTCAATGAGAAAGTTTCAAGATTTCACACATTGAATTTTATCATGAATTGTTATAGCTAAATAGAAATTATGAAAGTCTTGTGTAATTAAATAAATAAAGTATAATTACATAATCTTTATTTATCATTGCACTTACTTTTTTGGCCATTCCTTAGTAATAATTCAAAAGGCTCGTTTTTAGCTCGGCTGGTGTCTAAATTCTTTTTAAGGCTGTCTAATTTTAGCAATGATGTGCTATTTATAGCCCCACTATTAAAAAAAGGAAGAGCGAAGGCTTCTCTAGGACTTGGTCTAAATTCTGGTTCCTTTTCAGTAAGCTTGATAACCGCATCAATTGCATTTTTAGATTTATTTTTCCAAATTTGGTTGTGAAAACTAATTACCCCTTCTTTGTTTTTTATGAGTGTTTCTTTAGCATTTCTCCCAGAGAAAGGCATTTTTCCTGAAATAAGAATATACAGAACAATTCCAGTGCTGTATAAATCAACTTTACAGCTGTAAGAATGATTTCTTAATATTTCAGGAGCTACATAGCCTGGCGAGCCACACTTTTTTGTTGATTCTTCCTTTAGTTCTTCTGCCAACCCAAAATCAGCAAGTATAAAGTTATCTATTCTATCTTTTGATGTCAACAGAATGTTTTCTAACTTAATATCTCTGTGCACAATATGCATTGACTCTAAATATTCTAAAATATCGAGCATCTTAACCCCAATTATCGACGCCTCTGCTTCAGAAAGCGTATTTTTCTTAACTCCCCCCTTTAAATTCGAACAAATATCGGTAATTGCTATTTTTTGTTAAATTGGAGTAGATTTTTATTTTTTTTCGAAGATGTAATACTAATTTTATATAAATAGCTTTGGCCCTATTTAATGAAGGATTTAAAATAGAATGCTATTTAAACAGTTGGCACTCTCAATAGATTAACTTTTTGGAAGAAAATTCTTTATAAAAATCAACTAAAATTCAATAATATTAGATTGCTTATTTTTATTATGATAATTATATATTAATTATTTCTCAAAAAAATTATACCCTCTATAAATTGGAAATCACCGGCTGTCTTTTAAACAAGGATTAATAATCTTAAACCCTCTTTAATTTGGAACAGATTTTTGTTCCAATTTAAAGGGGGGATGGGGAGTGAGCATTCTTTGGTAGAGATCCCCACCTTCAGCATAGTCTAAAACCAAGTATATATAATCTTCGTTCTCATATACCATATGAAGCTTAATAATATTCGGATGATTCACTTTTCTTAATAAGGCAATTTCATTAATTTGGTTAACAAAATTGACAGAATTCTCAAAAAGTGTCTCTTTACTTATTGCTTTGACAGCATATATCGTTTTTGTCAAACAGTTTGCTGCAAGGTAAACTTTGGAAAAGCTCCCTTCTCCTAGCTCTTTAATAATGACAAAATCATTATCAAAATCTGTCATGATACAGAATTGTTGTAGATGGTTGATCCAATCGTTTAATGAATTTTCATTATTAACATAAAAATCACGGTTACAATTTTCATGCCCTAGAGTAAAACCATAAAAAGTCTCGCCATTTTGCTCTTCTATAAATGGAGTGACTAATTTCCAATGAATTGAGGCCATTTTAAAGACACAATTTTTGCTTATTTTAACAATAGAGTCTTTGGTGAGTATAGCTTCAATAAGCTTTTTTTCTTTATTTTTGGGCTTTTCATATATTTGATCTCTGAATATAATGGCTGACTCTGGAAAATAGCTTGTATTCATCCAGAATTTATTTGATTCTCTTGCTAATTCGTCTTGTTGTTCAAATAATGACATTTTATATATTATATAAAAAATAAAAATACTGAGAAATATGAGCATAAATATGAAGGTAAATATATATGCATAGTTGATCTATAAACATAGAAAGGTTAATTTTTTAAATTATGCAGGCTTAGTTTTAGATTATTGATGCAAAATTCAGATAGCCATCAAATATTAAACTTGAAAAAATCATATTTTTGAATAAATACCCTCAAAACCGAGTCTTAGAAGTTTAAAATTAAATTGAAGAGCTGAATTAGCTCTACTTTAATTTTTACAGGTTTAAGTCACTTTTTAGTGCATGTGAATATCAAAAAATTAAAAAAACTTCAAAGGAGTAATATTTAGATAAAAGAACTTTGCTCTTTTGCTTAAAATTAATTTTTAGGATTTTCAATAATTTCAAAAAGCCCAAAAATTTCAGATGACTCAACCTTTATAATTTCGAAATATAAAAACTAAATATCAAAAATATTAGCTTTTAAGCAATTTTCGAATAAATTGCCAGAAAATGGGTTTTTGAGAATTTTTTCTAGATCATTCTATTTAAGTAATTTTTATGCTATAGAACTTCGAAATAGAATAAACTCTCAATACCGAAAAATAAGCTATATTAGCTGTGTTAAATAACTCTAATTGAAAAATTCTTTTCTGTCTTGCAGATTTCTTATTAAAGACAGCACTAAAATGGTAATTGGAGCTTATATCATAAGCGAACTACGATATACAGTTTAAAAAATAGAAAAAGTGGATTACTAGACAGTGGAAGATAGTGGCACTCTGCCACACCTTAGCGCTTAGATTTCAGATTTTTCTAATTTTTTATTTTATCAAAAATTTATTCGTTCCAATCAACTTTTTAAATTTGCAATTATAAAATCTCTTAAATTTTGTAAAATTTCTGCATTGATTTTAGAAAATATACAACAGAAATCATATTTTGATTAAAATATCTGCTTTTAATATTGATTAAAATATCTGCTCTCAATATTGATAAAAATGGAATAGAACAAATAGATACAGTATTTACCAGTAGAAATAGAAACACGCTGCAATAAATTTTGATTAGATTCGAAATATTAATAAATTGAAGATTAATTTGTTTTTGATCCGCAGTCCAAAGACTGTTTAAAAGAATGAGATTGCAAATTAAAATAGAAAATTGCAGAAAGTTATTTAGCTGTCTTCAGAAATAATTAATATTTTGCATAAATTAGCAAAGTAACTATCTTTAGTGCACCGTATTTCATGCGGCCAGAGAGTAGTATTTAAATATAACTATCTACTTATAAAAAAAAGATACTGTTTTCTAACTGAGTTGTAAAAGATTATAATGGGATATATTAAGATATTACGCACCTCACAAATACTAATACTTTGAGCTATATGACTAGGCTACTAGTATCATAATATCAACCCACTAAGCTTATAAATCATGATTAAAGCATCTCAGCTATGATTATTTAGGACTCACAGCCTTCGTTTGGCGAAAGCTAAGACTATTCAGCAAGAATCGATAGGCATTTGAGATCCTTAAAATTAATGCTTTCTAAGATAAATTATTTTAACTGTTGCTTTTTCTAGTAATAACTAAAAGATTAAACTCAAAGTTAATATTTTAAAACAAAAATTGACCAAATATAATAAAATCAATAAAATCTGATATTTTATTAATATGCTAGAAAACAAAATTATTTCTTCAGATTAAGGGACGCAAGTTTTATCACCTTTAAGCATACTGATCATATATTAATACACCTCAAAATTCCATTTTATTACAAATAAATGGGAGCTACAAACCCCAAGCTTTCCCCTCAAGAGCAACTTAGAGTTCACCGCAGAGGTTTAAAAAAAGCTCAGAGAGAGCTTGATCGTGAACGGTCCCATCTTCAGCTCGAAGAAAAAAAATTGATTGCAGAAATCAAAAAACTTGCTAAACAAAATCAAATCAGTTCTGTTAAAGTTATGGCCAAAGATTTAGTAACTTCCTCACATGATCAAACAAAAAAATTTTTTTTGCTCATGGATCAGATTGTTTTTAAAAAAATCTATATATAAATTTAAAATTTTGTCTTCGAAATTTAAAAATAATCCTATTCGAAATTTGCTTTAAAGCAATTATTAATTGAATTTGTAAAATTTATTTTTAAAATACAAGCTGTTTAAATTAAACAGAATTAGTTAGAAATTTTATCAATTATATGCCAAATGATTTTTTTTTTTATTTTAGCTAATACTAACTCCCCCCCCCCCCTCCGTGAGCGAACAAAAAAATTTTGTTCGCTCACGGAGGGGGGTTAATTTTTTTTTTTTAAAAAAAATTTATATATAAATTTTATAAAAAATATATTTTTTTCGAAATTTAAAAAAATCCTAATTTGCAAAAATTGGGAAGCAAATATTAATTTAATTTGCAAAATTTATGTTTTAAAACGCAATTTGTTTAAAATTAAACAGAATTAGCTCTAGATTTCATTATACTAATTATCACTTATATATCAAAATTTTTTTTCCATTAAAATTTTTTCTATTAAAAAAATTTTTTGTTCACTCACGGAGGGTGGGTTTTTGGTCAAAAAAATGGCGATTTTTCTAATGGTTTTGTTCGCTCACGGAGGGGGGGGGGGGGAGTAAGGATTTTCCAATTGTTTTGTTCGCTTACATATAGGGAGTAAGAGTCAGAAAACAGATTCAGAAATTTTACGAATTAAAATCTCAGCTACAAGGACTAGATTTCAGGCTTCAGACCATGAGGTCAACGCAGGCTATGTCGGAAACCTTGAGAGGCATTACACCAGCACTAACACAATTTAACAAAGAAATGAACTTGCCTGAGCTTAACAAAATGATGCAAGATTTTAATAGGGAAAATCAGAGGATGGAAATGACTGAAGAAATGATGGGAGATGCAATGGAAATGGCCTTTGATAATGAAGGAGATATTGAAGAAAGCGATAATGTTGTAAACCAAGTTTTAAGTGAAATTGGAGTAGAAATAGCAGGGCAGCTAGATTCCGGACCGACCGGAAAAATCAAAAATGGAATGATGGAAGAAGAAAAAACGCCACCGGTAGATGATTTGGAGTCAAGGTTTAACGCTTTGAAGTAAAAATATTAGATAAATCAGAAAATCATCAAATTTATTAAAAAATTTATTTTTATTAAGCTTTTCTATGACCTTTTCTTTAGCCCAATTCTCAATAAGACATAAGCAAGAATTCTATATCCTAGCATTAAAGCACACAGACATATAATATCTTGCCATAGCGGATCATGAAATCCAAGTCTGTCTAAAGGATCACAAGATGGGCTACAATCAAAGCTGTTGTCTCTATATTGGTTTATCGTCAAAGATTTAAATGCCCAACTGAACGGTGAAATATATTGGATTCAGCTAAACGCGTTATTCATGCTTTCTAGATTCCCATACATTCCTCCAAAAATCATCAGCCCACTAGGAATAAGTGCTGCAAATGCATGAGCCTTAGTCTTAGTCTTAGTTAAATTTATTGAGTAGCTCTCGGCCAGGACCGAAGGTCCTTTTTCTTCCACCTTTTGGACGCCTCGCTTGCTTTCCTTGCCCTGCTTCCAGTGTGCACCTAAGTGCTACAGGCTACCACTCAGCTCCTTCCGGTCATGGGGCTTGGTCATGCTATCCCGGAAGTAGGCGGACTGGGTCACGTGCTTTACGTCGCCAGACTAGGGTTAGAGCTAAGGATTAACTCCTTAGCTCTTGTTGGCTCCTGCCATGCCCTCCAAATTGGCACTAGCAGTCTCTAGAGAAAAAAACCCTTTTTGCCCCGTGTCCTATCGGGACGACCCTAGGATCGTCGTTGCTGGACTGGGAGGGAAACCTAGCCAGGCAAATGCATGAGCCAATAGCACATTTTCAGTAGACGCGCCTACCAAATATCCAAGTCCAACCCCTGACATTTGCGTGAGCATTAAAATTGCAAAATACGTAAAAAACTTGCCCGCTGTTAATTTAAGTCCTAATGCAAAATAAGTCATTAGTGCATAGATTAGAGGAGCAATGATCTGCATAGGCAGTTCTGAAAGGTTTTTTGCTACATAATAGATAGCTGAGCCATAGAGCCCTTGGCCTATTTCTTTTAAAAATATAGGTCTTTCTATTGGGAAAGTCAGTGCTGAGGAGTTATTGGTTAATACAATTGATATATTTATTGAAAAAAATAGAACTCCATTAGTATTGAGAAGGCCTCTCTGGGTTTCTGATAAGCCATGGAATAGAAGGTCCACAAGAGTTGCATTTATAACATATTGAATAATCCTCACTCTACTAAGCATAGGGTTTCTGGCTGCGTTAACAAATGATCGCTTTCATAGTAAAGCGATTTTTGAGCGAAAATTAAGGCTATATACTGAGTGGCTTTCTATTGGTGTAAGATAAAATAAGTCAGAGTCATTCTTTGGCTCATTTTTTTTGTAAGCTTCATTTAGTTTATCTAATAAATTTTGTTCTTCTTCAGTCTTATCATATCTATTGACTACATGCAGCATTCTCATAAAATAGTCAGCAGGGTTTACTTGCCTAGGACATTTGTACCCTAATTTGGCGAAGTATCTTCTTGATTTTGTAGCTGGGCCTTGATAAATGGTATACCCTTCAGTTAATAAAATTAATTTGTCAAATTTATTGAAAACCTTAGTACTTGGCTGATGTATTGTGGAAATAACAGTTTTTCCATTACGTGCTTGCTCTTTTAGCAAGTCAATCAGCACTTCTGCTGTAAAACTGTCAAGTCCAGATGTCGGCTCATCTAAAATGATGATAGACGGATTCGAAATAATTTCAATCGCAATGCAAGTTCTTTTGCGTTCTCCTCCTGAAATCCCTTTAACCATGACACTCCCTACAATATTTTCAGCTACTTTTTCAAGCCTCAAAGCTGCCATTATTGTGTCAACTTTTTCCTTGATTTCCTGATCAGTCCCTGGGATCCTCATTTTGGCAGAAAACATGATCGACTCTCTTACCGTCATAGTTGGCAGTAAAATGTCCATTTGGGTGATATATGCAGTGATTTTCTTGTAATTGAACGATTGAATGTCTGTACCATTAACCATAATTGTTCCAGAGCTGCGAGAGTTAGGATTAATCCTGCCTGCGAGCAGATTAAGAAGTGTTGTTTTTCCTGCGCCTGACGAACCCATAATAGCTAGAAATTCGCCGGGATTTGCAAAACCTGAGACTCCTTTGAGTATTTCTTGTTCTTTATGGTTGATAGTTACCCTATAATTGACATCATCCCATGTCAACTGAACTCTTTGCTGAGAAATATTTGGATTTAAAGCTTCTGATTCTGAAGGAATTGACTCTATCTTCATATTTCTCTCATCTCTATCCGAGTTGTCTTCAAGGTTTCCTTTATTAGTTTCTATTTGACCTGCTGTCTTTACCATTAATTAAAATTTTAATCAATGGAGAAAATATGATAGTTTATTTATTGTACAAGCACTTCATGCAAGAGAGAATTTAGAAAAGAAAAAGAAAATTTACATCGAAATACTCACAATAAAGCTTTAAAAAAGTTGTTTGAGGAATAAAATGGTAAATATTAGTGATTGATTCAGAAAAGCTAAAAACGTTAGAAAAAAATTAATTAAAATGTAGTTAGAGATGGCTTAATAAAAAAAGAAGGATTAAAAATTGAATTTGAGAAGTTTCTTTGCTGGAGGAATCGAGGAAAGAGATAAACAATAAACAAAACAGAATTTTCGAATTTTTTATTGTTGTAATAGGGTGCAATGTGGAATGGAAAATTATATATGGAAACTATTGAATTATTTGATTAATTAAAGCAGAGTAGATAAGAGCTTTTCTGGGTTAGTTAAATCTGAAATGATCTCTCATGAGTAGCCATTGCTGGACAATTAAGTTTTTAATTGCTTGTCTAAGTTTTAGTCTTAGATTAATCAGTTTTTTAAAGCGATAACTTCTTCAGCAGGATGATTAGGCCACAGCCCCCCTTTTTAACTCCAAGTAGTACATCACTGGGAGTTCTAAGGCCACGCCATATTTCAGGCTGACTCAGCAGTCCTTAATCAGCGCCACCTCCGCCTGATCAGAAGCTTTCACGAGATAAGTTGCCTTCACTCTACCATAAATAACTTCTGTGCTTGTTTCCACCTGAATCTCTTGATAAATGGAGTTTTAGACTTAGACTTAATTTTAAAATTTGATCAGAGCTATCGAGCTTACCCTAGGACGCCACCAAGATGTCTAAGTTAGCTTAGAATTGCTGTACGGTTTATTCCTCCAGGTTCCAAGGTTTCATCTCCTTTGTTGCCGTGGCACGTAGATGGCCAGTGGGTGGTATTAGAGTAGATAGATTTGGGACTTAATCGCCACTTGCTTCATCTCAGCCTTCACTGATTCTTCTCCAGCCGCTTTGTCTTGACGCTCGATAGGGCACCTGTGGCCATGTGCGGCGGCAGGCAAAACACTTTTAGCGTGATAAAGCCCAGCTGCAGAGGTAGAAATGGACTTGGAGCTGTTCCCTGAACTTATGACCAAAGTTAAACAGCTATTGCTGCACTGAAGCTCTTTAGGAAAATCAAAAATTTTATGGGAAAGAGAAATTAGCAGAGCTAATTTCTCTCAAACCAAATGCCATGCTATTTATGCTTGTCTATTTCAATAATGACACAAAGACCAAATGGGGTCTAAAAAGGCAGCTTAAAAAGGCTTCCTCTCTTTCAAAAGCTAACGAGAGATTCTAATAATTTTTAGGAGCCAAAACTCATCTAAAATTTATGTCAGAAAAGTTAAAAACAAAAAATAATCGATGCATTGAATTACTAGCATGGCTGAAAAATAATTGAATAACTATATGAGGCTACAAAACCCTTTCTGATTTCGACCAAAAAATTTGATAAATAATAAAATAAGCCACCCATTTCTTAATTTTATGCACTATGTAAGATAAATATTAGTTTAAAAATTATTAAAGCTTCTAATGCATTTTTCTTATTCCAAGTTTCAATACAAGATAAGCAAAAATTCTATATCCAAGCATTAGTGCAAAAAGACATATGATATCTTTCCATAAAGGATCATAGAATCCAAATCTGTCCAAAGGATCGCAAGATGGGCTGCAGTCAAAACTGTTGTCTCTGTACTGATTTATTGTCAAAGACTTAAACGCCCAACCAAATGGCGAAATATATTGGACTCAGCTGAAGGCTTTGTTTATATTGCCTAGATTCGCATACAACCCTCCGAAAGGCATTAGTCCGTTAGGAAGCAAAGAGGCAAAAGCCATAGCGACAGGTGGGCTTGGAGCATATGCCCCAACTACGTACCCTAGCGCAACGCCTGTCATCTGGACTAGCATTAAAACTAAAAAGAAAATAAAAAATTTAGCTGCTGTTAAATCAAGCCCTAAGGCAAAATAAACCATAAGTGAGTACATCATAGGTATGATAATCTGCATCGGCAGCTCAGAAAAGTTTTTAGCAATATAATAGGTTAAAGATCCATATAATCCTTGTTTCGTTTCTTTTAAAAATATAGGCTTTTCTATTGGGAAGGTCATAGCTGAGGAATTGTTAGTGAGGACGATATTAATGTTGATCATAGAAAACAAGACTCCATTAGTGTCAGAAATTCCTCTAGTGGTGCTTGATAAATCATGGAACAAGAGGTCTAAAATAGTCGCATTGATGATGTATTGGATTACTCTGACCTTACTCAGCTGAGGATTCCTCTTTGCATTGGCATATGATCTTTTGCACAATAAAGCAAATTTCGTCCAAACACTAGGATTATAAACTGAGGAGTTTTTAATCGGGGTGAGATATAGCAAGCTTGGGTCATTTTGTGGCTCGTTTTCTTCATATGCTTTATTTAGAGTATCGAGCATGTTTTGCTCTTCTTCAGTCTTATCATATCGATTCACGACGTGGAAGATCCTCATATAATAGTCAGCAGGGTTTACTTGTCTTGGACACTTGCACCCTAATTTGGCGAAGTATCTTCTTGATTTTGCGGCTGGGCCTTGATAAATGGTGTACCCTTCAGTTAATAAAATTAATTTGTCAAATTTATTGAAAACCTTAGTACTTGGCTGGTGAATTGTGGAGATCACTGTTTTTCCACAGCGTGCTTGTTCATTTAATAGATCAATGAGTACTTCTGCATTAAAACTATCAAGACCAGATGTAGGCTCATCTAGAATGATGATTGATGGATTCGAAATAATTTCAATAGCAATGCTAGTCCTTTTGCGCTCACCTCCTGAAATCCCTTTACGCATAACGCTACCTATAATATTGTCAGCAACTTTTTCAAGTCTTAAAGCGGCTATTACTGCATCTACTTTTTCTGCGATTTCTAGATCAGTCCCTGGGATCCTCATTTTGGCAGAAAACATGATCGACTCTCTTACAGTCATTGTCGGCCATAAAATTTCTAAGTTTTTAGTTGGGTTATTGAGAAGCTCCCTGTGATATCTCCAAAGGGTACTTTTCTCCACACCTGCTTCGACTGCCTAATGCCTGTCTATTGGCTATAATCCTCCAGAAATGGATTCACACACCAATTGGCGAAGAGGGCTGGACTGCTGTGCTGTGCTCCAGACCTGGTTTCCCTATAAGAAATTTCGAAAAATCGAATTATCTCGAGTTGTCAGCCAGAATGGAATTTGTAGCCAGGCCCAACTCCTGGTATCACATTAGAAAATTCGCCGATTAGTTCAAAGTATCATACAGGCCTGATCCAACGTTGCGCTTCACCAAGCCAAGATAGTCTTTGCAGGACACACATCACTGGACACCATATCCTTTCCACAAAGTCTTTGGGTTAAAGCAACATGTGCTAAGAGGGTAGGCTGGTTCACCAATCCATTTTAATGAATATGCCACAAAATGTCCATCTGAGTGATATATGCAGCGATTTTCTTGTAATTGAAGGAATGAATATCAGCGTCATTTACTTTTATAGATCCAGAACTGCAAGAGCCCAGATTAATTCTGCCTGCAATCAAATTTAAAAGAGTCGTTTTTCCAGCCCCTGAGGCACCCATAATTGCTAAAAATTCTCCGGGATTTGCAAATCCTGAAACTTCTTTGAGAATTTCTTGCTCTTTGCCGTTTATGGTTACTTTATAGGTAATGTCTTCCCATACTAGCTGAACTCTAGGCTGAGCACTGTCAATATTAGGCAATTCAGCTTCTGAAGGAGCTGATTCTTCAAGCGAATTATTCTCGAATTCACTAGAGTTTTCTTCATAGTGACTTTTATCAGTCTCCGTTTGGAAACTCTTTGACATTTTTCTAAGATTTATCTATTGAATTTATCGGTATAAAATTGTGCATAACTTATATAAATGAATTAGAAAGTCAGTCAACAAAATAATATATAAAGAAGATAACTGTGAATGAGGGCAAAGGATAATAAGAGAAATAATAAAACAGAGACTTTAGATCAGAATGTATGTCTTAATATGCTCTAAAACAATTGCTATAGTTAAAAATTAATCAGAGATTCTATTAATGCTGGCGTTATGAGCAGTTACAATATCGTTCCCAAAAATTATTTATAAAATGGTAAATTTTATCAGTAGCAATATGGAGAGTCTTCAAATATTTATAGTTTCAGATGTGCTCAAGCAGAGAGAATATCATCGTGAGGAAATTCATAAGCATAAAAATTAAAATATTGTAGTATCGACTATGCTAAACACTACTCTATTTAATTAGTTATTAAGACAGAGTTCTTTTTATATCAAATTCTGCGATATTCGCCAATATTAGATTATTGGGTTTTTCAATTGGCGGTACGAGAGCTCGTGGCAGATTACTCTAAAGTTTCCATAAATTTTAAGAAAAAAATCAAATTCAGTCATCCAGAAGTAGAAAAAAGGGCCATCTCATGTGCATCTGATAGATAAGGGTAATATTCTTGGCACCACTTTATATTGGCGAATTCCATTTGGCTACAAATCTGGGTCTTGGCCCTTAAAACTTTGTTACTATAGACTGAAATTACTTGCTCGCTAGCTGGAATTTCCTTCACAAACTTTTTGATGCTTCCTTGACTTTTTTATCCGTCAGCTCTTGAAGCATCAATATAAATTTCAAGTATTCTTGCCTAGCAAGTCCACAAAATCCCATAAAAAAATTCCTGCAAAAGCATCATATACATTAAAATTGCGACATGTGCCAACCTGCTCTCTTGGCGCAACATTACATTACATTAGAATTTATATCGCTTAACGTCCACTACGGGGTTACAACTCCAGGTTTATCACTCGCCTTTCGTCGCATCGGGCCCACCAGTCTGCTGGAGACAAACTCGCTTCGATCACCAGGGTGCTTCCAGGGCAAATGTCCACGTCTTCGACGGCTCATGGATGAGCTACTTGCTTGTTACATGGGTTGCTTTTCCGAAAAACCCAAAAAATGGATTTTTCTGGTCGGCTATCGGCAAAAAGGAAAAATGCAAAGCCTGGGACGTAACGCCCAGTTTCACGCTAGGGAGTTGCCCGAATGGTCCAGAGGACTTTGCTGGGCTTCCCCTTTCCAACCTTGCACCCTCCTTCCCCACGAGGAAAAATCCACCCCTGAGAATAGACTTGGGCTAGGCTCTGAAAGCTACCAGAATTGCTTACCTAGCATTGCTGTCCATCTCTGAAATGGTAAAACCTTGCCGGATATAATTAAAATATGAGTCGAGGCTGCATGGCCGGGAGGCCATGCCCAGACGAAGACGCCATATTTTAATTATGCTCTCTTGGCGCAACAGTCCAGGACTTATGGTCATGGCGGATTGGAACGGACTCCTAGTTAAGAATCAAGTACAGGCTCAAGAGATGTGTATCCTGGTAGGTTTTGGATACTCTCCTAGGCTAGAAATGGAGGTGCTCAACAACTTCCTTTTAGGTCTGAAGACCCATGGGCATTCTTCTCTTTATAAACTGGGGGACTCAGGCCACAGGGGAGTAGTCTTTTCCTGCAAAAGCATCTAATTCGATGTTTCGATCATCAGTCCTTTGATTTTTTCATCTGTCCTATTATTTGCTCTATAATTGTTCAAGGACTTTACCACCATGATCTCTTTTGAGAAACAGACGCTCGCCCATCCTAGGGATTATATAAGTAGTTTTTATTTTACAGCAGAAGTTTAAAGTTTGATAGTTGCTGAGTGCATTGATATTAAATATGTGGAAAATTCAAAACGTGTGCTAAAATGTTCATGTTGAAGTCGCTACTTGACTTAAATATTTGGAAATATTTGATAAAAAAAAATTTAATATTTGAGATTTAATTTTCACCCCCCTCATGAGAGAATAAAATCATTTTAAAATTTCTATGGAAAAACCCACCCTCCGCTAGCAAACAAAATTTATTTTGATCGATCACAAAGAAGGGAAAGTTAGCTTATTTTCAGATTAGCAATTGGAATTGCGTAAATGCAGTATTAGAATGTAAGCTAAGCAGGCATTAAAAGCTAAAGTCAACCAATTAATCAAAAGTATGACTAAAAACTCAGTAAATAGCAAAAATAAAAATTCAAAACTCTCGAAATTACTTTATTTTACTATGTTTTCTATGAAAATAAACCTTTACAATTAAAATTTATTTTATCGGGGGCTACACGCTTAAATTTTTCTTTCAATTTTTTTAGAAATAGAATTTTATAATGGAAGTGAGCTATGACGAAACCTTTTTAGCCTTATGCATCTGGAAAAACAATACAAACTGAGCCATTCGACTTCTTGAAGCCAAGAAAACTTTTGACGTTGGCTACCGAAATGGCGAGCTTTTTAAAATTGCAATCGGCCACAAAAACACCCGAGTCTTTAAAGCACTTGTGGACTATTATAGAAAAACTAAACTAACGAACCATGATTCTTATAAATATACAGTCAACAAAATAAAGCTTCTTAATATTCTGAAAGAATGTGTGATGACAAAATCAGTTTCTTCAGAAATTGAAGAAGTTATTAATGAAATTTTAACTGATGAAGTTAAAAACAGTGCAGGAAAACAAGAGGAAGCCGAAAAAATGACCATTGAAATAGAAGATGAAAGTGGGCAAGAAAATTAATTTTTTAAAATAAAATGATGAATTGTGTAGTTTTGAAAGAGACTTTGCAATCGATTAATTGAAGGTAAATTTCATATTTATGTTTAATAATTAAATAATATATTGGAAGCTCGCCTAGTGCAATGCTAGATATATTATATCACCTTCAGGATTAATTTTTTCACTCGAAGCAACTAGCTTTTTCTGTGAATTTATTAAATAGCTCTCCTTAAATCCTGTCTCTCTATCCAAAATTATTGATTTAATATTAATATAAAATCATTCTAATTGTAATAAGCCAAGTTAATGAGTGAAATTCAAGTCTACGAGCAGAATCCTGTCTCTAACCGTGACCCTAAGCCTATCAAATATTTCCACAATGCTCGACTGAATGCAGCCAGACTTGAACTTAACGTTGAGCTCATTTCAGAAGAATCTGAGCGAAAAGAAGTCGATTCCCTGCCAACTGAACCACATAATGAATTATCCCCTCAAAAATCCCCAAAGGCTGAAACTTACCTCAATGTCCTCGACGATAAAATATCAGAGCCAAGCGGTATGAAAACTGGCTCATTGGAGTATTCATTTTCTGAAGATCCCAGCAATTTGACATACCATATCAGCGACACAGTCAGTGGCTTTAACAACTCACTTGCTGATCGTCTTCCGAAATTTTCAACAGCGTCCTTGACATTAAGCGAAGCTTCCAGTCTCCACCCTTCCAATGACATCAATTTCAGAAGTTCACTCATTGAATACAAAGAATCAATCGGCCAAGATTCAAACCCTTTCGACATTATGGTCACTGAAGAGGAAGATCCGAGTGATTTAAAAAATCCTATAAGGATTGACTCCACTACACCTATTGAATCTCCCAAAGAAGGAGGACTCACAATACAACAAATTAAAGACCAGCTGAACATAGTAGATATAAAATTCAATTTCGTAGACGAAGAAGTCAGCGACGAAATAGAAGACTCAGACTATGAGCTGCCAAATGAAGATAACAAAAAAGTTGTTGAAAACAACAAAACAAGCGGAATTTATAAAACAAGCAGTGAAAGCAATGAAGAATCAAAAACCAATACGCTACAGATGGAAGGCCAAGGACGAAGCTGTGGCTGCAACCTGTGTACGGTCTTTTAAAATAATTAGTCAATAATTTAAATAATATTTTCAATTAAAATTCAATAATGTTACTAAACGATGGAGCCGTTGTATTTATAGAAGAATTAAGTTTGCTTAATAACGATTGAAGAGCTTTTTGATGAGCTTGAGAATAATTCGCAGCCTGTATCGCAGAGAGGTTTTGCACTACGAAATCTTTATAAGTTGGGTAATCACTAGCCAATGTATCAAGCACATATAAAGCTTTAAGCGATCTTTGAGGGTGTTGTAAAGTTTGTAAAAGTAAATTCCCTATCATTTCATGTGACAAAAACATGCATTTTTGACTGAAATCATGTAAATCTTTATCAGAAGGCCGAGGTCTTGCTCCGCCCGGGATCGTGATGTCGTCAACCAGTTTTCGTTCATAAGGACCTGGCTGTAAGCTGACAGCAATGGTAGTATTTTGATGGACTGGCTTTTCTATATGTTGAATAACAGTTTCTTGGACTACAGGAGGTCGTTCAGTTTGATTAGGAATCGGTGCAGGATTTCTCGATCTTCTGATATGGAGCTCTTCAGTTCCATCATCCCATCCTCCGCCTGGCACACCTCGCTTATGGTCAGTGGGCTGAGGAACCTGTGGCTGTGATGGCGGAGCAAATGACTGAGAATTGTAGTAAAATGAGGAATATTGAGGATTTACACCTGGAGGAGGGTTATTCCAGCTCATATTTAATTATTAAATATGAATTTCTTTCAGCTTAGCTTTATCATCAACAGTTATCTGATTAGATCTGAGATCACAATAGAATTAAGAAATTTGTTATAGGTATAAAATATGGAACCAATTGACCCTTCAATTCTTATTGAAGACGTATTAACTTCTTTAAGAACTAGCTTTGAGTCAAGAAAAACAAGGGAATACGCATATAGAGTAGCGCTTCTGAAAAAGTTTAGAGAAGCAGTAACAGAGAACGAAAATCAAATTATTGAAAGCTTAAAACAGGATCTAGGACGGTGCGAATTCCTGACAAGGGTATGCGAAATCGACTCTTTGACAGCTAATATAGACTACCAAATAAAGAACTTAAAATCTTTCATGAGCCCTGAAGACCATGACATCCCTCTTGCTATGGCCCCAGCCAAAGCTCAAGTAATTCATGAGCCATATGGTGTTGCTTTGGTAATGGGGTCTTGGAATTTCCCGTTTTCTACCACATTGAACCCAGTTATTTGTGCAATTGCAGCTGGGAATTGTGTGTGCGTAAAACCCTCAGAAATTTCTCCAAGCACTTCGCATGCCATAAAGACTATAGTTTCACAGCTAGACCCAGAGACTGTTAGTTGTATAGAGGGAGGCCCAAAAATAGCAGAATTATTGCTGAAACAGAGGTGGGATGTGATTGCGTTTACTGGGTCTCCTGAAAAAGGGAAACTGGTAGCAAAAGCAGCATCGGAACATTTGACACCGACTATTTTGGAGCTGGGTGGGAAAAATCCTGTTATTGTGGACGAGATGGTTAACTTGGATTTGGCTGCGATGAGAATTGTACAGACAAGATTTTTGAATGTAGGTCAATTGTGCTTGTCTCCTGAGTATGTTTTTGTCCATCATAGCATGCTCAATGATTTTTTGCAAAAACTTCAGCTTTACATCAAGCAGTTTTATGGAGAAAATCCCAAAAACAGCCCTGATTATGGAAGAATTATCAATGAAGCACACACTTGGAGAATTCTTAAGCTTTTAGAAAGGCATGAAGGAGAATTAATTGTGGGTGGAGACGCTGATATTTTGGTTAAGCATAAACTCAGCCCCCATAAATACTTCCTAGTCTTGATAATGATAAATATAAAGAGATTTTGCAGCTTTTTCGCCTTCACGCTATTAAACACATATATTTAATACTTTACTATATGCAAAATTTTTATATGTTACAAATTTATCTCATATTTTTAATGAGATATAATATGTTTTATATGCAAAATTAGTTATTTATGCATATTAAATTTGTTAAAAGCATTAATTTACAAATCGATGCTAGATATTATATGTGCCTATGGTGCATAATTATGCTTGAATTGATTTATTTGTGTCTATCCATTTTAAAGCAGAATTCAAGAATTCATGATTAAACTGTGATAATTAAGTGATATCCAGCGTATTTCTCTTATAACTCTCTTATTTATTAGTCTAAAATTTTTACTAGAGATATGAAATAAATCTATTAAATATATTTGTAAACATTCTATAAATCATGTTTTATTAGTTTATAAGTGAAAATGTTGCAAAATCCCTTATATTTATCATTATCAAGACTAAGTAGTTTGGTATTGAGAGGGTAGGGGGATTGTATTTATACTTGGCCAGATATTGAGTCAAAATATATTTCTCCTACTGTCATACTGAACCCGTCCCCAGAGTCAGAGCTATGCAGGCAGGAAGTTTTTGGACCAATTTTAACAGTTTTCACCTATACCAATATAGATGAGTGCATTTCTTATATAAACGCAAGAGAAAAACCATTAGCTTTATATTACTATGGGAACAATACAAAAACAATGGAAAAAGTGAAGCAAAATACGTCTTCAGGGCATTTCAGCTGCAATGAAAGCGCTTTTAATTACTCATGTGTCGATCTCCCATTTGGTGGTGTTGGGCAATCTGGAATGTCTATGATTTTTAGCAAGTATGGCTTTGAAGCCATGAGCCACCAAAAGAGCGTGCTGATTAAAGGAAATTTCAATGGGTATCCAGTTTCATTGAGGTATCCACCTTATATAGGGGTCATCAGGGAAAAAAAGGCAGGGTTTCCTGCTGCCTGTTTTTACAGTCAAAAATGACCTAGGGTTTTTTCCTTATTTTTTAGGAAAAGTTGTTTTTCAAAAAGCAAAATCTACCCGTGCTTTTTTCCTCGATTTTTACAGAAAATAAAAATTGAAAAGATTTAGGATCTAATTATTTTAGCTGGAGAATTAGTTTTAAAGATCTAATATATAAAAACTTGTTCCAATCTTAAGTCTAATCCTAAAAATGTAAGCCAAATGAAGAAAGAAATTACATTGTATCTTAACCAATTTTTTTTTAACTGTCAAATTTTTTTTTATCCTAATAGAAATTAAAAAATTCATATATCAGCTATAATTAGAAAGCTCTAAACAACTAATGATTCAATCTTTAGATATTTCTAATAAATATATTTGGATTGATTGGCTGGTAGATCTCTAACTCATTAAATGTGTGTGACGAAATTTTAGCCAAAAAAAAATTAAACAACCCCAGTTTTTTCCTGCGAAAAAAAAACAGGAAAAACCCTCCATCATTTTTGACGGTAAAAAGGAAGGACGAAAAAGCTACCTTTATTCAGCTCAACCCCTTATATAGTGTATCCACACTATGCGTCGCTATCTTCCCGATGTCTCACGAGATGACCGGGGGTGTTGATTTACCTACAAATATTGGTGAAACCAAATTCTTTAAATTGCGAATCCATCAGATGTTTCAAACTTGCCATTTATAGTTTTTAACCAAGATTTGCTGGTGAAACCAGCCCCGGGTCGTCTTGGAAAAACATTGGGAAGACAGCACTCGCTAGTGTGGATGGGCTATACACCTGAAAAAGTGGCCAGCTTTAATAAACTAAAAGCATTGACTCAATTCAGCTTATGGCAAGCGTTGAAATTTGGAAAGAGATTTTTAATTGTTTTAGTTATAGTGCTATTTGCTACTAAAACAAGAATTTTGCAGAAGCTTTGGCTATTAAGATACCTGCTTAAACGCTAATATAGCGTCTACACATTTTTGGCTCCCTTCTTCCCAGTTTCTCACGAGACTATCGGGGGGTTATTTTACAAATTTTCTTGATGAAGCCCCAACCTTTCAATTCATAAATCTGCACTTTTGGTGAATTTTAAATTAAAGGGCTAAATTCACCAAAAAGTTGGTTAAAACCAACCTCTAAATATCTTGGGAGACATCAGGGCGAAGAGATCCAGAAAAGGTGGAGATACTATAATTTTATATTTAAGAAAAAATTTAATTAGTGAATTATTTCTATTAATAATTAAATTATCAGCTAAATTATTTTAAATTATTAAACTTAAAATTAAATATATAATTAAAATAGTTTCCTTACTAAATAGTTCCTCATAAAAATGTTGGAATATTTTTTTTTATCCAGCACTTTCTTCTATTTTATAAACTACAGAAATGAACTATCAATTTATTATCTAATTATAAAAATTTCAAATAATTTCTTCCCAGTAATTTTTTCATATATAGTTAATTCTCTTTTAGGCTTAATTAAAGTTTTCTCCAACATATTTTCATCAAAACATCAGTAATTTATAAGATGTCACTATCTCCAGAAGAATCCCCAAACATCATCGACAATTCAAATTCAGTCTCGAAAGAGAAGCAAGCCGAAAACTCTCCTTATCCTTCTGAGTCAGATGCATTTTCTGTAACTGACGGCAATGATTCGCCAGTTCCTAAAATCCAACTCGTCTGGGAGGATGTGAAGTTCCAGGTAAAAATCAAGGATAAGGAGCAAATGATCCTTAAAGGGGTATCAGGCAGTGCCAATCCTGGGGAATTTCTAGCAATCATGGGTTTATCAGGGGCAGGAAAAACCTCCCTTTTAAACATTATTGCTGGGCGAATAAAATCCTCAGATAGCTCAAGAGTCACAGGATCGATAAAAGCTAACGGGGTCGACATAAGCAAGATGAATTTCCAGAAGTACAGCGCTTATATCACCCAAGAAGATGTTTTGTTACCTTTTCTTACAGTAAAAGAATCATTAATGTTTTCAGCCAAATTGAAGTGCTCAGGAACTTCTTACGAGATTGCAAATAAAGTCGACAAAATCATTGATGAGCTGAGACTTGGAAAAGTCGCTCACAATAGGATTGGGAATGCTGTTGTTAAAGGCATATCTGGTGGAGAAAGAAAAAGAGTATGTATTGCGACCGAGCTCGTTTCTGAGCCTCAGGTCATTATTCTGGATGAACCGACTTCAGGTCTAGACAGTTTTACAGCTGAAGTTTTGGTCGATTTGTTGCTAGAACAGGCTAAAAAAGGAAAAACTGTTGTTTCCACTATTCATCAGCCAAGTGCATCCATTTTCTTTAAGTTTCAGAAGCTTATATTGGTAAGTGAAGGATTCATCATTTACCAAGGCTCAGCTAAAGCTTCCCGCAAATATTTTTCAAAAATTGGCTATAAAAGTCCTGCGAATATAAACCCGCCTGATTTCTATATGAGAATTCTTCATATCACAGACCGTCATCATATGACGGATGAAGAGCTTGAAACTTTAGAGCATCTTAGAGAAGCCTATAACAACGTAAAAGACCATAAAGACCAAGTCTTAGAATACGATTCCACTCACTTGGACCTCGTCAATGTCCAACAAACCCAATCACTTAAAAAGCTTGGAACTTTATGCAAAAGGAGCTTTATTGATGGCATGAGAAATCCTGGGAAAAGTCACATGATCATCATGTTTTACATTGTTACAAGTGCGCTGATTGATTTAATTTTCCATGATCTTGGCAATGACTATGACGCAGTCCAAAACATTAACGGTGTTCTAACGTTTTGCTCAATTAATAGTGTCATGATTGCCAACTCAAGCTGCTCGCTGACGTTCCCAGGTGAAAAAGTAGTTTATCTTACTCCCCCTCTCCGTGAGCGAACAAAGCCATTAGAAAAATCCCTATTTTTTGACCAAAAACCCACCCTCCGTGAGTAAACAAACATTTTTTTAATACCAAAATTTGTTATGGAAAAAATTTTATATATAAGTGATAATTAGTATAATGAGCTAATTCTGTTTAATTTAAAACAAATTGCGTTTTAAAACATAAATTTTACAAATTAAATAAAATTGCTTTTCAATTTTTGCGAATTAGGATTATTTTAATTTTCGAAAAAAAAAAATTTTCTATAAAATTTCTATATAATTTTTTTTTAAAAAAAAATTACCCCCTGAGCGAACAAGATTTTTTTGTTCGCTCACGGAGGGGGGGATTTAAAGAATACAGCCAAGGACTGTATGGCGCTTTCAACTATTTCCTTGCAAAGATGTTCACAGAGTTGCCAGTTCAAATTCTTGCAACTTTAATAGCATCGGTCATGCTTTATTTTCCTCTCGGTTTGCAAATGGAGGCTGACAAGTTTTTCCTGTTTTGGCTCATTATCTTCTTAACATTTCTCACAGGAAGTGGTCTAGGCTATATGATTGGTGCATTGTGTGATAGCGAGAACACCGCTTCAGCTGCTTCTCCAATGCTTACGGCACCACTTATGGCATTTGGCGGGTTATATTCAAATGCGAGCGCTTTCAAATGGGTCCGATATATCTCACCGTTTAAGTGGAGTTTTGAAGGCTTAGCCGTCAACCAATATAATGGCATGGACTTTGACTGCGATCCGGACGGCCCCGAGTGTGATCCATTGGATGACTTAGGATTTTATAATAAACTCGGGATATGCATTTTAGCACAAATAATATACATTATTGTTACAAGAATTATTGCTTATATCGAGCTCAAATCTCTTGGAGCAAAGGCCAAAAAATAGTAAATTTTAACAATTATCGTTTAAGGATATTTAATTTTCTTATTAATTAATTGATAAAGACTGATTCCATGGGTACCATCTGATGTCTTTAAGCTCATATAGCTCTTTTATGTACTTTTCAGCCGATGTGTATTCTTCTTTGTTTTTATTCAAAATGTGAGCAATGTATAAAATATAGTTCCATTCGCAGTGCTCAAAGCAAATATGATGCTTAAATGGCTCATTAGTAACCCTTTCGATATAATCTCTTTCAAGTCCGCACATAAAGCATTTAGTTTTCATATCTGTGATGTCATTGTTGTTTTTTTCTCGAATCTGGGCAAAAACATCCATTACGATACCTTGGACAACGTTCAGCATTGTGACGACAATAATGACGTTGTAGAGGTTATCGTATAAAAGCCTTATGTAGTCGAGCTCGCCAGGAGCATAATTCTTTAAGGATACCCCTATACCACCGTTTTGTTTTCAGCCTTGGTCAAATATATAGATAGAGCAAACAAGGATGCTTGGGCAATAATCAGTAAAATCGTTATGAATTAGGGAGTAGCCAACTACACCAAATATATAAACTATTAGAAACATTAGGATCCATGCAGATACCATCGCTTTAAAGGGGATTCTAATAGACATACAGATAAGCTGCATTGTTGGATAGCGATAGACCATATTCATCAGGAGGTTTATAGAAAAGAAAAATGGATGTATTGAAGCTCCTAGAATTGCGAAAGCAAGGAAAATGATATAATAAAGTATGATTGGATAAGTCAATATTTTTCAGCTAGATATGGCGATTAATTGGCAGCTTAAAAAGAACTTAGAGAGATTATTTTGTCTACTAGAAGTCCATGAATAATCCTTTGCAATTTGTTTGAAAATTAAAGGAGACTCTTTGGCTAACTCCCCGCTTTTAAATTGGAACAAATATAGGTATAATTTCCATTTTTTGGATATTTTAACCCCCTTTAAATAGTTACAATTTTTCAATATAGGTAAAAAATATTAATCTGTGTAATTTAGCTTGGCATATTTTATGCAAAAAGCGCAACTATAATATTATTTAAATTAGTTTTCACACTGAATCAATTAAGTTTTTAAAAGTAATTCTCTCTAAATAAATTAAAATTTAAAATCGTATTCAATTTTTATTTTTTAGATTTTAAAAAAAAACTAATCCTCATAAATAGGAAAGGATTTTTATTCCAATTTAAAGGAAAGAGTAAATAATGGCAAAGCACAATAAAAGATGATAGAGCTTCTAAAATTCCAATTGTTTTTAGGAATACTCATGTCTGGTCTATATCTAATCCTCAAGAATTCCCATTTGCTTCATAAAATAAGGAAGGCTCGTCAATTGGGTCAGTATCATAATAAGAAAATGAGTATATAATGCCAAAATTTTCGATTAAATTCAAATGAAAAACAATATCTTCTCATAGTAAAACATTATAAAAAAGTAAAGAAAAAAGATAATACTTTGAAAATAACTGTTTCAGCGCTTGCTCATGCTTAATTTTTGCAATAATTTCGTCTGTTTTATTTATCAAAAACTGCAGTTTTGTATGATTAGAAGTTCTGTCAACATCCCTTTGGAAAATTTTCTTTATTTCTTTGCTTAGACCTTGATATTCTGGAGGCATTATGAAATAAATTTTTATGAGATTGTTATTTTCCAATAAAACTTCTACGTTACAGGTATGCTTCTGAAAAAACGCATAAGCTTGCTCTTAGTTAAGATTATTGAGAAGCTTCCTGTAATACCCCGTTGGTATTTTCTCCACTCTTGCTTCGCTCAACCACCTGCCACTGCATTTCCCGAGTGCCGCTCCCTTTTCCTCGGCTTCCCTTTTTCAACTCCGAGATTTCCATCTTCTCTCGAGGTGTGGCCTAATATGACGATGCGCTCCACCAATTCATGTAAAACATAGTCTGATACCCATTCCTAAACGCCATCCTTCATTCCACAAGGTCCCTGGGTTGCTCCAGCTACAGATAATGTATGAAAGGAAGCATAAGCATTTTCCATCAATTTTTCTCTATCTATTTCAACAGTCACTTTAGGCTTTTGTTTTTGCATCATCATAAAATATGGTATCAGTGGCAGCTTTCATATGCTGCTTATAGCATATTTTTCTTTAAAATAAGATTTAGTTGTTGCTTTTGTATTATATTTAATCGTTTTCATTAAGATTACCTCTTCGTAATATTTAAGTAATTGGTATATATAGAAACCCGTTTCAATTATGCATGTGTAATATTTTGGATTGGTGTCCTGAGGATTGCTTAAAGATTTATGATCATAAGTATACAGATGGTTAAATATCTCAGGATTATAATCTGCATTTGGATAATAGTCGACAAAATTAGAATAAACATTAACCAAATTTTCTTCAACTACTTCAAAATTTAAAATCCTGACTATTTTACTGATAAAATGATCATCCTTTCGCCCTTCGATGAGATTAATTATAGTTTGCATGCTTTTATATTTAATTTTTGAAATCATTCAACTGTCCATAAGGTTTCCATTGATCTGCTTTTCATTAGGTGCATGATAATTTTCGAATTTATCTCTACTTTCATTTAATTCCATCAATCGAGCAATAATCTCTAGTAATCTGCCATTAATAATTGTATCTTGATTCGCCTTGCAGCCAGAAACAAATGAACTTATCGTATCCAGACACTCGCATATTGCATTTAAAGAGCCTTTATTCATATTTTTTACTAACTCCCCCCCTCCGTGAGTGAACAAAAAAATTTTGTTCACTCACGGAGGGGAGTTAATTTTTTTTTTTAAAAAAAATTATATATAAATTTTATAAAAAATATTTTTTTTTTCGAAACTTAAAAAAATCTAATTCGCAAAAACTGGAAAGCAAATATTAATTTAATTTATAAAATTTATGTTTTAAAAAGCAATTCGTTTAAAATTAAACAGAATTAGCTCTAGATTTCATTATGCTAATTATCACTTATATATCAAAATTTTTTTTCCTTAAAAAAATTTTTCTATTAAAAAAAATTTTTGTTCACTCACGGAGGGTGGGTTTTTGGGCAAAAAATAAGGATTTTTCTAATCGTTTTGTTCACTCACGGAGGGGGGAGTAAGGTCTCTAACAAGCTTATTATATCATCAACAATGTCATAACTTTTTTGTGCATTTTTTTGGTGTTTAATATACTCCTTGAAACCCAAATCTCTTCTACATAGTTCGCGTAGTAATTTAAGAATAATCCTTATTGGATCATATCTTTTTTTATAGACTGGAGATGCCGTTTCTTTCTCATTTTCAAGACTTGAATGCTCTTCTATGCTCTTATTTATTATCTTGTGGATTCTGTTATAAAAAAGCATTGAAACATCAGATTGGAGCAAAAATTCTGAAATTTCTTGCTGGATAAGGTTTGCGTTTGTTTGTAAAAGCAATAGGCTTAGCTCTACTGAAGTAAGAAAGGTTTGGCAATCGAGATCTGGAATGCACATCATCGATATTGACAATTTCCCTATTTTCATCTTCCATAGCTCATTTCTTGTGTTTACTATATTATCTTCATCGCTTTTGTTCAGAACAAATTCTTCTAAAAGTAAATTCAGCAGCTCTATAGATTTTGTAATTAATTTCATATCTGTTCTATGAAATGTGCTTTGGTTAATAAACTCTACTAGAGCTCTTAAAATAATTGAAAGAGATAATTTGCTGCTTAACATGTCTCTGGAATTAATTATGGCTATTTTTAGTGCTCTTTGCTCAATATCGATAAGATCTTTAATTTCTGAATCATAAACTAGGAAATTTCGGACTTTTTCTCAATATTCCCCTATAGGTGTTATTGAGGCTTTTTCTTCAAAAGAAATGTTAGTTTGCAAGGCTATATTGCAGGTGTTTTGCAAATAATCCTCTGCGTCATCATCATATGAAATTTCAGGAAACTCATAATCAAATTTTTTACAAAAATTACAGATTTTTTCATAAAAATCATTTGGAATTCTTATTCTGCAGAATTTATTGCTGCATTGTGATAAAGTGTATGCAAATTTTTCAATTTCAGCAATGTCCGAATTGTCTGGTGTTGAATTTCTGCTATTTATATATAATTCACAATATTTATCAACGCAGTCTATAAATATTTTTAAAAATATCAAATATTTTGTGTCAAAAAGGTATTTTTCCTGCATGATTTCATTTTGCATTGCAATATAACTAACAAAATAACAATTATTTTTCATCTCTTCAGATTTCTTTTCACAGTCAAGATAATTATTATACAAAAATTCGATCATCAGAATCTTGATTGCATTATAAAGTGGCATTTTGGGCATTCCGATTAGGCAAGAATTGGGTGGCCATGCTTCTTGTAACTCTGAGCTAGGCCGAAACCTCTGGCTTCTTAGTAGTGGCATGGACCTGTTGAGTTGGAACCTTTGTGGGCGCCACCATTTTAAATAAGTATCTTTGCCCTTAATTATGCCTTTCTATTACCAGATCGCGATCACCGCACTGGCCTTGGGGCTGCTGGAAAAAGGGTGGCAAGCAACTGCCTATTGAATCAGGTCACTAATTACCAGATTCATGCTTAGACTCTCCACTTCGTGAACCTTGATGCTACTTGGCCAACTTAGAGCCTCAAAACTAATATGGCCGGATATCATTTAGAGGACGGACTAGTCTCCACACTTTATTTTATATATATATACATCGGAATTTTCAATTTTTCAAGTTGACTAAATGGACTTTCTTCAATTTGCTTTAGAATTTTGAAAACATTTTCTAAAGAAATTATTTTTTGGCACTTTGCTTCATTCATATACATTCCGTTTACTCCAACTCCACACTTTGATAGGAGCGATATTAATTTAGCATGATATTCATAAGGGATATCTTTGTATTTACCTATTTTTTTTTCTTGTGGTTTTTCTGTAAATATAAACTCCCCTTCGTTATTCATGAAAAGTAAAAATCTGTCAATCGTTTTGTCTTCAAATACATTCAGAACAAGTCTTTGGATCTCTGGAATATATACCGTGGTAAATTAATATCAGATATGCCCATAGCTTATATAGATTTCTTTATCGAACAAAATATAATGAATGGTTGAGCGGCCAAGACAGACTCTCTCAAAGGGATGAGACGGATCTCTATACCTGGAAGCGTTAAAAAGTGGCATGCCAAAGAATGGTCGGCAAGTAAAAAAAGTTGACAAGCAAATGAGCCAATTTTTAAAAATGGCTTTATTATTAAATTATTTTAAATATAAGATACCTTTTAGGCTGGAGAAAGAATAATCAGTGCTCAATACAAACTTTGGTTTTCATAGAGCATTTGATCCAAAAAAAATTGGTAATATTTATTTAAAATCTACATAAATTAACTTAATTTGCTTTTGGAGTTAAATTACAAAAAAAAGAAAAAATAGGTAAGAAAATTATCAGTCTAAACGGGTATCTTAAATTTAAAATTAATTTAATAATAAAACTATTTTAAAAATTGGCATGTTTGCTTGCCAACTTTTTTATACTTGTGTATCCATTTTTATATGCCACTTTTTAATACTTCCTGGCATAGAGATTCAAGTCGTCCCTTTGAGAGAGTGTCTTGTTCGTTCAATGCCCACTACATTTTGTTCGATAAAGAAATCTATAGGGGTATGAGTTTATTTATTTTAGATAATTATATATTCTGCTATTTTCAGCTCTGTTTAAAATCTTATAATTACCTTGGACTGATAAGATTATATCGAAAAAATCTAAAAATGCAGGCTGTCTTCCTTCTAAATAAATAAGATTTACAAAACTCTTTAGAATATCCAAGCTTAGTGTTTTAATCAAATTCAGGTTATTCTTATAAATTTCACAAATCAATGGTATTTGCTCTACATTTATTTTAAGGTATTGCATAAAAATATGTACATGACTATGCATAATTTTTTGATTTTTTGGGTTTTCGTATACAAGCCTTTTCAATATCCTATGGCAACGAGAAAAGAGCTCTTTTGTTTGTTTTTTTATTTTATCATATTGACTATTTTCTTGCATATACAGCGTTTCAAGTGTATGCATGCCATCTTTAATGAGCTTAATTATATGATCATGTAGGCATAAATATGAAAGCATTTCTTGCCTTATTGGAGATATATTTGACAACCCCATATATGAAGGCTTTCCGTTATCTATACAAACACCTTCATAAAAAATCAGCTCAAAGTCTCCAAGAAGCTCGATAACTCGGTCTATTGTATTTTGGTGGTTTAAATGATCTCCTGTTCATGTGTTTAGCCAGAGTTCACTTTGGTCGCAAAACTTTTTAAATATAGAAATATGAGATTTCAGTCAAGATATTAATTCCACGTCTGTCTTAGAGCTCAATGCATATAAATGTTTTACAGACTTCAATAGTTCTGTTCTTTGGCTAAAGCACCTGAGTATAAAAGATAAAAACACAGATTGGAGTGAATAGTCTGTAGAATAAACGAACCCTTTTAATAATGCTGATAAAATTGGTTTATGGTATAGGAAATTTAAATCAGGCACTATGACTGGACATCAGGTTTTAAAATTATGTGAATATATTTCTTGAATTATTTCTTTTGATAGATATCTCGACATTTTTTCTCCAATCATTAAGACTGGAGGCAGCAGGCTTGTGATTTCATCAATTTTTCATAATGTTTGCTCTTTTAAGTTCTGAAACCAATGCAGAATGTTATTGACTCCCTGCTTTAAATTGAATAAAACACCTGTAAAATTTCAATTTTTTGGAAAATTAGCTCTTAAATTTGAAACGAAAATTTATTTTTAAAATAATAATTAAGGTTAATTTCATAAAAATTATTTTTCAAAAAAATAATTCCCCTTTAATATTAAACAATTTTTTATCCAATGTAAAAGTGGGAAAGTAAGTAAAAATTCTTGTCTGGTGTCTAAATATTTATTTAAAATGCTTGACATTAGTATTTTGGATCTTGCAGATGATGAATGATTAATCTTGGAAAAATTGCTTGGAAAAGAAACTAGAAGATTTTTTATATTTAATGCACAAATTGAGCTATTTTCATATTGAGTGCTCTCTTGAAATTTATATATTTTATTGATTTTCCTACCAGGATTAATTGAATATTTTCTATTTAAAATGTTTATATTTTGATTCTTGAGAAATAATGGAATGATGGATTTTGCAAACTTAACGATATCCATATTTTCAATTGTAAATTCTTTAGACAGAGGACTATATAAATAGACTCCATTATCATAGCATGTATATCCGGTTCCAAACATTTCAAATTTTATTAATTTTTCACCAATTTTCAAAATCTCATGACTCCCCTACCTTCTGATATAAAAATAAATTTTTTTGTAACAATTTTTCATAATTTTTTTTTTCAAAAAATCCCAATCGATAAAATTAGTTAGCTATTTAATTTAATTACTGCATTCAAAAAAATTTATATTAAATAATTTTTCGAGAGTGAGTTTTTGTTGAAGATGAATTTTCAATCGTTTGCTTGGGTGCGTAGGTAAATTTATCTGCTGCTCCAATATCAGTGCAGGATAAATATTCTAATATTTTTTTCATGAAATTATAAATAATTATTTCTTCATCATTTGATATAGCAATTTCTTCTTCCTCTTCAATCATAAAAGCATTAGCAACTTTTTTAGAGGATCTTGAAGTACTCTGCTCTGAAGAGCACGAATTAATTCTCAAGTGCTTATTATCAAAAATATCATTTTCTTGAAAATTTTCATCAAAGGCTAGCACTTTAATTAATTCGGGCTTGATTATATCTTCTCTTGGAGGAGTGTCAATATAAAGTGCCAGCATTAGTTTAGATAGAGAAGCCTTCAAATCATTGCTAATATTAGAGTTTCAAATTGCTTTAAACAAAGCGTCTGGTGGGAATAAGTCTTTAAGCTTTTCGATACATAAAAAATTTCTACCAGAGCTCATGTTGGCCAAGAGCTTTATTATGTGCCTAAAATATATTAGTTTTTTTTCATATTTTTCAAAGTCTTCAAAACACTCTTCTAACGAAACTATTGACCCAGAACTATCAATTTCAATGCAGAGATCATTAGCAGCATTAATAAATACAGGGATCATTAGCCTTCGATAATTTTCTTTATTAATAAATAAATATTCATAAAGCACTTCTTGATTCACATGCACACTGTTTCCATTATAAACGCAGATAAATTTCAAAAAATCAATAATATGATGCTTAAACTCCTTTTTAGTATTTTTCAACAAATTAACATGGAATTCTATAATATTTTCAGAATTTTCTTCAATTTTGGCTTCATGAATTTTCAGTAAAAGTTCTTCATTATTGCTCAGTATTTCTAATAAGCAATTCTTTACTCATGAATCCAATCCTATATGATTGGCAAAAACGTTTAAAAATTGAAATAGATAGGTTTGGATTTCGCTGTTTGCTTTGCAAATTGCTGATAGTAATTTGTATATTTTTTTGACAACCCGAAAAATTGTTTTTATTTTAAATGTTTCTCAATCAATAACTTTGCGGGCTCTTTTTATGTAAAAATTATCTGTTTTTAATGATTTTTCCTTTTTCAATTGTTTAATCATTTTCTTTTCTTTATCAGTGGTTATAGAAAATTTTAAAATTTCGCAAAGGCTATCAATGAAATTATGCTCTTTTAGTAATTTTTGCCTTTTAAACTGCGTTTGGCCTATCCTTTGATCGACCCCTACCATAAAATAGAGTGAATTTCTACAGAACTTTGTTAGATTTTTCAAACATATCAATAAAAGATGTGTATATAGGTCGAAATTTTGGTATTCAGAAGACTCATTTTGTAATAAAAATTGAGGATAATAGGATATTATTGGATATGCATTCAATAAAAATTGTGTTTCCTTAACTCTTTCACTATCAGCATTAAAAATTCTAAAGCAAGTAAATTCATCATTTTCATCTGTCAGTGAAGGTGTGTAGTCCAATCCTGACTTTGTTCGTTTTTTACTATATCAGGAGCCTCTATTCGACTCAAGTTATGCTGAACTTTTCCGATGTCAGCTGGGGGATTAAAAAAATCAACTCCTTAGATGATAAATCACTTTCTATTGGAAATTTCCCATTTGGAAAATTATGTTTACCAAATTTGCTGATCTTCCAACTATTGGTTGACGTCGGAATATGCGGCATAGTCTGAACATAAATAAGGCTTGGATTATATTAATATACACATTTTTTTTTACATTTAAAATTCTACAATAATCATCATTTATAATATTTTGCTCATCTTTTATTTTTACAAGTTTTCAAACAGTCTTTTTCTTCAATTCCTTTTCCAGTATTAATTTATCTTTAGAATTTCTAGATTTTCCAATTGACAAATAGCACCCAGTTGATAAATGTTTTATCCTAATATTCATATTTGAATTTAAAACTCCTCCAGTAGCACAATTTTCATTTTCTATTATTCACAACCCATTTGTGTCATTACAATTATCATTAAAATACACTTTTGATTCTTTCCCAAAGATACATAAAATGGTGACCTAAGCATTCGACTTCTTGATGCAATTTTCTCAATCTTAAGGCCAATGCGAACTGAGAGAGAAGCCAGTCGAAATTCAGATTTGATATGGCTTTATGATTTCGGCTAGGCTTTTGGCTCGGTTCCTATTGTTGGAATTGGCAGCATACTTAGGGACCACTAAGGTTGGCCATCACCGCGATGCCAGGTGTTGCAGCCTGGGCTGAGGAATTGAGCTATTAATCTGTAGCTGCTGAAGGCAGGCACCAGCACTCGTTACACTTCGGGTTTTCTCCTGGATCAAGCTACTATCTAATGAGCCCACAGCAGGGCCGCAGAAATCATAGTCTGCTAACTCAAAACCGAGCTCTAACAAGGCATTGGAGGCGTACTCCCTCGTGCAGATTCAATCTGTCCTGCCAATCAGGCGAATACTAGAGAAGAAGAAAACGGTCCAAGCATCTTGCCAGCTATCATCTCATTCAATCATGCCGATGAGTAGACACCATAAAGTGGATGAACCCCAAGGGAGTCCTGAGTGACTGCTTACCAACAGAGCTCTCTGCCCGTCTATTAATTAAGGTTAAGATTTCCTTCCCAAAAGCTCCAAGTCTTACTTTCTCTTCTGATGGTTTAATTCAAACACAATCTCCCAATTTCATATAATCAATTTCTTCATTTTTTGTATATGCAAACTCTTGAAAAATCCATTGGGATTTTTGCTCGAACGATGCATTCACTTCAAATGATTTCCCCGCTTCTCCATTTATTTGGTCTATAATGGAGGCCAAGGAACTGTGAGTGGCATGCAAAAATGCGCACCTGTTTAGCTCAGAAATTGCTATTTCTAGGTAAATTTTATCGTTTTCTTTTATATAGCCAATTCCTTCTTCTTGAAATTTAAAACAAGGTTGAATTTTGAAGATAGAGAATTCGCTACTGTAGTCTTCTAGAGAAATTTTGAAATTTTCTTTTTCAATGTCTGCATTTTCATTGCTTTTTAAGGTCAAAAACTTTTGACTTTTGTAGTGCTCAAGCTGTATGAGAGATCCAAATTTTATCGGAGTTCCTTTCAAAGCTGCATAGTTATTAAGATTCGACTCAACTTCAGCATCCAGAAAATCTTCTAATCTTGATATTTTCTCACTAAATGGATATTTAGAATAATACATTAAAATGGTTGATGAGCCAACCTTCAATCTTAGCATCTGCATATGAAAGATTCTGACTCCCACTCCGTGAGCGAACAAAAAAATTTGTTTGCTCATAGAGTTAAATTTTTTTACATAAACTTTATAGTAATTTAAAAAATCAATTTTCGCAAAAATTAATTAATTTCCAAAATTTATTTTTAAAATTCAACAGAATTAGCTCGAGATTACATTATACTAATATCACTTGACAAAATATTTTTTTCATAAAAAATTTTTGTTCGCTCATAGTGGGTTTTTAGCAAGAAATAGAGATTTTTTCCAATGATTTGCTAGCTCACGGAGAAGGAGTTAGGAAGCCTGGGGATGTTGAATAAGAGTTACAGCTTTAGAAAAATATGTATCCGGTTAGTTTTTATTTTATAGAGCGCAATACCGAGTGAGCGGACCACGCTCTCACACATAGATGAACTTTTTACCCTGTGAGAGAGGCAGGTAAAACTTTTGCAGGATATGCGCATGTGGGTAGCTGTACGGCATTATCCTAGGTAAAACCTGTCTGAATGCATATTACTGAACCCTATCCTCCTTTCCATAAGTCTCAGGCTACCCCAGCTACAGGTGCTAGGACGATTAGCTGGTTCTCCACGTCATTTTAATATATATTATTTGCCAAGGTCAGTAGGGGTTTCTTGACATATCGGGAATTTTTCCAGCGCGGCATAGTGACCTAGCATTTTTCGCTCTTGAGTAGCGAGTGCAAGTCCTCCTCTGTGAGAAGCAGCATAGTGAAATACTGTGCCCAGACTACAAGCAGTGGAGCCTTATGCGGAGGTGAGTATAGCTTGTTGACTTGCAAAGGAATTTCTCTTTAAGTAACAAAAGAATATTTAGATATTTCAGGAAGTGAATTTAATACTTCATTTTGTGCTCCATACATGCTAAATGGGATTATTCTAAATATGTGCCCTATGAAATCAGATTGTGATTGCTCTCTGAGGTATAAATCATTGTCAATAAATCCGTGAGAATAAAGTAAGCTGCTTTTAGGAATTTTGATAGTTATCAGAGATCCGTACTTTATAGGTTTGCTATTGTCAGGAGATTCCATATTATATATCAAAAATTTTTGGATGCTACTGGCATGCTTACTAGTTTCAAATTTAATATTCCAATGGTAATTTTATTAAAAATGTAAGCAAATAATCCATTAATCAGAGAATTATTATTAAATTTTGCCTTTTATCGATTATTAATATTAATTTTTACTATGATCGCATTATCATTTATATTTAATTTTGAAAGCAAGCGAGAGAATGCATTTTTATCTTAAATTTTAAAGCCTTTTTATATTGGATTTGATTTATTTGCTTGAGTTCAGAATTAGTCAAGCTATAAATATGTCCAGCAAAAAGCAAGGGGTTGAACTTATTCAAGCTGGGTCTCAAAGCAATAGCGAATGGAAAGAAGGCGAGTATCGCCGTGTTGAATTTGGCTTTGGCGCTCACAACGATGCTTTAGGAAACAATAGAATCAAGACATCAAAATACACCATTATCAACTGGGCACCAAAAAGTCTGTTATGGCAGTTCAGAAGAGTTGCTAATATTTATTTCTTAGTGATTTCAATTCTTACTTGCATGCCATTTTCACCCAAAAGCCCAGTCTCTCTAATTGCAACATTCGGAGGTGTCCTTGTCTTCACAATGTTCAAAGAAGCATATGAAGATTATTTCCGTCATAAATCAGATAACGCAGTGAACTCTGCTGTCAACTACAAGCTTGATTTAGCTACCAAAACTGTCATAGAAATACCTTGCATGGATATCAAGGTTGGCGATATTTTGCAAATAAAAGAAAACCAAGGGATTCCTGCAGATATCGTCCTTCTTTCAACGTCAAATCCTAAAGGTATAGCAATGGTAAATACAATGAACCTTGATGGGGAAACCAATCTTAAAGAAAAAACCACGTTAGAAACAACAAGAGGACTTCAGACGCCTGAACAGTTAGCTAATTTCAGAGGGATTTTAAGGTGTGACTTACCTCATATGTCTTTGATCAAATGGAATTGCAATTTCGAAGGACCTGATAAGACCATGGAGCCTATGGGGATGAATCAGCTGCTGTTAAGAGGCTGCGTATTGAAAAACACCAAGCATGTGTTCGGAGTCGTCGTCTATACTGGAATTGAAACCAAAATTGTGCTGAACTCTAAGGCAGCCCCATCTAAAATGAGCAACGTGCTCAGAACTATGAATACCATGCTTTATGCAATTTTTGCATTTCAACTGACAGTTTGTTTGGTCTTTTCCGGATTCAGCATGATTTGGAGATCTGAAAATGGATCCAACCATGTTTACTTAGCTACATCTGATGAAGTCACGCCGTGGATTTTTATAGCCCAAGCTCTAACTTTTCTTGTCGCATACTCTCACTTGATCCCAATTTCTCTGTATGTCGCTTTAGAAGTCTTAAAAATGCTTCTTTCATATCTAATCAGTCAAGACCGCGAACTTTATTACATGCCTGATGACCGGCCAACCACATGTAGGACAAGCGATTTAGTAGAAGAGCTTGGCCAAGTCGAGTTTGTATTTTCTGATAAAACTGGCACTCTTACCTGCAATGTTATGGAATTCAAAAAATGCTCAATAGGAGGGTCTATATATGGATATGGCAACAGAAGTAAAGCTTGGGGCGTTGGAGAAGATACCAAGCCAGATGCGATTTTGCAAGATCCCCACCATCCTAACCATGACGAGGTGAAGATGTTTTTCACCCTTCTCGCTGTCTGTCATAGCGTTTTACCTTCTCCAGACCCAGAAAACCCGAAAAAACCTAAATACCAAGCAGCGTCTCCAGATGAGCTTGCATTAGTTGAAGGAAGCTGCGACATGGGAATAGTCTTTTCTGATAGAATCGATGGTAAAGAAATCATAAACTACCGTGGGGAGCAACAAACCTGGGAAGTTATTGCTGAAGTCCCATTTAACTCTGACAGGAAACGTATGTCAGTTGTAGTAAGAGAGCCACATACAGGCAAATATATGCTGATGACCAAAGGAGCTGATATGGTTATGATGAAATTGCTTAAAAAGAACCAAAGTTTCGAAACGCTAGACAAGCACATGCACACCTTTGCAATAGAAGGGCTAAGGACTTTAGTTCTAGCTTATAGATATATAGATGACCACGAATTTGATGAATGGATAAAGATATGGAAAGAAATTCAGCTATCAAAATCGCCTGATAAGTCAGAAAGACTTGATGCACATGGAGGACTATTAGAAAATAATTTAAATTTATTAGGAGCGACAGCAATTGAAGATAAACTGCAAGATGGAGTCCCTGAAGCTGTGTCATTTCTGCTGTCGTCTGGAATAAGAGTGTGGGTGCTTACAGGTGATAAGCAAGAAACGGCGATTGAGATTGGAAAAGCTTGCAACCTAGTCCAGCCTTCCATGACTTTAGTTGACCTTTCAAGCACTTCATTAGCTGAGTTTTCTGCGGTGCTTGACTACTACGTCAATTTATATTCTCTTAAAACAATGAGTATAAAAGATCTCCTGAAATTCAAAGAAACAATGACAGAAAGGCTTGCCTTGGTTATTGATGGTCTCACACTAGTGTGGGCTCTTGATGCTAAACAAGCTTATCGAGAAAATTTCTTTAAACTAGGCTTGATTTCAGAATCCTGCATATGCTGCAGAGTTTCACCTGCACAAAAAGCTCAAGTTGTTGCGCTTGCTAAGGAATCAGGACCATGGATCACTCTAGCTATTGGAGATGGTGCTAACGATGTAAGCATGATACAAGAAGCTCATATTGGTGTCGGAATTGCTGGAAAAGAAGGCTCTCAAGCTGTTCAAGCTTCTGATTATGCGTTTTGCCAGTTTAAATACCTCCAAAAACTACTGTTAGTCCATGGGAGATGGGGATATAGAAGGATTTCGTATTTCATCTGTTATTACTTCTATAAAAATGTGACTGTGGTGTTTGCTGACCCACCCTCTGCGAGCGAGAAAAAAAATTTGTTTATAGAGGGGTTATTTTTATTTTTAATAAAAACTATTTTTTAGAATTTCTGTATGAAATAATTTATTTTGTTATATTTTAAAGTGCAATCTGTTTTAAAATTTGCAGAATTAGCTAGATTTTTCATTATAATAATTATCACTTATAAATCAATTTTGTTCGCTCACGGAGGGTGGGCTTTTGGTCAAAATATGATGATTTTTCCAATGATTTTGATCGCTCACAGAGAAAGGGAGTGAGCTTTGCTTTTCCTTCTTAAATGGCTTCAGTGGTCAGGTTTACTTCTTAGATTGGCTGCCTATGCTTTTTAATGCTCTTTGGACTAGTTGGCCATGCTTGCTAATCTTTTTGTTCGAACAAGACTTAAACGCTGAAGACTCTTTCAAGTATCCAGTTGCTTATCAAGCTGGGCCTAGGAAAGCCTATTTTTCTTTCAAAGTATTCTGGAGATGGGTGGTATTTGCAATTTGGCATGGAGTGTTATGCTTCTTTATTCCAAATATGACGCTTTACAAAGCAATAGATGAGGTCGGACAAGTAGCTGGACTGTGGTTTGTGTCAACGATTACCTTTACACTTGTAATCCATGTGATTACATTTAAACTGTTTTTAGAGAGCGTATTTTGGAATAAAATTAGTATTGTGGCTGGAATGATATGCATAGGATTTTATTATTTATGTTTGATTGGGCTTAATACAAGTGTTGTGGCGAAACTTGCCCAGCCTGACCTGAATCAGCTATTTTATTTAGCGTTTTCATTGCCGAAGACGTGGCTTGTGGTCTTTTTTACACCTTTCTTGGCATTAATTCCTGATTTTATTTTCAAAACTTGGGACCACATTTTCCATCCCACTCCGATTGACTTGATAATTAAAAGAATAACTAATAAAAGTTAATCGAAAACTTATGATACCTCGCCATTTTTACTATTAAAATCATTGAATAAAAATTTACCTAGAATTAACTAGCCTAATTTCTGGCGATCTTATGTTTGGCGTCATAGCATAAAGAGATTGAATATAATTATATATATTAAGAGAAAAGAATTTATCTTAAAAAGGCTTGAACGATTTTACGCTTTTAAAAGTTAAAATATTTAAAAACTGTTTATAAAATACTTAGGCGCTGCAAATGAAGAGGCGTCCCATGTTTTCGCTAAATTGCTTTAATTTTTGGTTTGTTTTTATGCTAATCTTAGCTCGACATTAAAGGCTGGGATGAGTTAAAATAAAAAAGAAATTCATGCTTTTGTCTTTATTTAATTATATCGGGCAAATTAATTAAATAATTTGCTTTGAAAGTTTGATAATATTACAATAAAATTTAATTATATTTAGCATTTTTTTATTAAGATAATAGCAGTGGTGACGCAATAGCAAAGTAGCATAATGCTTCAACAATAAAAATATGTCAACTGAGTTGAAAAATCCTTCTCTATTGGCAAAAAATGGATTAGATGATTCCACTTATTATGAAGAAATTACGCAGACGCAGATTTTTGACAGTGCAACCCCTGAAATTCAGCTTGCTTGAGAAGATATTCGTTATCAAGTGACTATAAAAAAGAAGTCCCAAGAAATTTTAAAAGGAGTTTCAGGATCAGCCAATCCTGGAGAATTCTTAGCCATTATGGGCTTATCAGGCGCAGGTAAAACAAGTCTTCTAAATATCGTTGCAGGAAGAATAAAATCGTGCTCTTCCACCAAAGTTTCAGGAACAGTAAAAGCCAATGGAATCGATATAAACCAACTCAATTTTCAAAAATATTGTGCTTATGTGACCCAAGAAGATATTTTGCTTCCTTTTTTAACTGTCCGTGAAGCTCTGACCTTTTCTGCTGGATTACGATGTGCTGGATCGTCAAAAGAGATTAAAGATAAAGTTGATGGAATACTCCATGAGCTCAGACTAACTGGAATTGCAGACAACATGATAGGAGACGCAATGTTTAAAGGAATTTCAGGAGGCGAAAAAAAAAGAACCAGCATAGGAGTTGAGTTGATTTCTGAGCCTCAAATCATCATTTTAGATGAACCTACCTCAGGACTAGACAGCTTCACAGCAGATATATTAGTTGACCTATTAATTCAGCAGGCTAAAAAAGGAAGAACCGTTATCGCCACAATTCATCAGCCAAGCACTTCAATTTTTAAAAAATTCAATAAGCTTATTCTGCTAAGTGAAGGGCTCACAATGTACCAAGGATCCGCTGCCAAATCAAGAAAATATTTCTCGCAGCTTGGATACAAAACCCCACGATTGGTAAATCCTGCTGAATATTATATAAAACTCCTCCACATTACAAATCGTTACGAATTAACAAAAGAGGAATCAGAAATTTTAGAAAACTTAAAAATGGCTTATGAGGGCCACGCAGACAAAAAAGATAAAATTAGGGACCTTGGAACGGCTCAGCTAAATTTATATATGGCATCAGATGTAGGCAGCATTAAAAAGATTTTAATCCTGACAAAGAGAAGCTTCATAAATAATGTGAGGAATCCAGGCCCGTCTCAGATTACTATAGGGTTTTACATAGTTACAAGTATATTACTAGATTTATTATTCCATGATTTAGGAAACGATTATGAAGCTATTCATACGATAAATGGGGTAATGTATTTCCTAGCCATAATGTGCATTCAAATCGGAAACACAGGTAGTGCAATGACATTCCCAGTAGAAAGAACTACGTTTTTTAAAGAATATGGGCAAGGGCTATACGGAGCTCTTACTTATTACATAACAAAGATGATTGCTGAGCTTCCACTTCAAGTTGTAGCTGCTCTTGTAGCCTCACCTTTGCTTTATTTCCCTCTTGGTCTTGATTTAACTGCAGAAAAATTTTTAACTTTTGTTTTTATTATTTTTCTTAGTCAATGAATGGGACACGGATTAGGGTATATAGTTGGAGCCTTATGCTCTAGCATTTTAATAGCTAATGCAGCTGTCCCAATGGTATCATCTCCATTAATTGCTTATGAAGGACTGATGGATAACACTGAAGCTTTCAAGTGGGTCCAATATTTTTCCCCTTTCAGATGAAGCTTCCAAGCATTGTGTGTAAACCAATATACCGATATGGACTGGGATTGCGATCCTCGCGGGCCAAAATGTGACCCTTTGAATGATTTAGGCTTTAGTGACTCAATTGGAATGAGCTTATTATGATGCATCCTTTTTTCAGTTGGAGCTAGGTCAATCGCGTTTATTGAGCTGAAAGTCCTTGGACTCAAATTCAAAAATCTATAGGATAATAAATTTGTAGAGGTATAATGATTAAAAATATAAATATAGAGTATTATATGGCTAAACGCATAAAATGGCTTCGAATGAGAGAATAATTCACTCCATGAACTTCCTTTCCTCACCTGACTTTATTTTACGGGGTCAGCACTTCTGTATAATAGGCAACCATGGCGCAGGCTTTCTACTTCGCATCCTATATACATTGTGTTTTACCTCTTTCTGCTGCCCAATAAAGATCAGTTCGGAATGAAAGTCGGATAGAGCGAAGCAATGCGCCAAGCTGCGAGTTTTCCTGGTTCTCAAATGCTGAAAGGGAGTTAGAAAGAGTGATCCTATGAGCAAGCCATACGAGCAATTGGTAGTGGCCAATTCAAGGTAAAATGCACCTTCTGGTCCTGCGCATCTTGAGGCCCAGCTAGAAGTGAAGTTAAGTTATCTAAGTCTAAGTATGGCCAAACGTGAAAGCTAGACTATAAGCTTTTCAATCATTATACGCTAATTTGCTGTAAATGGCTGAATTGAAACTCAACTTATTGAATAATATTACAACCGAATGTTTATATTAAAAATAAAATAACACATATCAGGCTATCTAAGCATCTTCAACAGTAATCATTATCCCTTCCGAAGAAATCGGCTTTAAATCAATTTCTTCGATATCAAGATGGGTTGATGATTCTGACTCCTTGGGCAATCCTAACAAATATCTTCCGATTCTTCTTGACCGAGCTTTAATTTTCCGAAAACTTTTAAGATTATACCTAAGCCAAATATGGTCAAGCGCGCTCTGTGCAGATGGTCTTTCAAAAGGATTGATTGATACAAGCTTTGATACCATATCTATTCCGGATTTTGAAATATTCTTTCAAGGTTTTCCATCAAAATAGACTTTCCCTTCTCTGTTTTTCCTCATTCTTTCTTCCGCAGTTTTTCCTGGAAACGCAGCAGTTCCAGTTAATAGCCCATAAAGGACTATTCCTACACTAAAAATATCAACCTTTTTATCATAAGTTTTTTCAGAAAAGATTTCAGGGGCTGTATACCCAGGAGACCCGCATCTTTTTGAAAGTTCATGATCGTCTTCACATGCCAAGCCGAAATCGGCTAGCTTGAACTCAATATCATTATTTTCTGAAATCATCAAAATGTTTTCAAGTTTTATATCTCTATGAACTATTTCTAAAGAATGTAAATAGTCAACAGCTTTTAGCAGCCTTGAAATAATTTCTGCTGCATTCTTTTCTGAATATTTGTGATAGTTTGATAGCCTATCCAATAAGGTGCCGCCGTTGATATATTCGAGGACAAGAAAGACATGTTCTTCAGATTCATAAACTTTTAGAAGCTTAACAATGTTTGGATGGTTGAGGTTTCTCATCATATTGATTTCGCTTGCAAGTGTAGATTTGCCGTTTTGAATGCTATTTGCTAGAGATTTTGGGCAGGCTTTAATAGCGTATTTCATATGGGTTTCTTTATCCTCTGCTAGGAAAACTTTGGCACTCCCGCCTTTTCCAATTTCTTTAATAAAATTATAATCATTACCTATTTCGGCCATTATTCCTACAGTTGAAAGATGGTAAAGCCACTCATCAAGTATTTCTGATGTAGCTACATAGAATTCTTTAAAAATGGATCCTTGCCCGACTCGAAAAATGTATTTGCAATCATTCTCCTTTTCTTCAACAAATGCCTCGATTAGTTTCCATTTGATGTTTGCTGATTTCATTTTTCTACCTTGTTGATGTTTTAAAAGACTTTCTTCTGTGAGCGCTAAAGTGATAGGAATTAAGAGATTTTTATTTTGAAATTCCCACACCTCACTTTCAAATATTATTCTGTGGTTCATTTGAAAGCACCCAGTTCAGAACTCATTCGATTTTCTACCTCTTTTGTCAATTTCGTTGAAAATCGACTCCATATTAATAACTATTGGTTAAGCAGGCTCGAAATTATTGGTGTTTTTACTAATTTCCAAGTTAATAATAAAATTTTTATAAGTATAGATTAGACAGAAGTTTTGTCAACTTTGCTTTAATAATTAATAACTATGGCGAATAAGATTAACAATGAATTTATAGTGACATAATATAATAAAAAATTATTGGCTAGATTTTTTATTTCCTATATGAATTAATTAGGAAGCATTTGCAGCGCTTAGTATATAAAAATAGATCATTTCTAGAACCTGCTTGAAAAAATATTATCCGAATATAAATTTTTTTTGAGTGAACTTAGAGAAGCTTTTTCAGCAGAAGTATTTTTCAACAGAAGCTAAGCTAAAAGTTTGAAAAATAATTTGAATATGAAATCTATCATAGACGAGTTTTCTAGATTAATAATTTAATATTAGACTATTCCATAATCAAATATGCATTCTTACTAATAAAATTATAATTAAAATGTAACACCTTTATTAGTTAATAATAATAAGTTTTTTAAAATATTTTTCTATATATCACATGATAAATCTTATGTTTGAGAGTGCTATAAGATTTTTTCTGATATGCAAAATTTAATATTTCATGCGTGCTTGTTTTCAGGTTAATATAAGTGATGCATTTATTATGCTATTAATATGCGTTAATATTAATTACTTACCAAGAAGTTTCACAGGATAGTAGCAACATCTCACAAGATTATCACCTCGCCACTTGCTCAGCACACAGCCTTATACCATGCTGAATTTTCGGAATAACGCTGCATTTTCCGAACAACAACCTGAACTTGATCTCTTACATATAACAAACCAATCTGGACAATAGTAGGAACAGTCCCCACTGCACCAATAGATGGCAAAAATCACCTGAAATACATTTTAGACACAGTTCTCCTTTCGCAAGATTCCCAAGCATAATTTGTGACATCTTCTAGAGGTTTAAACTCGTCGCACTATTTAATGTTTACATGCTATTATATGCAATTAAATTAAATGAAACACCTAGTAGCAATTAAAATTATTAAAAAACTACGGTACTTACTACAATGGCAACCAAGACCCCTACTACAACACAAACAATAGCTAAAATGCAGTAAAGTTTCCCCTTACTTTTTTTCTGATAAACCTCAGCTTTATCTAATTCAATAACAGCCCTCCCAGTTTCCTTTACAGCAGTATCCACATTATTTTCTGCCGAATCTAGCATGGCTCCTTGGTCAACTACCATTTTGGCTACATCTTTAAACATAACATTGACTTCTACCATATCTTTTTCAATCGCATTAAGCTCTTCTTGTCTGTCCCTAAGCATAGCTTCATCCAATCCACCTACACTCCTAAACATATCATCGTCTCTATTAAGAGGCCTTTGGCCCGTTTCAACGCTTTCTTCTATTATTTTATCTTCTTCTGCAGCTGCAAATTTTTCTTTTTCAAGTAATTTTTGATTTAGATCTTGATATTGTTTAAGCAAAGTTTGAAACTCTTTCGTTAATTTGTCATGCTGGATTTTTTCATTAAAATTTGGAGGGTATTTTTTAAAAGATGCATGAATTTCTTTTGTCAATTTCATCATATTTTCTCTTTCTTTGGCAGCTTGAGATAGAAGTTGGGCTCGATTTTTTGACATTCCTATTTGGCCAGTGATATCTTTTAGCTTGCGAAGACGCTGTTGAAATTCTCGCACCAAAGTAGCTTGCTGCTGCAATCCAGATTCCAACTTACCGTAAGTAGCCATTTATATAGTGCAACAATATTAAAATTATGAGTAATTGAGTTATATATAAAATATAGGTTTTTTACTTTATTATGCAAATTCACTATAATGCATTTAATAGCATTAAACTGAAAAGAGCCTTAAGAATGACAGAGCTATCGTAATTCCAATATGTAGCTGTGTAAATTGCTTTGACGCAAGCATCGTTATTGATTATCTGCGGGTAATAATTAAATCCATAAATTGCTGACTGGATCTGAGAATAGTGACCTGTGAGTTTTAAGCATTGATTTGTAGACCGTCTCGAAGTATTGCAGCCTGTGCTATTTTTAAGAGCTGTAATCCATGATGATATCAAATTAATTCCTGAGGAATCACCTATAAAAGGGGCACAATAAGACTGGCCTAAGTTATTGTACCCACATTGGCACTTGCTGAGAACCAAATTAGTTCCATCAGTTCCTAAACAATCTGTATCTGCAGTGCAGGCGACTGGAACAGTTCCAACCGTCATAGGAGCACTTTTGCATATACCAAGAGTTGAATACCAGCTGCCAAAATGTGAACAATACCCAGAAGCACACATTTCAGATAGCCCATTAGCGCAATCAGTCACAACTAAGTTATCACTTAAACTTGCATATTGAATGCAAGTGCCGTTTTGGCTTGAATAAGTCATATTACAGCCAGAATAATTTACACAGTCTTGTTCATCTCTACACCCAGCGCTTCCTATTGCTAATTGTACTACACAAGACCCTCCATAGCACCTGAGCCCTGGATTACATTGTTCATGTATTGTGCATTTTTCATTCAATTTAGCCCCAGCACATACACTTGCTGTGCATGTCCCATAAATGCAATCACTTTGACTTACACAAGGCTCTCCAGGATATGATTGCAATGCAGCTGCTGCTGGTGTTGCCACACAGGTCAAACTTGTCGTATTACAATAACTCAAAGTTGATGACGACGGGCACACTTGGAGATAATAAAATTTATTTTCAAATATTTTCCCACAGTTCCCATCTGTAATAACAATTGACGTCGGTGCACATTGGTAAACTCCACATGTAAGAGCAGTTGCTTTAAGAGGGTTTTCCAGTCATCGCCCCACAGCAAAATTTACAAGGAGTAAAATTAACATTTTTAATTTTTCAAGGAAAGATTAGGATATGTATGCATTTAAAGGCGTTTAAAAATTTTGAAAGAGAAATTGGTGAAGTTTTATTTTCATTTTTTATTAAATTTTCAACAAATCTGTCCTGTACATACATAATAGTGTATACATAATAGCCAAAATTAATTTTCTCAAATCCATCTGATGGACTCTTTTATTAGCCCTTCAAAACGTGCAGGTACAAACCTACTGCCGCCGATAGCAACTGGAAGAAGTCGGAGAATATCAGCCCGGTTTCCTGCTTCACGTTCTTTAATTAATGTCCCTGAAAAGAAAAACTGTAATTCAAACTCAGCAACCTATAGAGATAAGACATACAAATCAATTTCTCCTATGAATATGAAGCCAAAAATTAAACTGAAAGAAACAAGACCAACTATTTTTACCTTGCAAAACCTGACTTTAGGAACTCTCTTGGGGGAAGGGAAAACTTCAAGAGTTTTAAGAGCAGCTGTAGGAAGCCAAGAATTTGCCGTAAAAATTATGCCTATGGCAGAGAAAAAATACTTCGAAATTGAATGAGAAATTTTGGAAAAACTGAACAGCCCATTTATCGTTAAAGGGCATGGAAAATTAGATGACACACAAAATAATTATCTTTTGCTGGAACTTGTAGAAGGAGGCGATTTGTTCCAACTAATGAGAAAGCGACGCCTGAGAATAAACGAAATTGCTTTTATCGCCGCAGAAGTTGTGGTAGCCCTTAACTATCTTCACGATAATGGGATTATTTATAGAGACATCAAGCCAGAAAACATTATGCTTGATTCAAATAAACACATAAAATTAGTAGATTTTGGGTATTCCAAAATAATTTCTGACGAAAGACCAAGCACTGTGTGTGGGTCGCCTGAATATGCAGCCCCAGAAATGCTCAGGAGGCAAGGATATTCTTTTAGTGTTGACTGGTGAGGATTAGGGATCTTATTATATGAGCTAGCGTGTGGGTAATATTTTAAATAGACATCCGCCTTTTCAAGGAGAAAATTTCAAGGATATTTCACAAAATATAATTCATGGGGAGCTGGTTTTTACTAGGCAAGTTGATCCTCAATGCAAAGATCTAATAAGAAAACTACTAAATCCTGAGCCGCAAGCAAGACTTGGCTGCCTAAAAAATAAAGTCGAGGATATTAAACACCACAAGTTCTTTAGAGGATTCAATTGGGAAGCCATTGCAGAGCGAAGATTACCTTCCCCAATAAATATAGTAGAAAATTAAAAATTATGTATTTAAGAAAAAATTCACCGACAAGAGACTCAGATGTTTCTAAATATCTTCAAAATTTCAATGAAAATTCAACCTTGCTCGCAGGAACTGATTTTATTGGCTACAGACTAAGAAGATTTCGGGATCAATTAAATGTTGAAAGGTCTCAGAGCCCCGCAAGATCAGCAAGAAACTCATCTCTGAAGAATTCTCTGCTAGAAAATAAAAGCCCATTGAAATTAAATACAGAAAGTCCCATAAAAAGCCATTTTGACGCTGATGATATCATTCTAAGACACAGCTTGACTCAAAAAATTCATCAGAAAAAATCAATTGAACGGTTGTATCGAGGCATGTTGCCGAGAAATGCAGAACAAAGAATTTCAAGCTTGCTTGGGTCTAATAATAAAGGAGATGCCACAGATATAAAAGAGTTCAACGAAGAGCTGAATAAAATTGTGTATTTTCAATCCGTTAAGCCTGAGCTGCAATCTATTTTTGATTCATTAAGAGGAAAGCCTCAAAACAAGCCAATTTCGAAATACGAAATCGTACAATTCCTGAAATCAAAACTAAGTGAAAGATCAGAAAGCTACAAAGATATGATCCTCAGTGTTTCAGAAATCACAAAGATGGCAGGGGAAATCTTCAGGATGATATTTAATGTAGGAGCAGATGAAGAAGCTTTCCTGCTTGAGCTGCTTTGGCGATGCTTGATTTATCAGTTGGAACTAGGAGTTTCTCGACAGCTGAATTTGACTATCAGACAAGAATCTGCTAATAAAATAAAAATCGAAGAAAATGAAAATAAATGAAAAAGTGAGTTGGAAAGAATTAAAAGTGTATTCTCAAAGCAAGTTCATAACCTGGAGCAAGAGAACAGAAGACTTAATAAAGAAATAAAGCAAGTTAATAAGTTGAGAAGAAGAATTGAGGAAGATAAAGAGCGATTAATAAAAGAAATTTCTCATGATATATCATCTACTCCAAAAATAAATAGTAAGGCTCATGAGCCGGAAGAGATTAAATTGAAAGAATATCGAAATGCTAGTACGATGACGGAAGAGTTTACAGTGAAAATTGAAAGGATTGAAAAAAATGAAGAAAATCATCCTATTATAAAGCTCGCAAGTTTGGGGGGAAACGAAATAATTGGAGAAGATCCATTGGAGTATTGTGAAAAACTGTTTAATAAATTCAAAGGAAATGGGTCATTTCTTAGGTACTTTTTGAGAAATCTAGTTGTTGATTTTTCAAATAAGGATAAGGTTTCATCTAAGGCTTCACAAGTATATCGCGCTTTGCTTCCGTCACATATTGATAATGATTCCAAAAAAAATTTCTTCTGAAGTATTTTGAAGATTGAAGGAGAACTTCCCCCTCATACAGAAAACGTCATTTTTTACATTAGAGATCTCATAAAGCCTCTAGATAAGCTTCATCTAGAAATATCATTTAGAGAGGTTGTTTCAATAATACAAAATACACTCACTCTTCCCCCCATTTAATAAAGAAACACTTTTTTTGTTCGTTATTAAATAGGGTCTAACTTTTAAAATTTTTGGAAAAAAAATATATATAAAATTTATATTAAATATCTATGATTTTTATATCAAAATTTCAATTAAAGGGTTAATAATAAAAGGAATCAAATGATGACAACAGAAAGAGAAATCGCCTAAATGCAGGCGAAAAGATAACTATTGCTAACTCTCCCCCTCCGTGAGCTAATAAAAAAATAGAAAAAATCCTCACCTTCTGTGAGCGAACAAAAATTTTTTATGGAAAAAATTCTGATATATAAGCGATAATTATTATAATGAAAATCTCTGGCTAACTCTGTTTAATTTTAAACAAATTGCGTTTTAAAACATAAATTTTATAAATTTAAATTAATATTTGCTTGCCAATTTTTGCAAATTAGGTTTTTTTTAAAATTTCGGACAATTTTTTATGGAAAAGATTTTGATATATAAACGGTAATTACTATAATGAAATCTCTGGCTAATTCTGTTTAATTTTAAACAAACTGTGTTTTAAAACATAAATTTTATTAAATTAAATTAATATTTGTTTCCCAATTTCTGCAAATTAGGATTTTTTTAAAAATTTCAAAAAAAATAAAATTTATATATAAATTTTTTTATAAAAAAAACTAAACCCCCTCCATGAGCGAACGAAATGTTTTTATTCGCTCACGGAGAGGGAGTAAGAGCCAGCTTAAGATTAAGCCGCTAGTAGCTTATTAGCTCTTATTTATTATTCTTTGCTCGATTATACTCGTCCTTATCTTAATCTAACTACTTAAAATTAGTAAACTGTAGAGACTAAATTAGCTTATATAATTTTATATAGTAAATTTTGTTCGTTATTAAATGGGGCCTAACTCCCCCCCCTCCGTGAGTGAACAAAAATTTTTTAATACAAAAAAAATTTTATGGAAAAAAAAATTGATATATAAATGATAATTATTATATTGAAATCTAGAGCTAATTCTGTTTAATTTTTAAAACGAATTGCATTTTAAAACATAAATTTAATAAATTAAATTAATATTTGCTTTCAAATTTTGCGAATTAGGATGTTTTTAAATTTCGAAAAAAAATATTTTTTTATAAAATTTATATATAAAATTTTTTAAAAAAAAAAAATTAACCCCCCTCCGTTAGTGAACAAAATTTTTTTGTTCACTCACGGATGGGTGGGGGAGTAAGAAAAAATTTTTTAGGAAAAAAAAAAATGACGGTTTTGTTCGTTATTAAATGGGGGGAGTTAGCTCTAATAAAGATTTTGCATATTCAATCCTATCAAACCTTCAACTAAACACAAAAATCCACGATAGCGACCCTTTTGATACTTATACAGCACATGAGCGAATTAATGCAAGAATAGAAGACAAATACCATCAAACTTTTGAAATTCTTCTAATGAGAATAGCTCTATGCATCTATATTTCAAGAAAGCCTCTAAATAATTACTTCCAAGAAGGAGAAATCATATCCCCTGATGACTTTATTAATGTACTCGTAAATTCTTACAATTTATTCTGCTCTCAAGAAGAAATAAATCTTCTTCGACAGTATATTGAAGATCCTCTTCCTCTAATGAAAATCATAGAAAGACTTAATTTAAATGCTTTTTATAAAGCAGCCACTCACAGCACCATACAAAAATATGACCTGCTATGTGCCGTTTGCAAACAATTTGAGTTGATATTTTTCAAAAAAATCCAAACTTTTTCAGAAATTTTAAATATATCTTCATTTTCAGAACTGAATGAGTTTTTCAAAAGTTCTAATGTTTCACTGTCAGAAATTGACCTAAAACAGATTTTTGTAGACATTCAGTTAGGCAAAGATCTTAGTGCTATATTACTTGACAATAATTTTTTTTCAGATACCACAATTACTTTCGATCCGATAAGGCGTTCTAAAAGAAACCGCAATAAAACCTTAAAACAGCCTAAAGTCAACTTAATTTAATATTATAAATTATAAAATGAACCATAATATTTCTATCAACATCACTGGAACTTATCAACGAAGAAAGAGGTCATTCTTGTCTCGGCTTTACACAGTAAATATCCACCTAGGAATATGAAATCAATACAATTCTTGATGGAAAAGACTCTTACCGCGTATTTCGTCGCTATAAAGAATTTTCTTCTCTAAATTCTGAAGTACTTGCTAAATAGATATACATTAAAAATGGCGACACGTGTCAACCTGCCCTCTTGGCGCAGTAGTGCAGACCTTATGGCTGCGGCGAACTGGGACGGACTCCGAGCTGAGAATCTAGTGCAGGCTCTAGAGGTGTGTATCCGGGTAGGTTTTGGCTGCTTTCCTGTGGTTGGAAATGGAGGTGCTCGACATTGTCCTTTGGATCCAAGGACCCATGGGCATTCCTCTACCGAGAAACTGGGGGTTTCTGCCCAGGCCACAGGGGAACAGTCTTTTTCCTGTAGCTGTCGAAGAAAGGCACTTCGACACCCGATAGACTCAAAGGAGTTGATCCCTGGAATCAAGCTACTCCAATCGCCCGCAGGGCCGCAGAAATCCATAAGCCGCCCACTCAAGATTGAAGCCTTAAAGGCAAGGAGGAGACAGAAGGTACCGGAAGGACACTCGCAAGAGGATAGACCCTCTGGGCTGGAGTCGAAAAGCGGATGAACCTCCCGTACGGGAGGTCTTTGGTGACTGCGTCACCAATATGGCTAACGCCTGACTTTAATAACTAACTAACTAACTTGCTAAATAGATTGAAGAAATTTTGGCAGAAAATGCGATTACACTACCAAAATTCCCTAAAAAAATATTCAATAAGCTGTCTGCAGCTGTAATTTCAGAAAGGAGAGCAAATCTCGAATTGTGGCTACAAGAAGCTTCTGGGCACACCGAGCTGCTTTTACCTTTATCTAAGTTTTTGAATGTGCCTACTGATGGCTTTGAAATTGTCTCAACAAATCGGCAAAATTCTGTTTCGCAGGATGAAAATCTAATTGTTGAGTTTTCAACAAAAGTTACCTCAGAATCAAGGAACAGATATAGGGCTCTAGAAGAGTTCGAGTGGCAGTTTTTTTCTAAAAGAAGACTAGTAAGAAATGAATATTTCGCGATTTTACTTAATGTGCTCATTCCATTATGTGGGCTTGATAATATTGGGTGTAAAGCCCTAGATATCTTGACAAAACTCATATCAAGTGACAGGTTTTGGGATTTCAATAAAGTTAAGCAAGAATTAGTAAAACTTGGACCAGACTTTTTAAGCAAAATGAAACTAAATGACCACTTGATGAGGAGAATTCATGGAGAAAGCCAGTGCTTGGCTTACGAAATTTTAAAGGTTTTAGACGAGAATTTCCAATTAGCCAAAGATAATTTTGGTCTAAATATAGTGCTAAACAATGATCTTGAAGCATTAGAAGCATTTGATGAATGGGGAAGTGAAAAAACTATCTGCAAAAGCTTGCCAAAAATATTATCTCATGGGAGCTTAGATTGAAGAAGACTTAAATGCAATGAAAGAGACTCAGAAATTTTTTATAGGCTGATAAACAAAGAGCTGGCAATAAAATGTGAAGTTAATTTAGAGACAACCGTACAAAGGCTCATAAGCATCATTACAGTTCCAGAAGAAAGGAAAAAATGGGATAACAAACTTATAGAAATGTCAAAATTTGAGCTTCCTGAAGGACAGGCAGGGTATCATTTTCTTTACAATTATGAGCACACAATGTACGAGCTTAATTCAATATACACGATTAGAGAGACTGATGATTACACACTTGTTCAGTTCAAGCATACCAGCTCATATACATTCAACATGGCTGCTATAAATGGAATCGTCGAATCAAGCTATCTGATTGAAAAGATGGAAAATTCTGAGTCTCTTCTTAAAGAGGACTCAGAAGAAATACTGGAACCTGTAAATAAAGTAGAAAAACTCAAGCTAACCTGGTCTTCTCACTTCTGCGATCGATGCTCCAAGATGTTTTTATCTGACTTAGTCGACGAGTCTGATAACTACAGGCAGTCTATTCACCAATTTATTGTTGCAGCTGAGAAAAGAGAAGAGAAAACCAACCGAACAAGGATTAATTCAATGGCAGCTGCTTTAGAGAGGAAGCAGCTAGCGAAAAGGCAAGCTCCTTTATCATTGTTTAACTTAGATAGAAGCAGTTCAAATGTAGCCTAAATATAAATACTTATTAAAATTGTTTTAATCATTTTTTTATTATGGAAACTTCAAACGCCTACGAAGGAAATGACCCTAATCCCACTATTATGACGACTTCAGAGTACAAGACCACAGAAACTTCCAGAAAGCGAGGCTACAGAAGCTGCCTGAAATTCCAATCGAAGGAATTGGAAAAATCGTTTCAATATTTAATAATCAGTGAAGAGAAACACAACTATAAACTAAATGAAAATTTTGGCGAGAGAGCGCTCGATTATTTGCTTGGTTTTTATTCTTTATCATTAGTTTATCTACTGATTTATATAATTGCATATGCAATTGAGGATTCTTCATCGAGCAGCTTTGCTTTCCAGGTTTGCTTGATTTGTGGACAAATGATTTGAAATTCTCTGATTATCTGGCTTGGGCTGACAACTAATGTTTTTCGTATTTATAGGATCCAAGCCTTGTCATTTTCTTATATCTCATTTGCTGCGATTTTGATTTTGAATAACGGCCCTGTTCAGAAATGGATGCTGGATGTAAATTCTGAGACTTATGTCTCATGCCTCCCTGGCCTTTTGATTCTTTTGACTATATCACAATTTATAACACATTTCAGCTTTGCTAACTATTTAAGAGACAATACTCTTATTGCAGCAGCTTATATAATTCTTCATCTTTTATCTGACCAAAAATTAGCTGTCACACTATTTGAGTTTGGTATTTTTGTTATGAGATTTTTAGTGGAAGCTTATAAATTCTATAAAAAAGAAGCAGACTTGCGTCACAGGTTTTATAATAAGCAGACTTGAAATGAAAAAATCCTGGAGTCTGCAAAATGTGAACCGCAAACCGAAATTGAAGGGATCACAGAATTCTTAATGGAATGCTTATCGTCAGCCAAAACAATAAGGCATACCCCTACTGCAATTGATGGCAAAATCTCAAGAATTATTGACTTAATTAAAAGGGTTTTGCAGATGCTGAAGTCAAAGTCCAACATTTATACGCCTAACATAGATATCATCACAAGAAATATGACTGAAGAAGACAGACTATTTGTGAGGCAAACAATTATTGAGAACTCTGCAACTGAAATATCATCCGCTAAGTCCAAAATTAAAAAGAGAGACACTGAAAATATTCTAATGATTACGAGGAGCTATAATTGACAAGAATTAGCAGGGGTGCTGAAGCAGGTCGGGAATAATTGAAATTTTGATGTATTTTTTTTGAAAGAGTGCACTGACGGAAAACCATTGTCAACAGTGGGAAAATATTGTATAGATAAATACGTTTTAGACGAGCTTCTTAACGTAAATGAAAGTATAATATCAAACTTCTTTGAGAGAATGGAGTCACAATATAATGATAATCCATATCACAACTCCACACATGGAGCTGATGTATTATCTTCTGTAATGTATTTTGTTAGAAAGTCAGTTTTATCTGAGCAATTAGCTGATATTGATCTTTTAGCCATTGTAGTAGCTTCTCTAGGGCACGATGTAGGTCACCCAGGTTTGACAAACCGTTTTCTTATTAATAATCGTGACACCCTTGCTGTGGAATATAATGATTTCTCTGTCCTCGAAATGATGCATAGCTCATCTATTTTTATTCTGATGAAAACTCTTGATACAGATATTTTTCAGAATTTGTCACAGGAAGATTATACAAATATCAGAAAATTAATAATCGAAATGATTTTAGCTACAGATATGGCGAGACATTGGGATTTTCTGTCAGCTTTTAAAGCAAAAAATTCAACTGGGCCGCTTAAAAAACTGGAAACATTGGATCAGAAAATTGATGCTCTGAAGTTGCTAATTAAAAGTGCTGATATTGGTCATTCAGCAAAATCTAAAGATTTGCATAAAAAATGAAGTTACTTACTCCCACTTTTAATTTGAACGAAAAACTGTTCCAAGGGGTTAAATTTTATTTTTTAATCCCTTTGAAATAGAACAATTTTAGGTAAATTATCGAATTTAGCGATATAAATTAGGTATAAAAGATTTATTTATTTTATCAAGAAAAGCTAAAATTTTGATTCCAATTGGAAAATTTATCAAAATTTTGTTCTATTTTGAAGGGGGGATTAGTTATTGAGGAATTTTTTAATCAAGGAGACATTGAAAGATCCAAGAATCTCCCCATTTCAATGTATTGTGACCGAAATAACACTGATATCCCTAAATCTCAAGCAGGCTTTATAAAAAATATAGTGCTTCCGCTATATGAAGCAATGTCTAATTACTTAGCCTCTGATTTAATTGAAGAAAATTGCGTCAAAGAAGTCCGCAACAATTTAATGATGTGGGAAAGCGATACTGGAAGAATGCGATATAAAACAATGGTTACTATGAACATTGAAACTCCGCTGGAAGAAAAAGTAACTACTGACGCTAAAGGTAGGAAAAATAAAAGATATGGGACTTCTCGAGCGCTACTTGATCCTCCAAAAGCTTCATGGGAAGAGTAAGGTATATATTTAATCGAAAAATATTAAATAAATTGAATAAAGAATTAAAATGATTGCAATGTTGGTATTTTAATTGTTTTATATATAAAATAAAAATTGATTATAAAAATAATAGCTCAGCTTATTTATAAATAATTTTTTCCTTTCTTCTCTTTTTTCGCTCTATCATATATATGGTCCGTTTTAGCCAATAATAATATCATGAGCAACTACAGAAAAGTTCAGCCAATTTTCCAGCAGCTGCTTAATGATATCAAAGAAGCTGGGACCTTTAAAACCGAACGCATCATTACTACTCCTCAAAGAGTCGAGATCAGAGCAGAAGGCAAAACAGTCTTGAATTTTTGCGCAAATAATTACCTAGGCCTAAGCGACAACAAAAGAGTCATTTCTGCTGCCAAAGCAGCCCTTGATAAGTATGGATTTGGACTCAGCTCGGTCCGGTTTATTTGTGGAACTCAAGACAGCCATAAAGCGCTTGAAAGAAAAATTGCTGAGTTTCATGGCAAAGAAGATGCAATTTTGTACTCGAGCTGCTTTGACGCTAACGCAGGGATTTTTGAAGGGATTCTTACAAAGGAGGATGCAATCTTGACTGATGCCCTAAACCACGCATCCATAATAGATGGAGTTAGGCTATGCCAAGCTGAGAGACAAATCTATAGGCATCTTGATATGGCCCATCTAGAAGAATGCTTACAGAAAACCCAAGAAAAGCGTATAAGACTTATAGTCACTGATGGTGTTTTCAGCATGGATGGAGATTTCGCTAACCTCCCAAGAATCGTTGAGCTTGCTGAACAATATAATGCGTTGGTCTTTGTCGACGAAAGTCATGCCACTGGCTTTATTGGCAGAACTGGAAGAGGAACTCCTGAATATTTTGGAGTTGCAGACAGAATTGACGTGATTAATTCAACCCTTGGAAAAGCTCTTGGAGGTGCTAGTGGTGGCTATACTACAGGCAAAAAAGAAATTATTGATATTTTAAGGCAAAAGTCTAGACCTTACTTATTTTCTAATTCCCTTGCTCCTTCTATTGTTGGAGCTACCCTGGAAGTCTTGAGTTTATTAGGTGAAAGCTCTGAATTACCAGAAAAATTGAGAGGAAATACCAATAGGTTTAGAAATGGGATGAGAAATGCTGGATTTAACATTATTGGACATCAGGATTCACCTATTGTCCCTATCATGCTGGGAGATGCAAAATTGGCTTCACAACTAGCCGACGATATGCTGCAGAAAGGAATTTATGTGATTGGATTTTCATTCCCTGTAGTTCCAAGGGGACAGGCTAGAATAAGAGTTCAGCTAAGTGCAGCTCATTCGGAGCAACAGATTGATAGAGCGATTGAAGCTTTTACGCAATGTGGAAGAAATAGAGGAATAATTCAATAATAAATTAGCTCTATTATTTGATTTTATTTTAGATGTGTCTCAAACTCATAGTAAAGTATTTTCTTTTATTTAAGGATGCCAATTTTAAATATAAAAGGTAAACATCTTTTTATATAAGGGATTTCATTTTCGCTCATATATAATGTGAATTTATTGTAGAAAATATATTTAGATATTTTTTCTAGGTTAGAATAAAGGACTTATACTTAGCAAGATTTCCAGGGCTACAGTCTCTCCAGTTGAAAAGGTCCATCAAAGAGGTGATCTTGTCTAAGCAAAAGCAGAGCTGAGTAAAACTGGGCATTTAGATTGAAAATAGAGGTTTCCGACATTTCCGCATTTGGGTGGGTCGATTAGAGAAAAATCTACTGAAATATAAGGTTTTTCGGCCCAAGCTCGAGTTGCTTTGAGGGAGCCCACCTCAGTAAAATATACCGATATCAATCATTATGTATCCTTTGAAATCCAAATTTAGATATTCTAAAATGGAAACATCATCTGAAGAATTTATCGAAGATTATTATCAGGACTTCATCAGAGAAATTGTATTTCCAACCACAGGCGCTGCATGTTTTCCTCCAGACTTTTTGGTAGCGAGACATCCTCTACGCTATTTTTTCTCAAAATTTTCCCTCTTGATACATTTGATCAAAATTTACTTTCGACTAAAAAGTTTTGGAGCAAATTTCTGACTACCAAAAAAGCCCAATCAAATAGCATGGGACCGCGCTGCATATATCTGAGTTGTTAGTTTTAATAGATGGCTTCCTGGAATTGGTCTTCCAAAAAAAGCAATATTGAAAGGACTAATAAACGCAAGTGATTATGAATTTCAAAGAGAAGTTCAATTGCTAAAAGAAGCAAGCCAAAAAACTAGAGCAATTGTGAAATATTACTATCATATTAGAAATAACATCAACAGATGAATTTTTATGGAATACTGTGAAAAAGGATCATTAACTAATTTCATTGAGAAACAAAGAGAAAAAGGAACACATTTTACATATTCTTATATTGTTTGGGAATTTTACTGAATAGCTGAGGCGCTGGCTTGGCTTCACAACTCAAAAATGTATCATAGAGATATAAAGCCAGACAATATTTTTGTATCTGATGTCGAAATATTAAAGCTTGGAGACTTTGGTGCTTCCAGATATGAGTCCTTTAGCACAAGAAGCTCGAATACAGTCATCGGAACAGAGTTTTATATGTCTCCTAATCTTCTTGACAAGTTTGGGCTAGGCAAGACTGAAACAAAAAGCATTAACCCTCTAAAGGATGATGTGTGAGCGTTAGGAAAGACTATGCTTGAGACCATAGCTCTCCAACCTGGCATAGATTTCCGCTGAAAGCAAGAATCAGATATTATGGCTTCTATAAATGAAAATTATGAGAAGGTAATACCCTTAGATTATAGCACGAGCACAGCTTTAGCTCGACCTAGACTTCCCCCCATCTTTCAGATGGCTTCATTTTAGGTAAAACTGTCTAATCCATAATGATGGACTTTTCTGTTTCATTTAAGTGAAACCTTCAGGAGAGTGGGTATCAAGGTCAAGCCATAGCTGTTCGCAAAGTATACCAACCACAGCTGAAAAATTTAATAAGATTAATGATGGGATACGATGAAAGCAGTAGGATAGACATGCAAAATGTCGCACATGAATTATACAAAATAATTCAGTCCTTGAGAATTGACTCATTTCAAACTTTAGCACATGATGCGCCAATTGTTATTTTATCACCTAGAGATTGTCAAAAGTGAGGAGAGAATAAAGTAGAATCAAGTGAAACTACTCTTGAAAATTATTCTAATTGATCCCTAGGTGAAAATAATATTGAGGATTGATCTCAAACTTCTATTTCAAATGCGCCAATAACAGAAGAAAGCGAGTTAGAACCCTATAAAAATTGTGTATTTTGCAACAATTTTATAGGTAAGATCTATTTTGAGTTGGAATGCAAGCATATATATCATAAAGAATGTATGAAAAAACATATTGAATGCATAGTTGTTACTGAAAAGAATTATAGGAATTTATTATGTGCTGTATGCCCGACAGTCCTAGATTTGAAAAGAATAATTCATGCAGATTTAGGGTTATCGCAAGTCTGTGTTTTGCAGATCTTTAAACTTACCTGGCGAGGTGATAACACTGTATGCCCAAGTTGCAAGGAAAAATCAAAAAACTCGATATTAAGTAGCGAGTTAAGTCCTCATTTTATTCGCTGCGAGAATTGCCAGCAAAAATTTTGTTCCTTTTGCCGAGGGTACCAGCATAAAAAATGTTATACATTTGATGCTTATTTAGAAACATATCTTTCAATTTATGAAGGAAGAAATAGGTTCTTTGATTTAAGTGATGCCTTTAAATAATTATCTTTTATTCTGCATTTCGATAATCTTGAAGTATGAGTTGGATTATAAAAATGAATTATTAATTAGCAATGTATAAAATTGGTCAGATAATTATAAATAATTTGATTTCTTTGTTGAAATGTATAAAATTAATTATTTAACATAATTATAGCAGGCATGATGGATGCGATAAATTTAAGTAACCCACTGCTATTTTTAAAAAATTAATATGTTTCTTATGCATCCATTTTTGTAATTATTTAGAATTTCCAGAAATTATTTTTTGGCTACTTCTCAATCCATTAAATTAAAATTCAGCATTTGGATCTAAGCCTTGCCAAGGTCGCACTTTTTATCTTAAAGGCTTATTCAATTAAGTAATATTAATTGCAAAAATAAAAATTGTATTTATATAATTTTCATAGAATATAATAAAGAAAAAAGTCTAAAAGCATTTGCATTGAATAAGAACTAAAAAGATATTTTTAGATGCGGAGATCTTCTAATATATATCCCTATATTTTAAGATAGCTGCTTTGAATTTGATACAAATTCTTACCCCTCCTCTGTGAGAGAATAAACAATTGGAAAATCCCTATATTTTCGGTATATAAAAATTTTTATGATGAAGAATATGGTAATTATTATAATGAAATCTCGTGCTATTTATGCTAAATTTTAAACAGCTTGCATTTTAAAACATAAATTTAAGAAACCAAATTAATTTTTGCTTTCCAATTTCAAGAATTAATAATCTTGCTGTAAGCTAACAAATTGTTTGAGCACAGAGGATAGGAAAGTTAGAAGTTATTATTTTCATAAATAGAAAAATGGACAAAGCCTATCGAACGCCCAGCTTTTTCTTGAAATATATGCTAATCTGAGGTTTTCGCTGCCTAAATTATTGCAAAAAATTAATTATATATAAAACAGCTTTCAATTGATCTTGGCTTCAACCCTTTTTCTCAAATATAAAGTTTTTTTTATTAAGTCTTTAGGCGTCCATTTTCTCAGTTCCCAGCCAGTAACTAAGTTATTAAAGACAAATAAAGCTTAGTTTTCAAAATAGCTATTTGTTTTTTGTTTATTTAATAAAATGTTATCCATATTTTCAGAAGCAGACAGCGATTTTGATCAAAGAAGACCGTTTTGGCTTCCTTATAATCAAGTCTGCTTGCCTATCATTCATGAAGGCTATTTGACAGAAATCACTGAAATTGGATCAAAGTTGAACTACTACTTACTTAGCAGCACTTGCTTACTTAGGCTCTCACAAGGCTCGGACTTTATTGAAACTATGGCAATTCTTAAATGGAAGAGGGTGATACCATTTACAGACAACAAAGAATTATTAAAATTTGGGTTCAAAATTGGCCACTCAGATAACTATAAGACATTTTATGTGGATAATGAAGAAGATTTAAATAGGTGGATTGATAAACTAAGCCTAGTAGGAATAATGGACAATATCGAAAAAGATTACTTAATTGTGAACGAAATAGGGAGAGGATCATTTGCCACAGTTTTTTTAGCTATTGACAGCACCAATGGTAAAAAATACGCAATAAAATGCTTCAGCAAGTTTGAGTTGTGTAACAGAAAAAATGGTATTAAGCAGCTGCTGACTGAAATAGAGATCATGAGACGGCTTGACCATCCTAATATTGTCAAGCTTTTTAAGATTTATGAAGACTATGACAGCGTTTATCTGGTGCTAGAATATGCAGAAGGCGGAGATCTAAGGAAAAAACTGTCAATATGTAAAAGATTTTCAGAAGCAGATGCAATTGGACTTATTCAAAAATTATTAAAAGTGGTCGAATATATGAGATCGCTAAATATTGTGCATAGAGATATCAAATTAGAAAATATATTTCTAGTAAATTCTGATAGCAATAATGATTTCAAACTTGGCGACTTTGGATTGGCTAGTGAATGCGAAAATTTCTTAGAGGGAAAATGTGGGTCATTAGGATATGTTGCCCCAGAAATACTTTTAGGTATGAAATATAGCTTTAACGTAGATGTATTTAGCGTTGGAGTTGTATTTTTTTCGCTTATTGCAGGCAGGATTCCTTTTTTAGGTAAAACTACGAATGAGATTTACAATAAAAATCTTAATTGTAATATTCAGTTCAATGAAAAGTGTTGGATATCGATTAATATCCAAACAATCTGCATGATTCAGAATCTAACAACAAAAGATCCTAGATTAAGATCCGAAGCCAAGCATGCTCTAAGGAATCAAATATTTCATAAGCCACAAGACGAAAGCAATTATTATTCAATCAATTTGTCACCATTATCATATTTGCTCACTCCCTTTCTAGGTGACAAAACTCCTGTTTCAATTTTAAAGGGGTTTAATATGATTTGAAGAATTAATTCAAAATTAATGGATTTAAGGCAATAACTGTTAAATAATATTCTAATTGTATTACTTTCATTAAAAATTAAGTGAAACTAGTTTTATAAAATTATTATATTCACTTTAAAACTTGTAATTAAAAAATCAAAATATTTCCATTTAAAGGGGTTAATTTACCTAAATATGGAAATTTTATCGGGGAGTTACAAAAACAAGTAATGAATGTCATTTTGTTGAAAGCCAAGCTGATCATCAATTCTACTTGAATGAGCTAAACATTCAAGTTTTATATTATTCTCAACTACCCCAATCAACAGCGATTACAAATTCAGCTATTTCTTAAAATAATTTTTTTTAAATATCTTATTTAAATCAGATTTCTTAAATATATATAATTTAATAAATTCTTTATCAGTACACTAATTTATGCCAAACTTTAGTATTTTCTAATTATAAATGTTTTTTAAAGATGGTCAAAATCCTAATTTAATCAAATCAAATTAAATTTATATTTTTTTTGTTTTTAGCTTGCCAAATAAAAATCATTTTCGAAATTTATTTTGAAACTTTAGCATTTCTTATTCAGAAATTAACTCAGTATTGCAGTAGCCATATTTACTTCCTCCATGAGCGAAGAATACCATTGAAAATCTTTATTTTATGCGGAAAAAACCCACACCCCATGAACGAACAAAAAAAATTTTTATATAAAAATTCCTATAAAAATATGTTGATATATAAGTGATAATTAGTATAATTAAATCTCGAGCTAATTTTCTTTAATTATAAACAACTTGTATTTTAAAATAAATTATACAAATTAAATTATATTTGTTTTTTGAATTAATTTCAAGATGAGATTATTTTAAATTTAAAAAAAATATTTACTATACATATAAATTTTATTGAAAAATTAACTACATGAGCAAAATAAATACTTTTGCTCTCTCTAAGAGGGAGTAATTAGTAATTTTCTTAAATAAAATGGGCGTCAATGTAAGTAAACGACAATTCAGCACAATGCTTGATTTTTCGAGCCTTGATATTCCGATGACAATCAAAAATATCCCAATAAGATCTGTATATAATTTCGGTAAAGTTATAGGGACTGGGAGATTTGGAATCGTTAGAGAGGCTCAAGCTAAAGGAAGTAAAATAAAGGTCGCAATAAAATCAATATCGAAAAGTCTTCTCCACGGAATGGACAATGCACTTAAAAGAGAGATTGAGATATTGGCAAAACTCGATCACCCAAATATAATAAGGTTTTATGAAGCCTACGAAGATGACCAATACATTAATATCGTCATGGAAAATTGTTGTGGTGGCGACCTTTTCAAAAAAATAATTAATGCAGGGAATTTTGATGAAGATCAAACGAGAATTATTTTGAAGCAAATTTTATTAGCAGTAAATTACCTGCATGATAACAAAATTGTACATAGAGATTTAAAGCCTGCTAATTTCCTTTTTTGCAAAAGTGAAGAAGGAGCGATGCTAAAGCTTGCAGATTTTGGACTGTCAAGTCGCTTTACTAGGCGGTCAGATACTTTCAGAATAGCAGTTGGAACTACCCATTATATGGCACCTGAGGTTATTAATGGGTGCTATACCTTTAAATGTGACATATGGAGCATCGGGGTAATTATGTATGCAATGCTTAGCGGCAATTTTCCTTTCCATTCAAAATTTGAATGCGAAATTTACAAACAAATAGAAAAAGGAGATATAAATATCGAAGATAAAATATGGGAGAGCATTTCGGCTGAAGCTAAAGACCTATTAAAAAAGCTTCTTTGTGTTAATCATTTCCAAAGACTTTCAGCTAGTGAAGCATTAGCTCATCCTTGGTTTTCTCCCCTAAATAAACAGCCAGTTCATATGGATCAATCGACCTTAAAGGCCTTTCAAGAGTACAGTAAAATTTCGAATTTTCAAAAAGAAGCGTTGAGCATACTAGTGAAATTATTAAGCGTCAACGAATAATAAAAAAATAGGGAGATCTGGTAAGGATTAGCTCCCTTACTAGAATCAGTGAAGGGAATGTTTGACTCTCTGAGAGTCTAAATCAACAGAGACACATATCAAGTGGTGCGGGAAAGTGGAAAAGAGTGTTCTTTAAAGCTGAAGGTAAATGAAATTCTAACAGTCGGACAACTGCCGATCCGTTGGTTAAGAAGGCGCTCTCACGTGTTTGACTTCAGAAAAGAGAGACAAGATTATTTATTGAGTTAGCTTACGAACTAACTAAGCGTCGACGAAATTATGGAGCTTAATTCAATGTTTTTAGATTTAGAAGTTAATGGATTCATTACGATGAAAACATTGAATAAAGCTCTAAAAAATTCAGGATATCAACTAGCAAGAAAAGAAATTAAAGAATTAATGAAATCAATCGCTATTGATAAGAATGGAAAAATTAACCATTCAGAATTTTTAGCTGCTGTTGTAGCGTCAAAGCATCATCTTCAGCATGAAGAGATATGGCTTACTTTTCAGCATATTGATGCAGAAAAGAAAGGCTATATCACATCAAATGATATTAAAATTGCTTTTGAAAGGTCAGGACACAAAATGAACGACAAGCATCTTCATAAAATTATGAGTGAAATTGGCAAAAATATACAGTCGCAAATTTCTCTTGGAGAGTTTGTGGAAGTTTTCCAAAAAATACATATAGCAATATCCTATAGATAGCTCAGTAAGGGAATGATATTGGAAGAAAATCTCCAGTTGATTGGAACAACTCTGGTTTACCAGACCAATTGGAGAGAGGCTTATTTGTCAACTCTCCAGCCAATAATGGAGAGTTTCCCTCTCCAATCTCCTACCCTTATTTGACTATCTCTAGGGATTTCATATATGTAATTAGATAATTTAATTTCTATCTTTAAGGATACTGCAAAATCTCTGTTGTCGTATCAAAACTATGAACTCTCTACTTTATTACAAATTTGTGAAGGTTTCGAAACACTCAATGCAATTTAAATTAATTTTTTTTTAAAACGAGTTAAAAATAGACAAAAGACAGGAAACTAGTTGCTTTAACTTGTATAAGCATTATACACAAGTATTAATCTCTTTCGATTTCTCTTGATTACAAATCAAATCGCTTCCTTTTTTTTTTGGCTAATAAATTTAAAATGAATTCAATATTTCTCTACGCTGACCAAGATGTTGATGAAGACAGAAAGTTCTGGCTACCTTGCAAGCATTTTTCTACACAAATATTATATGAAGGTGACCTGATTGAAGTTACAAAATCAGGTCTGAAAAAGAATCATTTTATTCTAGAACAAAATAGACTATTTAAAGAAAATCCAATAACCCACTTACTTACAAAACGTTGTGACTTAAAATGAAAGAGCATTGAGCCTTTCATAGAATTCAATGATGATGTCACTAGTTTTGTACTGAGAGTCGGCTATGATGACTGCTACAGAGACTTTTATGCTCCCTCAGAGGATTCCTTAAACAAATGGCTTGACAATTTATCTCAAATTGGTATCATGAGTACCATAGAAAATGATTTTACATTAATTAAAGAAATTGGCAGAGGTACTTTTTCAGTTGTATTTTTAGGAGTAGATAATGAAACTTCCAAATCCTATGCAATTAAATGCATTGACAAAATTTTTTTAGGAAAAACCAAATATGGATACAAGGCAATTTTCGAAGAAATCAAAGTTATGAGAAAGTTAAATCACCCCAACATCGTGAAATTACATAAAGTTTACGAAAGCAATCAGTATGTTTATCTGGTGCTGGACTATGTGCCTGGCGGTAATATGGTGCAAAGGGTATCTTCTTTAAAAAACCTTTCAGAAGATGCAGCATCCAGCTTTATAAAAAAATTTTTAGAAGTCCTTGTATATTTAGAATCAAGCTCAGTGATACATAGAGACATCAAACTAGATAACATCGTCATGATGAGCAATGACCCAAATAATTTTGATTTTAAATTGATTGATTTTGGACTTTCTTGTAAATATCAAAAAGATATTACTACCTATTGTGGTTCACCTGGATATATCGCTCCAGAAGTAATATCTCAGATTCCTTATGGGTATAAGGCTGATATTTTTAGCACTGGGATAATCTTGTATATACTTCTATCAGGCAAAAAGCCTTTTTCAGGAGATGATAAATCAACAATTTTACAAAACAATAAAGAATGCAAAATATCTTTCAAGGGAGCAATATGGGATGAAGTTTCTCCTGCAGCAATTGATATGATTTTGGATTTAACCAGTGTTAATCCAAAGTTAAGACCCACTGCAAGTCAAGCGCTGCGAAACTTATGACTCAAGAAAAAAGAAACAGATTTTAGCCAAAGTGACACATCCAAATATAATGCCACTACAGAAGACTCAAGTAATGAAGATTGCATATCAGAGACCACAACGCTATTTAACTTGTAACTACAGCAGTTTTGATGAGTTGCAAATACTTCATTGAAAAGAGTAAATATTTTAAATTATTAAGTTAGCTCATTATTTTCTTAGAAATGGCTTTGCGAGTATTTCGAAGATTCTTTGGGAGCAAATTTTTCCCACTAATTAGCTCTAGTGACTCCGAAAGTGAAATTGAGCCTCCAGTTACAAACCTTGAGCAACTATCTGAAAATGTGCTGAAATTGGATAAACCTTTTGTTGACCACATTACTATTAAAGTTCAGTCAGGAAGAGGTGGAGATGGCTGCTATGCACTTTATAAGCCAAGAGGGAGCAGAGGAAAATTTCCATGTGGAGGAAATGGAGGAAGAGGAGGCGATGTTTATATAGAATCTCTCAGAGATATAAAAACACTTAGGCTTCCTAAAGAATTCAGGGCTGAAGATGGACAGAATGGACAAGGCGCTGATTGCCACGGAAAAAAAGGAGAATGTGTCACAATAAAGGTCCCAATCGGTACTTTGGTAAAAGAAGTAAATCCTCTAGGCCAGCATCGAACTATTGGGAATTTTGATAAGCCTGACAAAATTCTAGTAGCCAAAGGTGGACTTGGAGGAAAAGGAAATAAAGATTTCCCATCAGTCACTGAAAAAGAAAGCGGCGGCCAGTGTCAGAAAAAAGTGCTTTCACTTGAACTTAAATTAATTGCAGATGTAGGGTTGGTTGGATTTCCCAATGCAGGGAAGACTTCTTTGCTTGCATCTCTTACAAGGGCTTGTCCAAAAATAGCTTCATACCCATTTACAACCCTTCACCCATATGTAGGAAAGGTTTCTTCACACAACGCTTACTTCACGACGACGATTTTTTGCCTATATTTTAGGCCTATTTTTTACCTATTTTTAGGCTGTTTTTCAACTCTTTTTAATTATTTTGTTCACCTATTATTTTAACGCTAAAAATTTTCTGCCAAAAAAGATTGAAAGTTGCAAAATAAAGAAATAAATAAATAAGCAAAACAAATTATAAAAATCTATAAAAAATATACACGTGAGAAAAATTGTTACTGGTTGACCCAAAAAAGTATCTTATATCTTCTAGAAATATGAAGCATTTTGAATAGGATACTGAATAGCCAGTAAAAATGTTTACGTATATAATTTGCATAAATAAATAAAATAGGCCAAAAAAACAATCGTTGTCGTGGAGTAAAATCACTGTAGGAAATCTTGAGTTTATTGATGGATCTCGAATCAGTATAGCTGACATGCCAGGTTTGATTGAAGGCGCGAGCGAGAACAAAGGTCTTGGCCATGAATTTTTAAAGCATATCCAAAGGACAAAGATGCTGATTTATGTGCTAGATATTACACAGGATCCTGGAAACACTCTTGTTACACTGTATAGTGAGCTGAAACTTTATGACGAAAAATTAGTCAAGAAGCCTTGTTTGATTATTTTGAATAAAGTTGATCTTGTAGACAACAAAGACGAGCTCACTGCTTTTGAGCAACAGCTAGGGAGAAAAGTATAGTAAATTAGCCTGAATTTGGTGCTAGAAATAATAATTTTATATATTTAATTATGTATTAATTTATCACAAAAAGCATAACTAAAGTAAGTGCGAAGTATGGTACTGGACTTGGAGAGCTTGTAAGTGAAATCAATGACAAAATTCTCGCTTACCAAGAAGCTGTAAAAGAGTTAAATGGCAATATTTTAAGACAAACACAACTTTAAATTATACGAGATTTAGAATTTAAATTGCTTGTTTATTCTTTAAAAAAGCACAAATCTAGAAAATCATATATTTTTACAAATTTTCTTGATTCAATAATACTTGGAATCAAATTAAGCATATTATAGCAATTTTATAAGAAAGTTAAATGCTAATTATCGTTTTTTACTTTAAAACAAATCAAATTTATTTAATCAACATATGTTGGCATTTTGAGTATTATTAAATATTAATCTTTAATATTGTTAAAAATAACTTCAGCTTCTAAAATGGAAAATAAAAAACAAGATTTAAGATTCAAGATTTAAGGTTTAAGGTTTAATTCTAAAATTATTATATGCCTTCTCGGAGACTGCCTCAATAATTTCTGATAAAATCTAAATGGTTCTGATATAAATCGATTTGAGTCTTTTGAAATTAATTTTTCAGATAAAAATTCAGTCAAGATATTAACGTCATCATCATCTCCTATGGATGAGACTTTTACCCTTTAGATTCTTCATCTTTCGATTGACTAAGTCTGAACTCAGAAAAGCATCTTTATTGCCAGACTGCAGAATTTTGCATCTTCACATGTAATCAAAAACTTTTGCACTTATTCAAACAAGAAATAAATATTTTGAAAAAAAAAAAACTTGTAGAAAATTCAGGATATATAAAATCAAAAATTATGCCGTTAGAGTATATAGGATTTGCTCACTTTCAACAGATTTTTCTAAAGAATTTTCAGACACCTATCAAAGTTCTCCCAACAATCAATTTTTTAGGGTAAAAACTGAGAAGAATTGCAGTATTTATTTATATCAGATGAAAATTTAAATATTAAAACAATAGCAACTTCAAATTAAAACCATTTCTCAAGGTAAAAATATTGCCTTCTGATTTTATTATATTTCTATTTTTACATTCGAAGCCGATATTTCAGAAATGAATTAGAATTATGAGAATCAATCAAATTCGATTAAAAGGTATTTAATACTGCAAAATAAGTGAGCCAATTTAGCTGTGCCTTCTTTTGTTTGACAGTCTTACGGAAAATTCTATTTTCGAAGATTATGCCTAAAATACGAGTATATGGTATTTTTATGGATTCTTTTACTAATCATTTACCAAATACGAAATGCGAAGAAATTCCACAACAAGTACTGATTAAATGCGATAGATTTATTAGTTAATTATCTTATGCAAATGAAATTTATTGCTGTGATAACCTTTTTTCAGGTTGGAATTTTATTGCTTTTGTTAGAAGCATGTATTTAGAGCATTATTTTGCAACTTATTATGAAGGCTCAGTTTATTTCCTCACTTTTTTCATTACTATCAATAAGATTAATTTTTTAAAAATAAATATTTTATTTGGGGAATTCAATATCATTTCGATTTGACTTGGAAAGTTTTACATTTGAAGGAATTAGAAATTCGGAGCCAAAAATTTGTGTGAGAATGCATAAAAATTCCAATCTTAACCATTTATATATTAGCAAGCAATTTAAATAAATCTATAAGCTTCGAATGGACCTAAATAGTTTTTTTTCAATTTTTCTTTTAACTCTATTTACCAATTAAATTTATGTATAGGATATAGTTTTGCTATTGCTATTCCTAGTGGGAATATTCTAAAACCTCTCTTATTATAATTTAGTCATATTAATGGTGAGCTATTGACCTATCTGCATTTTTATAAATTAATAAATTAGAGATGCAATATAAATAGCTTACTACAAACAAAAAACCCTCTAACACAAAGTCAATGCTAACAAGATCAATAAGCATTTTTGGTTTTTAGATATAAGGCTAAAATATATTAATAAAATTGAAGAATAAATTCTACTGACTATCGCAGTCAACCATTTCGCTTAATTTAGAGCCTGCGCCATCTATCATATTAGCGGGCATTTTACCCCCAAACGTTAGCTTATGAAGGCATGGGTAAATGAACAAGATGGATCAATAAAAAGATTATAAAGAGTTAAGAGTTAAAACAAACAATTATTAAATTTAATCTATTTGTTAGCAAATTTTAATGCAGCTCAATTAATATTCTTTCCTTCAAATTAAAACTAAAGTATCTCGTAACTCCTCCCGCCTAAAACATTCCAATAATTATTATAATGACGGCTTATTATAAATAAATTTTATTTTAAATCTGCATTTTTTTGAGTAGTTCAATACGGTCTTGGCCTAAGGAAAGAATATTATTTAGAATCTAAGCTTGCTGAACAAAAACTTGGAAATTGAAAGGTCAACTTCATCGTCGCACTTTGACTCACAGCATCTTATGGTGCTCATTTTTACAATTATATTACAACTAATTTATTCGCCTAAGATGAAAATTTGATCGAACCAAAATTTCTCACCTTCAAAAAGAGTTCCTGGAGGCCGATCAGCAGTCAATTCCAATGGGAAAAACTTGTCCTATGCTAACTTCGATTCCTTGCATACGGGTTTGTTTGAGCTTATTAAATTCTTGCATTCTCCGATTTCATTTTATTAAGGATAATTATTTATATACCTTCTATAAAAATTATGTTATTTAAGTATAGTAAATAAGTAAAAGAGTTGATAAAATCTTGTTATGCTTAAATAGAAAATGTAGCTAAATTCATGAATTTCATTTAAATACATTAATATCAATTTTATTAGGGAACTGGATTTAAGATAGTAATGTGCCAAATTGCACACAAGGTATAAAAGTTAAATGCATTTATATAGGCTTGTAAACATTTCTTAAGTCATTTTTTAAAACAACATATGGGCATGTTCGAAATCAGGTGATGAGCAGCTAATATGGTCAATATTATATTTTATTCGCTTTGCATTATCTAACTATATGCAAATAGCTTACACCGACTACTATAATATATTTATCTCAAAAGTGTCCATTACCATTTCATATTTACCGAGAAATTTTCACAATGCAACAAATTTTCCCCTCTATACTCTTTTTCTTCTTCAAGGCTTTTAATTTTTTGTCAATTTTTTTTGATGTATTTTTAGAATGCAAAAGAGAGATGGCTCTTCTAAATTCAAAAAATCGTGACATAGTTTGCATAGAATTTTCTTGTAGTCTGGCAAAAGGCCTATTAATCATAAGTAAAGCTCTTTTGGGTCATTTTCTGAGTAATCATTAACTATGTATTTATTACTATGCAAAATTCTTAAAATAAATATAGCTGAAGCTTTTTATTTCACTCCCCCCCCCTCCGTGAGTGAACAAAAAAATTTTGTTCACTCACGGAGGGGGTTTAAAACAATTTATATATAAAATTTTATATAAAAAATATTGTTTTCCGAAAATTTAAAAAAAATCCTAATTCGCAACAATTGGAAAGCAAATATTAATTCAATTTGCAAAATTTATGTTTTAAAAAGCAATTCGTTTAAAAATAAACAGAATTAGCTCTAGATTTCATTATAATAATTATCATTTATATATCAAATTTTTTTCCATAAAAAAATTTTCTATTAAAAACATTTTTGTTCACTCACGGAGGGTGGGTTTTTGGTCAAAAAATAGCGATTTTTCTAATGGTTTGTTCACTCACGGAGGGGGGGGAGTCAGTGAAAAAATTGAAAGTCTACCTATCTGTTAGACTCATGATATAACTCTTGACATTGAAGCTAATATTTTTAAAATTTGAAGATAATTTTTGGTCAAAATCTGGAGTACTTGATAATACTTGTAGAAGTGCATTTAAATAGCAGGCATTCCCAACATTAGAAAACCCACGCTTATGAGATTAATGAGCCGAGATCGGAAAAGGCCGCCCTGACTTGCTGATTTATTGGAAAGAGAAAAGATTTACTGAAAAAGAAATAGATTATTAAGAAAATATTGAAAAATTAAGAAAATTCAAAGTTAAAGCTGAATTAAGTTTTCTGCAACGCAAGAAGGCTTAGTTAATATCCAAGAAATAAACAAAATCCATGAAAAAAAATCAATCACTTAAAGGAGGCGTATGAGAATTTTTGTTAAACAATTGCTTAGTTCATCTGAAACTAATTCCAAAAGCTCTTCAGAACCATTTCTTGATTCAAGTAAACGTTAGCTAAAGGATGCTAGGACTTTTCCCTTCAGCTTGCTATTTTTTGGCTACTCTTTTGTAAAACATCTAAGAATTGCTTTTTTGTCCCTTTAGCCGGCTCTAAATAAATTCTTTCAATGGCATGAGAAGTACAGTTCACAGCATAAAGTTAAAGGAGAAGCGCACGGATATGCATATTCAATTAACTTCAAGGTGTGCCCTAACTCAAAACATTGCATATGCTCTATTGCCCAAATGGAAGCTCGGGGTATATATAATTATTATAATGACTGCTTATTATCACCAAATTTTATTTAAATCTGCATTTTTTGGAGTAGTTCATTACGGTCTCGGCCTAATACGTCTTTAATAAAATTGATATCTTTTTCAGAAAGGTCTCATTCATCCTCATAAACGACATTTTCTTGATATTCTTGCCATAAATCATAAGCCTTATTAAAGTCCTGCAAAGCTGCTTCTTCTTGTCTAAGATTATTAAATACTCTAGCTCGGTTGCAGAAACGCAAAGGATTATTGGGTTCAAGTTTGATTGCCTCATCATAGCATTGTATCGATTCTTGATGTTTCTCTAAAGCATAAAGAGTATTGCCTTTACGATTATAAAACTTGGCTATGTTTGGCATGATTTTGATTGCTTCGTCATAGCTTTCTACTGCTTCTGGATATCTTCCTAATTCATGTAAAGTATATCCTTTCCTATAGTAAAAATAAGCATCCTTTGGATTGAGTTTGATTGCTTCGTCATAGCATTCGATTGCTTCTAGATATCGCTTTAAATTATAAAAAGCACTGCCTTTATTTTTGTAAAAAAAAACCATCTTTTGGATGGAATTTAAATTTTTTCGTCATAGCGTTTGATTCTATCTAAAGTCTTTAGATCAATATCTTTTGCATTGCATTCATCCAGATAATAAGGATCGATCTTAAAATTCTGATTATCGCTCCTTAATACTTGAATCTTTTTACCTACTCTTCTAAGTGAGATATGCTCATCATAGTAAGCAACATCAATAATGATTTTTTGATCTATATTAAAATAATAATATTCTCTAATTGATCCAAAAAGAACTGAGATGCATATTCCTCCTTTATTATATGAAAAATACACTTGATCAGGATTACAATTGATTTTTGATTTTCCTATTCTTCTCCAATTCGAGTAGCTTCCAATTTCGCTTTCATAGATTGACCCATTGCCGCATTCAATCAAATATATTCTCTCTGCATTGATTAGGATCTTTCTTTTCTTCTTTGCAAACTCATAAGGAATCGTCGAGAAAGAGTCAATATCAATTGAGTATAACCAAAGATTTCTATTTCGATATCCAGAAATCAAAATATTTCCATTAAATACTATACTATTGCAACTATAATCATTTTCTGGCATTGGAATTAATTCAATTCATCGCTTTTGATCCAAATCAAATCTACTCGATAGAGTTAAAGAATCATTATAATATCCTCCAAAGCAATAGACGCTATTGTTGAAATAGATACATGACGACTCTCTGCAAGGAGTTCCAGATGGCAACACTTCAGATTCACCATTTACATCAATTAGCACTGTAACTCCAAAATCATAATTACCAAAACAGAATAGCTTGCCATTTGGAAGTTGAGTTATGCAAGTGCAGCTGTCTAGTGGGTCTGGGGTATGCAAGATTTTAATTTCTTGGGCTTCAGTTTCAGTGCTATAAATAATTAAATTGGTTCTGTCATCCTCATCTCTTATAACATTATAAATAGATGTTTTTTGTTGATAAGCTTTAAAATAATCTTGGCAAGCTTGCCTTAGTGGTGGATAATAAAAAAGAGAATGGATATGAATTGCTGAGCAAGTTGTATTGAAATCCATCTCTATTTCTGAATCATTTGGTCTACTCATTATCTCAGCAGTTTTATTTCTTAAGGTGTCTATAAGGTTTAAAGCACTTTCTGTTTCCTTGGGTTCACTGTTGAGATAATTAGAAACAGCGCTTATTTTAGAATAAAGCAAACTTGCCTCACTTTTTAGGCTTTTTTTTATTCACTTGCTTGCGTTTTCAGGCCCTTTTAAACTCTCACTGTTTTCATTCATTATCGAGGAAACCGAATCCTTAACGTTTGCTGACTCTATGGTTTTATTATCCGTTTCAGGAGTATTTTGCATATTCATATTTTCTAGATATGCATCGCCTTTTTCTTTAGCAAAGGATCTATTTAAACTCGCTAACTTTTCAGCGATTATATAAAAGAATCTTGCACCGTTGTACCAATCTTTCATGGCTATGATCATCAATTTTACTTTCTCAGCAGCTTCTCCAGGCTGTAAAACCAATAATCCTAATATTGGATCTTGCTCTAGCTTTGATACTTTTTTAACCTGGGAAATTTTTGCAAATAAATCATTTATCTCACCTGAGCAATCATCCAATTTTTTTCTGAAATCTCTTAAATTTCTCTTTAAGTTAAATGGACACTTATTAAAGGAATCTATGATTTTTCTTCTCAGCTCGCTGCATTTTGAATTTTCTATTGTAAGGAATTCAAGAATTGCTTCTTTTGTGCCTTCGCAAGGCTGGATAAACATTGATTCAAGGTTATGAACTCTATCAGGCAAGTTTACATGCTTTCCAATGTGCACTTCACAAGATAAAGTCTTAGGAGAAGAGCATTTGCATGAATACTCAACCTCATTCGTACACCCAGACTCGAAACATTTCTTCGTCATCATATAATAATTATTAAATGGATGATTTTTAAACTTTTATTACAATTTCATTCAAATAAGATATTCAACTCATCAGCAGAGATTGGATTTGACATGAAGAGCGGGATAGCAGCCATGATAGCAGGTTCTGGAATAAGCGTAGTCCCAGAAAATCTATTGAGAGCAGTGGACAACTTGAAATCAATAATCTCAAACTCATCACCACCAAAATTTCAGGCACTAATGAATTTGAGCCCGGACTCTTGATTAAAGACAGGATGACTTTAAGCATTCACTGTTCCTTACTCAGAGGAAACGAAACTTGAAAAATTAGTATATGAATTGATAAATTGAGCTTGGCCTCATTCCAAGGGATAGTATGCTGAAAGACTCATAGAATGCAGTATTTCAGCTTTCCACACCCATACTGGTGCAGGCAGTTTGGTTGAAGAAGGCGACTTTGTCTAGAAGTGTGGATAAGAGGGAAAACGGTAGAGAAGGTCTCCACCCCGATGGAGGTAAGAAATACATCCTTGAAGAAGCACTCAGATGAGACGTTGACCTCATCAAGACTTAGAAAGCAGATACTGAGGGTAGCTTGATTTACCTAACATTGCCGGGTCTAAAAATAACGATCGCAGAAGTCGAGAAGAAAACGTCCCTGCTGGCACTGTCGACCCAGTTCATAGAATCGTTAAAGGTGAGTATTTTGAAAAGCCTATTGAAAGGCTGCTCTCAATACTGGAGCTTCCTGGGACTCTTGAATAAATCAGGAAACGTGAGAGAATTGCCAAAAGAGTTTCCAAAGAAATCAAGAACAGAATGTATGTGAGCTTGGCTATTAGGATGCAACCTTAGTGCCGAGCTGTCAAACTACTTGCCCAAAGGCTATCACAATTTTTCTTCATGAGCTAGGTATAGGAACATATCCAAAATAAGGTGAGCAATTCCCAAACGCTATTAATGCTGGCAAAGAAATCTATCACAATGGGGCAGGCAGCACTAGTTTTGCTATTTTCCATGGCGATCATCTTGATTTAACTATTCTCGGAGAACTACAAGTGCTCCAGAAGACCTTTCAAACTAGATTGTCCCAGACAAAACGGTGAAGGTAATGAGAGGAGGGATGGACTTTGTTGATAGCTAATCGAAATGCAGGTCTGTATGGAGCACACTTCCTAAGGTGCTCCAAAGATCCTCAATAAATGTTGTCTCCCACTGAAATGTAAGAAGGTTGTTAGAATGCTTGTGACCGAGTACGGAGTTTTCAAATTCCGAAGGAAACTGGAATGACTCTCATTGAAATTGCTACTGACATCACTCTGGATAAACTGAAATGAATTGCATATGCCCAATTCTGCATAGGATCTGATTTGAAGAAGATAGAATAATAATAGCTAATCCTCCCCAATCAATATCTGCTGATGCTGCCTTTTCAGTCCAAATTTCATTAGCTATCCTTCATTAGCTTACACTGCAATTTTTAGCTCTGAAGCAGTTATTTGCTTGTCACCTTCCTTGCCAAGCATATCAAAAGATGCAATAAAATTTTCAGCTAAAATCAGAATTTTATAGTCTATTGTTGCTTTTTACTTTTAATTAACCATTTTATTACTATTTTAATGCAATTAATCTCTCTTCATCCAAATCAAACTTGAAGTAGTCAGATCCATCTATTCCAATGTATATATATCCTTCATTATATGTACAATACACTTGTAAAACACTGTAATTGATTGTTGATGTTTTTCCTGTTGGTCTCCAATTCGTGTAACTTCCAATTTCGCTTTCATAGATATCACCTCCTTCATTGCATTCAATCAAATAAATTCTATCTGCATTTATCAGGATCTTTCTTTTCCCTCTTGCAAACTCATAAGGAATTATCGAGAAAGAGTCAATATCAATTGAGTATAACAAAAGATTTTTTTGTCAGCATCCAGAAATTAAAATATTTCCATTAAACATAATACTATTGCACTGGAAATTAGCTTGTGGCATTGGAGTTAATTTAATTCAACGATTCTGATTCAAATCAAACCTACTAGATAGAATTAAAGCATGTTCATTAGATCCTCCAAAGCAAAAGACGCTGTTGTTGAAATAGATGCATGATGATCATCTACAAGGGGTTCCAGATGGCAGCACTTCGACTCCATCATTTCTATCAATTAGCACTGTAATTCCAGAAAGTAATCATCATCATTCATCATTAATTATAACGATGCATAGGCACCGTTTTAACCCATGGGTTCTTTAAAAACAAAAATCAGCCTATTTCCATTATGTGTATTATAGAACTTCAATTTATATTAAATGTTTTAGCATCTTGAGAGTGATATAGAGTGTATCAATATTTTTTAAATTCTGATCAGCTAATATGTAAAGGAGTCAAGTATGTTATAAGATTCCTTTGAATATGCCATAAACAAAAAATTATCTTTGAGTTTCTAAACTTATCACTAAGAGCATTATACTGTGCTTGGTTGCGATCCACAAAAATTACTTGTGGACTCTGAAAATGTTTTAGAAAATTCATAAATATTCATGAATAGTTGTTTTCAGTTTCTTTTTTTGTAAGTGCCATTGCTAGCACATAGTTAGATCCATATGGATCTACAGTTAAAATAAATACTGCAGATCTAAAACTTTCATGAACCTTATATGTACTGTCTATAAGTATCACATCTTGTAATTTTTGTCACATCTCTATTCTTGATAAATCTGTAATAAAAAATCTCATTAAGGCTCTATCAAATTCAATTATTGCATTTGTATGATGACATTCGCTTGATATTATTCTATCAAAGGTGAAATTTTCCGAATGAGTTTTTGCATAATATTCTACAACATTGTATAATTTCTCTATTGATATCTTAAAATCATCATTTGCGCTTAGCATAGACTGTATCTGCCTAATTGTAAATCCTTCAATATAATATTGGATCGCTTGTTCTTTGATGCTATTTGGCAATATTTCGCATTCAATTAAATTATCACACTGATCTTGCGGAATTCCTTTATGATTATGATTTTGATGAACATGTATGCACTCAAAAGTATATGACTCTAATAAATCCAATGTATACTTTCAACTCATTTTGAACTTGCAAAACAATTCAGGCTTAATAGAAGGAAAAAGAATATTAGCATGCTCACTTGAAAAATAACACTCAAACTGAATCAACTTTTTTGCAGAATCAGATCTTTTAACATAAATTTTGGCTTTGTCGTCCTGTAGAGCTTTCTTTTTTATAATAATATGAAATTCTTTTATATTTGTGCAATTTACCTTGTCTCCAACATTAAATGCACCCGTGTATCATATTTTCTTCTTCTATGTGTGCGCCTCTAATTGCTGTTCAAATGCTTGTCTATTGTCAGATTCTAAATTAATTTGCGGATTGGCAATAGATATTTGAGATACCTGTAAATTAACTTTGCTTAAATTTTCTGAAGCTTTTTCTTGTGACTCATTGTTTTTGTCTGACTCATCTTCATTATTTACTGGATTTTCCAAATCATGCACAGGCATAAAATTGTTTCTTGAATCTAGATTATTTTCATCAGCTTCAGACATAATTTGCTGTACAGCTCGCTTCATCTCTACTTTTTTTTGACTTTTTATATTCGCTGATTATCATGGACACTTTAAGAGGTCCTAATTTGAACCATTTTGCTACAGATTGAAGTATTACCTCATCGTTGGAAGCTAATTCTATTAACTGATCACTAAGATTTTCGCCTTCATGACTTGGAATGTTAAAACCCAATTTTCGCGCAATTTCTGAAGTCAATTCCGTCATTTTATAGTCTTATCTTTATTTGTTAAAGAAATCATAAATTTATGTATTGAAAGTATCATCACCAATAAAAAGCCTAAAGACGAGGAAAAATTCAGCTGAGTTATCAGATAAAGCATTACAAGCATTAATAAGCCTTATATTTATTAATAAATAAATACTAAGATTAGATTTTAAAGGGATTATAGGCTCTTTAATGGTGAAGCAATAGTTTGCTAACAGTATTTTGGAAAATTTTGTAAGAAATATATTAGCTACCCTATTATATTCAGGTAGAAATACTTTAACAGCTGTTATATATTTTATGAACATAAGAAGCAAGAAGAAAATTTATTTTATTTTTATTTACAATTTAAACCACTTATTATTCACATTCAACACATCCTGTACCAGAGCATCCTGCATATCTGTTGTACTAACGCAACCTGTATTCACTAGAGCATTCTTGTATAAACCTTGCACTAGCGCATCATGTATTAAAACTTTATTAGCACATTCTGCATTTACCAGGGCATTATGCAACCTTGCACCAACGCATCATGAATCAACATATCCTGCATTTACTACAAATTCTGTATCAAATCTTGCACTAGCGCATCATGTCTCAAAACTTTACTAGCACATTCTGTATCAAAACTTGTACTAGTGTATCATGTCTCGAAACTTCAGCAGTAAATTCTGCGCAACACCTTGCACCAGTATAGACTGGAGTATTGCATATTGCAGAGCATATTATAATAACAGATTTTTAATTAGCCTATTTAGTGCCACTCAATTTACCAGAGCATCTGTCTCATTAGAAACAACTTAATTTGCTAATTAATTGATATAAAGTACAGTGTAAGCGATGCGGTTATCTAGCGGATATCCATCAATTTTCACAAAAATAAAAAGTTCCAGAAAGTAATCAATTACCAAAACAGAATAGCTTGCCATTGGGAAGTTGAGTTATGCAAGAACATGAGTCTAGTTGTTGTGGAGTCTGCAAAATGTTTACTTGCTGGGTTTCAGTTTCAGTGTTATAAATAATCAAACTATTTCTTTTGCTATCTCCTCTAATATTATAAAGAGATGTTCCTTGTTGATAAGCATTAAGATAATTTTGGCAAAATTGCATTAGTGGCGGTTCATAAAGACTAGGAATGTATAAAGGCGCTGAGCAAGTTGCTCTGAAATCCATCTCAAGTTCTGGATTGTTTGGTCTGCTCAAAATCTCAGCCGATTTATTTCTTAAGGTTAGATCTGCCATTATTTCTATTTATGCAACATAAGTTAAGTTTTTGAATTTTTTAGTTAACTTTTTTGTTCGTTAAAGCCATTTTTTATTACCTCAAATTCAGTGCCAATTAGAAAAGAGGCAAAAATTGTTACGCAATTGCTAGATTACTACTTACTTACTTTTAAATAGCATTTTATACTTTTTTAATGCTATCAATTTCCTTTCATTTAAATCAAACTTGAAGTAGTCAGATCCTTCAATTCCAATGTGTATAAATTCTTTATTATATGAACAGTACACCTGACGAGCAATGCAATAGATTGCTGCTTTTCCTATTTGTCTCCAATTTATGTAACTTCCAATTTCACTTTCATAAATACCTCCTTCATCACATTCAATCAAATAAGATCTCTCTAAATTTATAAGGATCTTTCTTTTTCTTTCACCAAACTCATAAGGAATTGCCGAGAAAGAGTCAATATCGACTGAGTATAACAAAAGATTTCTACTATACCTTCCAGAAATCAAAATATTTCTATTAAACATTAGACTATGGCATTCATAATCAGGCTGTGGTATTGGAGTTAATTGAATTCATCGATTTCGACCCAAATCAAATCTACTAGATAGAGTAAATAAGCCTTTATTACTATATCCTCCAAATAAATAGACGCTGCTTTTTAAATAGATGCATGAACAAGGAGTTCCAGATGGTAGCACTTCGACTTCACCATTTTTATCAATTAGCACTGTATATCCAGAATGTGAACAATTACCAAAACAGAATAGCTTGCCATTGGGAAGTTGAGTTATGCAAGTGAATCAGTCTAGTGGTTGTGGAGTCTGCAAGTTTAAGACTTTTTGGGTTTCAGTTTCAGTGTTATAAATATATAAATAAGTTCTCTTGCTATCTCCTCTAATACTATAAAGAGATGCTCCATGTTGACAAGCATTAAGATAATCTTGGCAAGTTTGCATTAGTGGTGGGTCGTAAAGACTAGTATCGAGCTGAATCATTAAGCAAGTTGCCCTGAAATCCATTTCTAATTCTGGATTGTTTGCGTTGCTCAAAATCTCAGCCGATTTATTTCTTACGGTTAGGTCTACCATTACGTCTATTATTGCAACACAAAGTAAATTTCTAAATTTTTTAGTCAAATTAATTATACTCAAGTAAATTCAATTATTTAGGGTGTTAGGGTGTTAGGGTGTTAGGGTGTTAGGGTGTTAGGGTGTTAGGGTGTTAGGGTGTTAGGGTGTTAGGGTGTTAGGGTGTTAGGGTGTTAGGGTGTTAGGGTGTTAGGGTGTTAGGGTGTTAGGGTGTTAGGGTGTTAGGGTGTTAGGGTGTTAGGGTGTTAGGGTGTTAGGGTGTTAGGGTGTTAGGGTGTTAGGGTGTTAGGGTGTTAGGGTGTTAGGGTGTTAGGGTGTTAGGGTGTTAGGGTGTTAGGGTGTTAGGGTGTTAGGGTGTTAGGGTGTTAGGGTGTTAGGGTGTTAGGGTGTTAGGGTGTTAGGGTGTTAGGGTGTTAGGGTGTTAGGGTGTTAGGGTGTTAGGGTGTTAGGGTGTTAGGGTGTTAGGGTGTTAGGGTGTTAGGGTGTTAGGGTGTTAGGGTGTTAGGGTGTTAGGGTGTTAGGGTGTTAGGGTGTTAGGGTGTTAGGGTGTTAGGGTGTTAGGGTGTTAGGGTGTTAGGGTGTTAGGGTGTTAGGGTGTTAGGGTGTTAGGGTGTTAGGGTGTTAGGGTGTTAGGGTGTTAGGGTGTTAGGGTGTTAGGGTGTTAGGGTGTTAGGGTGTTAGGGTGTTAGGGTGTTAGGGTGTTAGGGTGTTAGGGTGTTAGGGTGTTAGGGTGTTAGGGTGTTAGGGTGTTAGGGTGTTAGGGTGTTAGGGTGTTAGGGTGTTAGGGTGTTAGGGTGTTAGGGTGTTAGGGTGTTAGGGTGTTAGGGTGTTAGGGTGTTAGGGTGTTAGGGTGTTAGGGTGTTAGGGTGTTAGGGTGTTAGGGTGTTAGGGTGTTAGGGTGTTAGGGTGTTAGGGTGTTAGGGTGTTAGGGTGTTAGGGTGTTAGGGTGTTAGGGTGTTAGGGTGTTAGGGTGTTAGGGTGTTAGGGTGTTAGGGTGTTAGGGTGTTAGGGTGTTAGGGTGTTAGGGTGTTAGGGTGTTAGGGTGTTAGGGTGTTAGGGTGTTAGGGTGTTAGGGTGTTAGGGTGTTAGGGTGTTAGGGTGTTAGGGTGTTAGGGTGTTAGGGTGTTAGGGTGTTAGGGTGTTAGGGTGTTAGGGTGTTAGGGTGTTAGGGTGTTAGGGTGTTAGGGTGTTAGGGTGTTAGGGTGTTAGGGTGTTAGGGTGTTAGGGTGTTAGGGTGTTAGGGTGTTAGGGTGTTAGGGTGTTAGGGTGTTAGGGTGTTAGGGTGTTAGGGTGTTAGGGTGTTAGGGTGTTAGGGTGTTAGGGTGTTAGGGTGTTAGGGTGTTAGGGTGTTAGGGTGTTAGGGTGTTAGGGTGTTAGGGTGTTAGGGTGTTAGGGTGTTAGGGTGTTAGGGTGTTAGGGTGTTAGGGTGTTAGGGTGTTAGGGTGTTAGGGTGTTAGGGTGTTAGGGTGTTAGGGTGTTAGGGTGTTAGGGTGTTAGGGTGTTAGGGTGTTAGGGTGTTAGGGTGTTAGGGTGTTAGGGTGTTAGGGTGTTAGGGTGTTAGGGTGTTAGGGTGTTAGGGTGTTAGGGTGTTAGGGTGTTAGGGTGTTAGGGTGTTAGGGTGTTAGGGTGTTAGGGTGTTAGGGTGTTAGGGTGTTAGGGTGTTAGGGTGTTAGGGTGTTAGGGTGTTAGGGTGTTAGGGTGTTAGGGTGTTAGGGTGTTAGGGTGTTAGGGTGTTAGGGTGTTAGGGTGTTAGGGTGTTAGGGTGTTAGGGTGTTAGGGTGTTAGGGTGTTAGGGTGTTAGGGTGTTAGGGTGTTAGGGTGTTAGGGTGTTAGGGTGTTAGGGTGTTAGGGTGTTAGGGTGTTAGGGTGTTAGGGTGTTAGGGTGTTAGGGTGTTAGGGTGTTAGGGTGTTAGGGTGTTAGGGTGTTAGGGTGTTAGGGTGTTAGGGTGTTAGGGTGTTAGGGTGTTAGGGTGTTAGGGTGTTAGGGTGTTAGGGTGTTAGGGTGTTAGGGTGTTAGGGTGTTAGGGTGTTAGGGTGTTAGGGTGTTAGGGTGTTAGGGTGTTAGGGTGTTAGGGTGTTAGGGTGTTAGGGTGTTAGGGTGTTAGGGTGTTAGGGTGTTAGGGTGTTAGGGTGTTAGGGTGTTAGGGTGTTAGGGTGTTAGGGTGTTAGGGTGTTAGGGTGTTAGGGTGTTAGGGTGTTAGGGTGTTAGGGTGTTAGGGTGTTAGGGTGTTAGGGTGTTAGGGTGTTAGGGTGTTAGGGTGTTAGGGTGTTAGGGTGTTAGGGTGTTAGGGTGTTAGGGTGTTAGGGTGTTAGGGTGTTAGGGTGTTAGGGTGTTAGGGTGTTAGGGTGTTAGGGTGTTAGGGTGTTAGGGTGTTAGGGTGTTAGGGTGTTAGGGTGTTAGGGTGTTAGGGTGTTAGGGTGTTAGGGTGTTAGGGTGTTAGGGTGTTAGGGTGTTAGGGTGTTAGGGTGTTAGGGTGTTAGGGTGTTAGGGTGTTAGGGTGTTAGGGTGTTAGGGTGTTAGGGTGTTAGGGTGTTAGGGTGTTAGGGTGTTAGGGTGTTAGGGTGTTAGGGTGTTAGGGTGTTAGGGTGTTAGGGTGTTAGGGTGTTAGGGTGTTAGGGTGTTAGGGTGTTAGGGTGTTAGGGTGTTAGGGTGTTAGGGTGTTAGGGTGTTAGGGTGTTAGGGTGTTAGGGTGTTAGGGTGTTAGGGTGTTAGGGTGTTAGGGTGTTAGGGTGTTAGGGTGTTAGGGTGTTAGGGTGTTAGGGTGTTAGGGTGTTAGGGTGTTAGGGTGTTAGGGTGTTAGGGTGTTAGGGTGTTAGGGTGTTAGGGTGTTAGGGTGTTAGGGTGTTAGGGTGTTAGGGTGTTAGGGTGTTAGGGTGTTAGGGTGTTAGGGTGTTAGGGTGTTAGGGTGTTAGGGTGTTAGGGTGTTAGGGTGTTAGGGTGTTAGGGTGTTAGGGTGTTAGGGTGTTAGGGTGTTAGGGTGTTAGGGTGTTAGGGTGTTAGGGTGTTAGGGTGTTAGGGTGTTAGGGTGTTAGGGTGTTAGGGTGTTAGGGTGTTAGGGTGTTAGGGTGTTAGGGTGTTAGGGTGTTAGGGTGTTAGGGTGTTAGGGTGTTAGGGTGTTAGGGTGTTAGGGTGTTAGGGTGTTAGGGTGTTAGGGTGTTAGGGTGTTAGGGTGTTAGGGTGTTAGGGTGTTAGGGTGTTAGGGTGTTAGGGTGTTAGGGTGTTAGGGTGTTAGGGTGTTAGGGTGTTAGGGTGTTAGGGTGTTAGGGTGTTAGGGTGTTAGGGTGTTAGGGTGTTAGGGTGTTAGGGTGTTAGGGTGTTAGGGTGTTAGGGTGTTAGGGTGTTAGGGTGTTAGGGTGTTAGGGTGTTAGGGTGTTAGGGTGTTAGGGTGTTAGGGTGTTAGGGTGTTAGGGTGTTAGGGTGTTAGGGTGTTAGGGTGTTAGGGTGTTAGGGTGTTAGGGTGTTAGGGTGTTAGGGTGTTAGGGTGTTAGGGTGTTAGGGTGTTAGGGTGTTAGGGTGTTAGGGTGTTAGGGTGTTAGGGTGTTAGGGTGTTAGGGTGTTAGGGTGTTAGGGTGTTAGGGTGTTAGGGTGTTAGGGTGTTAGGGTGTTAGGGTGTTAGGGTGTTAGGGTGTTAGGGTGTTAGGGTGTTAGGGTGTTAGGGTGTTAGGGTGTTAGGGTGTTAGGGTGTTAGGGTGTTAGGGTGTTAGGGTGTTAGGGTGTTAGGGTGTTAGGGTGTTAGGGTGTTAGGGTGTTAGGGTGTTAGGGTGTTAGGGTGTTAGGGTGTTAGGGTGTTAGGGTGTTAGGGTGTTAGGGTGTTAGGGTGTTAGGGTGTTAGGGTGTTAGGGTGTTAGGGTGTTAGGGTGTTAGGGTGTTAGGGTGTTAGGGTGTTAGGGTGTTAGGGTGTTAGGGTGTTAGGGTGTTAGGGTGTTAGGGTGTTAGGGTGTTAGGGTGTTAGGGTGTTAGGGTGTTAGGGTGTTAGGGTGTTAGGGTGTTAGGGTGTTAGGGTGTTAGGGTGTTAGGGTGTTAGGGTGTTAGGGTGTTAGGGTGTTAGGGTGTTAGGGTGTTAGGGTGTTAGGGTGTTAGGGTGTTAGGGTGTTAGGGTGTTAGGGTGTTAGGGTGTTAGGGTGTTAGGGTGTTAGGGTGTTAGGGTGTTAGGGTGTTAGGGTGTTAGGGTGTTAGGGTGTTAGGGTGTTAGGGTGTTAGGGTGTTAGGGTGTTAGGGTGTTAGGGTGTTAGGGTGTTAGGGTGTTAGGGTGTTAGGGTGTTAGGGTGTTAGGGTGTTAGGGTGTTAGGGTGTTAGGGTGTTAGGGTGTTAGGGTGTTAGGGTGTTAGGGTGTTAGGGTGTTAGGGTGTTAGGGTGTTAGGGTGTTAGGGTGTTAGGGTGTTAGGGTGTTAGGGTGTTAGGGTGTTAGGGTGTTAGGGTGTTAGGGTGTTAGGGTGTTAGGGTGTTAGGGTGTTAGGGTGTTAGGGTGTTAGGGTGTTAGGGTGTTAGGGTGTTAGGGTGTTAGGGTGTTAGGGTGTTAGGGTGTTAGGGTGTTAGGGTGTTAGGGTGTTAGGGTGTTAGGGTGTTAGGGTGTTAGGGTGTTAGGGTGTTAGGGTGTTAGGGTGTTAGGGTGTTAGGGTGTTAGGGTGTTAGGGTGTTAGGGTGTTAGGGTGTTAGGGTGTTAGGGTGTTAGGGTGTTAGGGTGTTAGGGTGTTAGGGTGTTAGGGTGTTAGGGTGTTAGGGTGTTAGGGTGTTAGGG